TCTTGGCAGGGTCGGATGGTAACAATCCGTGTCTGGCCAGGTAGCTGCTCTTGTACTGGCGTCGCCATCGTGGTGCTTTCTCGTATACGTTTGTTTCGAGTCGGTAGGGTTTGGCCTCAGCTTTTTCTTTGTCGTGTTGCGGGCAAGAATGTAGTTCATAGCACCGCGTGAAGGGTATCGTGCTGTGGTCGGGATGCCTGGCGTATCCGCGACATGAGCAATCCGCTTCATCGCACGGGCATCCTGCGCTGTAGGGTATTTCGTGTTCTGGTCGGAACGCGTACCGCTGTGGGTCGCACTCGATCCAGGCCCTCTTCTTTTCTTCTTTGGTGGTGTTCCTGTTCATGAGTTCGCACAACTCGTTTAACTTCATAACTGCTCCTCTGATGTAGGGTTCTTCCTGACAATTCGGTTGAATATCTCGACGGCCCATTCTGGGTCCTGGTAGTGCAGTTCGGGGCATGGAGGTTCGTATTCGAGGTCCTGGGAGCCCTTCGTTCCTTGAACGAGGTTTCGTGTCTCCTGGGATAGTCCCTCTTGCTCCTGGGACTCGGATTCGTCCAGAGTCCAACTTCTGTTATCCCAATCGATCTCTGGGAACTCGTGTCGCTGGTTTTCTTTCAACAGTTCCGAGGTGTCACTCCCCTCGTACGTCTGTGCTTCTGTGTCTTTGTCGTTGGTGTTTCTCGCGGTTCCGTCCGTTGGTTCGCTGTCTGCGATCTCGCTTTCACTTAGCGTCGTCCATGCTTCAAGCATGTCTTGGATGTCTGATAATGTTTCGTCCCTCTCGCGCTCTTCCGTGGCGCAGATTTGTTTGGTCTCGTTGTATCCGCCTCGGCTCTCGTTTGTTGCTCGAAGTTGCTGCGGTTGTCGCGGTTTCCGTGGTTTAGGGCATTCTTTTGCGAAATGTCCTCCTTGGTTGCAGTTGAAGCATTTTCCTTTCATCTGCCTATATTGCTTTTCCTTTCGTGGGTTTTCTGCCGCGTCCAGATCCATAGGTTGCAATCCATATGGGTCATTGTACTGGGCCTGTCGTGGCTCTCTTCGACCTCCTCGTCGTCGGAATCCGTGGGTTCGGGGAGGTTGTCCTTGTCCCCGCCACTGTCGTGCTTCTCGTCGTTGAAGCGATCTTTCGTATAGTCGGTTGTCGAACTTGACTGCGACTTCCATGAGTTTGCTCAACCTATCGGGTCGGTCGATTCGCATGATTTCGTCTTTCACATCTTCCTTAAGACCGTCTTCATAGATGGCGATGTACGCATCCTCATCCCAATCGAGATGAGAGATGATTTGTTGGAATTCAGCGGTGTATACACTGGCTGATCCAGTTTGTCGGAGTCTCCTCAATCGTCGTTCCGCGGTACGGGTTGCATCAACATCCCCAAAGGTGGCTTCTAATTTCTTCTTAAAGTTGGAGTATGACGCGAAAACTTCTTTTGTAGCTTCATCGCGGTCCTTGCTGGGTTTGTCGGTATAGTCCCGGATGTATGGTTCGAACCATTCGAACGCTTGTCCTCGCAGGTACGTGGATGCATACATGACCTTATCGACTTCGGACTGGAAGTTGACAAGTCGTAATTGCATATCCATCTGCGTCAAGAATGCTCGCAACTTGCCTCGGTGTCCTTCGAAGAAATCTGGCTTCGGTGGTTTGATCTGTGGCAATCGTTGCTTCTCTAGTTCCATAATTTGTTCCTGTAACTGGCTGAGCATGCCTTCCAACTGAGCGTTGGTAGGTGGTGCAGCTGGTGCTGGTGGGCGTGGGGTGTTACTGCCTTGAGTCGACATAGTGGCGTCAAGGTCAGGGCGTCAATTGCTGTTCAGTGTCGTACTTGTTCGAGATGGGCGATCAATGTGTTACGCACTACCTAGCGAGTCTCGGTGAGTGGGTCCTCAAAGGGTGATACTTCTCTTGGTCACTCTGCACGCCAAGGGTGTCTCGTCACTCTATTGCAATGCCTACCGATCACACACGGCAACAGGCCTTAGATGCTCAAGTCCTTAGAGGTCTTGCTTAGTAAACGTGGAGCTGCTGAGGGCGCCGACGAGGTCAGGTTCTTATGGATCTCCCCTTCGTCGTTAGGTTTGGATTCGAGACAAGTATGAACAATGAACCGTTGTCGTATTCCAATCTTGTGGTTCCTAAGTAACAATGATGTAGAATCAAGAAGAGATTGATCGCGAAGAACTAAATACATGGTGCCAAGTGAGTGTCCTTATATATCCAGTCCTTCCTGTCACTGATGTGTTCGGGACACATCGCTGATGCGCTCCGCGCATCGCTGATGTGCAGTGCACATCGCTGATGAGCCACTGTTGCCTTGCTGCCTTAGACAGCTGTTCCTGGCTCCTTCATGCCAATTGGTCGGCTGCCATACCTGGCTCCCTTGTCACGTGTGTGTCAATCTTGACAGATCGGTTGGTCGTGGTTGACTTATTTTCTTCAACCGAAGTGGGTCCGTAACACTACACCAGAAAAATCCTAAAAGATAGTTTAGATATACTAATAATATTAGCCTATATAAAGCCTCCCACTTCCTAGAAGAGAATATAAAACATTTAGTAAAAGATACCCAGGAAATATTCGACTAGGGATCACAGAACAAGATCGCCTTCGCCCCCAAAAAGCTAGAGCTAATCCATATCTCCTAGAAACATAGAGACACAAATCCTGTTATCAATATCTGTAATAGGCTCACAGTCCAGCCCGTCCCACTACTAATATCTATAGACCCAAACCTATTACTAAGATAACTTAGAGTATATCTAGATCGGCGTCTTAACTAGCATATATATATACTAGTAAGGGCAGCCAAGGCCTAGAATATCACAAGACATATCTGGGACCTGGTATACATAATCTATAGCCCCCCAGCATACTTACTAAGAAAAGTAATTATTACCTACATCACCCCCTCACTATTATACAGATCAGAAGCTTGGTATAACAGCTATATAAAGCCTGCTCGGCAGCTACACAGGCCCCTAATAGTCAGCTCTTAGCTAGGATAGCATATAGACCTACTAAACAGAACCCTGGTCTTAGCCTTTAAAGACACACTACCAGTCTTCCAGACTACTCTAGTTCCAGCACTCTTTAGAGATACAGACATACTATCAACTACAACATCGCTAGAAGAGGCTAAATACCAGTTTGCTCTACACCTGGCCACAATAGACAACCAGCATCTACTTATAGGACATATCTAACCCCCAATAATTACCAAGAGAAGAGACACAGACTCAAGACAGCGATCCAAGACAAAGATACAGATTCTTAGATAGATATACCCTACAATATTACAGCCTATCTTGACGATACTATATTACACCAATAACTGCCGAACAGACCCTATCTTAGGGCTAGGAAAAGATAAAGTAGTGATAGATTTCAAGGAGTGATAAGATTCCCTTAGGAATCTAGACATCACAATTTTCTCTAATAACTTTGAATAAAGCCTTCTAACAGGAAGGGCAGTAGGCTACAGATTTACAGTCTACCAAGTTTAAACAAAACTGGCAACAAAATCTAGGACTCTTAATCCCTAGTCCCATATCTTTGATACAAAGGCTGTCAAAGCCTGGCACAGCCTAGAACAAGCCCTAGATTTAGCCTTTTAGAGAGTGATAATCTGGCTCTATATAAATAGTACCTCGGTGATCTAGTATATCCAGGGCTGGGTATCTACAACTTCCCAGTAAGCCTTTCTAAGATATCACAAGGCTATATAGATATATGAAATTAAGGTCCGCTAGACCCTAGGATATATAGACATTACCGGCAACGAGGCTATAGACACCTTAGCAGACGACAGCTACCGACAAGTATCCCAAGATAGACTAGAAACACAGCCTACTATAAACGGCATAAAGTCGATCTTTAAGGCTTATAGACACGCCGTATAGGTGGAATAGTAGAAAAGGGCTTCACAGGCTCTCTCTGCCTAATATAAACACTAGCAGCTAGAGTATAAGATAGCATACCCGCCTAAACTTTATCTACCCAGATATATCTTTTACTAGCTCCTAGCCCTAAGATCCTCGCATAAAGACTTTGACTGGTATTACCGGCGCCTAACACATAAAGATGCTAAGCTAGACTACTTATGCAGACACCAAAAGACCCCGGAACACATTGTGCTCTATCGCCTATCCCAGCAGACTTTCATACTCTAGCCAGCGCAGCTAGCAAGCCCGCCTAGTAAACTCTACAAGACTATAGCCTATATCCGCACACTCGAACCTACAGACTTCACACAGCTTTGCACAGTCACAAGGTTCTACACTGCGATTTGCCTGTGTTAGGGCCTCTCAAACTCTTCCCTTTCCTTCCCCTCCTCTCTTATTATATATTCTCTTCCTTTACTGTCTCCTTTTCTCTACTCTCTCCTTTCTCTCTTTTATCTATCTTTCCTTTTTCAAAAACGGCGCTATAAGCGCCTAGGGACCCTGGTCCTATTAACGCTGGACTTAAGTCTACTAAAACCACACGAAACGTCCTACAGATCGGGGGCAAAACCCGCGGAACTACAGCCCCATGACCCGGCTCTAGAAGCGCTAAGCTGCTTTCTGGGAGGAATTTAGGCTGGATAATAGCTAAGGCAAATCGCCAACTGGTGTATTGTAACAGCCATTTTCGGCAAAGATAGACTCCTAGCTTAGCACGTCCCCATGCCCCAAGGGAGGCTTGGAGCTGGCGGCATACACCGCCAGCTCCCTGGACGTTAATAATTACATACATACATACATAGAACAGCACTGCTACAGAAGCGATGGTGTATATGACCCACGAGGGATAGATCGCAGCCACGGTCGTTCCAAGCCATGAAACCACAATTTGAATGGCATTAACCACCGTTGGCAACTGGTTTATCTTTTCCACTGAGTATCCCTCCGCTTTAAGCCACAAATTCATGTAACTTGCTGGGTAACTAGATATAATCATACATCTGCGACTCAGTCAGAATGCTTTGAGGTTATCCAGGTATTCAGATCCCAACTCACGCATAGCATGTTATGAAAACCCAAATATGCCATCGTTTCAAAGAGCGCGTAAAGACATCAAGCCCCAGTTTTGTGGGCCGTCGAATTTTAGCTAGGCGGACTCTCTCTTTCGCCAATGCAATATCATTTGCAGTCAAATAGAACGGACGCGGCGAGTCGGGTATTCCTGGGAATATGAGGAATCCAATTAATGCTACTGGGAGGGTGAAAATGCCGTCGATGATAAATAACCATCTCCAACCAGGCATACCGCCGACCCCCGAGAGGTTGGTATACGCTGCTGCTTGAAGATAGCCACTGACCATGCTTCCAAGTGGGTTGCACACGAACCATACACCAGCTCTTTTAAAGAGCTCCGACCCGGAGTACCAAGAACCTTCAGATGAAAGTTAGGTTTGGGGCCTACAACGAAGGATATGTTTATCTTTCCATGTCGCTCACCGAGGATAAAATGAGTGCCGGCGAAAACAGGGGCCTCGAACATGCCAACCAGGAATCGGAGCGCGTAAAGCTGATTCACATTGGTCACACGACTTTGTCCAAAAGTGCAGATACCCCAGAGGACCTCAAGAGTAGGAAGGAGCCATCGTGCCCTAGATACGCTGGTAAGTTCATGGTTTGAATATCTCGATGCGGGCATCGGGGACCTCGCACGTACAATCTCGGTCGTGACATGAGGAGTAGCCCGGGAACCTGGAATACCACATATGCGGTATAGTAACAGACATTAAAGTAATTGAGCTGATCGCCATTCAGCTGGAAATCCTCTTTCAGCCCACTCGTGTAGGCATTGCTAATATTCGTCTGATCTGTAGTAGCTTAGTACTGCTTAAAATTTCATCAACATTATGACTTACCTAGATATTTCACAAAAACTAGATTTTAGATTTTTGTTAATTTATCTATTTTGTGCATGAGCAAAGAATCTTACAGCAAAGGCACGCAAAGACAAGAATCGAGATGTCCAACTTGAACAGCAGCCTGTACAAGGGACGTCAGTACAGGATATAGTCAAGAAAGACGTATTACCTACTTCCGTTCTTCTGCAGGATACGCTGACGGATACCAATTAAAAACCTCCTTGAAAAGCCCCAGAAGGGAGCGGTTCGCAGGGTTGATTTTCTGTCCGGGCATGCCTTGCTGTGCGTTCTCGAATGTCCACGCACTGTGATGAGCAATGTCTTATTCGGTTATGCAATCAAGCACTTTTCTGTTAATCGTCCGCTCTGTTCGGACATTATATAGTCTAGCCCACGAAAACGATACTGGCATTAGTGGCCCATGCCCGCTTGATAGCCGCCATTGCGATTTCTCCACTCCTTGTCGCCATCTGTGCCATCGGAAAATGTCCGACAGAAACCCCCCCGAAAGAGGTACCTATCGTTCAGCAAATAGCGTTAATCCTCGGGGAATACTATGCCCTGAGGGGAGCTACTTTATCCTGTGCAGCTGCTGTCCCGCGACATCCTGACTCGTGATGGCGTGCGTGGCCCGGCCAGCAACCAACAATAGTAGCTGCAGCTCGGTATGACCATAGGCCGCGTTAATGACGTGCTTCCGAACTTTCAAAATGCCCCCCAATCATGGAACCTCGAACATCACAAAGAGGGCTTGCGGGGGTAAACCGACCGGCAACTCTCCGCTTTTCTAACTTATATCAGGACCATCCCCCGCTTGCTCATGTCCGCCTGCAGACTACTTCATCAGCCACGGACGGAAACAGAATTAGCCTGTTCATGAACATATCAAATATCACTTGCAGCACACAACCCTCAATATGCCCGGCAAAATAATTGATAGATACGACCATGTTCCAGTAACCAAAGAGGACTGTAAGTGTTGAATAATATACCGAGCCAATTTGACCGTGCTGACTCCGGTCAGTGGATTGGGCGGATCTAGTCACTCTCGACTTGAGCCAGTTCGAGCAGCCAGGTGGTAAAGAGTCGCTCGTCAAACAGCTGGATCATGCTGTGCGGAATGTTGGTGAGAATTTCCCTGCAATCAAGTGGCCTTGATCAATATTCGGCTAATTTTGTGTTTGTAGGCTTCTTCTACGTGAAGAACTTTAACATCAGTCAAGAGGAAGTGGATCGCCAGTTTGCCCTCGGTCGCGAATTTTATGCCCTTCCGTTGGAGGAGAAACTCAAATATCATAATGCCGATGACCTCGCTAAGGGGGAGTACAACGGCTACAGGCCTGCTGGGCACCGCATGTTAGTCGGACATACGACTCGGAGTTGCAAACGGACTGTGCTAACTTCCTACTTAGAATGGGGAATGGCGTGAAAGATAATGTTCAGGTGTATAACATCCCCAAGTTCGACGGCTATCACAACCGCCAACAGCCTCAGGTTGTGGCTGATAATATACAGGAAGTCGAAACATTCAGTCGGGTACGTTCCCTCGCATTATTCGCTTCTTGCAGACCACCATGAACTGACTCAAACACAAAGAAATGCCATACCGAAGTAGTAGAGAAGCTGCTTCGGCTTTTCGCTATTCTTCTCGAGTTACCCGACGAGGACCAATTAGTTCGAGACCACCAGTATGACGTTAAGGGCGAGGATCATCTGCGCTACATGCACTACAGTGCTCGCAGCGTAGAAGAGAACAAGAAAGTCAGCGGCCTATACAGCGCCGGCCACACTGACTTAGGATCAATCACGTTACTCTTCCGTCAACCCGTTGCGGCTCTCCAAATTCTGAATTCTCAAGGGGAATGGAAATGGGTTCGCCCGCAAGACGGAACCATCACCATCAATACCTGTGATGCACTCACAGCGTTGACGGGAGGTTTGATCAAGTCCAGTATCCACCGCGTCCATGCACCACCAGCGGATCAAGCCCATGTGGATCGTCTAGGTGTCCTGTACTTTGCTCGGTGAGTTATACAGAAGAGTGCAAGAAGACTGCCTCGGCTAATGAACATCACAATAGACCCAACAACCACGTCATCCTCGACCCTATTAGCAATAGTCCTCTTCTCAATCGTCTTGGACTCCACGATAATGAATTGACTAGGCTCGGCCAGCATCTTACTATGGAAGAGTGGGTCAAGGTCCGACAGACGCAGCAGCAGCGTCGGGTCAAAGACGTCAAGATCTCGGAGGATGGCAAGTTCACACATGGAGAGAAGGACCTCGAGATTCTCCCCGGGCTTAATGCTAAGGTCTATAGCTAAGCAAATCCTTCTATTAGCTGAGCATCCTCAGTAAATACCATGATACTATCAATCAATGTCAGTCCGGAATCTCAATTTAGTAAACAACCAAGTCGACTTGGATAGCACCATTTGGGCGATAGCTGGCAGACGCTGGATCATACGTATTGCAAGAATCTCTTCGAGATGAACCTCTGTAGAGATCAGATCTTCCACACCCTTGTTTTTGGCATCTCGCATTAGGGGTCCCCAAGCAAACGGTCTTCCATGCCCACACAGTCTTAGAGAATACATTAGTAGTCGGTACAAGATTCGGAGACGGGACATACCTGGATACTATTTAGAAGCGTACTCAGCTCATTGGATACCCATTAGAGTCGTCAGTGAAGCCAGGTATAGGCATAGCCGTTGAGGTTGACTTTCGCTTGACAAGTAAGATATATCTCGCAAAGCTTTTGACCTACCTCAGATTTCTGGAGAGCTAAGACTTCTGGCTTCTGGGAGAGGACCATAGGGTCTCTACTGCCCAGCAGCAGAGTCAATCAATACTGAATTAACGGCGAACCCTTTCCGCATCAGCCTCGGCCACGAAAAGCTCTAGGAGCTCTCTGTTTCCACGCTGGCATGGCAGAGATACTATGACTTTGACGTCGTCAGAGCTGTGGTGCCGGACGACATTCTCTGGAGGGAAATCAGGATTGATAGTGAACCAAGCACGGACAACCTTAAACGTTAACTAAAACCAGGGATAGTCAGATAAAGACACACTTCCAGGCCATCCATGGTGCCCTCTCGCTCGACTGCGCCGTCCATATCAAACCACTCTGACTCGCGGCGGGAAGCTCGTGGCGTAGGAAAGCACTGTAGCACGTTCGAAACCAACTCAGTCGGCCAGTGCAGGAGGGCAGCAAAGGTTGGTCGACTGGAAAAGACCATGACACAGTTTACGATCGGTTTGATGATAGAGAAGGCTCAAGCTCTGAGGGGGTATCCTGGCCTTCTTATATGCCAACTATTCCACACGCTTGTGCTGTTTCCAATCATACGAATCTATCGAGAAGTGCTTTTTTGTTTTTGCAGTAGCTGATATCCCACCATCTGCATAAATGACGTCCAAGTGGTCAGCAATTGTTCCGCCATGAGATTTATGGTTCCCCAGAGTCACGTTAAGAATTTGGCCAATAAACTTTGTCACCCACCAGCTCTATTCTGCTTAGTCCCGTCCCATCCCGTCCTACCCTTCTCTTTTCACTCTTTGTAAAGATTAAATCATCTGGTTACTTTGAGGATTCGGCGATCTGACAAAACAAAAGTAACAAAGTTTTCTTTTTTCTTTTCTTTTCTTTTCTTTTCTTTTTTTTTAAATTATCTTCATAATATCGTGGCCCCCTTTCCCGTTGGGTGTGCATCTTGCGACTTGGCAGTCAGTACGGAAGTACTCGAGAGCCTGTGAAGGTAAATCAGGTCCCTTGTGCTTCTCGTCCGTATTCTTATTTCGTCCTTTACCACACGCTTCTCTGTGCCTCACGAAAAACTGGAGCTTGAATGGACTACAATAAGTCTCTTGACATGCTACATGCGGCGGAAGAGGCTGTTTGGATGAAGAACGTAAATACCGCTCGTGCGGACGGACGTATTTGCAGCTGGGCTTCTGCTTTATCCTGAAAAGCTCCCATGTCGGCTAGAAGGGGGATTCATCAACGGGTCTTACAATATTAGCCAACAAATTATTTTCGATAATGGAATAACTTGGTTTCTTCGCCTTCCTCGTGCTAGCAGTATTTCTCCCGAATACGCAAATGAAAAGGTGGCTATGGAGGTCCAAGCACTCTTCCTCATATATGAGGAGACAACTATACCTGTCCCCAAAATTCATGCTTGGGGACTTGCAGAAGAAAATCAGCTGGGTTTAGGTCCTTTTATCTCTGATGGACTTCATTGAGGGTGTTTGCCTTAACGATGTTTTTGGTGGGGGCCATTCCAGACTTCTTAAGGAAGAAATCCCAGAGACCAATATCGAATACGTTTACAGACAGATGGCAAATATTATGTTGCAAATATTCGAGATCAACTTCGACCGGATTGGCAACTTGCCAACTCGGAAGACAAGATTCGCTGCCCCTAGCCGGCCGCTCACGTGGAAGGCGCATGAGATTCTGAGGGTAGGAGACGTGAATACATTTGGTTTGTGATACGGACGACCTCAAACATGAAATTAGGCTAATAGCATTAGGTGTCTGGGCGCATGATCTCCAATCCACTAGAAAATACGTCGAATACGTCAACAACCAAGACTGGCAGCAGCTCCTCTGTCAACCAAATTCAATCGCAGGGCCGCTGAGTTCAAGATCGAGATACGCGGAGTTGAACATATTGAAGTCTCTGATCCCCGAATCAACAAATACAACCTACGACCGCGGCCCTTTCAAACTCATACGTGATGATTTCGGCATGGCAAATGTGATCGTTCGAAGTAAGGATGACCTTACCATCGCCGGCGTGGTGGATATCGAGTGGGTCTATGCCGGACCAGCTCAATTATTTGGATCTGCTCCCTGGTGGCTTCTCCTTGATCGTCCTGTCAACGACGAGTGGGACTTCGAAGCGGGAGAGGCCCCAAAGGCTACTGATCGCTACTTCAAATGTCTCGAGGTCTTCATACGCGTACTTGAGGAGGAAGAGACAAGAATGAAAGAAAGCGGTCAGAGAGAACTCACTGAGTTGGTCAAATGGTCCAGAGACGAAGGCGCTATGTGGCTCCATATGCTCCTTTCCAGTGGCTTCTTTGATGATCTGACCTTTCCTTGTATGCAGCTGCGAAATTACAAGGGCGCGCAATGGTGGGATCAGTGTATGAAGGAATATGGGCATACAGAGGAGGTCGAAAAATTTGTCGTTGATAAGATGAAGGACCTGGCAGCGTACGACGAGATCAAGGAGAAGGTCGAGCACCATAAGGTTCTCATGGATAACAAGGAAATATCCGCAGAGGATTTCATTTCCAGTGTGCTTTCCATTCTCGGCCCTGCTGAATAGCTCTGCCCAGGTTCAAAAAGGTTCGAAGTCCCAAGAGCGGTGATAGTGGCACACTGCGGGATACTAGATGCCTTCACCACTATCGTTTTTACTCGGCCGTTGTTGCCCAGCAGAACATGGCCGTAGGCCGCATGCATGTATCTACCATTCTACAACTACTATCATACTATGTAGGTTGGGAAACACAAAGGAAAGCGCAAGCAATGAAAATGCGCTCTCGATCAATGTGCTCTTTCTTGAGGGTTGTACTCTGATTAATGTCTTTTTTGGAATGTCTCAGTTCAGGACGTTGAATCCGTTGCTGTATTGGCGTAAGTGTCATAGCACATCGGCCCTATAGTGGTGGTGTTCCTGTCGGCGATGGCTGCGGTGGACGAGAATACCTCGACCTTATTTTCTGGGTTTGAGGATCTTCATAACAGGGCGCAGCTGGAAGTTGATCAGCCCAACCCCTTTTCTGTAGTAACGAGAAGGGAATAGCGTGGATGGGAGAACGGAACTTTGCGGCTAAGACGGAACCAGGCGGACTATATGGACCAATCGTCGAGCCAACGTGAGACTGACAAGAATTGTGGTAATTTGCAGAGCCAATAAACTAGACATTTGGCAAATGAGGACCCTCTCAATCTTCGCGCCGATCAACTCGCTGTTGGTCGTTTGATGTCAGCCCAAGACTTTGAGCGAGGATTATTGAATGAGCCCGTTGACATCCTGACCATAATTATCCTGAATCAATCAGATGATAGATAATGCGTTTTTGAGAAATCTGCTTAAATATTCCCGAGGCACGCATGCATGCTGAGAGGTTAGGCATCCTTCCTGCAAGTAAACTCCGAGCACGTTCGTCGATTCGGAGTCGTTCAACTTTCAACTTTACCTCGGTGCATATAAGGGGCGCGGTTCGCTGTGTGCCAATTCGCGGCGCTTCTCAGTTAGGATAGGCTTATTATTGGGTTTGAAGGGCATCCGATCTGTGCCGCTGAATATACCACCTCTGTGGAGGTGCATTTGCCCAGGCAGGTTTTGACAGGTTCATCCGCGGTACGTTCGGAGGTCAGAGACCCTTCGATCATATGCAAAGTCGGAGCATGCTGGCTGCCAGTGCAGGAAACGTTGCATCCAGCGTTGGGAACGTCCATATCCTTACTACGCAGTAGTGGTAAGCCCGTCGATCACAGCCCTACAAAGAACTCTGGGGTGCGGGGTCAACCGAACTTTCGCGTCGCTTACTAGTAGTGTGGAGATCAAGCCCCTTTCCATGGCCCCATCCGAGGTCACAAATTTGAGTTCTCCGTGCCTGAAACAGTTGATGTCGATCGATGGGACAACAACTATGCAGATCTCACAATCAGGAGGCCTCCTGTCAGAAGCGGCCAGAAGATATTCGATGTTGAATCCAGCGTTCACGAGCTGCATGTTGGTCGGCAAGTGCCTCCCCGAGAGGCTCGAAAGAGTGAGGGAACAAAGATTGCCAGGGGAAGAACGGTCGATCTGAGATGAAAACCTGCAAAGCAAGAAAGTGGGTGCCTCGGCTGGAATTTACATCACATTCATACCAGTAAGACAGGGTATTTAGATCCAAACCCCCCTCCTCCCCCCCTTGTTTACTCCCTGACAAGCTCATCCAAACATTCCATCGACCATTTGTCTCCGCTCCCACAATGGTACACTTGGGCATGCCAGTGGGCTATTTCATAATGGCCGTTATGGCTCTCATGACGGCCATTACCTCTACGCAAGCAGCGGCTGTACCCATTGTCCACGCTCCTCTGGCACGCCGAGGTCTACCCAAGTCCCCTAGCAGTGATCCATTCTATGACCCCCCAGCAGGGTTTGAATCCTCCAAACCAGGCACCATTCTTCGACAACGCAAGATTAATGTCGCCTTTTTCGGACTGATCCCAGACCCAGTAGAGTCGTACCAGCTGTTGTATCGCACTACTGCCATCAATGGATCTGCAATCGCAACTGTGACGACTGTTTTCAAACCCACGAATGCCAAGAAAGATCGTTTTGTTTCTTCCAAACGGCATATGACAGCTCAGCCTCGATCTGTGACCCCAGCTATACCTACCAGCTCGCTGCACCCCAGACCGATCTGCTCACGTCTGCCGAGCAATTGATTCTCCAAGCTTACCTTCTTCTGGGATACGTTGTTGCGTCCCCCGACTACGAGGGTCCCGATGCGGCTTTCGGCCCAGGTCGCCTTGCGGGCACAGGCGTTCTTGATGGCATGCGGGCTATCAGTAGCTTCAGTACCCTCGGGTTCAACACAAAAACCCCACAGATCGTTGGCACTGGCTACTCAGGAGGTGCTATTGCTACTGGCTGGGCAGCTTCTCTGCAGCCATCCTATGCCTCGGAGTTGGACATCAAGGGCTGGGCTCAAGGAGGTACACCTGCCAACCTCACTGGAACCTTGGTCTACATTGATGATACCCTCTTCAGTGGATTCATTCCCCCGCCGTGGCTGGCTTAGCCATGCCCAGTGCTTATGGGGCCCTGATCAACCCCGTGCTGGACCGCATCATTACCGATAACGGCAGATCGGCCCTCAACAAGGCCAAGGCTACATGTGCCCCTGGTGATCTGATCAACTTCCCGGAGAAGTCTATTCTATCCACTGACTTCCAGACCCTCGGCAGGGGTCTTCTCTATGAGCCTACTATCCGCTCGATTCTCCAGAAGAATACCATGGGAGTGACGAAGTCGGAGACCCCCGCCGCACCTGTGTTTGTCTACCATGCTACGTACGATGAGATCATTCCGTACGCCAATACATCGACTCTTGTTGATTCGTGGTGTGACTACGGTGCAGATGTGAAATTCACCACCTACGGTGCTGGAGGTCATATCACCACTGAAGTGATCGCTTTACCTGAAGTTATCAAATTCGTCGAGGCGGCCTTTGCGGGGACAACCGACAAGGGCTGCACTCGCAACACCGAATTGGGTAGTATACTGAACCCGCTCGCTCTTGGAGCCGACCTTGAACCCATCTTGATCAAGCTTGTGGAGGTCTTGGCCAAGGCTGGCACTGGGGATTCCGACATTAAGAAGAACCTTACTGTGCTTGAAGACGTCGTTACTTGGCACTGAGTGGCTTGAAGGTGGAATCTATGTGTATAATCTTCATGCATTGCGCAATCTAGTTCCCTCAAGGAACCAGTATATAATCTTTAAGTTACCCTTTTAATCTTGAATAAATTTTAAGTTCCAAGACTTACCGTAACTATGTGTAATTTAATGATTGGGTAGAGGGTAAGGATGCCTAGAGTTCCGTAGGCTACATCACGGAGTTGCCTCGAATGATTTCTCTTGAATGGTTACCCTTTCGTGCTTATTTGCGTCATTTTCTCGCGGCTCTGCTGCACAGGTCGACCGAATGCGCAAAAAAAAGGGGGTCTAAAGCGTCAGTCCAGACCCGATCTGCACATCACCCAGGCGATGGTCGTGCTTCGTTTGGTAGACAAAACAGCCTCGCGGGATCTTTTTGGTCGAAACAAAGCCTTGCCTGCCAGACAGTTAACTGCTGAGCATAAGCCATCAATCCCCAAGGCAACAAGTAGGTCAAGTCTCGAGCCTCGCCGATCAGCTGAGGGCGATCAGGTGGGAAGTTCTTATCTTTCGGTCGCGATTAGCGATACGACGGGACCCGTGAAAGACGTGATCGGTTCCGCATTGTCCTGGCAGAAACCCATGGTGTAGATGCACATTCCTTCTTTTTGATTTTTCCCGTTGTTTCTGCTTCAGAAGCAGAAACCGTTGGCCCGTGGAAAAACAATTCTGCAGTAGACATGATCAGCTGTGGTGGCGTTTCCAGGCTGACTTGAACACTCGAGACCTGTCGAGTCACCGGGTGTGCGTCACAATCTCTCCGCCTCTCCGCATCTCGCATCCTGCCGTTTCGGTATATCTAGGGTCTTCCCTTCTTCCACATCATGGTGTTTGGCCCCTAAGGTTTCACAAAATCCCGTGTTGTGAACCTCTCGGATCCCGCTCGTTTGACTAGTTGGATGCGGAGAAGCTCCCCCCAGGCCCCGAAGGTCCCAGGCCCAACGGGCAATGATATGCTTGGTTCCTACTCTCTGAACAACTCAATCTGCAACCACCCCCCCGGCGCCGCGTGGCTCCTCCCATACTTCTCTATCTCTATTCGCGCAGTTTACCACTTTGTTAGCATGGCCGGCTTTACCTCGGTCACTCTTCGACAATACTCCTGATAACGAATCTCTTGCTGATAGCGTCCCCATCCACGTGCCTGGGTAAGCTCCTGTTCAATCGCCCTTTCCAAAGCTGCACATCTGACCAGAGAGAAGATTGCTGGGATGCATCAGCACCCTCGAACTCCGGCGGTGCCATCACGGGCGCCGCCGCCCAACCTTCCCTCCCAGCCCACCTCAATCCGCAGCGACCTCCGCGAACAAGACTCCGCTCCAGCTTCCCCAACCGCCGATATCCGCACAAATATTGCAAGGGGCCTCGGTATTGAAGCTGGCTCAGATTCCTCGGAGGCAGCCAAAGAGGCATTACCCGGGAAAGAGGCTATCGCTAAACTGAACCAGATTGTAGCGGTATGCAATCAGAGCTCGCCGTTAACAGGAAAGAGCGAGCTAACATATTTCTCAAATCTCTTTAGAATTACCATACCAAGGCAGCTCTGATCATTCTGGATGCTCGGGCTGATTTACCTCCTTCTTTCAACCGAGGTTCTCAGGATCCCCGCATCAATCGTTGGGTACGTTTCCATGACCAGTTCTCTGTATTAGGCGCCTTGCGAAGCAAGCCGCTAACCGCTTTCTGCCGAACAGTTCAACGTCGAGATCAAAGATACTGATGTGCTGCGAGAGCCGCTCCGAACATGGCGAAGTTGCGACATTTCCGATGTACCGCCACCACCTCTCATCATCGAAACGTATTTGAACACCAAGGGCCTGACTAACAACGAGAGCTTGGTGATACTGGATGATAATGGGAAACGATGGGATGTGCGAGACTCACTCGTAGCCTGTGGGCTTCGTTCCAACTCCAAGCAATCCCCAGCGGACTCTGATGATATCATTTTAGAGCGCTGGAGAATCGAACTGGGTCAGCCGTCGAGCAGGCTTCCTGCCGACTTAACTTCCATCTTACCAACCGTGTACAAGAAAAGTATCGTTCTGTTCCGGTCACTGTTCACTTATTCGAAATTTTTGCCGGCTTGGAAGTTCTCGCAGCGCAGTAAAAAGCTACGACTAAACCCAGCTTTGCAGGTCAAATACCGAGTGATACAGGGGCCTGCGTCCAGTAGCCAGAGACTTGATGCGCTTACAGTTCCTCTGTACGAAGGAGACGGCAAGGTCGTGGACACATACAGCTTTGGAGTCACCGAATCCCCAGCAGGTCCCTTTTCCGTGCAGGTTACATACCGGACGAACTGTGATTTCAGGGTCGATGATTCGGAAGCCCTGCTGAGTTCACGCTTCATGGGTGCAGACGATGAGATATTCCGCCCCTCATTGCCTTCGGAGGACATCGTTCGACCGAATCCTCATGTGAGTTCAGTACCGGCTGAGCGACGAGTACCTGAAAATCCAGATTGGTCTCAAGCATGGGGTAGTATGAGCATGTGGCATCAACCAGATTGCCTGAAAGTTCGAACCGATACAGATCCCGTATCAACATTGCAAGCACGAGAAAATACTTCTACTTCCGCATCACCAGACTCGGCTTCGAAGAGATTGTTGTCACCCGTGAAGATAGGGGCGTCTGGTCGAGCAGCCCAGATTGCCAGTGAAAACGGTGCATCAAATATTGCTCGACGCCCCTCTGTGTCATTCCAGCCCTTCAAAGCGCCACCACTATCAGCCTCTCCCGCTCTAACTGATCCTCCGCTCAGTGTGTCTCCACGCAATACGCCTATGGCGCGTCCTTCCACTGGAACCTCTGTGGATTCTCGTATCATGCCTCCGCCATCTACAGCTGCATCAGCACGCCGACCTATCTCTCGTCCGGCAGACCAAGCCGTTTCGTCTTCTAACTCTTCCTCTCCCAAGCCAGCATCCATTTCTAGGTATAGTAGCTCATTTAGCCATCGCCGCAATAGACCCTCTGGTGGCCTATCCCGAGGCGACGATGATGCCTCAAGTGGTAGGGCCAGTGCAGCATCATCAAATGTGCAACCTGGCTCAGGTCTTCTCGCCGAGGCGACGGGAACGAGTGCTGAATCGATGCATGCCGATGATGAAAACATTTCGGAGTTTCTCAAAGAACTAGACCTAAAAAAGGATCTGCTTAACCGAAGTGTCTCTTCACAGCAAGCTGGTAATCGTCCAACTTCTGGCGCTTCTGCTGCTCTGGCGCGCTTCCAGCGGATGCGCGAGTCCAATGCCGTTCTCTCAGACTCAATCTCTTCTTCATTACACCTTCAGCGCTCCTCTCTCATCGAGCAAGCCTCTATCTGGGGTTCCGCCTACACTTGCCGGTACATCTACTTCCACGGCTTCACCCCCCGGAAACCAATGTCTCCTCATACTCCCCATACTCCTGCAATCCGATCGCGTCTCAGTTCGAACAGTGTGGCAGATAATGTTAGCACCGAGCGCACTACCAGAGGCCTACACATTGAACACGAGTCTCCAGTCGAGGAGAACCCGAGGGGGGAATCGACGCAGCGTGCTTCTACCATTGCAGGAGCAATTGATATTCCAACGTCGCCTCGGATTTTCGATCCATCCTATCGTCGGTCAAGTTCTGCTGCTCAGCGACGGCGACCGGCTACAGCAAGCGACGAAGACGAACTCTTCCCATTCGGCATACGTAGCGTCAGCCTTGGAGTTGACGGTGGATCGCACATGCAGCGGCGAGCTGAGACAGAAGGTATAGACTCTGCACAAAGCCAGCCACGTCATGCAGGGCAACCAATAACAAGCACTTTGGCAGACCCTAGCACACGTGTCGCCTCCACGACGGAGCCGTTTGACGGGCCTTGCGACCGTGGTCAGACCGCCTCTGTGCCTGTTGCTACATCCTCTTCCTCCAACGCAAATGTCTACCAGCCCCGATTCGCCAGCTCCAGGGGCCGAGGCTTCTCTGGCGGCCCACAGTCCCTCAGTTCTGCGTCGAGTAGTCTGGTCCGTGGGGGCACTATCCCGCCTCACCTCACCGAACGAGATACCGAACGTGATGGCAATGCCAGCGGTAGCAACAGTGGCAACTCAACGTTGGAAGTTCGCCGCGGCTCCGGCCAGCGGTTTGGCACGAGCCGTGCACCACAGTCGCAGGGAACTTTCGAAGACGATGAGCCTTTGCTTTTCGCAATGAGCGACTTCGGTGCTTCCCGGCGCAGTTTGGAAGAAAACCGCCATGGTAACCATGGCGGCACAGACTCAGCCAGTGGCTCTCGCCGAGGCAGTGGGCGTCGCGGACATGGTCTTCCTGGATTTCAACCCTGGAATTAGAACGAGCTGGGGTTGAAGGTTGTTTTCGGCCTCTTTTGATCCACACCTATGGATCCTCTCATTTTCTCTCGTCTTCCTTTCGCGTCATTCACCGCCGTCTGAGATCGACTTCCTTATACCCCGTTTTGAGTGGTTTTGTCATTTCGTTTCTTTTCCAAAATTTTTCCTAGTTTGGGTTGGCTACTTCATAGACTGAACTCTCACTCTGCTTCAAAGCACTGCATAGAAATTGGTTATGTCCTCGTTTGGTTGTCTTCCTCTCACCTTTGGATCTGTCACCTTTTCATCTCAAGTCAGGTTGAAGGATGGCTTTCTCTTTCAAAGCTTTGCATGATTGATACGATTTACGCCAGTCTTGCGAACTCTGGCAGTTTGCTCTTATCTAACCATAAGTTACTTCTCACTATGCCTTCAAGAATTTATTAGAAAATTCATTCAAGACAATATATCTCTCTCTCTAGATATACGACTTGGATTTGAGTTCTGGCTTACAATAAAATGATCGCAGTCTCAAAAGGCACCCGTAATGTCGATGAGTCTATAGGACTTCGAAATAAAGAGACTAAACAGACATTGCTGCTACTACTCAGCCGCATGCGTTCTGAATTGAAAATCCAATACTTTTGTTTCCAGGTCGTCGCTAGAGGTATCACAAAAAAAAAGTCCTTGATGCAAACACATGAACCAACCCAGTATATGCAAACAAAAGCATACGCCTCGGGACACCATAGACAGGACGAAATACAGGACCAAGAGGATCGAGATCTGCCAACTTTGGTACAATCAAGAAAATAACTGAATGGCCATTAAGAGGATAGTCCGGAATTGAAACTACATTCTCCGGAAAGCGTTACCAGACGCACTACGGCGTTCCTTTGAGCGGAACTCTGTCTTATCATATTTCACCTCAGGCTCTTGGCGCTTGGATTTGCCAGCAGGCATGAAGCTGACCTCTCTGGCGCCAGTAACGCCGCTCTGTCGGACCGCTCTTTCTTTCGGCTTCATGTTCTGCGCACGAGAACCGAAAGAACGGTCTCGAGCCGAGCCTGTGCGCGCCGAAGATGAGACTTCCATGCGTGGTGGAGGACGCTTGGTTCGCTTGTAGTCTGCTGAGGAGATTTTATTAGATCGCTTCTCCTTGGGCCTCCTCTCTTGCTCGCTTTCGGAATCCGATTCTCCGCTAGAGGGGACATCGTCGACTGCTTCTTGTTCGACGGCCGTGAGGCCGCGTTCCTTTCGTTCACTGCGCTCGGGCACGGTACTGGGGTTGACGAGCTGGAACTCGCGAGAGGTTTCGTCGACTGCAAAATCTTCGTCTTCGAACAGTTTGGCGAAACGGCTGTCGTGAAGCACTCCGCTCTTCTTCTTCTCGTCGGAGGCCGGGGTTGCGTCGGCCATTTCCTCATCGCCGCCACGGGCCAGGACACGCTGGGCTTTTCGGCGCTCGTTCTTCTCCTCGGCTTCCATGAGCCTCTCGGCCAGCTTCTTGTTGACCTTGACAGCGGCCTTCTTCTTGCCGCGGATGCGGCTCTCGCGTTCCTTTTTCGATCTTCTCCTTCACTCGCTTGGCGCGCTCCTCTTCCCAGATGTACGGGTTAGTGATCAAGCGTGCCTCTTCGTAGAGACGCTGAGCAACGAAGTAACCGTGCATGTACGGGCGCAGGAGATTAGTGCGTCCAATAAGGTGTTCGAGGTTGAGCGTACGAAGCTGAGGAACAGACAAGAACTTGTAGTTGTCGTAGACAGCGCCAGCCTGGGCACTGGTAAAGGCATTGGGATCGTTAGGGTCCTCTGCCATCTCTTCCACGAGGTTATCCAAGAATGAGCACCACTTCGGGGCTGGGCCCAGTTGAGGAATGAAGAACGAGTGCTGTTGGCGTCCCTCGTTAGCCGTAAGCAGCATTCCGCTGTCTTTGCACCATGCTACAGAGTTGATATCAACCGCAGGCTCCACTGAAGTCCATGGGCTACCGTCGCGAGGATCCCAGATCTTGATGATACGCTTGTCCGCAGACATGATTTTGGGGTCCATAGTCGCCTCTCGGGATTCGGTCGAAGGCTGGAGGAATTTGAGCGTGTGCACGGGGAAGCCGTAGCCTTGGTCCTTCTTGAGGAGAGGAACCGGAGACCGAAGGTCGTAGAGGTGAATAAGACCATTTGAAGAACCGGTTCCCATCGTCAAGCCAGAGCGGTGGAACTCCAAAGCAGTAATCTCTGTTCGCCCTTCCTCTGGGCCAGCCTGAGTGGGTGGTGATAGAATGCCCGCGCGGCCCTTGGCTCTTGGGTCCCACAGCTCAACTGTCCCCATAGTAGTACCAAATGCCAGCAGACCATGGCTTTCCTCCGCAATAGCAGCGGTATTGACAGCTCCGGTGTTGATGCCTCCTTGCAAAGTGCCAGCTCCAGAAGAAGTAAAGTCATCACCACCAACGTCGATTTCAAAACTGCGCATATATCGTCCAAGCTCAAGGTTTAACCGGAAAACTTCACCGAGTCCATCTCGATTCACACCGACTGAAGGAATCAGAGCCTCGGTCGATTGCCGGTCATAGACAAGGTCACGTCCGTATCGAGGAGGCGGGTGGTATAGTGGCATCCGGACGGTGTATGGAATTCTAGGGAGCGGTCGGACTGAAGATGAAGGGACTTGGTATAATCGGAGGAGAGAAGAATGAAAGTCGTATTCAGAGCAACCGTGTGTCGTGCCCACGACAGCGATAGCTGTGGGAGGTAATGTGTATGAATTTGTGGCTTGTAGGTGCCTATCGACAGCCATTAGTCAGTTTTTTTTCTTGGAGCATAGTAGGTTGCAAAGATAGAAAGCATACCTGTGCTCATGACCCATTGCCCATCCTCACTGACACGGACGCACTGGCTGGCTTCCTCAAACTCAAAGTCTTGAAGCAGTTCCACCCGGTTCGCATACTCGGGATCATCTTTCAAGCTGCGCTTTCGGCGTCTAGCAAGCCATTCTGGAAGTGGTCGCGCGGTATTTGAGCCAGAGATGGTATATACCGGGACCTCTGACTGGTTTGACAACTTCATGGCGGCGTAAAAAGTGAATGCCAAGTCCAGCGAAATGCGCTCCCCAAAAAGAAAAAAAAAATTGATGATAAAAAAGATAAACGATAACCGGCACGTGACCGGCGGGCGGATCCCGCTGATTGGCCCGAGCGTCTCGTTCGAACTTCCCCCGGAATTGCGATGAGAGTCACTGTTTGCATCGCGACAACCCAAATATCGAGGGTCCCGTTAATCTTAAATCATGATTGAATCCGGCCGCGGGCTACACCTTCAATAGAGCCGGACTTTCATGTGGTTATGTACGCAGTGAGGATATTTGATCGCCAGAAATGAATCCCCGACTGGCTCTCCTCCACCCACTTGATTTGCGAATGCCGGGGCAGTCCGAGACAACAGGACCATGGACTTTCCCGGGAGCGCAAGAACCAACGTCCATCTTATAGTAAGCATAAAGAATACGGGGGACGCGTTGAATAAGAGCTAAGAATCTTGACAGGATGGCTTCTCCACTATTTATTGGAGAATATACACGGAGGAGGGGGCATTGCGAACCACTCCCAGGATGGCCAGGCTAATGGCTACACCATTTTGAAGCACCTAGGGCGCTTGAAGCATCTCGAGGCTCGATTGCGGAATCAAAACTGTTTAGCATCATGTCCCCGGCGTCTTGGGCTGTGGGTGTTCTCTCCTACTCCAACATTCGAAAGCCTACGTGCTTTATATGTGAAAGAAGGCAACGAGGAAACGAAAAAAAGTCGTAATCGATTCGACAGTCTTGAAAGGTACTCATCTTTTTCTACAGAGCCAAATCCCAACTTTCACATACTAACCATCGTGATAGTCTCTGCATCAGGCAGCATAAGTTCCCAAGAATTGATCAAAAGTCTGACACCTGACTCGCAAAACCCGAACGGGGCTCGACAACCCACCACTCCAAAGCCACAGGGACAGCCCCAATCTAGACGTCCAGAAGGCTACGGCAGTTCGGCTGCCATCTATGCGGCTTTCATCTCTGCTGTCACTGGTGCAATAAGCCTTCATCTCGTCCGCTCTCATGGTGCCTTGCCACTTGGGTCACGCACTCTTTTCACTGCAGTGGACAAGCTTAGCTATGAAAGCCCACGCGTTGACAATGAAAGCCCGCTTTCCATACCTTGTCTGACAACCTTGAATGTCCAGCTCAACATGCCTGGAACATTAACTATCACCATACAAACCATAGATCAGCCAGGGATATTACCCCTAGCTAACCCTCGCGAAGATATGCAGGATGTCTTGCAGGCCCAATCCGGAATGGACCTTTGGCTATGTCCGAATGGAAGCGTGGCACGTCTAGTTACTGCGAATATTGAATCTCCAAGTGTGCCCTCCCCTGGAGCCTCGACTACCGGGAACATCACAATGAAAAGAAGGCAGTGGAGGCTAGATGTCGCCGAGTGGCTGGGGTCCTTTGGGCTGAAGATTGACTCAGTTGACGACGAACTTTGGGTCGAGGTTGAAGTCTGGGAACCCATTTTTGCAAAATTGGCTGGAGATGCTTGGCGGCAACACGAGGACTCACAGTCGCCGCTCCCTTTGAAGCGTATGCTATGGCCTGCACGTTTCTGCTTCAAGAGGCCTGGGTCATCCAGGCAAGTCTCTTGGCTTCAAAACCCTGCGGATGACCCACTAGAATTTGCAGAGAGGTGGTCGTCAGAAACTGGAGCACTTCAACTTAGTAACCCACTCCAAGCACCTTCAGCCTTGCAAGAGCCACAAGTCAAAGATCATGTAGCTTCACCTAGACCTGACAGTTTCGACGGCTTGGAAAGTTTATCGCGCATGACACAATATCCCGACTTGCCCCCTACAAATCTCGTCTATCCAACACCCCCCGAAGGCACCGCTACAACTGGCCTCAGCAACCCAAATCCTGACGACACTGAACTTATCCTTTCACCTGCAGTCCCACCAGACTCGAGAAATATCAACTCCGAGGTGGATCCAAATACCGTCGGTACTGGTAATTATGATGCCAGTGACGACGAAGACCTTTTTGGAGAGATGAACGGGAGAGATTTTGGATCTAAGGGAATCACCGATGCAGACTTCAGCTTCTTCGACGATCCAGACCTTGAAGATATGGAGTTGGGAACTGCTGATCAACCTCAGGAATCCGAAGACCGGATAGATCATGAACCTGATCTCAATGAGTTTCCTAACCCTTCCCCGGATGTCATCGCTCCGCTTGATGTCCCCGATATCAATCAACACCAAGAAAAAGAGGAGCTGCGCCCACCTCCATCTGAAGATGCTAAGCCGCAAGAACCAGTAGATGAGCCGAAGGACGAGAGCCATTCACCCGTCTCTTCGCTTGACCGAGAGGGCCAAACCATTAGCCCACCTTTGAGCCCGGTAGAAATCAAGAAAATCCTGTTCCCAGGCGCAGAGGAAACCAAACATCAGACTCCCTCCGCAGATGGTCGTCCTCAACAGGGAGGGTATCTTCCTGTGGCCTTTGAAAGAAAGATCAGTGACTGGGACCAAAAGTATGGCTCCACGGGGAAGTTTTGGTTTTCCTCCAAGAATGCACATGAAAAGACGGACCTAACTTCGAACACGATACCAACAATTGGGCTGCCTAGCAGAGCTCGCGGGGCTACAGTCACCCAACGCAAAGTTGCAGACAAAGCCGGACATGCAGAGATCAAGAAATTCGACGAGAAGTCGCCTTCGGACTCTGAAAGTGAAAGTAGCGAGAGTGAGGACTACATCGTTCCGGATAGTATGAGTGTGCCGTCGGTTTTGCCATCATTGAAGAGGAAGCGAGTTCCGTCCGAATCAGACGTCCTGTCCGTTGCCTCTCCGGCGAAATCAGCTGGTCCGGTCGATTCGACCAGTCTAATGAAGGTGGAAAACGAAACATTTTTGGGCAACTTTCTCGCGAATTTCTCTGACTGGTCCTTTATTGGGTATTTTTCCGCTTTCCAGGCTCAGCAGCTACCAGTGCTTCTTCGTCGCGAGGACCAGATACAAGTCGCTCAATTACTTGCCGACCAAGTCGCGCAATCCTCCTTGAACCATCCACTGGGAGGTCATATTGCGCTCTTTGACCTTGAACGGGATAGCTTCTTATGGAGGACAAACTTAGAAGACTCGTCATTCCTGGGTGATATCTCGAAGCTGGAATTGAGAACCTATGTCTCCCTTCAAGAAGAGATGAACGCTCTTTCAGGCCAGCAGCCAACGAAGGAGTTGATCAAGGGTACAATTACGAGGATGCCTGCTCCGCATTTGCGCGTGCGGCGCGGCGCGGAGTATTTGGAGACTCTTCCGGCTGCAGTGTCTTTCTGGGAAACATTTGGCCTGGAGCCTGCGCATGGCACTAAAGATATTTCGGCATATTGCATCTATCCGAGTGCCGTTGCAAAGGCAGCCGATGGATTCTTGAATCGCTTTGGACTTCATTACCAGAGTTGCAATTTGGGGAGTCATGTGCGAGGTGACCAGTCGGCTGGTTTCGAAAATGGCATGAGAGCATGGGAGTCGGACACCTGCAGCTACGCCTCCATGATGCGGACGTTGAAAACCATTTGCCGGGAACTAGGTATGTCTCTCCGAGCGCACGGTATAAGATAAGATCTTTACTCACTTTTCATAGCAAACGATTTGTCTCAATCTCAAACTTCGTCGAATTGCGTGGTCTACATTGTCAACCCGTTCTCTCAAGCCTCAGGACTTGCCGATATATGCGCGGCTTTCTGGCATCTATTTCAAGAGCTCAAGGCCGATGATGACCAGATTTCCACGCCAGTCCACGATATCGCTTTGCAGATCATCCCAATGGACTTCATCGCCTCGGAGGATTCAATGGTTGTGCCAACCCAGGCCGATTATATGAACCTCGCTTTAGAAGTATATGGTCGTTGTCGTCCTAAGGATCCCGATGCTGATCCTCTTCTTGGCGCCCCGGCAGTTCTTTTGGCGGATTCCTTGCCCAAGGCTATCAATTTCCGCCTTGCTCCTGAAAGGGCATCCCCATTACAGGATGGACGATGCCTTCACGTCGCTTGCTCCAAGAGTTCCGATCAGCGATGGTTATCAGTAGCCTGGTCGGACGGAACGGGGGGTCTACAGACGAGTGTATCCTACTGCCTACGTCATCGCAACCGAGGTGTCGCCCGATCGATGTCGGAAGTGCGCAGCGAAATATGGGGCGTGACCAAGCATATCATGGACAAGTTCCCGGCTAGATGGAAGGTTATTCTGGCCAACTCTGAGCCCATCGATTCAGATGAGGTAGACGGTAGGGCTGTTTCGCATCCCCGGTCCTCGGTCTCCAAATTACTAACAATCCACAGCATGGTCCGCTCTCTCCGAGCAGCAGAATAAGGCCCGTCCAGGATCAATGGACCTCACTATCGTCACAGCCAGCACCATCCCAGACTTAGCCCTTGAGGCCCCCGCCCCTTCGATGACTCCCAATGTCCTCCATCCAACCCTTTCTTCGACACCCGTCTCAACTCCCAACCCAAACGTTAGCATTGCCTCTCCCGAGCAATCCGCCACTGTCACCACCCCCAGCGCAATGTACAATGCTCCGACACCCACAGAACCATCCGTCGAGCCTGATGCAGACGTCATTCTGACGGACATCTGCGACGAGTCGTGGGCGGTGATCTTGTCACACCGACTCAATAGCTCCCCCCATATCACCGAGCTCCGTCCCGCTCTGGCTAGCGGTTATCTCCTTCGGCGCAAGGGCGCCACCGATGGCGACGGTGTGTACGCTATGACAGTCAACCTAGTTCACACCCAGCGGCCCGCTTCCTCTCACGATGCTATTCTGAGGGATGTTTTGAGCATGTACCGTGATCTCGCCTCTCTCGCCCGGACACGGGGCATACGCAGTGTGCAGGCGAATACAATGCCTTGGCATATCGCAACCGCCCTGAGAGCACAGGAGCTCCTCAGTTATGTTTTTTAAAGTACTGTAGCATGAGCAGAATACGGGTCTCCGATGCGGGGCGGCGTTCCCTGGTCTTCTTTTTCATGTTTTGTTTTGGTTTTTCTTTTTACCCCTTCTACTATTCTTCTCCTGTACTTAGATGATGGTTTCTGGGGTGCATAGCATTATTCCCACGGGGGAGCGGATATCTTTGGTAGCGTTGCAATTTGGCTTATGTGTGTTATATCTTTATTAATTTACACTCACTCCTCATGCGACCGTAATAGTTCCTAGTGTCCAAGAGGACGAATGAATTCATTGATTCGCTGCAAGCTTCATCTATCATAAGTCGAAAATTCCAAAGGCGTATGTGTGAGAGAACATATCATGTCGAGAGAATCGAGTAGAAAAAGGAAAATACAGGTGAGAATGGAAAATAAAGAATGCCACACGTGAATCATGATCCTCAACGCCGTAAAAAAAGGGGGCCAATATAGAACGGCATCAATATAGGCGATGCGCAATGGTGTACAAGCAAAACGAGTCCGCGCCACCAGAAAGCGTGGGCGTGCGCAAACATCAAATCATGACCGTGCATAAGAAGGGCGTAAAGGGGTATCGTATCTTTTTTGGGAATTGCGTATGTCGAGGCTGAGCAGAAAACAGAGCGGCCCAATGAGGCCCGAAGCATCTCGGCGCCCATTGGGTCAGGGCTCGTCAGTCTCCGCCCTCGCTCTCTTCATCCTTTTCGCGATTGCCGCCGAAGATGGAGACGTGGTTTTGCACGGCGTAGATGGCGAAGCCGGCGATGGCCAGGATGACGAAGAGGACGATGATGATGATGGCGATCGTGATGTTGCGTTTGACCATGTTGGGCAGTGGAGGGCGTAGTCCCGTACAGATAAATCAAGCGATGGTCGTTTTTTAACGTTCACGTTGTGACGATGCTGGACCGGCAGGTCTGCTCAACCTACACCCGACGAAAAGTTTCCCCAGCGAGGCTCCAGTAGTGGGAATGGTAGATCAGCTTGGAGGTGAAAGCCCCGAGGTAAAATGAAAAATAAGTGAAGCTGGAATTCGCTATTGCGCCCAGGGAGACTGGGCGTATGGGAAAGGGATAATAGAAGAACAAAAAAAAATAATGAAATTGGCTGGGAAGCAAATTGGGGTTTTATAAAAAGCGAAGCTTCCCAGCCATTTTTGTTTATCGCGGAGGGGCTGGGAGGCTGGGGACGGGAACTACTCGACCACTCAACTTGGAACACCCAACCTGTCAGATTAGGCTGGGAGAGGGGTTGTCGTTCCTGATTCGATAGAGATCTTGTTTTGAGTGTGAACCCTCTTTCAATCTCCGGTATCCGGGCCTTGTCCACGGTGGCGTGGGTGATGATGTTCAACTTGAAAGGCGTACCCGAACTATATGGAAGCAATTGGCAGTACTACTAGTAGATGGCATCTTAAGCGTCCTGGCGCTTTCAAAAAATATAAAAAAGAAATGATATGAAAAGACAATCATTATTTAAAATGCTTCGTGTATTGGGATTCTTGCTAAAAAAAAAAAAGGTGCGAGTTGTGGTCGTACTGGTTTAGAAACATTGGGGTCTGTGGATATATATACCCCTGGCGCTTTCTTGCTGAGAACAGACTTGGAGCAGCCAGAGGGCATCAAACATCGCTGCATGGACAGCTTGTTAGCCTAATTAGCCAATCTTCTGGCATTCTTCATTTGGAATAAGCTTCGAATCCCTGAGGGATCAGCACGTCTTTATGAGAATTTATGCCAAACTCAAAGACGTCCCGATGGCGGGACACCCTGCGGGGCATTTGCCCATTTGCGCAACCCCCCCCCACCGGCCATCTCCATCCACTATTGATTCAATAGCATCAAAATTTCAACAAGGCCAGCACCGAGATATGGATACCCGTACAAGGCCAAATACTGATCACGCGTCAAGGGAAGCCGAAAGAACTCTTTTCAAACGCCAACCATGTTCACGCTCAAGTCAGGCTGGCAAGGGCCGCGGGCCCCTGATTGCCAACGTGAGCCATGCGGCATCGCCATCCACGTACACTGTATGATCAGCCGATTGCTGTGCAATCGTTCATTCTGGCCCACGGTAGATAGCCATAGCCGCTCGGATAGAAGGAAGGGGATCAAGGAGGGGGATTTACTTGGCTAGCCCGGCAATTTCAACCAGATCTATTGATGACGAAGGTCTACAGGAGCAATAGCCTCGCGCCAAACCATTGGCGCGATGGATTCAATCCAATGGGAACCAGGCTATTGAGCAACACTGCCGAGAAATTCCCGAAGCCATGGGATCGATACCGTCCAGCATGCGGTCGAACGGCGATCTTGTCCAAGCGGAGATTTTATCGATGAAAGGCCCATGCCACCCTTGAAGCCTCGCAAATTAGAGGTTATGAGAGAGGAGCGTCAGATGCAGTTACTCTTGCAACGGCTCCTGCCACGGTTCTGGCTCGGATGCGAATTCCAGGTGGATGCCGAAAGATTATACACGCGCCCTGCAATCAGCAAACGTGATCATGACCCACTGGCACGTACAGACGGCTCACGTACTGGCAAGGGTGGAGCCTTGTCACGATGTTGAGTTTGCGGGTGGAACCCTTGGAAGGGGAGACGCTGTCGAATACCGTGAAGTTGCCTATCCATACCGCACTCATATGGCCTCAATATTTGGGTTTGCATTAACGCAATGCAACAGCCTTGGAAGGCGGGGAATTCTGCAATACGTCCTCAATTTTGAGGTCCGGAGGTTCGGTATCCTGAATCCTGAAACAGCGTGGAGCAGCGATCTACAGCGTTGCCGAGTAATTTGTCACGCTTCGAGTATGGATCAACTGCACTTGAATCTGCCATGAGTTCCCTAAGTCTCCGGTCGGGGAGCCCAAGTGGGTCATCTCGATGCAAATACTCGATACTATGTGATCGTAGCAGGCCTAAGCTCGAACGCGTGAAAATTGTCCGACGTGAAGCCCAGATATAGACATGATCAACAGGTTCGCACGGATGGCTCCTGGGTACGCGGGCGTTAGGCTTGAGTACTGGTAGAGTCAACTGTCCCCGGCTCGGACGCTGCCTTTTTATTTGCATGACCCCCCCCTGCTGGTCAAGATTCTGCCTCTCACTGCAACATGCCGACCCTTTCAACGGCCCGGGGCCGCTCTGCTCTTGCAGTGAGCATTGCCTTCACATGCCTAGCGACAGTCTTTTTTGCGATCCGCATGTATACACGAGCCGTGATGGCCAAGCAGACGGGCATTGATGACTACACTCTCTTGGTTGCTCTTGTAGGATGCTCCTCCCCCAATCTGAGATCCATGACGGATTCGCTCATGCCTCACAGGCTTTCTCATGGGCCTTCTTTGCTCTCTTCGTTGGAGGTCAGTATTGTTCCATTGGCGTCCTCTTGGACTTCCTCAATGTCCCTGTGAGAACGGGTCTCACCAGTTCAACAGAGGCTTATCACGGCATGGGCGCTCATTTTGATACCGTGCCACATGGGATTTATGTGACGCAAATGCTTGTAAGTCACCACAAAGAACAGATTCTTTCCCTCCCGTCAGGCCCGACAGACGGAAATCTAATACTGTCTACGTGACAGTGCTTCTGGGCATCCATCCCCACATATCAAGCCAGTCTCATCAGCACCAAGATGTCCATCCTGCTGCAATACCACCGAGTATTCTCCACCACCCCCAGAATGCGAATGGCATGTGTCATTCTCATTGGCTTCCTGGCCATTTACGGAACCTGGACCTTCATCAGCGCCTGGTTGACCTGCGTGCCAATCGCCAAGTTCTGGGACCCAACCACTCCGGGGTTCTGCTTCGATAAAGAGGGCCTATGGTTCTCGAACTCCGCAATTCACATTACAACAGACCTCCTCATCCTGTTATACCCCATGCCAGTCCTCAAATCCTTGCAGCTGCCGAAAAAGCAAAAGATAGCGCTGATGGGGGTTTTTGCGCTGGGTGCATTGTAAGACAAACTCCTAGTCCATCCTGGCATGCCCAGCCGGCCTGAAACGCTGCTAATGGCCTGGAATGAACAGTGTTATGATCACGAGTATCCTGCGCCTCAAAAGTCTGCTCGTCATCTCCAACTCGACGGATCCAACATGTATGTCCAACGTATCGGTTTTCTCCCCAAAACCCTGCACCTCATCTCACATCTTAACAATGCTGTAGATGATAACGTGGGCGCCGCCACTTGGTCAGCCGTCGAGTGCAACGTCGCCATCATCTGCGCCTGTCTGCCTAGCACACGGGCCTTACTTTCCAAGCTCCTGCCCCATCTCTTTTCCAGCCACAATGGGCAGCGCAGCAAAACGACTCTGCCGGACCGATTCGGCCGGAGTGGGACTACGAAGACCCAAACACAGATACAGGCCTCGGTGGTGGGGGGCCGGGATTTCGACTACGACATGGATGATCTTTCTCATTCTGGATCGTGGGAGAGCCCGGCTAAGGAGCAGGATCACGGGTTCTCGGGGATTAGGGTGACGACAGCTGTGAGGCGAGAATCGGTGACGCAGCTTGTTCAGGATGAGACGGGGAGTACGAAAGACCTTGTAATATAAGAAGAGCTTTTGAACCCGATCGATATGCGATAGCTCTCAATATATATAATTAAGCACATTATCACGAGGATAACGTCTATCTTTATTAACGGTGATATCCTACTTAGTACCAAGCTTTGCAATGTTCATGGCCAACACAACAGTCTAAAGCAACAAGGATGGGTCAATTAAACCAGGACCTATCTAATATACTAGTCAATATTGATCCTGGTCCAGTGATCCACATTGGATGAAGACAAGATGTTATACAGGACGAAACCGACGATGTGAGGATGAGACCAGCCCATTTTGTATGCGGAACCAGCTCATAACCAACCGCACGAATATTGAAGAAAATGTCATTAACAAGGCATGGGGAGATAAATCATCAGAGCATGGGATCTAAAACGCTGAACACCGGTTATGTGCAGAGACCAATGCGCAGGAAACTACCACTAATGTAACGACACAAGAAGAACGTGCAACCCAGGTACCCAATTTCAACAATCGAGTCGAAATCTATTCCCAAACGTTAGAGAAAAGATCATCCGCTCCACCGCCAAACCCGCCGGCTGGCTTGGGTGGGTTGCTGGATGTGGGGGTCGGGCCAGCTGAAACCGGAGCAGCGCTGGCCCAGCCGCCGAAGTCTTCATCCGCGGCGACAGCTGGAGTCGGCTTTGGCTCGGGGGCTCCCCAGCCGCCTCCAATATCTGCGGCCGTCAGTGTGTCCGGGACCTTCATCATCGAGGATGGTGCAGATGGCGCCGGTGCTGTCCCAAGAGAAGGAGCTGGGGCGGGAGCCGGGGCAGGGTCAGGGGTGCTCCACGCATTGCCCCCCCCACGGATCCATGCTCGCAGAGATAACATTGGCGGCAGCAGCGGTGGCAACAGGCACGGGGGGCTTGGGAGTATAGGTTTGCAAGGGTGGACTGGAGATATTGAAAGCAGACTTCATTTCTTGCTGCGGGGACACTGCGGGGGGCTTTGGAGGTGCAGCGGGAGGGGAAGAGAGGCCGAACAGATCATTGGAGAGAGATGCTGACGGGGGGTTGGGTTTCGAGGGCTGGGGGGGAGGTGAGGCGAACCCACCAAACCCGAAATCTTGCGAGTTTGAGGATACGGAGGTCGTCCGGGACTGTGCCTTTGGCGCAGACAAAGTTGGGGATGCCATGCTACCCCAGAGATCACCACTAGCTGAGCCCGCGGGCGACGTAACCTTCGGTGCAGCAGGGTTGGCTTTCATGGTTGAGAAGTTGGCAAGGTTGGCAAAGGGAGAGGGTTTCTCAGCTGGCTTTGCCGGTGGGGAGAAGTGGTTGACGGGAAGCTTAAGCCACTGAATGCGTCTGTCAAGCCTCCCATGTTCGAAGATGCTGGAGCAGCAGCTTGCGGAGAGGACATGTCGCCGAACGAGTTGGTTCGGGCGTGCTGAGCAGGGGCTGGCGGGGGTTTGGCGTACAGAGACAAGATAGATTGCTTCAAATCAGGTCGCGAGATCCCGCTGGGCGCAGCAGGGGTCGACGCAGTACTGGACGGACGGCTTGTCGCAGCCGGCTGGGTGCTACCAAAGAAATCGAGTCCAAGTAAAGAGTCCCCTGGCTTTTGAGGCTTTGGTTGTTGTACAGGCTGTGCTTGTTTTGGAGGAGCGCGCGAGGTTACATCAGTTGTGCTGGGGCGAACCGGGGGAGCAATTGGGTCGTCGCCGAAGAGATCAATCTGAGGTTGTTGTTGGCGCACAGCTGGCTGGCTGGGTTGTGCTAGCCTTTGGGATGCAGAACGTTCAATCTTGGCCTTTTCCTGAACAACAGCGAGGGGCTAAATCAGTCAGTATGCGTTGTTATGATATTAAATCTTGCTTGTACTTACCACATCGTCATCACCATCACTCAAAGTCGAAGGATCCGGCATAGGGCCATCCATAACCCAGCGCTTAGCCTCATACTTGGTCCGGATGAAGTTTTCAATTTTCCTGCAACACCGTCAGCCATCGTGTACATTATACTTCCGCAATTGGGGGTATACTCACGATTCGGAGGGAACGTGACCTGGTTGGAGCTTCGCTTCCCAGTACCTTGCAAAGAATCAGTGATCAGAAGAAATAGAGACCATCGAGACCATGACATACTTGTTGGCGCGGCCATTGCCCCACTTCAAAACACTTTGAAGTTGTTCATCTGTCCAGGCATCCAAATCGACTGACTTGACTCGACTGATGTGCGTACCCATGCCACGGTGAATCCCCGAGCAACGAATACAAACAAAGATACCTAGGTTCCATGATGCCCAGCGGGGGTCTAAGGAGGATATCAGTATAATTTCTTACTTTCCCTGCGAATTCGAACCTGGCGCGCATTTGCCTGGAGAGAGGGGGAGGACGAACGTTTGTTGCGCTTGCAATCAGCACAAATCTTGTTAGACTCAAGTTTCAGTAGACTCTTAATTGTCTGCTGGTTCTGGGCAGCCTGGCCAGGGGTCGCACGTCGAGACATTGTACTCGTTGGCGGATGTTGTAGAAAGGAGAAACCACAGAGCGCGATCACCGGTGGCGGTCGGGCAGATCGATAATCCGCCTCAGGCCGCGGAAGTGGAGTACGGTGAAGCAAAGATGCCTCTTGTGCAATTTTATGTATGCAGACAATGGCATCGTGGTTTTCGTCAGGATATGCCAAGTTAGCAAAAGTATGATACCGGGCGTTGATATCAAAGGAACTATGATTTCTAATGGGCTCAGATGTGAAGGCTGCGAGTGATTCGCTGAAGCCTGTCCCCCGGGTCCCTAGCTTGTCCTCATTTAAAAACTTGCATTAACTCTTCTCACTTTTCCATGACTAAAGAAGTTTCTTGGTCAGATATCGAACCAAAAATTTACGCCTTGGCCTTGTCATTCGGGCCTTTGGTATCCTCGGTGAAGCGCAAGCTGATGCTATTCACACAGTGCCGCTCATCCGTCGGCGTGGGGTACCCTTCACCCGCAAAGACATGGCCCAGATGACCACCACAGTTGGTGCAAACGATCTCGGTCCGCTCCATTCCGAATGTGTTATCAACGTGTCTGGTCACTGCGCCAGGGATGGAATCAAAATACGCGGGCCACCCGCACCCCGATTTGAATTTGTGGCTGGCCTTATATAGAGGAGCTGCACACCCGGCGCAGGTATAGACCCCCTCCGATGGATAGTGAGCGTCGTATTCGCCCGAGCCAGGTCGCTCGGTGCCTTTCTCTCTCAGGATTCGAAATTGTTCTGTTCGTCCGAGGGAGGTTAGTTGGCAGAGTACACCAGACGAGTCCGGGCATGGGAAGTCAAAACAAACCTGGGCTGAGGACCGCTCTCCACTCATCCTCGCTTCTTTGACCCGGATAAGACATGCTTTCTTTGGGCTCTTTGGAGCTGAAGAAGGCACCGAGAAATGGAATTGTTGGGGCTGCGCGAAATGTCTTGCCGCCTGGAGTGAGACGAGGGGCCTTGCGAGTCGAAGTTGAGTGGAATCGTGCAAGTTGACCAAAGTGATTCAACAAGCGGAATCGATGAAATGATCTTGCGGTCCGTAAGATTGATGTCTGCATGGAGGCGCCTGGGGTTCCTACAGATATGCACCGGGAGGGAAGTGGCCATTAGCAATGCTTCTCAACCCAGCGATTTTACGTCATCGTGCGGGGAGGAGCCTTGCAGCCTTCTAGAGCTCGGCCTCAATGGATTTTAAAGTATACGATAATGTGAGGACGATCTAACACAAAACTCAGTCTGCGATAGAAAGGAAAGGGCCCTTCGGCTTTTTCAAAACGTTAATTGAGGCTGGAAACCTGAAATGTTCGATCACTTCGCCATTCATAGTGAGCAAACAAAACGCCTCGCTGCGCATGGGGGTATCCGAACAAAAGAAATAAACAAAACAATAGATATGCACTCAAATACCTACATATCTCAAAGACTTGAAGTTAGCGCCGAGCCTTACCTGTGACAATGAGATATCCTCGGTTGATCTCCACCTTCCACCCCTCCTCCACGAGCATCCGACTCACAGCAGGACCCAAACGGGAGGTGCCATCGGGGCTGTGGATTCCAACGCCTGTGATAATCTTGTAGCCTCCATGGGCCCTGCCACGGATGTGCTTCGCGTCCCCCAGTCCCTTCCACCATGCCTCCACTCGCTCGCGGGCGATGCGGACTCCATTGGCCACGGTGACGCCGTGGAGATCCAGGTCACCCGACGAGGACTGCTGGTCCACCAGCCAGTCAGATGCCACTGCGAGTTCTTGAAAAGCCATCTCACGCATCTCGCGTGACCTTTCGTGGTAAACTGCCGCGGCGCCGCCGTACAGGGGGTTTGACCGCGCACGTCGAGCTGCTTGAGAGGCCTGCTCTCGTGCGGCTCTGCCAGCAGAAAACTTGCTCTCGGCGCGCGACTTTGCCTCTTCGAACCCATACGAGATAGATGGCGCTCCGCGTCGGTGGCCCTTGGCGTCAGTCACGTCCTCCGGGTTTTCCAGACTCAATGGAGCCATAGAGAGTTTGACGAAGTCCTCAGCGGAGACCTCAGTAGCTTTGACCATAGCTTCAGCAAGCTCCTGCGTCGCAGACATCATGTGCCGTGTGAGCCGAAGCAACCCGACCAGCGTGGTAGGCTCGACTGAGGGAAATTGTGCTCGAAGCTCTGGGATTTGGGTCATTATGATGGATTCACCATCGACCTCCGCCATTGTCTTCGGCGCTTTGGTCAATGCTATGGCGCGAATTGTGGATGAGAGAGATGCAGAATGCGCATAGTACAATGATGTCACATGTGTCTTGGAAGCATTCAGCGCGCGGGAACAGATGAAATCAATGTCCGCTTGGCCAGTCTCCCACTTGTTAACAGGAGCACAGTCGGAGCTTCTACCTCGTTTGATATCCAGCTTTTGGTACTTCTTGTTCTTTTTCTTTCTCTCGGACTGGCGTGATGCGACGTTATCTTCCGTGACAAATCCGTCGATTCCTTTTGGGACATTGATTCGAATGTCCTCGGGAGCGTCCTTCGTCTCATCAAAGAAAGCCTGGTTCAAAAGGACATCCATTGATTTCGTGACATCGCCATTGTTCTTCTTCAGCTCAAGCTCGATATCAATGCGCGACAAGCTGGGGAACATCTCAAGGAGGTTGTTAACACTCTTATGAGGCGTTGCGCCCGTAAGCTCTCGAGATCCGTCCGCAGCGAGCGTGTATCTCACGCTTCTTTTGCCCTTGTAAATGCTGTCATCCGATAACAAGCTTGACACCATGCTGGTCTGGTCCGTCTGAGCAGTCATCGCAGGCTCTGAAAAAGCCCCTCCGAGATCGACGACATCATGCTCTGTATCGTTGGCAGTACCGGAAGGATCGAATGGGAGGAACTCTTGTTGAACGGCAAGCTCTTGCAGAGTGTCTAAATTTTGTCGGAGCTCCTTGACCTGATCAGGAGACTCAATATCGTAATCGGAGAAGATGGCGGCGAAGAGAGCTGGATCGAGCGGGGGGCAGTACCTTTTCTCCAGCTCCTAAACCCCACGAATGTCAGTCGCAAGGCCATCGAGCCTCTACTAAGATCAATATTGTCACTCACAGTCCAGAGATCACCCTTACCGGCCATAGTGTACGTAACAATGGGTGAAGGATCAAGGCGGGGAAGAAAGATATAGCATCAGGAAAGTTGTAATGTAAGAACCTGCAGGTAAATGGAGATTGCCTGGTGTTGATGAAGGGCGTGAGTCCTCAGGAACACGTAAATGTTATGGGGAAACACGCTGTTGGCGCTTGCAGCGCATCATCACGAAGAAGTATGAGGAACAGTTTGGAGGAAGAGAAAGCGGCCTGGATATTTTGCAATGTTCTGCCGTGGTGGTTCTTCCGCCTCCCCCGCACTTTTGGCCGGGCAGACATGGCCGTCAACAACGTCGAGCCTATCAAGCTAAAGGGCCTACACTATAAAGTTGGCATTTTGATAATTAGCGCACCTCGAAAAGGAGAGATATCCCAAATCTTGAGCTTGTGAAGTCTAGCTTGACTTTCCTTATCTCTTCGTACCTTGGGCTCCAAGGTCTAACGGTCTATGGGCCCGCGGGGCCCGAGGTCTCCTGTGAAATGCTTGCCTGTCAACCAAGACCAGTCCTTGCCTATCCTGTAGCCTTCGTTTACTTCTTCTCTTGCCCTGTCTAGCCATATTGCTGCTAGATCGTTTGAGCCCTGCGCTGATAACTGGTTGGTGACTAAAGATGCTGGGCTTGAATGATATCATTGCGACGGGGAAGCGCGGACTGACGTCTTTCAAGCATGTCTGCAATGCTATCTTGTTTGTAAAATCCAGTAGTCGCATACTCGGCTTCCCTTGGACAGCATTGCCACTTGAAGCTGAACACCGCCTTCGCATGTACCATGATGCTCGATATCTGTAGTCCAAAAGACGTCAGCTCGTAGATTCTCAGAATGCCAGTCCAACTCTGATGGAGCTTTCGGAGAGCACAAGTACGCGTCAAGCCCGAACGAGAGTGCCCTTTCAGCATCGATCACAACATATGCGAAAAAGCAGCTAACTTTTGTCAATGCATTATTTTAATTTGTCCTAGCCATCATCCAATGAGAGTGCCTCCGGGAATGTACTCATGTTGTACAACTCCTTGTCGATGCCTAAAGCTACTAACAAGGTAACAACTTCGCCAATTCTCAATCCAAGTACGGAGTAGGGACTGGTGGTTCAAAGGTTAAAAGCTAATCATACGAGGTTTTCAGTCGGGGTAAGCAAGGTAAGCAGAACAGGTCTACAGATTCCTGGCATTTCCGTGTTGCGTGAGTTTAGACGTCAGGTTGAAAAGAAGTAGGGTGAAGTCGGTCTTTTCCCTCTGTCCTACCGGAGCCATGACCATCATCTGAGACTTGCACTAGGGTATCCAGCCATTCCGACAAGATAAGATTTTGCTTTCTTGTAGAAGAAATGAGTGTCTTTCTGAAGCTGGCGTACTATCCTGCCTGTAACGTTGAATAGATCGTAGTCGTATGACTGAAGATACAATAGAGCCTAGTTCCCCAATTTGAGACCACAATATAGAGCAGTCGATCCTGAGACGGTTGGAGACCAAGGAGTTTTAGATATTATTGCGGTGCCTGGGAACTATACGTGTCGGCCATATTGAGTAACAAAGGAACTGGCAGTAGGCTGTAGCGTCCCAGGCGACGAGGGACTCCACTGGAAAATGGGCTGCAGCGGCGAAACTAGGAGACATCCCTGGGCCAATGACCTGGATACCATGATCTGGCAATATGCAGAAAGGCATCTCACTTGCAATACAGACAGGTACTGGCACAGGAACTATGACGCGCGGCCAGTTGGAAATCTAGACGCACAGAGGCTGTGTGCGAGCAATTCGCTGGTTCATGATTGCACTTTGGACCAAGATCAATCTTTGGTAAGCTACAGAACCCACAGTGTTTCCACTATCCGATGTTCGACACGATAAATTAGAGGTGTATCTCGGGGGGACGAAGATACGGATCCTACGATCTTGGCCTTTGTGCTCCAATAGGCTTGCAGAAGCGGACATGACGCGACGGATATTCATGAGTACGCTAGTCCAAAAATAAAGTGTGACTGAGCTGGGCAGATCTGCGTCAGTCCTTTTACAAGGCTATAAGAACATTGTCTTCTCAGCTGGCCTGTCAAATTTGTTGATCCTCTCCATTCTCCTAGGCTCGACCAATTCCTAGTATAATCGGCTCAGTCGAACACTCTGTTTTACTTATTGATATAATCTAGTGCCATTCCTCAAGATGCGTATGATCTTTGTGTCTACAATCTTGGCCTTTGCTGCCACTGTAGCAGGTAGGGTCCTTAACCCCAAACCAGCTCATACCTGATGGACTCACAAGGCTTCAAATAGGTATCGAGATCCTCACACCTACTATTGGCCAGAAGGAATCCCAAGATGATTCTATCACTGTGAAATGGAAATATGTCTCGTATGTGATTGAGAATCGAGACCAAGTGTGCGAAGACTGAAACTCCCATCTCAGGACGGACCCCCCCAAAATGGATATCTACCTGGTGAACCAGAACAGCTATCCTAACACCAAAGTACTGGTCGCTTCTGGTGTGGACAGCAGCAGCGGACAGTACAAGATTAAGGCTAGCGATGTTAAGGATATTGACACCGGGTGAGTTTTTCATAATGAGATCGACAGTTCCCAGCAGAACTGATATCTCGAGTTTAGTTCCGGATACCAAGTCAACTTCGTGGACACGAACAATGGTGGTATTCTGGCTCAGTCACAGCAATTCAGAGTAACTCCATCGCAGGCTTCCGATGCCTCCAGCTCTGGTAAGGCAACCAGTCTTGCTAGTCAAAGCTCCTTTGAATCTGCATCGACCTCCATGATTTCCAATTCTGTTTCAGCATCTACTTCTGCCTCGGAGTCTGCTTCAAGTTCTAGTTTAGCGTCTTCAGATGCCACTTTAAGTTCGACTTCTGCTTCTTATACTTCTTCTCCGACAGCTTCCTCCACTTCTGCGACTGCTACTCACTCCTCCATCAGCTCGTCAATTCCTTCCTCCTCCTTGCCTACTTCTTCACCTACTTCTACTGCCTCATCTACTATGACCAGTTCTTCAATGAGTGCGTCCTCCTCTACTAGTTCTTCTTCTACAAGCTCTTCTTCCATGACCACCTCTTCTATGACGTCTTCAAGTTCTATGTCGAGTAGCAGTACCCCTTCCAGCACTTCAAGCTCTACCATGGCTACGAGTCATTCATCTACATCCCACACCAAAACACATTCTTCTACCTCAAGTACTGCTAATTCCACTTTTGCTTCTCGCTTTCACGCCCCCACCCATACTCCTTCCAGTTCCAGTTCCAGTTCCAGTTCCAGTTCCAGCTCTACTTCACCCATGCACCTACCCATAACCATTCCCCTCCTGCTTCCACCTCCACATCTACTTCCCGCGCCAGCCTCTACGCTATATTAGGGGACTCCGAGGTACTCAATACTGAAATGATTATATACTAACATTGTGGTTTATAAGTCACCGATTCCTCCACTACCGAGACATCGACGACCACTTCCACCACAACCAAGCATCATACACGAACTCCGACCACAACGTCTGAGGCTACCACGACATCGAATGCGGCTGGAGTGCTTATGCCCCCCCAACCAATTCGGCAGTCTGCTTTTAGGTCTCGCTGCATTCGCTCTGTAAGACTGGCGCTTATTGGTTCGATGCCGGCGGGGCTTTGGGATGACAGCATACCAAAGAATATAGTTTTACCCATGAAGATGTGATCAGCATAATTTACAAGGCAGAAGGGGATATGGGTTGATGCAACTTTTTGATGTTTGGATTTAATATTTCCTATGGCAGATTGATATCTGCCCTCCTAATATGAATTGCAATTAAAGTTGTTTGTTCGCATGTGGCCGATCAACTTTCTTGCTTTTGGGCCTCGGCGCCTCGGTAATCGTTCTACTCTCTTCGAAGGTTGATTTCCCCGCAACGAGATCCATCTACCAAAACGCCAAGTTCATGTCCACCATCTGTCTTCTATCTTCTTCCTCCTCAGCCCACTAAGAATTCCAGAGCCACAATGCCCGTTCTCACTCTCCACCTTCTCGCCCTCCACCCGAACACGGATGCCCAAGTCTTTCTCTCCAAACTCAAGCAATCCCCCCCACACCAAAGTAATTGTCGCATCGCAACCTCGTCATGTCGTAATCCACCCAACAATCCTCGACAACAGCCCTTTGGCTACCCAAAAATGGGACTTGATGGTACTCCTTCAAAACAGTGACCCAGCGACGAAGGACCCGATCCCCGCATCTCTCCGCACATCAATCCAGAACTCGTACGACATCACGACTGGAATTCCATCCAAACTACTCTCTTCTTACCCCACTCGCGATGCCACGCTGAAGCGAGAAACTGCGTCAACCCCCTTAACAGGAGCCCTAGACAAACTTCTCAAAAATGGAAGCAAGGACTCTTCGCAGAACCTAGAAGTGTCACCTCAGCTCCTCCAGTTCATGACCGAGCTCTCTAAATCGCATACCGGCCCCGTGACAATGCTTAACCTGCTGCATTTTCAGCAGCCGGATGGCAAAAAGAGCTACTACCAGTACGGGCAGGCGTTCATGCCTGTCGCTGGCAAGAGAGGCGGCAGTGCCAAGCTTGTGGGCAATGTCGTGAAACCTGGGGAGGGGCAGAAAGATGACTCGCGGGGCTCGAGAGAGCGGGCGCCGCAGGACTGGTGGAATGAGATTTCGATTGTTCATTATCCGTCCATTCGCCATTTCTGTGATATGTTGGCTGGAGAGGACTATCAGGCTATCAATGAGAAGTATCGGCTTGGGGTAAGTTTTAAGCGTCTCTTTTGGGGGGGTGGTGTTCTAATTGCTGACCGGGGATGTTACAGGCTCTTCGTGATACATTTTTGCTTTGTACGACGGAATTCGAGGCTGAGGATGTCGCAAATGCGAAGCTTTGATGATTCCTTTTGCTTGCGATGAAATAACCGGGATTCAAGCACCAGCCATTTTTGAGTGTGGATTTATGTGAAATAACTAATTCAAAATATTACGATCTCTACGAGTAGTCGTGGTGCTGAAACATGCTTATAGAGTAGATTGGTTGGGGTATCTGAATGATGTGACCAGGACATCTTGCGCCCAGGCACTGCAAAGGATTGCTGCAAGATGAACTATCCTTTCCCCTGGCTGAGTCGTTTCTGTCTCGGCCGACGCTTTATCGGTCATGGCTCACCACACTATCATGAGGCCGGTCCCAGGTTCGGATATGCCCTGGAGAGTGAAGTTAGCACTCGCTTAGCCGGTATGATATTCCTAGAATGTTACCTTCAAGAGATGATGTCATGATACAATCATTTTGGAATCCGAGCCAGCAGATCGGGTCCTCTCCTACGATCTTGGACTGGTTGAACGTTAGCATAACTCAAGATTGAACGAGCCCGGGGATTGTACGTACCATGATGGGCGGTAATAAGGCGGTCCGAGCACGAGGCTCGACAGGGTGATCAGCCACTTCGGTTTCTCTATCCACGTATTCAGTCCTCTCCGAGTTTGAACGGCCACGATTGCCTCCGCTATCAGCACGATGGCGATGTATCGACTGGGACCCAGGCGCAATGATACTGTTACGGTTTCGGGCAGAAAGTTGATGATGCTGGTTGAGACTGTCAGAGTTATTTGTCATAAAGTCTGCGCAGAGAAGAGGGCAGGCTAACCACACGAGGCCGGTGAAGCATTCCCACGCTGAAATCCCAAAGGAGCAATCTGCAGTCATCACCAACGCTTCCGAAGCGATAAGTCCTCTGGTCGCATCGCCACGGGTCGAACGCTACTGCGGATACGAAAGAATTGTGCCCTTGACATCTTGCCACAATCTTGCGTTCAGGGAAAGACCAGATAGTCACGAGGTCATCTTGGCCTCCTGTCACAATGTACTTGCCATCAGGTGACCAGCAGACGCAAATCAACCCCCCGTAGTAGCTTCGGAAGATGTCGTGGACCCTGCTTGCTGTCAGGCTAGGATCAAGGGCGACGGTCGTACGATTTACTCACTCTTCTTTCAGATAGTCCATCACCCGAAGTGACCCATCTTCCAGGACTACCGCGAGATGCCTCGAGTCGGGAGAGAAGGCAAAATGCGAGATTTTCTGGTTTGCAAGTTTCCAGAGTGATAGAGGGTTGGTTTTCTGGTTTTTCGAATTGACGGACTTCAAAACCTCTAGTGGATGTTGACGTCTCTCCGGATGATCGGAGACCTCTGGTGTGAACAATGCATCTTCCTTCTCCTTATCGTAAACCACCAAAACACCATTAGCATGCGATGCCATGAAGAGGTTTTCAGAACCTGGAAGCCACTTTATATGGGTGACAGGAGAGTTATTGATGACGCCGTTCTTATTGATCCGGGCATATTTCTGCGACATCGGCTCGTACCAGATGATATCCCCGGCAGAGGAGCCCATTATGATGTCCAAATGAGACGAGGTCTTGGTCACGTCATTGATATCGTGGCATAGCATGTGCGCCTTGGTGAAAAGAACTTTGGTCAGGTGCTCCTCCTTCTGCGTCGAATTGAGATCCAGCCACTGAAACGCGCGGTTGATATTGGCGAACGCAAAGACCCCATTAGGATCGCGATCGCCGAGTCGTTTGGCGGATGTTTCGTGCGTGATAACCCGAGAAACAAACGAGGAGCTGCTCTTGATTATGTTGTTCTTTGGCTTCCTTCTCTTTGATGCGTCCTTTGCTGCGACTGGTGGGAGCGCAAGTGCGGGGTTGCCTTCTCCGAACAGAGGTGCTGGCGTCGCTGTCTTCAAGAAGGTCGGAGGCTTCCTGCGCGGATCCAGGCTGACCAAGGACAGTTTGACACCTGAGGTAGGTGGTGCTGGTACAGTCGCAAGAGGGTTAGGATTGATAATTGGTGCTTCGGAGGGATGTGGAGGCGGTGTTGCTAATAAAAGATCGTCTCTGAGAGTATAGGTACCTGGCGCGAGATAATAGATGTTAGAATCCAAACCGGCTGATAGCACGCGCAAGACGCCCGATTCTCGTGTGCGGTCGCCTCGGTATTCGAGGAGCACACACCTTCTCCAACCTGCAGTGGGCAACCGCCTTCAGGGTGGCTGATCGTGTTGTTCGTTTCAACAACAGGCACCGCCATCCCGTTCGCCGCCCCCGCCGCGTAAGCGACAGGGATTGTGTAGCGTGGTGGAGGGGGTGGTAAGACACTGCTGACCAGGATCAGTAAACAGGAGCTTAACAACGTGAAAATTGCTCTCCGCAGCACAAATAAATCGCCATGAAAGTCGAATGATGACGTGCTTAGCGACCAGGCCCAGAGCTAAGATGGCAACGATCGATTACATGGCAGATAAGAGGGATAGCATATAGGCGCTCAGAGCCCCAACAAACAAAGGTACAGGTTTCAAGGTCAGTCTTACAACATAGCGACAGCTTGTTTCCTTCCAAAGTTTCTTCAAGCTTCCAGTCTAGGCCAACCCGCGCAAGTCAACTACTCTGGCCCACACAATGCGCAACCGAATCGTCAAGCTGGCCAGGCAAGTCCGTCAAAATATATGTCCAGCCAGTAGAGATTATGTCGGTTTTATATAGCTCGTATTGCTTTAAGGCACTCCTGAGGGCCAGTTTAGGACGAAAAGGTCGCAAGGATGTCGTCAGGTCTAGCTCAAGTTATGCACGAGAGCGATCGGATCGACGGTAGGTTTCCGGGGCGGTCCAAGGGACGCGGAAGTCTGATTGACTAGAGCTGGAATTGGGCCCTCAAATAGACGAGCGAGGCACAAGGGAAGAAGAGAGAGAGATCGAGGGAAAAGCCGGGGTAGAGCGGGAGTGCGGAGCTTTGCGCCCTGGCCGCTCTTGTTCCCCCCATTCTTTGGGTGCCTGGCGGGGCGTCGGCTCTGTTCCGGATAGGCGGACAGCTCGGGCTCAACGGCTCAGCGGGCTTTTTATGGCTTTTTTAAGGGGTTTCGATACGGGAAACTCGGGGTATTATTATCCAACAGATCTAGGAAATGTGCTACTCGTCAATTTCCACTCCCACTCACTCGGCGCCAGATCATCACCGCCGCCGCTCCAGCACAAACTACAGCGCCAAGCGCGATGCCCCACGACATCCATTTGCCTTCATCCTCTTCCTCACTACGTGGAAACACGCTACTTGGCTCCATGGCAGCCTCCGCGATATGCACGAATACTTCCTGAATGGAGTTCCAGGTGACACTGGCATGGAGTGGGGGACTCGGCATGTTCAGCATGGCAGTATACTCGTGCGGCTGGTACTCCGCCCGCTGCGTAGTCCGGTCCAGGTCCGCTTTGAGAGCGATAAACACGCTAGGGAGTTCCTCCAAGTGAGGATATTTGGCCCGTAGGGCGAGAATGTAAGCAAACGAATCCGGGTCCGAGGAATCGTAGGTGTAAGCAATCACATCGCATTGGTCGAGGAGTTTGGCTTGATTTTCCAGGATTGCAGGCTCCAGTTCACCGAGTTCGTCCATGATCAGATAGCACTGTTTCCCGCCCGGCAGTTCCACCGTGTTCACAGCAGTGCGGGGCTGGATTGTTGGGTGATAAGTCGTGCTGAAGCCTCGGGAGAGAAAAGCATCGAGCAGGGCTGACTTGCCTGAACCCGGTGCTCCAAGAACGTGACACTGGACTACATTTCGACCAACTCGGCCAGGGCGACGCCGTTTCCTGCGCGGTCTTGTTATCTTCAAGGCGGCCGTGGTAGACTGATTGCTCCGGTCCGAAGACTGGAACCCTAGATATGCTAGATACTCTAGAGTTGTCTTCGGCGACATAAAGGTTGTCATACTCCATTGTGCTAACCATCCCTGGAGCGTAACATGGCCAGCTTCATTTCGAACGGTCGATGACGGGAATGAACCATCAGCCCAGGATGCAGGCAAGCCTGGGGTGGGCGCAAACAACGATGCGAGCTCGGCATCATTCAGTCCGCCGTCGTTATCTTTGTCTGAGAGAAGGAACAGGTTCACAAAGAACCGATAACCCTCAGGGGAAAGCTCGGCGGAGGCGAACGGCGGGACTTCAAATCGAGGATGCAGGAAGCTCTCCTGCAATGAGAGATTGTCCGTGTATTGAAACGCCCGCAAGATGATCCATACAGTCTCATGACGGCCCTTCTCTGCGTAGAGTTTATTCAAATGAATGAATCCCCGGCAGTCAATGCCTGATTCAGTCACCGATTCCGGGTATGTCTTCTGGATGGTTTCCTTGATGTGTTCCAGATCTACTTCACTCAATGATTTGCCGAAGCATCGGTTCTGGAAGTCATTGATCTCCTTGTCTGACAGGTATCCATCTCGGTCTTGATCACTCAGGTAGAAGATACGTTGTAAGGCCGCCACCGCAGCTGGTTTGAGGGTAGCTTCTTTTGAATCGAACAAAGGCGCGATGGGATGGGTCACAGCCTTCTGGCAGACGAAGAAGGCCTCGTTGACGTTCCGATGCTCCCTAGCACTTGTCCGAATACACGAATCGATTTCCTTGAACTCTGCCATCAGCGGAAGCATTTCCTCTTCAATCACTTGGGCCTCGCTGCGGTCTGAAGCCAGGTCCGACTTGTTCGCGCACAAGACAACTGGGACGTTTACCCCAAGCGATCGGAAATGCGGTAGCCAGAATAACGCGACACGTTCATAGCTGTAGTGGTCGGAGTATACAAGAAGGATGACGTTAGATTTCCGGATCTCGCGAGCCAGGTTGGCGCGCTCCTGGGGAACGGCAGAGGTGTCAACGACCGTAGTTGTGGTAACATTTTCGGGCGTTCCAATCGTAGGAGGAATCGTTATTTGTGGAAGGACCGGCTGGATCTTGTTCGTGACGAAGACACCTTTCACCAGCGAGGTGATCAAGCTGGACTTTCCGGTGCCTTCGTCACCGCATACACAGATTCGAACTGGGAGAGATCAGTCATGGCCAATCCGGTAGAAGGAGGAAGGGGGGAAAGGGGGTCATATCATAGAACCTACCGGTAGCCATCTGCTGGAGCGACCAGGGCACTATGGCTGGACCATGACAGCTTTGCGAATCCGGGGTGTGTTTGGACGAACGATAATGATAAGGAGAAGAGAGTTGCCAAGAGGTGGATCCCGAGGTCGGCTCAATCACCACGAAAGAGCCAGCATCCGCAGCTCCAGCCAAAACATTCTACATAATCCGGAGGTACTAGATCTCCAAAAGTAACAAACCTTGAAGTCCATCACTAGCTCTATTGATGAGGAAGCGAGATTTCAGAAGTCAGACCTTAGCTCCAGGCCTGGCTTGCACGTGAATTGTAGATCCATGTACCTTTTTCCGTTCCACAATTACTGCGTACAGACGAAACCCATACACAGTACTGCGTGCTTACATCTGACCTCCATGCAGACCATTAAGATCTGCCAAATGTCTCTTAGATTTTGATTTGTAGCAACCCCACTACGCTTATGGGAACCTTTGTCATCCGTAAACCAATGGGCCTGTTGCGGTCCCAACGCTGATTGGCTCACCGCCGCGCCTCGCAGAAAGAACAGAACATTCTACTGACGCTGTCGCTTGTGCCTGATTGAGGTTACCTCGCGCGGGAAGCCACCTCTAAGCCACGTTTTGAGACGGTCAATTTTAAATTGGTCAGCAACTCTTCGTTAGTTAGCTATCTCAAAATACCTCGTAAAGAAATATAACCTAAGCATGACTGGGTGCGTATCTAATTGGTATAAAGCTGCGGCCCATGTGCATAGCTAAGGGCCCTATGATGTTCTTAGTCAGGAATAGTTAACATAGGCACACTCACTATCATAATTATAGCTCGTATGGTTGCAACATCCAAGCCCAATGATTTCTGATTTATAATAGCGGAATCGGGGGGTGGGGTTCTTGTCAGTTCTGTAGATCCGGTGCGCTATAAATCCGAGACTCGGACGGGCGAAGGCCCCTCCTGATTGGTTATAGCACTAAATGGGCGGAGATATTGCGATGGTGCGATGGTGCGATGGGTTTCTGCTCTAGCCTAGCGACCACTAGGCGTTATTAAAGGAGGCTCCAGGGCTGTTGTCGCGGCCCTTATAAGTACCCCACCCTTTTCTCATCTAGACGCTACTCTTCTTCATCCAGTCTTCTCTTTTTCTCCCCCTGTAATTTCGCGCCATCGTTAACATGTCTGCTTTCAAGAACCCTGCTACTTCTACCCTGCTTGACTTGGTCAAGAGTCGCCGTACCTACTACGGTCTGAAGGCCGAGAGCCCTATCTCGGATGACGCTATTCAGCGTATCGTCGAGGACTCCGTCCTCCATGTCCCCAGCTCCTTCAACACCCAGACTTCTCGCGTCGTTCTCCTGCTGAAGGATGAGCACAAGAAGCTCTGGGACCTGACCATCAAGGTCTTCGAGGGTCTTGTCGCGGCCGGCCACGTCCCCAAGGAACAGTTCGAGAGCAGCACTCTCCCCAAACTGAATGCCTTCAAGGCCGGCTACGGAACCGTCAGTGCTAGGCCGCATGGAACTGATGAATTCGCCTTTCTAACGCGTGAAACAGGTTCTTTTCTTTGTTGACTTCGAGTCCCTGGCGGCTATTAAGGAGAAGTTCGCCATCTACGCAGACAAGTTCGACCCCTTCGCGACTGAGTCCGTCGCTATGTCTCAGTACCTTGGTAAGTCTTGAGCGCGACCTCTTGGCGGTTCCAAGTTTGGGCTGTAGCTAAGCTAACACCCACTTACAGTCTGGCTCGCTCTTGAAGCCGAGGGTTTCGGCGCTAACCTTCAGCACTACACCCCTCTGATTGATGAGGAGGTCGCCAAGGCCTGGGATCTTCCCGCTTCCTGGAAGCTTGATGCTCAGCTTGTCTTCGGCGTTCCCCAGAACCCCTCTGAGCCAGCCGAGAAGCAGTTCCAGCCTCTCGAGAGCCGCTTCAAGGTCTTCGGGAAATAAGTGGAAATAATCCTTGGAATTTTATATGAATATTAGAGTTTATATGTGCGATTGAGCTTCCTAGCCGGCCCAGTGCCACAAGCGATGAGTGAAATGACAATTTATAGAAGAAGACAAAATGGTGCAGGTCTCCAAGCCTTTCCCCGTAGAAGTTCGTGGATGCTCAGCCAACTAGGAGATTAGACTTGAGATAAGAACAATTGTGGCTATTATTGCGTACAAGATCAGACTGGCTTCGGATATCTTGCCAGTTGCCTGAAAATGAGAAACCGGAAGAGGATCAATTCTGCAGAAAGCACGCCGGCGACCTCCATTGCCCTTCGGTTGTATTGAGCTTTCAAGCTTGCACCTTATGCTTACGCAAGAAATCCTCCAGGCGATCCCAAGCGATATCAGGGTAACGATCATTATCCAACGGCTCCAGTTTCCCATCTCCGGACATCATATTAACCATGTACTGCATTCCCTGCCAGACAGGGAAAATTTCATTTTCACCGCCAAATAGTCGCATTGTAGAGATCATGAGCTGAGCAGTCCAAATAGTTCCCATCCACCTAGGCGTATACTGCACACCATAGATAGTAGTCAGGGTATCAGCGATATCCTGTACACTGGCCGTAACGCTGGCAATACGAAGGAACTTTGGCGTAGGGTTCGGATCCGCGGCAACGGCGGCAGTAAATGCGGCCGTGTCCACCATGGAAGTATAATCGAGCAGCTGGTCTGGCTGGCCTACATATGGGAGCGTCCGGCTTTTGTGGTTGATCAACGGAGACTCGCCCGCCATGAGATCCAAGAAGCCGCCATTGAGGATGCTCGTCCAGGCAATGCCGGACTTGTTGAGCCGATCATGGAATTCGCGGTGGATATCCAGATTGCGGTTCGAGCCGGGTGCTGTCTTCGTGAAGTCGAGGGAGAAGTCGGATGGGATAAAGCGCGGTACCTTGGCGGCTACCGAGGCATCCAGTAAGTTACCTTGCGTGGTGTGCATAACATCTTTCAGGCCTTGGAGAGTCGACACGACGCATTTGCTGCCTTCTAACTCGTGAGTCAAGGCTTGTACATTGGATAAGTCGATAGGGACAATGGTGGCGCCCGCATCACGGAGATCATTGGTGCGGTTTGGCGCAGTGTTTGGGCGTACGAGGGCCTTGACGGCCACGCCGCGCTTGAGTAAGGCATGGGTAACGAGTTTGCCGAGGGCGCCGGTGGCACCGGCGACGGCAACAAATGAGTTCGCCATTATTTAATCGTATTGGACACACTTTAGGTGAGATATTGAGATCCCAGTGAGGTTGTCGTGTGGAATGTGGCTGGAAGCTCCGAGTCGATGTTGGCCCTCTTAAACTTGTTCAATCGCACAACCTATCTTATAGTTCTCTGCAGGCCAGAGGTCACGAAGGTTGACTAATGCCTCGATCTCGTCCGACCGAAAGGGGGAGCTTCTTAGACAGCCTTAATAGTATCTTTCCAAAGTTTCCAAGGTTATCTGGTTGCCATTGATAATCTCGGGGTTCGGGGTGTGGAAGGCGCGGGAGCCGGCCAGCCCCTACCTTCGGATCAAGTGGCATGCTCTCGCACTAAAGAAAATACTGTACTGGTCTATTTGTGACGCACTGTTGATCTAGTGGCATTCTTCAGTGACGTTCCTTGTCCGCTCTATGCCTTGGAATAGCCAAGGAGCTCATGTGTGCTGACAAGATACATTGCCAATAGTATAGACGGGTTATTGAATCATGATTCCCTAAACAGATTTCCAATTCTTTTGCTCAATTCCACTACGGAAAACGTTTTGGAGTTAAAATGGATTGTAAGGGCGCAAGGCACTGGTGAGTCACTTCGTTGATTCAAGTTCTTTGTTATATACTGATAGTTCCAGATCTTGAAGAATTAAAGAATCATCTAAAGGTTCCCACTCTCAACAAGCTCTCTCAATTTTGTAATCGTTCCCTCAACAGCTCCCCTGGCCATTGCTTTCTCCTTTTCAAGCAGAGCTCCAAGCTCTTCCTGGGAAGCATCAGGATGGTTCCACTCGAAAGTATAAGTCATGTATAGTTCTCCATCAGCGCCTTCGCTGACAATGTTGTTCACAACGCTGCCATTTGGCTGGCTGAAGAGAACCCTGGAAGGTTTATAAGCGGTGACTGTTTCCCGGACTGTGCGCTGGTCCTCGCGGAAGACGACATCGCGAACCGTTACAGGATTGCCAGTCGAGGAGTCATGGGTTTCGGAGATGACTGCTGTGGATTGGATAGCCTTTGGGACGAACGTCTGCGCCGATCGGATTTTAAGAAGCAAGCCTGCCCAGATCTGCTCTGTTTTCAGGATAGTAGTAGCCCCAGGAGGGTTCAGAGGAGCTGTGAAAGCAACGTTGTTTGTGGTCGACATAGTAGATTTAGGATGTGAGCGCAAAGCCGTCTTTGAACTGAGTCGTCTTCGCTGTAGTGGGTGTTCTGAGTACTTTGGTCCCAGGACAGAGCGATCTATTTAAAGTCGAGCTTAAAATGCTGGGAGCTCCAGATTAACTCAGGCCTATGACGTGGGCACCCGCATCGATAATGTCAGCGAAGACCCGAGCTGCGAAAATGACAAATGGGAAGGCCGAGAGGGGCGGATGACAATACTAGTAGCAGCCTCGCCGAATTTCATTCGAGATAATATCAAGAAGATGCATTTATTAGACATGATTAAGTGCAGAGCATCATTAGTGAGTATAATATTATCTCGAGCCAGATTCTAGTCTTGGAAATTTTGCTCACTGACGAGAGATCGGCGCTCTGAAACTTCAAGCTGTACACATGTATAGTATAACGCGTCAGTCGTGTGAGCGTTGCGATGATCTGAAGCGAGTCTTCAAAATTCCTGAGCCTAATAAGGGAACCTTGTTGGCATATAGTCGTAGGATCATTACTTGGCGATTCGAGCCAATGACTTCCAGAGAATGGATCTCAACCCGGAGACAAGTAGAGCCACCAGTAAGCCCTGCTTAAATGAATACTCCATGGTATTTACCTGGCATTATTTACTAGTATGCACAGTCATTGCAAAAGACCCGGTGTCTCCGACCACATCTGTCGTCAGATGGAGCAATGCCAATTGATTCAAATGAGGTTTGAAATCTGAATTCCACCGCTGCAGGATTCGCTCGACAGCGAAGCAAGCCTTGTCAGTGGGCCATGGTGACCGCTTTTAGATAGAAATGATTTGGTCTATGGGGTTAGCTGGATAGCTAAAATTTTCAGGTTGTCTATATTTACAGTAATGGAGTGAGATTGGGTTCTCCGAAATGGCTTCCATGAGTGCTCACCAATACATAAACCTTTTGACACACTGCGTGTCACCTCCAAACCATACGTGCATATACTTGTGTATGCCTTGGTTTGTAAGCGAAAAGCAGCTTGAGAGTCGTTGGTTTTAACAGACAGATCTGGGATCAAACAATTATCCATTGATATGGAGTCCCTTCGGATGAGGCTGGAAAGGACGGCTGCTGCGCCACTGCCAATACAGGCAAGCAGAGTGGGGACGGTTACAACTCGACTATATAAGCCTTTGGGCTCCCAGAGCTGCCCAGGCGGAAGGCAAGAGCTGCGCTACAATCTCAAGAATCGCTACACACCTTGATATTTGTGCCTTGCCCTGTGCGTTCATCTGGTCTTTCTCCGCGAACCACAAACGCGGCATCCTGACCCACAAACGGCCCCAGTATCGACTGACTAACCTGCTTGAACCTCCCCGGGTCATCGTCCTTTCAGCCTCCCAGTCTCTCCTGAATCGGTTACAAAGCCTTCCTCCGCGACGATGCCTCTCGGGATCAATAACCCGCTTCCTTCGTCACTGGCCAGTATGTCCGCTCTGTAATCTATATCACCTCCTCCTTGCCTGCTTCCCCGCAGTGTGTCACGGCTCAGCCGGCTAATACACCCCTCCCGTAATAGGTGAATGTAAGAAGGCGGCCAAGATCCTCACCTCCTTCGTCGACCCCAGGCAAGCATTCGGACCCGACAAGGTCATTCCGCCCGAGATTCTGGCAAACGCTAAGGTGAGAACTCTTCGATTCCCTGTTGCCTCCGAGAGCGGGGGCACTCGTTCAGATCAACGGCTGACCCAATTTTGTCAACAGGGACTTGCTATCTTGACCGTCCTCAAAGCTGGATTCATTGGCTCTGGTCGATTAGGATCAGGGATCGTGATCGCCCGGCTCGCTGATGGCACTTGGTCAGCTCCTTCGGCTATTGCGACCGGCGGCGCGGGAGTAGGTGGTCAGATTGGGTTCGAATTGACCGACTTCGTCTTCATTCTCAATGATGCCTCCGCTGTGCGCACATTCTCCCAAGTCGGCACACTCACTCTCGGTGGAAACGTGTCGCTTGCGGCTGGACCAATTGGCCGGAATGCGGAAGCTGCAGGTGCAGCCAGTACCAAGGGGGGTCGCGGCGGTCTTTTCCTACTCCAAGACGAAGGGTCTCTTCGCCGGTGTCAGTTTGGAAGGCAGTATGCTCATAGAGCGCAAGGATGCGAACGAGAAAATGTACCACAGCCGTGTCTCTGCCGCCCAGCTGCTCTCGGGTAGCGTGCGGCCCCCGCCCTCTACCGATGCGTTGATGCGCGTTCTCGAATCCCGGGTCTTCCAGGGCAATGTACGGATGAACAGCGACTCTATGTACAACGACGTGCCCGTATACGACGACAGGCATGACGACTTGGTTTGGGAGGGTCGGAGAGGAGATGCCTATGGCCAAGGCACACGACGCGAACGTTCAAATACTTATGATGGCTACGACTACCGTGATAGTCCTCGCCGGACGAATACATGGCAAGACGATACCTACGATCAACCTACCGGAGGTTTCAGCCGCTCTTCGACCTATAGCAATACCGTTGGTGGCTATGGTAGCCGTAGCCGTAGTAATACTGCTGGCTACGATGATGATTATAGCTACTCTGACCGTCGCCCTACTCGTCCTTCTGCGCCGAAGCCGGTTTTTAGCCAGAAGACGGGCCAGGGTGCGGGACTACGGTCTGACCAGGCGATCGCATTGTATACATTTGATGCAGATCAGGACGGTGATCTTGGATTCAAGAAGGGTGAGATCATTACCATTCTGAAGCGGACAGAGAAAGCGGAGGATTGGTGGACAGGCAGGATCGGCGACCGCGTTGGAATCTTCCCCAGGTAAGAACCCCCTTATCTTTCCTCTTGTGTTTTCTTTTCTTTTGGTACTGACTTGTTTTGCAGCAACTATGTTGATGCTTCTTAAATTTTTCAAAGCAATTATGATACCTCGTGGCTATGCCGCACTGCTGATTTTGGGAAAGCACGGGTCCATAGCTGAGAAAGGAGATGAATATACCGGCTGGGATTCAGTTTCTAGTCTTTCCCCTTTGCCCTTCCAATACTGAGTCGAGTCATCCTTCGTCTGCTTGTACTTGATTGCAAGGAACCTTCTCGAGTTCTTGGCGAGCACGTTAACATTGCCGAGTGGAGCCCGCGTTTTCTTTTTCCCTTTTTTTTTTTGTGAGGCTGCACGTTTTAGAGTTGTCGTTTTGCATATCCTCTTTTTTTTTCCGACCTATCGTTACGTGCTAAAATAACCTTCCCAAGTCAAGTCTTCAGTGGTAAATTCATGAACCACCTTGGATAGACCCTCTGCTACACTTGAGTATCGCTTACGCTAACACTTACACAACCTGCCCCCCCGCTGATGTAGACTGTAGAGTAACACCACGTCCAATCAAGATACGACGGCACTAGGGTCGAGAATCGGAAACGCCAGACCCTGAGCAGACCCTATTTCTTCAAGTGGTTGATCTGTCCCCAGTCTTCTGTGCCACTCTAGTCGGAATTTTTGTATCGGACCTGGAGTCTACTTTGATCGCAGTGACTGCCTCCTGGGGCTGTTCCAAGTGTTCCCCCGTGTTCCCCTTAACCCACGTTACCTATCGAAATGGTTGTGTCACGGAGGCAGCGATGGAGCTGGTGGTTCCGTGTCTCTCTCTCCCTCAACAGAGACGAGGTTGTACTTGTTCATGTCCGACAAGGGTTGGAATTTGGACTGAGGTGTGAATCACGCAGCCTTTGACCATGTTTACCATGCTGTCCATCCCAATCAATTGAAAGGGAATCTGTGGCGCGATCATGCGGATGAAGCGAGCGGGAAAGAAGAGTCAGGTGAAGGCTAAGACAGTAGACGGTAGCCAAGAAAATGTATATAGACTTGTAGATCTGAGAGCATAAAGCCCCGAGAGGAAAAACCGGGTCGCGATCGTCCAAGGGCCAGGCTTTTCGCCCGGCTCCTTTGGGACAGAAAGTGGAGCCAGGCACAAGGTTGCTCGTGCAATGGAAAAAAGGTGGTCGTGATTTAGGAAAACATCTTCGGATGTCAGGTGCTGCGACCGACCCCTAACAAACCTCGAATTTCCGCCCTTCCACTTTCCTTTCCTCCAACCTTGGAGTCCTGGGGTCTTGACCAATGCCCCCGGTCGCGACATCCTACCCTTTTCTGCCGTCCCCCCCGCTTCGATGATCGATATCCTTCTCCAGGTGATACATTGACACGCCCCCCCTCCAACCGACCCCTCCCCGAGCCCGCTCTTCAGGCTTATCCAGCCGTCGGTTGCTGTATAGCTGGCTCCCATGCAGGTGCGTTCCTTGGTCCTTCTGATAGCCTCTTCTTCTTCCTTGCTGGACCGCGGTCTGTCCGGAAGGCAGTTTCATGGTCCTACCCGAAACCCCCCCTCGCCTCTCCAGTCCGGATCTTATGCCGAACGAGGAGCCACCTTCGACTTGACGAGCATTGCTTATCGATTGAGGCCTTGACTCAGAGCTAACTTCTGCCGACCGATGCTGACCACAACCCCGTGATACAGGCTTCCATGGCTGCCCCTGAGGCTAGCGGAGGACACGCGACGCGGAGAGGCCATTCACCCCATCTGTCGATAAGCGACCCTAGCCACCATGTTACGGAGGCAATAGGCCACATGTACGACGATGACTATGATCCTAATGATCCACGGCGCCTGAGCTATATACCTTCGGCCAATTCAGAATCCATCACGACCATACCACGGCAGCCTCTCAACGCCCAAACCCTCTCACCCGCCTCCATACAGACTTCGCCGGCCGAAGGACAATCAAGGCAAACGAAAGGAAATCCGCGACCGCCATTAGTAGGCCATCGATCCTTCGATCGTGATAGTGATGCCGGCTCCGATTCGAACAGGACGCCTTCAGAAACCGCAACCTCCTCCTTCCCCTTGAACGACATCGGCTACGAATCGAACCCAGCAGCTGTTGCTCAAGAACTCAACAACCTCGCGGCAATTCGACGAATGTCTATGGATGTTGCAGCTGCCGGAGACCCTGATCTTCCTTCTTTTGGCGGCAGCAACAATAACCTTTCGATCCCATCTCTACCGCCGTCACCTTCCGCAGACGAAAATGACGCCTCGCGATTATTCTGGGTTCCAGCGAGCCTGCACCCGGAGCTGGCGCCGAAGGAGTTCAAGTCGTTTCTGGAAAGCAAGGCTGACCTGATCAAACGGAAATCCGGCGACTACTCTTCCCTCAGCCCCGAACGATCCGGCTCAGACAGCGGTCTTCGTCGGAAACGGTCAATGCTGTCTAAGCAGATTGATAGTTCAAGTGGTTACACAGATGGTGCAGAACGATTGGAGCGGCAACGCTCGCAGACCTCAAGCAAACGGGACGGCATGCTGAGTCCAAATCTGCAGGAGTTAGAGACACTAGTCGACGACTCGAAGACATCTGATCGAGAGAAGGAAATTCTAGCTCGAGGGCTACAAAATCTTGCCATTAGTTCGAACGAGGATAAACCCATTCTACCCCGGCGCCTCCAGGACACAGCCTGAGACGATCAACTCGAACCCAATACAGGAAGGGCAGCTTGAAAAAGGGCGAGAAACCACCATATTCGAAGAGGGTTGGAAGAGGCTTGTCCGAATCGGCCGATGCGCCTCCCAAGATCACACTCTCTGACAAAGACCCAGCGCGTAGCTCAGTTGACTCCGCTACCCCAGGCCTACCACAACGTGCTTCGTCAAGCTCCTCTCGTAGCACTGCTTATGTACCAGGCTCTACAACTAGTTCCACATTTGATACAATCCTTGATCGACCAGAGGCAGAACAAACTGCTGCATCACAAAACGCCCCCACAGACGCCGACTCTGACCGGGAGGATCCTTCAATACAAGGAAACGTTGCCTCCTACGCCCGGCAATGGCATTCCCGCATCAGCTCAAACGGTCGATCCACTTTGAACATACCACCATCAGCACAAAGTGTCCCTGCAATAACCGAATCACCTCCAAATGACTCCCGTCGCGGGTCTTCTGCCTCAGCTTCACTACCAAGCCGAGTGGGAGAGCGCGACGGGTCTTCTGCATATTCGCCTAAGGCACCTCAGCAACAAGATACCACTCCTACGAAACGAACCTTAATGAGTGACCAACATGGTAGAGAAACTACGCCAACGCTTAACGATTTTGCCAATAATCCTCAGATGATACCCGGTAACAGTACGCGAACAGACAGTCTGTCGTTTATTCCAACCATCCATGAAGAGCGAAAGCCAGAAGAGCGGAGGTCAGAGGGTAAGAAATCGAAAAAAGACTCGGACGGAAGCAGAAAATCCAGCTGGCATTGGCTGCTGGGAAGTGAGGAGAAAGATAAGAAGAAGGACAAAGATGGAGAACCCAAGCGATCCCGATCACGAATTGCGGATATAGTTCATAGCAGCACTCGCCCTGATCCACCACAGCCACCTCCAGAGTCCAGCACGAAGGGCCGGGAAAGCATCGCTATTGACCGTTTAGATCCAAAGCTGGAGGAGGAGAGGCGCAAAGACAATGCCCGGCGGGCCTCTGCGGACAAAAAAGAGAAAGACGGCATTTTCTCGTCTATTTTTGGCGGTGCGCGGAAGAAACACAGCGGCGACGGTCATCACCGTAAAAACTCGTCGCGAAATTACTCCCCCGATCCTCCAATGCGTCAGTTGGTACCTGATGTCGATTACGCTTGGACTCGTTTCTCCATTTTGGAAGAAAGAGCGATCTACCGCATGGCCCATATCAAACTCGCCAACCCTCGCCGCGCCTTGTACTCACAGGTTCTGCTGAGTAACTTCATGTACTCATACCTAGAGAAGGTGCAACAGATGCACCCCCAAATGATGGTCGCTTCAGGGTCTCAAAGAAAAACCAAGTCCCGTGACCAGCAGGATGAGTACATGCAGTATCAGCAGTATCAAGAGGTCAGCACCCTTGAGATGCTCACACTTGCAAATGCTAACTTTGATATCTCATAGGCCCACGATCAACACTATGGGGACAATGGATATGATGACCCATCAATGTACGAGTACGATGACGATCCTCGCGACCGCTACCACGAGCATGGAAATGGTCACCACGGCTACGAAAACGGCCATGGCTATGGATCGGGACATTACTCATATGATCACTCGTCTTTTGGCGATGATGTCCAATTAGACGATGACGATGACGACGATATGTGGTGAAACCGAGTGACGGCATCTTCATTTACCTCTTTTACCAATCTGCATTCTCACTTTCTGCAGCTGAAATACCCACCTTGTCTATTCTGGTCGATTCTAGCCTGTACAGAGCTCTCGTCTTCATTGACTCCTCTCTTTGCTTCCTTCAACCTCCACCTCCGCCTCGCTACTCTTTCCCCTCCCCTTACAGCACTACCTGAAACATCCATTTACCCAGCCGGCCTAGGGTTCATCTTTCCGAAAAAAACCAGCACTTGAGGGTCGCTGTACGATACCGCCAGAGTACCATGCTACTCGCCGTCATTGTCTTTCACTTGGTGACTTCCCCTATCAAGTGCTAGTCTCGGTAGCCCCGGTGTGCCCTGCCATATAGTTTGCCCCCACCCACATGGTCTGATTTGTCTCTTCGCATAGCGTCTGGGGTTTTTTTTTCTCACTTCCCTATTCTTGTCCCATCTTTCCTTGGTTTGAACTTTCAGTGTCCATACAAACCGGGCCGCTTCCTGTATTCTTCTTGTTCTGAGAACTCGTCCTTTCACGAATGAACCGAGCGTCTGTTCATCTTCTCCTGTGAATTCTTTTATCATTGAGCCAAGACACAAGTTACCAACCAGCCGAGATATTTACATGAAACGAAGTATATGTACAGATGAAGGCGTGAAGTCGTACCCCATGAATAATAATTACTATCTATCATGTGAAGGGCTCGGATAGACGTCTTCTTCAGCGCGGATCTGCCTTCGGACAGAGGCTGCATTGGATCGATACGAACGCCCCAGCCGCAGGTGCTCCCCCACCCATCCGATTTCCTTCATCATGAAAGTCATCTCACGTACCTGGAAGTCACCCCGGTAATCGCTCAAGATCAGCATCAACTTTTCTTTGAGTGCCCTGTTCGTAGTAGCTATCCACGCCACCGAAGCACAGAGAAGGAGATACCCCGACGCCATGGGGCGATACTGATGCCCGCGCTCAGCAAGTATAAGCACCTCCTCTGACATATAAGTTGCATCAAACTCCACCACCGCATCCATAGGACTCAGTGCACTCAGCATGCAATTAAAGACAAGCGTGACCATCAGCCCAATACCATAGGTCCGCTCATAATGCGAAGCCAGGAATGGGGAAACGTAGCTCACTTTGTGTTGCGGTATGCTCGTCAAGTCAAAGCTAGCAAAATCGCTTTCTATCCAGCGGCGTTTGAGTTCGCTCAATTCGGTCTTGCAAGTTTGATAGATCGTCCAGACCTCGTCGCGGAGTGAGGTTGAATCGGTGCTACATTCTAAGATGGCACGTCCCCGTCCTATGATGGAGGGACCCTGGGTGAGAAGTAGTAGAATGCGGCCTTCTGGAGTGTTTTGGTCTGCGTCGCTCCGGACAAGATCATTCCATTCGTTATCTGATAAGCAGATTCGATCGTTGAAAAGGCCCTCGAATAACTGGACGTGATGGTATTAGTCAACAAACCCATACAAAAGGATGATACATAGGGAAGACATACCACGCTGCCTCGCAAAGACATGAACAATTTCTTCTCAAACTCATCTCGGGGACCAAAACTCCTTCGTGCTCTTAAAATCTGCGCGGCACCTTCTGTATGCCCAGACCAAATTTGCGACGATCCACCCAGGAACATCTGCGCAATGAGAAGGACCATAACGGCACAGAGCGTATTCGAGTCCTGTGCATGACGCGGGTCCTCCACATACACACTAAGAGTGCGCAACGCATGAGAGTACTTTGCCAACGCCCCCACCGTCCCCACGCGCCCATTACAGACGTCATTATGGGACGTAGTGAGTACATCGATGGCACGGTCCAGTGCCTCATTTGTACCGAGACGCCGCGGCACATCTTCTAGAAATGGCCCGAAAGACCACCAAACATTGTATCGCGGGTCAGTGGACGGCTTGATTATTTGACCAAACCGCGTGATTAAGGACGAGATCTCCGTGCTAAGACATGCACGTGGAGGGCTCCTTGATAGAGAGGAGATATTGGCAGCGCGACTTGACTTAAGCACCCAGAATTCATTCCCCGTAGAGGCTGAAATGGCACTTCTTGCCTTCGGTAGACTCGACGAGTTGTTTCTAGGGGGGTTTGATAGCCATAGTATAGCGTTTCTCTTCCTGGAATTTATAGCGCTGCTGGCCCGAACCCACGCATTTGATTTTCAGGCGCAAACATCGCGAACAAGCGGGCTGCTTCTCGTCACACTAAGAGCATGTGAGTCTTGTAGCGAAGGCCTAGAGTTATGCATAGCATTTGCCGGGGACTGAAGATGGAAGTTGATGTACCTTCTTCTTTTGCTGTCGGCACCCGTCACAGGCTTTCCCTGAAGGGACCCCCGGCATGCTTCTAGAAAAACTCTTTCTGTAACCCCGCTGGCTCGGTGGGACGAGGGGGTCTAGCGCAGATACGACGTAGGATGCAAAGGACGCAAAATTGCTTTCTGCGAAGACGCCAGCTTTGGCCCCCAGTTCGTTCGAAGAGCTTTGCGGCTGAAACGTTAGACAGCATGACAGGCCCTTTCTAGCCAATAACCGCTCGAGTATGACTGTACGCAGTACAGTCCCACTGTCACGCCTAACTTTTTTGGGATCAATGTGCCACTGGTCTGAGTGGGGAGGTTCTGATTGGTTGGACCTACATCTTCTCTGCCCCGGTGGGGCATGGCTCATCATGTCGAGAGGGTCATTTGTGGTCTCGCAGCCATTTTGTGGGGTTTCTCTGACTTAATTGGAGTGCATAGTCGTCTATATTATGGCCAAGCTAAACCTGTCCAGGGCCGATACACCGCTTCGTCACTCTGGAGAAAGGCTGTGCTCTGGACTATGGGTCCTGTCGAAGGATATATAAGCTCGTCCAGGCCCATCCTGCTGAGATCACCTACACCAGCCTGTCAAACAATAATTCATCATGGCGTCTAACGAAACCTTATATCGCTATATGCCCAGTCATATCTTGCCTACTGCCTTTGCAGCACTGGTTGGTATCTCGTTCTTGTTGCATGATTTCCAGAACTTGTACATGAGCCCCCATCCCGCCCACAACTTTACATCTGCTAACTGAAGAAAATAGTCATTACAGATTCTGGCGAGTGACTTTCTGGGTATCATGGGGAGGTCTCCTTTTCACAGTGGGCTGGATCCTCCGCTGTGCCTCCAGCTACCGCCCAGACAACCTGCATCTGTATATTGCCCAAAATGTCTTTATTTATCTTGCACCCCCCCCGTTTATTCTGCCGCAGCTTACAATATCGTCGGTCGACTCATGAACTAAATGCGCATGCACGCCGTTCTGAACCCCGACCGGGTCCTAATTTGCTTCGTCTACGTCGGTGCTGCGGTCGAGAGCATCACAGTCGCAGGTGCAGCAAGAGCAGCTGCAGCCAGAGGCGATCTCGCCCAATTGAAGTCCGGAGGGAAATTAATTGCCGCCGGCCAAGACCTCCAAGCTGTGGTTGAGCGCATCGTTCTCAGTCTGGTGGTGACCTTCCGCCGCCGCGTCGCTCGAGCCGGGGACGTTCCTCGAAATGTCAAGATCGTCTGCTACACACTCTACGTTACCTCGACACTCGTTCTCATGCGCTGCATCTTCCGGGCTGTTGAGAACTTCGAGACGTTCAACCACCTGGCCTGTACTGCTAACTGCGGAGCTATCATTAGCGACGAATGGTTTCTGTATGCCTTTGAGCTGGGACCTATGCTCATTTTCACCTACTGGCTAAATTTGTTGCATCCTGGTCGCTTCTTGCCGCGCGAGAAGATCCAGTATCTGGGCGTTGACCGCCAGACGGAAAGTTATGGTCCTGGGTGGGTAGATCATCCATCTCGTCTAGCGACTTACCTTGATCCGCTGAATATTGTTGGCTCTATTAAAGGAGAGCGTTCGCATGACCAGTACTGGCTTCGGGATACCAATTTCCGTGTGGCGGTTGGTAGCTTTGCTGCTGGAACTGCTTCTAATAAGAAGACTGGCCAAACCCCAGGCTGGCAGAGTCGCTCTAAGCGGGAGGTGCCAGACAAAGTATAAAGTCCCGATGATCATGATATCTCCTGGTTTTTTTGCTTCGAGGGATTCGGTGTTGATTTAAAGCGCCGCTCATTTTTGTATTGTCATATTTCTGTGCACCAAGATAGACCAACCAATTGAAATACCCTTAAAATTAACCCAGTCGTTAAGCCCATCACGGGCCTTTTTTCCTTTCATTCTTTTTTTTCTTGAGGCTCATGTAAGTCATAGCAATCGCGGCCGGGAGAAGAGCGGCCTATTTCCGGGAGACCCACTTCGCCAATGTGTCTGATCAAACCTCGTCTATAATCTCCCTTCCCTATCCGCGCAATGGCGTGGACCCTCACATCTTCTGGGATAGAAGGACGAAATTTGCACTTCTGCTAGGCCTTTCCAACTTAAAACGAGAGACAGCGAAATTTAAATGGCGGATGAGCGACCGTATAAGCGCGCTCGCCAGGCGTGTGAGCCCTGTCGGTAAGCACGTTTTCCCGCATCATCCTGGCTAGCCTGATACTAAGATCAAAAAATGACCGACAAGACGTAAGAAGTCCAAATGCCCTGGAGAGAAGCCCACATGCTCCTACTGTAGACGACTTGGCCAGCAATGCGTGTACGCAGGAGAAGCAATAGAGGAGGGCTCCGACTTCGCCAAAGGCATGGTAAGGGTCTCGAAATACTGTCTTGCAACTGGTTCTGACAGTCTGGATAGGACTCCCGCGTCACCAAGATAGAGAATAAACTCGACCAGTTGATGGAATACATCAAGTGAGGGCCGATCTGAACAAGAACAACATGGAAAGTCGCTTAGGTTCTAACTCTCTACTAGTTCCCTGGGCCGAAACAGGGCAGAACACACGCCCGATCCATGTGAGGTTCATCCAATTGATACATCCCATCCTGTGGTTTCGGCATCGGATAATAGCTCTACGTGAGTCGCTCCCCTTCCTTTCGAAAAACAAGGGTCTCATCTCAAATAGGAAATATTCACCAGATCCATCGGCAATTCAGCTTTACTTAAAGTTCTGCAATTCACAACCTCTATCACTATTCCCGCAGAATACGGTGGCTGTATCTCTAGAAAATCGAGATCCAGAACTTGTACTTTGTCTCGAGGCATTGGGTATTCGCTTCCATGGACATGGAATCCAGGACAGCGAAGTGGCGATGCGGATAAGAAAGAACACAGAACAAGCCAGTAAGGTCGTCATGACTCGTTTGCTGGATGGCTGCGTTGAGTTGTCCACCATTCAGACATTTTGCTTGCTAAGCGTCCTAGAATTCACTGGTAAAAAGCCTGATATGAACCTATGTTGAGTTCTCACTAAGCGTGACATTATAGCTGGAAATATCATTCGAGCAGGTTACTACGCAAACACGGCACGATATCTTATACAAAATACCGGATCTCCCAATCTAGACTTTTTCAATCATCTCGATGCTGAAAAAGATGAGCGCAAACTTTGCTACGCCAGTATAATTCTGCTCCAAAATTTCCAGGGTTCTTTGGACATTCGGCGCCTTGAGGAGGCAGCCAGGCCTTTTGGCAGCAGGGCCCTTACCGCGCCATTATTCGAGGGCCTGGCTTTAGGGAAGACCCTCGGGAGGGCATCCAAGCTGGAAATTGGTATAAACTCCGCGAACCTGTACACGAGTGAATTGTGGAGCCTAGCCTGTCACTATGCTCTCAATCCGGTCTGTGCTGATACACAACCGCCATGGTCACCGCAGTCAGATTATTCCACGATTAATTACTGGCACACCGAACATGAGAGTTGTATGCCGCTGAGATTCCGGCTACACGCTAGTCGCTTCTCTGACTTCCCACTGGGGGAAATACAAGCCCACCGAGATTACTGGGGTCCATGGTTTTTGTTCCAAATCGGATGGCACGCAGTCCAGTGTATCTTGAATCACCCATTTCTCCTTTCTATGCGACTGCGGAACTTCCGAGGGACGATGCCGCAATCCTTCCTCCGTAGCTCTTTCGAGCAGCTGACACTGCACTCTGGGTGGATTGTGCATTTCCTCGATCTTATCGAAGAAAAGGGCTTTGAGATATCTGATCCAACCATAGGCCACTGTGTGACTGTTGTGGCGACGATATGCCTGCAGCACAGCTTTGCTGAAGACCAGGCCTTCAGTATGAAAGCTCAGACAGGATTTGATAAATGCATGCGATTCTTAAACCTAATGGGGAATCGTTGGCTTCATATAAACCGCCAGGTGAGCAGCTTCCTATACGTGCATTTAGAGTTGAGACCCTAGTACTAAAACCTGACCAGGCCACTCAATTAGAGCAACTACGCGACAGTATTTCTCCCGGAGGTCTTCTCCCTGGCGATAATAGTACCCATATAATGAATACGGATAGCCCTCGAAGACGTTGGTCAATTAATCTCCAGCTGCTATGGAAAGTCCTTGTCTACCAGCACGCCAGCCAAAACACAAATGGGTCCGATGATATCTTTGGACAAAAGCTGACTGAACATATTGTGAACCCAAACATCTCTCAGGTGAATTCAATTTCTGACCCTGATTTTGCGCTCGTTGGATCGGCTGGCATATCGGGGCACAAAACGGTCGCAGCAGAATGTGTCACATATCCTCCTGAGCAGCCTGAGCACCGGGGTCCTTCAGCGCCGTCTCCGATACAGGAAGCGGACCCGTTTGTGAGCACCACCGGCGACACATTACTTTTGCAACTTCAAGACTATGACAGGGCATTTGAAGATTGGCTTAGTTTGAATCCGTCATGATCATTCATATACATACTTTTCTGGTCCGGCACACGGCCCGGTTCCGTGATCTCCGGACGCCAAGAGCCGGACTAGGCCGGGTTGAGCTCACCATTCTGGATGGTATAAATTCTCGAGCGATCAATGAACAGCATGGGTCTGATTTATACGAATATCTCCACTGGCAGATAACATGTCAGTCTTGAAAAGTGATTCGATTTTGGTCGTGGGTGCCGGCGTCTTCGGTCTTTCCACGGCCCTAGAATTGAAACGTCGAGGGTACGAAGATATCACGGTTTTAGACCGATATACACCTCCAGCAGAAGATGGGAGCAGTGTCGATATCTCACGGATTATCAGGATCGACTATGCCGACCCTGTTTATTGTCAGATGGCCCGGGAAGCCTACGAGGGCTGGACGACAGACTACAAGGAGCATTATTACGAATCCGGGTTTGCACTTCTATCGGAGACGCCCCGGAACGAGTGGATTGAAAAGTCACGCGCTACCGTCCTTTCGATCGGGGGACGAGTTGAAGACCTGGCAGATGCGACACAGTTGCTGGAGTCATTCCCGAACATTCAATCTGACCTTTCTGGCATGAACGGCTACCTGAACCGGCTTGGGGGGCTGGGCAAATGCTGCCGGCAGCATACAGAAGCTCGCTTCACGATGCAGTCTTGAGGGGATATCGATCATTTCGGGACCTCGGGGAACCGTGACCTCCTTGCGACGAGAGGGCTCACGTGTCGTAGGAGTCAATCTCCGCCGGGGTGGCCATATACTCTCATCCCAGGTGATCGTCAGCACTGGCGCATGGACAAACCGACTCTTCGATGTGGCACATGCGGCATCGTCTTCTGGACAGCCTGTCGGGTTTATTCAGTTGACGCCGGAAGAAGCGCGGTCTTTGGAAGCTACGCCCGTGATGATCAATCTGAGCAGCGGAGTATTCTGCTTCCCTCCTACCCCAGGCTCCCATATCCTCAAGCTTGCCCGGCATGGGTATGGATTTGGCAACGAGACTACTGTTCAGGATGATGGGTTCCAGCGAACAATTTCGTCTCCAAAGTTTGACAGTAGCAATGCGCAGACAGGGTATCTTCCCGATGATGCGGATGAGGGTTTACGGGACGGTTTGCGCAGATTCTTTCCCAAATTTGCCGACCGTCCTTGGACGAACCGCCGTCTTTGCTGGTACACGGACACCCCGAAGGGTGATTTTATCATTGATTATCATCCGGATATGCAAGGACTTTTCGTGGCCACTGGTGGAGCAGGACAGTAAGTTTCTCCCTACGTCTAGTATCCAATTTTGGAATGTGCGATTGACTTTTGTCAGCGGTTTCAAATTCTTGCCTGTGCTAGGCAAGTATATTGCCGATTGCTTCGAGAATAAGGCATCGGAAGAGCTACGGCAGAAGTGGAGACTGCCTCCGTCCTCAGGGGCCGCAGGTTCGTATACAATGAAGGGCGACGGAAGTCGGGCAGGTCCACCACTGCGAAATCTTTCACCGGAGGAGAAGGCAAATCTGTAGGCAGCGACAGGTATCTGGCTTGGGAGCGTTTGTTCTTCTACTTCATGCAAGCTGACGGAGGCCACATTTCCCCACGTGGAGCCACATGCTAGCTGCCATGTCGAGCATGTACTTGAAAATTGGTGTAAACAGCAACTATTGAATGGGTTGTGGACAGTAGCAGGTTTTAGGGGCTGAAGATCATCTATTTAGCGACTTTTGAAAGCTCGCCAAATGCAACGTAGGTTGAGATTGCTGAGGCAAGTGCTGTAGGAGCCCGCGTCCTTCATGCGCGCGGCTGCTTAGTTGCCGCGTCGCGTCGGGGACTTCCCAAGTTGGCGACAATTTCACCTCTTCTTCGCCACCGGCATCTGCCCAATGGCGCCATGCGCTGCTCAGGATTCTATCAATCCTGGACCAAGAGCTGTCTGAAAACCCCCGGGCTCAAGTTTACCGGCCAACGGGCAAGATTTTTATCGGCCTTAACCTGTTCCGAAGATTCCTTCACTGTTCCAATCGGGAACAATGGGTCCATATCCCTGAGGTACCATATGATGTGGCATGCCCAATAATGACCGCAGAGATGAGCTGATCGTGTATCTTAGTGTGACGCGACCCACGGTAACACAGAATCATGTACTCCAGGATCACAGCCAGGGTTCGAATGTGATCCTCTACCTACCGCCAGGTCCGGTGTTCCGAGGCTTCGATGCACAAATTTCTGCCTCCGGAACGTCTCAAATGAATGAGTACCCGCATTGGATAGATGACGGACCACTTGGGCATCTAAGCTCCACGCAGCGCTTGGCGATTAGAGCGTCCGCGATAGTGGTAACCATCAACTATCGCTTAGGAAGACCAGATGAATGTTCACCTGTTTCAGAGGTACCCCAGGATTTTGAGCAGCCATTATCTGTACATGCGAGAGAGCCCAAGCTCTATCAATTTCCTACGCCGGTGCATGATACTCTGGCCGGATTCGATTGGGTGCAAACCCACCTAAAACCAGCAAAGCTCGGGATCTTTGGCTCACAAGTCGGAGGCTCGTTAGCTCTTATGCTCGCCTTGACAGAAGCACGGTCTGTTCACGCTGTGGCAGCAGCCTCGCCCATATGCGACTGGTCAGGACTGGACGAGCATTGCACAACACAAGAAGCGATAGACTCTCAAACCCCAACCAAAAAATTAAGGCGCACTTCTAAGAAAAATGGCCCGGCGCCGTGGGATCTAATTCCTCTTCTACAAGCGCGAGAGCAATTCTTCGCTACTCCAGAGCAGAGCTTTGATGCGTTCGCGTCGCCAGTCCTGTTACTTCGCTCTGCCGGTCGGGACGTCCCCAAAACTTTCCCGCAGTACCATACTGGCCCAGATTACCCTGTCCCGATTCTCAAGGATGACTCGGACTTTGTCGCTGACTGGGTATGGGACCGCGATGCATACCCTGACATTGATTCAGACAATGCCGATAGCGAAAGCCTAGTTGATTCGTCGCCACGTATCCGCCGTCGAAAAGCTCTTTCACGCTGGCCCCCGTATGGGCTAGACTATGGTATCAGTCGGGGCATATGGTCTGGACCGAGATTTGGAGTGAAAAGGCTGGAGGTTACGCTTCCGTGGATCCGGCTCCTTACAGACGATGTGGTTCCGGGAGCTACCCTTTCAGATCATGGGTCCGAAGGTGCGAAAAGGAAAGACGCTCATAGTAGGCCCAGTGTTCTTGCCCAGCAGGGCGAGGAAATGGTGTCTGTTCTGCGGCGTGCCTGCTTCTGGGGCCAGGAGAAAGGCGTCGGAGAGCGTCGCGTGACTCTGTCGAGGACTCATGCCAACCCGGCCGATGAGGCGGGGAGATGGTTCGATGGGATCTGGGATAAACCAACTAATGATGATGACTACTAGGATTAGGTCTTTACGAGCTGATCGGGCACTTCATGACTAAATCGAAAAGAAAAACCTTGAGTCATTGCCTCTAGCAATCCATGCCAATGCTCCCACTGCGTGGTCCCCACAGTATGAAAACACGAGTCTTCGGGCCACCTGCCCCTGACTAGCCCAACTAATGCACGATCGCAAGAATGGCACTGTGGAGACTGCGGCATAATCCATAGCGCAAATAGTTCGATTTGAGGGAACCCGGCGTGTTGAACTGGGGTCTGGGAGATGCCTAGAACCTTATCGATCCTTAAGCAGTTGTAGGAATGTAAAAGTCGTGTATCCTGAAGTCGAGGGTAGCCGCGACAAGCTTAGAGCTCAGCGGAATGTGACGTCTCTGGCGGCAATCTGGAACCCAAAACCCTCGTCGGCTTTAGTTCCTCTTCTTCCCCACTCCTCTTCTCGGGCGCCGATTCTCCATCTTTCTCGCTGCAAGGTTCGTGGAATGAAATTTCTTCTTTGGCATGCACTCCACAATCCACCCCCGCCCCGGCTGATCATCGCTCTGCTGCGATTGGCCTGTGGTTCCTCGAACTTCGTGGTCTCATGCCCTCGTTGCTCCTGGGCCCTCTAGATCCCCAATTCCTTCTTTGCCGCGCTTAGCACGATTGCCTTGCCTGGTCGATAGCCTCACGCTGGTTCGTATGCCCTCCAATGATGGCCACATATTCCAACACGTTCCCTGGTCCATCCGAGCCTCTCGGAGTCGCATGACTATTCCAGTCCTACCTTGCCTGTTCATATAAGAAAGCCTTCTCCTCCGAGCGTATGTTTCTATGACCAGGCTGGGTTGAAATCACTGTGACTTCCAGTTGTATACTCTACTCCTCCCTTTCCCATCCTAACTATGCCCCCCACTGCCTCGCCTTGAGCTCTGGAAAGATCAAGACACCCCTACTCGTCTCTGTCATGGGTCTGAAGATGGCTGAATTTGAACTTCCAGTCTCCATTCCCTTTCGCGACTCGGCCCCATCCGACGCCCCGTTCCTCCCGTACTGGGCCCGCTGCGGTGCGCAGGTCGCCCAAAACCTATTGGCGAGCTCGGACGAACCCATCGTGTACGATCACGACGACGAAGATTACAGAGACAATTGTTTCTTCTTTCCGGAGGACTGCTCGTGGACCCCGCCGGACAATTTCAGCTTGGACGCCCCCCGCTCGATCTCCAAGGAATCTCGCAAGGAACCTCCTTCCTCCCACCCCGAAACCGCCGTGAATCGTACCACCGACATCATGCTGCCCGACTTACCCGATATCAAGATGCTCGACTCGGAGGCGCTGGGAGACCTGTTGGAGGACAACCTCTCGCTCCCCGAGATCACAACTATTCTGTACGCTGGGCCGCCCTGCCCTGCCCCCCCCCCTCCCGGCGCATGTTTCCAAGAGCTCCGACCAGCTAATCAAAATCACCTCAGTGTCTTCGCAACTAACGGCGCCGTATTCGCCTACGCATCCTCCCTCTCCTCTCGCCAATTACGAAACCTCAGCGCGACCTACGGCGCCGCCTACACCTGCTACGCAAAGACAGCCTCGAGCGGCAACCTCACCGGCGTGAACCCCGCCTCCCACCCTTCTTCGTACGTGACAGCACAATCAATGCCGCTCGGTGACGTAGGCTCCATCGTTTTCGAGCTGGATGATTCAGTGGCCGTGGTCACCCGCATCGCAGACAAAGTACTTATTGCCGCAGTGGGCCCTTCCAAAGCCGACCAGAGCACGGCCAACGGCGACGCCGACCCCCTCGGCCCGGATAGCGGTACAGGCGACGCTCCATCTGCGAATGGGGCCACGTCAGAACCCCTTCAGGGCGAGCAGGGCGCGCGTGCTTCAACTCCGAATCCCCCCGCACGGAACGGTGATCTTGATGCCCAACACGCGATCGACCGAAGCGCCGATCTCGCGCGTCTCGCCAGTCTGAACCTGTCGGCTGAGCCGGCGGTTCTGCTTGCGCTGGAGTCGAAGTGTGCCGCGCTTGGCCGGTTCCTTGGACAGAAACTGCGGGATCTGGAGAGCCCGGAAGACTTTTGAATTCAAAGTGTTATTTCTCATCCGCGACATGATCTTGGACAGTGGCACTCCAGGTGCATATATGATTTGCTGTTTCGGGGGGTGGGCCCGCCCACACGTGTAAAAACTACATGAGTTGACGATCAATTTAGGGTATCATCTTCTTTCTGATCCTTTTTTTTTCCTTTCGGGGCGACTTGAGCCTTGCGTATTTGGGCGAATTGTTCCACCCCAGAGCGGGCAGTACGATAGATATGATTCGGTTAATGTACGGAGTAATGATGAGAAGGGGTCCACGCAGTGGAGTCTTCGCTAAGCAGGGATCTACGTTCCCGGTAGTCTTTCAAAGGCAAGAACCAGTGGGATGTATACAAGGAAACGAATCAAGTGCTTTGTAAATCGATCAGGATCATGATCTTCCGTGTCCCATAACCTGTCACCAGACCCAGCGAGAGATAGCCCACAAGCACCGCAACAGGGATGAAAGCGAGGAAGAACTGCCTATAGTGGTACGATGAGTGAAAATCTTGTCTTGGCTGACTGTCTTCGGAGACAGGCATGGCCGAATGGACCACACTGGCAGCACCTCGGAGCATTTCGGGGTTCTTTTCCCCAGGCGTACGCAAGTCGCCTATCTACGGTAGGAAGAGTACTAATACACATCTAGGCAAGGTATGTGGTCTGAATGGACATCTCGAAATGTGTATTGAAGCAAGATGAACGAATGGTGCATGGCATAAAATCCTTCGACTTCATCGCCAAATGCGGATATTAGGTCAACACTGGTATATATTATAAAAGTCCAGGAAACATGTGTACAGAAGGCACAAATTGGTCAGGATCCAAGCATATTAGAAATCATCTGAACAAGGAAACGAGAGCGCTAGCAATGCGATCGGGTCGAATAGGTGAATATACAATCCAATGCCATCGGCTAGCACACCATAGATCGAAATTGCACCGAGACAAGTCTATGACTTCTCTCCAACGGCACTGCCACTGGGTCCGGTGAAGTAGCTTCCAGAGCTAGCGGTACGGGTCGGCTTGGGGATAGCCGGGGTGGAGACCTCCTTCTCGCCCACGGGGGTCTTCACATCAGTTGCAGCAGAAGGATTACCCGAGCCCCCAGCGGGGTGAGCCGTGGCATCAGAGGCAGGAGCAGCCGCGGCCGCAGCGGAAGGGGCAGCTTGTTGCTCGCCCGCGGCGTAGGTCGGGGGCGGCTGGTTGCCTGGCTCTGAGGGGCCAGTAGGGTCCGAAGAGGGCGCTGGTGCTCCAGCGCGGGTGCAGTCCTTGATGACAGACCACCACTTCTCGGCATCAGAGGGGCTGCGGGCTTTGAAGCTGAGCTCGGTATTAGTGTGGAAGGCATTGCCAACCTTGCCGTTCGAGACGTCCTTGCCCTTGACATTGAACTTGGCACCGTCGATGGCACCAACGACACAGTCTGGCAAGTAGAGCGAGAGCTCTGGGGTAGGGTCTCGACGAAAATCGTCATTGTCCTTGAACTCGTGCAGATAGCGAGCTGGGGTCACAACATAGTAGCCATTGTTGTAGCCCTTGATCATGGCACGGGAGCGGCGCTCCAGGGCGCCCTCAATGAGGGGCTGAGTAGAGCGGTGGTTTTGATTGGGGTAGGAGATGCTTGCGAAGTCGCGAGGGGGCGAGTCAGGGTTGACGAGCTTAGTATCGTTGTTCATACAGAAGTTGATCCACTCGAAGTCGGGAGGGATGCGCTGCGCAGTGGCCAGGATTTCACCATACATAGCCCGTTGGCGGTCCATTTGGCCACCCATGAGCTGGAAGAAGTTGTCCAGAACCGTCTGTATAGTCTGCAAAATGTATGCTTCGAACTGCTGGAAAGAATTCTGGACAGCCAGGATATCTTGGCGGTGATTGTTCTCTTCAGCCACCTGCTTGTTGAGGCGGTGATTGGTACCCCGCTTTAGAACGTAAGGGTCATGGGTGGGATCGATCTTGCCGATCGAGGTATCAAATGAAGTAGCGTTCTGGCCCAGAAGCTCAATGTGTTTCTGGGTAACGCCGCGGGCCTTTTCGACAGCCTTGGCTCCCTTGGCAGCGCCCGTAGTGAGCTCTTTGGATTTACCCTTGATTTCCTTATGAAGCCGGGTGAGAGTGGGCAAGATGCTGCCGGTCAGGCTCTTTTCAGTCTCGAGATACATATTCACAATGCCCTAATTGAGTGAACATGTCAGCATTTACACGGCGAAGAACCCGTCCTGACTCCTGGGCCTACCTGAGAGTTGGTCCTCATTTTTTCGAAGAGGCTGGCCACACCGCCGTCACTGGTGCTGAAATGATGGCTTTCCTTCAGTGGCTCACTGGCAATCTGGGGCAATACAGCTTGTCAGTCTATCACGTTGACCCGGTATAAGAATAATCCACCCACCTTTAGGATCTTCTCGTAGTCCTTGGAATGAGATTTGGCAACCTTGGCGTGCATCGAGACATAATCTTCGAGATTCCCACACAAGTGCTTCCATGCTCTGAGACGTTCGACTAGGAGAGTAATAGTCTGACGGAGAAGACAATGAGCTTTTGTTCCACATACCGCGGGGTACTGGGCTTGAATAGGATCGCTGCCCTATGGGGGGGCTTTTGTAACATACCTCGCCGCTGTCAGAGTCTGGAATAGCCTCATCATCGCTGTTAGAAGTCCGGCGAGTGAGATTGCTCGTCACAGTCCCAGACCGTGAGGGGAGCTTGACGTCCGGTTGGCCCGCGGGGTTGGACATGGTGGGGAGCGGGGTTGCAAAGGGCGAACAAAGGAAACACCGGGATCAGTATGGCTGGCAGATGAGGATTTGAGGATGTGCTTATCCTGGAAACCCCTGACCAGAAAGAGGTGTTCGAAGAAAGATAATGGGGTGAAGAAGGGGGAGAAAAAAAGGTGCGGGCAGCTCGGGGGAGGTACGTAGGATCAGCAAATTAGGCTTGTGGCAGGCTGTGGCTGAGCCCAAAACCGGGATTTTGGAGCAAAGCGCTAATCCGCCTGCAGACTAGCAATGAATCAAACGTCAGAAGCAACCAGTGGGTCAATCGGAAGTGTACAGTAGGAGGGACACATTCTTCGTTTTTCCGCAGATCGGGCGCCAGCAAACACCGATGAGATCATCGACTGAGAATTGTGGCGCTCGGTGAACTCAACTTTGCTGATGCGTGGATACGTGACCGGGTAGTGCCGAGTAGGGCACTCAGCTTTTTTTTTCAGGCACGAACAACTAGTCGATATAAGCTACGCGCCCAGGATGCCCCAGGTAAGCTTTTTCCAGGCTGCTGGGTCCGACTCGTGCTGCTCTCTTCGGGGAATCGAACGCCACAGGGGGAAAATTAGTGGAGCCGCCCGCAAATGCGGCTAAGGTTGCATTTTTAGACAGTGATCGCTTTCATCGGCATCTTCGAGCATTTAAATGAGGGGAGGAAGGGAACTGGAGAATATGGAAAAATGGCTCAAAGAACTGAGGCTCGATGCTTTATGTGGAGATTAAAGTACAGATGCGAGAAAAAGATTCTATGCGTGACTCGTTCGGGGAATGCAGAATTCCGCTCGTTTTGCGTATTCTCGTAACAAATAGGACCATAAGTCAAAAAACAGATATCAAACGGCTGGCCGTCTATAGAATATCCCAGCCTGTCTAGAGAACCCGAACGCCGCGAAGAAGTTTCTCGCTGAGAGATGCTTAAAGAACAGAAAGAAAGAGGGGAGGAAAAAAATGAGGGTCAAATCATAGGAAGGAAGAGTAGAAGTGAGACGGGAAGACTTTGTGTCCAGCACAGGTCCACTGTCTTCTTCAAAATGGTCGAGCTGAGAGGGGAATAACGGAGGGGATATGAGGGAATAGATATTAAATTATCCCACGAACAAAGGTAATCTTCTCTAGCGTGGGCTAGAGCTCATCGGAACCTGTGACTCCACTCGTCAGCACTAACTGTGCGTTTGGAGGTAATTGTTGCGATTCACATCTAGAGGAGTAGAGATCCCGCTAGCGCGGCCAGAGCGCAGGTAGGCCTGTTGTGGAGATTGCGGCAATGAAGTCTCGGGGAGAGAGCTTGCAATGACCGCATTGTAGTCGGGGAGAGCTGAATCGTAGGAGCCCACTGTAGCGCGAACCGCAGTCGAGTAACTGGGAACTCGGCTCAGAGTCTCAACTTCGGCGTACTGTGGGTGGAATGGAGTAGCCATGCCTGACGGAATGGGTTCGTGGTCGTGTTCATCATCAGAGGCCCGGCGCGAGAGCTCAGGGGTATTCGGGCTATGTGTACCAGAACCCGCGCCGGAGCCTGTATTTGCATTAGGCCCGAAGTAATCAAAATGAACGTTGTGCTGTCGTGAATTTGGGTGCTGTTCAGCAGGAGTGTTCGGTGCCTCAGTGGGTGACAGATGTCCTCGTCGGTTTGTAAGGTTCGTCAGGCGACTGTGGAGCGCAGACGCTGAAATGTCCGTATTCGTAAGGGCGTTCATGGATGCAAGGTTTTCTGCAGAGATGTTGCGGCTGAGAGGCCCGAACGGCGTGTTGGGTCCGCTGCCGGGGCCAGGCGTGCGGTATCCATTGGGATCCAGCTGGCTGTACAATTGATCAAACTGGTGTTCGCCGTAGAGCGGAGGGGCTTGCTGAGCAGCAAATTCGTCGGCGGCTCGTCGTTGGGCAGTTGAAGTTTGATCCCGTAATTGATTGTCGTCGCCCAGAGGGATATTCGGGGAAATGAAGACCGAGACGGGTAAAGTTGCACGGAGCTGCGATGTGTTAGCTTTTTTTTCCCCCCGAACGTGCATCAAATAAAATCTTGTCGCATACCTCACTAATGTGGCCATCTGGGTTGTGTAGCTGAATTCTGAACTTCAGCTTGTGCCGGATCTTGATACCCTTGGTGTCCGTATCCTGCAGACAACGGGTCAAGGTAGCCGGCATGTCGAGATAGCGTGTGAGCTGGTATCCCTCAGCCGCCTCATCAATGATCTCGATATTGTCCTCCTGAATCTCATACTCGTCGGTTATAATCGTGCGCGTGACTTTGTAGGTGTTGCGGATGGAATCGGGATCTTCCGGGTTGAGGGTCAGATCGTGGCTTTCAATCAACTGTGACGTAATTTGTCCGATTCGCAGGCCCTTCAGTAAAGGAATCAACTTGAAATCCACTCGAATGGAGGTCCCAAACATGACAGCCTTGGTCGGGGTGCTGATAGAGTACTCAATCTTGTTGGGCCAGATGTTGTCCACCGACTAGAATTGGCATTAGTTGTCTAAATCCTCTTTCCGTACCTCAAGTCTCCTATTGACTCACCATAGCATGTGATAATTCCAGCGCGCTCGGGTCGAGGGTTCGAATGATGCGCAGGGGCTTCCGCGCCACGATGTCTTTGGCGTATTTCCGTCCGATCTCGGCCTTGAATCGGTACATGACCCACGTCTCCGAGAGACCCTCCACACTCTCGGGCATCGAGCCTTCGAGGACGACGTCGAACGGATACTCATAGTTGCCCGCAGCCAGGACTTCGGTCTTACCCTTGCCTGCATCGCGGAACCTCCAGGTTTTGTCGTAGAAAACTCGCTCCCTCCATGATTTCCGGCCCCCGGACGCAGAGCTAGATGGTAGGTGCCAACTGGAATGACATAAGTTAGTTTCGGACCCATTTGCGCGGCCATTGATGACTTGACGGGGGTTGAGATATCCACGTACCAGACTCGCGACATGCCCGTCAGCTCCAAGCGAATGTGCTTAATTGAGAGCGGCTCCGACAAGCAGAGCACCAGAGTGCCTTTCAAGTGGGCGCTCGCCGATTCATGCTCGCCGCCGCGAAATACAATGTAATCATCGTTCAAGCTGCCAGAATTGTTAGCAAGGCCCGATGACGACTCCCCAAATTTGGAACCCCCACTCACCGAATGTCGAAGTACTTGGCATGGCTGGCGCTCCCGCTGCCACTAAGAAAACTGAGGGCCATTGGAGATGGTTGCCCCGATGATGTTGGGAGGAAAAGGGAGCGAGAGGTGAGGAAGGTAAGTCAATATGAGGAGTCTCAAAATACAGTTTTTTTTTTTTTGTCGGACCTCCGTTTTGATCTACCGAACAATGTGAATGAGCCCAGCCCGTCCGACGAAACGGGTCCCGCAAAGTGGAGTGTGCCGTTTCCGGCGGCGGAAAAAAAAATTGGTGGCGATAGTGAAGATACGGAGAGGATGCGAGCCTATGACTAAGCCCCTGAACTTGGGCAACCTTGGTAACTTGGGCAACTTTGGCGAGGTTGTTTGATGCTTTTCAGAGGGTTGCACCTGGGAAGTTGGAGTCAGGGGAGTTCGGAGAAAAGAATTCAGGAGCAGATGGAGAAAGAGGGGCAAGGTGAAGAGTTGATCTGCTTTTACGTCAGCGATGGGATCATATGAAGGTCAACGACTGGAGGTTATCACTGGACGGCAAGGCTTCTATTATGGTGTATCTATTATCATTGCGAGGTGATAGGCCCCTAAGACACCGCTGGACACAGCCAGTGCCCCGCTCCTTTGTTTCTCCTAGAAGTACGGACACTCGTAAGCGGGTTCCAAAAGTCGTCATCACGCCATTCTACTCGGGATCGTCCTTCCGCGAGTCTTTAGAGACTCTAGATCGAGGTTTCAGGGGACCCGTGTGCCTGAGCTGCACAACATACTCCGTCCACGTTACACAACTATCATTACAACGCTGCACTCTGCACCCCACCTTGGCCGGCTGCATTCTGGAAACCGCAAGTACACAGTGTGTCTGTGCTCCGAATCGGATGTCCAAGAAAACCGGCCCCTCAGGCCCCATTCTATGGACCCTGGCCCGGCGCCTGGACTCGCGTAGATGGAACGATACGGCGATCATGGTACCACATTTGATCTGCTGCCTGTGTCACCGGGTGAGTCCCAGCCCTGAAGCCCTGAAGTGCTGTAGCCGAGCTTCCATGTGCACGACTGATCAAGCAGTTGATTTCCCAATGGGCAATACTTGCATATCATTCCCTCAACCTCTGCTCTACTTCCATTTCGGAGCTACCCGTAGAGAATTTTCTCGAGTCCCTCTGATGGCGCTACGAGCGGGAACTGCCTCTGGTGGGGCTCGACACAAGATGTCAACTTCTCTCACCGGCCATACAAACCTAGCTTGGCTGCCTCTGCCTGCCTTCCTAAAAGTGGACCTGGCTCCTGAATGACGACTTGTTATACATAATGCCTCACCCTCGATAAGGGTTCCCCTTGTAAGTGGGGTTTCCCGACTCCCACCGGTGGCGCCTTGCCGAAGCAGTAGCACTACGCAGGTAGCCACGCACTCGCGTGGGTTCGGGAAGCTGGCCGCCACCGGGGCGCTGTCTGGTCTGCTTATTCGCGATACTCGATCCCTACGTCGGATCCCCGACCTACAAGTTCTGTTGCTTCCTTACTAGGGTGATGGGACGAAAAGTCGATACTGTGCAGGGAAACTACGCCGATCGTAAACCTAGACCCAAATAGGCCACTTTGCCCACGGCTATGGCCTCTCTCTCTATCACAAAAGGAAAAAGGCACAGAGGGTTTGTGGATTCCATGATTTTGAAACGTCCGCTCCAAGGTCCTCAGCTTTCAAGTTTCTTTTTTTTCCCTCGAGCTCCACCCGGTTCAGCAGATCTTTAACGGTGAGCTGTGCTCCGTATGAGATCGGAGTTTCTCCTGCGGCTAAATATGGACCCAGAAATGGTCCAAGTCCTGTTTCCACTACTTCTAGGCCCGTGGATCGTGTCTTGCGGCGGCTCCACTGTTCTTCTCGCATTACGAAGTGAGGTACAAGCACGCTAATCAACCATTGCAACACAACTCTCGACACCATCCTCTAGCCGCAGGTCTCGTAGTGATTGAAGCTGCAGAGGTGGGGGAAAACAAAAAAAAAAAACAAAAAACAAAAAACAAAAAAAGGGGGTCACCAATGCCCCTGTCCCTATCGACTTGCGCATCCCATGTACTGTCCGACCCAAGCTTAATCAGATCATCCATTGACCCTTCGAGCTTGAGGTGACGTGTCCAATCAGTGCCATGGTATCTATCACGGTAACAAGCCGACGAGCCGAAGCTGCAGGCCCGGTGAACGAGGCCCCGAGCAGATTTGACCGGAACCTGCCCAACCTTATCAACCAGCCCGAGGTGGAGCCCCAAGCGCGAAACAAAAACAAAACCTCGGAGAATCCTCGTAAATGGGTAAATCAAAGCCCCACTCTAGACCTCGTTTTTCAAGGCCTCTTTGATGAGGCGGATTTCGGCACTTGCCTGACAGGTTAATCTGCTCGGTACCTCCGCAGACCACGCCTACGTATGGGCATACCTGCAAATAATTGCATATGCCATTCCTTCAGGTCTCATCGAGGAAAGGCTTCTCTGCGGGGGTTTCTGTGCTTTTCCTGGGATGATCTTCTTTGGCCAACCGAGCGGAGGCGAAGGGCTTGGATCGCCCAGGAGGTAAAAGGTTTTGACGGTGCCAATAGTCCCACGCGATCAAGCCACATGCTTGTGGGATTCTCCGACCTTCTGGGAATGCATGGATCCGTCCTTCATACCTAGGTAGGGGGTTTTTTGGGACAAGTAGGTTGTATTAGTTTGAGTTGATGAGTGCAATGCCGGAAATCGACACGGTCAAGCGACTCCGTAGAATAAGGACTCGAATACATGGTCGCACAATAGTCTAGACTATACCCGTGGACCTCATTCTAGATCGAGGAGCTAACTGGCCAATGAGTTCTTTGGCTGACGCGGTACAAGATACTTCCAGGTTTGTACATCAGGGGGCCCGAGGACATGTGAGGAATGATGATGTACAAAACCGCTCATGGGTTTGGGAAGGGCCCCGTGCAACAATGCCATGCAGAAGCCATGCAGAAAAAGGAACCCCTTCATCTGTCAGTTTCTTCGATACATGTAGCTGTCAACAGGCGTAGCACCCACTCATTAAAGTAAGGTTGGAGCCTGGTATGCCCCACTATGACCGGAGTCACAAGACGTTGGCTCCATCATAATCACCCCCACATACAGACAAGCATAGATGAGGGTCTATCGAATATTGAAATTAAGAAACAAGAGACACAATGTTAGAATTGTTGCGCCTTCTACCAGTGTTCACTGCCTGGGCTACTAGTAAATGCTGAAGGGGTCGATTATGTCCAACGGAAATGATAATTAATAACACAAGTATAACTACATGGCCCCGGGAGTAAGAAGCAAGTGCATCAAAGCTAGATGCAAAAAACAGAAAATCGCAGTCCGCAAAATCACCTATTCGCTTGTATGGTGCACAATTCATTAAGCATCAACGTTGTACAGTGGACATCTCCACGCCTGCAAACGTCCCACAGCTGGCGAGCATCGGTTCCCATATGAGAAGGTATGTTTTCAGCCACTAGCCACGATCGAAGAGTAATCCCAGCCTTGATTTGATAAAAAGAGTGCCGGGAAGACGAAGAAAGAAGATCTATCGGGATTTCGGGGCCGTCTTGAGCCAGCAATAACAGCCGCCTAGTTCCGCCATTTCGCGGCACCCCAAGGCAACGGGGAAGCGTACAGCTCGCTCAAAAGATCCATCCGAAAATTATGTAGATAAGGAAGCCGGCCGCAATCACCATGCCCGCGATTTTGAGGACTGCCACTGTGTCGCCTTGTTTTGCCATCCGGGTCAACCGAGAGGCGCTGCCTTTTAAATTCGTTGAAAAGGAAGAGAACACTTCGTTCTGGACCAGAAGATGTCAGCTACCTTATGCGTTGTTCGAGCAGAAGCTAGAGTCCTGCAGTTAAGAGTCGAGACGTACCGTGTGATCGAGGGTGCCTTGGTCATGAGCATTGTCATGGATGTCGATCGTGACGCTGCGCAGAGCGGAGACCTTGGATGAGAGGGAGTTTAAGAGAGCATTGTTCTGCCTGGAAACCAGATGTGAGTAAATGCATACTCTGGGAGTCCGAGGAACCGAATAAGGCCGGGCTTGAAGCTGTGTGGCAAGGAGGTAGATGGAATGACGGGCTAGCAAAGGGGAGACCTACTGCTCGCGTTCATAAGCGTCACTCATTTTGAGTATTTAGTCGGCGCCCCAGGTGTGTTCGAGATGAGACGCAGAGAGACGAAAGCGCCAGAAAATAGGTGGACACAGAAAAGCCAAGATCCGCGGCCCTGTGGCTCATCTGGGGAAGAGCGGACCTGTTAACAGATTATACCGCCTTCTTCACCGCCCGATAAGCCTTCTTTTACATTATCGATAATTGAACTCGAACACCAAGGCACGAGATCATAATATTTCTTCACTTTCTGCAGACAAAGTCATTCAACAACACTAATAATCCAGAATCGAAGCTGATACTCATTTCAGTATCCAGATATTGGCTATGTCCAAAATTGAAAGATGCACTTGTACAAAGGCCGTGAAGAGTACTCCATCCCATGGACCCCTACTTCATGCAAAAGGTCTGTGCAATTCAACAGGACTCGCTGCGTAAAGATAGCCCCGAGTTGAGAATAATCTTGATTCGAAACGAATGGCCTACCGATCTAAATGAACTATAGAGCCGCTTTATCTGATTCCCCGGGTGTAAGAATCGAGTCAGATATGCCTCGGCCGCCTGCCAGCTGCCAGGCAAGTTCTGAATCAGTCAAGTCAGACATATGAGAGCCAAGTGTCTCATCTCTGACCAGATGTTTTGAAGCCAACGAAACATAGACGCTCAGCACAAGGACGGACGTCAAGCGTAGCTGAATGGACTGAAATGTCGACCCATCTGCAGGCTTGCCAATGTTCTAATTGTCTGTGGCATGCAGGCAACCTCTTCGTATAGACGGTTTAAATTATCAAGTAGGTCAATATCTGGCGAGTTCGTTCATGATGGCACTGTCATATCACCTTGCGGCTCTTGAGTTTGGTATCAATGTCCAAGGAAATCCATACACTGTATCAGATCGTGATGCAATTTCGCTTTGACGTGCAGAAATCCGTGACACTGCTGGCCCATCTATCGATTCGGCAGGTCTCTCATGGGACAGGTTGGCCTTCGTCCGTTAGGATTGGACCCGGGTTAATTCGGCGAATATCTCCTGAGATGCGTGTAAGGACAGAGCCTAGAACCCCGTAATGGAGAACAGGTGAGTTGGAGCTTTCAATACAGGTAGATGGAATTCTCGAGACTCGATTCCGAGGCTTTGGTTGATACACAATGTACTGTCGAATGCCTAGATTCCGATATGGGCGCTTGGAGACTGCTAAAGATCAATTTCACATGGAAGTAGGGATGTATCCATCTAGCCTCAGAAGTGTACTCATATGCCTAAATCCTGTTACTCTTTAGGTTCAAATTGATGATCACGGAGTACCACTCGCAAACTTCAACTTGAAGAACTATTCTACGAGCTAATGGATTCCTGCTCCTAGTCACTCGGAAATTGAACCGAAGCCGCCAATCTCATACAGAGATACATCCAGATAGGCTTACTATTCGGACTAGTAAATATTATGTGTGCAATATAACCAAGATTGGTGTCTAGTAACCTAGCGCTCCAAAGACTCGAAAGGGCGTCCTTGCATCCCCGCACTCCTCGACTTGAAGAAAGCAAACAGTCAACCATCCAGAAACCCAAGTCTTATGGCCCTCGGTCTCAACTACCACACTGCGCTTGGATTATTCGGGCACGTTGTGCGGGAGCCTGTGCTGGAGGAGCAATTCAAAATAGCCGAAGCGTATTCTGTTGTCGGACCTCCGGAGCGTTGGTGCTGATTAGTAAGGAGGCCTTGACGCACAAAGTTGGTCTCGGTACTGAATGTCGCAGTATAAACAAATCCATACAGTAACCTAGTTCATCCTTCCCGTCATGTAACTGAGGGGGTAAACCAGGCTGAGAGCCTCAAAGTGTCAAACGCGCTGATCGAGTAGATCCGCGGGCAATCACACCGCCTTCCACGCGCGGGGCGTGTGTTTGTTTTTGTTCCTCCCCACCATTGTGAGTCTCGTAAATTTTTGCGATTAAATTCTCGGACGACTCTACTCCTTGGTGAAACCCTTGACTTGCGATACGGCTGTGGCTTCTTCTTGCTTCCTTTCCGGTACGTGTGGAACCCATTGGTTCTAGCCTGCCTTTCCTTCACTCCTTGCTTCTTTACCCACTCACCTTTGCTCCTATTCTCATGGTCCTCTCGTCCTACATCTAACCATTTTGTCCTCGCAGACCATTCCCCACTGAAAAGCCCGGGCCCATATCAGCGATGGAGAACTACCAGAAAATCGAGAAAATTGGTGAAGGTACGCGTTGCTGTCCTCTCGGCCGGGAGGGGGACCTTAACAGAGGCCTGAATGTACCCAATAACATTTTCCTCCTCCGCAGGCACCTACGGTGTGGTCTATAAGGCCCGTGAGCTGAACCATCCCAATCGTATCGTTGCCCTGAAGAAGATCCGACTCGAGGCTGAGGATGAGGGCGTCCCGAGTACCGCCATCCGCGAGATTTCCCTCCTAAAGGAGATGCAGGACCCAAATATTGTACAACTGTTTAACATCGTCCACGCCGACGGCCATAAACTCTACCTCGTTTTTGAATTCCTCGACCTCGATCTGAAGAAATACATGGAGGCTTTGCCTGTCAGTGAGGGTGGTCGCGGAAAGGCCCTTCCGGACGGATCGACCATGACTCTCGGTCTTGGTGACGCCATGGTCAAGAAGTTCATGGCTCAGCTGGTGGAAGGCATTCGTTACTGCCACAGCCACCGCATTCTGCACCGAGACCTGAAGCCTCAGAACTTGCTCATTAACCGCGAGGGCAACCTGAAGCTTGCTGATTTTGGTTTGGCTCGAGCTTTCGGTGTCCCTCTGCGAACTTACACCCACGAGGTCCGTGTCAAGCCTATCATCGTTCACGAGAAACATATTTTCGTGCTAACAATTTCCTGTGATTAGGTTGTGACCCTTTGGTACCGCTCACCCGAAATTCTCCTTGGCGGGCGTCAGTACTCGACTGGAGTTGATATGTGGTCTGTTGGAGCCATCTTTGCCGAAATGTGTACCCGCAAGCCGCTCTTCCCTGGCGACTCGGAGATTGATGAGATCTTCAAAATCTTCCGGTAGGTCATCGTCCTGGCGATTGGCAGCTTCACAGGTCTTTGCATCACCAGATCAACTTATACAATCTTAGTATCCTGGGCACTCCCGACGAGGAGACGTGGCCTGGTGTCACCTCATTCCCCGATTATAAGCCTACCTTCCCCAACTGGAAGCGCCCCGACCAACCTCTCGTTCCAGGTCTGGAGGAGGCTGGAGCCCAGCTTCTGGAGGCTCTGCTCGAGTACGACCCGGCCCATCGATTGTCAGCGAAACAGGCTTGTATGCACCCTTATTTCCGCCACGGCAGCTCACACTACTCTGGACGTTAAGGGGGGTTCCTGTAGACGATCATGATCGTGACCTGGGTCTCAATGATCTTCTTCATGATCTTTATGCATTTTTCCGGATCTCCCCTTTCGTTTTCGTGTAACCTTATTCATGATGCTTGTTCCTGACGCCGAGCTGTCCTGGGGGCATGGTTTTACTTTTCGCAGTTTTCTTTTCCTCATTTTTACCTGGCGTTCTCCGGAGGAAATGACCAGGCGGCTGGGCTTTATCACGATGTGCTTTTTCTTTCTAGTTCAATTCAAGGCGTACATACCCTGCTAACCAGAGTAGACAGTAAGTTTGATTGTAGCAAGTCGATACCAAAGCCTTGCATATTTTGCTACTTTCTCCTGGGGAGGTTTGCCAATTGGCCAGATTACGAGTGTTTTAGAGTCCCAGGTGCGTCATTTGCTGCGCGAGTTGCATACAGAGCGGATTGCCGGTTCAGCTCTCAGCCTCGAAACCCAAAACATCAATCGATGCACTCAGATTGGTCAGAATATTTTGATGAGGCCTTAGGATCAGCTTGCCTGTCTACGTATCAGATAACTCAATTCTAGAAGCCACATGGCCGTCTGATCCAGAGCTGAACCTGAGCACGCCCCACACGACACGAACGTTTGTTATTTTGGGCCTTAACTGACCCAGCGAAGAGTCATCGCGCATCTGCTGGGACTTGCACCAGTCTTCCCCCCCGGTCCATGGAGGCTGTTTACCGGCCATTCAACCTCATGCAACCCACATAGCCATCAATTGCCTGCATAGAAACCGCTATCTCGCTACTAACAGTCTTTGCCGGCGCGGTCCAGCTGAACTTGACTACTCAGGCCGATGGGGGCCAGATCGGCGCCGGACCAACCAGCCCTGCTATTCGCGGATTGGCCGCGAGTCTCAGCGCACGCACCTGCAGCCTTACCAGGGAACTGGAGTCGGCGACGAAACCTGCAGCCATGCTGATGGGCGTTCATGCGTGTGCGGGGAGGCCTTCCTCTTCTCGGGGAAGTCCGTCATAGCCCAGGAGGTTATCGAGATCGTGCACAGCCTGCCTGATCCTGCACCTGCAAGGTGGTCGGTGCGATGTAGAGCGCGCGCTAGAGGATAAAAATCGAACATCCCCACGTCTGGTGATTCCCACCTTGGAGTCGACTTGATCGATCTTTGTTTCTGAGTCTGCTTTGGCGCTTACGGTCGAAGTGCATGTGCAGTCTTGCTTTGCACGACCTGTTTCCTCTTCCTCCCCATCCCCGTCTCCATCCCCAATCCTTAGAGACCCTGAGACTCGGGGATCCCATCATGGAGTATGAGGAGTATTTCGACGGCAGGTCCTCGCGCTCTAACAGCCGCAGCCCGAACCCCCGTTCCCGTTCGCAGGCCCCGCAGGAGTCCGTGAGGCAGTTCTGGGAGCAGTTCAACACCAAGTATCCCGGCAAAGTGTACACTATCTTGCCTGATAATCCGTATGCGCGGACAAGGGCTAAGCGTGTGCCCAATGGCGTTGTCCAGGGCCACGATGCTGTGAAGTCTTACGAGCAGGCTCGCCAAGAATGCGTCAACGCTGTGGACCGCATTGTAAAGGAGTGCCAGCGTGTCAATCAGAAGTATACTGATCCTCATTTCGACATCGAGGTGGATCTCAAATCCGGGCGTAGATATTATCTAGACGGATTGGATTCGGCAAACGATGAAATGAGGCCGCGTGGTGTGAAGCGGGTTTCGGTTAGTTTTCTCCTTTTATTTCTTTTTTTTACAAGCTTCCTTCTTTTTATATGTGTCTCCATGTACTGCGGGCTCTTCCTTGATACTGATGTTTTGCTAGGAAATTTTTGAAAAGCCACAGTTTTTCATCAATGGCCCTTCGGCATCCGATGTTCGTCAGGGTAATGACGGAGACTGCTGGTTAATGGCGGCCCTGTGTACCATGGGGAACAAAGAGGAGCTGATCAAGAAGATCTGTGTCGCGCGAAATGAGAGGATCGGTATCTACGGATTTGTGTTCTATCGCGGTAAGCTTCTTATCTCTGCCGGTTAGCAGGACGTTCATCAGATACTAACCCCCGCGGAAGACGGCGAGTGGCAGCAATGTATCGTCGACGATAAGCTCTATCTGCGAGCTGCAGACTACGATGAGTCTGTAGAAGAGCGTCCCTTGTGGGACGATATCATCCGCAGTGACACTGAAGAAGAGTACCGGCGGGTCTGGCAGACAGGCTCGCGAGCGCTCTACTTTGCCCAGTGCGTCGATCCTAATGAAACTTGGCTTCCGCTCCTGGAGAAAGCGTTTGCAAAGGCCCATGGGGATTACTCCGCTATTGAGGGTGGATTTGTGGGAGAAGCCATCGAGGATCTCACCGGAGGCGTCACGTCGGAGATCCTGTCAAATGACATCTTGGACAAAGATAAGTTCTGGAAGGAAGAGCTGATGAAAGTCAATGAGGAGTTTCTGTTTGGTTGTGGAACTGGACTGTTCTCCAATTGGCTGGACCCGAAGTATAAGGGACCCCCGCGCGATCGGAAGGGCATTTCAGAAAACCACTCCTACTCCATCATGGAGGCTCGCGAGATCAAGGGCCATCGTCTGCTTCGACTGCGGTGAGTTGACCTTAGAGGCTTCTCACTAGAGTCAATACTGATAAAACCAGGAACCCATGGGGCAAGAAAGAATGGCATGGCGCCTGGGGCGATGGATCTGAGCAGTGGACCGCCGAATGGATAGAGCTGTTAGGCCACAAATTTGGCAACGACGGAGTACGTCCAATTGTTGAGAAGCACGGGAGATGAGAACTAACTAGATGCCAGTTTTTTTGGATTGCATATCAGGACCTCCTGAAAAAGTATCAGCATTTTGACCGGACGCGCCTATTCGGACCTGAATGGACGATTACCCAGCAGTGGACAACACTGCATGTCCCCTGGTCTGCCGACTATCACAGCACCAAATTCATCATGAGTGTAACTCGAAGCAGCCCTGTCGTGATTGTTCTATCGCAGGTATGTTCCGTATCAGTCAACACCCCGACTGCACTGACAAGTTTTTCAGCTTGATACTCGTTATTTCCAAGGGCTTGTAGGCGAGTACACCTTTGTCCTCAAATTCCGCCTCCAAAAGGAGGGTGAAGAGGACTACATAGTTCGCAGCCACAGCCACTTCATGGGCCGGTCCGTCAACGCCGAGCTCGATCTCGATCCAGGACGATACCAAGTTCTCATGAAAGTCACCGCATTCCGCGACGAAGAGGCAGACTCGACTGAAGAGATTGTGCGTCGTCTCGCCCCAACCCGACGTGAGAAGCTGGTGCAAGTCGGGCTCTCCTACGATCTAGCTCACGCCAAGGGTCTCGTAGGAGAGACCGAAGCCGAGCGTCACGAAAACGAGCGACGAAAGGCATACGAGCGCAGGAAGCTGCGCGATGAGACCAAGCGAAGGCTTCAAAAAGAATGGATTCGAGAGCGCAAGATGGCCGCGCGGGAGCAGCGCCAGGCTGCGCGCCGTTCCGGCCAGATGCCTATGATGTGTGAGCGGGCTCCCGAGCGTACCACCATTCCAGGCCAGGTTTTCTCCGAGGGAACAACCCAGTCGCCGGATGACCTGAGTAGCTTCTCCAGTGGTGACAGCGAGCGCAAAGCTACGCCGACCAGCTCTGTTCCGAAGATCCAGTTTAATGGCCTTCATGCCCGCCATGCCAGCACGTCCTCCAGGTGGAAGCGTGGAGAATCGCCGCGTCCTAGTCTGAATACTAGGCTGGCTACGGAGAACCTGGATGTGAACGACCTCGAGCTGCTGGAGGGATTTGAGTTTGATAGTGATCTAGATATGCCTCCGGAGGATGTTGAACCCAACATGAAGCAACCGCAGCCACCGCCGGAGTTTGATGGGCCTGCTCCTGATCCTTGGAATGCGGTCTGCGTGGTCGGCTTGCGGGTTTATTCGAAAGACCCGAAGCTCAGTCTCGAAGTCAGGCGTCCTCCACCCGGAGCTGATGAAGCTCCTCTCGACCGTGATGACCCTGCTGCTTCGGCAACACTTGAAAAGAGTTTCTGGGGTGTTCATATCTAAGATACCTATAGCCTCGTTCTGTATTTTTATCTCTATTGTTCTCGTCTGCACGAATGATCTGCATATGTTGGTCGAAATACAGGAATATCTAAAAGCAACCTGGATATATGCAAACTCGATGATGCGCTAGTATTACTCCTAGAATGCCCTTCTCATGTAGTGCCGCCCATCTCATAGTCTTCTCAAGTCGATAGCTCTGCGACTACATGCAGAACCCCGCTCAGATAGCGGACCCATCCGCCATGAGAACGCCCCCCAATCTTTGCGACTCACTGCGGGGTATTGCTATTGTTGACTCATTCCATACACTCCCCAAAGATGGCAGACCCTACATGGCGTATTCGAAGCGACGCTAAGCGCCAGGCGATCCTCGATGCCATCCCCCAGAAATGGCGTCTGACAGAGCCCGTTCCTCCACCCACCGAGGTCCGAGATGTCACCGGAAGTTATATCTGCAAGTACCTCGATGCGCAGGAAATCGAGATTACAGAGTCAGACGCGGTTGACATCGCTGCAAAGACAACGACCGGCCAATGGTCTGCTGTAAAAGTGACCGAGGCCTTCTGTCATCGCGCTGCACTGGCGCATCAACTGGTACCAGAGCACCAACCATTTGACCTAAGAAAGACAAAGACTCACAGAATGGCAGGTTAGCTGTCTTCATGAGATATTCTTCGATGCTGCCATCGAAGATGCAAAGAAGCTGGACCAATATTTCGCAGAACACAAAGCTCCCATAGGCCCTCTGCACGGCCTCCCCGTCAGCCTGAAGGACCAATTCCACGTGAAAGGAGTCGAGACGACGATGGGCTATGTGGGCTGGATAAACACGTTCCAGGGTATCCCGAATGACCCTCGGCGTGGCACCGAAGAAAGCGAGCTTGTCCGCGAGCTACGCAGTCTCGGCGCAGTCCTCTACTGCAAAACGAGCGTCCCGGCGACGCTAATGTCCGGTGAAACGGTGAATAATATTATCGGATACACATGGAACCCCAAGAACCGGCTTCTATCCTGCGGCGGCAGCTCTGGTGGTGAAGGAGCGCTCCTTGCCCTCCGCGGATCGCCTGTTGGGTTTGGCAGCGATATTGGTGGCAGTATACGGATTCCGGCTGGCTTTAATTTCTTATATGGTCTTCGTCCGTCCTCGGGACGGATTCCGTATCAGGGTGTTGCGAACTCGATGGATGGTCAGAACAGCCTGCTTTCTGTCCTTGGGCCGCTGGCGCCCACGGCCAGGTCCCTGACGTTTGTTTTCAAGAGCGTGTTGAGTACGGAACCTTGGTTCCATGATCCGCTGGTTTTGGAGCTTCCATGGCGGGATGTTATGGTGGATCAGACGCGTGAGTTGATCCAAAAAAGCAAAGACAGCACGTCTTTGGCGTTTGGTATTATGTACTACGATGGCTTTGCCCGGATCCATCCGCCCATTCATCGCGGTATGAAGCTAGTCGAACAGACTTTGAAGAGACTGGGACATACGGTGATCCCTTGGACTCCCCCCTCTCATGCAAAGGCCCACGATCTTGCTGTAAGTTGCTCATTTCGCAGCAGCATCCCTACCTATCTGGTCGAAGTGGCGATATTAATCTGCAGCAGAGTGAGATCTATGGTATGGATGGTGGCGTCGACCTGCGGCACCATTTCGGTCTTTCCGGCGAGGAGCAGGCACCACAGGTTATTGTTGACCAGGATGGTGTTGAGATGAAAGCGTCTGCAATCGCCCAGCTCAATATTGCTAAACGGGAGTACCAGAAGGAATACATGGACTACTGGAACAGCACTGCACAGCTAACAGGCACGGGTCGACCAGTGGATGGCTTCATCTGCCCTATCGCACCGCATGCTGCTGTTATCCCACAGCAGTACAGGCACGTGGGCTATAGTTCCTTCGTTGACGTTCTAGACTATCCCAGTGTCACTATCCCGGTTACCCACGCCAACAAGAGTGTCGACGTCCGTCCCGCGAATGCGCCTGCTGCTAGTCTAGAGCCGCATGTTGAATGGGATTGTAAGTTTTGCTGACAATGAACAATGCGCTCGGCCTGATAAGGAACATCGACCTAACTTCCCATAGACGATGCCGACACGTATGATGGAGCACCAGTAGCAGTTCAGCTAGTCGGACGCCGGTTACAGGAAGAGAAGATGCTGACGCTTGCCGAATACATTGGCGAAGAGATTGCTCGGGAGTTAAAGAAGTGATTTGCTCCTCAAGGGTGTGGGCAAAGTTTTTGATACTAAGCTGTCTGTTTCAGGTTGACTAGAATATGAAAGAATGGTCGTTCGTTTTGCACAAGAGGTTTGGAATGCTACAGCAGTTGAAATAACCAGGTAGCAATTTGGAAGAGTTGTATATTAAGCCAGTGTGCCTGGGTTTGTAAAGAAAAAACAAAAACAAAAAAAAAGCCAAGTAATGACCACGCAGAGAAAAGGTTGCAGCTTGAACTATATAAGGGGTATGGGTATTATCATATTTACAACTAAATCATTCGTTCACTCCCGAGCTCGCTTCGCTTTGTTCATGGAGCTACCTTGGGCGCAAATCTCGGACCCTTGAATGGCAACATATAACAAGATTATTGACGCGGCGGAGGCGTTTGCCCCGACGGCGCGGCCACATTGGAGAGCATTATAGGAGCCGAGCCAGCAGTCCACGAGGGCAAGGGACCCATGGGCTTGCTACTCGACGGTGGATCCGACGATGGTGCCGCTGGGCCATCGGATCCATTCATCAACCGAGGACGCTTCACCTGCGGACCAGGACTCCGGGTATCTGAAAGCGAATAAGGAGATTGGTACTGCGCAGAAGGAGGTGTAGATGTGGCGTTTGCTTCCGGACTCCTTGCAGAAGCAGACTGCAGCGGCCGCAGACGGTTGGGATGGTTGGTGGTATCCTCGCCCGGTCGGGGAACACGACAATCGCTAGTGGGCTGGCCGATACTGGGATCAAGTCCTGCATAGCTCACGCCTGGCCGTCCAATGCTCTTGTCATGCATAACTACGCGCTTCCACTTTGCCACGACGTTGTCATAATCCCATCGCGCAGAATCAGGACTGATCTGACTCTCCTGCGAATCTAGCTCCCGTGCGATATCCCTGGAGATGGGGAGCATGTCGGGTGGAAACAAAGCAAATTCGCGCGGCCATTGACATGATCCCAAGCGCGCCACTTGTGCGCGCAGCTGATTAGCTTCTTGCTGCACCCGAGCCAGCTGTTCATCTACCGATTTGCGCCTTTCGATCTCCTTCGCAAAGGCGCGCGTGATTTCCAATTGCCATGTTTCCTGACGAGCTTCCGCCGATAGGTTGTTCCAATGCTTGAAGGCAAGCTCAAGATGTCTGACGCCAAGATCCTCGTGTTGCGAGGCTGTTCGATAGATCATGCCCTGATCGTGCTTCGTACCCATTTGTTTCGCATGCTCCTGGGGATCGGCTGCAAGCTGTTCGGTCTTCCATTGCTGGACTTTAGACCGAAGCGCGCGACGCACCATATGAAGGTGCTCCTCGGTGGGGGGTTCGAGAGGAAACGCATCGGGTGTGGAGAACGGGTGTGTCGCAAAGAGACTCGTGGGAGGAGGCAGAAGGAGCAGGCAGAGAGACGGGAAAGTCTGTTGCGAGACTTCGAAGTCGAAAGGATTTAAGCGAGATTTGAATCGAGAGCTGTTGGAGAAAGAAGATGAGCAAGGAAACAGTTTGCGACAAAAATGGCACCCACGTTGCAGCTTTGACATTATCGAGCACTTCGCGCAACGCCAGTTCCAGCGCTCTCAATGTGTCTGGATTGTTGGTATTTGCGCCCCGACTCGAGTAGTCCGGCAGCTGGATGGAGCCCGATCGCGTCTGTGTGGGCGTAACACGAGGTGCTTCCGTGATTCGGCTCGGGTTGGGGATGTCATTGATTACGCCTGTAGCATGCCAGGTGGGCGTGTTGAACATCATGCGCGGGTGCGCGCCACGTCCTTTGTCCGCGTCGCCAGCGTATGAGTGCGGTGCGCCTCTCTGTGCGCTGTCGGGAGTTCCGTCGCGCTTCCCACCGGCCGTGCGCGCCTGGCGACGAGTGATTCCGCTGCGAACGCGCCGGATCTCCTCGACATCGTGCACTCCATCCGGTTTCTTCTTAAAGAGGAATTGATCCAGATGCCGACCCAGCGACGAGGAGGTGAAGAACTGACCGCAGTATCGACATTTACGATCTTTCGCCGTGGGGTTCTTCGACGTAGATGTGTCTGCCTCAGTGCGCGACTCCTCGGGAGTCTCTCGAGAGTTTTGTTCGTCAGGCATGGTGGAAGAGGATTGGGAGAAAAGACAAAGGGCCTAGTACATGGCAAGAAAAGGCGGAAAAATACGTGGAAAGGTAAAAACGTGGAAGTGGACACGAGCTGTCACAAGCACGGTCGAGGACAAGGAAATTAAATGGGGAACAGGGAATTGACGTTGGGGGCGAGAGGACACCCGCCAAGCTTTTCCGGAGCTGGTTTTTTCCATGCGACCGCCTATAGATGGGAATCATTCATCGCACAGCGGAAATCATTTCTGGTATGGATACAGTCAACTTAGTAAAATCCCAGGACCTCTAGAAGGCCTGGGGAGGGCATGTCCGTAGCTTGGCTAGCTTAATCTGTCTCCGAATGTCATGCTGAGCATCGCGGGTGGAACTAAATCTAAGAATCCTGCCCGGGCTTCTCCTGATCGCCTGGGCTGCCACCACTACTCTGCTGCGTCTTGCGAGCGCTGAACCATCGTTTCAGATCCCGAACTCCATGGAGGTATAACCAGGAAAACACAAAGACCGCCAGAAAGTTAAAGGCCACAAAGGCCCAGAAGATCCCCTGTCGGTGGTTAGTCGAGGGCGCTACCAAGGCCACGGAATACGAACTCACATAATCACGCCATTTATGATTATACGAAACGTTGAAGCTCTTCGCCTGGAGAACGTAAAAGCAAGCACATTAGTCCATGGAACCCCTTGAAGGTCTTCATTTCCGGAAGGGGAGAAAGGGACATACGAATTCGTCGCCTGTAGCATACTGGCAGTACGCACAGAGCCCATTTGCAGCGTCACGGACGTACCCGCCCGATTTTCGGGCGAAGGCCCCTGCGTACTCCTGACAGGTTTGGCCAGATGGAGGGCTGAAATGCGCTTCTTCTCGGTCGACACATTGTACGGGGACATTGTGTGTAACGACCCCCAGGAGCCCTTCCAGAAGATAATGGAATGGGGTAAGCCAGTACATCCATGCCTTCCAGAAGTGTGGGAGAGCGACATAGGGAACAACCACACCACAGAATGAGACCACGAAGGTGAAGAAAGAAGGAACCAGTAGCGATGCAAAGAGCTCGTTAGGTGCAAATGCCGCGATGAACTGCCCGAAACCGATGTAGTAGCATTCGAAGACCATAAGGAGCATCCATGTGTATCCGGAGCTGAACGAGTCGCGAGGGAACCAGACACCCCAGTACCTACAAACAAGACATTATGTGAGCCTCATTTTCCTAGAAAATGGTGGGAATCAGTGATGAAGAGCTGAACATGACCTACCAGCAGTTAAAGTAGATGGACCCTGCGACGATAGAGTACGGAAGCTCAGGTAGGATAGTGCTAACCACGAACGCAGTCCAGGAGTATATCTTCGAATTGGATTCGCGGGACTCGTATAACCCTCGGAAGTGTAAGTATTTAGGCTGCAGTTGTTGAATCAGCGGAGGAGAAATGGTCAGTGTCATGAAGATCGAAAACAGTCGAGATTGCATGTCGATATAACTGTTGCCCAAATGCCAAAAGGTGAAGGTGTTGAAAAGTCCTGTGAAGATGTGAAGCATAATTTTTCCCTGGTAGAGTTAGCAGAAAGTATCAAAATTTTTCAAGTCTAGAGGCTGTTCCAGCATACCAGGATATAATCTGGAAGTCTCCAGTATGCCACAAATGCTCTTTTGGTGACAGCCACTATCTGGACCGTTAATGGCATCGCGTATTCTCGGTCATCCCTGGTCTCTTCATTTCGCACAGACTTGCGGGAGTGGATTATCTCTTCGATGGTCTTGGAAAATTCTCTCGATTCTGGGGAGTTGGCCCAGACGTCTCCCCAGTCTTGACCTTTGTACTCTGGATTTCCAGCTCCAATCACTTCGAGCATGTATTCCGCAGGGTTTGCTTGAGGCGAGCATTTCTTCCCTCCGTTGCGTTCGAAATACTCGATCAAAGTCTTTGAGTCTGATCCGAGTGATCCATTGTAAACCACTCGACCACCGCTCTGAAGGAGGAGGAGCTCATCGAACTGTTCGAATAGGACTGCCGAGGGTTGATGGATTGTGCACAGGATAGCCTGACCTGCGTCCGCTAGCTTACGCAGGAACCGAACAATGTTGAATGCAGCCAACGAGTCAAGTCCCGAGGTCGGTTCATCCAGGAATAGCAACAGCTCGGGTTTACTGGCCAGCTCCACTGCAATAGTGAGTCGCTTTCGTTGCTCTTGGTTCAGGCCGGACCCACTAGAGCCTACCGTGGCCCCGGCGATTGACCGCATTTCCAAGAGGTCAATGATCTTCTCGCAGTAGTCATATTTCTCTTTCAATGGGACCTCTTTTGGTTGTCTCAGACGTGCTGAAAATTGGAGCGATTCGCGAACAGTAGCAGTAGGCTCATGGATGTCCATCTGCTCAGCGAATCCGGTCGCTCTCTGGAAACTTTTTGGAAGAGGCCTTGATCGTACGTTAGGGACGGCATTGCTCAAATATCTCAAGGGTATACATACTTTCCATCAACCAGAAAGTTGCCGCTCACAACGCCGAAATTAACTCGCTGTGCCAAAACATTGAGGAGGGTGGTTTTCCTGTTGGGAGTGTCAGTAGCCTTCGTGGTAAAACGCATGGAGAGAACATACCCTGCACCAGACGCACCCATGAGAGCGGTCAGACGGCCAGGCTTGACATATCCATCGACGTTTTGAAGTAGATTTCGCTGTCCACCTTTATAAGGAATCGTATAGTTGACATCTTGCCACGTGAATATCGACGTATTCTTTGCAATGTCCTGAACAGTCTGATCGGAATCCTCTTTTCCAAGGGTGTCGGCTGGGTGCTCCTTTTCAATAGTCTCCTCATCTGCTGGTGGTTCACTATGCTCAATAGCATCTTCAACAGCCTTAGGCACCTCGCCTCTCTTGAACACAGTCACAGAGCTACCGCCTTTGTTGGGTTTCTGTATCTCCATTCCTAGCATAGTGAGGCAGACAAAAAAAATGAGCCAAGCGATTATAATCCCGAAGTTGCGCCATAGATGAGATCTTGAGTAGGTGTATGCGGCCTTGATGTAATCAGACCCTTGAACAGTAAGCTGGTTTGGGGTACTCCCTTGGATAGCGCAGCTCTGATGGGAGGCCGATGTATTCGGCCCGTCAGGGACAACATACGGAGGCACACACTTAATCTCCAGATTGTAGAACTCGTTTGCCATCAGGCCCTCGAATGCGTACTGAACGGGGTTGATCCAGATGAGCCATTTGAGCCACGGATGCATTTTCCAAGGTGGAATCAGATAGCCTAGATCTTCTGTTAACACATGGACGTCAAAGGAAGATGAGAAGTCGGACCTGTGTATACGATTAAGGCTTGAATAGCGACACCGGTAAGACGGGTGGCTAGGGAAAGAAGTCAGCAAAATCATTCTGGCCTGCCATATCCACTGGAGCAATCCAATGCGCTTACCAACGTCCAGGAGGAACATAAAGCGCCCAGAGCGCGGAAAAATGAGTACATGGTCATCGTCAGCGTGAAAATAAAAAGCAGGCAGATGAAAAACTGCGACGGCGTCCTTGATAGGTTCGCCATGCTAAAAAAAAAAAGATTAGCCCACAGAAACAAGCCCTCTCTCCGCATCTGGGAAGCATACAAATAGACTATCAAATTAAAGAGCACAACTTGCACGAAGACCAGCGGCATATCTACCACAACTTGGGCCAAGGCATAGGCAGAAGGCCGATAAAACGAGCTATGGGGTCTAGTCAATATCTTCGCTGCGACTGTCTGGCCGATGACCAACTTACAAGCTCTTGTGCTTCATTAGAATTGGCCGACTCTCGAATGCCGCAGTAAGCTCTGCCATGGCCAGTAGCGCATTGAACAGAAGAATGTAGAACATGACTCCTCCTCGAGTGAAGACCCCAGAGCTAGTTGCCGTCAGTGAAAACTTTCAGTGGACACCGGACAAACACATACCTGGTATTAGGTAAATTAAAGAACAAGCTGCCCACGATGAGGGCTTGGAAGACGATGACGCCCCATTTTCCCGCAAGAGCAGCACGGTCTCCAAACATAACCAGGAACTGACGGTGAGTAAGAACCATCACCTGCTTCCAAAACGGAATTGTGTAGTTTTTCTTGGGGGTCCTTTCTCTAGCAGCCTGCCGTTCATGCTTGTTTTCTTCGATTTCTTTCTCGAAATCCTCAATGTCGGCAAGCGCACGTTTATACAGATCACTCTCTCGGTATGCAGATCGAAATTCCTCCGCAGTGCGAGGGATGCGGTCTTCCCACCCTTTCTTGACTCGTCTCGCGTTGACATCACTAACGGTAGTCAGGAAATCAGGGGTTGTCCAGCGCGGGGGGCACTCAAAGCCCAGTTTCTCGAAGTGTGCCTTGGCGTCTTCGGTGCGACCGAAAAAGGCACACTTTCCGTCTTCAATGAGGATGACTTTGTCAAACAGATTGAATAAGTTTTCAGAAGCTTGGTAGAGGGCAACAAGGGTTGAAACGTGAGCTGTGTTCGTCAAACTTCTTAAGCTCTGCACATACTCGAGTGCAGTACTTGCATCGAGGCCTTTCGTCGAATTATCCCAGCACTGGGTGCTGGCTTTAGTTACCATTGCTTCACCGATGGAAACCCTCTTTTTCTCTCTAGAAATCAAAGAATAATTGTCAGAATATGAGCTCCTTTGACCATTCGAGAAGTTTCATGGTCGGCTTACCCTCCAGAGATTCCTCGTATCAATTCATTGCCAACCTTTGTGCCCAGCGCATGCTCAATCCAGAACAGTTTGGCAATCGCAGAAAGGAACGTCTCCTGATAGTCCTTCCTACTCTCTCCCGGGATTCTCGATTGCTGATCCGGGGTTCTCGTCTTGAGCGCGAATAGTAGAGTCTCGCGAACCGTGAGTGTGGCATAATGAAGGTCATCCTCGGGGTTATAAGACACTAGATAGGTTAGCCAAAATACATAGTCATGTTCGTGCTTCTGAGTACCTTCAGATCGATAATCCTTTGTCATTGTTTCCGAATCGGTTCCGCCATAATGCACGTCGCCCTCGATACTCTCGTAACCACTTCGCTGGTTCCCAAGTACCTTGAGAAAAGTTGAACACCCTGATCCCGGGCGACCAAGCACGAGAAGCATTTCACCCGGCCGAACACAACCCTTGACATGGCTATTAGAAAAGAAATGGAAGTCTTCGATTGCGGGCGTGAAAACAATCTTACCGTGAAGTCATCCAAAATGGTTCTGATATCCGGTTTTCCAGCCCCGGCGCCCTTTCGTCCACGCGTGAATAGCCGTTTGAGCAGCCTGGGGATCCCAAGAAAGATATCTCCATTCGTCGGCTGGAGCGCTGCGCCTATGCCAACACCCTTCACAGTCAAGCCTTTCCACACGACCCCAGCATGTCGGGTCTTCTCTTCCTCAGAGTTGGCTTTCCGCTCATGACCGAACATCCGCGAAATCAGTTTCTCAATCTGCGCCCATTCTTCGCCGGCATAGCCAGATGCCTGAGTGCGCCGCCGGGATAATGTTTGGGACAAAGCATCGTCGCTGCGTTGGTCATCGCTGAGGCCTCTTTCAGGACCTTTGGAGTCCGCGTTATGAATTGGTGCAAAATTCCCTGCGCGCTCTGATGGCGTCGAACTGCCGACACTTGGTGGCGTTGATTCTGTCGAAGCTCGTGCATTCTCTGTATCATTTGACCTTTTTTCAGTCTCGATTTCTTTGTCTTCGGTCATAATGCCGTCGAGACCCTTTTTACAAATATCCAGAGAGGTATAGAGCTCAAGTTATCAACAGGTTCTTTACTCTCTGTCCAAAGGTATACTAGAGCCACAATACAAGCATGGAAATAGCTGGCTTTAAACCAAGCTTCAGCGTGAACTATCATTACGTCAAAAAAACATGGAAGTCACCCTGAACCCTTGTTACTCGGGTCTCGGAAGACTCGACCTCCGACTTCATGCATAAATGCACAATTCCAGGCAAACTCCGGGGTCCGGGCCTCATTTACATTTGCAGAATAAAACCTGGGGAATCTAGCCCAGTCTCCTTCCCTGTTGATCGCCGTGAATCCTGATTTCCAGGTTGGTCGGTCACGCCAAGGCACTCTGGCTCCCCGCATTCTTGGCCCCCAGCATGTCATGAAGTCATCAATGTCCGCTGTATTTCTGACCTGGTCAGTGAATTCGAGAGCTACGAAGAAACAAGAATAACTCTATATCTCATCTGGGCGAATCTCGAATATGATATTAAATAGCGCCTGGCGGTCGGCACGTCTCCGTACATCTTGAGGTTCTGTCATATACTAGTTGTTCTGCTACCGTGAAATTCCCCGACCATCGTCATCACAGCATCATGGCAGCCAAGGTACGTTAACTGCAATCCAATGAAACCCTGCGGAAGCGGTGTGTACCTTGTTGAACCCCAATAAGACGCGAGAAGACGCGAGAAGACGCGTTAGCTTGAATTATCGGGACTTGCCACTTCGCATAAACTAGATAGACTGTTGATCTGGGTCCACAACTTACAAAGAGCAGCTCGAAAGCTCTGTTCCTTCTACTAATTTGATGGGAAATTCGATTCCAATGATCAGAAGTAATCCGTAGTTAATAATTAATATCGTCCGGATCGGCATTCCAGGAAAGAACGCCATACTTACAACATACCAGTCCGAGTTGAGGGTTTTGAAAATACAAATCGGCAGCCGCATCCCATCATTCAATAGAAAGACACATTCATTTGAATTTCACAAATGCGTCAATCTTTGTGAGAACACTAGATGCGTCATGTACCAAAAATCCACCTGCCTGCGGAAGATCGTACGGTTCTTGCGCAGCACTCTGGTCCCAATCAAAGGCCACCCGCTTGGAGAACCGCCACGCTATAACGACATGCCATGCAAAGATAACACTGTATTCAATCCAGATGCGGCAGTCTTCCCTCCTCATTACAGCCGTGAGAGAGCCTGCGGGAAACCCTCTGCGCAGCAGACAGAACTGCAAGAAGAGCTCTTCGACCTATGGAGGAAGGTGTGGCTTGGGCTATATGAGACGTATGACAACAGCGCGAGCTGTCACATACCATTCCACTATGACCGACTTGAAGCACTGTACTACGGCACTGGGATGACCGAGCAAGCAGACTTGAATCACTTGGGCACCTTAAGACGCTGGTTCCCGAGTTGGCGACCTAGCAATGGCGTTGCCGCCATGAAGATCTTCGAGCACATGTCTGTTCAGAACCTGAGGTCCATGCTGGAGGTGTTGAAGGCGTACGAAAGCGAGATCGAGAATCTCACAAAGATTTATGCAATTCTCCGAGCGGCACAGTTGGAGTTGGGCCAATTGCTGCATCCTCAGGGTGAGAGCATTGCAGATACTCGTCAAAGCTTTTTGGCCATTGCTCAACCGATGGGGGAAAGACTCAGAACATACGACATCCGGATGGATGTGTTGACGATGCTGGTCTTCGACGAAGCTGTTGATTTTGGCCGTGGACGGCCTGGCGAGAGTGAACACGTCTATTATCTGGTCTTCCCAGCGCGTCAATACAGATTTTCATTCTAATACTGAGGGTTCAGTATTTCTGTCCGTATAAAGAATAAAGAATTTTTTTATCCTTAAGTTACTAGTTGTATCCGCACAGCAACGTGAACTTTAACAGCGACATCTGAAGTGTAGCATGCAGAGAAAGAATCATTTCGAGGCTGGAATTAAAACACTTCCATGAGCCTTTCTAAGGCAATGTGATACTCCCCTTAGACTGGTTCGTCTTGGCTGTCCTTAGAAGGACCACCGTAGAATAAATAACCCGTTTTGAACATATTTGAATGAAATTTCTGCATCCGATCATGAGATACGATTCTTTTAAGCACTAGGCTTCTAAGATAATGTCGTCTTATAGAACCTAGAATCAACTCAGAATTCACCGTACGGTTGGCCACTCAGACAAGCCAATCTGGAATCGCATCTTCATCCTCGGGATCTTCAGACATCAACGAGCCCTTCTCAATCTCACTATCAGAGCTTGAGACTGCGAGCTTGGGTGACTGGACGGGCTCGCGCACGGATTGATTCAGATGGACTTGGCTATCCTTGTTTGCCGAAGCTGTGTTACCGTCGTAAATGGGGTTGTCAACCGCTGCTGTGGGGTCCTCAGCGCTACCATAAAGTCCCATGGACGATGGCTTCTTAGGGGGAGGCGATGACTTAGGGGATTGATCGGATTTTTTTGGCACCACAATCAGGTTGTAGTGAGGAACCTTTCCGATACGTTTCTTGGGAATCTGCTGGGAGGCCGAAGGCAGCTTTGAAGATATGGCGACGGAATTATCCTTCGCAACCTCCAATGGTTCATCGACGGTAGAGCCTCCCTCGGTATCTCTGATACCCCGTCGAGACTTCCCCCGATCGCGAACTAAGCCTCCAATCTCAACATTTGAGGTAGAGTCCTGTGCTTCCAACTCCATCTGCACATCTCGAGATGGGCTTGGCATTAATGCCGCTGTCTCTGGAAGAAACCCTCCTCCACCTTCTTCTGGAAGGAATCCCCCGCCTTCTTCAGGAAGGAAACCTCCCCTCTCGGCCGGATCGATATCGAGATTCTGCTCCAGGGGATCTTCTGCTTCTTCATTATCGCTGGCATATTCTTTCACACGCTCTGATATCCGAAGTTTAAGAAGAAACAATCGCCAAAGGCGGAGAACTTCTTCTGATCTTGCTTCGAGGGCTTCTTGTTCTCTTTCATCCTCAAGGCCCCTCAATACTTCCTCAATAGCTTCTTGAAATTCCTCTGCAATCACGATGCCGTTCACTAGAGCCGTTCCGACGCCTGGGCGCGACTGAAAATCAAACCCAGTTACAGCTCGTGCATGGTCTATGCCAAGAATAAGAGCTGCACGCAACGCATCCTTGTGCTTGATATGCACTGCTCCTGGGGGTGTCATGCTTGGGACGAAGAGATCCAAATTTCCAAATGCATTCTTTGGAACTATTCCCCGAACTACAGGCGGTGCACGATACAGTTCGGTCTGAAACTCTGCATAAAGCGCTGTCTCGCCGTCTTCATCATCACTGGTGTGCTGCTGAGACTTGTTGCGACGAGGGATATGTTTCAGAGGCTGTTCTCCGACCTTCACATCTCGGCCCAACAGGTACCATCTCCTAGCAGCTCGTACAGTATGAACGTCAGACCTGCGGTACACAGGCTCAAGTTTGTCGCTGTTCGATGTGGCTTTGCTCAAGCCGACGGAGCCTATCTTTCGACCGACGGGGTAGAAGGCTTGATTGTGACGCAGATGCCTCTCCAGTGCATAGACCGGGTGGTTCAGGTAATCTTGGATGTTTTTGGGCATCGGTTCAGCTTCGAGTAAAGCAGCAAGTTCCTTGATATCTGCTTCATCATGAGCTTCAAGTATTGGCTTTTCGAGCACTGAAAGTGCATCATGCCACCACTTTGCTCCGCCTTTCTTATTTTCGACCCGGTTCTTGCGAGTTTTGGCGTTGAATGCTTTGGTGTAGCGACAGGTAACATCTCTGACATAAGCACCATCATCAAATGCCACGACATAGGTCATTGCATTATAGGGATCCTTGGCCGAAGGCTCCATTCTTTCAGGTTTCGCTAGAGTTTTCGTAACTACAGGATCAACCACAATCCATTTTCCAGCGCCCTCATTCCAAGCCTCGACCCAAAAGACTGGACACGGTGAATCGTGCAGTATCTCTTTCGAAGTCTTCTTCGATCGAGTGGACGACGGTCTCGTGGGGCCAGGTCTGAATGTAGGGCGCCCGATTCGTCGAGATCTAGATGGAGCAGGCGGTTCCGACATATTCTTCTGGCTGTCTACAGGAGACGTGTTTTTGTCAGGAGGAACAGTGGACTGCGAGTTCGTCTCCTCGGGCGTCGTATCGGGCTTGACACTACCTCCGAGCGGGAGTGGCTGGAGGGAGCATATGATTCTGGCCTCTATAGTCAGTGACCGTAAGAGGGCACAGAACAGCTGTGCTCCAAAGTCTCGCGATCCTTGCATCGTTTCACCCTGGGATCGAAAGTCATCTCGAGATGAAATCATTTCACCTTCAAGCATGATTGACTCCTATAGGGGAGTCAGTTGTTTATCGACTATCGTGACGTATTGGTCTTAAGGCTTACCATTTTTTGCTTTCGTTGGGTTTCATTATCGGCCCAGTGAGATCGTCTTAAGCCTGGATATGTGACGCGAAACCGCTTGCTGAAAATATCTGCAACCTCGTTAAGGCCATTCATAAAAGACACAGATTTCTGATAGCCGAGTTTAGCGGCAGGTGGATGAAGGAGCCTGATGACATCCTTCGGCACCATTGATCTCAAGAAAGTCTGGTAGGGAGGTTTTCTCTTAGCTATGACAAACCGAGAAAAGGCGCAGGGGGTTATCACTTACTTGCAACTGAGGGTCATTGCACCACCGGTTTCGCATATTGACATGGGCTAAGAGGCAAAGAAGATGTGTTTTGTGCACATTCAACCGGAGCTCCTTCTCTGTCGTTGTGAGGGGCCTCCACTTCGGGCCAGATTGTTTTTTAGCTCCAGCATCTTGATCAAAAGTAATGACCAGAGGTTCGTTCTTGTCGTAGGACTCATTTGCCAGACTTAATGGGCCTTGAGCCGGTTGGACGATCGGAACATCTTCCCATTCAATTCCAGATTCTTCATCTTCCGTGGGCGATTCAGAAAGGGTCTGCACTTCACGTACAGGATCTAAGTTTGGAACCGACGTCAGATTGGTCTGGATTGCAGTTTCAGAGCCAACAGGAATGGCCCTTGTGTCAGCAAATCTGCGCTTTTTGACCGGCTGAGTTGAGGAGAACTGCTCGGGATCGCGTGCCTCCGCATCTCTGAGCATATCACGATAGACCTCTGGAACCTCGTCATCCGAAGAAACCTGACGCTTCGATCCTGTTCCCTGAGTGCCTCTGCCCCTAGGAGCACGGGCTGCAGTCCGTCGCACCATGCCTGCTTGGACTACTCAAAGGCATGGAACGCCCTCAAGACGAGCTGACCTGTCTCGGTCTACAATTTCAGACCAACGCGCATATCGCGCAGTGAACTTGCGTCAAAGTCTGTACTTCAACCCTGTTGGACTCCGATTCGTCGCCTCGTAATCAGGCAGAAATAGAGACCTGCGTTCACAAGGGTTCAGATCGATATGCTGATTGGTGGGGCCGATGCGTCATAACGGGGCAGGTTAATCCGGCCGTAAAGAGTCGAGAATGTAAATGTTACGGACCGAGAGAGTCGAATGTGGGGAAAGAGACGATGAAGTGGGGTGGAGATGCGGTGGAGAGATTCTTCTCAGCGCAAGGGAAAAGTAATCAAGGAAATCCTGCATCCCGCTGAGGTCACCTAGTAGCCATCTTTGATATCGAAATATCACATCTATGGGCACATCAAGCCATAATTGCCCGTGATTGAACCAACGCTTGTTTCCGAAGAGGGAATGAATTATTCCATTCTATTAATTCAAGCTCTTTTTGTTTCTATAACTGACAGACCCGCCATGACCCCAAAGTTAACAAGACCAATAGAACAATACAATCATATCTAAATTGATCACGTGATCGCGTTGTGAACAAGACGCGTGAGACGCGATTTTACTAGGCTCCATCCTCGACACGTCATTGCACAACCAACCAGTCCCTGCCTTGTCCCGATGTGACCTCCCTATGCCTCAGCTATCGAATCTGCGATGAAAAACCACAAAACAGGAGAGAGACCTCCAGAGCCTTCAGAACCACAATTCAAAACACCCAGTCGGCCAAGCCGGTCAACGGCAGGAGCCCCCAGCACTTCCAAGCGTACCGCTCCCTTAACGTCTGAACGACAATGGAAGAGGTCGTCCCTTTCTGGCTCTCGAGCACAATCAACCCTCACGCAGATTGACTTCGTGACTCAGACTACACAGTCCGACAATGGTTCCCTAGACTATATTGGCGGAACCACACAAGACGAGGCAAACAATCATGGCGAGCCTATTGTCGTAGATGACAATTCCGCTTCAGACTCGGAACACCTAGGTTCCTTGCCTGTCGGATCAAGCCTCGCACGAACGAAATATGAAATGAACGACGACCGCCCCCGAAGGCGGCGGAAAAACGCGAGGGCAACCCTTCCGGGCCGTGCACCTAGTATACGCAAGAGCCAGACACCGAAGGCAAGAGTTGCAAGAAAGGGAAAGGGCAATTCGACCGAAAAGCAACCTGCAAAGCGCGACAAAACCCTTACCCAAATGGATTTTGTTCGACGGTACATCACCATAGATGATGACAACGACATGAACCTGGGATATCTTGAGCCAGCCCCTGCAAGAGACTCTACCAACACGGAATCAAAGGTTTTCCTAAAAAAGGATCATAATACGAGAACGGATTTACATACAGCTAGTTCTTCCTCGACCAAGCGGAATCGTCGAGAGCTGACGATCGAGCGAGATCTTTCTACCGGTGAGCCATTAACCTTCGGAGGGCATAGCCAATTATCAGGTAACGGAGATATCACCGATTCAAGACCGAATGATTTGAAAACTCCCAGAAAATTTCGAAAGCTGGAGATTCCCTCATCACAATCTCCAGAGAGCCCTGGTCTGGCTATCATTACATCCTCTCAATTTCGGAGCGCAACTCGTTCACCTGCAAAGAAACCGGGCCCCGGGTTCCATCATATCCAGGATAGTGGAATTAAAAAGGAATCGCCTACCTCACCAAAACTTGTCAAGGACTCCAATGATCAGGCTAGTCCTTCGCCAATGAGAACTCCCAGAGAAGCTTCGCCCAAAGTCCTGATTGCTTCAAGTCAACACCCGTCGACGTTTGCTCAGAGACTTGCTTTGTGTGCTACGTCGACTGCCTTGCACTCCCAGCAATATTCAAGTCATGACACCGAAGCACCAGTCATGCACAACCAGCGAGAACGGACAGTGGTGTATGAAACCGATGCCGAGACAGATCAGAGTGAACCAGAATGCGACGATGATCAGACCCCAGCTACTCCCTCCAGAACTCAGAGGCCTCCGCCAGAAAGCACCAAGATAGCATCTTCCAGTCCCGTGTCCAGAGTTGATGATTCACATGATCTCCCTCTGCCAAGTAGTGGACGCCATAACCAGCCTGACTTTGATTCACTTTCGGAAGCACCAATGTCAGACGCATCCGTATACTACCAAAGAATGCAACCGGCAACTCAATTCCCACATGAACCAATCCCATCCCTCAACACCCAGAAGCTATCGGAGCTATTTCCCAACGAGGGTGGTACGCAATACCCACAGCAGTCTCATGGGCCGAACACATCTGAGCAGGCTCCTGGTCCCTTTATACAAACACAAACTCAAAGCCAGGAAATCAATCAAACTGAAATTGTTCCAGAATCCTCGCCAGTCAGAGAACAAGACGGCATATTCGAAGACAACGAGGTTGTTTTCCAGCGGCCACGAGCTCCCGAATCGCTTGTGCAAGTCGAATCATCGCAGCCGGTGGAGCGGAGACCCAATGGCGCGGGTATGCTTTTTTCACGGAGTCAACTGTTGACTTCAAGTATTATGGAAAGTGTGCCCTTGCCGAATTTTTGCATGAGCAGTCAGGACAGCGTTGGTGAGCCGTATAGCCTTCCCGACCAGTGATAGATTCTTTATGATTTACGACTATTTTAAAACGGATCCACGATGGTCTGTTGATCTCAACCAAGAATTTTGCATAACATTGCCTTGCTAGTCGTAGAGCTTTAAATTGACGACAGGGCCGCCAGTCTGCAGTGTTGCTTACACCTCTGTACATACTAGGGCCCTTATCCGCGCCAGCTCAGTACTGTCTCCAACTAGGCAGAATGTGCTTTAGCGTAGAAAAAGTTCGAGAGGTATAGGGAAACGATTGAAAATCAAATCTAGAACTCAGAATTCTGCTACTAATTGCTACTAATCAACCTATAATATTCTGGAGGTGTCTCATATGCACAATAAACACCAGATAACTAAAATGTCGATCGACGTCCAGGGGGGAAACAAGCGGGGCGGTCGGCCAGTGACGAACGCGGAGATCAAGTGGTCGTTCCGAGCTGTCACTTCTCCTCCATCAACCACCATGGATACCGCATACGACCACATCCAGGAGGAGATTTACTCCTCCAATAGGAACGAGACCACCTCAGACTCTTCCTCCGCTACCGAGAAGCCGAACATCGACCTCAACACCGAGCTCACCGAGACCTTCCGTGCTTTCTCCGCCAGTCCGTGGGGTACTCGAATTGGAGGCTTGTGGGACAATGTGCGCAAGCAAGGCGAGAGTTATTACGAAGGCGCAAGGCAGGAATATGTGGCGGCTAGCGAGGAAGCTGTGAAGGGCTTTACGGATCTGAAAGACACCATCGTTGATCGAACAAAGGGGCTGACGCTCAGCACGGCAACTCTGACTGGCGAAGGTTCAAAGGATGAAGCGACTACGCCTACTGCTGCGACGGAAGGGGAGTCTCAGGAGAAAGGTGAGGAAGCCGGTCCAAGCGGCGAAGGGTTCATTTCCCGCTTCAAGGCCGAAGCTGCTCGACGACTAAAAGAAATCGAGAAGGCCGAGGAGGCTGCGGATGAGGCAATTCTACGGTTTGGGATCAGCATTAGCCAGAAGCTACGTGAAGCCGTGAGCATTCTGCCACCAGAAACCGACGAGTCTGGCAAGCTCCTTTTCGAGAGCAAAGATGCGGATGGCAAAAGGGTCATCCATGCGACTCGGTTCGACGCTCAATTGCACGTTATTCACACGAATCTGGACAGCTTCACCAAGGACCCTGTCAGCGACAAGTTCCCCGAGCACAAGAAGGAGTTCAACGTGGACGCCAAGACGGACGAAATTGCTTCTTATCTGGAAAAGTACCCAGAGCTGCGCTCTGCAATGGAAAAGCTTGTTCCAGAGACTGTTGAGTATGCTGATTTCTGGACCCGCTACTACTTCTTGCGCCTCGTTATTGAAACAGAGGAGCAAAAGCGCAAGGAACTTTTGAAAGGTTTGTTTTCCGCCCATACATCTCCAGTTGATGGTTTAAGGTTAACGCTCACCGTACGCAGGCGCCCATGCTGAAGAAGAGGAAGAGGTTGGATGGGATGATGACTCTGAATCTGAGTCTGAGTCGCCTTCTACTCCTCAGGTTCACACGGGGGGGTGGAAAGGCTGCCCCAAGTAAGGACGCTCTAAAGCCAGAGGCTCGCCGATCCAACGATCAGCAATCGCAGGCGGATAGCGAGTCCAGCTATGATGTCGTCAGTGGAACAGCCAGTCGAACGCCCGGAAGCCCCAAAGATAAGAGCCCAACGGCCGACTCGAAAGCAGATGATAGTGATGATGACTGGGAGTAGACCCTTTCTTGCAAGTTACTGAAGTATTTGCAAAACAGAATTGCTGCATCGCTGTCTGATTTCGAGCCCTCGTTTTCTTTCCTTTTCCGGCGTTGGATATTCGGTTGGCGTTGATGGCTACTTCTCCATTCTACTTTTCTCCCTTGGTATTGCTTGAGCGATTGATGTCCGTTCCTGTTCGCTTTTTATCTTCGTGCACATCCCTCGGTCGAATCACATACTTTCTAGGATTGACAGCGTCTTTTCCTTAGCAACCATGCATGCTCCAGTATCTTCACTTTCGTAAATAACTACTCTAGACCGATCGATCTTATGGTAACAGGCGCCATACCCACTATGGCATATTTAGTCCGTGTAACCACATGCCCATAACCGTTCATGTCGTCTTCTCTATATACTAAAACTATTTCCAAGGTGACACAACCACTCTTGCGCGCTCTATAAGGAGCATCATCAAGGATGCCGGTACTATTCAGAAGCTCAGAAAACCCCTCCAAAAAAGAGGGGTTCAGCGTTCCATGTACTTTAGTAAGTTGCTAGTATAGGATTTTTGTAGCGTTGAAGATTGTGATTGGTACTATGGGTCATTCTGCTGAAGCCCAATGACCCCAGCCTTCTAAGAAGCTGAGTAAATAGGAGAGCTAAAGTTACAGCATTCAGGCAGATTATCCCGATCTTTTCATTCTGCAGATCCAGAACCAGGTTTCTTGATGTTCAGGTTTGTCCCATGCTTCCTCGCCAAGGGTGAGCTCTGTTCTAACTCCGATTCGGACGTGTACGCAGGGGTCATCCCTCGCAGTCCACTGGGACGTCTTGGATCCGAGCCTACACCGGGTGATCCTCTCCCATAGACTGGCATTTCGGGGAGTGTTTTCCCTGGAACGGAGCTGAAGCCTTTGTGAATCTCCGCCAGGGGTATAAAGGCCGTCACCTTCGCGGGGCTGGGCCGAAGGGCTACCTGGCCCCCAGCCATATTGATAATCTTCGCCGCGATGCTTGACTGGGCTTTCGTCATAGGGATCCCAACCGACTCGACGGCGAGCTTCGTAACGGAGACGCTGGCGATGCTGCTCGTCTCCACCGGCGCCCGTTGTGGAAGACTCCTCCAAGAAGAAGTTCAGAAGTTCGTCACTAATAGAGAGATGGGATTGCTGCTGGAACTGTTGCAGGGAGGTAAGGCGAAGGAGAGTCTCGAGGAGGGAAAGAGATGTGCGGATGTTTTCAAACATCGGGTTTGAAACGGTAGTTGTGATAGGGGTTTCTGTGGAAGGACGCGAGGGTGACGGCGAGAGGGCTTTCTTATCATTGATGGAAAGCTTCTCCATCATACCAGGATCGATAGGTTGTTGGGCTGTCGGAGTGTGAGGGGCATTGTCGACCTCCGACTCAGTGTCTGAGCCCTCATCCTCATTATAGACTTCAAATGCAATCCATTCTGGGTCCAAGCCTGGCGGTAACCGCCATTGTTCTGGAATCGAATCTTCATGTAAAGAATGGAAGTTTTCTTGTGACGAACTCTCGCCGCCATTAAGCTGTGAGTCAAGTTGCGCTTGTTCTTCATCCTCCGGCTCATATGCTGTGGGGTCGGAGAGAGCATCGTTTTCGAATTCGTCTCGTTCCATCATACGACGTGGCGGTATAGCATTTTGGTCTCTTTTCAGTAAAAGGACTGGATTGTTCGTCTCCCCTTCAGTATTGATGTTCAGAATTCGACCAGTGTCAGCGTAGAATATCTTGGATATCTGATGGATGGGTAGGATCTCCCGGATCCCAGCAGATGAAACGCCTTCGTAGCTGTGTGGCTGGGGCTCATCTTCTTCAAAGGTGTGGACCCGTCCATCTTCCAAGTCCTCGATTATCATGACTTGATATGCAAATTCGTCAACCTCAGGATTTTCTGAAGGCTCCGGCTTTGTTTGACCACCAGAGTAGTACAATCTCATCGGGACTCGCCGGAGCTTCAAGCGAGCTTTGTGCATGACTTCTTTCCAAGTTGCTTCTCGCGCAGACTCTTCATCAAGAGGGCGGACATGACTCGCAAACAACATGTACATTGATAGAGTGAATGTTGGACCAATTTGGACGGCCTGTGCCTCTGATAAGGCATATTGAGTATCCCCTGCAGTGAGGAATGTACTAGCCTGTAAAAGCCTGGATGGGGAAACAGTGGATGGAAGATTGGTGGACAATTTGGCACCTGAGGTGGTTATGGCGAGGTTCATTAACGGTACTGCATCGTCTATTCTGGCAAGTAAGCTCTTGATGTCCTTGACGATGAACTTTATTTCTTCGCGCGCAGATAACGGAGTTTGAGAAGACTTGTGTTTTCGTCGTGACTCTTCGGACGCGGCTGCTTTCGCAAGTCGTTGGCCAAGAGCCTGGATATCCCACCTTAATGATTTGGTAAGAGCAACAGCAGACTCTAGTGATGTATTGCCACGAGCAGCACTATACGTTCATTAGCTATGGGCCAGCTTATTTCAAGGCTCCGAGGTTACGCACATCAACTCGATCATATCAATTGATGGGGAGATAACCTTGTATTCACATTAGCCAATGAAAGTTCAACCGGGCAAATTGAAAGGATTTCGCACCTGTATTTTGCTTTGCAACCGCTGTTGTAATAGCAGTAACTCATCGCGCTCCTCAGTATCAACATTCTGGATCATCGTTATCAGTCATGTTCCTAGTCCAGAGCTTTGTAAACATAATCAATACCTTCAGCAGGCGTGACGACTGGCGTATGGCATATGTCGCTGTAATTGTGATTCCAGAGCTGATTGAAACTGTTAGATTCCTACCCGCGTCGACATTTCATGAATTCTACTCACCGGATGGCATAATTCATTGCTTGCTGAGTGAGCTGTTCAAGGCGGTTAGACAAATGTCAAATCGAAAAAGAAAAGAGAGCTTCTTGGCTTCATGGCCTCTAACACAACTTACCCGAGTCAGAAATACCTCCATCTTGGCTGATGAAGCCACCGGGGCTTCTCTGGCACAGCTTGGGCAAACCGAATCTATTAGACCCCTGAGAAATAAGGTATGGAGGGGCTCTTATCGATAACTTCGGTTGTGCCCAACGTTGTCAAGAAGAGTTCGCCCAACCATGGGGGTTGTGAAATAGCTCAGGTTTCTCGAAGATTCGTGTCCCGTTAGCTTGTCGAGGTGACGCAACCTCTGTATCCATATAAGAACGAAACAGAGGTAAGCTTTTCTACTTCCAATTCTCCTGCATAGTACAATCACACGTGACGGCAGTGAGCATCGCGGGGGAGCTGAGTCAGCACTGCAAAAAAATTGAAAGCAGCGGGCCCCTCATTGTTATCAAATCTCGACTCCCTCCCTGGAATATCGTGATCCTACGCCGTTTCCTTCACTGCGTCTCGGATCAAATTTACCCACGATGTCGAACCAAACTCCCGACTCTTGGGAGGATGAGCTCTCTCGCCAAACTGAGGGCGTCAACCTGAACGGTGGCCGTCCTCAGCCTCGTGCGCCCGCTTTCCAGCCCGGCGCTGCTACTTTCCAACCTGGAGCCGCTTCGTTTCAGCCTGGTGCGAACAGCTTTGTCCCAGGGCAACAGCAATTTCAGCAGTATGGCGGCTACCCATATGCTCAGTACGGGCAACAAGGATACGGTTATCCCCAGCAAGGCTATAATCAGTACGGCGCATATGCCCAACAACCTGGTGGATACAACCAATACTATAACCAGCAACCTCACCAGAACTTCACCGCTCCTGTTCAGCAACCACAAGCCGCTGTCCCGGAACAATCTGCCCCTAAGCCCGCCGCGAATACATCCGCCGCCCCACCTAAGGCTAAGGTCCTCTCCATCGGCGCCACTTCTTCAAGCTCCACCCCAAAGACAAAGGTCCTTTCTATCGGCACTCCAACCCCCGCTCCTCCGTCGAACAATACCACCGAAACCAGCAAGGGCGACTCCAAGGGTACTGCAGCTGCCGAGGCTGGCGCTAAGGTGACCGCTTCCAAGGCTATTGACAAGACGGACAAGAAGTCGGAACAGAAGGCTGCTTCTGGAAAGTCTTCTCCTACGCCATCATCTGGGCGCTCCAGCCCTGCTCGTGGGGTTGAGGCTGCTAAGCAGGCTCGTGCTGCAGATGCTGTCGCCAAGTCGCAACAAGCAGATGTTGATGAGGAAACTCTCAAGGAAATTTACGGGGAGAGGAGAGAGCATGTCAACGTTGTGTTCATTGGACACGTTGATGCCGGAAAGTCCACTTTGGGTGGTTCTCTGCTCTACTGTACTGGCATGGTTGATGACCGAACTATGGAGAAGTACAAGAAGGAGGCCAAGGATCTTGGTCGAGAGACTTGGTATCTTTCATGGGCTCTGGATCTGAGCTCTGAGGAACGTGCCAAGGGTAAGACAGTGGAGCTTGGTCGTGCATTCTTCAAGGTCCAGGTTCCATCCGACGACGGTCCCATTGAGCGTGAATTCTCTATCCTTGATGCTCCAGGTCACAAATCCTACGTGCCTCAAATGATCGGAGGTGCCTCGCAGGCCGACCTGGGTGTTCTTGTTATCTCAGCCCGTAAGGGTGAGTACGAGACTGGTTTTGAGAAGGGTGGCCAAACCCGTGAGCACGCTATGCTCGCTCGTAACACCGGCGTTGAAAACCTCGTGATTGTGGTGAACAAGATGGACGATCCCACTGTGGACTGGCGCAAGGAACGATTCGATGAGTGCACTATCAAGGTCATCAAGTTCTTGGAAGCCCTCGGATATAAGAAGCAGAACATTACTACCATGCCCATCTCGGCCCAGCGTGCCATTGGTATTAAAGACCGAGTACCCAAGGACATTTGCCCTTGGTACGATGGACCATCACTCCTTGAATATCTCACAGACTTCAAGCTCCCAGAGCGTAAGATTAACGCTCCTTTCATGATGCCCATTACTGCGAAGTACCGTGACATGGGTACCATGGCTGAGGGTCGTATCGAATCCGGAGTCATCAAGAAGAACGGCAACTACATCATGATGCCTAATCGCACTGAAGTCTCAGTCTCCGCCCTTTACGGTGAAACCGAAGACGAAATTCCCACGGCGACTTGCGGTGACCAAGTTCGTTTGCGCCTGCGCGGCGTTGAGGAAGATGATTTCTTCCCTGGTTTCGTTCTTTGCTCTCCCAAGCGCCCCGTCCACTGTGTCTCTGCTTTCGAGGCCAAGATCCGTATTCTCGACATCAAGAGCATTCTCACTGCCGGTTTCAACTGCGTACTCCACGTTCATTCTGCTGTTGAAGAAGTGACCTTCGCCGCTCTCCTCCACAAGCTCGAGCCCGGCACCGGTCGCAAGAGCAAGCGCCCTCCTCCATTCGTGAACAAAGGCCAGACCGTGATTGCCCGTCTCGAAGTGACCAGCACCGCCGGCGCAGTGTGTGTTGAGAGGTTCGAGGACTACCAGCAGCTGGGACGATTCACTCTGCGTGACCAGGTATGTTCCGTTCCAGTTTCCTTTTCTCTTTCTCTCGCCTGAAGTCAGTGCTAATCTATTATTAGGGTCAAACCATTGCTATTGGTATGATTACCAAACTTATTCTTCCCGAGAATGAGGCGTAAAGGGCTTTCGATATAACGCCGGGATGCCTTCCCTTCTTCTTCCTGGTATGAAACCAAGATCTACAATCACGGGTATTTGCGGCGGTTCTAGCGACCACCTCCTGTTCCACCCGAGAAATTACTTCGAACCAAGCATGTCTTTCTAAAAACACGACTATCAAGAGGGCCACGGGCAGGGGTGGGGAAAAAAAGGCCGAGCATGATGATACCACAGCCAGTTCAGTTCCAGCGATGATGATGAAATGCGATCCCTTTACGTATAGATTCCATGTGATCGTCTTCCAAGTGACGAAGATGACTGACTTGCATATTGCACCTGTCACGTAATGCCCTGTCCCGAAAAAAAAAAAAATCACTTTTCACAGTTCAATCCGTCTGGCTATAAATCTCAGGGTATAAACTCGGTGCCCTTCTAATGAAAAATGCTCATGCAAATAAATGACTAAATCACCGCCTCTTCTTCCCAACCACCTTTGTAAATCCATCCTCATCGATCTCCGGCTCCACCTTCTCTCTTGGAGCCGGCGCATCGCCCATCTCAACGTCTTCAGCATCGTCCTCATCCGCCTCGTCATCCGTCTCCTGGTCTTCATCCTTCGACTCAACCTGCTTGAACATGCTAGCAGCCTTCTCCTCGCTCTTCTTCTGCCATGCGTCCCACTGAGCCTGGATCTCTGCAAATTCGCCGCGACCAGTCTGTGCCCTCATCTCCATGATCTCAGTGCCTACCTTAGCGGCACTCTCGTCGTCCACCACAGCGTCGAACTCGTCATTCATGACCTGGATAAGCACATCCTCCAAATCCTCAGCGTCGGTCTCGGGCCGGTCTGCTATCATATCTGAGATCGCACCGCATAGCCAGGCGCGCTTGTCGGCCGAATTTGGGCCACCCCAGTTCGATTGCACGGCAAGTGTGAGGGCGGGCCAGTTGTTGATCGCCAGTGTGATGCCCATATCAAGGTATGAGGCGGCATCAGTGTTGGCCACGGTGGAGCTTTGTTGAGTTGCCATTGTAAATTTTTTTTGGAAGGTCCCACTAGGATTGCTTGCTCGATAGGCGTATCAATACCCCGCGGGTGGAAATTGTTTGTCGACCGGGGCTTTAAGCGGCCAGACGGGAGTCCCGAGTAAAACACGACACGGTCGAAGGAATTTCTTTTCGGGGCTTTTGAAGGCACTAGCCAATTGACAATGAGGTGGTGGTGCAGAAACTCTTTGTTCTGTGCATATCTCTCAAAAAAAAAAATCTGGGCGGCGATTAGATATGATAAGGTCAGGTGATGAGATAGCCGTCCTGAATCCCAATCCAGTCCCGCACTTTGCAAGTATCTGTCTGTTCAAGCTTTAAGAACATTTTCTGTAGATTTCCAGGTATACGAGTGTGAGGGTACGCAGTCACATTGTTGTGGGATGTTGAATTCCTGGTCCTTAGTGTGTATGAGTTCCGCGGAAATTCAACCTAGATTGGCTATACCAGTACCAAATATTTAATACTAGTACAACCTTTGCAACTAGGCATAATCGGACACTGATATCAGTATGCTCATCAGTAGGCAGATGCACAAGTGCCCCGATGCGAAAATCATATTTCATGATGAATCAGGCTTCCATGGTAGTACTTGAGAGTCTCTTGGAAACCGTCTTTCTAAACAACACATATTTCGTATGCATAGTAAGAGACGCTGTCCGTATCAACTCAGACTGGTGATCTAGGAAAACCTTCACTGTGCATTCTGCGAATGAGGTTCACTACGCTTCCACTTCAAGCTTCTAGGGATGCCCAGCATCCGTGTCTTAAGCCTTCCTACCGAGATTTCCTACAAGGACTTTAATATTCTACAGGCCCATTCCAAGCCCTCTTTCCTTTCGCAGCAGAAGGGCACAACACGAGCAGGAGGGGTGGCTTCATACTCCTCGACTTGACCGGCTCTGGACATACTATTTGCACCAGCGAGGGATAAAGAGACCCCGCGTGATGATTTAATTCACTAGCAACATAATCCGCACTACTAATGGCTAAATGTGTGTTCGTCTGTATCGGAGGAGATCATGCTCATGTTCGGCCGAGGCCCCAAATGGAACATAACTGGGTACATAAGCGCATCGCAGAGGGCCCCGGGGTGGTATTGCGGAGTGGGGGAGAACTGTTGTGGATACCTAAAGTAGCAACGTAGATTATAGTAGAAGCGGGCGTTCTGGCAGGGGAGCCCTTCCTCTGTTCATATTCTTATCTTTATTAGAATCGTTCTCTGGGATGATTGTTGCAGACCAAGATCGATACAACGCCAGGGTTGGGAGAATGGCAGCAATGCCTCTGACCCAACGATGTATAATCCCCAAGGACTCGGAGACGACAATGAACAATGACAAATTCCAAATCCCGAATTCCACATCTCCACTAATATCATAATCCTCCAAGTGGAGCTGGAGCTGGCCAGGACTTATCTCGTCATGGTAAAGAAACCACCAGAGCTATGATTGGCGCACAGCAGGAGCTCCAACCTGATTCTCAGGGTTGCAGATCTGCAAAAGGCCTCTTTTAAGTTTCTGTGATTGACAGCGAGCCCGTGGCGGGCGTGCATGAGGAGTTTGGCAGGCGCCAACCGATTGGATGGGTGCGGTCTACCCAGACGAGCTGTAAACTAGCAAAATAGAGTTACGGCGGCTTTGATCAATTCCAAATAACTACTGGGGGGGGCCCTTTTTAATCAACCCTGAATCTTACCGACGGCCTGGTTCCTCTCCGAGTTAATTATGTTCCGCGTGAGGTGGACCTCGATGGTAATGCCGTGACCGGTGTCGATTTCTTGGTTTCCCCCGCTCGTCCAGAACGCATGCGCTACGGTTTCCGGCCCTTTTGGGAAAAGCTAGACGTAGGCCAATCGCGGCTTCTTCCGCAGAGGGATTTTCATCGGAGCGGTCTATTCTGTTTCCTCTGCACGCCACGTCGCTGCCCAATTTCGTATTCTAGGTTGTTGTGTGATAACAGGAAGGCGTAGACGCCGTCTCTTCTCTAGGATTGGGGCTTGTTCATGGACGGAAGTTCTATGCTGGTCCACTGAAATCAGGACAGGTAGCTTTTTTGACCTCGTTGGGTTCTTACCAAATCCGCAGATGCTTACAGGTTTCAGCCTCAGCATGGGGCCCCTGCAGGGTATTATCTGATTGAAAAGCGCCGGGGTCACCGGGTGTAACCTGCCGTTCGAATTCAGGCTTGCCCCATGTGTTCAGCTCATATACTCCGTCACGAACGGACCTGGGGCCGAACCTCTTTGTAGAGCGAGGTGATGCCAGGTTTTGCATACTATTGCTTCAAGCCGGTGCTTTGTTCGGCTCAGTGGTCTAGGGAGGAATGAGGGTTTGGAATTCGGAAGCGAGGCCATCAACGCCGAAAAATATCCCGTCTCCACTGCGGGCCTGGCGGTCACGGCGTCTGAAGCCCAAGATGGAGGCGGTTAGAAAAAAAAAAGAAAAGGGGAAAAAAAAAAATCATTTTCACCTTGTTCGGCGGGTTTTAACCCGAGACACCAAAGCTCAGGAAGTACACAGATAACGAGAATGAATATTTGCCGGACCGCCCTCGAAATAAGGGTTTACCAGCGGGCTTGGACCTCGATCTTCGACGGTTCTCTGGATTATCTAGAAGGTACCGACACTATGGAACCTGCGACTGTGTCCCAGTAGTCGGGTCGGCGAGGATTGTTTTGACTCGCTAGGGGATCCCAAGAGCCCGCGAGGTTCCTGATGGATGGAATTCCAGCACAGCGGCAGCCCGCGGCGTTATCTAAGGGGAAGTGTTTAGGTTTTGGTCGGGCTGATCTGCGATCAGCATATCCATGCCAGTGCTATTTCGCCTCTTTGGCTCGCCTAGAGTAGGCCACTCCTTCGTCCCTACGAATCGGCTGGTCATACGCCATCCTTCATCCTCATCGGGGAACACCGAACGCCTCAAGCAGTGATCCACCGAGGGCAGTCTTCCCAGGGAAGTAGTAAATCACATTCTAGCTGCTCAGGAAGCTTCCCCCGCTTCTAGCATCCCTGCTTGGTGTCGGGCATACTTTTGAAAGAGAGATGGGCACCCCCGGTTTCGAGTGGCTTCTCCCAAAGGGACACAAAAAAGGGTTTTGGAGGGACTTCGGCTCCGCTTGCGTTGCAAAAGAGTCTGTGGGGCCTGCCGAGCGGGGACGTGGTCCATGCTCGGATTTTCCTCTTTCCTGGGATTTTCTCCATCGACACCCTTCCTAGGGCATGGGCTTTGATTCAGAAATAAGCCATGGGAAGTAAAAGCGACGGGAGAGCCTCTAATGTGCAACCTCAATCGAACTCGCTGGGAGTACCAAATGACGGCATCTTCACTGCGGAACCGGGGCTTGACTCTTCCCCTTTGGGGTCAAGTGCCTCGTCTACTTCGGACTGGTCAACTTTCCGTTTAGCGAGAAAGTGTCGAGGAGCATCCCGATTGATCTTGGCGCCCATCCAACCATGAAACCGCTACATGGAGGTTCCCGGCAAGTTGGGATCGCCCTAATCCAGGCCAGGCCCTACCCTTGTTCCCGGTCCCCGGGGTTTGGTCGTTGGAAAGAGTGAAAGCCCTCCTGACAGCTCCACCGGGGCGTCCACGGTCCACTGCTTGCGGGGCAACTTCTTGTGATCGGCCACTGATCGTGGAAACAATCGTCCCCTACGAGGTCATACAGCCTGATCTAGCCTAGTACTAACTAGCGTACTACACATTCAATCCCATTTTCCCTTTCCCCCTTTTGCCCTTTCGAACATCTATACCCCCTCCTCATCCAAACTCAAAAAGTGGGGAAACGGTCTTTTTCATGGACCCAAGCTGTCGGGGATTTACGCAGGACGGGGATGACCCTTGTAGGTTTGTTGCATACATGTTTGAGAAACGCAGTTCGTTCTTGCCCCAGCCGATTATGTTCGAGCGCAGGCAAGCTACGGGACCCATACTTGGGCCAGTTTCCTATACCCAGCCGGTTGGATCCCCTGACGATTGGCCAGGCCTACTGCAAAATTTTCTGGCTTTTCGAGGGCTTTGAGGGCGAGATGGCACTCCGTTCGAAGATAGTAAGATATCGTATGTCACATCAGCTAAGAGAGGGAACCGAATCCCAGTAAGCATGTACGGACCCCGCTAGTACCCACCTATGATCAGAATTTAACGTAGCAGAGTTGTTCGGGTCCGAATCCAGCCTCCTGGGAACGCCCCTCTCCTTGTGCTGGGTGGCTCGTAGAGAATATCAAACCTGGCAGCATGCATGAACGCGAAAATTAGTCCGTCGGGGATTCATTCTGATATCTCAATCCGCATTGACTGCGCTTGAACTGCCTTTCTGGAAGGATAGATGTGCATTTTATACAGCGCGTACCGTGTATTTTCGAGCTCCCGTCTCCAAAGTGTGATCCCCAACTCCACTCGTCTTGCTCTCTTTGTTTCCTCCCACCCCCCGGGCCTCTTCTTCAGAATACCTTCAATTCGACGAGGAGTACGCCTGGGCCTCATCTCTGTTCCAGACAGTGTACAGTGAAATTGCGTGTCTCGAAGATATAACAATTTCATCGCCGGCTGCCGCCCGAGGCACTTCCCCGCTAGTCTTCCATGCCCGACATCCATGCCCGGTATAGCCTCGCTTGAACTTCGTAACCCTCCATCGGTGCTCCACTCTCTGCCGGGGCTTGGTTGTTACGACATTTCCCTTGTCGATCCCACCCCCGGCAGCTTGCCATTGATTTATAGTTGCCCGGATCGTCTTCCCGCCCTGCCAAATTACAACTTAACCCAAGCTGTCGGGGCTCACCAAATTCATACTCCAAGTACCCCCCCCCCTGCCGAGTCGTTTTTTCTCCCTCCTTATCCCGGGTACATTACCCACTCTTTCCCATTCATTCTATCGACCAATTATTTGGCTGATTCGTGTCTAGTGTGGGACTTGACCTGGGGGTCTATTTCTAAATTACATGGTGCTCCCCTATTTCCCCTATGGATACTAGTTCCATGCCCTCTTGTACTATATTGGAGTGCCTGCCCTAGCCCCCTCCCCATCGATTTGAACTCTATACGGATCTTAAACTATTCCCTTTAATGTCCCACCTCTCCTTCCCTTTCTATCTCTTTAAGAAGGAAAAACACGATCTGGATTCGGTCACCATCATCGCCCAGCCCTCCTTAGGGTTAACCTGCAAGTGCCCATCAATCCCGACCAGTTCCTTCGGATGCGGGATCGAGGTATCCAGGATGAGTCCCAGGAATTCTGTTAGTATCAACCCCATTGAATTTGCCTCGGTACCGGAAGGCCCTGGTTCGTTTTCTATGTTCATTTCAAGCCCGGATTCCTACCGGATTCAATCGTACCGGCATGCTGACCAGTGACATACAGGAACCAAAAAGTGAATGGTAATCGGGCCCTTTCCATTCCCGTGTCCTACCAGCGTCCTAGTGCGCGACAACTAACACCATGACAGTGACACGCAATCTTTAACCGATAGTGTAACGGACTATCCTATGGAGAATGGACGAAGGTACCACAAGTACCATGAGGGAGGTAGGCGCAATTTCTAGGGTGTTGTGCCTTCGAGGAGATTTCTGACACTTATACTAGCGTACCCGTATCCAAACGATGAGCAAGAGCTGGATCGCTTGGATATGCAACATCACATGTTCAGATTGGTCTTGGATAACCGGTTATATAACGTTCCACTCAAAGATCCGAAGCAAATTCTCGACGTGGGCACCGGCTCTGGAATATGGCCAATGGAACTAGGTAAGCTCATCTTCACGCTGGCTATGCTGATCAACATCGACCACTGACCATCTTCTACTTTCCAGCGCACGAGTTCCCAGGTGCGGCAATCACAGGGACAGATCTTTCTCCCGTCCAGCCATCAGAAGTTCCTCCGAACGTTCACTTCTTGATCGACGATGCTACAGAGGAAGAATGGCTCTGGGAACCAGATCACTTCGATTTCATACACATAGGACACATGGTAGGCGCCGTTCCCTCGTACAAGCAAATACTACGGCAAGCCTTCAAACACCTCAAGCCCGGGGCGTATCTCGAGTGCCACGAAATCGACCTAAAACCGAAATGCGACGACGGCACAATGCCCCCACCAAATAATGAAGGTGGCTTCAGTACATACGCACTCCATGATTGGTACGATCTTAACATGAAAGCAAGCCAGGAAGTGGAACCCTGCCGCCAGTTCCGGTTCGCGCATCGCATCGAAAGGTGGATGAAGGAAATCGGCTTCGTGGATGTCCAGCAGAAGATCTACAAGATCCCGATCAATGCCTGGCCTACCGATGAGAAGCTAAGGAACATCGGGCGCTGGAACGAGAATAACTGGCTAGAAGCGTTGTCTGGATGGTCTTACAAGCCCTTTCTGTCGCTCGGGTGGTCGAAGCCTGAGATCGAGGTATTCCTCGTCGACGTCCGAAAGAGTATTCAGGACCGCAACGTGCATTCCTATTTTGATTTCTACTTGGTTACAGGCCGAAAGCCTTATCCGCATGAAACACAAGCTTGAGCATAGCTTGGGGGAACCGGGCTTACTTGCTTCGTTTTCCTCTGATAACGCTTTACGTTCTACAACACTTTACGACACCGTCTTTTCTAAGATCATTAGCATGAAACATCATTTGCTGGCGAGCATACATACTTTGCATGCATTCGAGTGGCGCAAGGTTGGGGATTCTTCTTTGGGCGTTTTGCGAAATATGATTGAACATAGGCGCTCGGCTGCAAAAGTATCTTGGTTGACAGAACTCCATCTAAATGTACTTCAAGGAGTGCATTTCGGGCACATATTCAAAATAAACTATCAGCTCCAATTAACTCTTCCTTGGTTTCGAGTCCATTGCACGTAGCTTGTTTGTTGACAACAAAAAAAGAGAAAACCACTGATTGGCCAATACGTTTAGTCATCCGCCAAGACCTGGAATCGAAGCTGCACCTCCCGAAGTCCGCCAGAAGTAGTCAATCCCCATCACAGCCTCGCATGCCAGACCGCAACCCATGTCTTTGAGCAGACATGCCTGTCGGCATGCTCTGAGGCAAGCCGGTATTCCGACAACGGATCATCCATGGGTTAGCGATGATTTAATTGCGGCTGCTTTTTGTCGCTTTGCACACGGCCAGCGTCGCCATGGCAGCTCTGTTCCCGGCCCGCTGGAAGCACGAAGGCGCCTTGCGAAGCGTCGCAACACTGCTCTGGCTGGAGTTGGAGGTGCTGAGGATATTGCGTGTCTCTTTGGCCGCAATGGCAGAGAACATATGAAATGGACCGATCATCCGTGGCAGCGATCGCCCATCGAAGTTCCGGGTACGTGTGTCGACAGAACCATCACCAAGTTTTCTATTTAACGTTGTGAATAGATAGGAACAACTACGCAGTTGCGACCCATGAGATCACTCTCCCCTTTTACGACCACAATCCCGATCCGATCATTCCCGAGAGCAACTCACCCTCTCCCGGAGAAGAGCCACCGACTGTAGCCCAGAGATTCGAACAATTCCTCGAAAAGAACGACTGGACGCCTGAGTATGCCAAAGACTTCACTCGTCGCTTAGGTATTGACCTGCAGAGAGAGCCTGAATACAGCCGGCGGATTTTCGAACATCTTCTTTCCCGCCCCACTGCAGACTTGACGCAAGCCATTGACTTTCTTGACGACCCATTCCTGAATACTAGGGGCTCTGGAAATTACCTGAGAGTTTTGCAGACTTTAAAACGAGCAAAAACGCCATCGAGCCGTACAGCAGTCTTGAAAGCAGTGACCCGGGCTCTCGAGCTAGGCCTGGTCCCAACAGACGAGCTTTGTTTAATCCTGCAAGCGCTGCCACTGATACTTATCGGCAAAAGAAAAACACTGGGGAAGGGTGGCAGAAAAATGTTGCACGAGTACTATCATGCCATGTGGACAGCCATTGGACGTTGCACCATTCTGGGGTATCACGACCTGGACAAAGATGTCGTGGATATCTGGATTCAAGAACTGTTGAGCGCTGATATCATGTCCCTGGCTGAGGAAATGGTCATTCAAACCCATGATGCCAACTCTAGTAGCCAGTGGCCAACGGCCTTAGTATTGTCGTCTTTAGAGCGAGACAATGAGCTCGCGAAAGGTGTACCTCGGCAGTCCCCTGGACGTTTGCTGAGCCAACTTGAGCCGAACTGTGCAGCAAAGTGCATCGTGGATGTCACGGAATTGCTAGCTCTTAGTGCAAGGCACGAAAATAGAGACCGCGTGCTCAGGCAGTGGCAGGATTCTTTGCTCGAAGTGTCGTCCGCGGAAGCTATTGCGGGTTCTCCAACTTGGACCGATCTGCCTCTGGCATACCTGTCAGACTTCTCCTCTTCATCGCGAATGCAGATCCAACGACAAATTGTCTGCCGCCTCTGGGCCTTGCGTACTTTGAGTCGATCTTTGGGACCCATGCATATGAAAGGCCTCCGGGCCACAGATCCATCGGCCTATATCCTACTTCATCTCTACGAGTCCGTGACTCATGATACGGAAGGGTCGTTCTTGGCGAATTTCCTTTCTGGGATTCATGACCTTCAGCTCCCGTATAACGGACTCTTATTGCTAGCCACTGATCTTAAGTTGAGAAACACGCTTCGGAAGGCAGGTCGCAACACACTCGTCCAGTTGGAAACCTCTCAAATCTCCCTTGCATGTGTTTGGGAAGATCCAGCCATGCACAAAGGCGTACAGAACCTGTTCCACGGATCGTTCGAAAAAATGATTCGTCGCATAGATCCTACGAGCCCCATTTTTGTGGCTGAGCTTCTCGAGATTGCCCGCACGGGCGACTCCGAAAAAGCATGGTCCATCATCCGGCTTCTCAAAAGCCACACTGCCTTCAAAATCTGCCTCAACAAGGCCTGGACGCCACTTCCATGCCCAGAAGAGAAGATCCTCGTGCGCTACCATCCAGGGCCCCGCGATAGCCGGTACCCCGATCCCTATGTCGCCGCCGATTTGATCCATCAACTTGCCGTCGCATTTTCTTGTTGCCCGAAACTATCCCCTTCCCGGGCTTTCACCCTTGTGCACTGCCTTTACGATTACTTGCGTCGGCACGGTGGGCCTGTATATCCGTCGCTGGTACGAGCCATGTATCATGCCGGCATTGTGCGTTATCGGCGGGAGGGGCTCCGGGTTTCTGCCACTCGGTATGAGTATATCATGTGGATTACTAATAAGTTTGAGGGGATCGATGTTGTTAGGCAGCTTAATGCGGATCCTCAGTTGGCATCGGTGGAGATTCCGACTTATGAAACATGATGGGCTGATGTCTGTTGTACATGTGTATAGAATCAACTATCCAATGATACCAACTAGAGAATATCTTTTTATCTTCTATGAGGAAATAGAAAGATAGATTACTGCCTCGTTCACAGTAGGTGAAACCAAACCTATCTTCCTACGGCGTCCAATGCCCAGCACAATTGTTTTATTAGTCCGTGGCAGCTGTAAGTCACAAGAAGTCTAGATGGCGAGTAGTTTGAGCTACTACTAGTCTACGTTGGGAACTTAAAAATTGAAGCAACGTGAATCTGCCTAGTACTATACAGCCGAACCCACATGACCACACCAGTGTGTCCAGGGGGGTTTTATCAAGCCGATATCAGCACTACTCTACTCGTAGTATACCCTAGACTTTGATTGAAACGGTCTGTTGTCTTCAATTTGTTTGTCAGAAGATCTAATCATCCATCTAATCTCCCAGACAATACATGAATGGATTGAAACGATCATGACTCAAGGTGTATATTAATCATCCAGGTGAGAAGAAAGCACCACTAACTTGCCTATCATTTCATTGAGAACCTTGAATTTAAACATCCACATCCATCTGCTCTCCGACAGCCAGGTTGCCGTCACCAGACAGAGTTTCAATGGTAACGTATTTCTTCATGTCCTCCTTGCTGATAACCCTCTGGTTCAACCAGGCAGTAGTGCCCTTTGGGAAGCGGTAGTTACGCTCCTTTTCTCCGCGGGGATTTGGCTTCTCGTAGTTGCGGAGAAGCTGCGTAGGCTTGTCCTTTTCAATAACACACACGTCAACGTTGCTACCGGATCCCAAATCATTGAAGATACCAGCCTTGATGGCCTCCGCACAGAGGGAAATAGCACCCTCCCGGTCCAGGTCTGGCTGCCATGTCGATTCAAAGACGGACATCGCAGCAAGCGAACCAGATCCCATGGTCACGTATGGCAACTTGTCGGTTGAGCCGTGCGCATGGACAGTGTACAGGCCCACGCCAGTTGGATCCACGCCAGCAACCACCAGGTAAGCTCCAATGTGGCCCTGGTAACGGAACAGGTGTTGCTTCAGCATAGTCATGCAGGTGATGACCCGTGGGTCACGGCCGGTCGATAGGGAATGTAGTTCGATATTGGAGCTAATGAGGGCGGTAGTGAATTCGGTGTCTGCGGCGGTACCGGCACCAGCACACCAGATCTTGGGGGCAATGTAGTGGAGCTTCTCGCAGTTCTATAAATTTGCAGGTTGATGGTCAGCTTCTGGCCGCAGAATTATTTCTTTCTTTCCTTTGAGTTCGTACCTTGTCTGCGACTATAGGGCCGACAGTGGCTCTGGTATCTGCTGCGATCTGCGGTTCCGTCAAAGTCAGCTTCCCTCCTATCACCTCATCCTAATCATCCTGAGTTGATAAACATACCACAACGCCTTTATCATAAATGCACCCAACAATTGTTGTACCTGTGCTGGTAGCTTTGGGAAGGGGCACGCCCTTGGCGTGGAGAGCCGCGTTGCGGTTGTAGTTGGAGAAATCGAAGCCCGGCATCGTGGCAATGCAGAACGACGGGGTGGGGTATCGAGAACTGGTAGATCAAGAGTGCCTTGGGAGATACCGGAATAGAAAATTTTGAGTGAAAGGGGAGCAGTGAATATAGAAGGGGAAGCGCGGTCAGGTCAGGTGCCCGGTGAATAGAGGTCGGAGCTGTTTGGAAGTGACGAAGCTCCCGCAGCCTAATCGACACCTTAACCGACTGGCAGCAACCGCGTGTTTTTGCCTAGCAACATTTTCGGGGCGTCTGCTACTACACCTTTCCCCCTCACAAAGGCTTCCCCCAACCCATCATCGGCACTTCTAGGGCATTCTTTCCCCTTTTGTCCTTGGGGCGAGCCTGTATCCACACTTTGCGCAGACTCAGCATCTTCCTCCTGGGGTCTGCAACAATTCCGCCTTCAATCTTTCCCTTTCGCGTTCCCGCAAGCTTTCCGTCCATCAATGCTTTGCGCGCCAGTTCACACCTAGGCGGTTCGTCTCAACCGATTTTCACCGGTCACTTATTACCCAAGATGTCTTTCGGTGGCTTCGGCACCTCCAATATGTCTGGGGCTGGCACCTCAGCGGAGCTTGGGCCACAGCTGTCGGATGTCTTTACTGATGTAAATCCCCGCGCGTTTGAACCCTTGGATCTTTTGGTTCGCTTGAGCTGACAATCGATACAGGAAGTTGGTTTCAAAGGCCTCTCTGGCGATGCCAACATCAGGTTCCTTCCTACTCCATGGCCTAAAGACTCCCTTCCTGCCCCGACCTCTTCGCTTCTTGCTGTCGCGCAGACGCAAGGACTAGTGGTGGGTGCTGGGCCCGATTCGCTTGTAGTCGCGCCGGCAGACTCTGTTCGCAAGGCAATCGAGGCCCCAGCAGGGGATGATCAATCTAAAACCAAAGCTTTCCAACCCCAAGCCACAATCGCTATCCCTGCTCGCCCTACCCATATCGCCTTCACCGCGGACGACTCTGCTTTAATACTGGCCACTGAGAATGGATCCCAAATCTCCGTTTTCCAGACGACTTCTCTCTCGCAAAATAATGCTCAACCTGCTTTGTCTGTCCCTACAAACGGAGCATCGATTCGGGCACTGGTCCCGAACCCCGATCCTACATCTACCTTAGTTGCCCTTGTTACAGTGAATGGGGAACTTCTTGTTGCCGATCTGAAAGCTGGGAACTTGCTTTCGGGGGCCAATGGTCCAGTTCTCCGGAATGGCGTCAGCAGTGTAGCATGGAGCAATAAAGGAAAACAGCTGTTGGCGGGATTAGCGGACGGTTCTGGAGACCAGATGACCCCTGATGGGACAAGAAAGGACCAAATACCTCGGCCATCTGACTTGGAAGGGGAATATCACGGTAAGCTTGTTTGAATTTGTATGGATTTCCTTTGGATGTGACTGACAATCTTTCAGTTTCGTCGGTGGCATGGCTAGAGAATGATGTATTTTTCATGGTCTACACCCCCAATACCTCGGAGGATGATATGGGACAGAACCCTGAATCGTTCTATTACATTATCACACGCAGGAAGGGATCTCCTTTTTTGATTCAGAGGTTGCCCGGCATTTGCTCGACAATGGGATTCGAAATGAAGCGTTCACCGGCCTACAACTTCATTGTGCGGCTGCGAGACTACAAGCCGCATCTGAAAGACGTTTTGATGGTCGCGTCAACAGCCTCAACGGATGTTGGTTTGATTACCAGATCAGAGCAGCCTTTGGCTGATGATGAAACCTCAAAGGGACTAGCTGGCCAATTCACGACAACCGAGGTTAATGACGATGGCAAACGGGCTTCCATACCCTTGAAAGATTTAGATGAGGAGACCTCCGTGATTGGTTTGGCTGCTGACCTGTCGTGCAGCGAGACAGTCTTGTCCCCAATTCTTGGTGCCGATATCTCGGAGAGCGCCACACCCTTGCCTGGACTTTTCCTTCTCAACAACGAAGGTGTCCTGTCGGCTTGGTGGTTCATCTATTCTGAGGCCATCCGCCAGAAGGTTCCTTACGTTGGTCTTTCTTCTGTGCCTTCTTCTCAGGCGACAGCCCCTGCAGCCCCCGCGGCCCCAGCGCAGCAAACTCCAGCTTTCGGACAGCCTGCCTTCGGTAGCTCAACATCTTCTCAGACTGCGCCTGCCCTAGGAGCCCCGGCTTCCCAGCCTGCATTTGGCAAGTCTTCTTTTGGCAGCCCATCACCTTTCGGTGCGTCTGCTTTTGGGAAGCCTGCTGGTGGCGGTGCTGCTTTTGGTAGTCCTTCAACTATGGGTGCAACGGCATTTGGCAAGCCGTCGAGCCCTGGCTCATTTGGCAGCCCTGGAGCTGTCCCGGCCTTTGGTAAGCCTTCATTCGGCACTCCCTCCACGCCAGCGCAGCCAAAGTTCGGCGCCTCTGGCTTCGGCACTGCTGCATCTCCATTCGGCAATCCTGGCAATCCCAACCCAACTAAATCCCTTCTTGGGTCTGGGTCTGGGGCAGCCGGGGCCGGCTTCAGCTCTTTCTCAACGGGGGCAGGAGCTGGTGGCGGGTTTAGCGGATTTGCAGCAGCTGCCAAGCCTGGTGAATCACCTTTCGCGAAAAAGTCCAGCGGGCCGCCTTCTGGCGAAGCCTCCACTGGGTCACCTTTCGCGAACTCGGGTGCAAGCGCCTTCGCAAAAGCAGGATCATCCACGACTTTTGGTGCAAGTACTGAATCTAAAACAGCTTTTATGCCGTCCAACTCTACCCAAGTGAAGAATCCTTTCGGTGGAGGCGGTAGTAATGGCTTCGTGCTTGGTTCCACCTTTAAGCCCGATGGCACAGCTGCTTCAGATGAACCTAAATCGGACAAGCCATCGTCTGGATCATTCTCCTTCGGCCTGTCGGTTGATGATATGGTGTCTTCCCCCAACAAGACCAGCCCTGCGCCGGATGCCATGGATGATATGGAGGATGCCGACAAGCCTGCAGAAGGTTCAGCGAAGACTGAACCAACGTCTATCTTCGGCAACTCTAAACTACTTGCAAATGATACACCGGTAAATCCGTTTGCCAAAGCCAACACTCCTCCGGGCAAGTCTCTGTTTGGGTCTCAAGATACTGATGTCTCCAAGACGCCGTCCACGGAATCAACCAAGTCACCCTTATCATTATTTGGTAACAATGCATCGACTAGTGCGACGAGCCAGGCTAGCTCCACCCAGAATCAAGTTACAAGTCCAGCTTCGATTCCTTCAGACAAGACTGCCACTCCAATGAGAGAGACCTCTACACCTACGTTCTCATCTTTCCTGGATGCTCCACTGCCACCTGACCCAACCAGTCGGGATAGTTATGCACCCGGAGATACATCCGCTTCGTCCAATGTCTCTAAGAGCTCGGTCGAGGATGCGCCACTGCCCCCCAGACTTCACGTTTTCCAAGAAAGAAACCAAGCCAGGCGGGCTTGTGCCTCCCCCGGATTCATCTTCACAAAAGAAGCCCACACCGAAGGCTGACAATGCCTCTCCGCCACCAGAATTCATTGACGAAAAGCCCGCGTCCGAACCTGAAGACGCCCCTCTTCCACCTGACTTTATGTCCAAACCAAAGAAGGAATCGAGCCCATCTGCTCCAACCAAGGAGGCATCTCTACTTCCAGAAGCACCCAGTTCGGAGGCTAAAACTGTACCTGCAGAAGAAGCAGCTCCCCTCCCTGATGGGTCAGATGCAGATTCAGAGAATGACTCCCACGAGTCCGACTTCAGCGATAGCGGAGAAGAGATCACGCACGACGAAACCAACGTTCCAAGCCCCAAGCTTTCAGAAAGCTCGTTCGCTGGGCTTTCTGACAAAGGCTCTGGCGGTGGGATATTTGGCGGATTCTCGAAACCCGCAGCGAAGCAAGCACAGCCCCCTCGTCAACTCTTTGGCGAAATTCCCAAACAGCCGCTTTTGCCACCTCCCGGCCCTGTTGCACAGAATGGCCGTGAGCCTTACCGGTCTCCTAGTCCGACCCGAACTACTTCAAAGAAGGGGCCCTTTTTCGGCAGGCCTGAGAAGTCCAAGGAGGCTGCTGCCGCCGGAACTGCATTGACTGCTCGCAAGGCTTCATTGAGTCAGCTCGCTCAGAGAAACGGTCAATTGCGAAAGCCTCAGGACGCAGACCAAGACCACGCACGTCTTCATCAGGCTGCACAACAACGCCGGGATGAGGAAGAGGCTCTGTCTCTCTCCGATGACGATGAAGATGAAAGGCTCCGTGCTGATCTTGCACGGCCTATTGAGCCAGTTTCTACCCTCGATCCTTTCCTTCCGCATCAAAGCTACACGGGAGATACCACCAAGCCAGGAATCCCCGGTATGGTCGAGCGCATGTACCGCGACATCAACGCCATGATCGATACCTTGGGAATTAACGCTCGATCGCTCGAATCTTTCCTGCTCCATGAACAGCCGCCTCAGCCCTCCGACCCCGGCAATTGGATTAAAATCCTGGAAAGTGAACAGCCGACCGATCTCCTGGACGAGAAGTTCACCCTGCAAGATATCTCCAATTTGGATGAGATCTTTGCCGCGTTGACTGTCGCACTTGAGAAGGGGCGTGTTCAAGGTGTAGAAGAGAAGCTTGAGCAGGGCCGTGAGCTACTGACTAAGGACATTGTGGCTCTCCGTGGTCAATGTGCTAGCATTCGCAAGACCCTTGACACCTACACCGATTCTGCAGCCATCCTCGTGGCCCCTCTCCCATCGGAACACGCCGCTCTCCAACAGGAGCTGCGGACCGAATTCACCAGGATTCAAGGCAGATTAGCGGAGGCAGAGGAAGGCGTTTCCCTGCTTCGAGCAAAGATAGCCGATATACCTCGTACCGATGGTGACGCTTCCCGGCACTCAATGAAACGGCCCACTGTGGAAGCAGTCGCTTCTACCATTTCCACAATGATGAGTATGGCAGAGCGCAAGAGCAGCGATATTGACGTTCTCGAGGCTCAGATGCGCAAGCTTGGCGTCGACACCACTAGCCCCGCCCCTGCAAGCCGCGAGGGATCGCCTTTCACCACACCACGTAAGAATGGTGTTCGATTCCTACCACCCCTGGCTCCCGTAGCTCTATTGATGGCAGTGCCTACCATACCCCTGACTCCGCTTCCCGCGCTCTCAACTTCCGGAATAGCATCAACGGCTCTGCGAAGACGACTCGTCTTCGCAGCGTCGAGGGTGCAAGCTCCATCATCGCCCCTGAAGAGACCGCACAGTGGAACATCAAGACTGAACGTCGGCGACGTCTCGTGGGCAGCCTGAAGAGTGCTCTTGAGAAGAAGGAACTTAAAGTGCGCAGCGCAGACGACCTGTAACGCTAGGAGGAGAATTTTTATTATTATCATTTGTTTGCGATTTTATGATTTCCGGTCTCTGTTCAAAATTTCTTAAGTTTCAGCGTGGGTAACCGGCATGGGGAGCAGAGACAGATCTGGACTCTTAACATCATGGAGATGTACATAATGGTTTCAATGGCCTTATCGACGCGTTTTCCATATCATTATCAATCCAACATACCCAAGGTGGGCATATCGCGAAATCTATATTTATTCTACCCAGTATTGAATACACCAGTCGAAATGGTTTACTTTCTAGTCAGTACACGCACTTGCCTTTTCTGTTCTTGTAGACGCACTCTGACATCATTCTGTGTCACACCAGTTTCCAAAGCCCCAAATCCGACTTCAAATACACTCAATATCCTCGATTTTCGTCTAGAGTACTACTAGTATCCATTGTCCTCGCTCTTAACAGTTTCTCTACGAAGGAATACTAGACACCCTGACAATGACGCAGATCACCCAGTTCCTATTTTTCAAAGTGAAACCCTCTGTGCGACCCGAGGATCCCAATAGTGCAGAGGGTGAAGCTCTTCTTAAAGCCCTCAACGTCACCAAAGTACAGAGCAGCCACCATAGCTCCACCTGGGGCCGGGCTGTCGAAGATGAGAATTCTCTAGTCTGGGTGGTGGGTAGGTACCCCTATGCAAGTGTCGAAGCTTGAGGCGATACGATACCCTGCTAGCAAATAGCGGACTATTACTGATGGAACTACGCGGACTTACAGATTGGACTGATGCCCGCGGTTCCGCCAATACGGACGAAATTCACCCCTTCCTGGACGACAAGGCGCAGGCACCGCTTGTGTCAGTCTACACCACGCTCAGTCCCGCTGGTAGTGGCGCAGATGCACTCGTCACGAATCCGGTCACGGAAATCTGTGCCCTGAATTTCCCTGACTCGCTTTCGGTTGCTGAGGTCAAGGAGCTACATGGGGATCTTACCAACTTCCGCGCAGCGCTGATGGACAAGATGCCTGCTGGGACAGGGCCACAATCGTGGGCCATGGGCCAAGTTGACCGGCCGAGCACGGTGCCTCATCCCAAAAGTCCCAGTGGGAAGGCCGTAGTGCAATTGTTGGCAGTTGGGTGGGAGAGCGTGGAGGTTCATAAGAAGGCAAAGGAGACAGAGCAGTTCGGGAGCAGTATTGCGCCCATTAGAGAAAAGATGCTGCCTCAACTACCGGGATTTGAAATGAAACATGTTAGTTTCAAGAAGCTTTGACGAGGCGGAATGTCAGAAACGCCACGAGAGTGGGAGATTGGGAATTTATGTGCTGTTCTGCTTTGGAAGTCTCAATCAGAGGGGCTAATCGAGTGGCTAAGAATAGAAGTAACCGCAAAGGTGGGATTGGTTATTAGAGAGCCAGGATTCTGTCACACGCCTTGATAAAGATACAACATGAAGGGGTAGGGCATCAAGATAAGAAATATGGCCGTGTAAGATAGAAGGAATTGAAAAAGGAGAAAAGAAAAAAAAAAAGAACCATGAACTGAATGTCGTAAACCACCGTGTACTTTTGGGGCTTGACGCCAGATAACCTCCCAGTAAGAAAAAAAGAAACGCAATTGCCGTTTTAGACGCGGTGCTTCTCGCTCTCTGTGGGGATGAAGCCGATGTGAGTAAGAAAGACCTCTCGAAGCCGGTTATGGTTGACGGATTCGGACTCACCAAGTCGGGTGTAGAGCATGTACAGCGCCATCTGGTTGCACTCAGGGGTACCAGTAATAGTTACCAGACGCTCGTTGCTGTTCTCCTGAGGTTCGTTGATTTTGATCACGCTGCCACTGAGGTGGCGAATCTCGTTAATCTTGGCCCCACCTTTGCCGATAATAGCACCAACCATATCGTTAGGAATGTAGATCTGCTGGGTGAGTGGCTGACCGGGCATATTACCACCGGCGGGAGCAGGGGTAGCAGTAGGGGCGCCACGGGCAGGGGTGGGTTGAGGGCCCACATAGGGAGCTGGCTGGTGAGGGGTAGCAGCGGGGTAGGGCGTGTGGGGTGCAGCAGCATAAGGCATGGGGGCCTGAGGAACAGGGGCAGGGGTAGGCTGGCCATGCATGTATGGGACTCCGTAGGCTCCAGAGGCAGCTCGGCTCTGCTGCGGGTGGTGACGCTTGAATTGGTCAGGGTGACCGTACTGGCCGCCGGCAGGCTGGGGAACATAAGGAACCACCTGCATACCACCCGGAACGGCACCAGCAGGACCACCGCTACGAGTGGCGTAGGCCGAGGCCGCGGGGCCACCAAATCGATCAGTCAGTTGTTCGACAAGAGTGACAGCAACATAGTAGGTCGCAATATGAACAGCGTCAGCGACCCCGACAATGACCAGAGAACGTTCGGTCGACAGGGGAAGACAAGCATCAGAAGCATTCAGGCGAGCTCCAGAAGCTTCCTGGATCTCGCGGATACGGCTACCACCCTTTCCGATGATAGATCCGATAAGGATGTGGGGGATTAGCAAGCGCAGGGGGTAGGTCTTGGACTGGGCAGTGGATGCAGCATCAAGGGGCTCATTGTTTAAGGTGCGGATGATCAGAGCGAATGCCTTGTATAGAAAGTTAGTCTTGCGTCGCCCATCGGGGGACCAACGTTTAGCACTGCGCGAGGCAGGTGATTACTTACCTTAGCAACGGCGTCCTGGAGGCCGCTGACGGTCAAAATACGCTCGAAGGCACCGCGAGAATAGTCGCTGACGGTGCACTTAGCGCCAGACATTCGGCGAATCTGAGAAACATTTTCACCCGCCTTGCCAATGACAGTAGCGGCCTCCTGGCTAGAGATCACGGCGCGGATGTGGATCCAGTGGGTTTCGTCCTGTTGGTTGGGCTGCTCGGAGGAGGAGCCAGCGCGTTCGGCCTGGGATGCCGTGGACTGGATGGGCTGGGGTTGAGCCTCAGCCTGGACGTTATCGTTGGCCGCGTCCGAAACAATTGTGTCACCCTGGGTGTCCTTGGAGTCGGCCGTGGGTTCGTTGGTAGACGCGTCGGTCTCGGCCTTAACTTCAGTACGAGTCTTTTCAGTACCCAGAGCCAGGCGCTTGGCATCAGGCAGTTCGCTGGGAGCCGATGGAGGAGGAGGGGTCCTCCAAAGGGCGTTTGCCAGATTGCAAATTGGTGGGAGAGTCGGACATCGTTGCTGTTTGGGTCACTTCTTCACTTACGCGAACGAGGTTGCGAATCAGGAGTGAAATCTGCTTTCTTTATTGGCTCGTTTATGTACACCAGAGGGTCCCAAGACAAGAGGCTGGTGCGGGCGATCGGAAGAGGGAATCTGGTGATGTGGAGTGGAAAATGAGTTGCTGCGTGATGAAGGAGAAGTTGAAATGATGGGAGGGGCCGGCTTCCTGATGGCCAGGAACCTGTGGGAAGTGAGGTTGGGCTGCTGAAGGTTCACTGGGAAGCTGTCCTGGGGAAGTGCTCCAAGTAAAGAGAAGCAGAGGTGATGGAAGATGAAAGTCCACCTCAGGAAGGTGAAAGGAAATGGGCGATGAAGCGCGACAGATAAGGAAAGCACCGCTAGAATTTCCGAACCAGAAAATATCTCCAAAGGGGAACTGGGGGAGATGGGAAGGGGAGGAGAAAGGGAAAGGGAAAAGGATACCTAGTAGAGGAATGGAGGTGAGCAAGAGCAGCGGTGATGAGGTTACGCGGGACTACCCGCCTCAGGCAGAAAATCACGTGGGAGCGCGACGCGGGTCCCACGTTTGTACTACTTGGGGCTGTTTGCATGTCTTCAATGTACATGGTGCTTGGCCGTTGAGGACTGCCTGCTTGATCTAGAATCTTCGTGAACTTCGCACAATCTACTATGGAGGTATCGGAATCCACCGTGCAGAACATACAGAAATTCGCCAATGATCGTGCAGCCGTAGAGAAGGAGTCCACCGAGGAGCCTCTTAGCGCAACGGCCCTGCATGTCTACACCCGACGACTGGACAGCACTCTACGGGAGCTGCAGGAGCAAGTACGGCTCCAAGAAGAGGAGTTGAAAAAGGTATATGTGCTGAATTCCTGTATGGAATTTGGATCCACTAACACAGAACCTCTAGCTTCGGGAACGTCGATCCTTTGATCTGCTAGATGCAGACAATGACCCCTGGGCACGTGTGTGCAATGCTCGACGAGCAAGGAAAGCCTATGAATCACTCCTCAAAGCGGAGGAAGACCTTCCAGGAACAGACTCTGTCCTTCCATCCCTCATGGCCATCGAGGAAACCTCTCGTCTAATCAAAGACGGCAAAAAAGCTATCTCAACAACGGCAGAATCACTGTCCAAAGATCGAGATCGTCTAAATCTAGAAGAAGCTAATCTTCGAGACTCGCGTGCAATCTCAAGTGGCTTACAAGAGCGACTACAACGCATTCGAAATGCCAATGCACAAAGGCAAGAGCAAACTCCCTCTGAAGTGGCTGCTCAAACGATCCGTGATCAAAGGAGGAAGAAAAAACAGCTCGACCGCGCGTTGGGGGAGATCAAAGGGTCTCTGGACAGCTTTATCGATGAAACCCTGGCACCGATGTTAGCAGCAGAGGATCTTGGTGGCCCGACTGTGGGGGATGCCTTGGAGATCTCGGATGCCACTCTCAATGCAGGCTATACAGCTCATGGAAAGCCTAAAAAGCCAAAGCAATCCAGTGAAGCGGAGGACGGCCAGCAGCGCATTGACCTGTTCCTACGTCAGAGCGGCGGTGCCAAAAACAAACGAGAGGCGGCCGCTACAGAAATCCACGAGCTGCTTGATTCGCTCTTAGAGGCGGGGAATTCTTATGTTGCATTAGAGCGAGACTCGGCAGTGTCACGATTCCTAGTGAGAGCGAAGGTAGCTCAGTTCCATCCTCGAGATGCCCGGCGTCTACGATTGATAGATTTTGGTCGCTCTCTTGTTGTCTAGAGCGCGAGTGATTTTGAATTATTTCATGCGAAGATGGTATTGTGTCAACTAAGATCCTAATTTAATGATGTTCAAAAGTCATGAATCCCCTCAGAATTTGCCCATCCCACGGTTTTCAAACAATCCGAGTGATGGGGAAATGAAAAGACAAGAAAAGGATACCAACCTCCACTGAAGAGGGAAACGCCTACATATGCCTTATGCTCCAGTAGTAAAACATGAGGGAATCGTTAGAAAAAGGGGGGAATTATTAGAGAGGCATCATTCCGATCGTGGGCTTGGAGGCTTTGGGTTTTGTGTTCGTTTTCCGAGAAGCAGCAGACGATCGACTTGGCGGACGACTGCTTGTTCCAGATCTCGATCTAGACCCCTTAGCCTTCCAGCTGCCAGTAGAAACCCCATTCTTCCGTCTAGGCTTTCTTGTGTACGGACGCTTGCCACCTCTGGAGCTAGAAGCGACTGGCCTGGATTCATGTTCATCCTCAGGATCGTACCCAGGCGATGGTGGGGGAGGGGAAGTATCGACTAGTGATGTTGTCTGGGAGTTCCTCCATGGGATGATCAAGGTCAAAGTTGGGTTCTGTATCCACAAAAAGGTCGTCATCGCTGTATTCGTCGCTGCTGCTGAGGTTGATGACGTTATGATGGTTGGGGTCCGGGACAACACCATTGGACTCGGCATCGTCCTTCAACTCTTCATACCGGCGCTTAGCATTATCGATAAGTCTCAAGATGTGACGGCCGTATCGTCGGACTTTATCTACATCAATGCCAGGGATCTGAGAAAGCTCCGTGAGGTCTGTATTGATTATTAGTATGGGAAAGGATCGTCTTTAATTCGCAGGCTTAATGATCTCTCACCTTTGGGAAATTTGATCGCCATAGTACGGAGAATGTGATCTGAGAAAGGCTGTGTCCGGAGGCCCTTTTCAACAACAACCTAAACAAGGTTAGTGAATGTTCGCCGTGCAAAAGTTTCCAACAATGGACGTACGTCTTGGAGATATCGCTTTGCGGTGACCTCGAAATCTTCGACCACTGCCCGATGTAGAAGGTCAAGGTGATCCATCTGCTGGTCTGCGGTAATCGGTGGCCCCAGTGGGCGGGCATGCTCTCGTTGTGCTCTGCCCGTGACCCTTATTGGCTCGAATCCGTCACTGTCATCGTCCGAAAATTCAAAAGTTTGTGCCTTCGTACGCGCCTGGCGACGTTCATTGGCAGACTGAATAGGTGAAGACACCATGGTAGATTGGGGAAAGCCTTGGCTGGCGGGTTTCCCCTTCGCGGCTGGCTTTGCTGCACAAGCCTTGCCTTTCGGCGAAACACGGACCTGCAATTTCATCTGCCGCTGACCAGACTCGTATTCCGTAGCTCGTCGGCCAAGGATTATGTACTGAACAGCGAAGTTTTTCCCATTCATAATATTTTCCTCTGCAAGAGCATCTTCACCTAACAACCGGTAGAAAAGACGTTCCGCTTCTCCTCGCTCAAGAGACGAGGCCTTTCCATACCAAGGCAAGTTTCGATGAGACGGATCCTTTGGTCTTTTCAAGTCGCCTCGAAGAATATCAACACAGTAGAGCAAAGTGACCTTCTCACGCGGCTCGGTTTGAAAGCTGCGGACGATCTTAATCGCATAAGATGCAAATTCACTGAAATCATGCGTCTCAAACACCAGGTCGGATCTGCAATTATCACAGGTATTCGCGCAATCCTCGCGGCGGAAGTATTCGTTGAAATATGCAAGCACTTGCACTCGCCGACAGTCACTGCGATTCTCACAGAATTGCACGACATTGCGAAGCATATGCTTCTGGCGAGCTTTCTGCTCGCCACTGCTGCCTTCATTCTTATCAATCATCCGCTTGAGTGTCATGGTATCTCGGTAGCTATAGTAAAGATAACAGCCCGAACGTTTCCCATCTCGGCCCGCTCGTCCAGTTTCCTGGTAGTAGCCTTCCAAGCTCTTCGGAATACTGTGATGGATCACAAAACGCACATCGGGCTTATCAATTCCCATTCCAAAAGCGATAGTCGCGACAATGACATGGCAGTTGCCTCTCTGCCACTCATCCTGAACTTCAGCTTTCATTTGTGATTCCATTGCAGCGTGGTAGTGCTTGGCTTTGATGTTGTACTTTGCTTGAAGTTTCTCGGCTACCGCCTCACATGTGGCACGAGACAGACAGTAAACGATGCCACATTGACCGCGATAATCACGTGTAATAGTGTTGGCGATGTCAGCCAAAACGTCGTCATTCCTGCCTTTGGCCCTCACTTCGTAGGTCAAATTGGGACGGTTGAAACTTTGCGTAAATATCTCGCAACCGCTCATCTTGAGATTGTGCATAACATCAACTTTGACATTCTCTGTAGCAGTAGCAGTCAGCGCCATGACAGGGACGCCAGGGAATCTGGCTCGAATTTCGCCCAGTTCTTTGTAGTCAGGCCTGAAGTCGTGTCCCCATTGACTAACACAATGCGCTTCGTCGACTACCAGGCGTGCGAATTTCTTCCTTCGATAAAGCTTTTCAAGCGCCTTCACAAGGGTCTGGTTCTTGCTGATCATCTCAGGGGTGATGTATAACAGTTGCATGTTTTCACTTCCTCCATTTGATAACTCAGCCAAGATCCGAGATCGTTCTGTCTTTTCCGTTTCGCCATTCACAATAAACGCGTTGATATTCAACTTCCGCAGGTGAGTGACTTGGTCCTCCATCAAACTAAGCAGGGGAGAAATAACAATTGTAACGCCATTGGTACGACCGCTTGTCACGACGGAGGGAAGCTGGTAGCACAGAGACTTTCCACCTCCGGTCGGCATTAGGATGAAAGTATCCTTTCCGCCAAGCGTTGCATCAATTGCTTCGAGCTGGTTTGCGCGAAAGCCCCGAAGATGAAAACGATCTTTCAGCACAGTCCTAACATCATGGGACCAAGGATGATTTGACCAAAACTGGCTATGTCCTGGTGACTTTTTCGGCGGCGGCATGCGAGATGTATTTCCAGAAGTCTCGGCAAACACGGGGCGGTCTTGAATGGCTGGTCCATGAATCGGTGCTGGCTGATGCTGGCTCATCTTTCCAGCTACTTCGAACATTTCATCGTCACTATCGTTCCAATCAAAGTCGTCGTCGAAATCGATCATAGGTGAGCCCATATTTCGAGAGACGCGGCTTTCAGTAGCCTTCTTTGGACTGGAAAAAAGCTGCTGTTTTGGTGGTAACTCTCTGGGTGCAAGGGCAGACCATGAAGAGCTTGGGCCAGGGTCTCGAGAGACTGCAGAGTTCTCCGACTGTCTCTGAAATGGAGCTACTCGCGGCGCGGCATGCTCTTCGGCAATTGGTGAATCAATCTGCGCTGTCCCTAAGTCTTTGACAAGATCGAATATCTTAGCTCGAGGAAGGAGATCACGGATTCGATTTTCAATTTGCTCCAATTCTGTTTCCACTGCCCGGCTCTGGGCCAATTCTTGAGGCATTGTTGAGGGGTCTAAGCCTTGTGAGATAGCCTGTATCAATTTCTGCTTGAACCCTTCTTTGCGGGACATGCACGCATCGTAAGCAGCCTTTTGGGTCTGCAATTCCTTAATAGCTTCGATACGAGACACAAGGCTCTTGTTTTCGACTATTAATTCCGGCGCTTGACGACCCTGCATGGCTTCTTCATAGACGAATTCAGAATTCACCTTCAGCGTGTTCTTTAGTTGCGCGATCGATTCTTCCAGAGAGGAGGCCGAGAGGGCCATCGCCTTGATAACATTACTGTCTTTCGGTTGAGAACTGGGTATTTTGAGTTCTGGTGAGCTTCGAGGAGGCTGCAAGGGTCTTTCGAGTGCTTTCAAGTCCTTTGGAGCCTCTTGCGGAGGTGTCCTGCGTGATTGCTTCGGGATATCCCTTTCGGGGCCCGTCTCATTCTCCAAAGGGCTCAATTGAGGAAGCTTTGGATAGAGCCCCGTGTCGTCTAGGATCATTCCATCAACATCATCCTCCTCGAAACAACTATCGAATGGGTCTTCATCGTCTGAATCGGCAATCACCTGTTGGGAAGGCGTTGAACTTAATGAGTTGGGAGTATTTGACAACGGTTCAGTCAAAACTTTCTTTGCAGATGGAGATCGATCCACCTTAGAGAGATTTCGAACTTTGGTCGCGTGTTTTGAGGGAGAAAGAAGGTCTGAAGTATACTCGTCGCTCTTTCGCTTCTTTCCACGCTTCTCTCCTTTTCCGCCTGGTGCGAGTCCATCCCCTTGCGGCTCCACAGACTTCGTTGCCGAATGTGGAAGGAACCTCTCCGGATCGCCCGTTAAGTCAATTGCTTCGATATCTTCGTACTTGAGGTTGGATCGAAGCGGGGTAGCTTTTGACTGATTTTTCTTCACCGCGGATGGAGGTCCCAGGTGAGATTTGGATTCTCCTATAAAAAAGTTACTCTCAATGACTTCCGCAAAAGCGTCTCCCAGATCTACTAACCTTGAGCGGTGGATTTGGCATTGGGCTCTTTTTTTCGAGATCAAGGATGATTTATTTTCCCACGTGTCGAGTGGCTCCAACAATCGAGGCTTCCTCGTTGATAAGGAGTGTTGGTTGCTTTTGGCCATTCCCTGTAGGATCGCATTGTCTGGTTCCTCCAAAGCTGTATCCAGGGACTCGCTTTTCGTCGGATGGGGGGTAGGTTGTTGTGAAAGGCGCGCGGGCTCAATGGGAGGGACGTCGCCGGACAGCGATGGGTACAAGGAAGGTCCCTGTTTCACTAGCCATTTGAGGTGCGAGGCAAGGTTATTCTTCGTCATGGGGGCGTTGCCAGCACATGGCTTTGTGCTGTAGTCAAGTCGATCTCAAGATGTCGCGACGACACTCGAGACGCGTCGGGCACGTGGGCGGTGAGTGCCCACTGACTGCGCCCATACATTATCAGCTCATCTCCCCAAAGGCATGAAGCATTTTCAAAGACCGGCTGGAATTGATTATTTCTGCACTTGGACTCCAGTATACTACGTAGTGAAGGACCATATTGTTCATAAGCATAAACTTGCATGTCGGGTCGTTCGGAAAATGATCAACAGACTCCATAGCTAGTAGTTGGCGGCCCGCCCGCCTATCAATGTGGGGAAAAGCTTTTTTTTACGCCCCGCAGACAAAGTTTTTGAAGCTGCAAAAATCTTTGCTCGAAAATTTCACTATGGGAAAGAAAGACAAGAAGTCAGCCGAGCACAAGGCACGCGTTGCTGCAAAGCAATCCAAGAAGTCGGCCCAAAAAGAGAAGAAGTCAAAGGCTAAAGGCAAAGATGCCGACAGTGATGCCGAAGACGCAGATCTGGATTCCATTCTTGCGCAGTACGCTGAGGAGCAAGCCAAGTTCTTAAAGGTCACCGAAATACCATCAGGCCCTCCAGCGCCGCGATCTTCAGCTACATTGCTTGCATCTCCCTCCAACCGAAACGAATTGCTTCTATTCGGTGGCGAATACTTTGATGGAACCCACGCAACTTTCTACAACAATCTCTACGTCTACCTGATTGACCGAGGAGAGTGGAGAGAAGTTACCAGTCCTAATAGTCCATTGCCAAGAAGTGGTCATGCGTGGTGTCGAGGAGGCAACAGCGGTGGTGTATATCTATTCGGAGGTAAAATATCCAAAGCAGAGGTCCCAATATCGGATATAAGCAGCCTCAGATCTAACATACAATAGGAGAGTTCTCATCTCCCAAGCAGGGTACGTTCTATCATTACAATGATTTTTGGCATTTGGACCCGGCTACCAGGGAGTGGACCCGCCTAGAGACCAAAGGCAAAGGACCACCAGCACGGAGTGGGCATCGAATGACCTACTGGAAGGTACGTTGAGACTAATAAATCTGTTCCTGTCAGACGGTTTGCGAGACTAATCTTAATATAGAACTATATCTTGGTCTTTGGCGGATTCCAAGATACATCTCAGCAAACAAAATACCTCCAGGATCTCTGGGTCTACGACTGTAGCCAGTATACTTGGTTCAATCCCACGCTGTCAATCGCATCACAAAAGCCTGATCCTCGATCTTCGTTTTCATTCCTCCCACATGATAGTGGCGCAGTCATCTACGGTGGATACTCCCGCGTGAAGGCCAATGTCAACACTGGCGGCAAGCAGGCTAAGGCCGGCGCTCAGAAAATGACTATGAAGCCTATGGTACACCAGGACACTTGGTTTCTTCGAATTAGTCCGCCAGCTGCGGATGCTCCTGCCAATATTGGCCCCACAATTCGCTGGGAGCGACGAAAGAAGCCTGCTAATACCCCCAATCCACCCCGTGCCGGCACAACGATGGCGTATCACAAAGGTCGAGGAATCATGTTTGGGGGTGTCCATGATGTCGAGCTTACTGAAGAGGGAATCGACAGTGAATTCTTCGATTCGATGTTCGCTTGGACTATGGATCGAAATCGATTCTTCCCTTTGAGTTTAAGACGGCCTCGAGCTCCGGGCAAGAAGCAGCAAGCAAACCAGGCCGCTAAATCAAAAGACCGAGCCAAAGCAGACGAAGAGGAACTTTTGAACAATCTCAAGGCTTTAGAAGCGAAGGGTGGAATTCGGGGCGACGATGACGACGACGAATTCATGAAATTGAGCACCCCGAAGGATGATGAGCCCATTGAACCCAGCAAGCCTGCTGTTGTGCGGTTTGAGATGCCACATCGGCGTTTCAATGCCCAACTCGCCGTTCAGGATGATACATTATTCATTTATGGAGGAACTTTCGAAAAGGGTGATCGTGAGTTTACCTTCGACGACATGTACTCGATTGATTTGGTCAAGCTTGATGGAGTGAAGGAGATCTTCTACAGGGAACCTGAGAACTGGAACCTCATGGACGAAGCAGAAGACAGCGATGAGGATATGGATGATGAGGATGAGGACGAGGAAATGGAGGATGAAGATGGGGAGGCAATGTCTATTGATACTGGCTCACCTGCCCCAACGGAAGTTACAGTGCCGTCCGTTACTCAAGAGATGCAGCAACTGGAAGTTGAGGAAGAAACAGGAGCTCCAGTTGATGACGGCCGACCCCAACCGAGGCCTTTCGAGAGTTTGCGAGAATTCTTCACCCGTACCTCCGAGCAATGGCAGAATACACTTCTTGAAGCCCTTAGAATGAAAGGACAGGCCGAAGGCAAAACGGTCAAAGAGTTGCGAAAAGCGGCATTCGATATGGCAGAAGAAAAGTGGTGGGATAGCAGAGAGGAAATCATGGCCTTGGAGGATGAACAAGAAGCTGCCGGTATTGGGGAGGTCGTCAGCATGGCGGACCGAACGGAAAACGTGGGTGGGGCAGGTCGTCGTCGCTGATTTTGTTTGAAAACAAAGCAAAAGAAAAGAAAAGAACTCCATCTTTCGCATTCAAGTCTATTCCTTCGAAGAATCCACCAGAGAGTCTGCAACTGCATTATTATTCTCTCTCATGGGACGCCTCGCATAGTATACTTCTACTAGCAGTACCTTGTTGCAACTAACTATCCGAACTGTGTCTGCCCAGACATCACATAGGCTGCAGTGGAGAGCCTGACTACTGAGCCACTCGATCGAGAACCTTGGTCACAATAGCCAGGTCTCGGTCTACATCAACCCGCCAGTTTGAAATGGCCATTCTAGTCGCTGGGGCTCCTGCCCAGCTACTTCCAGAGACAAATATCTGAGAGGTCGCGTTGATCTTGCTCGATAACTCTCCGTTCAAGCCATCGTCTTTGGCTCGGAATAAGATAGACATAAAGGTCTGGTCCACTAGTTCCGCTTTAGATGATGCCACAGGGAGAGCTGTGTACGCCGGGTGGTCATAGATCCACTTATAGACAGCCCTCGCAAGCCGAATTTGACGTTCAAGCATCTGCCGGTACCCATCTCGTCCATAAAACAGCAAAGATGCGTACACCGGAAGTGCCCTAAACCGACGGGAGTTCTCAAGTCCGATATTAAGGGGCGATGGAATTGAAGGACCTGAAGAAGGGCCTGCGTTTAAATAAGCCGCGTTCGCATTCTGGAAGACGTTAAATGGCAGATCCGGATGGCGAACGAAGAAGAAACCACAATCGTAAGGGACATTGAGTAGCTTGTGGCCATCGCCAGTGATAGAATCCACCAATTCGAGACCAGCGCCTCCATTCTTCACAGTCGCAAATTCCGGGCTATCATCCAGAACGCGCGCGAAAACACCAAAAGCACCGTCCGCATGAATCCAGGCACCATACTTATCACACAGGCTGCGAATTTGCTGGATTTGCTCTAGCCCCGAAGTTGCAAAGCGGCCAGTGTTCACCTCGCCACTCGAGATTGCAACAATGCTCACTTTGTCTTGTCGAGCGAGCTCTTTTTCTAGAATCTCCAAATCAAACTTGAGTGGGTCATCTGCTCGAGATATATCTCGGACGTTGGCACGACCGATCCCTAGCACGCCGGCTGCTTTGACCAGAGATGAATGTGGAAGAGTTGACAGAACTTGCACACCGGAAAGACCCAGAGCATGCAGGACCTCGAACAAGCCATGTTCTCCCACACTGCTAATCGGGCTACCTTTCCGCTCGGCCGCTTTCTGAAGGACAAATTCACGCCCGCAGGCGAGTCCTAGAATATTACTTCCCGTGGCGCCGGTAGTAAATGTCCCATTGTGCCAATCTTCGCGGGGTAGCCGGAACAGATCGGCGAGTAAGCCTAGCGCTCGGTACTCGACATCTGTAACAATGGAATGATTTGGTAGATGCACCTGGACGTTCTGGTCGTAAGCGGATACCACATTATCCGCGAAAAGCGCAGCTGGCGTAACTCCTCCAGTAATAAACCCGTAGTAGTTCGGACTAAGGCTGCCCCCATTGAATGCGGGCACGATGTCGCCCATAATATGCTTTTGAACAGCTTCAAGCCCAGCTCCGGTTTCAGGAAGCGTGGTGGGAAGCGATGCTCGAGCTCGAGCCAGATCCTCCGCAGAGGGCAGAACGCCTGATTCCCATGACCTTTGGGCGACCTTCCACAGGTCTTGGAAATGATCAGACATCTTGCCGATCAGATCATAAAATAGGGCTCTCAGGGGAAATTCATAAGAATTTATAAGGAGCTTTGGTGAAAGGACACGGGATCTGTGAGTATATTCTCCAGATCCCGAATCGCCCGGTTGGACCTCCCTAACTCGGTCAAGGCTAGCAGCCCTCGGGAGGCTTCAATCAATGTTGGTCTTATTTGGCTCGATTACAGTTGCCCGTAGGCGCTTCAAGGTACAATAGCAATAGTAGAGCTCTTATTCAGATATCTCAAGACGAATAAGAAAAGAAAAATTTAAATAGATACATAAAACCCCCAACTTCAAAAGGTTCGACCGCTCTGAATTGGATTTGGAACTTGAACATAGAGGCTTCTGATAAATCTGGCAATAGTATGGCGGAGGCGCAGACGGGGGTTGGTACCGTACGCTCTGGTCTCTGAGCAATCTACTTCGGTTCTCATTATGCAAGTAATTCCCATATTGTAGAATTAGAAGCGTAGTCATTTACATACAGCTAGAAAACATGGTTGTGGACGTTGCTAGTTGCCCGGAGTTCGAACCCCCGACCGTCAATAGAACAAGTGGCTCTTCAAGTTTGCGGGACAACTTCGTGGGGCCGAGATAGCTTCGTTTGGGCGCACGCTTTCTCCACTGATCAACTCCGTCCCTGGCCGCCTTCCTCGAACAATGGCTGCCAGACTCATCGACAAACGATTCTACAACGTTCCCGGTGGGTTGCGCTTGGTATACGACGGGGAAATGGCTCGAGGTGCAGTGCTGACCAAATGACAGGCAAACTCCGGGTTGCTGAGCTGTTCTTCGATGTGCCCATCGATTACAGCAAACCCGATGATGGCACCCTACGACTATTTGCGCGGAGTGTTACACGTCTGAATAAACCTATTGAGCCCACCCAAGATGAATGCAAGGCCCCCCTGGCTTGTGTATCTTCAAGGTGGTCCCGGCTTTGGGTGCAGTGCCCCGCAGAACTATGGTATGGTCGAACCGGCACTCTCAAAAGGGTACAAAGTAAGTCAATGTCAATGTCTGCTTGTCATCATTGCTTCTCTTGCTCGAGGATACTTCTGCTCGGTGACTGTCTAATATAATTATCTAAAGGTTCTATTTCTGGATCAGCGTGGTACTGGAATGAGTTCCACCATCACAGCAGCTACTCTAGCTCGTCAAGGTGATGCCGTTAAGCAGGCTGAGTATCTCAAGAACTTCCGTGCAGACAGCATCGTGCGTGATTGCGAGGCGATTCGTCTTGCAGTGACTGAGGATCTCCCGGAGCATGAGCGTAAATGGAGCATTATCGGCCAGAGTTTTGGCGGCTTCTGCGCCGTAACATATCTTTCCAAATTGTAACCCCACCCAACTCTATCTGATACCTGGTGAGAAGTATGCGCTCATTGTTTACGAATAGCCCCGAGGGCCTCCGCGAGGTATTCCTTTGCGGTGGCTTGCCCCCGCTGGTCAACGAGCCAGATCCTGTTTATTCTCGAACTTACGGTATGTGCTTGCTGTGATAATTTAGTTATGCCAAATCATTACTAACAGGACACAGAGAAGGTCAAAGAGAGGAACCAGGCATACTATGCTAAGTTCCCTGAGGATGCTGCACGAGTAAAGAAGATCATGCAGTACTTATCAGAAAATAAGGTTGCTTTGCCTACTGGCTGGCTAACTCCAGCTCGATTCCAACAACTAGGCATCTTGTTTGGCTTTCATGGTATGATGTTCGTTCATCATTGCTGGTTTGGCTTATGCTAATAAATTATAGGTGGCATTGACACTGTGCATGGTGAACTTATTGTTCCTTCATAGAAGCGTGACTTGGCTAACTTGATGCTATAGAAATTGTGCTTCGAGCATGGAATGATCTGGAGATATTCGGCTTCCTCACGTTCCCGACCCTGACCACAATCGATGGGAATGGAGGGATGGACAAGAACATCATCTATGCAATTCTTCACGAAGCAATTTACTGTCAAGGGCGAGTTGACTTGCCCACGACTTGAATATGAACACTGGCTAACGCCAAAACAGAAAACCGTCACGCTGGTCTGCTGACAGGCTTCGTGCCCTCAAACCCGAGTTCCAAATCAGCGCCGCTCGGGATAAGATCTATTTCACTGGAGAAATGGTATGACTTCTCTCCGGAGCGCCATACTTCAATTCTGACGTTTCTCGATAGGTCTTCAAAGACATGTTCGAGTCGTATTCCGAGCTGAAGGCGGTCCAGGAAGCGGCAGAAATCCTCGCTGACACCACAGATTGGCCTGCGCTTTACGACGAGGCCCAGCTGGCCAATAACAATGTTCCGGTCTATGCTGCCACGTACATCGATGACATGTATGTGCACTATGAGCTGGCTTCGAGCACTGCCTCCAAGATCAAGGGCACGCAGCAGTTCATCACCAACACCATGTATCACGATGCGCTGCGCAGCAAATCCGGCGAGGTCATGCGCCAGCTGCTCAATCTTCGGGATGACTCCCTTGATTGAATGACCAGAGGAATTCCACAGTCTCTGATGGGACATATGTGATATGACCCAGAGGTGTGTGTGCATACCGGTTATTTACGACCCGGGCACATGGAACATCGGTCCAAATGCTCCTAGGATGCCCAAAGCAAACCAATCGAAGAAGTCGAAACTACTAGTATGATGATGTCTATATGCGTAGCATAATATGTGCAGCTGGTCTGAGTGATTCGTTATACACTTGCGTTTAAACATCCGGTGACGCGCAAGTGATCAGAAGACCTACGTAATGTTAGGTTTGGTATGGGATAATGGGGTTGCTTAACATACTGCACCGCCGACGATGAATAGCCTTTCCTCCTCCTGATGGATCCACTGGGTGATTTTGCTGGCACCCTGCACTAAAGCATTCCTATTGGCGTTTGGTTCGGCAACACAGTAGAATTCAAAAATAGGGGTCACCCAGGCAAAAGAACTCGCCGACCTCGATACACAATAGTGTACCTTCACATTCGTATGTTTGGCGTGTATGCCTTGATGAAGATTATTGTATATAGACATCAACCTAGTTATAGTCAGATATCCCAGTTTGGGTGAAGCATTGAACAGTGCTGGCCAGCCCTCGATACGTACCTGCGCCGTCGAGATGCCGACGTAAAGGTAGGGAGCAAAGGAAGACATTGTAAACTGAACGTTTGCCCTTGACTTGTAGAGGAAATGATGAATGACTGTACCGGGGACGATATCTGTTGTGCTCGGCCTTCCCTGCTCTATCGCAGTTTTAATCACTTTCAATGAGCCATTTTTCTCCATTTGCTGGGCAAATTAGCCAAAATGAACAGATTCGGGAGTAGCTCAATGGATTCCATACCTCGACAAAGGCATCGCGCATTTCTTTCATTTCAAAGAAACTCTCTTTGTTCGGGCTTATGAGAACGATAGCAACGGACTCATCCTTGGATATATCTTCGCTCTCGTTGACATCGTCCCGAAGATCGAGAAAGCTGACATACATGTATAGGTAGCCATTGCTGTTGAATCCAGGCAGACAGACCGGTATCCAGCTTTCGCCGCCACCGGCCTTGACACCATCGGCTTCGAAGATCATGTTGAAGAGAAGCTGGAGATCACCTGGGTGCAATGAATGTTTCTTGGGGCGTACAACGCTTACAAGGCGCCCACCAGCAACGACGAGACCGTACAGCAGGTTTCCATCCTTCGTTCTTAAAAGTGCATTGTTTATGGACTGGCGATGTTGTTTTCGGATCTTGAGGCATTCTAGAGCAGACAGCAAGGTGGAAGGCGATCCGCGTGTAAAGCTGTCAGCTAAAGAAGAAAGAAGTGTTTCTGATCCTTGGAGAGGTCGCTTGAGATCTGTAGAGGGTCGGACAGAGAATAAATGGCTGAGAGATGGAAGTGTCAAAGTAGAGAGAATCTGCATGTATAGCGCTTCCAGCTGAAGGCGGAGTTGATTGTCGCTCTCCATCATACGGCTGATAGCAACGAGATGGAGGGGCCCACGAGTCACAACGACAAACCTCATGTCTCCAGCAGAGAAACCTCGTAAGTGATCTTCAGAATCTTCGTAAAAGGAAATGATAGTTTGTATCACCCCAACATAGGTAGAGATCAGACCGCCGTCACCGTGTCGTGTCCAAATCGGCTTTCCGGCCGCGGACAAAATCAGATAATGCTTTTGCTTTTGCTTCCAGTGACCGAGAACCAACTCTGATCTGGGTTAATTTCAGGGCCTGAGAATAATAGTTTGGTTCAAGCCATACCTTCATTGCCTGCGTCTTCGTCGACTTCACCAACTGGATCAAACTCGGTCAAAAACTGAGCATCGTTTTCATAGTCGCCAGGGAATTCGGCAAAATGCAGCAAGCTCGCGGCGCTAGAATGAGGATCAGGCATTGAGGAAACGAAGTCCCTAAATAGAGCGTCCATATCCCCAATATCGCCACTCGGGAGAACAGAGCTTCGAATACTTGCCGAGTCACCGGCATCGCTAGTTGCTCGCGACCTAGCCAGTTGGCTTAGGCTTGCTTTTGCCTTTGGTCCCTTTGATAGACTACGGGCAGCGAGCGTGGAGTATGCACTATTTGCTCCTTCTTGGGTCTGCGTATTGATTTCTGCCCGGGAAATGGCGGTCGTAGCCTCGGACTGTAGTGCTGCGAAGGACGCCGATTCATCGCTCAGCAGATTCAGCGTGTTCGGTCTCGGGGGTAGCGGTGGTCGCACGCCTTCTGGGCTAGGGCTACGGACTCTCTCCAATTTATCTGGATTTGAGCTTCCCGAAGGGATTTTCATAACGTCAGAGCCATTGCGAGTATCTTCCTGGCCGTCCGGGTGTGCCATGTTCATCCCCGCTTTAGGCGTGCGCTTGTAAACGCAATCGCTGGGCGCGGGGTATCAACTCATAAATTGCGCATTATCAGTTTCAAACCAGAAGCTTGGCAACAGTCACCTTTTATATGTAGAACTGATGCGAAGACGTGGGGAAGAACGAGCGTTCTGGATGTTGGCGGGCGACTCCGAGCTTCCCAAAGGCGGAGACAAAACCCCATGTGGCCGCCTGCGTGGCCCTTTCACCATCCACCTCAAAGACCCCCTTTACCACTCACAGGGTCACACTCGATGTCCTAAATATGACGAAGGGTCGTCTGACGCTTCTAAATACATTTGACGTCCCAAAGTTGGCACCATGAGCCTTGATCCGAGTGCCTTTCCGAGGTCGAACTCCCCCGCAAGCTCCGACAGCTCCCTGACGCGAACGCGCCTACAAGGAAGAGAAGGTAATATACCTGCTTACCCACGATTCTTATTCATAGTAGCGCAATAACTAATTGGCTGCTTCCTTGACCAGTGTCTCTCAAGAAAGATAAAAGCTATCGCCGTTACGCGTCCAGTGTCGAACGGGCCTTGTCGTTGTTTGATAGCGCATTGCAAGAATGGGCCGACTACATTTCATTCCTGAGCCGTTTGTTGAAGGTGAGCAATCACACTGCCCATAATTGTGTTGTTCTGGAAATTTGGCTCATACACATTACCTAGGCGCTTCAAAATCATCCTCCAGATCAACCAGTGGTACCCCATAAAGTATTAGTCTCGAAGCGACTCGCCCAATGTTTGAACCCGTCATTGCCATCGGGGGTTCACCAGAAGGCTTTGGAAGTTTACACTTACATCTTTGGCTTGATCAAGGTGAGATTCAATTCTGTTGAAGCAAGGGCCGAGCAGCACTAACAACTTTGTTTTTTTAGCTTGATGGGTTGTCGCACGATCTTCCATTATACCTACCTGGCCTAGCCCCGACCTTGACTTTCGCTTCGCTCACAGTTCGCCCATTATTTCTTTCGTTGGTGGAAGGCTACATTGTTGATTTGGAACCGCGAGCTATTCGCCCGGCTCTGAAGGCAATACTTTTAGCTTTGCTCCCAGGTCTCGAGGAAGAGACAAGTGATGACTTTGAACCAACGTTGCGCATCATCAACAAACTTCGTGATGTGGGTGGCCGACTGGAGACACAGAAAATATCGGACGTAGGGGCTTCTGGGCAGTATTTCTGGCAATGTTTATTTCTTGCATCCATCACGAACTCCAGCAGACGGCTTGGGACCCTGGCCTACTTAAACCGATACCTCCCAAAGCTCGGCATAGCAGATCGCCGGAGAAGTATGAGTGAAAGTGGGGATGTTCAGGAGTTGCCTCCAGCGATGGTGGCTGCTGCCGAGTCGGTGATCCTCCCGGAACCTGGACTATTGGTACGATGCTTTGCATCTGGTCTATCAGATGAACAACTTTTGGTGCAGCGAAATTTTTTGGACTTACTTGTCACTCATCTACCGCTCAATTCTCCAATTCTACAGTCTCGGATTACCGAAAGTGATCTCGAAACATTGGTTATTGCTGCTGTCGGTGTGGTCACTCGACGTGATATGAGCTTGAATCGGCGACTATGGGCTTGGTTCCTTGGGCCAGAGCCTGCGAATGAAGGAACGTCTACAGATGGACCCCAATCTCCCTCTGAGGTCGTCCAACCGGCGACATCTGGCGGCACGGAGCTCTCGCAATCGCAATATTTCAGTCTTTTAGGCTTGAAGCCCTTAGTCAACGGCCTGCTCCGTATGATCGAAGGAGGCTCAAATAGCCCCTCAGAAAGAACCAAGCCTTTCCGAATCGCTCTTTCCCTGATGGACCGCTGGGAAATTGGCGGGTACATAGTGCCTTCTGTCTTTCTCCCCATAATTCGGAGCGTGCAGGCGTTTGAGCAAGACTGCCCCAAAAGTCAATTGGAGGAAGTTTTCCGCAGTGCCAGTGCCTTTTTCGATGGCGTTGAGAGCAGTGTTATCTTTTCGGAGCTTCTACGACTTGTTGACTTCCGTTCCGGTGACATGGAAAAGGACAATGACCAAGTCCTCCGCGATCTTGGTCTAGCCAAATTCACTATTGAGAATTTCAATGTCCGAGAGGAAGACATGCTCGAAACCCATATTCCTCTTTTGACACTGTCTGTCCTTGTGAGGATGCGGGAGATCTCTTCATATACACCCCAAACCGATTCAAGTGTCGACAGGCAGACTGTGATTGATGCATTGAACAATGTTCTCAAATCGCTGATGCCCTTATTGACCGAGAGAGCCTTCGCTAAGAAGCTAGGCTACGAGAAGTCGTCTTCTGCTGAGTCAAAGGCCCGAGAGACCGATAGCCTGGAAAAGGTGCATATCTTTTATGAAAGCAGTAAGAACAGCTTAGAACTTCCGCAACTACCATTCCCTCCCAAGCAGCTTGGGGAAATGATTGTTCGAGAGGCCCATGAGTTAGCCATCGGAGCTCTGCAGACCGACAAAACCCCTGCTTTACACGACAAACTCGATTGCCTTGTCTCGTTGTTAACGAAGCTCCCCAAGTCTCGTATTTTACGGGACGGTCGACTATATGGGGCAATGTTGCAAAGGCTCCCCACGAAAGAAGTTGTCTCCACAAGTGCATTTGCAACTCTTTCAACTATAACTTCCGCGGTCACAAATCTGTACTTCATACACACGGTTGGCTTTTATGTTAGCTACGAGGATATCTGCAATCTTGTTCCCAGTCTCGTTGAACAATTTTGGCATTACCTATCACCACTAAGCGCCAAATTCCATGTCGAGGCCGTCCGATGTCTGTGGCTTCTCCATTCAATCTCTTGGGTAGACCATCTTGTGGAGGCAACCATAACTAGCTTAATGATCAATTCTTCGACGTCAGGGTCTTACCACCTTTCTACCGAAGAACAAGCAGAGCGATTCTATGTGCTTTGGAACCACAGCCACCACGGGTCACATGAGCAGCCACCAAAGCAAGTCTTTGAAGTTGGAGGGACGCCATTCTCCTACCAATGCTCATTGCTTGAGCGTCCGCTTTTTATTGCCCTGGATCTACTATCCCGCGAGCCAGGAGATGTTTCCCAAAGTGTGCAGCAATGGCTTCAAGATCTGCCAACGATCCATCGGTAGGTGACCAGGCATGTATCAGGAGAGAATGCGCCCACTAAAATTCTGCAGAATTTTTCAGATTATTGTCCTGAAACTTGACGAATTATTTGAGCACGAGACCCCGAGTGCTGTTGCTGAAGAAACTCGGTCCATTTCGCCTGACGACTACAAGGAATGCAATTACTTGCTGCGAACAGCGTCGAACATGATCACCTCTCTCTCACACAATGGATGGATCGCACTTCTCGCTCATGACTTGGATCAGACAGATAAACAGGACAAGTCAAAGTCTGAAGGTATGCTCTATTTTGCTCCTCTTCTCAGGATTGTTCCCTCACTGACCATTGATAGGCACTGCGAATAAGCAAAGTCTTCACGCCGCTATTTTCGAGGCAACTCACCGGATTGTGAGTGACCAGGCACATGGTCCCTCTGATTTCAACAGGGAGGGCGAGCGATTACAAAAGGACGCTCTCAATCTCATGCGAGAGCTTCTTCTTGGCCCGGGCGCAGATGATCTAACTGAGACTGGAATCGATGACTTTTTGGTAGAGCGTCTTCTCATTGCATTGGATGCAGGCGGCAGCGTTGTCGTACAGGGCGCCCTCATTGACACCCTCCTCGCGGTACTCAAGGTACGGTTTGCCCAAGCTTACGTGCCCCCTCAACCACCAAGACCAAGGCAACGAGCTGGTTCGCGAGAGCGCTTGACAAGTCCATCGATCTTGTCATTCACCAGCGACAAAGCAGAGAGGGCGCCATCAATTGCAAGCTTTCCCCGCCCTCCAGAGCGACTTCTTGATTGCTTGTTGAAAGGCATCAGCTCAGCAAACTCACGAGAAATCATTGACCGGTGGATTTCACTCCTGTGTGAGGTTCTTCCACTATATTCTGGTTCAATTTTCCAGATTCTTCTCATGCTAGTGGAATGTTTCTGCAGGGAGATCAAATCTTCCTTCGAGAGACTTCAACTCGGCTTCCAAAAAACAGAGAATTGGCCCAAAGGCCGTTCTGAGCATGTTACTATATCCCTTCTTACTGGTCTTGAAACATGCCTCGCCCATGCCCATGCACGCCTCCTCGCAGAAGAATCAAATGTCCCAACCGCCAAGAGCCCAGATCAACCTCACAGTTTCTTTGGAAACATGGTATCTGGTGTCTTCAACTCAGATAGTAACCAGAGTCGTACGAATGCTGCAAATGACCGGTTGACTGTCCTCCTCTGCTTCCAGGATGCCGTTCGTCTCTGCTTCTCAATCTGGGCATGGGGGGGCAGGGGGTGGAGTTGGCTCAACACCGGATTCCGAGTCTTTGGCATCTTTCCAGTACACCTCACTCCGCATGCGCAACAGATCAAGGCGCATTCTGGAACACTTCTTTGCAGCCGAGGCGCTTGAATGCCTCGAAACCTTGGTGGAGATGTGGACTAAATCCGATACAGAATCTGCAGCCCTGATTTTCAATCTGTTACATACCTTGGATGGCTCAAGCCCGAAGATAACAATGCCTGCCGTCTTCAACGCGATTTACACGCGTACTAACCCAATTGCATTAGACCCCGGCCGCAAGTCCTCATTAACAACCAACCTTTCTGAGTCAGAACTTGCTAGCTTTTTGGTTGCCTATGCCCGTTCGTTGGATGACGATGTGCTAGACGAGATTTGGGCCGACTGTACAACTTTCCTCCGCGACGTACTAAGCAATCCGTTCCCTCACCGACAAATCCTCCCGCGTCTTATCGAATTTGCTGCCATCCTCGGCGTGAAGCTAGAGAAGACCACATTTGGCGAAGACCGCCGCATGCGCAAAGAGCTCGGGGTTTGTCTACCGATGTTACGATTTTCGAGCTAAAGCTGATGATTTCATGCAGGATCTCCTTCTACGGTTACTTACCGCAATCTTTACAAGTAAGCCTTTAGGGTTGAATCAAGATAGCGGCCTTATGGCACGATCTTCTACAGACTATGATCACACAGCAGTCTCCCATACCGGGCCGGATGATATGCTAAGCATCCTCGCTGTTTCCATGCCGTCCTTTATTACAACGTTGGGAGACTCAGATCGTATCAACTCCGCCATTAGCGGCGTTTCGACGAACGTAGTCGGCCCCCTCATCCGCTCGCGCTTGTTCCCCAATAATCTCAACCGCAATGTGATGGCCCTCCTACAGCAGATGGCTAAGGTACCGGCTGCGTCGAAGGTGTGGAAGAAAGACATTGCCGATTCCTTCAACGACCCACGGTTCTTTGGATTACACGTTGATTTAGTTAAACAAAGTTGGATGGATCTACTACGCCAGTGGGTGCTTGTGGACAAAGACCGGCTAGCAGACTTATTGGGTCGACTGCCTCCTCCCAGTGCTGCCGGTATCATGTTTGGCGTTGGAGCGTCTGCAGCCCGATTAGAGGCGGACCGCAAGGCACAGCTTAACCTCCGCCGCATCGCAGTGCTTCTGCTATCCGCCAATGATGACTACTTTGTGGGTGAACTGCCAGGCTTACTCCAGCGACTGGAAGATCTCCTTGCCGCAACCAGCTCATCTTCCCCTTCATCAGCTACCCGTGCTGAAATCTTCATGGTTCTACGGGCCATTGTGCTCAAGACCTCTGCTCCGGCTCTGGCGCCTTTCTGGCCGTTGATCAACACTGAACTCCAAGAAGCCCTTGCAGCTGTACCGAGCAGCTCACAGTCAGATGTGTATAACCCTTACTCACTCCTTCAAGCGTGCAAGCTATTGGACACTCTTCTTGTTATTGCGCCAGATGATTTTCAGCTCCTGGAGTGGCTGTTCGTGACTGATACCATCGACGCTGTGTACCCACCGAACAATTGGGAGCCAGTTGCCCTGGCCGATGAAGTGTCGCAGAGCTTCGGGCGGCGGGAGGTCCTATCCCCTGCTACCCCAGCAGAGCCAACAGAGCTCGCAGATCTTGTCGCCCGTGGTGGTCTAAAGCGGCCGTGGCTCATCTCAGCCCATATCCGTGAAACGGCCAAGGACGAGATTGTCGAGCGGGTTCTCCGACCTTTCTTTGACCGACTGAGCATCTACGTGTTCGAAAGCACGTATGGGATGGATAGCGTTGATTTCGGAACCTGCCGGGATGATCTACTAGAGGATCTGTTTAACGAGAGTACCATGGTGAACTGAGGCCGTAGACAGCGCACTTCTCTTTGCTTCATCCACTGTGTATAGCTTTACTCTATAGCCAAGCCAAACTTCCCGCCTGGCTCATTTTAATGCTTTTTTTTTTCTAAGAGGATATTTGTAGAGCTGATAGAACTTCCCGTCAAAGTGCCTGATCATACTACGTTGGGACCAATAGGGTTGAAGCTAAACATCAGTTCCCCCCCACTCCCGTTCCTGCTTTATCCGCCAACGTCACTTGCTGGTTCCCAATTGCCACCCTGCATCCTCGCTTTAAAAGCAGGACTACAATCCAAAGTACTCCCTCATCACTTGAGGTCTGACTCACTATGGCTTTACGCTCCAGCTTGAAACCGTTCCTTGCTCTCCAGGGGCGTGTCGTCACCCGTCCCTTCTCTGTTTCGCGCCCTCGCTGGGACGCGTCGCCACTGCCGGCCAAGAAGCCGGTTGGAGCTTTCCGTGGCGGGTATGTACTGGTTTCCCCCTTTCCTGGTTCATTATATTTCAAATCTGTCTTGGGGCGTCTCTAAGACCAAGGACTTGCAGTGTTTTTGGCTTCTTATCAGGCGCTGTTGCGGCCGGCGCATCCGTCTACTACTACGTCCTTGCCGACTATCGTGTCAACAACGAGATGCTATCGGCTGATATTTCGGTATGGGCATCCTCGACATCCTCCAAATCAACCTTATGACACGCCTCGCAATTGCTTTCCACCCATTATTGCAAAACTAACACATCTGATCCAGGCACTTCAGTCTGCCACGCTCAAGCTTCAATCTTACATCACCGAGCTTGAAAACAAAGTGGACCAGCTGAAGAAAAAATAGTGATGCTCTAGGCATCCCTGTATGATTGGACTGTACTTATTACTGGCGTCTCGCTGGCGTTCTCTGCCTATTTCCTTGCATTAAGCCCAGCCAGTGTCACCAACATCTAGGCGACCCTGGGAAACATAAACAAAGCACTAAGGATGCTTTCGAGTATTTTGAATACGTTGAGATCATTCAATCAATTCCTGTATTCTACTGCATGCTCCATGCTTTTAAACCCGCTCTGAGTTCCAACCTAAGGCACTCGTCCCGATAAAGCTCCCAAGCCCACTGCAAACACTGCAAACATCCTTATCAAGCCGATCTAAACTTTCCCGCGCTCGATACCCTGCGACTCCACAGACAACCCAAACTCCTCAATCGAAGCACAGCTCAATCCCCGAGCCCAAAATGTTCCGCGTCGAGCTCCTCGAAGGCTCCGGCGCAGCCCCAACCCCAGGCTACACCTACGTCGCTGACCGCGGCATCAACCACCCCCAAGCCCACGCGCCGACACTAAGCCGCAAACGCGGAATCCGCGACGCCGGCAAAGGCGGCGATATCTCCTCGCGACGCGCCAACGCCATCGCCCGCCACATCGCCGAGCTCGACCGCGAGAACCAGCGCGATGTCGCGATCCCCGTCCCCGTCAAGCAAGCCCGGGAGGCGGGCGCCCGCGGCAACCGCGCAAAGACAACCTCGAACGTGCGCCGCATTCTCCAGTCCCAGAAGACCTTCCGGAACCACCTGGACGACGAGGAGGCGGCTATCAGCAATTCTGGTGGCGGGACCGGGGCGGTGCAGGCTGGAGCTGCGGTGAAGAATAATAAGGTTACGGCTGCGGCGGCAGCTGTTGCGCGGCGGAGCTCGACGCCTGCGACGACGCCTGTTGCTGTGAGTGGGAAAAGCAAGAAGCGTGTTTCTGAGAAGGCTGCGGGGGCGGGAGAAGCAGAGCTGATGGATGTGGACGGGGAGGAGCGGGGGAAGAGGAGCCGGTTCCGAAGCTCTTGAAGACGGAGTACGATAATGATCCCTTATTGAAGTCATACACGCCGTCGATGCCGTCGGAGCGGCTGTTACAGATGTTGCTTGCGGAGCCGCCGTTAACATACAATGGCTCGCGGGCTGGACCGCCCGTGTCGGCGAAGGCGCCGCGCCACTTCTGTTGTATGTGTGGGTACTGGGGGAAGATACGGTGCAAGAACTGCCATTTGCGGACTTGTGGGCTGGATTGCTACCGGGTGCATGAGGATTCCCGGTGCGGTGCATTCTTTTAGGGTGATACAGCGCATTGTATACTGGAAGGCGCTTTTCGGTACCTCTTGGAGCAGGCGTTCTAACGACGGCATGAAATATGATAGCAATTTGTACACTAAACTTGTTACATTTGAAAATTATTATTGGATTGGTTATTTGCAAAGATTCGATGAAATCTTCTTTGGGTTTTGCCCAGTTCTAACATTTCAGGTCGATGCCATCGCGCATTTCCGCCTGGCGAATCTCGAACATGACTTGAATGCCGACGAATAGAACCACACAGCATGACACGAGATAGAAAATGCCAGAGTATGAGTTTGTCAAGCTGGCAAGAAGGTCCTTCAGGCCATCCAACCCGAGCGCAAAGCCAACAAGGTTGGCAACCATCATCATGAGCACGTTGCCCACAGACCCGATCCCACAGATGACACGGTACGCATTTGGGTGTGAGCGCCAACGACGAGCTGGGAAGAGCATGCCACCTAAGATCTCTGGTACGACAAAGAAGGTAATAAGCCAGCCCCAAATAAGAAGACGGAGATTGATATCGTGCCACAGCGCCACAAAAGTGAACACCAGTAGGGAATTCCGGATACGGACAAATTTGTCCATAAAGCCAGACGGCGCAGGGACGCCTTTTCCATTTTGAGAGGTTTGGCCGCCACCACCACCACCACCTCCAAGTGGGATGTAGATGTATCGGACAAGCCATCGATTGTATGAGCGATGCCAGCTGCGCCAAAAAGACATGATAGAATAGTTGTTTGACATGCAGCGGATCATGTTTTCGGGAGGATCAATTCCGTCCGTGAGGGCCCATAGACGAAAGAACCTCCACGGAATTAAGAGCTTCAGCCAGATTATATGAAGGTTGAAGAAGGCGAGCATACTGAGCTGTCCAGGCGTAAAAAGTGACCAATCTGGCGAGGCTTTTGAGATGGCCACAGCATAGATGTAGTGTAGGACAAGCTCCATACAAAGCAGGGTGAGGAAAAATCGAATTCCGTATAATATGGTACGTGAGCGTGCCGTGGACGGAAGTGTAAATCGCTGTTGAGAGACATAATCATTGAAGGTCAAGATTGGGCCCGCGAGGTATAGAGGGGAATAAAGGATATAAGCGATGTAGTTGCGCATGCTATAAGCCGCCGGTTCTGCTGGTATTTGCACCCGATCTCGTTCTGACAGGGATGCTGGGTCTTGTTGTTTCTTCTTGTGTGATTGGGTCAGTTCCAGGGTGTGGGAGGAGATGGGAAATCGAAGTTCGGCAGCGACAGGAGAACCTACTTCAATTGGGCTCGAGCTGGGATATTCCAGACTCCAGTGGTAGTCCATGTTGAAGCTAATCAGCCTCAAGATGGTGATCTTGAAGAGGACTTCCCATCTAGGCATAATGCCCCCAAAACTATCAAGTCTCTCCGCAAAAATCATGAGCGTCGAGCCTTCATCACCTACCGAGCTAGATCCGGGGGTTAACAGCGACGCAATGCGTTCAAAACGGTAGCCCTCACACAGCTCGTTGGCAAATAAGATAGTAATGTTAAAGATCCATGTGACGGTTGGGACGTAGGATCGCGGGAGGTTTTTGCCAATCCGATAGTTCACCACCAAAATGAAAATGACCTTGAGCGCAGAAATGCCATGAAGCGCTGTGAGAAAAATAAGGCCGAAGAAGAAGTCGAAGCTCATGCGCTGCTCCAGCTGTGAATTCCTAGCAAAAGCGGAAGGACGGTTCGGTGATTTTGCCTCGTGGCTTGCGCGGGTGGTAAATGACTGGTAGACACGGCGAAGAAGTGGGTGCAGAACTAGAAGCGACAGCAAGGCAGGTATATTATCGCGGAAGCTTGCATACTGCGCATCCGAATTGTCCTAGTCATATCGCAGGAAGGTCAGTCATGCTGATTACATCGAGCATGAGCTAAGATCGAATACGCACCACGAGGCGACCGGGAATCCATCCTGGAGAGAGGAGGTGAGAGTATTTCGGATAGATGGGATGGCTTTCTGTTTCATCCAACGCCTTCATCAGCAACCGATCTTTATATACCAGATGGCCTCCAATTTTCTCCCGATGGCACATACCCTTAGAAGCATCGACCACGGTTTTGAACATCAATGGAACAAGCGTTATGAAGAACAGATAGTAGATGAAGAACTCTGGGGTCCGCCAGAGAGGGGCGTTTGCCTTCTGGGCGACAGCGTTGGCTCGCGCATCTTTGGCAGACAAGGGTTGCGTGTCGGCAGCGTTGGCAGCTGAGGTAGTGGGGGTAGACGTGAAACGAGTGTCAAGGGTGTCGAGCGAATACAATCGCCGCAGCCAGGAAAAAAATCGAAGGCATGCTTTAATCGTCGTGGCATTCCGAGCTGGACAGTGTTGAAAGCCCGGACAGGTGGCCGTAGAAATGCTCAGACTGGCGGAAGTGTTTACTTGTCAGGGGGAGGCCGATTGGCGATAAGCCTCCCGTGATTGGCACAATCGACTCGCCGCTTTACGAGTCCAATCAGCCTCATGCAATAGTTATAGTTTAATTCCTCAGTTAATGTTATCTTGATGTACTAATCGTAAAATTTGAGGACATCTGCCGATTTTCTCTACCAGCGCCCAATAAACATGCCTCTACAAGACAAATACCACCGGAGGGAGCCTGTGGTATGAGCTGTGCAGTTGAATTAGTACTTACTAGCGTGACATCGGCATATGATTTCAATCGGGGTATAAAACTACACTTTACGCAGAGGTCAGCCTAGAGGTTGTGATGTATGCTTCTGTGTAAGATCATCGAGACGTTTGGAATTTTTTTTTTTTTACCAATTCCGATTTGAAGGAATGACGGCCAGAAAACTGGTTCGAGATAATATTCGAATTGATAGGGAGCAGGTACTCTTAATAGTGGCATACAAGTATTTAGGGACGGGTTCCGACTCGGATTTCTGACGCCAGTCGAAGATAGGCTAGGCGCAAGCAGGGGAGTAACAGGGGACTAACCACAGAGGTACCCATGGAAATGGGAGCGGAATGCGCAGGTTTGAGTTCAAAAATTACTCAGAACAGATAGTGTCACGAATAATGAGACAAATTCCCAGGGCTGTTATTTGCTCGGCGACGATCGATTAGATCAGCAACCGGCGGTTCTCCAGGGCTCCAGGGGCTAGGGCTCGAGGAATTCCAAGGCAAACGCAAGAGCATACCGTGTATGTCTCCGTAAACCTGTTTTCTTTCCATCCATCCAAACATCAGACATCACTGTCAGAAATCGCATAACATGACATCCAAACGAGTGCGTGGACCAGCAATATCCTTATTCTCCAGATCGCTCCATCTTCGTCTCCAAGAGTCGCATTATCTTTGAACCGCCAAGGCTAATCCTGCTCAGATTGCATTCAGAGTCCAAGGGAATGTGCAAGGTAAGTCGCCCACTCATCGCCGACTCATTAAATAGCACGAATATACCTGTGCTGACCTCCTGTCCCAGGCGTTGGATTCCGGTAAGGCCTCCCCGCTGTTTCTTACCCGATGACATCATCTATCAAAAGAGTACAAACAAACTCAATCGAGGACCCTAGTGACTTCACCCAGAAGTGTGCCACAAGCCATGGCCTCCAGGGCTGGGTCCGAAATACAACATGCGGCAACGTGAGTGCATTCCGGATTGTAGCAGCTTACCTAGCCCGATGCTTCGACCGGGATATTAACTATATCTCCAGGTCGAAGGCGAGGTCCAGGGTGACAGTGATGCGGTCCAAAAGCTCTTGCAGCAAATCGATAAAGGCCCACGCCTAGCTCACGTCGTGAAAGTAGAGAAGCGGGAACTGCCACCGAAAGAGGGCGAGGGCCAGTTCTTGGTCATGCGGACCATGGAGTCGACTTTCGGCTCGGCGGCTTAGCTCGTACTGTACGGCCTAGTATCTTTGCCTCGCATCTAAGAATGAGTCATTGGGTCGCGTGATGATAGTTTTCCAAAGAAAGTTAAGCTTTCGAAAAGCCCCTTGCACAGCCCTTCGTCTAGATCGCGGGTATTATGAGAAGCATATTAGTAACGCGCTCATATTCTCTCGGGACCCGACAGGGACTCATCATGAGCCGACCTAATCGGCCTCGATAAGTCCGAAAATTGGCCAGATCCATATCGCCGGTGAAAATTCGGTATAGATGCGAGTCCCGACGCCGGTATGCAGGGATTTTCTTGGACACTGAGGGACGGAGCTGTCCGGGGCCCTTCGGACCGGCTCTGCCCGAGTTCACCTGCCACTGGGAGGCGATCTTTGAATCCAAGCACAGCACTGCCGCTGCTGGGAAGGGAATGGGAAGCATCCTCTAAATTGCTTCTTGTCCATAGGGTCATGTTCACCATGGCTTTGTCACATAAGTAATGGAGTTGACATGGCGATCATAAAGGTGGGTCCTGCCGAGTGGACGGTTCAGAATGTGGAATTCTCGAACAATTCTGGACGTCCGCAATGCCGAAGGATCCTCAGAAATAGGCTGGGCTGGGTGGAGCCCCAGACAATACGCAGGCGTACCAGATTACCGTTTCAGATCTTCCTGGTTCATTCTGACTGCGTATAGATCCGCATCCACCACCGGAACAGGGCATCGGGCAGGACAGGGATCGATCGTCCATTGTAAATAGTATAAAAAAAAGCGCGACGCTCAGGGAGCGATTTTCTATGGATTTCAATCAACAAGTCCTAACTTGAAATCTCTCTTACAATCTCAACTTCTATAGAATCCTTCACCCCTGCTTCACCGTCAACCTCAAAACGACATACTACCTCATGAGCTCGTCGGTGTTGTCCACCACAGCGCCCTTCCGGGCAGCTGCCCGGCAGAAATACTTCCCTCTGGCGATTCGAGCCTACTCAGGCGTAGCGGCCAGTCGCCTACACCCTTCTCACAGTAAACAAGTCACGCCCGTCGCCTACGCCTACGTCTCAAAACGATCCATCTCCTCGACCCAGCAGAACCGAACCGAGGAATACTTCCCATCGCCCGAGACCCCTGGTGTCAAAGAAGTGCAAGCATGGGCTCACCCAGTGTATGCAAACCCCGCACAACCCTCACGAAAGATATCATGACCCTGACGCACGTCAAGGTACACCGTAGAGCAAATGCGCAATGTTGCAGTCGCCCACCGGGATGCGAGAAACTGGTCCGATAAGGTCGCCCTCGGTACAATGCGTGTTTTCCGTTGGGGCATGGACTTCGTCACTGGATACAAACACCCCCGTCCAGAGGCTAAACATCCCGAAAGATTCAACTTGACTCCCAAGCAATGGATGAACCGGTTTATCTTCCTCGAGAGCGTGGCAGGCGTCCCCGGCATGGTCGGCGGTATGCTGCGCCATCTCCACAGTCTGCGACGCATGAAGAGAGATAACGGATGGTACGTAGTGATCCAAAGTACAACGGTATGCCAGAAGATTGACCTATGTCCGTACGAAACAGGATCGAAACCCTTCTCGAGGAAGCTTTCAATGAGCGCATGCACCTGCTCACCTTCCTCAAGATGGCTGAACCGGGCTGGCTCATGCGCCTCATGGTCCTCGGCGCCCAGGGTGTCTTCTTCAACGGATTCTTCCTCTCCTACTTAATCTCTCCGCGTATCTGCCACCGGTTTGTCGGATATCTCGAGGAAGAAGCCGTCATTACGTACAGCCGGGTGATCAAGGACATGGAAAACGGACAACTGCCCGAGTGGGATAACCTGGAGGCCCCGGATATCGCAGTTCGGTACTGGAAAATGCCTGAAGGCAACCGCAAGATGAAGGATCTCATCCTATACATCCGGGCCGATGAGGCGAAGCACCGCGAGGTCAACCACACATTGGGCAACTTGGACCAGAAGGGGGATCCCAACCCTTATATGACCGAGTACAAAGATCCAACAAAGGATCATCCCACAGAGGGAATTGAGAACCTCAGAGCAACAGGATGGGAACGCGACGAGATCTTTTTCAAGCCTCAGGAGCAAAAGTAGACCCCTGGTTTTTGGTGACTCTAGGACGGCGTTAGGTGATAGCTCTACATCCATAGACTCTACTCTTTCTGTTGATAATTCCGTTGTACCGTACTGTAAAAATAGTCCTGCAAATAAGCATTCTCGTACTCCCTTTGAATATCAACTGTCAGCGATGGTCTTTTCCGTTTGCCTGATAGATACAATACTGCCCTGCTTCGCTGCCCGGCCAACTGGTAGTCCATGATAGCATCTACCAGACACTAGCCAATGGGAATTGGAAATGGCGAAACCATGTCGGAAGTGAGGCCAGGGCTCGCAGTCTCATCCTGGTATGGGCAGGTTTCACAAATCCAAGAAGCACACGCAAACCTTGGAAACCTTGGGACGCGGAACGCGGGGGCGAGGAGCTAAGCCTAACGAAGTAATTTTGCAACAGTGGTTCGTGCCTGTGTCCATAGTTCGTGCAAGCTGGATTGGTTTATTTCTTGTCTCATCGCCTGCATCTTTGCAATATGCAAAGTCCTGTAAAATCAAGTCCCATGGAGCAACGTGTCATTCTGTCTACCTTAATCTTGCCTTAATTATTCTGCGATCGCGACCCGCTCTTCTTCCCCTTAACGCCACTTCCCGTTGGACCCGAACACCCCTTTTGCCGGCCCAAAGAAGATTCTGGGCCGTCGATCTCTCAAACCCTCATTAAACCTCCATTGGGGTCCCTCATCTCCCGGTGGCCCTGTTTCGAACTGGCCAAATAAAGTGGCTAGCGCCAAAAACAAACAGGCATTGCAGGTTAAAATCAGCCTGGCACGATTCCCGTACAACTTGGTGCATTGAGAGTTTCAGACCAACGCCGCCACATCATGGAAGAGCCAGCGCACGACACTGAACCGCCTATTCGATCTGGCTCGCCTTCTCCCTCCATCCCGGCCACCCCGGCCATCTCGTCTTATTCCTCGCCAGATCGCACCTTCTCCTCAGTATCCTCCCGCTCTGCGTCTTCGGTGACTTCGGCGGGCGACCGCTCGTCGGTTTCGACGTCGTCCCGGCGCCATGGCTATATTCGTCCATTCGGTGCGGAATTCGCCGAGTCTGCTCGTCACAGAGACAGTGTCATGAGCCTAGGCAGTATCGCCCATCTACAATACTACTTCGCTCGCACAGGGCTACTAGATGGGAAGACCGGGCGAAGCAAAGAGTTCGACAAGAAAAACGGCGGGAATGTGCCTCGCGTCTTGATTACTCCAAATGAACAACATCTCGATGATTTTGTCGCAAGCCCGACGGAGGCGGGCGACTCTGCGGGCTGTGATCCCCAGTTCGAGGACGAGGACGGCGAGGTCATGCTGCCTCCCACTGTCAGTACATATAGCATGAAGACATATCACGTCCCGCCCCCGCCAGACCTGATGACGCTCCGGCGGGATCTACAGACTGCCCTCGACAAGGCTGAGAAAAACATGCAAGCGATTGATAATGGCGTGGAACCACCCCCGCGGGAACCAATACGAACAAGCTTGTCTCCGGGCGATATCCCGGAGACGATGGATGATGATTCTGCACAAGCTGCGGCCCCGCAGACTAAAGAAGAGGCCCAGGAATGTGCATTCTCGATGACATGACCATGGCGATTCGGGCCGCGAAGATCTACTACACGACTCACCCACACCCAGAACGGTTAGCTTCTATCAAAAGCGAGCGCGAAATCCGGAAAGATCTCTTCCACGTCCTCGATGCTCTCAAACGCTGGGCAGCCCGTCATTTTGCCAGTGGGCTTCGGCCAGAGGAGCGTGAGATCGTGCAGGGCTGGATCACCAACGTGCGCGCCATGCTGGGCCGTGAGAAAGCGCTGGAGGACATCGAAGCCCAAGAACGGGAAAACTGGGATTGGGCACGTGGCGACTGGACGGGTCGCGAGAGAGCTCGCGAGGAATCATTCCTCCGTAGTCTGGCTCCAAGCGGACATGACTTGCCCGAGTGGACGGCTATTGAGGATGATGCCTCCCCCGACTCCCTCCCGACGCCGTTCTTGGAGCGCTTCAGAGACGGGCGGATTCTAGTTCAACTGCATAACATCGCGGTCAAGAAGTCCAAGCGGCCCTTTGGCAAGATCGAGACATATCATCAAGATATCGCCAAGCCGTATCGTCAGGCAGAGAACTTGCGGTTCTGGATCAAGGCTGCAGAGCTCCGGTGGGAGTTGCGGTTCCAGGTGGACGTAATGGGAGTTGTGCAGGGGGGCAGCACTGAGGCCTGGAGGCAGTTCGATGCAGCTCTGCTATCGTGGTGCAGTACGGTCCGCCAGGAACTGGTGCGTGATTGGCAGGCGGCCAACCCGGGGCGTCCCCCTAGCGCCGGGTTGATCTAGAAAAAGGGAGGGTTTGACGTGAATATATGCATCTCGATATTTGATGTGACTTGAATTTGGACTTTTGTTTCTGGTTCCCCTTTACGGACACTTGGCTAGATACCCCTGAATTGCCTTGGTCCGACTCCGCAGGTGTTCTGGCTTATTGTTGTTTTCTCCCGGGCGATTTGGTCTAGTTCGGAATCTCGTTGCGTATCTTCTCAAATTCTCCGATTCTGATGTATATTTGGGGCTGCAAACTTTGCATAGCATCTTAAAGGATATTACCTTTCAAGAGTTTTATATGCGTACCAAACCTTGTATCTGGAGTGAGCTCAACTTCAGGGTCCGTACAACAACAGGAGTGGGCCTGGACGCTAGGGCACATGGGCGCTGATCCGAACCCCTTGAACTCCTGCCCATGGCTCCTGCTAGACGAGATGAAAAGAGGGAAAAGAAAAAAAAAAGGAGCTTCCAGGGTTCCAAGGTTGTTCAGCGTTTGGATCTGCCGTGGTGCTACTTGCATCAAAGATGTCGATGTCCAACCGTTCAAACTCAACCAAGTGGCCAAGCTTGAGATGAAATCATATGGCCGATCTTAAATTACATTCCGAAGGGAAAGGAGGTACCTGGTGGGCCCAGAGGACAGACGTGGTCCGGCAGGTACCGTTTCTGCAGTAAACGGCGAAGGCCTCTCTCATCCCTCGTTTTGTCTCATGAGGATTGCTGCCCAATAGAGCAACTAACGCAGTTAAAGCATGTGTGCTTGATATTCGACTCTCGAGCCTCCTTGACTTTTACAGGCTTATTTTACCTCCACAACCTCTGTCTCGTGTCTTCTTCTCCCCCCCGGATTCCTGATGTAGCCGTCCCTATCCACCCTTTCCCACTTAAAACAATCTTGCAGAAGCCGCTCAAAGAGGTTTCCGGTTCCTTCGTGTCCTTACCCGAACAAGAAACATTCCTACGCCCATCCCTGCCTATTCGCCTTTGATCGCTTTCTTTCAGCCCAGGTCTTGTTACCCATGCATGTCCCCGTTGATGGTCCCTCTTCTGCGACAGATCCCGCAACTTCGTCCAGCGTGTCCATCCCGGGCGCGTCTCCTCCCCCCGCGGTCTCCATCTCCGGCTCTCCAAATGAACAACCCTCCACCCTTCGCCGTCTGAAGTCCAAATCCTCCCTGTGGAGTATTGGGAGCAATAACACCGAAGACGACGCGCCGTCTGAGCCACCCAGTGCCGAGAAGAACACTGGAAAGCAATCGATACTTCGTCGACTGTCGCCCGGTCTCGCGGCCCGCGTCAAGTTACTGGACGGCAACAACAAGAGTAGCAACAACTCGCGGACCCCGAATGTCGGTCGCATCCCTGAGGAGCACCTGAAAGAACTCGACAGTCTGCACCAAGATCTCTCAATCCGGATTCAGAAGAAAGGCCAGGCTTGGAGTGGCCCCGCCTCCGCCTCCCCAGGATCAACAAGTTCCCAGAAACGGAGCGCGTCCAACAAACTTGAACTTCCCAGCCAAGATCTGCTAAGGCAGGCTTCCGGAGTGCGTGAGCAAGGGTCCCCGCCCGCCAACGTGTTCGTCGAAGGCCCGCCGCTCCCTGTCCCATCCTCCGCTTCACCTGCGGTGACAGCCCCCGGTGCAGAGAACAGCGCTCCGGTACCCATGTCTGCTGCTGGCCCAGCGCCGGCGCAACTGGGCGCAGTCCCCGCTCGCAAACCCTTGCCCAGTGATACAATCCAAGATACGCGGACGGACTTCGAGAAGTACGTGGACGATACCAAGCGAAGCGAAGAACGATCAGCACAGGATGCGCCCCCTCCCCCCCCGAAAGACTCCCCCCCCCGCCTCCATATCCTCCAACACCCAATCCTACTTCAACCCCCAAGGGCTCCATCGCGCCGATTCTATATACTCATTCTCCCGTGCATCATTCAGCAACCAGCTCTCACAACTCACATCCATCCCTCTTCCCGACCCCTCTGCACTCGAGACGAGTATCCAAAACATATCCACCGCCCTCGCCGCAGTCCGCGCTTTGAACGGTGCAGCAGATCAGATCCAGATATGGATCAGGAAAGCTTCCGATGTGCTCAGCGGCTTGGATGCGGAAGACGATGTCGAATGGGCGGCGGCCGGTGGTCGAGAAGGCCTTGATGGAGTCGACAAGGCGATCACGCGGTTCGAGTCACTGGTCAATGTGTATGTGAGCGCCATCGAGAAGGTTCAGCTACGAGAAGACATTGCCAATGTCGACTCCGACAATCTCAAGACCATCGTCAGTCAGATGGAGAGCATCCTGCAAAACTGGTCGCAGATCAAAGTTAAGCTCCGGGGCGTGAAGGAGCAAGTTGAGCTGTCGATGGAATGGGAGGAGCTTTGGTCCAACGTGCTGGGTGATCTCGGAATGGAGATCGACAAACTCAGCAGCATGATCTTCGAGATGGAAGAGAAGCGCCATCAAACACTATTAGACCCCAGTGGCGAAACTAGCAATGGCCTTGACATCAATGAGCTTGAAACGATTGTGGAGGAATCACCTGTCAAGGGTCGCTCGCCTGCTAGCAACCGGTTTAGTCTTGGGCCTATCTTGGCTGGGACCTCGGGTACGCCTACCATCAAGACACCCCATGATGATTCTAGCCAGTTCAAGCTTGCTGAGCTAGATGCTCGAAGAGGTGCTCTCCGTGCTTCGCTGGATTTCCTTCCTATGCGAATCTCCATGTTCCAGTCAAGAGCCATGAATGTCTTCCCAAGTGCAATCGAGGAGTTGGAAGATCGACAGGAGCGTCTAGAGAAGAGCTACCAGGCCCTCGAACAAGAGATCAAGACGCTGGCAAAGGAGCTGGGAGAGGACCGGTGGATTATCGTGTTCCGCAATGCAGGCAACCAAGCACAGAAGATGTTCGATTCGGTCGAGCGCAGTATAACCAAGCTACAAGAAGGCCTGGAATCGAATGCGCAGATCAATAACCCGGCCAGCTTGACCAAGCGCATTGAGAATTACGAGGCGAAGAAGATGCACTATCTCCCGGCCATTGAGCGTGTCATTTCGATCATTCAAAAGGGTCTCAATGAACGTCTCACTGTCAACGGCGAGGTCCTACGATTACTGGCCGATATGCAATCCCGTACAGATGCTCTCAAGGCCAGTCTGAAAGTCATGGATGCATCTCTCGAGGACGTACAGATTGCCAGCAATCACCAGTTGAGAGATTCCATTTCCAGCATCCTGACTCTAGATAGCCCCGCGACTGGAAGCATTGCCGAAACCCCAGGAAGCTCGCCCGCGTCCTCTGTTATCCTCAGCGGGAGCGGATATAAGGGCGGATCAACCCCGCTTGGGGATTCCAGCCGCCGCGGAAGCTCCGTTGGCAGCACAACTCGCACTACTTTGTCCAAGATCCGTCGCGTATCCGGCTTGCCCCAGGCAGTGACTAGCCGGAAATCTTCTATTCCGACCCCAGGAGGGGCATATTCGCCCCAGCACACAGCTGTCACGCCGACACCAGCTTCTCGCAAATCTCGGGTGCCTCAGCCATCGCCTATTCCGAACCGCCCAAGGTGGAATGCCAGCACCAACACGGCCGATCTGGATGTAGGCCACAACTACAATTATACATACCCGCAAGCCGTCCGGATCCTCAACCACGCCTCGACCTGCTTCTACTCTCTCCTTCTCACGTGGCATGTCTTCTTCTCCGGCACCCGGTGCAGGCCGCTCTATTAGTCGTCTGTCCTCTCGTCTCGCATCTTCATCCCGCAGCCCTGCCCGGAACGTCTCCTCTCCAACGCCCGCCCACTCTTCTTTGCTTGATCCTCCCCCTTACAGCCGTCTCCGCCGGCCCTCGAATATACCCAACGCTCCTGAATTGAGCAATACTCCACGAAGCCGACAAAGCTATGCGGGCGTCGGGTCATCCTTTAGTCGCAGTGTGAATACTGCCGATGCACATGATAGTCCAAGCAAAAATGCCCGCCCGGGTACGGCTCTTGGTCACTCTGGCCATAAGCGAACCAGTCTCTTGCCTCTGCCGAAGCGCGACAAGGAACGGACAGCCGCACAGAAGAAGTTGGATTCTCGCCCACCTTTTAGAGCATGATGCTCTTTCCTACCCCCCATAATACCTATCCTCTTCTTCTATTCTTTTCCCACCCCCACTTTACCCTCTCCCTCTCGCCCTTCATCCTATCTCTATGAATCCTCTTGTCTCCTTTATGCGTGTTTTCTGTGCCATCTATTTCAGCAGACTGGATATTTTCCCTTGTCCCGTTGAACAATCTGGTCCGTGTTATTGCAGGTGATTTTATTGCGTGATATCCCTCTTGTTGCATGGTACGGTCTGAGCGTTGGGTCTCGCTTCCGTTTGGGTCATTGATTTTCTCGTTTCATACGAACCCTGTGAATATATCTCTTGTAGTGTACTTCCCCGAGAATGGACGTAATAGATAAGGTCATGATCGCGTGTGTCTTGTCCCTGTACATCCATGGATGTCCCCAAGATTCAAGCCCGACCTTCCAGGGTTGGTACCCAAACTTGTATCATGGGACTTGCAAGCATATGCGTCACTGATACGGAAGTCGGATAGGAACGGAGTCTATGAATCTTAGTTAGGCAATCTCACGAGTCAGCGACTTGAAATTTGCGCGCAGGAGGCTCCGCAGCGCCTTGCGCGTTCTTTGTTCGCTGTTCTTTATCGGTCGATAAATAAAGCCGGCGCCTCTTTGTTCGAGTGGGGACTCAAGATTCAAGGAACCGAAATCCGCGCGCCTGTGAGCCTTGTAAAGTTTAAAAATCAAATACTATGCGCCGTGTTTTCAGCATACACGATTGCCGTCATAATGTGTCCTTGACTGGTTCTCTCGATTTACAGCCAAAGCTTCCCTTCTTTCCCTAAGAATGAGCTTCTCCCAGCTTTACCCTCACATTGTCAACCCGATACAGTACGAGAAGACGACCAGAAGCCACAAACGCCCAAACAAATGAATCGGGAGTACGGAGATCCCTATTTCCCAGACGAGCTGCTGCAAGCGCTCGAAACAGCACACGAGCAATATGCAACCGATGACGCACCGTCAGAGGAGCTCTATGTCTTCGTCGTGGTTCACGAAGGATTATCGCTGTCCGATGAACCAGAGTTCACAATCGAAGGCGTCTTCAGCAAGCTAGACCTAGCTAACGAGATGGTCCTGGACTTGTTTAAAATCATTTACCACCACGACTTCAAGAAAGCAGACTTCTATGCCCGCGACACCTTCCAAGGAATCGGCGAGAGCTCGGTGGGTTGGTACACCTCCCGAAGTGGGACACTAGCGCTGGAGCTGCATGCGCAAGATGGTGGGACTCTCCGAATTTATGCGGAGGAACATGAGTTGGAGAGTCGTTGATTTGGTGGGAAAGGGCTTTTCTTTTCTTTTTTTTCCCGCTGGAATGAAGAATAAGTCTATTATGTCACGATGCTATATAGTTACCCATTGCTTGTATCGATACAATAATCGGTGGTCTTTGTGCCGAAAAAAAAATCAAGAGCTGCTGCAATAAATCTAAACAACCGTCTTGCGTGATCCAGCTTGGTTGATCTTATCTAGACCAGCTCTCGTCCGAAGATCAGAGCATCGACGAGCTCCTTACTATTAGCTAGCCGTGCGGCCTTGGGGACACGGCCAATAACGCTGAAGCCGAGTTTCTCCCAGATGCGAATAGAGGCGGGGTTGTTGGCGAATACCAAGTTAAAGACGGAGTATGTGTAGCCCTGGACACAATTAGCTCGATATCCGGAAAGACTGTCGCCCGAGCGATGCGAAGTGGTCGGGAAAGCTCTTTTCGGATTATAGAGGGCGGCTACTCACCAGTCGGGCGCGAAATCCAAGTATGCCTCGCCCATCGTTTGTCCAACGCCTTTTCCACGAGCAGCGGTGGCGGAGAGGAAGCCAGCATTGCAAATGTGCGAGCAACGACCTATCGGCGAAGTCAATGTATGTCATAGAGAATGGGAATGATCGCATCACGACCAGAATCTATACTTCGGAACATACCAGGATAGTTCGGCTTGATATAGAAAGTCCCCAGGCAAACCTTCTCCCAGTCTCTCCCCTCCTTCAATCCATTGCTGTCACTCGGGTCATCGAGCACCGCAACAACTGCAAAAGTACCAAACCAGTAATCTGCATATGCTTGCAGGGCCATCGGCTCTTCCATGGGATACGTGCTGCCGCGCGTGATCTCGGCGCTGAATTCGGCATGGAGGAACCGAATCAGGTCTTGCGGAATACTCGATGGCCCCTTTGTGATGGGATATAGGGTGACGGCGGCATTGTCTGCCTTGGGCAAGGTGGCATGTCTTGCGCTTAGGGATGGCGCAGCTGTAGCATGCGCTGTTGGTGCGGGGATGCGGGTGGAGGGGTCTTCTAGTAAGGCGGGCATGGTGGCTGATTGGTGACAACGCTGAGGCAACAGAGCCTGGATTGAATGCAATTGGGCCTTGGGCTTCGGTAGTGGATCGCTTTGTGAGAAGATAGACGATATAGGACTTTAGCTGGCTCAAATATCGGCTTGTAACTACTGGTAAGGCTGAGTCATCTCTTCAATGACAAGGCGCGGTGGAACCCCGCATCTGATAGGGAATTGGAGATATCAAAGGATGATTTGGAGAACAAATGAGCATGTTCGGGCAGCAGCTGGTGCGTCCGGTTTTGGGTTGGAAATGGTCGATGCTTCACGGTGGAATTCGACGTGCCGGTTCAAAATGTCTATCCCTTGGACTGATCAGCACACTTCGGCGGGTTCTGGTTCTGCCTGGATATCTAGTTCGTAATGAGCGAATTAAGGAAGCTTTACGTTTCAGAAACACCACTCCATTTGGTCTTATACTTATAGAGAGTTTTAATCGTAAACCACATGCCATGCTTGCAAATTGATCAGTAGAATTATATATATGTACAGCAGCCAGGTCGGTACAAGATGCCTGCATCTTCCAACGACTTCAAGTTCACGATCGATCCCGTCCAACTGCCTCCTTATTTTTCCTCTCCCTCGTTCCGAATCGCCTGCATCAGCTCCATAAGCTGTCCTAATTGTTGATCTGCAGAGAGCCCCGCATTAGCATTGCCAGTCCAGGCTCCGGGCCGCACAAAAACATACCACTTAGCTTATCCAGCTTGGCTTTGTCCAGCTTTTCGCCTTTCCAGCTATCCCCTTCCAGTTTCTGCGCATAGAGCTGCCACTCGGTCAGGAATCCGATCTATAGTCGATCTGCGCATCAGCATCTGTTTGTCCCATTGCCTTCAGGCCCAGATGGCCAGACACCTGGCCAGGCCGCCCAATGTACCGACGGGAAAGAGACGTACAATATGCAATGGGTTCTCCGCTGTCTTGTGGGCCCGGAATTCCTTCTTCACGTATGAATCGCCCAGCACGCGCATCTCCGGGTCGAGCTTGCGATGGACGCGCAAGATGCGGCGGTAGAGCTGGAGCGGGGGAAGGAGGGCCAGGGCTTCGCTGAGACTGGACTTAGATCCGATTGAGGCCGGAGTGGCCATTAGTAAGCGGTGAGCAATGCGCATGGTGGTTTTGTTCGAGCTCTGGAGGTTGTTGCTGGTGAGATTCGAGGTCCCGAGTTCCGGAGTGCAGAATGACATAATTCTGCCGTTTTTTGATTTCCACCCTTTCGGAAGGCGGCGAGCGGGGGTTTTTTCTCTCTTTTTGTTGCTGCACCAATCTGATATATCACACTTGTCCTTTAGGACGAGGTCGTTCATTTGAAAGGATTCAAGTCATAGACGAGGGCCTAATAACCCTTCCGGGTCCTGGGAGTGTTGGCAAACTGCGCGCTGACTTGGAGTCGGGCTCGGGGGGTTGTTATTTATATATCTCTGGGAACTTCGCGAACACAACTAGAGCAGTTTAAAACGCCATTTCAGACGACAAACACTTGAGCTCGAAGGAATTAAGTTGGTCAACTTTCTATGGATATATCAACTAAGAGACACTACGAGTACTAGTACAATACTGCTAGTCCAGTTGAAGCCGCATATCGACATGCTTCCAACTCCAGACACCTCACATGTCTCTTTCGACACCATCTACGAACCCTCAGAGGATTCATATCTCTTCCTGGACACACTGTCGTCAGAATCAGAGTCCAAGTGGCTGTCTGAGCGCTTCCAGAAAACTAACAGCGATTCGCTGGGTCATGAGAATAATAACTCCGTGCCGTTAGTCGTGGAAGCCGGCACAGGCTCCGGCGTCGTGCTCGCATTCGCAGCAGCCCACTCACAAAAAATCTTCGGCCGACAAGACATCCTCACTCTGGGCGTCGACGTGAATCGAAATGCCTGTCTTGCAACGCGCGAGACGGTAGCAACAGCGATCAAGACCAACCAAATACCAACTACAGACTCAGGCGCGCCCAACCTACACACTATCCACATCTCATCCGTAACTGCCGATTTGTGCACGTCTCTGCGGCCAGGGAGCGTCGACGTACTCCTGTTCAATCCGCCGTATGTACCGACGGAGGAGCTTCCGCGTCTACCAACGGCAGCGGAGAATGACCCAGCGACGGTGCAGGGATTGTCTCGGTCCGCGAAGTTTGAGAGCGAGTCGTTCTTTCTGTCGTTGACGTATGCTGGCGGCGCGGACGGAATGGAGACCACGAACCGTCTTCTCGATGCTGTGCCTGGGGTTCTGTCGTCCCGCGGAGTCGCGTATGTGCTGCTGTGCAAGCAGAATCGGCCGGAAGAGGTTAAGGAGGTTATTCGTGGCTGGGGTGGTTGGAATGCTGAGACCGTTGGGTCAAGCGGCATGAAGGCTGGATGGGAAAAGTTAGTTATTGTTCGCATTTGGAGACAAGGGAGTGATCGGTGATGACTCGAAATGAGACATAATAAAATATAGCATGCGCTGGCGCTCGTACTGACCGGCCGTCTACGAGATCATGTTCAAGTTCCGGATATGCATTCCCTCGAGGATCTGGATGATATTGGTCACGACTCATCTGCTTGACCATGGCATCAAGCACTCGAATACTAGTGAAATAGCGTGACCGTGGTATCATCTGGCCGTGGTACCCCCCCTGGCTCCAGGAAACAGGTGATAAAAGCACATCCATCTGGCAATCTCGTACTACCCGCGAACCCCGTCGAACCCTAACGCAGGAACTCTGCGGAACATTCTCTTCAAGGCCCCCCCATATCAGGAATTAAATTTAGTCGGATCTACCCGAAAAATAGCACCATGCTAAGAATGGGCGGGTCAAAATGGAATCTACGACCAGACTACGATGCGAATTCTGCGATATGGTTGCGGCCTTGTTTTCCGCCCGCCGGTCTCCAGCCCCCAAACCTCCCACGTTGTTTGGATCCGCCACGGCCCCAACGCGGCGAAGCACGAAATCCTATCTTTTTGTGTGCCTATCTACGTAGTTGAGGCAGGGCCCATTCTGAAACAGAGGGGAACTCCGGAAGGGGAATCTGACTTTGGACCCCCCCCGCAGATTAAGGCCCCTGGGGGCCACGTGGTTGGGCCCAGGGGGCGCAGGTATTTCCGAGATTGAGGCGTTCAGAAGCGCATATCCAGCCTGGTGGACTGGACAGTGGCGCTTCTCTTTTGAAAATAGAACTGACAACCAACATGCTATCGGGTTATGTGGTTTTTGCCTTGAATCTGACGTAATCTCTCTTGTAGGAATCCATGGATTAGTTAACTAGTGATATCGACTTTCTTAGCTCCTGAGGGTCTCGGTATCCAGCCGTGATCGACAGTGACCCTGCTTGCGTGGGAACGCTATTTGCAAATCGTGAGTCCGCTCCTCATGGTTGGGAAAAGGCAAATGTTACCCACTTTATCCGATGGGTCGTACTCTGCAGTAGCTGCTGAAGTTAAATCCGCTAATTATTGGAACCGCATCGTCGTATCTAAGCCAAGTTCTGACGGTTCGCCCCGTATGGTTGATCGGATTTCGGCGGCACCGGGAGGGACTGCCACGGGAGTTGGCGGGACATTGAGATCGACAACAGACTTTGTTTCCAAAGTTAGTCTGCTCCATAAGGTCGTGAGCTTGGACTCGGGCTTTGAGCCCAGTCCGGGATTTGCACCACTATCCGAGTCTGACTTGGATCCAGTGTTTTATGGGTTTGCAGGACCAACAACGGAAAACTGTTAGAAGGAGCAATTGAAGTAAGCCTGGCCACAGGGGGTGATGTCATGGTAGCATGTACATGTAGAGTACATCCTGTACACAATGAAACACTGGTGCGATGTTCCAGGAGAATAGGATATGGCCCCAGCTGATGCACCAGTGGAGTGGATCGGTGCCAAAGAACCGTCCGTGTCAATGCTTACTGAGGCCCTATCCCATTTTGCTAGCCCACAGAATGAATCACATACGTCAACATATGCTAATTCGAGAACGACGAATTTGGAAGCTGTGGGCGATATCAAGACAGCCCCTGCCCTCACTCGAGATAGGAGAGGCTCAGGACGCGTGACCGAACTGGAAACGGACGGTTGAACCTCCCCAACGTGCCAGGACAAGTACGGAGTAAGCCGCCGTGGACTTCATTTTGGCCCTAAAGACGCCAGTTTTAAGGACTGCGCCATTTGCTTCCTTGGTTCAACGGATCCACTGCCGCAACTATGCTGTATATCCGGGATCAAAAAACTCGAATCCTGAGTAGTAGCGGGAATATGACCGCAGCCTTAATGATCCAAAGGTATTGCCGAGCGGGTGCTTGTCCGGAGCCAGGGGGGGGGGAGGATTGGTCAAGGCTGAGATTCTGGGATCGAAATACGAAGGTCGATCCACACCTAAGTTGTTAGATTCTGTGTGGTTAGGGTTCACTAATGCGACGCGTTATCTGTTTTGAGTTCAACGCCTGCACATGCAACACTCTCAATGCAGAGTCATCTGCAGTCTCGATGGAGTCACGGAATAAGATATGACAGAAATTATTCCTCTCTAGGTAAACGGACTAACAGGGCTAGTTTCTTTCAGTTCGTTACGCATCTCAGGCTCTGGATTTGCACCAGCACTGATCGGGGTGGGTCCCTCCTGTACAATATTCCTTGACAGCGTGGATGGAGGCTTGCCCGTGCTCTCCCTGCTCTCCAACGGGGCAGATTTCTGAGTAGGGATCGTGTTGAAGTGGAAATAGAGTGCTAATCCCTGACGGTGCATCATGCTAGTTCTCTTGCAGTGCGCAAGCGCCAGATGGAAGAATGGATTGATGATGATAGACGGGCGATAGCTGCTTACTAGGAAGGACGTTAGGGCCCCACGAAGACTGTTCCCCGAGTTCGTACATACATAATACACGAAATGACGCAGAAATTTCAGTACTTACATCTATACGGTGTAGTTAGGACGATTTGAACCAGATCAACGGGTGCGCCCCGGTCTGTTTTGGCCCCGGGGTAAACAATGCCACGGATCTACGCCGCCCTGACTGATTTCCCCAAACGGAGAACAGTCATACGTGTTGCCAAGAGTCAGATCATCAACTTGCTGGCCCCAATAGTAGAGCATCAACGCATGAAGAGTCCTAGGCTATCATTCTGACTCGCCATGTCTGTGGGTGCCTTGTTGTATATGAAAGCTGAAGACTGGCAGGCATTCCACGGCATCGTACGCAATCTAAAAAGTTCAGATGAGTCGGATACTACCAATGGCAAGTTAAACAGGATGTTTTTTACGAAAGTATCGAGACCTCACATGGCAAAATTTACTCCAGACTGCCGGACTAGTGCGTGGCCGCCCGAAGTTGCCGAAATGCGTACTCCGTACTCCGTACCAGTGTAAATGCGCATACCATGCATATGCAGAATAGGATGGGAAAATTTCACTTTGCCACGCAGTGGAGCAGAATAAGTCTCACCAGGCAGTGATATTCTCTTACTAGGAGCTTTTCCGAATGAGTTACTTGCCGTATAGAGAAGGGAATTTCGAGAACTTTGTCTGAATACAGACATACGCCGCCCCCCCCTGCATGTCCTGCCCCACAGATTATTTTCTGACAGGAGAATTGCAGTGGCAACTGGGTCGGGCGTCCGATGTTGCAATGTGACATCAAGGCTCTACTTGACCGATTAATGAGATTTTCCCGAGAAAAAAAGACCGACCTAGCCTAGTGGACACTAGCACGGTGTAGGTAATGCCATATCTAGAGATATGGAGATCGTGGCACAGCAAGGCAAGCCTTGAGCAGAACGGCCTAGCCACCGCAGCCATCTCCATAACATACCTTTTCTGTTGTTTGTTTCCGGATTGTAAGCCGGAAGGCGGTACATACAACCGATCACAACAAATCGGAGACGCCGTCTAGTGAATGGTTTTGCTCCCCATTGATCGGCCCTAGTATCCTTCCCGTGAGGAAAGCCCGGAAGGATCTGCCAAATCAGGCTTTCCTGGGCATGAGATGATCTTCTTTGCATGCAGGTACGACGGTGGCAAGGCTCGCCCTGAGTAATTGTCATATCAGTGCCCCAGTGGAGATACGCGAGGCCAGCAAAGCCTTGTGGCTAGCTTGGTATTCTCCATGACAGTTTCGAGGTAAGTGATCAATGGCAAAATAAGACTGAGCCATGACTTTACGTGGAGTTGTCTCCAAATTAGGGCACGTTGCAAACTCCATCACGTGGAATGCGACAGGGTTCATGTGTCAGGTGATTATGGAGCAAGCTTTCCAAGGTGGGTGGCTTGAAGGGTGGCTTGAGGGGTGGCTTGAAGGGGGCAGTCACCAGGCTCTTTATATCGCTTCCGTGCAGCATGACTCCGGGTCGGGCCATTTATGTACTCTCCCTAATCTTACAAGCTCAAGTGGATCATTTATTTGATCCTCGAATCCTAGAAGGACTCAATGTTAGACCCATGAAGGATCAATACTACCACCATTCGTTGCTGGGCAAGATCCTAGTAGCTGCCATCAAACGGAAAAAGGATCAGTCATAAGTAAATTGCTTTTTATTCACCCGCCCGAATTGAGAAATAAACCCCAGGGTAATAACAGATGGCATCCATGATCATGCAAGGTAGAGAGAAGAAATATTCAGAAAAGAAAATCTGGAAAGCCAAATGGGAGACCAAGAGAAAAAAAGAAAAGAAAAACGCCGGTCTGAAAGTTCGAAGTAAGTGCCGTCTAGAAAGTCTAGAAACCACGGCCCCGTCCACGACCTCCGCGGCCCCGACCCCGACCACCACGACCGCCACCACCACGGCCGCCTCCTCGGCCGCCACGGTCGGACTCCTTGCGAGCCTTGTTCTTAGGCTTAGGGGCATCATCCACAAGCAGGGTATCGAGAGGCAGGCTGTCGGGAAGGATAACATATCGGATAGTGGAGCCACGGACGTTGATGGAGTCAAGAGAGACAGTGTTACGGCCCTTTGGGGTTATCTTGACGGTGCGGAGAGAGGTGTTCATCTGAGGAGAGACGGAAGTGATTGTGCCGTGAATAATCGTGCCTAGATGATGCGGGGTGCTGGTTAGAAGCTGTCCGGAGCTAAATTTGATATCGGGAGCTCCAAGCCATGCGCAGAGTCTCAAAGCTCCCGCGGAACGCTGAGAGTCTTGGCTTACCGTTCTTGAGCTCAACAGTCACTGTCTCATTCTGGCACTTGACCAAAAAACTATTGGAGAGGTCAGTGGGGATCTCCAATTAGGATATTTCACAGGCGCGTGTCGCACTCGCCAGATATGGCGCATCACGTACCGGACGAGCTTCATGGTTGCTGAATCAAAGGGAGACTATGTGTGTGAGAGAGAGTCGTTCTGGTGAGAGGGTCTCACGAAGGTTTGAATGGAGGAAAGGCGTGGCGGGGACAACTCCGTTGACAATTCACGCGGTTCTGTCGATGCGGTCAGAATACAGTGCAGAGTTGGTGTTCGTCATGTGATCAAGAGCCCGACGCTCAGCCAGATCAATCACGTGATAGGGATATTTCTCCAGAGTCCAGACTTTAAGCTTGGCTTAGTCTACAGCCACCGATGCTGGAGTTTTTTTTTCGATCGCGGGGATGGCGATTGGGGACGTGATATCACAGCTGCAAAGGATATGTTCACCATTTGTATAGATTATGGTGGGCATAGATACCGCAAATATCCTTTTTACTGACTACTATACACGCAAAAGCCATCTAGTCATCTATAGGTTCTTGTCAGTTGCCTAATTGCATTTGGGCTGGTGGGGATGAGATTTCATGGTCAGTACTGGGAAAGGAAGGTCGACAGAAGACAGGTCATGGGGTTTCTGGCTGTCTTGGCCTCAATCTGGTCAAAGAACCGCTACAAGTATTGGGATGATATCTTGGCAAGCTCCGTAATTTGGAGTAGGTCCCATGCTAGCACGACAAACTTCATGACACAATTCATAGGACGTGGATGTTGATCAATGACAGAATTGGCAGTACAAGAGCGAAAGGCTGATGATCCGCCATACGTTTGGTACAGAAGCAAGAACCTTTAGGTACCGGAACCCGCTCACGTGTAGGGCCCACAGAATGAAGAGCCGTGCGAGAAATTGAGTTTCTGACAGTCGGAAACTACTCCGTACCGTTCCGTTGTTCCTGCATAAAGGGGAGCAGCCCACACCATGTAAACAGAAAACTCGGAGACCCGACAACCCCCACGACGCCCAGATTGGTTGGTCACCTTGATGCGGAGAGTCTCATTGACCCCAAAGTCGAAAGCTCGAACCAAGATATGAGAGAGCTTGGTGTATGGACGCTTCCAAGGCGATTCGAGGGCCCAAAGGACAGGGCTCTGATATTCCAGGGTGACTAATCGCGCGCTAGCGGCAGAACGGCTAAGTTATTGGTATAATGGGCATTATCTGCTGCCCCCTGACTCGCTACCACTTTGGCGGGATGCAGTCAGACTGCTCCACTTGTGGCAGCTCCCACCACATGGGAATTATCGAACCGTACCTGTGGTTCACTGGCCATGCTCAGTATCATGATCCCGTTTCGGCCTATCAAGGTCGGCTGAGGGACATACGCCTCGCGCTAAAAGGGGGGAAGGACAGAGAGGACCTCAGAGGCTCATGAGGTTGGATACGAGGACGAGACTATAAGTACGAATCGAAGTGCTTGACTAGCCGCCGTATACGATATCTCTACGATCACCGCAGATCGATAATGCCCACGCAGCGTTTGCAGCGTTTGCAGCATCTGGGATGCCTCAGTTTCGGACGGGTTCCCCGTGCCTACCACTGCTAGATTAGATTATCGATATCTACAAGTACTCCGTACTTTCGTCTGATTTGGAAATGGCATGCTAAGGCAAGGGGAAAAGATGGTGATCGTTAATGGTGGCATAACGGCCCGTTCGCGGGGGCACATTTCCGGAAAAGCAACCCCCTGTCTCCCGTCGGACCTTTTTTCTTATTGGAACTTTTTTTTATTTTTATTTTTATTTATTTTTATTTTTCTTTTTTCCCCGATCCCAGACTGGCAATGTCGTTCTTCGTTTTTGACTACGTGCCGACCCCTGTCTTTTAGGGTTGCTTTAGCGCCTCTATTACCTGGCTCCAATGAATGAGGGCCTTAAGATATCCATTTACTCCAACTCGTGATCTGGCTGCAGCCACACGAGAAATCGGCGTCATGGCCCCCAAATCGAGAAGGGCGCCCCGTTATCCTCGTGGGGCTGAAAGGAAATTCTCCACTTTGGCTGTAAAGCTCCCCTGCACCGCTCCCAGGATCATTATGCGCCCTGGCCCCATGGGCCAAACCGTCCCGAGATGGGTTTCGTTAAGTGTTGGTCCAAGACCGGGGGGTCCGATGTCAGTGTGGGGGACAAAACACGCCCGTAAGAAAACGAGCAGTTCTCAGGGTTCGATATTCGCGATAGGACCCACTACTACGAAGATCATAGGATCTTACGTCGCCGACTGCTCACGCTATAGGAGAATCAGGAAATGATGACTTCCCATCCCGCGTAAAAACCAAAGACCTAAAACGGAATTGGGCCAAGTGCGTTTCAGAGAAAGCTTTCCCACCCAACTCCTGGTTACCTCCTGTCCGCGAACTTCCCCCCCATTGGCAAGGAAGTTCTAGAAGCCCACCCCCCTGCTGGCCCTGGGGGTAACCAGGTAAAGTGGAGATTGCTGAGTGTACTCCGTACCCAACTTGGGCGGGCTGCGATCTTGCTGATTGCGGGGACTGTTCTTTTTTTTTTTCTTTCCCTTTCCCTTGGACTGTAACGCCCTGCTTTGGCAAAAATCTGAAGATTTCTATCGTCTCCAACTTGCGCCCGTCGCCCAGGGCCGAGGCCGAAGGGTATACAAATTGAGAATCAAAAACCCTCGAAGGTCCGCCGTCAAGGCCGACAAGACTCTTTCTCAGAAGATCATCCTATGTGGGTATTGTTATTTTCACATTTACCACTTTTACACACGTTTACGATTGGGGTGATATATGAATTTTGGGGCTTTATTTTATTTTGGTGTGATTTTCGTGAAGATTGTCGCCCCTCTTTCCCAATCGACCCTATTTTCTGGCGGCGTTTCTGGCCCCCCTTGTGGTTCAACTGTAGCGCCAGACTAGATGGACAAGGCCGGAAACACCCAATGTCGTCCGGAAAGCCACAGTCAAGCTCACAGGATGGCTCGTCTCACCGCAGAAACCCTGATCATTCCAAGGACCCAGTCTCGCAGCCAGGCCTTCTGACGCTTCTGGAGTCAGTGCAGACGCCAGCGTTCCAAACAGGCGCCTATCCTTCTTCGGCCTGGCCTTTTAATAGAAGCCCCCCCGGCCCCAGACGATTTACAATCCGCTGCGTTTCCTACTTTACTTAATCCTCAAGACTCCACCACTTCCTTCCACTCTGCATCCAGCCTTCCTGACTCCTTTTATAACCAAGATACTCCCTATCCTGATTCTTATTCTGCTCCCTGTTCGGAACACAGTGCCGATTTACCATTGACTACTCTCGACCGCGAGCACTTGCCTGAACATTCAAGGTACTATCTACCCTACTTCCTACCTGGCACCAAAGACAAAAAAAAAAATTATTTTTATACTGACTGTGGCAGCGGCGTTGCGTCAATACCATACCCTATGTCCGTGGCATCAGACGCATACTTTGCTGGCCAAATGCAGCCAAACTCTCAACGTATGATCCTCCTACATCTGGTCAGCATGGACTATGATATTCTAACATTCAAGAACAGAATATGTTTGGGCGAACCGCCCCTATCAGCCAATACAGCCACCGGCAGGCCACATGAGTCCGCCATTTCAACAGCCACAGTACTCATCCGGATTCCCGGTGGGCTACGCGGGCCAGGCCCCAATGGCTGGATATCACGCCGATTCGGCACCCTCTTCTTATATGGCTGGAGCGCCTGATAGCACTCGCCAGCCTCATACACGCAGGTGAGAGCCCTACTATCACAACAAAACGAGACTTTCAACTAAAAGATGCTGTCCAGTCCTTCAATGGCTCGCTCATTTCCTCCTCACACCGCGGCCCTTCACGAACAGCCACTTATGACTACGTATGTGTTTTTTTTCTGCCGGGTCACCTCGATCCAGAGTCAACCGCAGAAGACAGGAGAAATCCTCTGGCTGACCGATTTTCCAGCTCATCCCCTTATATGATAAACCAATCCGCCTATTATCTTCCCGAAGCGCCTCCAATTCCGTGAGCTCACCTAGATCCTTAATCACGACTAGCACAGGACCCAGACAGCTAACAAGCTATGTAGCTCCTCGCATCATTCTTCTATGAGTTCTCCTGCGTCTTCCTTGGTTCCCGAGCCAGTTTTCCAAGCCGACTCGGTGCCCGCATCAGATGACCACCAGGTCCGTGTTCTAAGTTCCCGACCTCGACCGCAATGCTGGGACCACGGCTGCAATGGCCGTGAATTTTCCACTTTCAGCAACCTGTTACGGCATCAGCGTGAGAAGTCTGGAGTAGTCGCCAAGGCCGAATGTCCTATCTGCGGCGCTGTATTCACCCGCACCACAGCACGGAACATCCACGTGGCACAGGGCAAATGCAAGGGATCCGGACGTGAAGGGTCAGAGGAGTAGACTGTTTAAAAAGGGGTGGTGCTGGGCTTAACCAGTTTGCTCTTTGGATCTTTAATTCTTGGGTGTTTGGATATTTGGATACATCATGTCTCTCTCCGGGAAAGAGATACTAGCCTTTTTGTTGTCTTTTTTTTTTTTCCTTTCTTTTTTTTTCCGTCTCTTTCTTTCTTTCTTTTGTTGCATTTCACTTCTTCACATGTCTTCAATACTACCCTGCACATATAGAGCTTTCTCTGTGAGAAATTTGGTCGAAATAATTCAATGGTCCTTGATACGTTAATTTCCACGCGGGGGAAAGCCACGTGATGCCTCAGGCATCCGGGTGACTCAAATACCGATCGTCCTCTCATGATCAATGCTCACGCTCCAACATCCCCAGAATGCAGCTATCTGTTTCTAATACTTCTGAGACTCTTGCACTGGACCTTCTCGACACATCAATACGAATACCCTTAGTGCCGGTGTGATTCGACGCGTATCATTGCATCGGCTTCGGCCATGGCATCCATCTTTACTTACGATCCTGATCCACCACGGGTATCGTCTCCGTGGTCGGCCTCAGGGACATCTACGCCCCAAGTACTGGCAGCAGGGGGTCGTGGCCTAAGCATTCGAACACGGTCTGGCTCAGCCCTCGTCGACCTTGCCGATGCAGATGTACTCTCAGACTATGGCATTTCCAAACTGGAGCCAGAGCCCCAAGAGGGCCCCACCGAGTATAAGTTGCATCTGCTGCTCCGCCCGCGTCGGCCCTACATCTCCATGTCAACAGGCGGCGTGGTAGCGGGCTCATACCGCGCACGTGCTCCGCTGGTACCATCCTCGCCGTCGCCATCCATCGTCCCGATGGCGGATGCTACGCCCAAGCCTATGCAGGCGAAGTCGGCCCAGAGCCGCCAGCAACGGCTGCAGGGGCTGACAACGCAACTTCTATGGCGGCTGCAACAATCGTCGCCTTTTCACTCGTCTGCGGCGGGTAACTTGGTTGTTCCTGTGTTCCCTGATGCAGCGCCTCAAATCGGTGTTCCCCCAAAACCGGCTCGTCTGTTGCCTGGGCTGGAAGAAAGCCAGGGGGCCTTGTATGAGATTGGGGTGGCAGATGATGGCTCCTTCGTAGGTCTTGTGCAAGATGAGTTGGACGAGAGTGTGATGAATCTACAGGCCATGGCTGCGAGTCTTGGATGTAAGGTTGAGATTCTGCGTCGAGTCATTGTTGGCGAGTGTGAATGGGCGGATGGTACGCTATCGGAGACGGAGCCAGCTTCCGCACAGCCAGATTCATTGGTGACACATAAAGGAACCCTATGGGTTGCGGAAGCTTTAGTCACTCCAGACCTGGACTATTACAACCTCTCGCCCTCCCGTACCCGAGGGGATGACAAGGGTAAGGATGCTGCAGATTCAGGAGCAAACAAGATATTCGAAGAGGACTATTCGCATACCGAGCAGATTCGAATATCCATCGCAGGACCAAGCACGGCAGGTAAATCGTCTCTGCTTGGGACTTTGACCTCTTCCCAACTTGACAACGGAAGAGGGAAAAGCCGACTCAGTCTGCTTAAGCATCGCCACGAGATCTCTTCTGGAATAACTAGCTCAGTTGCGCAGGAGCTCATCGGTTATGCGGAAGATAACCCGCCATCTGTTGTCAATTATGCATCTGGGAACGTAGCAGCGTGGAATGATATCCACGCAGCATCGCAGGGCGGACGATTAGCATTTGTATCTGATCTCCCTGGCTCGGTGAGATATCTCAAATCCACTATACGGGGACTGGTTAGCTGGGCGCCGCATTATGTTTTGCTGTGTGTGCCTGCTAATTGCGGCGATGAGACAGCAGAGGGAGAGGGTGCCCCCGAGCATAATGAGATCGACCTTTGCTTGGCATACCTGGAACTTTGTCTCAAGCTAGAGATTCCAGTCTTGATCGCCGTCACCAAGCTTGACGTTGCTTCACGGGGAGGACTGAGAGATAATTTGGCGCGAGTATTATCTGCTTTGAAAGCCACAAAGCGCAAACCGCTTATGCTTCCTGCTTCACCAGCCGGGGACAAGACCCTCGACCTCCAGCGGATCAGTGCTGCAGACAGCAAAGAAGTGCAAAAAATGATCGCGACGGCCGACGGTCATTGGAACAGCATAGTGCCAATTATAATCTCCAGTGCCGTCGATGGCTCAGGGATTGGGAGGCTTCACGCATGTCTCCGATATCTCCCAATTCCACGTGGCCCACGTCAACGGGCCCCCCAGCTCCCCAAGTCATTGTCAGTTCACGCCGAAAGACCCTCGAACATATTTGACGTGGACGAAGTCTTTGCCATCCCCCTTCGAAAGTCTATTCAAAGACAGTAGACAAGAACGGCCAAGAGAGCCGGGGCATGGTTCTCTGCGGTCTCGTCCGACACGGCAGTATCTCCGTTGGCGATGAGATGACTATTGGCCCAATCCTAGTCGACACATCCGCAGACAACACACACGATCATGCCCCTCTAAGCCTGCTATCCCGCAGCAGCGGCCCCGGCCCATCAGCCGAGTTCCCAGCGTCCTTCATCCAAGGCCTGCTCGGCGGCAAAGAGGCCTCCTGCATCCAAGCAAAATGGCAACGCGTCCGAGTGGTCAGCGTCCGAGACCTCCGATTACCCGTCCGCCGCCTAATAGAGGACCAAGTCGGCACTATTGGCGTGGAGCTGCTCGCCTCCCCTGAAGACGGCAAACTGCCGCGGCTCAGCCGCATCCGCAAAGGCATGGTCCTCACAAATCTGCATGCCTCCCTGCCTCCACCCGACCAGATCCCGCCAACAGTGCCTCTGCCCTTCCACACGGGCTTCTCGGCGACGTTTTCCGCGTCTGAATTTGCCTCGCCGCGCTCGCCGCCCCTGCTTCTGGGCGGCAACGCTATTGCGTATATTGCGAATATCCGGACTACGGTTCGCGTTGTCTCGATGGCTCTCACGGGGGCTGGAGACGAGCCTCCTTCACCGCCGTCGCCAACGGAGCCTGAGTTCTTCAGTTTTGATGGCGAGTCCGAGTCTCCTGGGAGGGGAGCTGGGGCTCCGACACAAAGTCCTCGGCTCCGGCCTGCGGCCACGGATATCAGCCGGGTTGTTTCGGGGACGTCCCATTCTGCTGGGGACTTCCAGGAGGATGTCACGATTAACTTTGCGCTTGTGACATCGGTCGAGTGGATTGAAGTGGGATCGCAGGTCTTGGTTATGCCCGGGGCTTCGATGGCTGCACCTTCTGCGGTAGCAGGGGCCTCTGGGTCTGGGGCCGTGCCAGGTGTGGCACTTTCTGGGCTAGAGGGGTTTGTTGGGACGGTCTCTGAGGTTGCGAGACGGAATGCGGGTGGTGAAGCATAAGCCGCGTGGAACTTTTACGGTATTTTGGCTCCGGTGCCTATGCCAGGCTGTTGAGATCTCCTATTTCGATTTATGATGTATCTGATCTGTTTATATTGCGTTGCATTGCGAGCTTCTTATCTGATACGTGTTCACCGAAGCGTGCATGATAGAATACCACGACAAGTTGAGAGACCATGATATCAACGATGGCCAGTAAATGCTGAGTAAGAGTAGCAATTGACTTGTTCACTATGGCATGATATTCTCTGAGACGACGAAGTAGGCACGATACGAGCCGGACATCCTTAGTCCCCCAAAAGCATACCCACGCACACGACTGTATGCATGCAGTCCCGCCTGGCCGCATATAGAAACGACCCACAGGCCCCAAACCATGTTGGGTCCCATGTTAAAATCCACCTCCCGTCCTAAGGGTGTTTCCCTTACGTTGGCTGCTTTCCAAGTAAGTCCTGATTTGGAGAAGCCGCCGAAATGACCAATTTCCTCTCCATAAACCCCTAATCTTGGAGGAGAAATAGGAATAAATATTAATTAACCTCCCTTGCGCTGATCACCTGAGTTGCGGGAGAAAGTGCCTGTGGAGCCAATCGTAGCACTCGCAGATCGAAGCTCGATCTTCTTGCGCTCCATCTCAAGCTACAGAGCCAATCCCATTAGTTATGAACAGAAGAAGAAGAAAAAAAAATCTCAGAGAAAGCTTTTGAGAGACATACGACTTTGCGAACCCGATTCAGCGCTGCCGTATCACCCTCAACCAATGGGCGACAGTCATCTACCCGGTAGGGCGACGCAATAGTCACAGCATCCGCAACAACGATGTTCGATCCGTCCCATCGCGCTGGCATAGTCCGGCTAAAGGCATCAAAGATCTCCTGCGCCTCGCGCGTAACACCTTTTCCACGACGAGCTTCACGTTCCAGAGCCTCACCCACAGCCTTGACCTCGCGCATCTTCAGCGCACGGGCGTCAAGCGCCTGGATCGGGGGCAACGCATCCGCGAAGGAGGGAGAGTCGGAAGGATTCGAGGTGGGGAGATGGAGCAGCTGGAGAGACTGGATGCGCGAGACCGGAATGACTTGATAGTCACCATTCTGGGCCTGCTTGGTGTCTGTGGAGAGCGAGGCGGGGGCAGTGTTGATAGCGACGATGTTGGTGATTGGGCACACAGTAAAGAGCGTTCCTTCCACAGTAGCAGAAGAGGGGGCGGTAGTGAGACGGATGCTATATGCGAAGATGGGTTCAGCATTTGATCAAGGTGTTGGATGGCTGAGACGGGACAGATTCCATCACATGGCTGTGCCTTTCAAAGCCATGCGGACATGGGGACGGGGGTTCTGGAAGATGAATAGAATAAGGAAACTCACCGAGCACCGATCGCGCCGCTCAGAGCAGCCTCCAGGGGTACCATTGTCGCCATGCCAGAGGCAGTCGCAGAAGCCGACGAGCCTGCAGAGATCTTTGCACCGGACTGGCGCTTATTCTCCGCCATGCGGCGAGTGACGTGTGGCTCGGGGCGGTGTGATTCGCACTCGATCACCAACGCCGGACCGGAGGAGGGACTTTGGGTTCCTTGCTTCCCGCGCCTTGCAAGTGTTAAGTCGCTGTGATTCGGTATGGACCTGGGCTTTCAGGACATTGGTGCTAAAGCACGAAAGTCAATGGGCCACTAAGCCTGTCCCGCCGAATCCACCACGTATCAGAGATCCCTGGCTAGTCCACAAAGGAGAGGGCGAGGGCGAGAACCCCAATTCCTTCCCCTAAAAGCACGCAGGAGATAAGAAAGCAGAACCTTGCCAAATGAATGCAAAGTTCGCCCTGGGAATGTTTTTGTGGGAAGGAAAGAGAGGAGGGGAGACGCGATAAGATGGATGCACAGGTGTATCCCCGATTAGGATTAGCGGGTAATCCCATTTTACGCCTGGGTGATCAGGCAACATCTCCCTGGCAGTGAACCCTGATCTCGGACATCAGGGAGGAACTGTACCGGTAGTTCTTTTTCTTCTTCTTTTTTTTCTTGATTGAATGTCGCGGGGGAACTGGAATAGAATAAGGCAGTGGCCATTTGCTTTCGGTCCAGAAACTACTTGCAAACATTAAGTTTGAAACCATTTGATTCATTACGGTCCATTCATGATAGCGTCTAAATACATGAAACCCAGTTTTTTGCTCTTCTAATTCTCCAATTACGCAACATAGGTCGAAGCGGACACATCACCCCCACGACCAGTCCAGTTGACGTGGATGTCCTTACCCTCGGGGTAGGTCTCGCTGGCGTGCTCGGGCTTGATGCGGAAGGTGTGGGCACCGAAGTAGTCACGCTGGGCCTGCAGCAGGTTGGCGGGCAGGTCCTTGGTGCGGTAGCCATCGTAGAAAGCGAGGGCAGTGGAGAAAGCGGGAAGAGGGATACCCACAGAGCAGCCTTGCTGACAACGTTGCGCCAGCCGCTCTGGGCTTTGTGAATGGCCTTGGTGAAGAAGTCGTCGAACAGAAGGTTCTCGAGGTCAGGGTTGTTGCGGTAGGCGTTGGTGATGTCCTTCAGGAAGACGGAGCGGATAATGCAGCCACCACGCCACATGAGGGCAATGGAGGGCTTGTTGAGCTTCCAGTTGTACTCCTTAGCAGCCTATTTTAATCTTTTGATTAGCAGTGAACCTTAACTAAGAGAAAAGATCCAGGAAATGATAAACACTTACGTTCTGGATGAGCATGAAGCCCTGAGCGTAGGAGATGATCTTGGAGGCATACAGCGCCTGCTCGAGGTCGGCGACGAAGGCATCCTTGTCGCCCTCGAACTTGGGACTGGGGCCATCCAGGATGGTAGAAGCGCGGGTGCGCTCGTCCTTGAGAGCGCTAAGGCAACGAGAGAAGACAGACTCGCCAATCAGAGTGACGGGCATGCCAAGGTCAAGAGCATTGATGGCAGTCCACTTGCCGGTACCCTTCTGGCCGGCCTTGTCGAGGATCTTCTCGACGAGAGGAGTGCCATCGTTATCGTTGTAGTACAGAACGTCGCGGGTGATCTCGATGAGGAAAGAGTCCAGAACACCCTTGTTCCACTTGGCGAAAATGTCACCGATCTCCTTGCCGGAAAGACCCAGACCGCGCTTGAGGATGTCGTAGGCCTGCGAATGATGCTGTTAGAAAATACTTTCCCCGAGCATGTGACGATCGTAGGAGGATGCTTACCTCGCAGATCAGCTGCATGTCACCGTACTCAATACCGTTGTGAACCATCTTGACGTAGTGGCCAGCACCCTCGTCACCGACCCAGTCACAGCAGGGCTCACCGTCGCTCTTAGCGGCAATGCTCTGGAAGATGTCCTTGATGTGGGGCCAGGCGGCCTCGTTACCACCAGGCATGAGAGAGGGACCGTAGCGGGCCCCCTCCTCACCACCAGAGACACCACTGCCGACGAAGTTAATGCCCTTCTCGGCAAGGTAGACAGTGCGGCGGTTGCTGTCGGGGAAATGGGAGTTACCACCGTCGATGATGATATCACCCTTCTCAAGATGGGGAAGAAGGGACTCGATGAACTGGTCGACGGGCTTGCCGGCCATCACGAGCAGCATGATACGACGAGGACGCTTGAGCTTAGAAACGAACTCCTCAACGGACCAAGCACCGACGATGGACTTGCCTGGACAGATATCACATTAGCTTGGCGCGATTGAGTCGACATTTCGAGAATTGCTCACCCTTGGCCTCGTTCTCGAGGAAGCGGTCCACCTTGGAAGTGGTACGGTTGTAAGCACAGACAGTGAAGCCGTGATCAGCGGCGTTGAGGATCAGGTTCTGGCCCATAACGGCCAAACCGATGAGGCCGAAATCAGCACTAGGAACATGATGCGCCGGAGCGCCGACATTGATGCCGGCGAGACGGGCACTATCGTCAGCAAAAGCTCTTGTCAATAGGCGGATAATTTGCAGAAACAGCATGTCAAGCAAGTTGGGACAATCCGCAGCATCCCGGGGGATCCGGGAGATCAGCCCGAGGTGCTTTTTCGCTTTCTTCTCATTGAACTCATCATGGAATGCGCCGACGCGTGCGGTCTGCAAATTGTGCTCCTGCTGCATTCCATGATAGTGAAGCTGCTAGGTCTGGAGACCTCCAAAGCTTCAATTCATGGGGAGAATTGCTTGCATGGATTTTGGGCGGCGGAGCCCCTCCAAGCTGTCTTGGAGGGGCACCCTCATCCCACGGCGTGAGGGGCCAGGAAATAGGTAGGGGGTAAATAGAGACAGGGTACTTACACAGCCTTGTCAGCCATGATGGATGTGAATTGAAGGTTGAAGAGAAACGGAGTATCTACAACGCAGATGAGGGAGTTGAAGAAGAGAAAAGAATACTGGGAGGGGTGCAGAAGATGTAACCGGGCGGAGCCAGCCTTCCGTCATACGGAACGCAAGTCGCGGGGGCGCCAGACTACTAGCTTTACGGCTTTACAGGCACTAGCTTACAAAATACCAGTAATAAACTAAGGGCTGAGTCCGCGTGGAACTCGTACCGAATACCAATTGTACGCATTCTAGGACCGGTGTTGCGCCAAGTATTGGATACAGGAGCACTCTCTTCCGGTGGTCATCCACTCGGGTTCTCAGGGCTGCTCTATCGGGGATTTATGAGGGGTATTTAGAAAGCATTAACCGACCGGCCAGATTGACCCCGTTAGATCCTCCCATTGCCGTGAAATGCCGCGTAATTGGGGGGGCTGCATATGCATTGGCATGTCCCATGGTCTGGTAAAAGGCCATTTGGGGCAAGCTCCTATGTACTTGTATGGCGCGGGCACGATGGAGGGGCTCTGATTTCATCATTACCGCATATGCACTCTGCACAGCTCCGGCCAACAGTATACTATATAATCCAACGATGCCTCCTCCCGTCTGTAACAGAATGTAAGCCCAAGTAATACTGGTTTTCTAATCCGGCTCTGCACTCGGTGAACTCTTATGGCGAAAGAATCGGAGAAACCACTGCTCACCTGCCGCTCTCAATCCGGCTTGGGCCGCACTAGTCCACATGCGGCTTAGGGTGGGGGTGACCTTCTTTCCAACGAGAGTCTCAAGCAAGTTTGGTTTAGAGTAGTATATTACTTATGAATACTTATGAACCCGGTAGGAAAGCCAGCAGAGGGGTTGCCCCTTTTAGATCGCTCGTAGACTGTAACAATGTGAGCACAATCCCTAAAGGACTATCGACTGCTCAGGTGGTGCTCAACATGGCAGAACCACCCGGCCAGATTTAAGCTGCTGACTTATCCTATACTTCTGGGCCATCCCACGCTACGTCACTTCTACGGCCGGACACTCAGGCCAACAGTGCTGTTTACCACGTGATCCAGGGCCGCACGGCAGGGTGATCAAAGATATTGCACTATTGCACCCATGCTCAATCGGTTCACCAGCTCTTCCCGCACCGCAACAGCTGGGCTGCGAAGCACTATCTTCGTCAGCCAACATTGCCAACATTTGAAACCATAGAGTCACGGGATCTGTGCGATCTCACCCCCGGACGGAATTCCCCAGACTGATTTTCGCACTCGCGTCTCTGAAGGTACGTTGAAGTTGTTGCAGCTCTTGTAGCTATCGCAGCTCTTCTACAGACACCTCCATTTCTCCCTTCGACATCTTGTTCATCATGTCGTTCCCACCTCCTCCAGGTCTCCAAAAGGCACCCTCGTCTCTTCCCCCTCGTCCACCTACCACTGGTGGCGGAAGCGGCAATGCGCGCCCCAACTCTGGAGCCCCATTCACGGGGTTCCAGCCCCGCGCCGTAGCATCTTCGCAGCGATACAGCGGTCCATCTATCTCGCAACCCCCCCGTCACCACCACTGGATATGCTGCCCCTGCAAATAACTATGGAACCTACTATCAGCAACCTCAACCCTCCTACCAGAGCGGCCCAGCTTATTATGGGACTGCCTACAATGATCCCACCTCCTACGGCCAGCCCGCTCCTCAAGCTGCGAATCCTTATGCCGTGGCTTCGCACCAGCCCTATGGCGCCCAGTACGGCCAGGGCGCAGTCGATCCTCAGACGCAGGCCCAGATGGCACAGTGGCAGAGTGCCTATTCGACCACAACCGATGACTATTCCACGAAGGCGCGCGACTCTAAAGGTGCGGTGGGTGCAGCCCGTGGTGCGCCTACTCCAACTGCAGGTAACTCCACCCCCGCCCCTAAGCCCGAGAAGACGGTGGTGCGCTCTGGAGGTGGAAAGACCTGGACTGATGACACTCTCGCCGAATGGGACCCTGCCCATTTTCGGCTGTTCGTGGGAAACTTGGCTGGCGAGGTGACCGACGACTCCCTTTTCAAAGCCTTCTCTAAGTACGCCTCTCTCCAAAAGGCGCGAGTCGTTCGCGAGAAGTCCTCCCAGAAGAGCAAGGGCTACGGCTTTGTCAGCTTCAGTGACGGTGACGACTACTTCAAGGCTGGTCGAGAGATGCAGGGAAAGTACATCAATTCCCGCCCAGTCCTTCTGCGCCGTGCCACTGCCGAGGTCAAGCCTGTCAGCACCAAGAGCTTGAACAAAAACAACAAGCCCAAAAAGGACAAGAAATCCACCGAGAGTCCCTCCGCCACCACCATTGGGAAAGTGAAACATGATGGCGTCAAGAAGCCCGCCAAGACCAAGGGCGGACTGAAGATCCTGGGGTGAGTGCACCTATGATGGTTCTAGCCTGGTGGCTTTCCGGTGGCTTGCGTAGCGCAGCAATGTATTTTACTTGATATCCAACTCGAACTTGAATGCGCAGATGATTTATCTCCCTTTTTTTCTTTTTCTTTCTTTTCTTTTTCTTTCCTTTCTTTTTCTCTTATCCTTTCCTAACCAGCTCATTCCATGATGGACTTTCAAGAGCCTTAGTGTATTCGTAGACCATATTTATTCACATGCGCTATCTACATGGAGCGGTCATGAAGCCCTAGCGAAGCCCTAGTCGCAACAGGCTCGAGTACTAGGAATGTACTCCTTGCAAAAGCTTGAAGGGTGATATGGCTACCGCATGAGCTGAATCGATATACTTTCGTCTCTGCCCGATGATGTTTCTGCTTGAGACACACGTTTCGCATCGCACAGAGTTGTGATTGGCTTTGACGAATCATGAAATGATCATCCTATACCGCCAAGAGGACGCATCTTGGGATAGGCTCACCCAGACCCCATTCAATCGCCTGTAGCTCAGACTATCCAAGGTCACAACCATGCATACATCAGGTACAGCCTACCTATATGTACGCTAAAGCTAGGCAGGCATATTCAATAGTTTAAAAATAGCCCTCTAGACTCAAGAAACGGCGCCCGCGCAGATCACCTTAAAATTTGCCTTAAATTTGGGGTCCGTGGAGCCAATCGGGACGCCCGATCTGCGAACGCTTTTTTCCAGCTCGATTTTAGACCGGGCAACCTTAGCTCTGGACCTGAAAGGCTTCAAATGTCTGCGCATTAACCGGTATAAAAGATCCTACAGCTTGCGCACACAACCACTAACATTCAGCACTGTTTTTCTACACAAGCTGCATGCTCTTATCTTCAGAGCGAGTAGCATCATGGAGGGTCGCGCGGACCCGACGGGGAAGCCCGAACGCGCAGCTCCCCAACGATCGTCTGCGCCCCGCGTCCGCTTGAGCTGCGAAGCTTGCCGGGCCCGCAAAGTGAAGTGCGACAAGCTGAGCCCATGTTCCAGCTGCCAACGCCTTGGTTACAACTGCGTCCCGGTCGAGCGAGCCCGTTTACCGCGGGGTCGCACCAGGAAGGGCCCGAACGTCCATGGCTCTGATAAGGAGCTCCATGACCGCGTTGCCAAACTGGAGGATATGCTACGGAGGGTAGCGACAGAGCGAACTGGGCCCAGCCGCACTGCTGACACGAGTCCTGCCTTCAATGCCTCCAATGCCAATAATACCGAGAACTTTGATGCCGGCGTAACTGACGTGGAGAACTGGCAGAACAATGCGCAGGGCTCGTCTGCAGGCACCTTGAAGACCAGGAATGCAAATCGTCCTCGCCCTGTGGCTTCCTATATGGGGAGCTCTTTTTGGGAGGACATCATGCAACAGGTATGAAACTCGCCGAGTCGACTGGCTGCTTAGATTGGACTTCATACTAATAAGAGGCGGGATATACAATTAGACGGCGGAGCTGCGAAATGTACTTGACGACCGCTTGGAGACAGAGGAATTTGATTCGCATAATCCCGAGGGTTTCGGAAATACCCTCATCGGATCCGAAACCCCAGAAAGCGCTTCGAACTCACCGCAGTCCCAGCGTACCTTCGTAATTACGCCAGACGTGCGCAGGAGTCTTTGCGAAATCTATCTCCACAATGTGGACCCTGTCTTCAAGATCTTACACAGGCCCTCGCTCCACGCTTACCTCTATGATAACAAACCGTACCTCGACTACCCAATCGACCATCAATCACCTCTCACGCTCGCCTATGCAGTTTATTTGGCCGCAGTCTGTACGATCGATGCAGATCAATGCCAGGCGCTATTTGGGATCGACAAGAAGACTGTGGTTGCCGACCTGCAGAAAGAAACAGAGGCAGCCCTCATCAAGTCCGACTTTGTCACGACAAATGACTTGACCATCTTACAAGCGTATATCCTGTCGTTGGTAAGTCCATCGTTTCAGACGAGCTAGAACAAAATCAATGCACAATTCAATGTACGAATGCTAAACGACGGTTTGTAGGTCGCTGCGCGTTCCCAGGACCAGAGCCGACGGGTGTGGACCATGCTGAGCATGGCCTTGCGAATTGGTCAAGCTCTGTGTCTCCATCTTTCAGAGCCGCCTTTCCACGTTACTCCCTTTGAGCAGGAGATGCGCCGCCGATGTTGGCAATGTATCGGAATACTTGACCTGTCCGCTTCTCTTGACAGAGCAACCGATCCAATGATGCAGGCCGCATGGTTACAGGCGCATCCTCCTTTGAACATCAACGACGAGGATATCTGGCCTAGTATGGAAGGCCCAATAGTTGAAAAGCCAGTGGGCACCTTTACCGACTCGACTTTGACACTGATAGTCGCCGAAGCACAGTCTGTCGCTCGGTCGGTGGCATTCGCTGACTTCATCGAGATGTCGGTGAAGTCCATGAGTATGCGCCACCAGATCCTTATGGACTTCCGGCAGAATGTTGCCAATCTCCTTAGTGGGACCAGGCCAGACGTGTCTGATTTCCACCGGTACGCCAAGCGGACAGCGACCAACATCAATGGCTGGCTGCAGCTTGGGTGTCTGCGTCCCTTGATTCGAAGCACAGCGTTCCAGCCTCCCAAGGTGAAAGGCGATGCTCTTCTCCGGCTGGCGGCCACTAATCTACAAAGGGCTTCAGAGGAGCTTAGCGATCCCGCCATGGCACATTGGGCCTGGTTCGGTCTTCTCTGGGCCCCTTGGCATGGGCTCGCCGTCGCTCTCGCCGAGCTCTGTGTCTGCAAGGACCCTGACACTATGTCCAAATACTGGCCTGTGGTCGAAGTTATGTATCATCGTACCAGCACCATGATAGCAGACTCCGAGCAAGGGATGCTGTGGCGACCACTCAAGAAGCTCATGAGCCAGGCTTCAAACCGCAAGCGAGAACTCCTTGGCGATGACGAATATGCTCCACCTCTGGGCCAATTCACTGGCGGGAGAGCTCCTAGCATCTTGACACATCAGCAAGTTTATACTACGATCGCAGGATACGAAATGATGGAACCCCACGTGGCCCCGCTGCCCGACCCCGCGGCCGATTCTACATCCACAATGGCGGTAGATCAGTCATTCAATCTCAATCCGTCGTTCGTCATGACCCTTCCGTCTGTGGAAACAGATTCTTGGACCAATTTTTGGGCCTCGATGGACTTCAGCAATATCGGAGCGATGCCTGGCGCTTCTGAGGACGTCGGCTGGAATCACTACAACAACTTCATGGGAGATGTTGCAGGAAACGGTGATTTCATGTTTACACCTCCATGAGGACAGTCGACGGTCCAGATACTGTCCAATCTAATGTAATGACCGCGAAACTCCCCCAACCGCCTTCCTGAACTTTCTATTATGGCGTTCCGGCCGATACCTAGCCTGTATGATGTACGAGAGCGTTGTTTACATGAAACACAAAAGAATGATTTGAAAGCTTGCAACTAGCCCTAGATCATGATGGTAACATGCGAGAACCAGCCTTATATTGTAGGTGAGTGGTAATGATTCTAGTAGCTGGGATTTGTGAACAAGACCTACGGCATCCTTAGGAGTAGCAGAATATTCAATCACCACGCCGAATAACCGCCGCGCCCTCCTCGAAATGCTTCAAAAACCGACCTGAGATGACACGGCCCTCGACTTCTCCAGCCACAACCGGCCACAGCACCCGGGCTGCACCATCTTCAAATCCAATCGGACACCCCTCGTCCCTTACATATTCCGGTGCCGCACTCATATACCCAGGGTCAACCGAGTTCATCGCAACCCGCCGCGTTGTCCACGCCATAGACGCCTCGGTCTCGGTAATCATGTTGATCGCAGCTTTGGACATATTAGTGTGCACATGGTGACCACCAGCCTTATTGCGCGATTTGGCATAGCTCTCGAGAATCCCCTCGCGGGACGAGACATTCACGATGTAGCCCACTGGCTTTGAGGGAGCTCCCTCAAGCTCTGATCCCATGAAAGGCAACAGTTCGCGGCACAAGATGAGAGGGACGAATGCGTTGACCGAGTGCGCGCTGATCAGGTCTTCGTAGGGAATCTCATTGAGGGTTTGGACCCAGGAGGACTTCCCAGACGGCACCCCCGCTGTTGTGTGCAGGCCTTTCTGGGCCATGGCGTTTCCTTTCTCGGTGGCAGCCCCAGATTCCAGTTCCAGATGGGGCGGGCCTGGTTCGATGCATGGAATCCATGATGCTGAGATTCCACCCCGTAGTCTATAGACATAGCTATGCTTGTCCGCAGGGATGTTCTTAGCGGAAGGGTGACCGAGCAGCGCCTGCTCTCGTGAGATTGCCTTCTTTTCCGCTTCAACGGGGTCAGTCAAGGTCTGAGCGGCGTTGTTGATCAGGATGTCCAATTTGCTATCATCTGACTCGGGCTCCCCATTCCAAGACCGCAAAAGCGATATGACAGTATGGACAAGCTGGAAGGCGTCTTTGGCTGATCGGAAGTCTGCGCCAACGACCTTGAGTCTCGGCTCCCACTCGCTGAAATCGGGCTCTCTCGAATACCGCATTGCTGCATCTCGAGGGTATCGCGAAGAGACTATCACGCTCGCACCGCATCGGAGCAATCTCAAGGCTGTACAGTAGCCCAGGTTGATTCTCCCACCGGTGACAAGTGCGTATTTCCCCACAAGCTTTAACTTGGCGGGCCGCGACATCGCCGAGGAGCCCAGATTGAATGCGCCACAGGGATGGCATAGTGACGGGTACAGCTCATGAGCCTGCAGCGGCGAGTACCACTGACGGCAGATATAGCATCTTTTGGGCTTGGCTGGGGCGCTGGGCTGCGCTCTTCTGTGGTTTTTATTGCGCAGATCACTGGGTGCTGCCAGCTGGGTTTCGACTGCAGCGAGAACTTCTGTGAGAGAAGAGGCAGGGGTGATCCCTGAAACGGTGGGATTTGTTTGGAGATACTTCAAGACCCTCAGGGCTGATGTGTATTCTTCGGTTTTGGGGATGTGTGTCTGCCCACTCCTGAGGTTGTCCGAGTCGCCGAACCCATTCTCAGTCTCATCAGGATCTAGGTGAGTGAGATATGCTTTGATGCCTTCGATGATGCTCTTGCATCTCAGTTCCCGTATTGAGCGAGGTAATGCCAGGCTCGGGGGAAAGGTGGTGTGATACTGCGTCTAGGAGGGCCGAAGGTGGCTTGGGGAGACGAAAAACCAGGTGACTGGGGATTTTATTCTCGCGGCAAAGTTGTTGGTCTCGCCTGAGCTGCGATGCTATTTCTTCGGGGTTTTCTGGTACGGGTTCCATGGTGAAGGATGATGTTTACTATCTGATGCGGCTCGAGGTTCTTAACAAGTCACTGATCTTCGGTGACGGCCTAACGGAACCTTCGATAGATTTCCAGGCGTGACTGAAGGCGGATTTCTGAGTCATGGGGCTGAAATGAGGCTCAAGTGGTTTCGAGAATCCAATTTCTTTCCACGAAATTGGGCCCTTAGATCCCGTCGCATGAAAGATCTAAGGTCTGTTGATCGCGCTAGGGGGTACATCAGCCCAACATGTCTATTCCAAGCATTGCCAAAGGCCTCAGCTCCGTGTCCACAGAAGTTGCAGTGGGGATACTGAACGATTTACGCATCAGGGAAGTGGTACTTCTGATGCTGCAATACAACCCCGCAGTCGATGCAGCCTTGCTCGCACACGATCACATCAGAGCGCTGCTGGGAGAAAACAGCGATGAACTGGCCAGTACTCGCCGTAAACTACAGGACTGGGTGGATCTCGCAAAGGAAGCTCAAGTTCATCTCTTTCCTCTTTACGGATCAGCCCATTACTGGATCAGTTGGTACGACAATTCAATCACTTTTTCCATCCGAACTGGATAAAGCTTCGCCACGATCTTGTTGGTGATATAGGCTCGCTCGTCTGGAAAACGATCCATGAGCGAAGTTCAGCTGCTGATTTGCAGCAATACGCGACCGCTCCCATTCCTCCGATCTCGATCAATGCTTCTGCAGCGGCGGTGAGAGAGCATTGGCGGGCTTTTGAGCTGGCCAAAAGAAACAGGACGAACCAGTGCGCTGCCCAGATCAGATGGGCAGCAGATCTTCTAGAGAGGAATCCCGATATTCTCAAACGCACGTTGGATCCGGCGCAAGTTCGACGGCCCAATCTTGAGCATATTTTGAACCGAATGAGACGCACTGCCTCGAAGATGGTTCGTCCCAGTGATCGCTACAAATTCACAACAGCGGAGTATTTCCGCTATCCATTCTCCATTCTGATTCCATTTGATGAAGCCCTGGCGATCCTTTGTGAAAGAATGGAAAGACACGGTATAACCGCTAGTGATCAGCTGCTCGATAACCTGAAGACAGAACCGAGTGGGGACAAGTTTCTCCCCATCAAGGCGCTGGCTCAATGCGTTATTGACGGCATGCCTTATTTCTACAACTCCCGTGCGTCAGATCTAAAGCCATTTGGTAAAGGGTCGCACCTGGAAGGACCCAGAAAAGATTTCGTCTCTTCAGACCAGATCAATTTGGATGCTGCCGCAACGCTCGGGGTTCTTCAGATATCAGACAAACGGTCCATGCCAAACAATGGAACCAAATTGCCCCGGACCCAGGGTACACCCTGGTCGGAAGAAACGGCCAGGAATGGAGAGATGGACAGGCCCAGCTTTACACCACACAAACCCGGGAATAATTTGGCTCGCAAGCCGCAACCAATAAAATTTGGGTATCACGCTCTTGATAAGCGAGAAGAGACCTGGCTGGAATCCTTTGTCGTTCTATATCGCCATCTGGAGGAATTGGATCGTCAGACCACTGGGCAGTCATGAGCGATAGGCTTTGCATCATGAGACGACATTAGCTTAGTTTTGGAAAGAAACCCCATCTCATCTAGAGATGAATTTTTTTGGATTGCACAAGCAGCGCAAAGTTGGGGATCTTTTCTAGCTGTGAGGCTCTGCATAGTCATAACCCAATATCAGCTGTGGTGTTGTTCACGAGAGGCCAAGACGTTTTTCACTGTCGCTGCCGCAGGGTAAAATGGCTGGGGTCCCAAGCTCCATGTAGGCTGATCTGCGAGCTGGGCGAGGTCAATATCGCCGTTGCCTAAGTAGCCAGACGTTGGCTGTGGGCTTGATCGTGACATTTGCTGTTGAACTCTCTTAACATCGGCTATGATGTTTCCACTGTAGAAGTTCTGGGGTCCTAGCTCCCAGCCAGGAAAAGGTGATTCTGATTCTCTCTTATTACTTAGATCTGAACTGTCGAGCGAATTCCCCGTGGCTGACTTTGTGGCTGAAGTGATAGAGATGGAGCCTGGCGGCAAAGAGCGACCATCTTCGAGTCGCTGGTAAGAACAGGTGCGCCCTCGCTGATTGCACTCCGAACAGGGATGGGCCCCACTGCAAGCCTTTCTGATACTCGCACAGCTATCGCAGGCTCGTTTGTGTTTTCCTCCTCGCTGGCTCTCGGGGACTTCGTAATTGCCTTCTTTGCGTGCCTTGCACGACTTCCAGTGTCTTCGCAGAACATCCCTAGGAGACCATGTCAGTATGCAAAGAACGCCAAATTTCCCCTGCAACGCCACATAGATCGAGCACCCACCCTCGACTGAACAAAGCGCCGCAGAATTGGCACCCGTATTGGCGTTCTTCATTATCTGGGAGCTCATTAGCAAACGTTATGGGCCCGGGCTTCACTGGATCTTACGCGTGGCTACATGACGCCTGAGATGATCCAGACGCCCAAAAGCCGCAGGACACTCGTCGCAATTCCACTGCTTCTGCGGTTGATCCATGCGTGCGAACTAAACCGCTTCGAGGAAACACAGGCGAGAAATAAGCCTCCGGCAAAGGGGGGAGTGACTCCGCGCGCAGAAAAATCAGGACAGGGAGGAGGAATAAAAATCAAACAAAAAACAAGCGGGAGGGGGCTCCAAGGGAAGAAAGAAGAAAGAAGAGAAAAAAGAGGCCCCTGCTCCAGTAAGCGATTCAAGACAGCCGGTGTATCGCAGAATCCCCATGAAGGAATGGCGGACCCGGATCTGCGGGTTCTCCGTGTCCGTGTCAGGAGTGTATGACAGGTTCGAAAGGCTTGAAAGGCTTGAAAGGCTTGAAAGGCCTGGGATTCAATTCGCATTTGTTTCCTGATGAGGAGTTCAGGTTGTTTTTGCCTCGTTCGTCGGCGTACCCCCGCTTGCTTCGCCAATCCTATCGGATGGTTTTCATGTCATACGTCTATAATACAACCGTTTCTGGATTTTTTCTCTATTTAAACCCATCTTTCCCCCTCTTCTGGCCATATTGATGCCATTTCGAATGCGTATCTGTAGCAACTAAACAGTGCAAAATTCGAAAATATGCCTTCCCTAAGAGATTCCCCAGTAGAAAGCGGTTCACCTCCCGAGGACCATTGGAATGGCTGGCCAAATGAAAAGGGGGTATGTAGCCATCCATGGATATTTCCAATAAAGGCCTCCTATTCTAACCACTCCTAGTTTGACCCCGAATATGAACAAAAAGACCCCGTGGAGCTCGTTGTCGTTGGCCACATCCCTGCATATGCTGCAGGTACTTTGTACCGGACGGGGCCAGGGAAGAGCCAAGTACAGACCGACGATGGCCAGCTCTATCGATTATCCCACTGGTTCGATGGGTTCACCCAAACCCATCGTTTTCAGATCATCTGCGATCCCAGTGGCTCGCGTGTTCTCTATAATTCTCGATTCTCCGCCGATGCCCTGATCGAGTATGTTCGCAAAGCCGGCTCGAAAGCCGTCTTTGGGTTTGGACAAAAGCGCGACCCGTGTAAGACGCTTTATAGCAAGATCCAGGCGGAGTTTGTGCCCCCTGAAGGCCCGTCAGCAGTCAATATTGGGGTCACACTTTCCGTGAACATGCCAGGTCTCGATACTCCGCCCCGGAGCATGTCGAACGAGCGCTGGGGTGCATCGCAGGGTATCCGGACTCTTTACGCCAAAACCGACTACAATGCTTTCAAAAAGCTTGATCCAGAGACCCTTGAACCAATCGGCCTTGCCTCCCAGGCCGACCTCCACCCCGATCTGACTGGGAGACTTTCCGCGTCGCATGCTCGCTCAGATCCCTTAACTGGTGATATCTTCAACTATAATCTCTCTTTGGGGCCCACCTGCACCTACCGGGTATTTCGGGCCTCCGTTTCTACCGGGGAGACATCAATACTGGCAACGTTCCCTGGCATCCCGGCCTATATCCACTCGCTCTTGATCACCGAAGACTACGTCCTTCTCTGTGTGTGGAATTCCCACGTCGACGTACAGGCTGTGCAAACAAAGTCCTTCAAGGATTCTATAATGCCAGTCAATCCATCTGAGCCGGCAACCTGGTATGTCATTGACCGAAGGCACGGGCAAGGTCTGATCGCGACATATGAGGGTCCCGCCTTTTTCTCATACCACACCATCAATGCCTGGCAAGAGCAATCCCCTGAAGATCCCACAAGGATCGACATATTTGCGGATCTCGTGCAGGCAAACAAGGCAGACACTCTTGACTCCGTCTTATACGAGAATATGAAATCCTCAAGTCCAAGTGCAAAGAAATATGCAGAAAACCTGACAGAAGACGAGAAATCAACTATCACGCGATTCCGTCTCCCAGATTTACCTTCCGCGCCCACCTCGGAAATTCTGAAGGCCACTATAGAATGGTCAGGATGCAGAGAGTTCTCGCCAGAGCTTCCCACAATGAATCCACGATATGTCACGCAAAGATCACGATACGTATATGCCATCACACTCCGCGGACAATCCGCACCCTCAGATGGCCTTGTCAAGTTCGATAGCGATACTCACGAGGCCCAGCTCTGGGCTCGTCATGGGCATAATCCTAGTGAGCCAATCTTTGTCCCCAATCCAGACGGGGTGAATGAAGACGATGGTGTACTTTTGAGTGTTGTCCTGGATTGTTTTCAGGGACACAGTTATTTGCTCTGTCTAGATGCTCGGGATTTGACTGAGCTTGGTCGGGCGAATGTCAAGAGAGCTGTTGGCTTCGGATTTCATGGACAGCATGTACCTTATGTGGGCATGCCGACTGGCGATTATTAGAGCAGCATAGTCTTCTATTTTGGGGATGGAGATATTCTATATAAATGCTGATAGTGTCTGATTCACTATATAAGACTTACTGGAAGTCCCAGGAATATAGCTCTTTATCGATCTGTATGGTGCATACTAGCAGGCTATCATGCCTTGTTAAAATTAGGGTAGGTTTTCCCGACCTGTCTTCACTTCAATAGCCAATATGATAACCGAGTAATCGCTAGGTCTTAACAAACGCCCAGCGAGATACTCACATTGCGCGGCAACACAATTTACTATGCACAAACCTCAACCTGGACGTCAACACATACAATTACATGATTTCCATAAGACCTCGGTGACACTATCTAGATCTGGGGATTGTTCGAGAAATGAATAGACTCACGACATGCGGAGTATAGCAACCCCCCCCTGCGGATGACACGCCCGCCAAATCCCCCGAACTTGCAATTCCGGTCAATCCATTTCGACTCCTTTGGCCTCGACCAATCATTCTACATCCAAGACAACTTACGGACTCCCAAAATGGCAACCAGCGAAAAGAATCTCCAATCTTCTGGCCACAATGCAGCCCGCATTAGACCCTACAGTCTACGTCTTTGTGACCGCAACTGATCGCCCAAGAGGCAGAGGGTACCATGATAGTAACAACAGAGGAGCTGGCTATATCGCATGGCTTCAAGTAAATCATCTTCCCATGCTGCAAGATCTCGCTCACTATCCACTCCAGCCTGGAGGCTGTCGGCTTGATCGCCGCAATCACCAACCGGCTGAAGGACCATGCGATCAGCACCAATGTAGTGGCGGGTTTCTTCCACGATCCTATCTACGTTCCTCGTGGCCGCGCAGAGGATACGATGCGGATTCTGTGGCAGTTAGCGGAGGAGTCGAAGTGACGATAGGACCATGATGGCTGGATGAGCGTTGCTATAAGGGCGCCAATTCTACTATTTCTTGAAACTAAATAGAGCAATCCAACAAAACGGCTAGATTAGGAGGACCTAGCCACATATTCCTCGACTCCATCCCTATGATACATACATCGTGGAAGAGGCATAAAAGCTGAAAATGGGTGGGGGAAAAATAACGGTACCGAGAAAAGCCCAGGACGTGAACTCAAAACATGAAAGGATACCGCAGCATGGACGTTCACTCTTCTATCTTCCACACCAGTGACGCCAGAAACAGAATTAGAAATCGCCAACCCGGGTCCTGAGGGAACAACTCCGGTACTTTTTGCATAGGCTGGCCTTGGGTACAAAGCAAGGCTGCGTCTGCTACAGCGACCTTGGTAATTGTCAGAAAGGGCAATGCAAGGCCGGTCTGACAGGGTATTAGTGATGTTACAAAAGCATAATAAAAAATGTCGAAAGGAAAAGAACATCATCGGAGAACATTGCAAAAGAATTGAAACGGATTCCACGGAGGAATAATCAGATATCATCGTCTTTCTCCATGACCATAATCAACTCGGTTAGTTCTTTGCGTAGAGCCCGGTTTCGATCCCAGACTTCGACGATCTTGGGCCGCTGGCTCACAAAGCAGGTCTTCTTCCAGGATAAACCGCCGTGTTTGGTGGCGACACGGTTGGGGAGACCACGAGCAATGTTGCGCAGGACCAGCGCCGCTTTGTACGCCACGCCGATAGGCTCTGACTTCTCGTTCATAGGCGTATCCATGTAGTACCATTTGCGGACAATTCGCTCCTGCAGAACTGCACGCTTGGTACTCGGCGGTGCTGCATTTGCGGGGCGATCTTCAGGCAGGTGAGATGAAACATGGCCCGCGACCATCGCAGTGTTCGCGCTGGGTTCTGATGCCCGGAAGCGAGGACAATTGTCCCATTGGCAGGTATGGATGGGGGTTTCTGCTGTCTCGAGTTTGAATTTGCCCGGCGCATCTTCTCCTTCGGGCTCGAGATGCATGTGGTCAGCGAAAACGTGGGCCTTGAGGTCTTGAGGGGATCCGAATGCACGGAGACACATCCCTGCGGGCTTCGAATTGTCGGCCCATTTGCAGTACAAGTAAGGGAACCCGTCGAAGGTGTATGCAGTCTCCAAGGGGCGAATCCCTTTGATGATGAACTTGGTAGCAGTTCCTGGGCCATTGATCACCTGCGCTTGTGCATTGGTAAAAGTATTGCTAACATTCTTGATGAATTCAGCGGCAGGAAGCACGCCACCCCCGGGAACACGGGAATCCGCAAAACGGCTCTGGTAGGCCTGCCACAGAGCAATCTGGGTGATTTCGCACTCTTGGTCCTCGACGAAGCAGCAACGCAGCCATTGTGAACTGCGGTCTGGTTCGGAGAGCGCCATCAATTCTGTAAGAGCTCCGGCGGGACGCGCGGAATGTCTGCTGGAGGAGGAGCGACCTTTTCCTCCTGGAGGACAGTTTCCCTCTTTGTCGGCCGCCCTTCATATGTGAGTAATGCGATCATGCGTGGTACGAAGACAATAGGGAAGTTGATAACATCCATGAGAGTCTCAATGTTGTCAGGATTCAGTGTGTATTGATACCAGAAATCCAGTGCGCCACTGAGAATATCTTTGTCCAGATCTAGGAGCGTATGATAATACATCTGCTGGAGTGTAGGTTTGGACAGACTCTCCATAGCTCGGTTGCCATCTCCAACATTCAGCTCGGTAGAAAAGTGCGTCAGTGCCCATAAGGCTTTCATGACGTGGGATCGATCTGGCGAATCGATGCAATTGACCAGCGAAATCCAGAATGGATCTTCGGCATCCGTTCTCATGTACTTCGTCACCTCCTCTGCGATATCCAATGCATCATTCTTGAGCTCATTCAGACGGGGCTGGTTGGGCACATTGATGAGAATGACCAGGAAGTCACGAAGAAGGCCGCTGGCATATTGAGAGACGTAGAAGGCATTTTCCCTTAAAAGAACCATATTCCTCACGACCAGTGTGGCCTCCTTGATATTACGCAGGGCATGGTTGAATTCCTCTGTTTCGAGACTATCGGTGGGCAAGTTCACTGGGATTTTCCGGAGTTTGTCGAGTAAGTCACGTGTGCCGTGGAGTGAGTTGAGTACATTCACGCGGTCAGTTAGCCGTCGAGGATCGTACTCAAACTCCCAACGAACCCCAGTGCATAGGTGGGTAATTTCCAGGGCTTTTTGCATCAGAGTCTCGGCAAGCAAAGGGAATCCTTCGAATTTGAACTTGTCCCATCTTTGGTTTGATATCTGAACAAGGTGATATAACGCGAAATCAACTTCATCGGGGATGCCGGATTGGAGTCCATAGTGGGCGCGTTTGTAGATGTGATCGTCTGCGAACGTCAGGTTTAATTATTTGAGCGTCAACCTGCACAGGGCTTCTATACTTACTCCGGGGTATTTCGAGATACTTGAGTGGGAAGTACGGGTCGTAGAAATCGGGCTGCTTTGCTAGCTTTGATCGGTCATGAGCAAACAGAGCCGGTCGGTTTCCAGGAGTCGGCACCTCCCTGGTCGACATAGGCAATTGGGGCTGATTCCTTCCTTCCCAACTCTCAACCGCAAAGTGTGCACTATTCGGGTTGGCAGCAGGGTTGTGGTTCATGGGCGGGATGTGTTGAGGCTGTGGTGAGGTGAAGCTTTGATGGTGCGATCGGCGAGCAGGAGTGGTGTCGGGGATGAAAGGTTGATTCACCTTGGGGGCCTGGCGCAGACCCTCTATGTTGTCGTTAGTATTCTCTTGCTTTATTCCAGGGGTTAATGGCAGGGGCCTACTTACGCCGCAATGAAGTCCGTTGTGGAGTGGTGCCGGACATCTCGATACTTTGGATACGCCGCACGACTTTTCGAGAGTGGAACCAGTATGAACGGCTTGAGAAGATCGCACAAGATCCTCGAGCTTTGGAATGGTTTGTCAAAGCTGAGGCTCGGGTGTGCCGTACAGGTTTGATTGTCCCAGGGCCTCCCAGGGCAAGGCGAATGCCAAAACGTGATCGACTCAAGGGCCGCTTGTTAAGCCAATTCAGTCAGAATTTGGAATGATGAAGATGTGCAAGACAGCGATAGGATAAAGTCCAGCCTTTACGACAGACGTTGGGTGAGGCGCCTCGTGGCCTTCGTCTCAAGGAAAGTGGGTTGCTTGAGCAGTGCGGCGTTTCGTCACTTGCGACAAAGCAGGGCTGTTAGGCGCGCTGGAGGTCGAAATTGGGGTGCGCAAGCAGAATGAGCGAGGGACACTGACGGAATCTGCTTGATGCTAATCTGCTCGAGCCTCCGATTCAATAGCAGCTAGAACCAAAGACTGGCTTGACACCAATTCCTTTGATGGCTTTGGGATCACCGAGATCCGAATCAACCAAAGTTCGCGCTGCACTCAAAACGCGCAGTCGGATCAAATATTGTTCCGCCCGAGCTATCCTCCGGCGCTATTTCTGTAAGGCAGTCATGTGACATCAGGTATTTGTTGACGGCAGATGGACACAAGATTCGGATGTCAAAGGCGGGCCCCCATCCAAGCTTATAAATGTTTCACGCCACTCGTAGCTAAACGGTTCCGAATCGAGTGTTCAAAATAAAGTTTCCAACTCGTTTACACCACGTCTTGGAACTCGACGACACTGAAGATGGCACAGCGCCAGTGTCACTCACCTAATACTGTGAGCAGGAACTACCAATTGACGTTATCAATCTGAAAGGCCTACAATACAACCAGTACCTTGCGTACGAAATACAAGCGCTTGGGATCGTGATTTCGACGGATGTTCGGTTTTGAAAGGAGTATATACAATACAGCAGAGACAATGCATATTGAGCTCAGATAAGGATAGGAAGATTCAACGGGATGAAGAGAGAAGCAAAGGAAATGGTATTTTCAGTAGAGACGCCCGAACGATCCGGGGATGCACAGTGGATGATAATAAAACCATATCGAAATCAAAAGAGACGGGAGTTTCATAAAACAAGAATAAGCGGCCCGGTCGCAGCCCTAGAAAACGTCAACTTCTTACTTTGTTGCCGTGGGTGCATCATCCGACTTTGTGGATGGGACTATCCCAGCAGCCTTGAGGGCATCGGGAATCTTGATAGGCGCAGTGGGATTTGGGCCGAGCTTATCAAGCTTTTCTCCCTTCAGCACCTTTTCCATTTCTTCCTTGGTGAGCGTCTCATATTCAATCAGGGCCTTGGTTAAAATCTCCAATTCATTGCGCTTTTCGTTGAGGATCTTGGCAGCACGTGCGCGAGCCTCTTCAACAAGTCGTCGAACTTCACTCTCGATCTCTTGCTTCGTCTCGGATGAGAGGCTGTCGTAGTTGGATGACAGGTCGACGTTACCCAGTTTCTTGGAGTAACCGAAGCGAGTGACCAGGTTGAAAGCAGTTTCAGTGGCTGCCTGAATGTCCTGTAAAAGAAAAAAGCAAATTAGTTATTGAAGATACGCAAAACCAGAACAGAAACTTACTGCAGAAATCCCGGTCGTCACATTCTCAGGGCCAAAGATAAGTTCTTCGGCTGCTTGGCCCCCCATTGAGACAGCAATGTCAGCTAGGTACTCTGAGTAGTTCCGAGACACTGTATCCATCTCGGGCAGAAAGTGGGTGACACCCAACGCCATACCGCGGGGAACAATTGTAATCTTGTAAAGAGGGACAGCAGACTTGGAAAAGTAAGCAACAAGAGCATGGCCAGCTTCGTGATAAGCAGTGTTAAGCTTGTCCTTGTCCTGAATGATACGGCTTCGAGCTTCGGCTCCCATCATAATCTTATCTTTCGCCCAATCGAAATCCAGGGCTCCAACATTGGACTTGCGATCACGGCTGGCATGGATCGCTGCCTGATTGACCAGGTTCTCCAAGTCAGCTCCAGAGAATCCAGGGGTGCCTCGGGCAATCACCGCGACATCCACATCCGTGCCGATTTGGACCTCCTTCATGTGGTGACGCAGGATATCCATACGACCACGGACGTCAGGCAGACCAACGTTCACCTTGCGATCGAACCGACCAGGTCGGGTGAGTGCCTTGTCAAGAAGCTGCGGGTAGTTGGTAGCACCGATAATGATAACACCGCTGGTCTGAGAAAAGCCGTCAAGCTCCGTAAGCAATTGGTTCAACGTCTGTTTGACATAAGCGGCATCCCGTTCGTTCCTCTTTGCACCTATCGCATCCAGCTCATCAATGAAGATAATCGCCGGAGATTTGCTACGGGCTTGAGTGAAGAGGTCGCGGACTCGCTTGGCACCGACGCCCACATAGACCTCGTCAAACTCGGATCCAGACATATAGAAGAAGGGAACACCAGCTTCGCCTGCCACAGCACGGGCCAGCAAGGTCTTACCAGTACCGGGAGGACCAACTAAGAGTACGCCTTGGGAAGCTTTCCGCCCAGCGACGAGAACCGTTCGGGGTTAAGAAGGAATTCAACAAGTTCCTGGAGTTCATCCTTGGCTTCGTCACAGCCGTGAACGTCGCTGAATCGAACAGTCTGTTTCTCGGGCTGCGCTTCATTAGGATGCGAGCCTCGGATGTTCTTCATCATGCCAGTGCTCTCGAGCAACACAGTAAGGCAGACCATTGAGATGTAGGCAAAAAACACGAAGATACTCAAAAATTTGAACCAGCGGAATATGGTGGCACCCATGGATTCGTCCACCACAACGTAGAGCGGAGAGTCCTTAGCACCAGTACCAGAAGTTTGCATATTTGCCATGCCAATTTGGTTCCCACTAGCTCGGGCTGCGACAGCCTGCCCAACAGCCTGAAGCTGTTCGGGTGTCAAATTTGACCCTTGAGCTTGACCAGCGGCGAACCCTGCGTCGGTCACGCCAACCTTTTGCAAAGCCTTGTTGAACAGTAGGTCGGTGTTTGCGTTGCTCGCAAATCGTCCAGTGCGGTATCGCTCGACGACTATCGCAGGCAAATTTGCCCGCATAAGAGCCTGGTAAAATGCATACTGCGCATTCGCGCTGTTCGGATTGTTGTTGGCTGTTTTTTCCTTCTGAGCCAAAATTCCTTGCGAAGGGCCCCCGAATATGAAGCGTTGCTGCTCGAATTTGGAAAGTCCATTGATCCTAGGGGCGGGGCGGACGCGGAATGCAGTGACGGTTGAGAAGGATCGAGTTGGTGATGGGGAGAGACCGCGAAGGAGCGATGACGATGTGTTCCAGGCCAGATTTCCTATTTTTATCATCGTCAGCAAGATGCAAGTATTTACTCTCCGTAGTCAATGAACTTACCACCACGGAGGAGCGGAGAACATCCGCGCTGGGCTGGTTGGTTCATGCGCGTCTTCAGACCATCCAGCGACACCGACTCCAGGAAGTCTGGCAACCGGACCTTCTCAGGGGGCTATATCTGAGTTAGTATCAAAAGCACTTGTGAGCTTCAATCAATACTTACCGTCGGTGAATCGCGTTCCTGCCGAGGGCGGAGTTCACGAGTACTAGAAGTAGGGACTCGTCCTGTCTGCTTCCAGGGAGCAGCCAGCATGGAAGACACCGATGGCCACATATCGGTTGTCACGGCAGTGAGGTTCTGCAAGAGAGTGGGGTTAGAAATGTTATATGATTAGGAATGGTCAGATGCGATTCATACCGGCCGCGGGATGGTGACTTGAAAGGCCATAGTTGTCCGATATACGGCGGCACAGGGCCGCGTGTTGAAAGAAGTCGGCTCTGCTGATATCGCCTATTTCAAAATGGGTTCGATGATTCTTTTGTCAGATCGAAAAGTTTTCCCCTGCCATCGTAGGTGGTAATCGGGACAAAGCGTAATGGGGTTACTGTGATGCGGCGAAAGTTGGTATAGGCCCGGGCAGTTACCCGTAGGTCACATGAGCGGATCACGTGGAAGAATTGGATAGACGAGGCTCGCCTCTCATGCTGCGCCACACCGCTTAGTAGGGTTGGCAATTTCTCGTACGTGGGAGTAAGCGGTCAGCTCTGGATCCTGGGGTGCAGCTGCCAGCTTACCCTTTTGCACTAGGTAAAAAAGAAAACTATCTCTTTTGTCATTCTTCTTTTGGAATAATACGCTATAAGCTCGGGATTATTTACCGACGTTTCGTATATCAGAGAATATACTCATATTGTAGAATATCAGGCTCGTCTTGGTGTCCTCTGCACTTGGCTGAGCATCCCATGGTTCGGGCTGGTCCGAGTTCGAACTCTAGACCCTCAAGGAACCTCCACGGCAGGTTCTTGAAGATGAAATTCCCTCCGAATCTTTTTAGCGGCAGTTCTCTGAGACGGCTTTCTACATATTGATCCATTTGTCGGAACCCTCAGGCTCGTGTCTCAGACGAATCGCTACTAGACATGCAATCTACAAATCATCAATGATTAAGAGCTTCCTTCCGGTGAAGCAAAGCATGCGCGATTCTTCTCAACACAGCTTCAACTTTCATTAAGCAACAACTCGGTCCAGGCAGCAAGCTGATTCATCAACTGAAAGAGAACCAGAAACTTATTCTATAATGTCGAAGACAATTTTCTTAATGGGCGCCCCATTACCGAGCAGCCTCGACTGGGACCATGATGAGCTCCTCGACACACCAGTCGCTCCATTTCAAGAGACAGACAGCAGTCATTTCGTTCCATTGAGCTTGGGACAGAGCACCAAAAAGTGGAGGGTCTTGCAGCCTTTACCGCACGAAGAAGTGGATGACCCTAATATGTTCTTCTACTATGGGCCCCGAGATCCAAATTTCTTGACAACGCATCAGCTCGCGGACAATGATACACAGTCAACAAACCACGACGAAACAGTCCTTTCTCAATTCTACGATCATTCATTTGCAGTCCACGAGACATCCGCAATATCCGCATCTTTCGAAGACGGAGAACAGACTCAATATAGTGGCTCCGTACTGGGTAGTCACGAAGGCAACGATTCGTCTCAACGACTCACTCCTGATACGCCCCCTTTCCGGATCTTTGGGCGTCTCAGTAACCTGCAAGACGTACCCACGGCGAGCTATCTTGAATCTGTCATCCCACAGACTATGACTGTCAATTTGGTAGTCGGTGTCATCGCCATCCACCCATCGAGGCGAGTGGTGACCAGATGGAAACAGGAACTTGAGATCGTTGAGCTGGTTGTTGGAGACGAGACTAGAGCAGGGTTCAGCGTCAATTTCTGGTTATCGCCCCTCAAGGCCGATGCCAAGACAAGCCAGATCGATCGTCTCGGTGGATCTCTAACCATGCTTCGACCACGAGATATTGTCCTTTTGCGTGCGGTTGGTCTAAGTTCGTTCCGAGAGCAAGTCTATGGGCAGAGTCTACGGGGTGGGATGACCCAAGTGGACCTCCTGCATCGGCCAGCGAATGTGACGGATGCGGGCGGGTTTTACAAGACCATCCCACCGAGCAACGACGATCTGCCGCAGAAAGTTCGCAAAGTACGGGAATGGATCCTCCGATTTGTGGGGACGGATGGAGCAGGCGGTGGCCTTTCAGGAATGTCTGAGACACAACCGCAGCGGTTGCCTCCGGACACGCAAGAGTAACTGAAATAAGAACGGTCGGACGACTCAGAGAGGATCCACCGTGGCAGTGAAATGAAGTCGGGCTATCATATGTGAAAACAATGGGGAGATTGGTTCTGCTTACCAGGACTCATGACCGCAAGCGACAGGCAGATCCCAGCCAAATTCCCGTAAGGAGCATACTTTGAGAGGCGACATCGCCTGACCTGCGGGAGAGCGCCCGTACTTTCTCCCCTTGTCGATTCAAGCCCAAGCAAAATTCACGGGGGAGGCTGTCTTTTTGGTCCCGGGCCAATTACAAGGGAAAGTGGCTGATTGTTGGTTCAGGTCTGGGCTCTGGGCCAGTCAGAGGCCTCATCCGTAGCACTCGGGGGGACCAGACCACGGGAATTGCTTCGGTGGACCTTGCCCCCTCATCGTTGCTACAGAAGCCAAGATAGGTCTTCAATGAGCAGAACATCAGAACTCTAGAGGGTATTTCCGAGAAGCCGACAAATAGACGGATTGCACTTCAAGTTTGACCGAGGACATCTGGAATACTACAACAGGAAAAATACCAGTCAATGCCACGCTACATGCCGAGGAGGAGCTTAACGCGGAAACGTTGCCAATTAAAGCCCCCCTATTGAGCACATGAGAAGCCTAAATTGTCTGTTCCTCCGCCGCCAATCACACGGGAATCCCTGGAAAGTCAAGAGATACCGGCCCACTCCCCCTTTTCCACGCTTTTTTCGCCCTTTTCGCGCGGCTGCAAACGTGTGTCTTCCAATCAGTGCCACTCACGTGCCCCACCTGCCGTAAAAATAATCACCATCAACGGCCAGGTGTTCCCTAAATAATGACTTCTCCTCCCCTACTCTTAACTTGATTCCCTTTTTGACCTTCGCCTGAACGGTTTCCTTCCTCCTTAATCTTTAATCGCATACTCTCGTCGAGCCTCCCTTTTACCCCACCATGAAGGGTATGTGCCCCTCCATGCCAAACAACTCCCCCTCTTTGCTAACCCTAGCTGCAGCTCTCATTCTTGTCGGAGGGTTCGGTACCCGGCTTCGTCCTCTGGTAAGTCCTATTCAACTGCCCGCCTCCCATTGGCCCCATTCCATAGCTTCCAGAGCCATTGGGTATGGGTTTGCTGTGTGGGAGCGCCTTGGTGTCGAGGGCACCTCGCTAACTTGTACTTCTCGGTCTAGACTCTCACCCTCCCGAAGCCGCTAGTGGAATTCGGTAACCGGCCTATGATCCTGCACCAGGTCGAAAGCTTGGCTGCTGCTGGCGTTACCGATATCGTGCTCGCTGTCAACTACCGCCCCGATGTTATGGTCGCAGCTTTAAAGAAGTACGAGGAACAATATGGTGTGAACATTGAGTTCTCCGTCGAGACCGAACCGCTTGGCACGGCTGGCCCGCTCAAGCTGGCCGAGAAGATTCTCGGCAAGGACGACTCGCCCTTCTTTGTTCTGAACTCCGATATCATCTGCGACTATCCTTTCAAGGACCTCGCCGAGTTCCACAAAGCCCACGGCGATGAGGGTACCATTGTGGTCACCAAGGTCGACGAGCCCTCCAAGTACGGTGTCGTCGTCCACAAGCCCAGCCACCCCTCACGTATCGATCGTTTTGTCGAGAAGCCCGTCGAGTTCGTGGGCAACCGCATCAATGCCGGCATTTACATCCTGAACCCCAGTGTTCTCAACCGTATCGAGCTGCGCCCCACTTCGATTGAGCAGGAGACCTTCCCCGCTATCTGCAAGGATGGCCAGCTCCACTCATTTGACCTCGAGGGATTCTGGATGGATGTCGGTCAGCCGAAGGACTTCCTGACTGGTACTTGCCTATATCTATCCTCCCTGTCAAAGCGCAATCCCAAGAAGCTCGCCCCTCATACCGAGCCTTATGTGCACGGCGGTAATGTCATGGTTGACCCCTCTGCCAAGATTGGAAACAACTGCCGCATTGGACCGAACGTAGTTATCGGACCCAACGTCGTTATCGGCGACGGGGTCCGTCTGCAACGTTGCGTTGTCATGGAGAACTGCAAGGTCAAGGACCACGCTTGGATCAAGTCTACCATTGTCGGCTGGAACAGCTCCGTCGGCCGCTGGGCTCGTTTAGAGAACGTCACTGTTCTTGGAGACGACGTTACTATCGCTGACGAGGTCTATGTGAACGGCGGCTCCGTCCTTCCCCATAAGAGCATCAAGCAAAACATTGACGGTAAGCCTCTCACCAAACCTAACTATATTCATACCCGCATCCTAACAGCTTTATCAGTTCCTGCTATCATCATGTAATCCATCCCTCTCTTATCTTCACGTCGATACGCCGTTCACACCCTTCTCTCCTACCGATACCTTTCCTCCCTTGTCTTGATGCATCGATCCGGAGTCGTTTTCCGCATGATCTTCTCTTCTTATCTCGAACTTGTTCGGCCCCGATTTCTTGCCCGTTGCCCGCGATAGCGCCATTGCCCCCACCACGTGCTTTCGCCGTTTCTTAATTCCTGCTTGATAATACATACCATCCACAGACCTAGACGGTTAGAGATGTGCGACAATGTTCTTTCTCTGAAAATTATGCTTTTTAGTCTCTTCTTTGTTTGTTATTTGCAAACGCCTAAGAATCTGCAACTCCAATTCCCGCTCTTTACGCTGATTTGACCAATTTTTCTACTTTGATGTGATGTTTTGCGGGCAAAGAAATCATGCAATACCTGTTTTAATAACATGATGGGTGCGGGGCGGGAGCTGTCGATGTAAATAATTGGAGGTCAAATTCTGACAAAAATAAGAACATGCTTCGGTGGTAGCATTTGGTGAATCAATCGCTTGCTAAATTCTATACGCAGTTCGAAAGGCTTATATATCCTAGACGATGCGAAGCAATTTGACGCCCGAGGGTAGATAAATGAAGCCAGTGTACAATCAGGCAATCATTACGGATTATCTATGCAGATTTCTCAGCCCTGTCGAGGATACCTTCCCATTGGACCCGAAGCTGCTCCATTTGCTTCCAGCATTGGCGGCCCAGCTCCACAAAGTACTCTTTATCTTCGCGAGTGAGATCAATTGCGCCTCGTTTCCTTTGTCTTTGCCGATCAGCTTCGACAACCGGCCTGCCAACGACGCCTCCATGGCCCCACCCGTCTGTCTCGGTGGATGCATAACCTCCAGTGCCGAAAAGAGTAGAAGTAGATCCCCACTTCGCTCGTCCGCCACCAGCCTGCTGGTACGGGGCCTCAGCAGCCTCGATTGCATTTTTGGCCGCCAAGGCAAGGAACACTGGCGCACAGGCGCCAAGATAAGTCGAAATAGGATGCCAAGGAGAACCAAGCAGTCGTGCAAACGCGAAAGAAGCGACCATGGCCCACATCAGGGGTAAGGCCAAAGGGACGATAGCCGTGGCACAAATACCCGGGTGCGCAACGTATGTGACAGGCAAGTCCTCCGTCTTGACATCCTTCCTGTCAGTGCCGTCGGACAGAAAGCTATCCACGGCCCAAGGAGCCACACTGGGTAGATTTGAGGTCAGTGCCAGAATATCCGTGAGAGCCTTCGACGATTCATAAGGAGAGTGAGAGCGCAAGCCTTGGATATCTTCTACATTGAAAAATCTATGCGTAGCCTCGATGCTGGAGATCCAGACGATCCGGCCCGGTCCATCAGGCGCTCCAGCTTTTTTCAGCAGGGGCACCACGTTATGCGCGAGCATATAGTGGCCGAGGACATTGGCGCAGAAAACTTCGCCAAGTGGTGGCTCTTCTTCCGTTTTGGTTTGTTTTTCAGTCACGCAGCCGACTCGCGCAATCTTGTAACACGGCCATGTCACTTGGTGCAGGAGGTCCGTGAGGACGCCGAAGACAGCCCTGGGCCAATCGATGCCGGACCAACCGCCCAGGCCGGCGTTCAGCACGATGGCATCGAGCTTCGGAAAATTTTGGAGGAGTCGGCGGGAGAGGCTGCGCACGGAGAGAAGGTTGGAGAGGTCGACGAGCTCGGGAACAAAATGGACTCGCTTTTGGGCCTCGGGGCCCGCAGAGGATTGGACGTGTGCTTCGAGGCGGCGGCGAGTGTCTTCAGCTTTGCGTGTGCTGCGAGTCGTGAAAATCACGCTGATGGTCCCGGATGTCGGGTGGGTCGCGAGAAATTCATCAGCCAGACGGCAGCAAATCGAGAATCCGAGGCCGCTGCGGCGAATTAGCACTCAATACTTTTTGTTCCCCGCGGGAGTTGTAGTTGTGCGTTCGAGGGCATGCACACCTGTTTGCGCCCGTTACCAGGATGTGCTTGTCATCCTGTGAGCCTGGAGAGGCCATTGAATCTGTCATGATCTCCCCCCTTTTCGAGCAATTGGCTAATTTCCCCGAGATGGTAGATCGGTGGACTTTATTTTGGTCGGGGATCGCTGTCATGTGATTATCTCGTCCCCCGGGCCAACAATAGGCAATCCAGAAAGAAAAGGAGGGAAAGGGACGATTGAAGCAGTCAATGGAAAACTCTCCGTTACCCTGAAACGTTTTTGATAATCTTCATTGGACCCATCTAGGCCAGGTGCAAGTATAGCTGAAGAAGCAAGCATGGTTCACGTGACATCGTAAAGTGATCCTCCCGTCCCCTTTGGCTAGGTTCTTCGCCTGGGTCATATCTCCTGCCGATGTTGCGCGCCAGCACAGTATGCGCGGGCAGTCATGACCGAGAGACTCGAGCGCATCTGGAACTCGAGTGTCTTCTTTTTCTTTGCTCTCATCCTTTTGTGTCTCATCCTTCTCACCCCAGCAGATGCCATCTACCAGTGTTATGAGACCAGTCGGCTCACTAACATCTTCTTTATCACGGGCGCCTACGTCATCACCTTCGTCTTAGCAGCTCTCATCTACGCGACTCGCATATACACCAACAGGAGTACCTTGGCTGGCATCCCAAAGGCGTGGATTCCAGTGGAAAAGGAGGATGTGAACAAGAGCGTGCGGCGTCTTGTGATGGAAGGGCTTGCCCGGAGCGCTGTTATTTCTTACCAAGCGCGCCCCCGAGACACATCGAAAGAGAAAGACCGGTTTCCAAATTACCAGGATCTTCTTGTTGACCCAGAACATCCACCATGGGGACCTATCGAACACCCCGGCTGGTCCTCCCCCCGCGTCGCCTGATTTACCCGATCTGCCGTATCGCACTGTCATCCAAGAATTGCCCGTGCTTATCGAGGCCAAGGCTGTTTCTTTAGCGCCCGCGGATGCTCTTCATACCCCTATTCTACATCAGCTCGACACCCCGGGTGACACTGGCGTCCCGGACACGCGTGTCGTGGATATACTGCGACGGCCGAATTCCATGGGGCTACGGCAGTATATTGGACACCTCGCCTCTCTGGGGGCGATCGATCCGCCGGAGCTGGGAGCCGATTTCCTCGCGCTCTATGAACGGGCTCGATTCTCCTCCCACCAGCTGCATGAATCTGATTTCCGGGAACTGATGCATCTATTCGCCGAGATACTGCGAGGCATGACCTCCCTTGCTGCTCCTGTGTTAAATGACCTCCGGGACAGCGCAAGTTACGATCGATCCTACACAGAGTCTATTATTGGGCCATCTGACGAAGAGGGCGAGACGGACACCAGAGAGCAAATTGGATTTGACGCCTTACTGGTGCGGAGCAATAGTCTCCGTCCGTCACGTGTATCAACTTGGGGCACTGAGTCTGGGTACGATACTGCGCCGGTAGCACAAAGCCCCATGTCCGCGGTCTCGCCTAGAAGCGGGTCTAACTTCAGGCGGGAATTGCGCACGCCTTCGACACGATCATTGCGACGTGTTTATTCTGAGCAGTCCGGAGACTCTGGAGGCAGTGTGATTCGACTAAAACAACCAGAAGATCCAGCGGGCTTGCCATACGTAATTAATTATGAAGGTCGTCATCGTTAGCCATGTCTCCACCTGACACGTTCCCGTGTCCTGTCCACGGATTTACCGCCTGTACATTACTTTATAGATCGGACTTATTGCTCGGATTAAGCGGATTATCGGGGTGAGCTGCCAGATGGGGCTTAGTCAGGTAAGCTAAAGCCGAAATGAAATGTAGAATTCTTGGCGCAATGCAAAATGATTGATAAGATCTTGTCATCTCCGACTCTCGAAAAACGAGCTGTAAGCGTGAAAGAACGTTTGAGTATCACTATAAAACTCTGCGATATTGACAGTGGATCGGGTGTTGCAGATTCGATCCATTCCACACGACACGGAGCTTGATCAAGATGCATCTGTTTCGGCGGGGCACGTCGTCGCTCTTCAATTCCTCTAACACATCTCTTGTCTCCTCGAAGACCGATGCCACAACAGATGCTGTCGGCGGGGATACCCTCGCAGTTGACGGGTTCAAGTCTGTCCCAGAAAGCGACAGGCTGTTTGCTAAGCCCGATCCCGCTGTCGACGGCGAAGATTGCTTGCACGATTGTGCAACATGCACCGTGAAATACCCCGCCAAGTTCGATATCGATATGGAAGATAAGCTATATGGCGAAGTCAAAGGCTGGGCCACACATATTCTGGTAGCCACAGGCAAATCTGACTGGGTGCGCGATGTAGCCGACGAGGCGGGCAGCGTTATGGAGGCGATTGAAAAGGGAGGACTAGAGCCAAGCAATGGGGTAAGGTTGCCGTTCAACTACCACAAAATAGCTATTCGAATCATTCGAATGTCTGTCTGTTCTATGCTTTTTCCTAAAGCTAAAATATTCCTTTCCATAGCGCCTCAAGCTTTCCGCATCAAACATGCCCGTTCCAGACGAATACCACATACACGAGTCCGGCCAACAGCCCACAAACGTGCTCCTCCTCCCCAGCTTCACCGTCGTCGAGAATGTCACCCCGCAATTAGCCCCAGATCTCATCGAGAACTATGTCAACAAGTCTTTGACCACCACCACGCCATTGGGCGCCGCCCCAGCATGTGTACAGACCGAGGCCGGCGAAAAAATCCGAACCTCAATCCGAATCTACCACCTCTATCTCTACCGCACTCACCTCACACTCCTGTCTACATGCGGCAGTCATTCTCCTCTGTTCGCAACGCACCCGCGATGCTCGCTGCGGACAATCTGCGCCTCTTTTACGTAAAGAATTCGAGCGCCATCTTCGACCGCTAGGACTCTACCGCGATATGGATGATAGCCGTCCCGGCGGCGTGGGAATCTACTTTATCAGCCATGTTGGTGGGCATAAGTACTCCGCCAACGTCATTATATACAGGCGGCGGGACTTCGAGTGGTATAAGCGCGAAAGCGAGGAAGCCAGAAGCGAAGAGGGCGCTGCGCAGGGAATCTGGCTAGCGCGTGTGCGGCCGGAGGAGTGTGAGAACATTGTCAAATATACTGTCCTGCAAGGGAAGGTGGTGAAGCCTGAGAAACAGCTGAGGGGTGGATTTGATCGAGAGAAGGGATTGACGAGTTGGTGAAACCCATGGATGGGCGTTTACCAGTACTTCTAGTATTACTCTCATGGCCCAACTTCCGGGACCCGATTCTTCCAGATTCTCCTATCTAGATCACTCCATATCAAGCGTGACCTCTAGCAGGGGGGAGATCGCGGGCGAAGAAAATGGACGAAACCCCCCTTTCAAAGAATTATACCGGCTGGGTCAGAAGAAATGCAGATGGGTTCAAGTTTGAGGTGGCGGACCGTTATTGGAAGATCCCACTGCGTTGGCAACCTTGAAGTCCCCGTAAGTATAGTATGCGATGTGCAAGGCATGTGGCTTGGAGTCACTGGCCGTCTGCAGTTGGCATCATGGTGATTTATAGTGCCAGTGATAGTCTTCACCTGATTGACTACCAGTAGCCCTCTGGCAGCTTGTACATCTCAACACGTGCTCTGCAGAATACTTCGAGATCTTCTGATAGGGATTCGATCGAGGTAGTGTTAGTTTCGGTCGAATATGGCCTTTTAGCCCCGAATCTCGCAGAATTCACGAAACCTCGCGAATAGCCAACCGGAATATGTTATAACATACGGCAGGCAGAGAGCTTGCCCCTCCCTCCCCCACGAGCTTCTTACTACGAACTTGGCCGAGTATCTCACGTATTGCAAAGATAGAAGCACCTGGAAAGACCTTCCGGTGAGGCAGGTCCACTGTATCTCATCTCACATCGCTTATCCTTAACTGGCTGTCTTTCCAACTAGTCTGATACGTCTATACACCGGGACCCTGATCCAGACATGGGCCTTGTCGAAATGTGGTCCTCTTAATGTATTCTCGCCGAATCCAACCCGGGCAATTATGCCGACAATTCCATACCAATATAGACGACACTCCCATTGGCAAGCACGTGCAATGCTGTTTCTCGTCTCCGTCAAGAGAAACCTCCAGAAGTATACCAGCACCTGCCAAGGCAGTCGGCTATACTCCGTACTCCATGCCTACCTAGGAATGTGCTGGTACCGCCCCACGGCCAGGACAGTAATTTTCGAGGAGAACAGACCAGTGAAAACGCGGATGATTTGCAGCTAACGCATAACAGGCAAAAAAGGCGCTCTGGCCTAGCGTAAGTAGCCATATTGCTAACCAAAAGCGCTCGATACCACCTTTGAACCTCTACGAAACAGCGGCTGTTGCCGCTGCTCTCGTCTACATTTTCCCGATCCAGTTTAGTGTGGTCTGGCGGGGGCGCCTGAATCCAAAATTAACCTTCAAAGAAACAGCCACGAGTCGGCTGGGAAGGGACCTAGTGGGGGTTGCCATGAAATGTCGACGTGCAATCCGTGGAATGGACCCGTATTAGGCTAAACTATGGCGCAGTCAAGGAGATGAGGCCACATGAAGATCCAAGGGAGAGTGCGTACTTTTGGATTTTCTCGCCTTCCAGCCAGTTTTTTTTTCGAAAAATAGTGTCTCGCCAACCCGTATGACACCCCTGGAGCCATCCTATAGAATCGTTGCATTCGCTTGTAGCCGACGGTAGGCTCCATCTCGCCTCCACAAATTAGCCGACTAAAGTTTGATTGACAGGCCCCCGTCGCCTCTTTACAGTGGCCCCACACCGCCGGTGTTCACGAGGGAACTTTAGGACTTTTGACCTTTTAGACTGTTCGGGAATCAGGGGTCTTGAGAGACTACTGCCTACTATAGATGGACCACTGTAATCGACCAACGTCACCTGCACGAACCCCCGCGCGCATGAACACGGAGTACACCACTCCTTCTAGCTTCGAGGGCGCATCGCGGTCGTATAGGTCAAGTCAGGCGATGTGCCCTACATATGCAGGAGCGCTTGATTGGTGCTTGCGTGGGAAATGGGAGCCGCAGGGTTGATCTGCTTGGCCCATGCACGCCTTGAAACTTCTCTGGAGTGTATGGGCTGCCTGTTTTGGCGGAGGGGGAAGATTGCTCCGCGGCGACACCAGGGAACGTCCAATAAACCTCCCGCGACAGGGTTCAAGGTTGGGTTCGGCCTGCGCCGTCGAAGAAGATCGGCTGGGCTCTGGGCCGTCGATCCCTCGTATCCCAATCTTCAGCTTTTGTCCTGCCTGATGGGGCAAGGATGCGCTGCATAGCTTGCCATTCGAGCTGGATGGCCTTAATGTTACCGTGCTCCAACGATGCATCGATGGCGGCCAGCCCCCAGTTCCCAAAGCTTGTTTTCTTGGTCTGGATGTTTCATTTCCCGTCCCTACCCCAAACTAGGCCCTGGGTAGCATTTGGCAATGCGTATTGGTAGAAGAATAGCCTACCTTCATTTTACTAGCTGATGCAGATCGACTCTGGACCCTGAGGCCAAACACCCTTTACCCCACTTCCTCGCGACTCACCTGCGTAGCTACGGGCATACGTGTTGGAGGATCGACGAGGAACAGCAGACGAGGTTGTACGGAGTACTGCGGGTGAGCTGTCCTACCCAGTTCCTTTCGAACATTTCTCCTTTTCGGGGGTTTCTGGCGAAAGCTCTCATTCTCTGCAGCGAAGAACCCCCCCTCTTTTCTCTGCTCCAGATCCCATGGGAACACAGATCGGATCTCGTAGCGAGGGGACATGATTGGAGTGTGAGATGCTCGAACCAGTTGGTCGTACCAAGTCCAATATCAAAGCGCCAGGGGGACGACATTCAGGCTTTCCAAAGGGAGGGCGTTCCAGCAACCGGGAAACTAAACACCCTAGAGGACCCGCCTCGGGAACGACCAAGTAGCGTACTCCGCCTGGTATTACCGCAAGTTACCGCACCTGCCATGTCCTGTGTCGTGCCCCTGGTCCAAGCTCCCTCTTGCAAATGGAAAGTTTACAATTGGTTCTGGAATGGGGAGACAGTCTTCCCCCGACCCCACCGAGCTAGGCAGGATCAGGGTCAGATCGCGACAAGGGTTCTCCAAATATCGAAGACTTACGAGCCCCATACGAAAGGTTTTGGAGAAAGTGGGTCAATTGACTGGATTCGCGATTCCCCTTGAGGTTACAAAGATTGGCCCGTTCTCCAAAATGCTAGCGAAGGCGATCCAGGCCGGCAGAAGGAGGGTCTCCTACCTGGCACCTATCTAGGTCAGTAGTGACCCCAGACCATTTGCAGTAATTACCTCATGGTCCGAACCGACTCGCGCCGTATCTGCCTAGCCTGCTTCCTCGCGTCCGCCGCTACAACGTTGGCTTGTCATCGGCCATGAGTGGGTTGATGGGTGATCATCTTGATACTGCGCGGAAACTTCATCCCCTTTGGGACAGAATCCACGAAAACCATCGTATCTGTGCTGTCCCCCACCCTTCCCCCTTGCGCCTGGTGTGATCTCATCTAGAGGGCCTGGGGGATGGGCTTGGTCGGAATCCGGAGCTTTTACGGTTAGTGTCATGCGAGTTGTACGTCGGTACCAATCATTTCCCGCAGCGTCGGCCTGTCGTGTGACGTTATAGTGCCGGTCACGACCAAGCAGAGAGGTATTCTCTCCATGGCCTCGCTCTGGATTTGACTCGCCTGGAAATACGACAGCTGTCAACGAGCGCAGTTCGACGTACGAGGAAGAACGTCTACTGTCTGACCCCCACGGAACCTGGAGCGCAACCAACAATCGACAACAGTTTGGCGTTAACTAGCCTCCGGATATGACATCGCGTGCCATGTCGTCATGTCCATCTGCTCTGTGCCTTCTTCGTGCACATGGATGGGACCAACAAGGGGGTGGGTTATCCCCTGCACTCGCTGCTTCTTCACCCACCCCCTTCCTGGCTGCAATATGGGATACGATCACTAATCCGGGTTCCAGTTGAACGGGGCTCACTAATCGAACAGTCAAGGAAGGAAACTATAGCTGTTTCTGAGGGACGAGTAATTTCTCTGCCTACAATGGGGTCGGAGGTCCTGCGAACCCGCTCCGGCCAATCACCACAGGCCAAGGTTCCCTCTGTACTAATCATGAAGTGAAGGGTATTCGTCCATTCAAAATCGCCTATCCCTATCTCCAGGTTTTGAAGAGGGTCAATACAGACCGGTGTACTCCACCGAGACTAGCCCATGACCCTGATCAGCCTAAAGGCCATCAGCCACCAGACCGGGTCCACGAAGCAGTGACCTGTGCTCGTAGATGGTGGCACCTAGCCAACGTATACTGTACATGAACCCCGACCCATCAAATCCCGAGTCACCGGTGCCCTGCAGTTAGATAAAAAGCAAAAAACGGAACGCTTAATCATCGCCCCACCCACTGCCCCTCTCCCCACCTCCCGCGCATTCGACCCTCCGGCCCCACGCAACACCAGACAGGGATGGGGGATCGATTCGTCTCGTCGACAGCGGCTTGGCTGGGGCTTGAGTGGGGGGAGCGGAATCACCCGGAGCCCTTGGCGCCGAGAGTGGGAAACCGAGTGATCGAGATCTCAAAAGGTTGGACCACGGCGGTGATTTGCGCTGGCCCTGGAGGAAATTGCGGAGTAGGTTTGGGTGGAATGATTTTGCTTTTTTGCTCCAGGAATTCCAGGTACTCAATACCCAGCCCCAGTCGTCCCCCAGTCGTCCCCCTGGTTCATTTCAACGGGAAGGCTCCATGATTGTATAAGCGGCTGGGCGGTGATTGGCCAGGTTGGTTACGGTGGCTATACATACGGTATCTGACAGGCGATACGGAGCTTGTAAGCGCCGCGTATGGGGAGTCAAACATTCTGGGTCTGCGTGGCACCCCACGTCTGTCTCCTGGTCGAGGATCGTTAGTGCGGAAACGGTGATCCTGTGGCGCGGCTTGCCATCCTCAATCTATGCGCATTTTCGAAAGGCAATTCCCCTCAACTTCTCCGTGGAGATAACACGACTCGCCTGGCGACAGCTACCGTTACTCTCTGCCGCTTACTGGCGAGCTAGCAACTTTGGAAGGTGGCAAGCGGCTTCTGAAGGTGGATCTTGGAACATCCTTCTATCTTCTCGAAGTCCTTCAAGGTGTCAAAGAATATTCTAGTAGAAAACAAAGAACTCGGTCGCAGCCGTCGCGCCGTCCGATCCGACCCAGGCGACCAGCCGAAGTTCGTTGAGATTGAACAGGGATGAGTTCCGCCAATCAAGTCAGCTGCAGAGAAGTCGAGACTCATCCCCTACCCCCCGGGTGAACACGAAGGGATGTCGTTCCTTAGTGGATCCTCCTCCTCCCCTCCAATTGATTGTTTAGTGATCTGCACCCCAATCCCTGGAGTATACGTCGCTCCGCGAGCGAGGAGATGGTCGGCTAGCAATGGAGACGAAGGTTAGTACCTCGCATATTCCCAGATAGGTATGCAATTCGCATCGCAGCATATTACCCCATCACATGCGAATCCAGAGAAAACCCTACAAAGTCTTAACTCACGCAATCGTTCTCGAATCAGATTTGCGGGGGGGGGAGTTCCCTGCGACAGTCAAAATAGCCCAAACCTGAAGCGCAGCTCAGGCCTCTTCCTAAACGCCGGTGTGGGGAAACACATCATATTCCTTGAGCCTCAACAAAACCCCATACCAGTAGCGAAAGACCATCAGGCAGCCCACAAAGGCAAAGACAGTCCAAAATGACCGATTCGCCCCCTTTGCGTATGCAAGTGACGTAGCCGAAGAGGCCGCGTGGTAAGCGAGATCGTGATACAGGAAAGAAGCACCCCGTACCCCATGCATAGCGATCGCACGCCATTGAATCATCGCCCTCGAACTCAACGCGACTGCGCCCCTAGCTTCCCGCTCGTATCCGGCCCCCTCCCCCCGGGCCAGGCATGATAATCTTTTCGACGGCGTCCTCCTCATTGCATTGAACGCACGACGCCACTGGCCGTTTACAGGGGCCAAGCCGTGTGGCCCAGACCGGACCTCTATTCGGGAAATACCCTAGTGGTGCTTCTTTCGTTCGAGAATGTCTGCTTTCAACTCACCCCTGAGATCTGCGGCCCACCGTCATTATAACTCCATTGAAGTACACTGGCGGCGCAATTTATGACTACAACCGTCCACTAATCCCGCAGGCCGCGGAGTACCGCGTAGAAATGAGATTGTAACCCACCCCTCCCAAAACTAGGGCAGTATCACTCCGTAGTCAATGGCTTCTTTCGTGCAAAGTGCGTTCCCTGCTTAGATGCGACAGAATGCATGTGATTCATCTCTTTCATGGCTAGCATTTCCCAACTTCCTAGTTATTTCAACTCGGGGCGGGAAATAAACTCAAATTGCGCCAATCAACTTTTCACGCCAAAAGCCCGAGGGAAACCAAGCAAACTCCTAGAGCACTCAACAAGCCATGAATTACAGAAAATCATGACAGGGGAAAAAAAAGAGAGTTCTCCTCAAGGTTCAAGACTTCGGTCAGCAGGGCACCGAGGTGAAACACTTTCCACATGCAGGACTACTTAAGTATTTTTAGTAGTGTGGACTCGATCTTACACGATTCGCAGGGGCAAACCACAGTCGACCCCGTGACTGGAAACTTTTCCCCCTCCGCCAGACGAGGCAAGTGATATACGCATCCCGCATCCTAAGGCCCCAAAAACCGGTTCTGCTTCCCGCGCCAGGCGTATCTACGAAGGCAGTCAAAAAGAAAGTCGGTGACGCTCCCTCGAGACACGACACTGCCATCTGGGTCGGGCACTTGAGGGCAACCTACAAGTACGAATATCGCTGGAGCACACTGTTCCGTATAGTTCGTCGTTGGCTGGTTCGGCTCTTTCGCGCATTAGCGCAGTCGACTCGAAGGCGTCAGGGTTTCTTTTCTTTTTCTTACCTTTCCTTTCTTTTCTTTTTTTTGGTTTTTTTTTTTCTTTCTTTCTTTTTCTTCGACTGTATTTTAGTTCATTCCGCCCTGGAGATCTCGCCCAGAGTTCTATGACTAAGAGGAATTCGGACCTCAGGAGTCGCCCCTCCAGCCTTGGCGAGATTACATAGCCCATCAGCCACAGGTTGATACCCGGACTCTTGGCTTTAGCTTTCTACTGTATTGCTCGTGATTTCCCCTTCGGACCTACGCAAGGCAACATAAAAAAAATTGGCTTTAACTCGTTATATCCTCCTTTCGACCGGGCTAAACAGGGTCGCCACCGCCGACTGAAAAAACGAAAAACAAAAAACCAAACTGGGCTGATCGACGCTATATCTGCTCTGATTAGGGCAGCGATCGGCCAAACGCCATATGTCATGTTCTTTAATCCTAACAGCATGCAACGGCAAACCGTAGCGAAGTAGACCATTGTACCTCCTACCTGGCGCAGGGGCAACCCCAAATCCCGCTGTTGATCCTTAACTACGAGTAGGAGAGTAGGATTTCCTACCTAGTAACTAGGCTGGTCATCAATGATCACAAGCTAACACACCATTCCACCGAATCTATAACGTTCTCCGAGGTCGCCTCCCAAGCCACCCTCTCCTCACACACCCCCCCCCCCCCCTGTGAGACACTCGTAGCAGCCAACCCCCGAAATCCAACTAGTAGGAGCATCCCCAGCCCGCGATAACGGCCTAAAACAGCCTCCGGTATACCCATGGGATTGCTGACGGTCGTTTGGGGCATAGTATAGCTGTCAGGTTACTAAGAGGGGGGGGGGGCCCACAAAGGGCCCCCCAGAAATGGGAACGCTTGCGCCGAGAGAGTCGGTCAACCCGGGGGACGAATGAGGCCGCGCCACGGCAAGCGAATCAGGAGCGGCCGGCTTTGTTACATACTCACAGGGCTGGCGTCTCCTAGGCTGAGTTGGGGTATATATCCTGGTTGTGGGCTTGGCTTTTTCTTGGGAATGGGGCTGCCAATCTCTGAACGAGGGACCTCGGAGGGTCTCAGGATCTTAGTAAGATGTTTTGAGATGGGATTGTATTCTTTTATTTCTCTACTTTTTCTGTTTCTTTTTTCTTCTCTTCAACATTGTTTGTTATTTATTCAATTATACAGTAGCTTTCTATATCCCTCTACAAGACCTACTTTTCAGAATTCAATTTTTCATTTTACTTTTATTTTTATTTTTATTTTTTTTAACTATGCAGCACAGGGTAAGAATCCTATATGAGCGGCTTAGAGCTGAAAGTGCTTCGGTGCTTCCCTCGGCAGAAAAGTGGAGGACCCAAAACAGGGGGCCACGGGTCATGCACGCCATGGATTTGGCGCATCCTAGGCCAGTCTTCTCCGGCAATATTAATCCCGGGGGGAGATTGGAAGTGTATTTGACAGTTCTCGCGTTGGTTCAAATAAGTTCTTGTTCTTTTCGGTCCCCATGGACTTTGCTTTGTAATGGGCTTTTGTCTCCCTACGTATCCGGGTATCTCAACCCCCACGCCCCACCCCCAACCCGCCTACTCGTATCGGTACGACTCGGGATGGTGCGAATGGCAATATGCGGCTGGCCAATCAGGCGCGGCACGGCATATCCGAGAGATCTAGGGTGTATCTTCGGGGATAGGAGCTTGAGGTGGAGGTTTTTTTTCTTGTCTTGGCGGCTGATTGTTTTATATCATATAGAGGTTCATCTAGGGATGTATTGATTGGGAACGGTGGTTGGACAGGGAGATTTCTTCGTATCCTCATGAAGTACCTAGGAAGCGAGTTGGGGGCGCAACCCGGAAGGAAATAGCAAAAATAACACATGCGTGCTAGGTATCACGGAAAAAGGAACCAGCGCAGCCTTGCGAAAGCACAAGGAGGATTGTACTCGATCATGATCAAAAAGACGCCATACCTCCCTCGTTTAAAACACGACCGACCCAATGGGAGGCAAAATGAAATATGCCATGATGGGAGGGAAAAAAAGGGAATTCGGAAAGTGCCCGAAGAATCCATCAACACCAAGGCCCGAAAGCGGGGAATTGATAGAGGGAAAGAAACAGGGAAAGAAACAGGGAAAAAAAAAACAAAATTTCAAATAAACAGCCATAGAGCACAAGATGCAGAAACGTCACCGGAGTCTCAAGGTGAGGGGAATCGGGATATGAAAAAGAAAAGTCGTGACGGGCATCAATCGCAGAATATCTTCCACTCTGAAAGTTCTATGCCAAATTTCCTCTTATCCTACCCCCAAATAAGTCCAGTCAGTTCCCTCCGGTTGATTCAAGAGCCGGGTTTGGGATTTGTACTGAAAATTAGGATGGTATGAAACCATCATGCTCTCAGGCATCTGGTGGCCCTGGTAAGGCGGCGGTGGTGGTGGTTGCTGGTATTCTGGGGGTAGGTAGTTGGTGCGGGGCGCTTCATAGCGTTGCTGCTGGTGTTGGTGCTGTTGTTGTTGTTGCTGCTGTTGCATCATTTGCACATATTGTTGTTGCTGTGGGTGCTGGTGCGGCGACGTGTGCGCGTGTGGAGCGTGCGGGAGGTTCATTGAGGACGTAACGGGGACGTTTGGGGGCACGATCGGGGCCGCGCCATCATGCACGGGCACCGTACCCATTTGAACACTTTGCGGGGAATAGAACTCGTGGGTTGGTGTCGCCGAGTTCTGGTAGTAGGATTGTTGCATAAGGTAGTGGTCATTTGGCCCGGGGACCGATACGGCCACGGGGGCTTGGTGCTGGTGATACGAGTGCTCCGAAGTCGCGTCCTCCGAGGAGCGTCGGGTCATTGAGCCTGGTGGGTGGGAGCGATGCTGATGTTTCGTGAGAGTGGTTTTGCGACAGAAACTATTTCCGGGATCCGTGAGTATTTTCTTGGGAGGGGGGAGTCTTGTTCGAGACAGTGATCGCGGATCCTTACCTTCGGTCGCAGGTCGGCTCTTGACAAATGTATGGCCGCTTGCCGGTGTGGATCCTCCGATGACGAGCCAAACTGGAAGACTATGACAATTGTCAACACGGGGGGGATTCACTCTAGTATAGGGACAAGATTGGGAAAACTCGCATCTGAGAAGGCCTTCTGACAACCGTCATGGTCACAGACATGAGGCTTTTCGCCCGTATGAGTCCGCGAATGTACCGTGAGAGCACTGCGCTGGATGAAACTCTTGTTGCAGTCCTTGACGGTGCAATGATAAGGTCGTTCATTTGTATGGATGCGATAATGGCGGCACAGATCGGATTTGCGATTGAACGACTGGATCGCGTTAGGGTCGAGTCGCGCCAGTGATGCAAACACATACCTTGCCACACTGCTCCCAGGTGCAGTTGAAGTCGCGAGCGCTACCAGGAGCCATGACGCCGGTCTACCCGGGTTGCGGGGGAAGGGAAAGCGGGTCGCAAAGAGGTCAAGGCGACGGGATGTAAAAAAGTCGGGGAATCGGGGGAGTCGGGTCAGTGGACACCACGATAGAACAGTACTGGAATCCTGAGAGTCCTCGATGCGCCGTCAAAACGTTATGAGGGGGGGAAGAAGGAAATCCTGCGTGAGCCCGGGGCATATTAGAGCTTTAATATAAGGCCCAGGGAAGAGGGGAATAGGAAGGTTAAAAGAAAACGGGAAACTGGGAAGATTGGGGGGGGGGGGGGGGAAATACCAACTGGGAAAAAAGAGGGGACCAGTGGAAGGAGGGGGGCTCTCGTCGACTGCTCTTTTTTTTTTTATTTTATTTTTTATTTGTCTTTTTTTTTTATTATTGTAATTATAATTATTATTTTATTTTAGGCGATTTTGGATTTTTAGTCGTTTTGGGCGAGCCTACGAAGGGAAATAACGGCGCGCGGATAGGACAGTCACTGGTACGCTTAGATACTCTGGAGTATACGCCTCGTAAAAAGTGGGATTGGCTGTTCGAATTTCCTTTTTCTCGGCGTCCCCCTTCGAACCAGCGAACGGGGACGTGGAGCTGCTATGGAGCTCTTAGTTAACTGGAAACAAATACATGGGGGAAAAAATAAGAGTCTACGGTCGACTTGTTCGAGAGGTGATCTGGATGTTTCCTGTAATGATTACGATGACAGCCTCCCTCTTGTTCTTATAATCTTGTACTCCATCGACAAACCAGATGACAGCAAGCACCAGTGTCACCGTCTTTGATACCTCGTTCCATCCCGCCTCTGGGGTTGGATTCTTATAGCTCCTGTGGATTTCTCAATTTTGTTTCCTCTGAGATAGGATGTCGGCCACTAGATTCTCATTCCTATTGCCAGTATTATTTTATTTTAATTTTTTGCCCTTTTCCCTTTTTATTCCTCAAAAGATAAATGAAAATGGATCACCACGGGAAAGAAGGTAATGACCGTACGGGAAGATTACGTCGGGTCTCCACCTGTCAAGGATTGCGTTGTAAAAGGGGGTACCACGTCGGGATTGTGTAATATAACAGCTGGTACGGGTCCGGGTATTTTTAGCTGTTAGCGCTGATAGGCTTCCTCTTCGTTAGGTTGGCAACCGAACCTGGGCTTTCGAAATTGCGATTGCCTAAGAGGAATGGGTTTCTCAATCTCGATCAATGGAGCCGCCTACCGTGTTAATCAAATTCCACCATTGCCAGAGACCCAGCCCAATATGCGATCCCTTCCCTGGACCCGGGCTTCCTGGTCAAGCCCTGCTGTTTGATGCCCCTCCGGAAATCAAGATCAGAGGCCGATAAAACCCCGTTCCCTGTATCTGATATCATATGAATCTCCATGCACACAGCTCGGAGGAATGCCAAACTCATAGCAGCGGGGCTCCACGCGGCACGACCATGCTGCGCATCGGTGTTTGAACAAGGTCTGGATCTGGAAACTTGAAAGTGGAGAAAGGATTTAGAGAGGCGAGTGCCTCTGTCTTTCGTCCGCGATGCTCCTTGGATAAGGTGGCATTCAGATGGTAAATTTTACTAAAGCGGATAGAATATCGCCACAAGAAAAAGCGTGGGAACAAGAAAACCTTAAAACTAACAATAAAGTTAACGAAAACGAAAAGATAAAAATAAAGAAAAAGAAAAAAAAAACCAACAATCACGAGAGGTTGTCCTAAGCCATGATATCATTGCCGAAGGGCCTCCAGCGCAAAGTCGGTACTTCAAGCCTTTCACCTGCATCAGGCGAATGTTATTAACTAGAACCCAAGCCACCATCGCCAGCACCGAACTTTATCTCTTGCGTGCAAAAGCTAGCGACGATCGCAGGAAACAAAAGTTGGATGGGATTGCGAATGTGGAGAGGGCAGGGGGGAGCTCCAGAACTTAGTTTTCCTGTGCCAGAGTTCGCTGGGAATCTCCCGCCAGATGTACGCCGTAAAAACCAGAAGCTGAGCCTACAGGATGCGGCAGATCCAGGGAAGCGGAAAGTGAGGCCACCTGTAGAGGCTGTTTCCCTCCTGTAGGCCTAGTACGCGGTCACATTTCACGCGCACCTCCAGCAAGGGATGAATATGACGCGGCATCGAACCTGCAGTGGTACTAGGACTCTTTTGTTTCCCTCGAGAAAACTAAAGGCGCTCGCGAAGAAAGGGTCCTCCCGTAGCGTTCCAGAATCCCATCAAACGTAAACCCGCCCCGCTCCACGGGTACCACTTTCTCGGGAGAGGTTACGAGTCTACTCTGTACCTTTTTTTTTTATTTCTTATTTTTTTTGTTTTTTTCTTACGCTCTCGAATTTGAAAGCCGGCGTCTTTTTAATCCGGGGCTGACAGGTGAACTTAAACGATTAGGAGCCGGTCCAAGCCCACAAAAACGGGGGGGCAAAAGACATACCCGAGAGCAGGAGGATTTAGGCTTGTCAAAAGACCTGAAGAGCCGGCATTTGAGCCAAGTGAATGGCTTATCGGAATCCACCGCGCTAGTAGGCGAGCGATTTAGTGGCTGATAAACTTTCCAGTCGATGTCACCTCTCGGTCCTGATTGGTCGAACGGGTAGGAGTAATGCCGGCCCAATTCTGTGGGTTGTTCAATACGGAGTCCTCTTCGCCCGTCCAGTGACATGATAAATCGGCTCCTCCTTTGGAGCCCCAGGGCAGATCCGCCGGGGGGCCTTGATGTCTCGAGTCATTAGCGCTCCACGGATTACGACGACAAGGATTTCCCTGAAACTAGTCCGTAATGCTTATCTTACTCGAATATACAGTAGTTCATGCTTCGACGCAGCCCCCCCTTTTCTTTACCATTATCGCCAATCTATGAGGCGATTTCTTCACCGCAAGGGTTTCAAAATTACGGGAAGAAGAGGGTTTTCTTTTCGGCTTGGTATGCATATCGTTCCTTGGTGGCGAATTTTGAACGTGGAAATGTGCAATCTGAAATTTGAAACGTGAAACTTCCTTGCACTGCATTTTCACGAGACAGGCGGTTGGCCTCGGCTGAACCTTGTTCACGGCATACCTACCTGTCAACCCCAATTCGATCGATCCATCGGACAATGGAACTGGAAACGGCGGGATCTGGACACCGTGGCTTTGGCCCTTAGCTCACAGACAACCCCGGATGTTTACTAATCAACGTGGAGCTCCACGTTAAGACGCGATCTTTATATTGGTCATCTGCTGGATTCTCGAACATTATTCTCCGTACTACCATGGGCGGACGAGTTACTTTGGCATACATCGAAGCGGGGGCCAGCCCGCGACCGAAGAGAAACATCCGAAAAGCCAAAGGTCAAATAAGGGAACGGGAAAGGATGCTACTCTCAGCAAAAGAGATCTCAGTCGAAAGGGGTGGTGGCGTCTTTGACACTGCAAAGATCGGCACGCCGTGCGATATGGCACCCATTCTTGTTGTAGGCCTCTCGTTTCCATGCAGAGGGTATCGGGGCCATTGGATACGTAGCAATAGGCAATCAAGGGGACGCTGGGCCAGTCGAGATCCAACAGCATTGTTCGAAGCCAACCATGAAACCCCTATCTGAACTCCCTCTCCATCAAAAATACTGTGCTTTCATTTGCCTCCCTGGTCGGAAGCCAGTCGTCCTTCTATGTGCCGATCATTGGCTGGAAACGTAACCCTGCATGGAAGAAGCAATGAGGGATTCCAGAGATACACTGCGCAGAAAACACGCGACAGGTGGACCCCGCTGCGCCACCGGTCCTCCTTGAACTATGGACAAGTTCTCCAGACGTCTATCAACTGCATTGCTCGAAGGGGATCAACCAAGAACCACCCGGACCAGGACGCTCCGAAAATAACCTCTGCAGACACGACCCGGGGGGCGCAACCGGATTCGACTTTGGAATCCGAGATCGAGCAAATCAGGGAATCCAGAGGACAAGGACAAGAGAGAGTAAACGCATGGGAGACGTTGGTGTTCGGGCCCTCTGTCCTGAAGGCCTGTCGTCATCCAGTACGGTTCGAGAAATTGAAGTAGACATGGTCCTCATATGCGTAGGGAAAGGGGAAAAAAAAGGAAAATTATTCATTCCCAGGATACGCGTCCAAAACCCAACGGTCCTATCAATCCTATCACCCTCTGATGGGGGTGGATCGACGAAAACCTCCTGCTTGCAGAAAATCGTGTGACGTTCGGAAACTCGCGGGGTTGTACGGCGCCTTCGTCGGTAATCAATAGTCATTATCACGCGCTTCCTGGCCCCGAGATTTCTTTGTTTGTATTGCGACAAAGGCCTCAGAACTACACGGTTTTCCCAGGGACCAGAACATCGGGCTCGGGTCGCGGATCCAGCGATCTCACTGGATCTGCAAAGGTCTTCCTATCGTGGATCGTTCCCATTGCTTCCGAACAAGTCTCAGGCCAGGAGGGGAGGGGGGCTTATTGCGCCTCATTCCCCCCTGTTCCTTTTATTTCCTCTTTCCTGGTTTGTCGCGTTCTCCGGTTTCAAAGTCTTCAATTCCCGGCCCTTAAGTTGGAACCTACACCGTAGCCCTAAGAGTCTCATCGTCTGCTTACGAAGGACAAGGGGATTGTGACAAAGGATGTGTCTTTGCAAGTGTCCCTTTTCTTTCTCTTCGGTCTTCCCGTGAATTACACTGCTCTGAAGAAGTCCGGGCCCAAGAGTAAATTCTCTCGTCTATCCTACTTCGTAGACGAGTACCTCCGTGGAATCGAGGAGCGTGGGGGTGACACTATATCCCGGCAGAGGGGGTTTGGTGGAGCTCAAAGTTGAGGAAGCTCCCATGGCCGTGGCATATACCGACCAATGCTTAACTTCACCCCACGTGAACTGTGCCCTGGCAGGCTTATCGGCAAATGTAATCATGAATCCAAAAACCAAAATGACAGGGGGCTGGAACAATCCTGTTTGAAGCTCACGGAGGGAAATTACCGAAAGAAGAAAATGCGAGCAGCCGATGAAGACCTGAAAGATATCTGTATGTATACTGTAGATCCGCACGCTTTCTCTGGCAAATCCAATGGAGTTGCGTCGGGGCGGCAAGTGGTGTCTGACTGGCTGATCACATCGGAAATACGAGGACCGTGTAGATTAACTTCCGACTATTCCTTTTCCTCTGTCGGATATCGACTCCGACCAGTCCCAGAGCTCTTGCGGCTCAGGTGGTGTTGCCGAAAGAGTCGGTCAGGGCCAAAGTAAGATCAGGTGTTCTGTGCTGGCCCTCGCTTGAACGACATGTTTCTCCCGTCATCCTGAGATCCTGGGGCTGAAAAACCACCAAGCCACACTGGACCGGCACGCCTGAGATGGCTGTCATTGGCAGCTTTGACAATCAGCCGTAGGAAGAGGGATGCCAATTCGGAAAGGGCCACCTGGAAAAGGGAATGATGATTTCAGCGCTGGCCCAAAATGGGTTCATGGATGGCAACGCGTCCTGATGGGTCTTGTCCTTTGAGACCGAGACCTCCAAATGCCTTGTTAAAAATATCAGTAGTGAATTGTAAGCATATAGTAAGCATCCGTGGATCCATTATATTCCTCGACTGCTCCAGGGATGCCCCTAACGGCTTCGAGAACCCCCCCCACCCCTTACCGCAACAACCCGACAAAGTCAGGTGGGCCGTCTTTTATCTCCTAACGCCATCAGTATCACCGCCATCTTTCCGGGAGCGCAACTGAGATGCGAGATTATCATGGAAACTACCCGGAAAACGGGTGGCGAGACGAGACAGGAGCCATTCATCTCCGCCAAAAGGGGGGCCAAGAGGGCCAAGACCGCCATTACAACGATGGCTTTTTTTTTTGGAATTCCCGACCTTTTCGGGCTTGTCTCCAGAACTAAGATGATTTTCCCTTGGTCCATTTGGTCATCTGATTGAGGCAGCAATCTGGCACCATGGCATCATCCTAGGATGAAGCAACCCTTGAACTGACAATGACGACTCGGTCGGGCGTAGCGGTGACGTGGGAGGGCGACAACTGGGCAACATGGTGGCTTTCTCTGCCGCGGCCGCATGCAGGCCACAGTTTCATGATCGCATGAGAAGCGGGGGAGGCGGTACGCATGTCTCTCTTTGCTGCGTGGATGTACAGAGTACCTTGTGTCTGTGACAGCGACTAGGATGAAGGCTTTGGGCCGGAACCGTCCATAATCAATTGAAAAATACTAACCGGACTAGGGTGGGTATTCATGAGGGGAAAAAGTACGATGTCCCCTGAAGGTCTCGATTCGGGCGACCTCAAGATGTTCACCCCCCCTTTCTCCAAGTTACGGAATATATCATTTTATCTCAATTAGGGCTACAGTGAACCCTTGACAATGATCGATTGTCCCTTCGATGTCATTCTCAATCTGCCCAATTGGCAGTGGTACTCGATCCCGTGCCCGTCCCGTCTACGATAGATCCCTGGCTGCTGGGGGTTAAAGAGATGGCATATAGTCTGGAAATGGGGAAAAGTCCGGCCTTGATACTGGATTCGATATGACAGGGCACTCACATGACTGGGGATAAGCTTGGAACTTTGGACAATCTCCTGCAAGAGAGAGAGACTCGCTTTCGACCCTGGTTTGCATGACTCGGATCAAAGAGTATGGAGCTCCTGGGGGGCTTGAAGATCACGGCATATCAAGGGACAGGGTGGACTTGAATAATATTTGTTCAACCAGCGGGGGAATAGTGTTAGCATTCTGCAGGAGGCCATATCTATTGATACCATCTGATAGTTACTAGTAGGAACGGTGTAAGCACCCTGGCTGTAGACAGCTTCGTGGATCAATTACTGCGAGTATTAGATAACTTGAACGCACATGGTTGCAAGCATCTGTCAATGTCAATATCTCCAATGAAATACTCCATGCCTGGCTCCAGGACCAGAGGCTATCGGATGGCGTCAAGATGCCGTACATGTACGTACGGTACAGTTACTAGGATCATAGTGATAGTGCTCGATCTACTCCCAAAGAACAGCAGCGAATTGAAGTGGTCATGATCCATCTATTACGTTTGATCCGCTCCGCTAAGATATCCATTGGCACCGCCAGCCTCCAAAAGAAACAGAAAGGAAAAAAGCACCAAATAAAGCATCAGACAGCAGGACATATGAATCCAACCCCATCCAGTCCATCGAGATGACAGAAAGGTCGGAGAACCCGCCAAGAGAAATAAAACTGCCTAATCATCCTGAACAGCCACATCATCATCCCACTTTTTCTCACCTAGCGCGCGGGCACGCTGAATAACCCGCTCAATACCATCCAGACCCTTCTTCAGCACATCCATCTTCGGCCCGTAGCTCAGACGCACAAAGTGGTGGCAAGGCGAATCGAACAGATCGCGACGCTTCGCGGGGTTCAGATCGAAGAAGATACCAGGGACAACGATGACCTTCTCCGATAACAAGGCGTTGAAGAAGTTCAGACCATCGGAGATGTTAGCCTGGGGAGGCAAGGGGGGGATCCAAAGAGGTCAAGTCCAGCCAGATGTAAAAGGTTGCCTGGGGCACGTCGTCCATGCGGAAACCAATCTCGCGCAGGCGGCCGACGACAAAGTCTCGCTTCTCGCGGAAGTGGACTTGGAGGGCCTTCATCTCGGCACGGACGAGGGAGGGATCCAGCATGGGGATTGCGGCTTCTTGGAAGGGTACGTTGGCACCGCCGTCAAGGTAGGAGCCGGCGGAACCGAGGGCTTCCACGAATTCCTTGGGGCCGACGATCCAGGCGATACGCCAGCCTGGGAGACGGAAGCGCTTGGTCAGTCCATCGATGAGGAGGACATCTGGGGATTTAGTCAGTTACGGGAGGCCGGGCAAGGGAGGCATATGGAGGGTGGAGCAGGGCCTAGGTTGCAATGCTTACCATCTTGGTTGACGTCCACGACATTCTCGGCACCACTGATGGTGGTTCCGTCGCAGTCGGTGGTGTAGTTGTAGCCACCGTAGAATTCATCGAGAATAAGAGTAGCGCGGTCACGGCAGATATCCTGGATCTCCGCCAGCTCGTCGTGTCCGACAAAGTGACCAGTAGGGTTACGGGGGTTGGAGGTGAGCAGCACCTGGGTCCCCCGGGCAATTTCCTCGGCGATCTTGTCGGGGTGGATGTGGTAGCCGTCGGCTTGTGAGAGCGGCATGGGAATGGGAGCAATCTAATGGAACAGCGTTAGCATACACGTACTGCTTGAGACAGAGACCCTACGACTAATATATCGAAGGGCTTCCGGACGAAGACAGGGCTACGTACGTTCTTGAACAGCGACAACATCTCGTTGTACGCCGAGTAATCAGGAATGGGGAAAGACAGGTATGAGTTACCCAGGATAGCCGCAATCCGGATCAGACCAGCACGGCCACCGGGCACAATGCAGACGTTCTCCCAGGTATACTTGCTCTCCTTGCCTTGGCGGTAGTGCTCATTGTACAGGCGGGCGACGGCGGCACGCAGGGGCTTGATACCGGCGGTAGGGCCATATTCACGGGCAGCGGAGGTGATGGGAATGGTCTCCGGGCGCGGAAAACTGCCCTCAATGCCATCGTCTGCTTCGGGGGCACCCTGGCCCAGGTTGGCCCATTCCGAGGGGTTCTCGAGGAAACCGTGCTCGGAGGCTCGCTCCGTACACCAGACGACGCCGGTGGATGCACGAGAGGCATCTAGACCAGCATGGGGACGGTGACCCTCGTGGGCTCCACGGAACTGACGATGGGTCTCGGATCGAAGCTCTACAAGCACCAAGCTGTCAGTCTTTCGGTTTTCTCTTCAACTTGGCGGTTTCTCTGAGGTAGCGCATACCATTGTCGGATAAGCCTCGAGTGGTCGAGAGCGAGGCATTTCTCGGACGCAGAATACTGACACGACGGCCGGAGAAAGACATGGTTGATCGCTGTTGCAGGTGCTAATGCTTGGTTTGCTTTGATTCCTGACGGGGCAGAACGCTCAGCGGGGCCAACGCGATAAGCGGTGATAAAGCAGATAAGTTATGAGAGGGAGTTGACGCAGCAGAGTCTACCGTGAAGCTGCACAAAAGAAAAACGCGCTGAGGAAAAAACCAAAACCAAAAGAAAAAAAGAAAAACCGCTTCGAAGAGCAGTCGTATTTGAAGAGGAAAATCAAGGCCAGGGGGCCCAGTTGAAGAGGGGCCAATCCCCACTGCGATTGGAGATGAGCTGCGCTTCCCCACTCAGGAAACGCTGATGTGGCTTTTGGCGGTCTCGATCTACTCATGCTGAGCCACGATTCGACAAGAGCTCCGACTGGTGTTCACCACGACGAATGAGGGATTTCCCGCACATGAAACGGGGCAGATGGGGCACAGCAAGTGTCGGGCACCTGAATTCCCAGTCCCGCATTAACCGGCAGCGTCCTACACCGTCAATCTGCTGATCGCAAACCCCATACCCCCCTCATCGGCTCATCGGCTCATATTGGGGGCGAAAGGAGGAGAAATGGAGAAGGACTTGGCAGTCCCTGCAGAGTCCAAGGTCCAAAGTCAGCAATATCAGCATCAAAACCATCTGGATCTGCATTTTATAATGTGCTGCATGCGCTGGAACCTGCCAAGATGGCAAGTCCCGAGCGCTAACCGGATCGGCCTTGTGCCGATTCTATTGATAACCGTCCAGGGGTTGCATCATAAGGCTAGGAGTGGGCCGGCTCCTGTTTGGCTGCAGCCTCCGAGGGCTCCGGCAAGTTTACTAGGCACACTGGAATCTGGCATATTGAAATTACAAGTCGGGCCTACGAAATCGAGAGTGGAGATCAACGGTTGATTCTCAATGCCGGAGCCCTATAGGCCCCACGAACAGAACGTACAGGATCCGATACTAACTAGGTATGCGTACATGAGGTGAAGTGCTTCATACGTTCGTGGACATCCAGGGAAGATGTAGATCAAGAAATAGTCGTGCACTCCCCGCCGCGGTACATTCGTTAACGGGGACGTGAGAAAGAGTATAGTAGAAAAAAAAATAGAAGGCGGAGTCTTTAAGAGACCTCTCCAAGCCTCCAACACCGTTCATGCTACCAAGGGAAACAGAAGTGGACGAAGGGGGCTTCCATCTCTCCAGAGTGGCTGTTCAACAGACCCAAACCAACCCAGTTGGGGAATAAAATAGATAATAAAGAAGTGGGAGAGACAAGAGGTGGAGTTTAAGCGCCGCGGCGATGCAAGGTCTTGAATGGGGAGGAAGGATCCTCGAAACAAAATTGAAGGGGAAAGGGGGCACGTCAAGAAAAACAAAAGCAATCCCCAATCGTATATCACTTGAATAAGCAAGAGCTCTAGTCGATGGATTGACAGAAAAGTTGGATTTCGCCAACCAGGCCCCTTTCCAGTTCGTCCCGATGTTGCTCTCGCCATTCCATGAATGCTAGCTGCACTGCTTCGTCGCTGTCGATTGTAACAAAGTCTCCATCCTCGTCCATGTAACGTAGCCGCACGGTCTTGCCCCCGATCGACCGATTCGTGAAACGAGCCAGCTTGGCATCTACACGATCAATCAAAGAGCGGAAGAGGATGTTGGTCGCGATAACCAAGGTGACGTAATTATCGTCGAAGTTGACCTTGGCCTTGAGCTGGGTGGGCATGAATGGATCATGCTCGGGCTGTTGACTTAAGGGGGAGGTAGCGTGATCGGATAATTGACCGGACATGCGTTGCTGGCCCGAAGTCCGCTGATCCATATATTCGGGTTCGGTGAAGTGCGAGGGATGGTGAGGGTTGGAGCGCATCGGAAGTTGGCTATTGGTGGGGGAGTTGTTTTGGCTCCGGTTCACGGGGGCCTTCATATTGGCCATGTGCGCGGGGATAGGGGGCACGGGAACATTATCAACAGTTTGCATTGTATGAACGCCCATGTAGCGACGGGATTCCGGAGGCGCCGAATTGTGGTGGTGAATATCGGGGCTGCTCGCAGAGCGCATCCTTTGGGCGGCCCCGTTGGAAGTCGAACCCTGGGGCCCCGGCATGGGAGGCAAGGACGGGCGTTGAGCAGCGCGTCCATTGGGCTGGGCCCACCCTGAAGGGGGCCCATCCTTGGAGGCAACCCGGGACATTGCTGGCGCAGTGTACCGATTATTATTCTCTTCAGTCCAGACAGTAGAGGCAGTCGTGGAGTTCGTGTTCTGGCGACCAAATGAGAAACCGGATTGTGAGCTTGACCGCGTCGATGGAGTTTCCATAGGTGAGAAATAGGAATTCATGTTCCTTTCACCGGGTGACATGCCTGCGGAGCCGGGGAACTGGGTGTGCACAGAAAGCGCGGGATCGTTGGCGTTGTAGCGAGACCGACCGTTGGCGTGAGGAACCGAGCCCGTGCTACCGCCGGTGGCAGAGCGAGTCCTGAGACTAGTGCTGGATGCATTGCGACTCATGGTGAATTCGGAGTAGAAAGGATCATCGGCATCATACTCCTGCTGGTATGGGTTTGGCATTGACGCCATACCCTCCATGTAAGTAAACTCGCTGTCAGAAGTCCCGGTATGCCGAATTGTGCGGCGCTCCGACTGGATCAGCCGTTGAGTGTCGATATCCTTATACCAGGTTCGCATGGTATCCTCGTTCACGTAGCGAATGATGAAATTGTCTACCACACCGGGATCGCCCTTCCAGAAGATCTGGATACGGTAGAGACCTATCATTGGAATTAGGATGTGGTGGAAGACCTCGCTTTGGGTATCACTCACCAGGCTTCTGCAGACAAACAATATCCGTTACGTTGGCCATGTAAATGCGACCTTTCAGTTGAAGGCGAGGCTTCCCTTTGGCCGTGAGGGCTGGTTTGTCTTTGCCCATCATGAGTTTCGTCTTCTGCTTATTCGGGTTGATATCTTTGCAGCACAGAAGGATGCGCTCGAACAAGTAGATATGGTACTAGTCGAGCAGTCAGCGAATTAAGTCCACCCAGAGTGAAAGGGTTCAACAAGACGGATGTACCTCTCTCTCGTTATCCTTGCCAGTGTCACCTTTAACAACCGCAAAAGTACCATATCGGAGCAACTCTCCGAACGAGTCCATTTTTAGAGCTTTCCAATCATCGACTCGCTCAGCGAGGTCTACTACAGCTGCAGCCAAATGTTCCTTGTTGATCGCTTCATTTGCGCCATCGAGTACGGTTTGGATTGTGTCGATTGCCCTTGTTATGTCGCCCTTGAGTTCATCGCTTTCTAGTTGCTTGCGCAATTCCTGTGAAAAACGAATGTTAGCATTCGGCAAATTGAGAAAAGGAGGATTCCACCTACAGCCAGTAAGAGGGGATATCTGGTTAGTCGCTGGAAAGGCTTGACAAAGAACCCGTTAAGCGTTTTCGGCTGGGCGACCATCTGCTGCAAGTCCGCTGACCGCGGAGCCATCTGAATCTTGTCCCAATCTTTCATGCAAGCCTCGTCGCAACGCATCTGATTTGCGATAAAGGGTTCATATTGTCGGAAAGCATCTTCGTGCGAGTAAAAGAGCCGGCCCCAGTTCTGCATTTCCTCCGGCTGAGCGTAATGTTGTTCCATCCGGATGAGGAATCGCTGCGCGAAATCCAGCAAATTATTCAAGTTCAGGAAAATCTGATGACTGGCATCACCAGTCAAAGCCCCGGTTTCTTCCAACTCCTTCTTAAGCGCCTGGAGGTTTTGCAGATGGTGGACATAATCACGTTCTGTTTCTAGCAACTCCTTCAAGATGTGCTCTCGCTTGGTGAGCTTCACAGCGCCCTGTACGCCTGTGGCTGCGGTTGCGGCGCCGGAGGGCTGTCTTAGATTTCCATTAAGCTCGAGAATATCCATGAGACGATTGACCATCTTGATCACTTTGATGAATCCTGTTGTGCTCTCGCCGTACAAGTCGGTGATCAAGAAGCAATCCTGCTGGGGGAACGCTAATTCTTGCAAGCAGGCCTGCAAAAACTTGAAAGTCGCTGCTTTCGGGCGCTTTGCTTCGGCAACCCTGGTAGGATCGATATACAACTCCTCGGCCGGTTCGGACGCATTGTAGATATTAAGTAGCGGGTAGCCCTCCCGTAGGCAATTCCACAAAGAAGCGACGGGGTCTGTGTTTCCTCTTTCGCGATCCTTCTCAGCCATCTCCAGCAAGTAGGGTTCAAAATTAGGCAGCTCGGAAAGGCGTCGCTTGAGGTTAACGCAGCTCTGATAGATAGATTCCCCGCCACGCCGGTTGATGATGTTATCCTCGGCGACGGGAGCATTGCCCCCCGTCATCGCGGAGTCGGCCATTTTCGGCTACCTCGATAAAATATATGAGTCAGGCCAGCCAGGCTCAGTTGGAAATCCGCACAGCAGACCAGGGAATATATGGGATCGAGGGAAACGACGAGCGTCGGGATGGCGGGATGCCAATCATGAATCCCCCGCGACGTGGTTTGTGTGGATTGGCGACTGGGCGCAGGGAATAAGATTCGAAAACAGGAGAGGGTCGGATGAGTCGCAAGCTGGTGGCAATGGCGCAGGCGCGGGAGGATGCACGATCAAGGCGATATATAAGACGATCCCCACTCAAGGCCAAATTTCACGCGCCACTTTCGGAGGGGACAGCTGTAGCAGGACGGAAGCGCCGAAGGCAAGAATACAAAAACGGGCGATCCGTCAATGTGACCCAATCTATGGGAAGCCAGGTTTGCCCGGTCGGAGATAAACGCTGCAGCCGGGCAGGCGTGTAGCCGAGTCAGGGAATAAAAGAGCGGTCTTCGAGAACCCCCTGTCAAGCAGACAACCGGTCGCTAGGACTGGAGGGACGAGGAACGCGGAAGAATCAACTTCCAAAGAAAGAAAGCTACCTAGGAACCTGGAGCAATAGAGACCAGCACAGAGAGAAAGGGGAGATGTTGGGTAGGGAAGCGATAGAAGAAACGAGAAAGGAGGAGCGGAAGGAGAGGGCTGTTCAGTTGCCCTAAAGGGTTTAGCGCGTGTTCCGGGTGTGGAGAGGGGCACGAGTCTCCATCAACCTGAGACGCTGTCTGGGCAATATAACGCTACAGAATGGACGAGTTGGGGGGTTTGCTTGATACCATGCCTGTCAGGAGGCCTGATGTGGCCATCCTGGGCACTGGTAGGCGTCTATGACTGCTGCAGGCGCCGAGAATACCGAGGTATATATCTAGGTACCCAATGGTCCACTGCTCTGCTAAGCACCATCTGAGGGGGAACTACCCCGGGGGGCGCGATTCTGTGGTGTTACCCAATAAAACCGAGGCAGTCCTGTTTCACCTCAGGAAGTTCCAAGGGCGACTTAGATGAGGTATCAGACGCTGCTGTCAGTAATTCATGTGGAGCTTGAGAAGTTGGAGAGGGAATATCCTACCAAAATAGGACCCTCGATGGTTCCAATCGCTATATATAAATCCCGGTACGAAGTAGACATGACCATATTGTACTACCAGTACATAGCCAGTAACAATGTAGGCGAAAATAACTCCGATCCATTGAATCCACTTATGACGGCTGATAGTTTCTGCAATATGCACCTAAGCGATGCTAACTCACTAAGGCTGCGGCGTCAATAGCCCCAAAAGGCCGCAGAAGCCCCAAAGGGCAACCGACCACGCCTGATCCACGTGATCTCTCATTCCAACTCATCGGGTCTCATTCTCGATGGATTTGTTGATCAGATTCCAGATTCCAAATGCCAGACGCCAGATGCCAGATACCGGATTCCTAACCATGTGCGGGCCTTTCGATCTGATGTGTTGATTACAAGTTCGCCGCTTTGATCTATCACCTCTAGTGGAACCAGTTCTTCGTGACATGCAGCCCTGAGCCTTTAGTTTGTCATCTGTCACTTTTACTGCCTTAGTTATCGGAATCGCTCTTCACGCATGACCACTGGGCCTCGATAGGGAGCCGTTGAGATCTTTGAAGGCGAAGAGTCTGGAGTTTCGGTAAGCGCGGACCTCTTCTCCAGTGCTCCAAGGCTCCAGACCTTCCGTCACTTCCAGATCCTGAGATCTCCGGATCCCCAGGACACGAACGGTCGGACCAAATCAGTCACTTCCAATAGTATCTTGCCGCCTCCTTGTCACCCCCGATGGAGCAGGAACGGGGCGCGGAGTTCTCTACCCGTCCAAATCTCCAGCTACAAGCCTCCACTTTCTCTACCTACCCGGAGCCAACCCTCTCTCCGTCTTTCAAAGTCGATGAAGGCTATTCCGACGATACACGAAGCCAGTCAGAAAAGGAGCTCATAAGCGACAATGTCATGATGCTCCCGGACTGGGTCCTCGCCCAGAGCGAGGCAAATCGAGCTGGTAAGTCTCTCTGATCATGTTTTGGTCGAGGCCACCTCCCGGGCCTCCTGTTGCTACTCCCCCCGCTCATGCAAACCCCTCCTATCGCAGAACTCGCATACAGCCTGCTTCGCTCTCTCTCGACGACTGCGCTCGCCGGCGTCGTTGAACGTCTCAATCCGCTACTCCATATGGACCCGGTTGTCAAGCTGCCTCCTGAGTTGACCTTCCAAATTTTCTCCTACCTCGAACCGCGCACCCTTCTGAACGCAACACTCGCATCCCGCTCGTGGCGTAGCCGGATCTTGAACTCGGGACTTTGGCGCGTCCTGTACATCGATGAAGGGTGGCGGGTGGATACAAAAGCAATTCGTCGTTACGAATTGGAGCATTCCGAAGCTCTTTCTCCACAAACTCGCAAGTCGCGTCCTCGCCATTCCGAAACCGACCTAGGGGAACCGAAGCACAAGAAGCGCGTCCCACCAGAATGGCTGAACTCGCGCAGCATTGAAGGCCCAAGTGCTTCCGATACAAATGGCCACACATCCACCCCGGCAGACTATGAGGGTGACCATCATATGACAGACGCGAATGACCGCGTATCGCTGGTCTCAGCCGAAGGCACGGCGGATGTGCCTACGGCGACCATACTCCAACTCCCATCTTTGCTTTCTCCTCCCCTCAAGCCGTCACTTTTGATGCGCTACCCGGATGGAACCGCGAGACTAAACTGGATTTATCTTTACAAGCAGCGCCGGCGCTTAGAAGCGAACTGGCACCACGGCCGCTACACGAATTTCCAGCTCCCAGACCCATCATATCCAGAGGAAGCCCACAAGGAATGCGTTTATGCAATCCAGTTCGAGGGCCGCTGGTTAGTCAGTGGCAGTCGCGACCGGACAGTACGGGTCTGGGACCTAGAAACGAAGAGATTGTGGCATAAGCCCCTCGTGGGACACTCGAAATCAGTCCTGTGCCTCCAGTTTGACCCGAGCCCTGAGGAAGACGTGATTATCTCCGGAAGCAGTGATCGTTCGGTGATCATATGGAGCTTTTCAACAGGCCGCAAGATACACAAAATTGAAAATGCGCATGCTGATTCGGTCCTAAATCTCAAATTCGACCATCGATACCTGGTGACTTGCTCGAAAGACCGAACGGTCAAAGTCTGGAATCGTCGATATCTTGTCCCAACACACGAGGACTATCCCCGCATCTGCAAAACCGGTGGCGCGACTTATCCTTCTTATATCGTTGACCTTAACGAGATTGCTCCCAGTGTTCTGGAGGCTTCTCTCGCTAATGGACAGATCAAGGGTTTGTCACCATTTTCCATGCTCATGGTGGTTGAAGGTCACGGTGCCGCAGTCAACGCTATGCAGCTCCACGGGGACGAAATTGTAACAGCCTCCGGTGACCGCACTATCAAAGTGTGGAATATTCGCACTGGAACATGCGTAAAGACCCTGATGGGACATGAGAAGGGCATTGCATGTGTCCAGTTTGATAGCCGCCGAATCATCAGCGGTAGCAATGACAACACCGTACGGATATATGACCACATATCTGGAGCCGAAGTCGCTTGTCTTCGGGGGCACAACAATCTTGTCCGCACAGTTCAAGCAGGATTTGGAGATCCACCCGGCGCCGATGAAGCCCTCCGGCAAGAGGCCCTTGAGGTTGAGAATGCATTTTGGAAGGCTCAACAAGACGGTGAGAATGCTGACTTGGGCCCGCGCGCCCTGCGACGTGCGGGATATCGCACAAACACGGCGGGGTCTCGCGACCCTCGGGATATTCCAGCTCTTGGCGCAAAAATTCCGCCAGGTGGTGGAGGTAGCTCTTGGGGGCGTATCGTATCCGGCTCCTACGACGAATCAATCCTTATCTGGCACAAGGATCGAGATGGTGCCTGGTCAATAGGGCATCGTTTGCGTCAAGCTGATGCTGTAGCGAATGCTGTTCGGGCAAACCTCAGCGAAGCTGCAAGAGTGGCCGTTGCGGCCCAGGCCCAACAATTACAGGCCGCACAAGTTTTGATGACCCTACCTGTTGCCCGGAATCCTACCCAAAACACCACCCCTGAAGCCGCAGATCCAGCTCCTGAGCAGAATGAGAATGATGCTGAACCTGCCGTTAATGATGACAATTCCGATGCACCTGCCGCCCCCGCGCAACAAGATAACACTGTTGATCGAAACGGCGAACCCGCGCCTCCTTTAGACTTACCACTACTTGCTCCTGCTCTCCATCCACAAGTTCTGAATCAAGCTGGCCTGCCACACCACATCAACGGGCGACCCCCACGTCCAGCACACAACCCCCCGACGTCAAGAGTTTTCAAGGTGCAATTCGACTCTCGCAAGATTGTTTGTGCCAGTGTGGATCCTCGCATAGTTGGCTGGGACTTTGCATGCGGCGATGAGGAGATCGAGGAGGCGTGTCCGTTTTTCCAAGGCCTCTGACCTTATACCCGCTACTACGCCGGGTTTGAGCGCTGGCCGCGAAGCCTGATCTAGGCCATCTTGTACCAATTCATCTTGTTTTTAACAGCATCATTCCATTTCGATTATTTCTTCATATCGTATCGGCGCTCTCGGTATCTGTCTCAAGACCCTTTGCATTATCCTCTCCTAATGGAATCCTAGCACACTTCCTCTAATATTTACTTCTTGTATATGACATTAGTAGGTACCTTGAAGGTACTAATGTTTGAGATGTTTTTTCACCTCGAGCTATCAAGATAGTTTATCTCCTTGGTCTATAGCATGCAGCTTCGGGTCTTTTGCATTGGTGCCCAGAAATACGAGACCTAAACTTAGCACAGTTCCTGACTTCCAGTCACCTGATTATGCGGCTGAGGGCGCCATCGTCCCCCTCTTTTTCTAGCGCTCATTTCTCATCTGGTCAACATCATGCCCTTGTAAGTCGGCGATGAAGTCGATTTCATTCGCCGAGGCAAATACAGGCTTACAAATTGGGAGAGAGCAATGCTCCCATCACGGCCCATATTCATATCCCCGCGAGTACGTTCGAGATCGCCGGAGTTGGGCTTACATATAGGCCATCTCTGGCTAAATAGTGCACTTGATGTAGGATTGCTGACTGAAATAGGCGACACCGAGCATCCCGGTAGTCAGTACTCTAGAAGGATAGAAGACGGATATTTGGTCCAGATCAAACTGACTTGAGTCGAACAGAAATCTTCCAGAAGAGAGTCGACGCTTGTCGCCGTCTCCTCTTTCTTACTGATCCCGTGTTCGATCGAGAGACCCTCAAAGGTACAAAAGGACAGAGGACCCCTGGGACCTGCGAGTGGATATGCGAAAATAGTATCTATCAATCCTGGCGCGATGACGAAGACTCGCGATGCATTTGGCTGTCTGGAGGACCGGGCAAGGGGAAGACTATGCTCTCGATATTTCTGACAGAGGAGATCGAGACACGAATGGAAGCTGTAGAGGATACAAAGCTCCTCTTTTACATGTGCAGTCATCAAGACGAAAAGCGCAACAATGCCGCGGCTATAATGAGAAGTCTGATTTATCAAATCCTTACGAAAAGCCCACGCTTGTTCGAGCATGTCTCATCGTATTTCGAGGATTCTACAAGAGTCCAGGCTGCCCTGTCGTCGCCGCACATTCTGTGGACCATATTGAAACTGATGCTGCAAGCAAACACTGACACAATATTTTGTGTGCTTGATGGGCTTGACGAATGCGACGATGAATCAGTACGACTAATCGTGGAGATGTTTCGACAATATTTCCTCTCGTGTCCGATCAAGTCCACGGGGAAGTTCAAATTGATCATCGTCAGTCGGAGGGTTGCCGGGCTTGATGTTTTCCCTCACGTGAGATTGGATCCTGATAACAACGACAATGTGAGCGGTGATATTCAGAGTTTCATCTCAGAGAGAATTTCTCGACTCCAAGAGATACGAGGATTCGACGAAATTCAAGAATATGTTGAGAATTCCCTTCTGAAGAGAGCCCAAGGCACTTTCCTATGGGTGGGATTCGTTACAGACGAGCTTAGAAAGAAGACGACGTGTACCGAGATCGTGGAAACCCTGAAAGACCTCCCAGCCGGTCTACCTGCAATTTACAGCCGAGTGCTGATGCAGACTGAAGAATGTCACCGGCCCATGATTGCCAAGATTCTGCGGTGGGTGACCACGGCAGTCAGACCCTTGAATTTGCGAGAGCTAGCAGCAGGTATCGGCCTTGAATCTACGGATGTTCTCAAAAAGGGCCAGATCATGCTCGACTACATCCGCCTGTGCGAAAATCTCCTCGAGGTTCATGATAAAAAAATCACTTTGGTTCACCAGTCCGTACGGGACTACTTGCTACAAGGAACCCTCGCGAGTGACCCCATACTTGGACAATTCCATATTAAAGAAGATGCCGCGCATTTTGAGATCGCAGAAACATGTGTCCAGCAATTGGAATGCGGCTTTTCTAGCCAATGGAATGGAGAATACGATGAGTCAATCGGCTGGAAATACCAGCAGTTTGAACTCCTGGAATACGCCATACTCCATTGGACAGAGCATGTCAAACAAGCTTCTTCAAGCTCTAACCCCAACCTGGCATCGTTGTTTAATCGGCCTTTCTTCCAAGATCAACGGGGGCTTATAAAAACTGGTGGCTTAAGTTGGAGAACGACAGGGGCAGGGTACGACCGCTATATATGGATTACGGGTATTCCCAGCTGCATCTAGCTTCATATCTCGGTCTTGAGTCTTGGATCCGCCATCTCCTTCCCAAGAGGTTCTGGGGCTTCAAACCACCCGTGATTGTCAACAAGCGGAACAACCAGGGGGAAAGTCCACTGAGTATTGCAAGCTCGCAGGGGCACGAGGCTACTGTGAAGTTACTCATTGAGAGAGGCGCCAAGACCAAGGGTGACGAATCGAGTGCACTCGTGAGAGCAGCAAGCGGGGGTCATGTAGGTGTTGTCAGAATTCTGCTTGACAACGGAGTTAGTGTCAATCAAGAAGATGCGGATGGGCATACGGGGCTAATCGAGGCTGCAAGAAGCGGACAGGAGGATGTTATGAAGCTCCTACTTGAAAAGGGTGCTGATCCTAACAAAAGTAGCAACTATGATGTACCAGCACTGACATGGGCCATATTGAGAAATGCACCCGCTGAGAAAAAAACAGCTGCGGTGACACTGCTACTTGGCAAGGGAGCTGATATTAATCAGGCAGATGGGTTTGGAAATACGGCTCTGATAGAGGCCGTCAGGAATCGAGATGCGGAGATGGTCAAGTTACTGCTTGAGAAAGGCGCCGACTATAAGCGAGAGAACCAGCATGGGATGTCAGCTATGAGGGAGGCGCGAAAGGATATACGGACGGAGCATGGTGGCATCGTGAGACTCTTGCGAAAGGCGGCAGAAGAAGATCTGGAGCCTTGCAGATTTTTCTGGCCTAAGGATGAAGGCTATATTCCTTCGTGCTCTTGCGAGGAGTGCTAAGCTACTATTCAACTTGATGGATATAGCGAATAGGGCATCCTCAAATGTTTCTTGAACCTGCCAGTCCTTACCTTTTCTGGAAATGGGCGAAAGTGTTCGTGATTCGGGGTCAAGATAGGAAGATAGATGCTGGCTTGGACAAAGTGGTGTCTTCCGTATTTATTCTTAATTATGCAGTTTAATGGCCCTTGTTCCACGAGAAGAGCATCCTAGTAGACTGAAGCCAGGCTGCGTTTCAAAAGGACCTTACTAAGAGTATTCATTAAAATCCCGTTCTTTTGCTACACATTGCAGCCAACGACTTGACGGCACCCCCATAGAAGGGGAATGGGCATGGAATTTTCATTGCACGAGTTAAATGATTATCGGTTGCCAATATGAATAGAAAGACTTCGAAGACTTGGTGAAGCAAGGAAGGCAGAGCAGAGGGAATTATTCATCTAAAAAAAGTCGCTGGGCCAGAGAGAGACCTAGATATTCAACGAAGCAAACCTGAAGCCCAGAGCCCGTTGCCAGAAAGGGTTGCGCCTTGCAGCTGGTGGTTGAGAGGAATTCTGTGCGTCATTCGACTCGACGTCATGAGCACCATGGGTAGTACTGTTCCTCGTAGACGATGGGGGGCTGGGCGCTGTATGATAAGTGTCGTTCGAGGTGACAGTCTGCAGAGGCTCTGTCGGTCCATGCGCATTGGTATCACCTACACAAAAGCATTTACATAATTCCATTGGTAGACAGCAAAGCTTATCGAGGATGCTGCCTGATTGTGTCTCAAGCGGTTCGGCCGTGCTATCGTCCGTCCCGGGTCTGATATGTATAGGAATGCTTGGCGCTGGAAGCTGGAGAGGGGAGGGCATAGAACGGGCTACTTCAGAAAAGTCGGGCCTACTAGCATTACCGGCATGAGCAACTGTGCGAGCGTCACGAGAGGTCCACGGCCGTGAGAAAGTATACAATGATCCGAGTGCACTGTTGCGGCGTTTTCGCGGAGCGCTTGGTCGCTTTACGGACGGTTCATCAACTTCATGTAACCCTTCTAGTGCCGCGGTGGTAGTCTCTGCTACTGGCATATCGGGTAGATGGAATTGATGCTCTTGTATATCCTGGATGTGATGTATACCGTGCCCGCTATGTCGAATAGGGAAGCGACCTTGGACAATCGTTGCACCCGGAGCACGACTGATGCCTTGGTAGCCTGCCTGGCTGGACAGCCCTGTGTTTGGTAAAGATGCACGCACGAAGAATCTCCGAATTCCTGCACCGTATGAAGTCAAGGTATACCCTCTGGTTGAGCCAGTGAATCGAGAATTGGCTGCCGTGGGACGCAGTGCACCGTTTTCCGCATTGAACCGTGCAGCGAAGGTTATAGCTTCTGGTGTATTGAATGATGGGAGTCCTGGGGGCGTAGGCGATCTTTCTGGTGGTGGGAAGCGCGGCTGAACTAGCGAAACGGCCACGGGAGTAGCATGCCTTGGCCAGTGAGGACGAGGGAAATGCGTAGCGCACGTATCAATAGAAGCGGCTTTGGAGTGTTGAGGATGCACGGCCTCTTCTCCCGAGCGTTTCTCGCTCGAAAGGGTTGAGCTTCGTTGCTCTGCACGGTAAGGTGGTCCTTGGTCAGAGAGGACCTGACCGCGCCATGCACCACCTAAAAGTTGTTTCTGCATCCCGGAGGTCTGCCGCTGAGTAAAAACGGGACAATCTTGCGAGGATTCCAGTGGAAGGAACATGGCCATGTTTGCTGCTTGTCCGTTCTCCAGAATTGGGTCCATCTGGAAGGTGCTATCTTGGCTTGGGTTGCCCTCGGTGGATGTCGCCACGCGGATTGCATTGGTGATGCATCTTTCATCACTATAGGCAGTCTCGGAGGAGTCACGATTCTCGTGAGAGGAGACCGGGGGGAGAGAATCTTGTACCGATTCGCGACGCTGCAGATTGGTTTGCTTCGAATAGTATCTGGGCTGAGTAGTGTTGCCAGTGGACGGCTGGCCCCTTCTTGGTATGGACGGAGAAGACATAGCCAGGCTATGTTGAGAATACCGGTAAAGCTATGTTGAGAATACTGGTAAAAGTCCCTCGATAGAAGCACAGGGTCAATCCAGAAGAAGGTTACTAGTAAATAACAAGTGTAAATAACAAGTGTTTGGAGGTGATATTGAGTGACAACTTGAACATCATCGCGCTTGCCGTGACCCGCTCATGCTTATTATACAAAACAAATCTATATTTACAGTCCTTGTCACATGAAAGAGCCATAAAGCGGAACATGGTCATGATCATAAGGGAGTACCGATTGGGCTGGCCACAGGCTTGCCCGTAACTTGGGCATGCTCCTTTCGGAGAGCCCGCAGCAGGCCTTCGATCCTGCGGCGTTCTTCTTGCTCGGCCTATCTTGAAGTTAGCATTGGACAGAAAGATAGAGACAAACAGGACAGAATAATGACTAACCCTCAGAATCTTCAGGTTTTCGTTCCGAGTATCGCGCATCATCTTCTTGAACTCGTTCTTAAGGACCATAGTCGAAGTAGTCTCAGAACCGCCATCGCGACCGACAGACGTGGGGCTGTTTACATTCATCCAGTTGATGCGCTCCTCGCTGAGCTGTGTCTCGAGCTGCTCCATGCGATCACGCATGTTGTCGATGATACTCTCGAATCGCTCCCGCTCCTTCTCGAACTCGATGCTAGCCTTGGTCATGGCCTCGTAGTCATCAAGAGTTTCACGTAGCTCTTTCTCAAGTGTATCAGCGCGTGTCTGTGAATCAGAGCCACCGCCCTGTTGCTTAAGCGCAGCAATCTCCTTCTCCAGCTCGGCATTGCGCGTGTTGAGTGCGTCGATCTCTTTCTGGATCTCGGGGTTGCCAGCAATGTCGGCTGCTCGCTGGGCACGAGTGCCGTATGCCCCATCCAATTCAGCCTTGACCATGGTCAGCTCGGTGGACATCCGCACAAGCTCGCTTTCCATATCTTCCATTTCCTTCTGAATACGAGTCGCGTTTTCCTGGGCCTCTGTGCGTTGATCGACTGCTTCCCGTAGGCGCTCTTCTGCCTCTTGGGCAAGGGCTCGTGCCTCCTGAATGTGATTCTCTGCTGTCTGCACGCGCTCCTCTGCCGCCAGGGCACGCTCCTCTACTGTCTGCATACTTTCTTCTATGTCCCGAATGCGCTCTCCTGCTTCCTGGTGAGCACGCGCCTCTGCTTCCTGGACGAGGTCGGCGCTCTCGGTGCGAATTTGTTCGATGGTGGCCTCAAGCTGAGCCACTTGCTGTTCGGCTCGAGTCCGAGCCTCCTGCACTTCTGTGCTCGAATCGACCTCATGCCGCAAGCTCTCCAACTCGTGCTCCAAGGAGCTTACCACACTATGCAAGCGCGCGACTTCTCCTTCGGATTGCAACAAGGCAGCATTTGCCTCATCTTGAGGAGAGCCGTTCTGACGCAGTTGCTCTAATTGCTCCGTCACCATGGCAAGCTCATCCTGAGCAGCTTTGCCATCACGCTGGGACACATCGTAGTCTCGGCGCAGATGGGCCAGTTGCTCGGTCAGGTCGGCAATGTGCGCATCCCGCTCCGCATCGGACTTGGAGTTCAGCTCACGCTGTTGCTGGATTTGGGTGGTTAAAATCGTCTTCTGCTCCAAGAGACCATCGACTCGACTTTCCAACCCGTTGATACCAGTCTGAAGGTAGTCAAGCTGCTCCTCCAGGCCCTCTCCTTCATTAGCGCTGGGGGGAGGCGGCAGTGTAGGCGAGCGCGTGAGTCCAAACCGTTCAACAATACTTTGCACCCGACGATTCAGCTCCGTAATCTGTTGACGCCATGCACCCTCAGCCTCGGAGCTCGGTCCATCGGAAATCGCCTGCGCGGCGGCGGGATTTATGTTCCCTTGCAACCCAAAATTATCGATGTGTTCCGGCGTGCGATACAAGCTGCGGTCGTCAAACTCGTCGTAAGGGTTGTCCCCCTCGGCATCGGAGGTTTTCGGTTTTTTGAGGCCCTTGTGGGTCAGTTGTAAGACACCAGCGGTATGCTCCAGCAACCGCTCCTTGATGTGCTGTTCACGACGCTCTAGTTTCCACAGCTCCTGTGCCAACTCCTCACACTTGCGCTGGCTGGCCGCCAGCTCTGAATCGGTCTTGCTCAGGGCCTCAGCGGTGCCGCTCTTTCCGAAGATACTCCTGCTCCTGCGATGCGACTTCTCTCCGTACTCGCCGCTGCTCCGAGGGCTGGGCGGACTGTAGAGACGGCCGATGGACTGGGCCGCATCCCGCAGTTTGGTCTCCAACGCTAGTCTTCGCTTGGTGCCTGCGATGCGACCGGCCAAGAGGTGGCGCTCTTTCTTGAGAGCGTCCACTTCCTCGAAGGACAGAATCTCGTAGTCGGTGCTGTCCCCCATGGCGGTCTGGGCGAGGAGGAACATGGTGACGGGGTCCTTGGTATTGACTAGGGCGGAGCTGCGAGGGTGATCCGAGTTGAGCTGTTGCACAGGCATTCTTTTGTTAATCCTTCGCTTTGTCATGTTGTCGGGCGCATGGGCTTCCCCTTACCGGGTTGTACCGCGACTCTTCACTGTGTGTGTCGACGACATCACGGTAGCCGTTGACGAGGCTCTTTCCGAGTGGACCCGGTGGTTGGATGTCGGAGATATTGGAGAGATAGCGAGGATCCCCGTAGGAGGATTGACTCGATCGCATACTGATATTCATCGGGAATGTTCGCGCCGCTAGGAATTTTGGGGTAAAGGAATTCAGGAGCGGCAGGGGAGCATCATGAATTTCCCGGAATGACGAGAGGATTGAAATTTGCGCAGATCAGCCTGCAGACGTCAGGGAATTAATTGACGGGGCTGAACTGATTCTTTTAGGGAAATAACTGGTGGGGAGAGAGGAGGAGAACCGAAGGGGATCTGCGTAGAGGCTGAACACACTCAGCCACATCAATTTGGGGGAGGTGCCGCTTTGCGGTTTGTCTCACCCTTATTTTTTGACTGATAAATTTGGGGCCAGAATCATAAGAGAGGTCAGACACGGCCTGGCACGTCGACCAGAACGCCTGACATACGTACAGTTTACCCTAATTGGCGTTCCCCAGGTTCTTTCCTGCTCAAGCAGACTGGATGATGGTTTAATGTGAGAACCCATGAACGTGCGCTGATTGGTTCCCAACCACGCGAGGGTGACATTTACAGTTTAGCGGGCCATCTTTCGCCAGTGCATCCTCAAGTCCATTCCAGACATGTCATAAACAGACCATATGGTTAGTTCCACCGCAGTGTTTAGACCGCTCCTTTATGGTCGAGATCCAAAATCTTACAAGATAGATCCGTAGCCCCGATCTGATCCGGAATAGACAGGAAAGCATTCCGCGAAATCACTATGCGCTCCAGGAAGGGCTTCCCCCTGCAGTCTGCATCTCTGAATCATTCGAGAGCTGCAAGAAATTGAGTTGATCCTTGGGTTCCTGCCGGACTAGGAAGTGTCCCCTGTTGCTCCTCCTGGGGTGCATGGCCTCTTGGCCTGAGTTCCTTCCCCCCCTGGAGTGACGTATCTTGATTATCTAGCCAGTCTAGCGTCACTGACCAGAGACCCTGGGATTCCACCCTGGTCGACAGCTCATGGAGATGGTGCTCGTATTCAACCGGCTCGGCTCTTCGAAAATTGACGACTCTCGGATTCCTGTGATTCTTGGAAATCTCGTTCGAGATGATCGCCCACTTGATCAATCTTCAGCGATTACTACCCCTACTATTTTGGAGTGGGAAAGATGGAATCCATTGATGGTGATATGAGAAACGAAACATTTATGATAAGCTAGATATGATTACGTCGTATATATTGATCATAGAATCATATATCAAGTTTCACTCGGCGTTTCCGGCGTGGTTGTCCATGGGGGTTACCCAAAATATGTTCATGCGTTCGGTCCAGCGTTGCGGAATTCCTTTGGTATTACCGGCCATTTATCAACCCCATCCAGAATCGCAAGTGCCATGCCGCCGCTCAAATGGACCTGGATATGACAGTGCATCAAGAAAGCTCCAGGGTTGACCACGTGATACCTCAAAGCCAGCCAAGTTGGCCCTGTCGAAGCAGCAGGCGTGGCATAGGTGTCTCGTATCTGAGGTGTTTTGAGATTGAAGCTTTCTGGGATATGTTCCATGGCCTCTGCGACAGAGCTATAGTTCCAGGCTCCCTGGCCCTGGCCAATAACATAGAATTTGTTCGAGTGCTTATGGATTGGGTGAGGTGGTTGCAAAGGCTCGAACACATCGAAGATGAAATCAACCCATGTATCGTTCAGAGTTCGGACGGTAAGATCACTGTAGCCCAGAGAGCTGTTGGGGTTGAAAAGCAGCGGCTGGCTATTTTCCAAGGCCAAGGCATAGCTCGAGTTGCCTAGGGTCCAGCGAAAAGACCTCTCGTAGCGTCCAACCCTCAATATATGAGTCTGCGCAACTGTTCCAGAGGGTGTTTCGACTGGAAATGGAACAATAGCTGTGTCATCCAGGACGATGGTGTTGGCAGTGGTGTTCATCCCTGTGATGTCGATCGAGGGAATCGAGGAGCTCTTCTTGGGAGGAGGCTGAGTAGAGGCGTGGTTTCTCTCGTATGTTAGCGTGGCTGTCGCGTTGAGGATTTGGTTAACTCCGACAGTGGCCAGGCGAACTGTATAGTCGCCAACTGGCTTATCAAGCTCCACAAGGACAGAATAGCGATTGCCATTTGCGAGGGACAAGGCGTCTACTCGAATCGGTTCAATGTACCGCCCATCAACGGCATACACATACATCTTGTGCTCATCAATGGAGAACATCAACGTGTTTGTAGCTGCGGCACTTATGAGATCGTAGCTGACGAATCGATCCGCGGCCTTTACCTGGAAGACTTCAGACAGACCTTGGTGAGAACGGCAGCCGTAGAACATCGTAGGTACAATTGCGCTATAATTATGTGGGAAAGGCCCTTCCAATGCTTTGATCGGAGGCATACAACCGGTATCTGTCAGATGCTTGCCGTCAAGAAGTGATTTCTGCGCCGGCGTTGTGTACTTGTCGAGTGTGGCACGACCCAGACATTGGATGGACCCCTTCCCGTTAATCAGAAGGGCATCGACACAATACGAATCGAGGCCTGTTGCTTTCTCTGCATTCCATGATTGTTCCGATGTGAGCTGGCGCCAATCAGAAAGTATGATTGAAGATGTGCGCAGCTCCGCCAGCTCAATTCTGTGGCGTTTGGAAGTGTTGTTTGTGATGAGATGGAAAGGCTTCTCGACCGAAACACTGGGCTGAATACGAATTGACCCGTAAAGTCCATCTTCTATTTGGCCCCTAGTGTGAGCGTGATAGAAGTATGATCCATATTGGTTTGCGTTCCATTTGTATAGGAACTGACCGCCGGGAGGAATTGGCTTCTGTGATAAACCGGGCACCCCATCGGACCATGGAGTGTTTGTTTGATCGATTCCTTGGGCAAAATCGCATTAGAAGAGCTGAAAATGCTTTTTCCGTGACCAAGCCTCTAACTCACCATGGAAATGAACAGTAGTGGATTTATTCATCAGGTTAGTAACATGAAACTCCACATCATCGCCCTGATTCAAGCGCAGTGGAGGAGCTGGAAATTGACGATTCGCAAATATCATCTTCCTGGTGGCCCCCGGGCCCTCATGCCAATCTTCCCATGTCAAAGTAATGTGAAAGCGAACCAGTTCAGCCCATGCCAATTGGATCAGGCACAAGACCGCGATCAACTCCAAGCTCCTCAGGCGCAGCATACTGGCTTCTGCAGACTATGGCAGGAACCAAGCAGGAAAGACCTTCGAGTGGCCCGGAGAAATGCACCTTTGACAAGAATGCCGCCCCTTCCAAGGGGTTCCTTTAAAAAGGCTCTGAAGGAAAAATTTCCAGCTTCAGATTCCCAGAAGGGTAAATAAATCGGTCGATACTTTTCTTTCTACGGCTACTTTTGTATAGTCCCGCACGACCCGGTCAGTGGCTTATCCATACCCCCTCCCACTGGCTACGAAGTTGCCATGTGGACCCGCAAACTTGGCTCTGCATGATCAGCGAACTCGTGTTTGCCGCTGGACGGCCTAAAGGAAATCGATTTTGCGGCGTAGGGCCCCCCCACTAAACTAACTTCCTTGGTTTCTGCATAATCTATTTCTAATCGCGTCTTTGCCCAAAACCAGGGTCCAGCGGGATCTGTCTGAGTCCACTGGCATGGGTTGCCGGGAAGTTGGAAACCGAGCTAGAATGATTTTCTTTTGAAGTTGAAGCCGGCGAAAAGATTACTCTGCGAATTCACTCCCAATTTTTAGGTATTCGGAAAGGGTTAGGGGGGCACATGGGGTATCCTGGCAAGCCACGTACGACTACTGCACCCGGGATTTGTAGCCACAGATCCAGCCGAGCCCAGCTGGGGCATATCCGTGCCCTTTGCTACGCTGCGACTCGCTCCCGGACGCGGGCCACGCTTTTATCACCAACCACGCGTTTATAACCCCCCACGCGTCTACCACCAATTCAAATACCCTCGGGCCTGCTTTCAGCTCTAAGCTGCTTTCTGGGAGGATACCGGGCGAAAAATGCGCTCAGGCCAACCGCCAACTGGTGTATTATAGCCGCCGTTACGGCGAAGATAGAATCTTAGTTTAGCACGTCCCTATGCCCCACGGGAGGCTAGGGGCTGGCGGCGTGCACCGCCAGCTCCCCTGGGCGTTCATAGTTACATACATACATACATACCATTTCAAGTATACCATGCAACTAATCAACAAAACTAGCTCAAGGTAACTATAAGCGACTAATACCTGGAATATAAGAGCCTTTCTTTTCCTTCCCCTTGTTCCTATTATCAATTGTCTTTTGAATGCACTTCCTTAAATACACTATGAGTGCTAAAAACAAGTGTTTTTTTGGATCTGTTCATGAAGCTTGAAGTTAGATTTGTCCTATTTCTTTCTCTTTTATTCTGTCTTACTAGGGCTAGATATAAATGGGTTTGAAGATTTTTTTAAGAGTAATACTGTATGTCAATATCTTATTGATCTGTGTCCCTGTCTGGCTCATTTAGGCAAATACTCGATCCCTTTATGTTTTAATAATTATTATAGTAGGAATATAATGATCACTATATTTTCGGTAATTTAAAAATGGTATGTGTAAAGGAGCAACCCTGGTCCAATGCCCCACCAACTAGGCCAAAAAAATATATATATATATATATATACACCCCCACGTGCAGATATGCGCACGCCTTATATAGTATACCCTCTCGCTAGAATGCATGATAATTTGGCCTTTTTGACACGGAAATAAATAATAGCACGAGCCACGTTTAGATCTGTATGTAGTTTTCGTGATATCTAGATCTTTTTTGTATATATATAGCAGCAGCTGGGGCTTTAGCTATATAATCTTTGCTGAAATTAGAGGATATAGGCATGTTAGGTAGGAGATATCTGATTATATAGTGTGTTAAAAAATGGATGACGAAAATGTGGTGGTGAAGAAAGCGTGGTTGGTGAAGAAAGCGTGGTTGGTGAAGAAAGCGTGGTTGGTGAGGAAAGCGTGGTTGGTGAAGAAAGCGTGGTTGGTGAAGAAAGCGTGGTTGGTGATGAAAGCGTGGCCCGCGTCCGGGAGCGAGTCGCAGCGTAGCAAAGGGCAGCGTAGCAAAGGGCACGGATATCCCCCGTACACACATGCGAGTGCACTACTAGCGTCAGCTTGACGACTAGGAACTCCCGGTCATTTCTCTGCTGTTCGTCACAGCCGTGGAGCAGCATGGTTAGCTCAGAGTATTATGGCGGTCGAGGAAATGAGTCGATGCTTCGATCTACATTGCCACATCATCCAGCTGTCTGAGACTTACGATCCCACCGGCCGGAGCGATCGAATTGTGAACGAGTACTCCAATGTATCTTAGCACGTTCGAGCTCCCTTATTTACCCGCAGCCGAAATAGTGCTGGGGTCGTCGATTGGCACGCCATTATGGTGAAGCACCTCGACGCTGGAGTTATACCCAAATATGTTCTCGTTTCCACAAAGCAATTCAAGTGCCCAATGGTGGGCTCGATCTCAAAGAGGCGCAACTGTTTAAACAAATTGTACGCTTGAACAACCCCCCCACACTGCTGATCGACATTTAGGAGCGATATACAACGAGGGGTCTGAAAGCCATATAGGGCCAAACTACCAAGGCCCAGCACATAAGGCACATATTCATCATACGGTTATCACCGTCACTCTTCTTACGAGGAGATTACCAGCTACAGCCTCAACGAGAAAGCACAACCATGTGATTCAAATTGAGAGGCTGAAGGAACTGGCCGCTCAAATATAAAGCCAACATAGATTGCTTCAGCAAAATAAAATGAAGCAAAGCTTCTGTTGACAGAGGGGGAGCACGAGATGCCGCACTATAGACCAGTTCTCGATTTCTAGTGGATCGCTTGCAATGTCATTGAAGGAAGTATCCTCCGCCAACCTTGGACTCGCAAGCTGTCATCAACTTCCATCGACGGTGTATCTTTGAGACGCCTAATGGTCTGGGTTCGAAAGCAAGTGATGCCTGTGCTGTTGTGTCGAATAAGCAAGGCGGATAGTCTTTGAAAACCTCGCAAGCTAATTGTTCGGAAATCCCCGCGTCTTCCTGTCAGTCTTAAGATGAATTTCCCAGAATGTGAATCAACTTTCCCACCGTAAATGTTTTTCTAGCGAACAACCTCCTCTGGTGTTGTTTTTACGTCGCCCCAACATCCCCGCCTCTACAAAGACCTTTCTTAACCATCAAATCCTCTTCACTACAGTCTGCATTCACGAACGCGCACCGCGCACCGCGCACTATGAGCAAAATGCAAGGAATCTATTTCCAGCCCTCACATCGATGCTAATGAAGCCCAGGATCTGTCGCGATTTCGCGAGGCGCGGCTTTTGTCGCTTCGATCCTTGTCGATTCGCCCATATCCGAGACGAGCAACGAACCGCGAACAACAACTTGAGTGAGCAAGATCGCAGGCAAACAAGAACTTGGGACTTCGACGCGTGGAGAAGACTTGTTGCTCACGGTCGTAGGAGTCAGCGCCTAGGCAACCGACTGGGGGGTTTCTTTGTTGAGGCCAGAAGGTTGATCGATATCAACGAAGAGACCCTGCAAGGTGTAATTTGGGGCCTTTCTGAAGAAGGTGGACTGAGACGGATCCAGGAGCTGATTGAGCGAGACTTTGCAGCGCTGCAGGCATCTGCGGCGAAGAGCCTTTTCCTTGATGCGGTCCTCCCATTCCTTGAAACCATTACTGCCCCCCAATGCACTTGGGTCTCTGGTCCTGGAGCCGGCTATGGTTACCATCTACAACTGCATCTTTGGACCAGTTGGCCGTCGAGGTGGCCCGTTCTTATCTTTTCTCGCCGATGCAGTGAAACAGGAGATAGAGTGCACGGGAGCCTCTGCGATACCTCATCTCGACCTATCTCTGCTGGTGTTCTCCAAGATTGTGGAGTTCAACTCCACAGCATTCATTCTGGAGTCACTGAAACCAGTAGGTGAAAAATTCGCGGAGCTACTGAAATCTCTCCAGGCTCTCGATAATTCGTGCAATGTGCATCAATCCTACCATTACCTTGAGCAAGTTAGCCGTCGCCTCGATGCTGGCCTTTCCTTGCCAATCTTATCGGAAACGGGGAAGCCTACGCATGTTTCCGACCCTACCGCGTACACCGTCGAAGTAGACCCCCCTGGAGGTCGCCATGATAATGACCACCGAGACATCCGTCACATCAAGATCCTGCCAACATTTGAGGAAATCAATTCTATGAGAGCAGAATATCTTCCACAGAAGGACCCCCGGCAGTGGCACGTTGAAGGACTATTTGGATTGCTAGACAGGAACTTTCGACTCCTAAGAGAGGACACAGTTGGCCAGTTGAGAGATGCCATTCATGATGAGCTTCATCCAAGCGTTCAAGCACGCACGAAAGACCAAGCGAAAAGTAACGTGTACAAGAACGCCGTTTTACAAGAGCTGGAGTTCAACCGGGTCTCTGGTCTACAGTTTCTCGTCCAATTCGAACAAGTTCCCCGCGCTCGAGCAATGACAAAGGTACAACGGAAAGAATGGTGGAATGACTCAAAACGGCTCTTGCCGAGCGCTCTCGTGTGCCTTTTGGATGCCCAGGGTGCTGCGACGTTTTGTACGGTGGTTAACCCCGACATTCGCAAACGCTCGAAAGATGGCACCAATATCCCTGCAAAAGGCGGGGGATCTCTTTCTGATAGTCCAAATTATGCCTCGGTGATGTTGGAGCTAGTGGGATCCTACGTTAAAGAATATGAGTACATCCTCGAGGCTCATGCATCAAGACGGACGAGGCCGCCAATGACACTCGTTGAGTTCCCAAGGGTCCTACTCCCATCTTTTGAGCCTACTCTCATCGCTCTTCAACGTATCAAAGGGCCCCAAGATCTTCCAATGCTGGATTATTTGGTACCAGGTCAACTCGGTTCAGCTCCGGCCTCCAACGACGTTCCTCCGCCATTGTATGCAACTTCCCCGGGATTCAGCTTCGACTTAAAGTGTCTGATGGATGATGACTCCAGCCTTGAGATCCATTACTCGCGGCCTGCTGATATTGATCGACTAACGCAGCATTCTGCGCTCGACGGTTCCCAGGCTTCGGCTCTAGCTCGCACTCTACAGCGCCGAATTGGGTTAATTCAAGGTCCACCTGGAACAGGGAAGAGCTTTACCGGCATCGCTTTGATCAAAGTGCTGCTCGCCAACAAGATCAAAGTCAAGGATTTTGGACCTATCATATGTGTCTGCTACACAAATCACGCTCTTGATCAGCTTTTAGAGGAACTCTTGAGAACAGAAACCACCTCGAATGTCTTACGTATCGGTTCCCAGTCCCAGTCAGAGAGCTTACAAAGGTTGAACTTGAGAACGGTCGCCCGCAAAGCTGAAAAGACTCGGTGGGAGAAAAACGAACACTTCTACATTAATGCATCACTCGATCGATGCGAGCACGATTTTGAAAACCTCCATTTGAATTCGATAGGCTCTGAGGTAAGCATGAAGTACTATCTTCAGAAGTATCATGCAGAACGTGCCAAGCAGCTCTTCGAAGAAGACGAAGAGGGTTATCAGAAGCAGGCACCAAGGGGGCCGAAAGGCATTATTTCATCATGGCTGAACGGGGGCCAAGCCGGTGAAGCTGCGCCTCGTTCTTTGGCAGAACTTGAAAATGTCCACGTCGATGCAATGACCCGAGAAGAAAGAAAATTGATCTATGCAGACTGGGTGGCGAATCAACGAGGCAAGCTGAAAGAAGACACTATTTCTATTCTTCTAGAGCACGCAACTCACAAGCGCCACTGGGATACTTGGCGGGATGAGCTAGATCTGCGGTGCCTGCACAAAGCCGACGTGATCGGAATCACAACCAGTGGACTAGCCCGGAGCATTGAAATGCTGCGTTTTTTGAAATCGAAAGTCATGATATGTGAGGAAGCGAGTGAGGTACTCGAGGCGCACCTCCTGGTATCAATTTTGCCCTCGATTGAGCAGGTTATCCTCATCGGAGACCACCAGCAATTGCGACCTCAAATCCAAAACCATAACCTGTCCCGTGAGAATGAGTCCGGAAAGAAGTACTTTTTGGACAGGTCTTTGTTTGAGCGATTGGTGGAGCCTGATGACGATGGGAGTAGCATCCAAGTCCCATATTGCACTTTGGAAACGCAGAGGCGTATGCACCCATCGATTTCGCTATTGGTCAGGAACACTCTGTATCCCCGACTCCAAGACGCACCTCTAGTTTATGGATACCCTGAGGTTGCTGGAATGCGCAAGAGACTGTTTTGGCTTGACCATAGGCGACTGGAGGCTGGTGCTTCTGATGAAGAAGCGGCATCACGCTCGCACTGGAACGTTCACGAGGTGAGGCTTACAGTCGCACTAGTCAACCACCTACTGCGTCAAGGTGTTTACAAAAAGGGTGAAATCGCAGTCTTGACTCCGTATCTTGGTCAACTCTATCGGCTTCGGCGAGAGCTATCTCAATTTCATACAATTTCCTTGAGCGAGAGAGATGAAGCAGACCTCGAGAATGCAGGATTTACGCATAGAGACCAACTGTCCTCCCAAACCCCAGTGGCCAGGTCCTCCCTTCTCCAGACCTTAAGAGTCTCTACGATTGACAATTTCCAGGGTGAGGAAGCAAAGGTAGTGGTCATATCACTGGTCCGAAGCAACAAAGAAAACCGCTGCGGGTTTCTTCGAACGCATAATCGCATCAATGTTCTTCTTTCTCGCGCAAAGCACGGCATGTACATCATTGGGAACTCCTTAACCGCTCAGGGCGTTGAAATGTGGGATAAAGTCATCAACATGCTGAAATCGAGCGGGAACATAGGACCTGAGCTTGAGCTGACATGTCCCCGGCACCCTGACACTCCAATTGCAGTCTCTGACCCAGAACATTTCGTCCATCTCTCTCCAGAAGGCGGATGCAATATGCAATGTGTGGATAGACTTTTATGTGGTCACCCATGCAAGCAAAAGTGCCATTCTGAGATGCTGCATAACGTAGCATACTGCGCAGAGCCTTGTCCGCGACCTCAAAAAGGATGCTCTCACCCCTGCCCAAAAAAATGCGGAGACCCATGCCCACCGAAGTGCTCCTTTCAAGTTTACGATGAAGAGCGGATTCTGCCGTGTGGTCATTTGATGCGAACACTTCCTTGCTGGCAGAGTCAGAACCTCAATCTGGTCAAGTGTCCTACACAGGTTGAAAAGACGGTGCCGCATTGTAATCATAAAGTGACCACTGCCTGCCATGTTGATGTGAGCAGAAGTGACTATAAGTGCATGCGAGCATGCAAGAACGCTTTGCCCTGCGGCCATGATTGCAAGAAGAAGTGCTTGAATTGTCTAGTTCGAACCCAGGATGGTTTTCAGATCAATCACGGAAATTGCCAACAGATATGCGGACGCAAATATTCTACTTGCGCACACAGCTGTCGAGAGACCTGTCATGGAATTGAGCCCTGTCCACCATGCGAAGCACCCTGTGCCGTACAGTGCGGCCATTCGAGATGTTCTCGGAAATGCTCAGAGCCATGCGTACCATGTGCCGTGTCAAAGTGCTTGTCCTCGTGTCCGCATAATTCGTGCTCAATGCCATGTGGAGCACCGTGCGATCACATCCCTTGCTCTTTGCGCTGCCAGAAAAGGCTCAGCTGCGGTCATCAATGTCCTTCCGTGTGTGGGGAGGCTTGCCCATCCGAAAAGTACTGCCAAGTTTGTAGCAGGTTAGAAGAGATAAAGAATATTCAAGTGGACTTCATCTTGGGCAAGACTTACGAAGAGATTGATCTGGACAGCAACCCATGCATCTTCCCCCACTGTGGCCACTTTTTGACAATTGAAAGTATGGATGGTCAAATGAATATGCGAAAGCATTACACTATGGATGATATGGGACGGCCAGTCGCGCTTGCGTCGTCTGCGACACCCTTTTCGATCGAAGATATTCGCTCATGCGCAACCTGTCGAGGTTCATTGCAAAATATCTCTCGCTATGGACGGCTCGTTCGACGTGCATTATTAGACGAGTCTACCAAAAAGTTTATTCTGTATGCGAACGAACAGTACCTGCCCCTGGCTCAAAAGTTGCTCGTTTGCACTGAGCAGCTACAGGCCAGGACAGAAACAGTTTCGCTTGCGATGGCAGTCTTTCCGCCTTCCAGTAAGATCTTGATCGAAGGGCCACTGGAAAAGCAGGTGCGGTTGATGAACCAGCATATGACGAAAAGTATGGGCCGCTGGAAGGCTCTGCTAGCTCTCCGACAGAGCATTGTGGTTTACAAAAAGAAGGTCAATCTAGAAGAGCAACCCTTCAACAAAGTACGAAACATGGTGGAGAACGCTCGTCGGAGGAAAGCTAAAACGGGGCAATTTGAGTTTGATAGCAATGTCTTGCAATTCAAAGGTTATCTGCAAGCTTTCGCGCTGCTGCTGCGACTGGATACGGCTTTGCTCAGCGACTTTCTTCAGCTGAGGCAAAAGATTCGCTTCGGCTCGAACCAATGCGAGCTTCGTCTCAACCTGGACCAGAATAGGAAGGAATGTCGGTCACTCATCGAAAGTGCTACCAGTTCGCATCGAGTCACCCAGCAGGTCGAGGGCCACATCTTTCTTGCTCAGTTCTGTGCGCTGGAATTGCGGAACAACACGGACTCCCAGAATGCCTCCGCCCTGCGGCAGGAAGGTCTCGCTGCTCTCGATGCGGCGGAAAGAGTCTGCTCTGTCTTCCCTAGCCAGACACGAGGACTTGACACGGAGATCGAAGGTACGCGGAGCATGATTAGGGGTGAAGCCTTCTACACTCCCATCACGAATGCAGAGCGCATGGACATCTTAGAGGCCATGTCGCGAGAGTTCACTGGAACAGGCCACTGGTACTATTGCGCTAATGGACATCCTTTCACGATTGGAGAATGCGGAGGTGCGATGGAGGTTTCTACATGCCCTGAGTGCGGTGCCCCTGTTGGGGGGGAAGACCATCATGTTGCGGCCGGAGTGACTCATGCACGGGACCTGGAGGAAAGACTGCGTAACTAGGGGAGCGCCTGATTTATTTGCTATTTCTTGAGATTTATTTTGGGACTTTCCAAGCTATGGTGCACAGAATGGAAACCACACGGTAGCCCAGTCAGAACAATTTGAGTTTTTGTTGACGATTTCCACTTCTAAATGTAGAACCAACCGTTGGCAGAGTATGAGCCATGAGAGCGAGGATATGGCTTCGAGCGGTACCTGGTAGACGAAGTAGGTGAAGGTATTGGCCAGTGGCCCTCAGAGATGAGTCCATGCCCCGAGTATGAAGCTACTGAACAACTTCAGATGGGTTGGAAGGGCTGCCATTGCAACGCATGATAATGGTTCGCGTTTTGCTGTGTTCAGCGACGGAGACTATGGCCTTTTCGCCTATTGACTTGGGGGAACGACATTATCTAGATCTTGAAGGCCCCGTTTACAGGTAGTAGTAACCTAAAGTTGTATCGCTGACAATGGGGCTAGCGTAGACGTTCGAGTTCCAAGGGACGTGCTCCCTTGGTATATAACCCTATTTTCTTACTGTGGCCTACGCGTCTGATGCCACGATATTTTCCAATACGAGTACTGGGGCCTGGAATGTACCCCTACACCTTTCAAGTTGAGTCTATGCTCTCAGTACATGACACCCATCTCTTTAGCAACATGATTTCGAGAGGTGCCTAGTAGAAGGTATGGGCCGACCACCTTTGCTCGCGGAAATGCAAGAGGTTTCATTGAATGTATCTATTCGCGCCCCGATAGAGACAAGATACGAGAGGGGAAGATATCTGAGAGGGCACCAGGCTCAAAAACACCAACACAAGCGGTACCGTTGAATAGGCTGACATACAAGGAACGAAGATCCATGAAACAGCAGTAGAATGACAAAGAAAAAAAAATTGTAGCGTCACAGGATGCCCGCGGGTGTTCAAGATCAAAACAAGAGAAAAGAGAAAAAATACAGCCGTCCCGTGATAACGACGAACGTCAACAACGCCAGTTCCCTATCGTAATGCTGGATGACCAAAAAATGCCGACCGCGCTATGCAAAGGGGTTTCGAATGGGAGAGAAGTATCATAAGGGTGTGGGGTATCGTGAATGGAGGTAAAGGAATATCGAATAGAGACAAAGTAATGAAGGAAAAGGAAAAAACCCTGTGAAGAATTTTGACCAAGACCGAGACGGACCATTATGTCCGGGGTCAGTCTGAGTCTGAATCTGAATCGTTACTGCCAGAGATCTCCCGGCCGCGGCGGTTCACCAAGACTCGCTTGCCGAGTTTGTTACCGGGGATGTCATCTCGAGCAGCACCGAAATCAAGGACCTGGGAACCAAGATTAGTCAATGTTTTTGCATTCAAAATGAGCGTTTTGGTGGGGAGGGAGGAGGGGGAGGGAGAGAACTTACCTCAATGTAAGTGAGGGCTTCACGCTGTACGGCAGCTACACAACGTCTATCGTTGAATTTGACCTGCCAGACACCGCTGAGGTCGGTGAGAAGGTCTCTGATGCAGTTGCCGGTGCTGACATCCCACATCTTCAGAGTCCGATCTGAACCGGAGATGACCTTTTGGCCATCGTGCTGGAAACAAGTGATCGCACCGGTATGAGCACTCAGGGAGTTCTTGCAATGTCCATGTTCAGGATCCCAGATTCGTAGAGTGGAATCAGCGGCGGCAGAAACGAGGTGGTCATTTTGAAGAGCGAGAAGACCAACCAGGGAGCTGTGCCCTTCGAGATTGTAAAGCAGAGACCCGTCATCCAGTGACCACACTTTGACCATATGGTCCATGGCGCCACTGATGCAGCGATTGCGCTTGTGGTCCAGAACAACACTATAAACTTTCAAGGAGTGCCCTGTCAATGTGTGCTGGACCTGTCCCGTAGAAATCTTCCACACTCGGACCGTGCAATCGTAGCTACCACTGACTAAAGTGTCTCCATGTGCCGCGATAGCGCGAACAGAGTGAGTATGACCAGTCAATACACGCACAAAATAAGGACAGTCGAAGTCATCCGCGGCAGGAGCCGGGGGGTTGTACGGAGCGTCTCCGGGCTTGGGAAGCCTCCAGACTCGCAAGTTCGAGTCGCGAGACCCTGTGATGATCAAGGGCTGTTTGGGCATCATGAGAGCACGGCCATGGGCGTCCTTGCCGATCTCAGTGGGAAGGACAATTTGCAAGCAGCGAACAGTGGAGGTATGCCCAGAAAAGACCTGCGTGCATCGTGCCTTTTCGATGTCCCATACACGAACGGTTCGATCAGTGGAGCCAGAGACCAGGGTATTGCCGTGATATTCCAGAGCCCAAACACCACCCTCGTGGCCCTCGAGGGTGGCTTTCAAAGCACCGGTCTTCGTGTCATAGACGTTGATGTTGGTATCATCGCTGCCGGTGAGAATCTTATCTGTGTCAAACTGAAGACAGGTCACAACGTGACGATCGTGGGCGCGGAAAGCAATGTGGCGAGGCTTCACTTCCGGGTTCATCCAGCCGCGGCGAATAGCATGCTGTCGGCGATAAAGTGCCTTGTACAGGTACAGACCGCGGAGGGAAGGGAGGCCGATTTCAGGGTATGGAACCGCTGCAGCCGCAGCGTTGGCAGCGGCATATGGTGCCTCCGACGCAGCAATCTCTCTTTTCCACTCGGGCTCAGCCTGGTCGCTCCCGCTAGATGAGATCTTGCGCTTGGCAAGCTTTCGACTTGAGCCTCGTGAGTTGGCTTTCCTTTTCGGCCGCCTGTTGGGCGCCAAGGGCAGCGATGAGGGTCTGTCGGCTCCAGTGGACGATGACGCGGCGGGTGACGATCCCTCTTCGTCCGCTCTGACGAACGTAACGCTCAAATCCTTCTCGAAGTTTTCCACATTGCTGCATTGCCAGCCCCATCCCTCCTTGATGGCCCGCTCTAGCTCGCCATCAGAAAGAACATAGCCGTCTCGATCAAGAAGTTCTTTCCATGTCTTCTCGTCCGAGTTGATGATATGACGCCATTTCTTTGACACTTGTGCAGCTCGACACATTGTTTGGACATCGAAGTATTTTACGATGTTCAGACTCAGCTCAAGAGGAAGGAATGAGAGAAAATCGCATTTGAGGGTGGGATTCACCACGTCGGCCACGAAGTGAAGGGTAGGCTTAGGACAGCGCCGAAGAAATTGGTACATGAGATAACTCTTCATCTCTTCGGGAATTGAATCGAAGAACTCTAAAACCCGAGGCATATCCAACAGAGATGGCGGTGATCGAGATTTGGAGGACCTGGAACGAGAGGGGCCTGTGTCATTTAGTCTAAGCGTCTTTGAAGATCGGCCCACGTTATGGTCAAGGCTAGAGTCCGTATCTATATCAGGGTCTTCGGATTCGAAGGAGGAGTCCCCATGCAAAGCGTTCATGGCTGCCACTGGCGACAAGCTAGGACTTGGCAAGCACATGTCCTGGGCCATAGCATTATCGATTGCAGAAATGGTACCTTGGAGGCCTAGCCTAGGTTGAGAGGTGTTCTCCGAGACCGTGAATGACGAACTTTGGTTGAATGAGGCGGGCTCAGATGACTCTTCACCAGTTGGAGCCCCTGCAACATTTCGGTTTCCAGTGTTCTGTGCTTGTCCAGAGGCGTGCGAAGTGACGGACGGGGCTATTTCAGAAGACAGCGGGGAGCGAAGTAGGGTTTCTCGGCGTGGGTAAGCGGCGCTGTGCACCCGCTGCCTGGAGGTGGGGGCATCTCCAATACTTCCTACACTTTGTTCGGTCTCAGGAGTGGCCAGGCCGGCTGGTGAAAGATGAGTGGATGTCGATGTACCATTGCGGGTACGCCGTGCTACGGGCTCGGAAGGGACTCGGGTTGCACGCGTCCGAGGGAGGATCGATGGTCGAGGGTCAGGGATCGAGACTGGGGAGACGGGCCGATTCTGATAATTTGAAGAGTTCATCCGAGTGATCGCCCTCGGGGCTGCCAGCCGACGGGGGAGGTTGCGTCTTCGGAGGCAAAGGAGCTCACGGAACGAATAAGGCCATTTGATGATTGGAGGGCGTCGTTCCTTTCCAGCAGCTATTTCCGAGTTAGTTTGTGTCTCTTCGGCCAGGCACAGATGACTGATGAACAACGTACCTCCGTGGATGCCGCGGCGGCATCATCTGGCTCGTTGAACACGACTGACTTGTCCCCGATTCTGAACTTAAGGTTTCGCAGTGAAGCGGGTGTTGGGGACGCAGCTAGGGGATACTGCCGGGCATCGAGATCCTTGATAGCTTTCGGTGGTTTGATGATCAGGGGAGGAAACGAGGTAGTAGTGGTAGTTGTGGTGGTGACGACTGTGGTGCGAGTGGTTGGGGCGAAAGAGAATTGCCCGAGGGCAGAGGAGCCCTGGTTTAGACCATCGTATTGATCATGGCCCTCCATTTCGCGTTGTTGAGGAAGCAGGCCAGACTCAGAGTGAGAAGTCGCATGAGAGGGTGGAAGGGACGCGTTTGGGGTAGGAGTTTGGTCGAGGTCGGTGATGTGGAGGGCCCGGGGAAGTGAAGACATGACTGGGCACACGGGTGGGGAGGGGCGAGTTTGCGAGTTGGGAGGCAAACCATCACCCGAAATCAATACCAAAGGAATCAGATTCCAGATCCCGACGGGGGATTTAGCATTAGAGCCCACACACGATCGAGGGAATCATCAGAGAGAGGCGAGGAGTTGTTAGAGCATGAACGCAAGGAAGACGGAAAGGGTGAAAGTGGCTGACAAGGGAGGTTTTCTTCCCTCTGGGGCGGAGAACAACAATTTCATCGGCCGGTGTCATATGGCCACAACGTGCACCTCTAGCTTTACCGGATAAGAATCTATGATGGAACTAGTTGAGTTCAGTATAATCTACTTAGGTCTGCTAGTTTACGTGCAGGAAAGAAATAAAGGATGGTTGAGCATGACTTCGTGTTGAAGCTATCCGTTTCTATCGCTTGAATACACACCAAGCTACCATTGTCCTACCATGGCCTCGTGGCTCGTCATTTCCTCTAATTCATCCGCCCCCGACCAATTTGCCCATTAGTCGTCATCGTCCCAATCTTGCAGCAAATGATGTTCAAAGTGTGCCAACTTGGAAACTGGGTCTCCGCGCCTCAGGGCTGAAATGGGGCCTAGTTGTGGCATTTGTGCTGAGTGGCGTATCTGGGTTTTTCTCCGGGTCTACTGCTGCAGCACCTGACGTGTTTCATTCTTGTTGCCCCTTTGCCTCTCAACCGATTCTCATAGTGGGATAGATTTCCCAGGAGCAATCATGTCTGGATAGGACAGATGAGAATAGAGGGCAGCCGGTTTCTACCAGATGCGATCGTCATGACAGGGAACTCAACCTGTTTACTGTGGAGAGCGGGAGTCCACACGGTCGCAGAAAGTACTTGACGCCCCATAGTGGATTGTATGGCGGCTCAAGTACTCCCCGCCACAAGTCACGTGTGGTGGGGCACCTTGTACACGGTAAGCAAAATCTGGGAATCTGGAAAAGCGGAAAGGGTGGAAAGTACTCCGTAACCGGCACCCAGTCACCGAGGTTCAGGCAGCGGGGCTGGCCTATTACCGGCGAACCTTGTGGAGGCCTTCCAAGCTTCTTCCTGAGCTTCCATCCTTGTTTCGTGGCAGAAACAGGGATGCAAGGTCGTGAATGCCATCTCTGGATTTCAGCCCCCCAAAGAAAAGCAAACATGGAATGGATGCCGCAGGGGTGGCGCACACCCTTGGATTCGCCAGCTGGAGGTACCCTGCGTGTCACCTGCAGGTACCCAAGGGTCTTCTGCTGTCCAATCCAGATCTCGCATGCCCAGGGTGCCCGGCGTGAGTCTGGTCTGGAGCCTGACACCACGAAGGACCCTGTGCAGGTAATAATTAGTTAGCCATGGACTGTGGGTACAGCTTAGTTAGTAGCAGTGTTGGTAACCAGTAGTAGTAATCCCTGGTGCTTACCTAGGTAAGAGTGGCCCACAATATGAAAGTCTTTTCCATAGCTTGAATACGAGATCGATGCTTGCTTCTCATTCAAGTAATGATTCCGAGTCAAAGTATCGCATCCTGAGGCGCTGGTACCTACAACCTTCCGGATTGGCCATAGACCAAGTAAACACGAGCAAGGAAGCCCCCTAGTTCAACCTGTCCCTGCCTTCCCGTCCCCTGTGAATGTGTGAATTATGGCTCGGAGAAACACTATAAGTACTTCTAGTAGTATTCAATAGAGTAATACCTACAGAATTCTCAACTTGAAATCATTCCAGTTTAGATCCACAGGAAATGTACTGCAAGGACCACGGATTGGGGGATACCTATCTCCATTGGTTGGTTCAGGTTCAGGCTGATTTTCGAAACTCATCGAGTATGAGTCTTTTTGCAGTCTTCATCAGTGGCTCGCCACAGCGTCAGCAGCGCTTGCTAAATGTCGAGCAGCCGCCCGCGGGCACCTCCATCTCCCATTGATTCTTCGAAACGCCCCAAAACGAGTTAAGGGCAATATTCGTCCGCTGAGCTCTATCAGATGAATGGCCCATCCATTCTGGGGGAGAGGTCAATCTTTATGCGAAGTTTCCGCTTCTTCCACCGGATTATTGTATTTATTGATAAGGTATACCTCGCTTCAAATCTTGCGATCGAGCCGAAAGATTAAGTTCGAGTGCGCAAAACAAATGCGCGCCCCCTCCCCCGGAGCCAAAATTGGAGGAAGCTCTGTCAAGGGACTTATAACTGCTGGCAATGCAAGCAGCCGAAGATGAAGCGTGTCTTTGATTTGATTGACGAAGCTGTGTGTAAAAACTGCTTCCAACGCGACTCTCCATGCATAAGCCAAGAACTGCTTGAAGTGGCCTCGCTCTTCGCGGAGTACAGTATAGTAGACGAGGGATGCGAGAATGCACTTACTCCCATATCCCTGACCTCGTATATCTTCCGGATAAGCATTCTACAAGCTCTCTCAGCTTCCTCCTGATTGCCTCAAGTTCACTTGTCCATATCCCCTGTATCTTGGAATATCGACTGAGCAGCATCTCAGTCAGCGTTGACGCTCGTCCTTGCTTAGAGAGTAAGAATAGGAGTGATGATTGATGGCAGATCAATATCTCAGTGATCAGACTATGATCGAGCAGACGCAAGAGAAGATGGTTGCAATGAATCGCATAAATGCAGATGCATTCAGTGCAAAAAGCGCTGATCTATTGGGCCGACGGCTTGCGCTCGCAGACAACCCTCTCGGCGGGCCTTCGCAGCAGACAAGGCGAGCACGTATTCAAGAAGCAGGGCCAGGTAATGAAACACCGGGCCTCAAATGACGAGAGCGTCCTGATGCTGAATATTCGCTTTGGAGGCGTGAAAATTGATAGTAAGGGTACAAGGAAAGAAGCCCCTATAACTTGACCGCAAGTCTCGCTCATTCAAAGACCGTGCACAATCATCGGTAGAATAGAAGGACAGATTCGTGGCTTCCCACTCACATATCTACCTCTCTCCTATGCCTGCTGCTGACAGCCATGATACTATGAAGCGCCTGTACCGCAGGTACCGTTCGATGAAGGCACCGGCGTTTTCCAGGTGCACGGAGGATATCCCAAGCTGACTGTCTGATCAGAATATTTGGCATCCAAGGCGCAGACTTAGATTTCTTTGATAGCTTGATGAGAATGATTTCGAGTGGAGGAGGTCCCAAGTAGATCATCAAACAGCACGCTAGTAGGGTATCCATTTGAGGATGCTCTGGCTCTCGCCACTCGAAGCCTTGGATTTGATCCACAGATCCAAAAAAAAAAAAGAAAAAACACGAACTCAGTAGCTACGCAGCAATGCAAATTGTAGGCACGGCACTGGATACGGTGCAAAATATGACCGAAATTTTCACATGCGACAATGGAAAAGGCCTTCGAGTACGGAGTATTCTTAAATAATAAGGGTGATCATAAGGCCAGGCCTGGTGAGGAACGCAAGAAATTGGGTCGATACTGTTCGGGAACGCTATACGGAGCACTGCCGACCCTGCTGAAGATCCTCTGCAACAAGCCTCCACACATTCCAATGAACTTGAAATCATGATCCATGGTTTGAAGATGTTACTATTGTATTTGGCCTCCACGATGATGTATGAAGGACCGAACTATTGAGACACCATACGGCGCTAGTGAACCCGACCATTGGCCCTAGCCGCGTTGCTGGGTGCCGAATGGAGGATCCCAAGGGCTCCAATCAGTGGAGTCTAGATGTTGGTTGCTGTGCCTTGGATTGTTTCATAATCTGGTGACTAACAGAGAGGCACATTTGTACGACTGCGTATTCTTGGGACTCAATTGACAGTCATGCTCCCAGGATTGTAGCCCCTTTTACAAGACCCAGAACTGGGAAATATGAGACGTAGAAAACAGCCAAGTAGTATACCAGGAGCTGCATTAGACTTGTTCACGGCGAATGAATCCGCTCGCAAGAATCATGACTTGGATCAATAAGACTATCCATCACACTTGTTTCCGAGAGTGTCACGGCAGTCACCAAGGGGCCCTGCCGCGAAAAACACGATTTGAAAACAGCAGGACGGAACCGCCCGCGGAAGAGCCGAGTACCGAACGCGTTTGATTACCTTGAGCAAAAGTCGCGATGAGCTGGGTCTCAGGGGAGAATCCGCAGATCCGATCGATAGGAATCAAGGACATGCGTGCCCCAAGCATCAGAGGCTCTTTCTTTTAAACCCGTCGGATAGGTACCTATTCTTCAAGTTATTTTAGAAACCCAGGCAACTGGGTCTGGCTCCGTCAAACTGTCAATAGCGCAAATTTGTCTGCAGATTCTCTATTTTTGGTGTACAATGTCTCAGCCTCCTCCGCAGCCTGTGAGGAAATGGAGGCCACCTTCGGTGGTGAAAGTGGCTTCGTCGGCACACGAAGTATGGCAATGCAGGGGAAAACAGGGCGATCATTGCCTAAACACCACGGGAGGAGCAACAAAGGCTGGGAGGCGAGTATTTGTCACAGCTCCACGCTCCAGGGGAGAACCCTCCGCACGGCGGTCATAAGCTCGCGATCGTGTCTCAGGAAGCCCCGAGGATTTGGTACGATAACAGCGATCGAGGCTATCGATCGGCTTCGAGACGGCAGACGAATGAACGGAGCCACGACCCGAGATCCATTGGGCTTCCTCTTTTGGGAGTAGAGTCTCCATACTCGACATGGAATTAATAGAAGAGGTCAGCCCCAGCTCTTTCACGCGCCAGATCTTTAATGAGGGACGGAGCACGCGGCAGTGGAGACGGTCGATAGTACATTATCATTGCCTCGTCAGAGGCGCCAAATAGTATCGCCTTCAACTGGGACCCGATTAGGCCGCGATTCGTCTGGCTCGGAATACGTGAGAAAGTCAGGTTTACTACCAACAGGGATGCGAATAAGACTTATGCAGGGCTCATTCCCCGTATATTCCCTTCTATTTTCCGGTCCACGTGCGAATTAAGGTTGTCTCGCGACACGAGTTCTGCAAGGGAATCATACCGAGCACGAGCACGGTATGTAGATAATTCAAATAGGTGAGTAGACCAAGTTGCGTATTTCAGCAGTAATTGTAATACCCCGGGAGACGAGCTATTGTTGCCGTCTAATTTTCGATTGTCCGGAAAGTTTAAACCCAAATCGTGACCGAAAAAGCTCCTCAAATTTAGCGCCGGCCATTTCAAGGTCAGGGGAATTCAATACTCCAGCTTTCAGGAGCGTCACAGGACTCAAAATGGCGGATGTGGCTCAGCAATTCGATATCACATTCTAGAATTCCAGCTCACCTATGGAGGTTTCTTGTGGGGGGGGCGCAGCGCGTCCCCAAGTACCTGTCGATACCTGCCCTTCTCAGAGCGCCTCGGACCTCTCACGTCCCAGGCCAGTTGCCCATCGAGCGCGGCCTGCAGGAGACCGGGGAGTTGGCGTGCAGCTTACCACCAATGGCAATGTTGAGATGTTGACCACTCCACCGGGCGGAGATGAAACCTTGGCCTGTGCCCCCCTATCGAATGCAATGCGAAAATAAGTAGAGCAAACCCAGGAAGCTAAATTGAAGAACATCGCCGAAAAGGGCAACGATCCAAGTTAGTCGACGCCCTCTCCAGAGTGGGCCGCCCCTTTCGATTGAAGCCGTGAAGGGATCTCTTAAGACTTTCGGTTTCCCCCTCGACGTTCCACGAATCTAGTCGCTCCTTTTAGACCCGGTGAATTCTGTCACTTTTGGTACCCCTGTAATCCTAGGGTTCCCTTTCATTTCCTCCGTTCTTTTCGTTTCTCATCCATTTTGATCCTTTTCGGTTCGTGGTGGAGTCCGTGACTTGTACTCCGTACCGCGTGTTGCTGACCCTCTTAGTGGAGTCTGTTCTACTTTCCGATTTCTCCCAATCGACTTTGGCGGTAGCCGCTTAAAGCCGCTTAAATTACCGACGCTCTCCTTCCCTCCAGATCTCGATCCAAGAGTCCCTCTACTTATCGATGAGGAATTGATTTCGTCTACACGCAATGGCCTCCCGGAACAGGTCGCCAATGCATATTCCGATTCGCACCTCCAGCCGGGCCAACCATCTGGCCCCCGCCAATGGAATGGAGACTCAGGCCAATTCCGAGTCGAACTATCTGGATCGCAACACTTCCAAGGCGCAGCGCATTCTGGGTACCGATTTCCCCATACCTAGCAACTCTCACAGCCAAAGGAGCCAGAGCAGCAGCAGATGGGAAAAGCCTCGATCCCGTCGCTCGAGCGTCCGAACACCCGACAGCTCGAGGCAACCACCGAATACAATGTCCGCAACGCCCTTGTCAACTGATCGAATTGCCCCACCGCAAAGCTTGAGAGTGCGAGCATCTTCCCCACTACTCGGACAAGAGTATACGTCGCAAGATGCAGCTCCTCCTGTCCCGAGGTTATCGACGAAAAAGCTCCAGCACAGTGGATCATCCTCAGCCCTGTTTTCCTACTTCTGCTCTAAGGAAAAGAAGGACGCCCCCCAAATCTACACCAACTACTCCGAAAAAGCCAACCACTCCAAAAGGATTACAACCTCGAGTCCAGAACGAATGGGGGGTTGACCCCCAAGTGACCTATAAACAAGCTCCGATTGCTCCCAAGGAGAAGGAGTCCAAAAGAAAATTACGCCCACCCCGCATTGATTTGTCTCTTCTTTTTCCAAAACCACGGAATAACCCCCCAAATCCTCCTCTTTTCTCCCCCCCAACGGATGACCAGTTCACCTTCTCCTGTTTCGACTGTCGTCCCCGATCTTCCTGGAATTGACCATCCTCGGTTTGAACCCCCTCTATTTGACCATGCAAATGTATCGACGAGTCGGCGATTGGGAGAACATTTGCCCACTCACACTCCGGCCGTCCAGAATGATCTACCGAAGATAGCTGATCGGTCTGACTTGATATCAATTCCTGAGTCCAAATCTGGCGAGTGGTCTGGTGCTCCATTCGAGCGGACGGTCGGTACCAGCGAGATTGACATCGCACTGGATCGGTATGCAGGTTGTCGATCCATCATAAGTCGCTCTAGCACATACACCATAAGCCGTGAACATTTGCAAGAACCGCAACCACCGCCTGATCCGAGATCTCATACGTCTCGTGAATTGACTCCGTCATATCAACCCTCAAATCACCAATACAAGTCAAGTTTCTCGACGGAGGCCAACCATATCACTGATGCCCCTGCATCTTCGTGGCGTGGAAAGAACAGAAGCAATTCTCAAGGGGCGAAGAGTGGTCTGAGTGGAAAAAGTGGGATGACCCGGAAAAGTAGCAAGAGCACCCTTCAGAACAAAGACTTGCAAAACACGAGTGTCCTCTGCCTTTCATCCTCGGACGACGAGAGCGAAGAAGACCTTGATACCCCAACCGCGGAGCTCCCGACGTTCGATAAATCTAGGGACTATAGAGATAGCGTGGCAACATACGGAGAAGAGCCTGAAGTTTATACTGCTGCTACCGCACTGGCCGGAACATCACATCTGCTGAAGATGAATTTGGAGAATTTAACATCTATGAGGGGTGAATCTCGACGTACGACACGCCAGCAGCATACTCGTACTCACAGCTCGAACCCTTCCACATCCACTACAAGGACAGGAAGCACGAGCCGTCGAATCAATAAGTCTCCTCGGACTAGCGCTATCCCGGCTATTCTCCAACCACCGGATCGTCCAGCTCAGAAGCCCGCGCGTACTGCTAAGGAATCAAGGGATATCAACCGAAGGAGTCGGGTGATTGCCGTAACCCGGCAAGAACAGGACCTTCTGGAAGCGATGCGCCAGCGACAAGGCAAGATCACGCCCAGCATCTTCAACTACAATCCCAATACCGAGTCCGATCATGCTTCGGTACTCTCGGGGCCTTGCCGCGATTCCTTCTGTGGCTCTGACACATCTTTCCTGCGCCTCAGCGCTGCCCTCCCGCCCTCAGCACGGATGGACCAAGGTGCACATCTCTTGGATAAGGACGGTACCTCTTGGCAAAGTTCTAGTTCTGATAGTGAGCAGAAAACTGGTAACTCGGTGGCGTCATCCCAGTACAGCATCCACTACTCCGACTCAATCCCATCGCCTGCCACCAGCGCCGCGTCTCCCATCACCCCTACTCTGCCTCTTCACCGTATGTCGCCACTTCCTGGCCCTAAGCCGCCACCTCGCGGCCCCCCCCACCGGCCATTCCAGATGATCAGAAGCGGCATTCTCGGCGCCGCACCGACAGCAGTGATGCGATCATGCTGACGGAGAACGGCGATGAGACGCAGGCCAAGCAAGGCATTCCAATTTGGCCCGTCGACCTTGAATGGAATCGCGACCACGGCAACTTGGCAGCAGTGCATTGAATATTTTCTTTTTAGCTGAGCCTTAGAGCTCAGATCTGCCTTCTTATACCCATCGTTCTTTTTTTAATATATGACGCGCCTCTTTACCCCGGGGAAACAGGCCCCAATCACTTACTGAACAGACCTTTCTCCTTACATGATGTCCTTGCCATAATGGAGCTACTTATGCTTTGGCCCTTCTCGACCTTGCTGATGGGAGGCCTTGTATTTCCTTGTCACGAACACCTCCAATTCCTGTACATACTTCCCATGTCTCCCATTATTCCCTTCCTCACAGGTCTTCATGGGCCTCGATACCCATTTTTCAGAACTTTGATGTATTATCCATCTGGTGGCTTCTGGGCTGAAACAGAATACCTTCCTCTGGACTTCATATTTCTCAATTCATTCACTAGAAGAGGTTCCCGCTCCTGATTGATATCTCTTCCAGAATAAGTTAGGTGCAAGATATAGTGCCAGAATACATCAAGCGGTTATGCAAGATGCTTGAGGTATCCTTTCCTTGACACTTTGCGCAGTTTGAAATAGGTTTGGTCCGGCTATGGGTCACCTACGTACATACGCGGTAAGTACTCACTAACAAGCAGGGCATTTTAATTCTCAAATCAAGAACATTATCCTTGTTCCAGTAAATTCGCCTACCACTCAGATGACGACTACTAGTCCCACAAAAGCCATTGTTGTGGGTACAGTCGAAGTTTGCTACTATCCACGATGTGCTTATGCCCATGGTGCACGATGACAGGCTGCTCGTCGAACCCTAGGCAATTGGCGTCAACTGTGCAGACTGAGAACACTCGAGTTTGGGGCTGCAGAGTCGGATGCCGAATGCGATGCGATTATGCTGGTCTTGTGGATGAGGTCAGCCGGAATGTCTAAGTTTCGTGATAGGCAATCGAGTTGCTGGCTTAATCCATACTCGTTAGTATCATGATAATACATTCAACAGTAGGCATTGGGCTGGAGGGAGCCCTGGAAGGCTTGGACATATAGAACAGGGAAAGGTCTATGGAGAAACGCGAGTTTATGCGATCTAAAAAGGAACTTGGATATGTTATAGGCCTGCATGGTCATTTAGGAGGTTGCTCCGGTTGATATATTAGTCTCTTTAGAAATTTCTTTTCCGTATGCGAAGAGTCCTACTCGAGATTCAACACCCCAACGCAACAAGTTATTATGAAGTGGCCGAGCTTAACTTGAAAGCTATCATGACCGAATTTCCTATTTTGCAGGTGATATGGTCAACGATCCCAATGAGTCGAAAGTATATGCTTCATCATATTGGGGATACACAGAGTTGGATGTACTAGTTCAAGGAAATTTGAAGATGTACCAGGAGCCGACTATGTTGGCACATTCATAGCCGGCAAAATAGATGTTCTCTGACTCGAGCTTTTTATGGGACCAAATTTTATCACAATCATTTCTCCCAAGCCATGCACAGCAATCATTGCCGCCGATTCGGATCGCACCCGCCAATCAGGCGGCGGATTGGGCTTCTGTCCGGATTAAGACTCAAGATAACTTGATTTGTACCACGAAGCAGTGATTTCTGGACCCTCAGACATGCCAATTGGTGAGATTCGTCTATCTTCAAGGTTGGGCATTTTTGGTTTGGTACACAGCATTAGGCCCCGAGCCTGCCGGAGGAAGCGGGCTCGCACACGAGTAGATCAAAGCAAAATTAGAGAGTATAGGGTACAGAATAACTAATTGGCATCTTGATCGGGAAGTTGAAACAGGCCTTCGTCATAGGCGCAGCGGTCTTTTGCAGTTGTTTTGTAGATCGGATGGCCCTTTAAGGAAAGAGACCTTATGGTTGACGTCAAAGCCCCAGATAGCCCATCAGCTCCCTTGCCCCAGCAAATTCTTCATTTAAATTCTATCTTCATACCCAAAGTATGATCTCACTCTAACCTAATTGACTACTGAAAACAGATTGCTTCGACCGGATCGAATTGAGTGTGGTTCACGAATCAGCTTGACACCTGACGGGGAACCTCGAGAATTTCTCCACACCGCCGATTAGCGCTTCGCTCTACCCCAGATTCGCTCTCTGGCAACTGCCCCTTTTCCAGCCCCAAGTTCCAGGAAAGAGCTCAGCGTGGAATCGTCGCTTCTTGTTGTGACGGTGACAAATTTGGGTGACAACCCCCGCGGCGCGGCTTCGTTTTCGAGTTTCAGCCACCCTCGCACACAAAGATCCACTGTGGTCGTCAGCCGAAACCCAGCTCCTGCAGCCACCAGCAGATCGCCAGGAGTTCCCTATCTCAGCTCGACGCGTGGCTTTTCATTGCATTTTTGAGCCTTCACTTCCGAACGCTCGCAACTTCTTTCTCCCACCTCACTCCCACGCAGTCTCCTCTTCGAGTATTTGTTTTGGCCATCGCCTCGGGTCTGCGAAGATCTCGTCCACATACGCGCGACGCCAACAGAGATAAGGGGTCACGATGGGAGATCGCACACAACACCAGCCATCATGGCGGCGAACAGCGAAGCAGAATGTCCCATGGATTTTAGTACGTTTTCATGGGCTGCACAGAATCGCACAGATCAGGTTTCGACCGTGATTGCTGACATGCTCTATCTTCTGTATAGGTGACAGCGCAGACCACTGGATTTGTGCTGGTAAGTGGTTTCTCTGAGGAGACACCCTTCATTATTCATATACGCTTCAAAGCCTAACATGCACTCCCTCCGCGAATTAGTTGTCGCATTATTCACGAGTCATGCCGCCAGCAGGTGGTAAACGATACCTCACGTCGACCGCAGTTGTCTTGAACGAAGTTGTCAAGTTGGCCCTGTCGTTGACGATGGCCCTTTATGATGTTTCAAAGACCGCACCAACATCGATGCCCGCAACCTCTCTATTCTCCTCCCTCACAAGCTCCATTTTCGCTGGCGATAGCTGGAAACTTGCCATTCCTGCCGCCCTCGGTGTCCTAGCCAACTCATTACAATACACAGCGCTGTCCAACATGCGAGCCGCAGCATTTCAGGTTTCAGTGCAGTTGCAATTCCTCACCACCGCAATCTTTGGATTGGTGGTTCTGCGACGAAGCATCGCACCTCGCAAGTGGGGTTTGCTATTGTTGTTGGTCATTGGTGTGGCTTTGGTGCAGATCCCCGACGCCAAAAAGGATGGAATGGGGCTCAATGAGGAAAGTGCGAACCACTTCCTCGGTCAGTCCAGGAATGGAAGGAAGTAAAGGGGTCCACTGGCAATTTCTATAAACGCTCAGCGACATACGAAGGCATCGAGGAAGATATTCAGACTGCTGATCCTCACCTGAATGCTATCATCGGCATGCTTGCTATTACCGGCACTGCTCTTGCGTCGGGGCTTGGCGGGGTTTATTTCGAAAAGGTCCTCCGGGATAGCTCGCAGCGCACCTCCATGTGGGTGCGCAACGTTCAGCTTGCGATCTATTCTGTTTTCCCGGCACTTTTCATCGGCGTTGGGTTCCAGGATGGCGAGAAAATCTCCAACGACGGCTTTTTCCAGGGCTACAACTGGGCAGTCTGGGCAACAATTGTACTACAAGCTCTTGGTGGGATCTTGACCACCTTTACTATCCGCCACTCACAGAGTGACCCCAGTTCTTTCGCCACAACCGCTAGTATCATTCTCAGCATTCTATCGAGCGTCTGGCTTTTCGATTTCCAACTCACCACAAGCGTATGTTTTTGAATTTCCCGTTTACTGTCTCACCAGCATGCACTGACCATTATATTTAGTTCGTGGTAGGATCGGCTGCTGTTCTGGTGGCCACTCACTATTACGGCAATCCAATCTTCAACCCTGTCGCGGTCAAAGGTGGCATTCGCCCACCACCCATTCGTGTTGCTGGCCATGAAAAGGGTGTCGAAGGTGAAGGTGAATCCCCTGTAAACCCTCCAAATGACTTCTCTATCAAGCTTCCAACTACCCCATTCCTGTCTGATGGCCTTTCGTCTTCTCGCCCAAATTCTCCTCACCCCGGCCATACTCGGGTAAGTTCAAGTCGGAACCCGAGCGCGAGTAACTACTTCGACAAATGAGGTTCCGGATAAGGAGTCTTGGAATTCACCAAATTGCCTGCAGCCGGATTTATCGTCTTGGATACCTGATGAGCGTGGTCAAGCCAACGACTACACCACATCTCTTTTTTGTAACGTTCTTGCAGAGTGATGAGAGCTGGGTCTGTTTGATACAAGAAATGAGATTCGGGACATGTTTGCATATATACACACGAAGAAATGAGCTTTCCGATATACCCCAGCATTGGTCTCTTTGAATCATTAGTTGTAGCGAGGGCGCGGATTCACCGTCCACGTGCCGTTTGGTGATTGTTCGAGCCTCATCCACCTGACCAACTTCCATCCCTCCTCACTCCTTTCTGGCCATTCCCCTCTATAAACTCTCTAATTATGCGAAGAAATATATTTCTCCAGTCGAGTCCTTTCCAATCCTCGCCCAAACGGCGACGGGTTGACGCCCGATCTGTTGCTTCTTCTCAGAGCAACAGAACTGGACTGATCGACGAAAAGCTCGTCGAAGGGTCCACACATGCAACAGCCGTCGCCTCATCATTCCGAGAATACACCTCATTAGAATCATCAAATGCCCGTGTTCCTGGACATGATTCTCATCTGGATGACTTTGGTGAGTCCAGCCGACTTCTCTTATGGTTTTAGGAACTAATGAGCAGCAGATCTGGAACTGTTAGCCCAAGAAATTGACTCTAGAATGCTTCCTGATGAAGTTTCATCTTATTCAAATTCTACCCCGCAGAATGATATTCTGGGGCCCAACCTTGAATACCAAGATGCCCCCCCAAGTGGAGTCTCGTTTCTTTCAGCGTAAGTTAGCTCCCCAGCAGATAATTCTTATATATTCACCCGGATAACAATCTATAGCAAGGAAAGACCTCGCTCCTGTTCCCACGGTGCAGTCGAGTTCGTCCGATCTCCTGTCCGAATCATCGAGTCCACTGGCCCTTTTCCAAAAGAGAAAGCAGACATCACGGACAGGAAGAGATCATTCAAGTGGCATTGCGTTCGTTGAGAGATCATGCCAAATGCAAGCTGAGGCCCCTTCCTTCTTGCCATTTTCATCTCGTCAAAGCTTGGAGGACTCTCCAGTTGGGCATCAACCCGAAGCTTCTTCGCACTTTGGAAATATCCCAATTTCCATTCGAGGAATCGTTCTAGTGGCTATAGACGACCTTCCTACCCAATACCGATCATTGTTCCCATTCCCACTGTTCAATGCTGTCCAGTCAAAATGTTTCCAAACTGCTTATGGCTCCAACGACAACTTGGTGCTCTCTGCACCAACTGGTAGTGGGAAAACAGTCATCATGGAATTGGCTATTTGCAGATTACTCAGCATCTTGAAAGATGAACGATTCAAGGTCGTGTATCAAGCTCCAACTAAATCACTGTGCGCTGAAAGGTTCCGTGACTGGAATGCCAAATTCTCGTCACTAAATCTGAAATGTGCGGAATTGACCGGCGACACCGACCATACGCATATACGAAGCGTGCAGAATAGCCAGATAATAATCACTACACCAGAGAAATGGGACAGCATGACACGGAAATGGAAAGACCACATGCGGCTGATGCAGCTTGTGAAGTTATTCCTCATTGACGAAGTGCACATCCTGAAAGAGTCCCGCGGAGCGACTCTAGAAGCTGTCGTATCTCGAATGAAGAACATCGGCTCTAATGTACGATTCGTGGCGTTGAGTGCTACGGTACCAAATTCAGAGGATGTTGCGACATGGCTCGGCAAGGACGCAACAAACCAACACGTTCCTGCTCATAGGGAACATTTTGGTGAAGAGTTTCGCCCAGTCAAGCTACAAAAATTTGTTTATGGGTACCAGTCGATGGTGAATGATTTTGCTTTCGACAAGATCTGCGGTTCGAAGTGAGTCTCCAATTTGCTTTCTTCCACGGGTAATGGACACTGATGCTCTATAGACTCCCGGAGATTATTGAAGTCCATTCATGCCAAAAGCCAATAATGATTTTTTGCTGCACGCGCAACTCATCTGTCGCCACAGCCAAAGAGCTTGCTCGAATCTGGGAATTGACAAACCCTCCAGCTCGATTGTGGAAAGGCCCTGATCGATACTTTGAAGTTCACAGCGATGATTTGAAAAGTACGTCTATTGGCTTCCATCGCTGATACTTTCCCGTGCAAATTGCTGACAAGACCCAGCAACAATTGCTGCTGGAGTGGCATTCCACCATGCGGGACTTGGTCCCAGCGACCGCCACACCATCGAGAAAGGTTTCTTAGATGGGCATATTCACGTCATCTGCTGCACTTCAACCCTGGCAGTTGGCGTCAATCTGCCATGCCATCTCGTGATAATCAAGAATACAGTTGGGTGGCAGGAAGGCGGCTGCAAAGAGTATTCTGATTTCGAAATGATGCAGATGTTGGGACGTGCGGGCCGTCCCCAATTCGATGACAGTGCAACGGCCGTCATTCTCACCCGAAAACACCGAGTCGATCACTACGAAAAACTGGTCTCTGGCACTGAAAGTCTCGAGAGTTGCTTGCATCTGAACCTAATCGAACACCTGAATGCCGAGATAGGGTTGGGGAATGTCTCGGACGTGGAAACGGCAACCAAGTGGCTTGCAGGAACGTTTCTTTTCGTGAGACTGCGGCGGAATCCAACCCACTACAAGCTCAAAGAAGGCGCAAGTGAAGAGGACGAGGATGAGTTACTCCGCCATATCTGCGAAAAAGACATAGCTCTGTTGAGAGAATGTGGACTTGTGGAAGCGGAGGCTCTACGCTCGACTCAGTTTGGAGAGGCCATGGCTCGATATTATGTCCGCTTTGACACGATGAGGATTCTTCTTTCACTGGAAGATAAGGCAACTGTATATCAGATTGTAGGTTTTCATTGCTGTTTTCGTGACTGTCTGATCCTGATTGATGCAGCTTGATGCAATCGTGCAAGCCGAAGAGTTCAAGGAAATCCGCCTCAAGGTCGGCGAAAAGTCTCTGTTCAAAGAAATCAACCGCGATCAAGCGATCAGGTATCCAATCAAAGTCGACATCGCACTTCCCGCTCACAAAATATCTCTCCTCTTGCAGTCAGAGCTAGGAGCTGCTGATTTTCCAAGTGGCGATCAATTCCAAAAGCATAAATTTTCGATACAGCAAGACAAGAATCTTGTCTTTTCTCACGTTTCCAGACTGATTCGATGCGTGATCGACTGCCAGATTGCACGGGGAGATTCTGTATCCATTGCTAACGCACTAGAGTTGGCGAGAAGTTTCGGAGCCAAAGTCTGGGACCGTTCACCGCTTCAAATGAAACAGATCGAACAAGTAGGCGTCGTTGCTGTGAGAAAGCTGGCCGCTTCCGGGATCACTAGTATGGAAGATCTTGAAGATGCAGAGCCTCATCTAATTGAGATGACTCTCAGCAAGAACCCTCCTTTCGGAACTAAGTTATTGGCACGACTGAAAGAATTTCCAAAGCTTCGAGTGAACTTGAAAATTATGGGAAAGATCACGGCCAAGGTTAGTATTAAGACACTAGAGCAACTTCCGTGTACTTAATGCTGCCTGCAGGACGCGAGGACCGGAAGGGTCAAGATCCCGTTCCAGTTTGAAGTGGCAACTATGAATGACAAGATGCCAAGTCACTTCCAACGACGTCCCATATACGTCTGTTGCCTAACAGAGACCTCGGACGGAAGATTGATTGACTTCCGTCGGATCAGGTTTGTACTAGCAATGAGTGACATACATTAGCGTTCATATTGACCAGAGTACAGTTCAAACAAGCTCCATGAGAGCCTGCGCGTTGACCTTGTTGCAGAATTGGCAGGCCCTGATCAGTACATCAAATGCCACGTTATGTGTGATGATATTGGTATTTATAAAAAATCATAATTCCCCAATTATCACGACCTGTTCTGACGAAAATTTAGCTGGCACTGCAAGGCAAGCAGAAATCAAGCCCGACATTTCGGGATTCTCTCTACCCAGCGCCAGTGTCAACAAGAATCCGGCCCCCGCTTCAAATTTGACCACCCCTGCCTCCGCTGAAGGTAAATTCCAGGAAACGCCCCAAACCCGAAAGGAAATTGATATATTTGACGGGGATGAACTGGATTTGGATGACTTTCTGACAGCAGGTCCTCAAAATGAACGCAATGAGAAGCAGCAATTCGCGAAGGGCTTCCAGAAGGGTGATGATGATTTCGATTGGTTCTCGCTCGATGATACTCCTCCGCCACATACCCGAACTCTATATCACCAGTCTACAAAGACCCGAGGAAAGAGTAAAGAGTGGATTAAGGGAATGGGGACCCAGGACCACGAAGAAGACGAGCCAAAACGGCTTGCGAATGGAAATTGGGCTTGCAATCATAGATGCAATGACAAAGCAAGGTGAGTGATCAAAACTGACTGTGATGAGCCAATCTGATAAAGGTAGCTGTAAACATTTGTGCTGCAGAGTTGGCTTGGAAAAGCGTCCTAGGCCTCCAAAAAGAAAAGCCACTACCACTGAGAAGGCCGATGGACTCAACCAACTCACAATTCCACTTGCTGTTAGCAAAACCAACTCGACTGCTGACTCGAAGAAGTCTAAAATGAAAGACCAAGGAATTCGGGAGCTCGTTGAGGAACTCCCCACAAGCAAACAAGTTCAAGACAAGTCAAAGCAACCAATGGGTGGGGACAGGACAACGGCCACCACAGTAGAAAAAGGTCGACAACCGCCATCATTTGGGATATTTTCCAGTGATTACGGGGATGACGACTTCAGTGACTTCTCGCTGCCGCACAAACCTTCTAGTTCTAGTTTCAACCTGCCTAGAGCAACAAACCTTTCTCAGACTAAACTTGATGAGCCTTCCCCAACAGCTCTTGTATCTGGCAAAAGTTCTTCAAAGGAGGCTGCACACGAAAACCAAATTTTCAACAATAACAGCCCCATCGTGATCTCGAGTGATAGCCCGCCCGGAACGGGGAATGAGATCTTCACCAACTCTGAACAACTTCACAGCGCTGCCACGCCAGCTACACAATTAGTGTCCTTGTCAACTAATTTGCCACTAAGTGCCAGGCGCAGTCCATCTGGTATTGAATCGATGATCAGTGAGCACTTTCCGAAATGTGCCGACGAAATCATCACTCGGCAGGAAAGCATGGAGTGTGAGAGAGAGTTCGATATCGAGGCTTTTCTTCATGATTGTACGAATTATCCATCGACAAGTTCCAATTTAGGAACACCCGGATGGGAAGATATCGACCGTATGCTACTGGAAGAATTCAAGGATGTTGTGGACTTTCACTAGGCTAACACGGTTAAGCTGTGCCTTTTATATCATTCCACAGAGTTACGGAGATATTGACATGGTCTACGTGACAGAAGCGGTGGATGTGAGCTTGAACTGCCTGTATGGTTACTGATAACCGCTGATATATTTATACCCGGATTTCAATCATTAGTACCCGAAGCTATCAGACAGAATTAAAGTCCATTTCCTTCCACCACATATCCCATAGTTCCAAGTCAAAAACTGTGGCACAGAATGTCTCTCCAATGTGCTTGTGGTGCGGACTCGGAGATTATCCACACAAGCCCTTCCAAGCAGAGAGATCAACATGTATGAAATGCAATCACGTAGAGCCTCCGCTTCTCACTGATGAAGCTTCTCCAGCTGTGCTGACAAGAAATTCTCCCCATCAAATATCCCTCCTTCACAATAAACCACCCCTTCTTCATCCATCCGAATAAAATAAACATTCGACGCTTCAATGTCCTCTATACTAAGATGAAGCCAGACAACAGCGCTCTTCTCCGCCACAACCTTGACCTCTATTTCCTTGAGTACAAGCGGAGCTGGTGAGATAGAAGCAGACTTATCAAGAATGCCTTTGATAAGGGGCGGAAACCGAGAGTCGTCGGTTATATATCCCACTTTCCCGCCTGCTATGAAAACCAGAGGGGCCCTGTAGTAAGTGGCCATCTTGGTAGAGACTTCAGTTTTGTCTGGCGAGGAATTGCCCGAAAGAACAACGGTGGAGTATTCCTCCATGAACTTGCGAGCGGCTGTGACGATGAGGGATGTATCTTCTTTGACAGGCATGGTGCTCGGTTCCAAGGGTAGTGGGTAGTCTTCACAGACGGAATGGTTGTGGTTTGGAGTATATCAAGTGCTATCAGCTGCAGACTTTCCGATCGCTTGATGTTCTGATGAATAGGATAGTGCAGACAAATGATGCTAGATGATCCTGTACTTATAGGCAGTGACTGGTAGATGCAGGTCAAACTTTTCCTCCGTTGTTCCGCCGAGGCCCATGGGCCATGGCTTGTTCGGCCGAGCAAAGACTGCCCTCAATCCCTTTATGGATATCCATTCTCTGGCTATTCAGATTCGAATACTGTTCGAACAAGCAGGTCACATTCGACAGAGACCATCAAAATGGACAAACTAGATTGTATGGGTTTGGCTGAGCCTAATCTCTTATAACCCGAGTCCAAGCACTAGGCTCACAAGGAAATCGAGGATCGTTAAATATATGGAAAGTAGGAATATGGGAATAATACACGCAGACAGTGAAGACTCGCTACGCCCCTAAATGATTCCTTTCCGCGAGTAAATCCGTATTAATCAAACTGTTGAAAACGATCGTTTCACTCTCATCAAACTCCCATCTGGGGTCAACAGGATCCGTAATGGTGTTCGCTGGATCGGGAATCTGAAGATGACCATCGGAGAATTGAAGAACAGTATTATGCACACCCGGTCCGGCGAACTCCATATTTCCATCTCCAGCCCATTGATCTGCTTGTGGAAGAAAATTGGATGTTGGATTGGGCGTGGAAAACAGTCCAGGCTGAGTAGACGAGAAGGTAGAAGATGCTTCCGTTGGCCTTGCAACAGGACGAGAATTGGCTCCAATAATCGCTTCCCCCTCCAGCGACTGTATGGCACCGCTACGGGCAATACTGATCGTGCCAAAGAATGGGATTTCCAAGCGTAATTTAGTGGAGAGGCTACTTTCATTTCGAAGAGCTCGTTGAAGGGCTCGCATCACGGCGATGCTTTGTTTGCCAATAGAGACGTGGGTCCCATTCCCCTGATTCTGCTCAAAGCTCCGTATAACCTTCTCAACAAGAAGGAAGTCTTCATATTGCTCGTGAACAGCATTCTGGTCGGCGGGGGAATAGGGCACGAAAAGCCCCAGTAAAAGAGTCGTGGCAGCCATGAAAGCCTGGAATTCAAAGAGATTGGAGAAAAGCCTTACTTGGCTATTACAGATCACGAGCCATCTTTTGATGAGGCCTCGGCTTCCATTCAGGCAGCACACCTGCGAATAGGCGTATCTTCGATCGGACGTGGCCCGCAGCATGAACGGCAGGTGCAAGAGCATCAGAAGCTGGAAGTGCCAAATGTGGCAGCAAATACGATCGAATTTCGTGGATGCTTCCAGCGTGCGGGTCGCCCTTAGGTCTGTAGGGATGTCCCACCATTGTGAAGGGACCTCATTTGAGAATTGATTGAGCTCTTCGTCGATCTTCTGAGTTGTGGAAAAGGAATGTGTTGATTTGTCTTGGTTGCGCGCAAGGATCAAACCGGATATGTGATACAAGCGGCTATGGTAGGCACTTTCTATTGCGAGTTCTGGAATATTCTCATCGAAAGGAAAGACTGACGAGCAGCCTATCGAAGATGGAACGCCGATGATGGTCGAGATATACCGCTCCTGGTGAGATGTTAGTATCATCCCGAATGCCTAAGGCTTGCATAAGTATACCCCTCTGGCAATTTGGAACCATAGATTCTTCCTCAACTCCATCTGGTCCGAAATTTCATGCTGTGGCTTAAGAGAGACTCTGTGCAAGCCAATAAGGTGCCCCAGGTCAATTGCCTTTCGAAAGGTAAGCCACGCTCTTTGGAGGTTGCCAGCATTAGTCTGCCATATTGCCTGGAGCGCAAGACATTCGATGCCTTCCACGCTGGAAGCCAGCTCCTCGTCAGAGGTGATGGTTGAAAAAATGTAGTCGGTGATATTTCTCATGCTTTCATTCAGAGGAAATAATGTTCGAACCCTCTGTATGTCGATATCAGGTGGAAGTTGCTGGATGCAAAGGGCGATACAGAGGAGGAGTTTCGCAATGGCCATAGGGTGGCCTTTCGAGGTCAAAGATATGTCAAACATATCACCAGGACCACCCTCAGATCCTTCTGGGAGATAAACCAGCATATGGTGCTTGATCAGAAACCATCCGTAGCTTATACTAAACATGTAATCCATATCTGCTTGGCTCGGCAGCATTGCAACCAGGCGTTCTTTAATTCTTGGAAGCTTTCCGGTCATATAGCTACTGGCAGGCCTTTGGATGTCTCGCGATGTTGTAAAAGAGAGCCCTGGGTTGGTGAATCGTGATGAGGAGTGTTGTTCACCTCGGCCGCTGGTTCCCTGAAGGAGAGGCTCAAGTGCAGAGGCCTGCTCGATCGCCGACATAGACTCGGGGGTCAGGCCATTGCCTAAAGCAAACTGCCTGGCACCTCCTTTGGGGGCTCGGGATAATATGGAAAGCATGTCCCCCAATAGTGCTTCTACTTGAGAGAGCCGAGTAGCCAAGGCCGAGTCCCCAACGGGGACTGTGACCGGTCTTCTTCGTAATCTTGCGTCACGCAGGACGTGTTTCTCTCCCGACACGACGTGCAGGTTGCATTGTTCTCTACGGGCCATATACACTTGACCTTCCTTCGTTTGCCTTGGAGATAGTCAGCGTGGCTCCATCTCCCGGTTGGGGCACTCACATTCCCAGCAGCTCTTAGTACCTTTGCGGACCCGCTTTCTTCGATGCTCGCTCATTGCATTAGATCATGGGTGAATTTACTCGAAAATCGATTCTGAGCAGGTATGACAATGGACTCATCGGGGGAAGCCCCGGAATATGGCTTATGACCGGCTGGATTCGGCCGAATTCGTCCGGCCTGCGTGAGACTGGACCTTTCAACACAGCGCGATTGGAAATCGAAAATCTTTAACTAATTGATCCCGTCCTATTGGTGGCTATGATGAAAGGCCCCCTCGAAGTGCTGATTGCTATGCCAATGCTCGCAAGATATCCAACTCTAGCAAACGTATGGCGCCTCGTGAATGTCTTGTCATGTACAGTCGCCTACTACTCGCACATCATTGTGACCAGGATCAGAAACTAGTTGAGAATCGAAAAAGCACACTTGTCGTCTACTAGCCTGCATGGCTTGGACTGCATGGCTCGGACTAAAAGCAATAGCTCGTCACTCCAGCACTGTTGGATGCGGAGCGCCAGTAAAGAAGCCCCAGGCATATCCGCGGCACGTGTCTTCCCCCGCGATCCCAATCGGGATCTCCGATTTAGCGATTTTCACGAACTCGTTTGTATCTTTTGTCGGTTTTCAACGCATGCACTCGTTGCGTCCACTCTTTCTGATCCTCCTTGTAACCATATTTGCCTGCATCTTGCACCCCACCATGCTTCGCAACAAGCGTCAAAATACACAGCCCCTGGAGGATACCTCGGTAGCCCCCGCTACCTTCACGGACGGCCTACCCCTGCCCAAGCTGATCGCCTTTGATCTGGACTACACCCTATGGCCTTTTTGGGTCGACACACATGTCAGCGCTCCAGTGAAAGCCCGCGACCATAACTCACGAGTGGTTGACCGGTAAGAGTGCCTTAGACCTGCAACCCGCCTTCCTGCTAACGTCGAGAAGCTGGGGCGAGTCGTTCGCATTCTACCCTGCTGTTTCTTCGATTATATACGCTTGCAAGAGTAAAGAGATCCCCATCGCCCTTGCATCACGAACACATGCACCGGAGCTAGCTCGTGACATGCTTAAAGCCTTGCACATTATCCCCACCTTCTCGGACAACCCGACGGCCAACTCGCGCACGAGTCGTGCTCTCGAGTACTTTGATTACATACAGATCTTCCCTGCCAATAAGACACAGCACTTTGCGAAGATCCATCAAGCGAGTGGTGTTGATTACGAGGACATGCTGTTCTTTGACGACGAGGCACGCAATCGCAATGTCGAGACGGAGCTTGGTGTCACTTTCTGCTTGGTGCGGGATGGCATGACTCGCGACGAGGTTGATCGTGGGGTTTGGGCTTGGAGAAAGAGAAATGGCATCAAGAAACCGGCGGATGGAGGACTTTGAATGGCTCTACGCCTCCGTGCTGGGGATTCGAATAGAAGGACGTGGGAATGATATACGACAGGCGTTAGTGCAATTGCTTAGAAACGAGATACCCATGAGGCTTAGCATACTAGATAGATAGAACTGTTGCGTTATTCTCGAGTTCCCCCTAGCGCTAGTAAGGATACAAAACCTTGCTAATTCAACCCTAGTTTTGTGGTGTAGTCGCCGGGTCTTCTTTCAGACTCGCACTCCGCATTTTCCCAGCTCAACTCCAACTTACCTCACCTCATCACTTGACTGTGACGCCCCTTCAAGCCAGGAGACAATGGCCACCCTCAAACCACCACCAGTCCAACACCGCTCTGCCTCACCCTCTCGCACCCCCACCGGCCCTCCTAAAGCTCCCCTAAGGGCCGATCCAACAGCCACAATCGCCGAAACAGCCGTCTTCCAGGGCATCCACCCCGTCTCCATCGGCGCGGGCACCATAATCCACCCACGCGCCAAATTCTACGCCTACGAAGGCCCGATCATAGTCGGCGATGGCTGCATAATCAGCGAAAAGGTCGTGATCGGCGCCGCGCCCAACAATCCAGCACGACCAAGCCACGCCCCCAAAGAGTCTACCGCCGCAGAGCCACAGGCCGACGCGTCAAACCAGTCAGACACCGCCACGAGACTCTCCTACTTTGTCACTATCGGTCCCCAGGCAACGATAAGTCCCGGCGCCCATATCCATTCCTCCGCGACGGTCGAGGCTCTGGCGAGGATAGGCCGGTACGCGGAGATCGGGTCGCACGCGAAGGTGTGCGCTGGGTGCGAGGTTGGCGAGCGGAATGCTGTGGACGAGTGGGTCGTTGTTTGGGGATCTGGACTGGGGCAGCGGAGAAGGAGAGCGCGTGAGGCAAAGGGGCCCGGGCCGGCGGTGGTTGTTGCGGCGCAAGTTGCGCAGGCAGCGGTGCCGGGACCTGCGCCGGAGGGGAAGTTGATTGAAGATGCGCGATTGATGGTTTTGCAGAAAGAGAGGGAGGTCCTGGGTCGGATGATTGTACCTGCGGGGGCAGGGAAGAAGAAATAAGAGCGCAAAAGGGACTTGACGATGGAGATGGGTAGGGTTTAGAACGAGGCCCTGGATTTGGTCGTGCTGTATTACTATTTGGATTTTACTATACCCCCTGCCTTTGTCCACTGGCTCGCTTGGTAGTTTGAGCAATATGTATCTGAATGCAATGGTGAGAAGTATGGAGGATGGAAGAAGTAATCAATTGGAGATCCCGGAGGCGCCGCCATCATACACACACTAGATACATAAACAAAAGGAAGTTGGCAATGGCAGCGCTAGCCGACCGGTTGCTCTGCGTAATAAGAATAGATCATCCAGGCATCCTTGAGCCTCCCATGAATAAAAAAATAGAAAAGAAAGAAGAAAAAGTACATAGCGGGAAGAAAACAGGAATAAAAGAACTATGAAGTACCACCGCCACGGTTTTGACCGCCACCCCTCATACGTTTGCCTGCATTCGCTGCTTCATTCGAGGCATCGGAGCCTTCCTCGCGTGATCTCTTGTTATTTTGAGGGATAAACTGGCGGGCCTGAACATTCAAGGAGCTATTTTGTCCCGTCGTCGGGCTGGCAGGGGTCGGATTGGAGGCATTTTGGTTCTGGCCACGGCCCTGTCCACCCCGTCCACCCCGTCCACGAGGCAAACCTCCACGCTGGGATGGTTGGTTGGCATGGGCTTGAGGTGGGTGCCCGTCCCCTTGGTTCTGTGCACCGCCTCGGCCGCCACGACCGCCGCCCCTGGCGATTGGCAGGCCTGATTGTAAAGCTCTTAGCATGCCTGCGGGCTGATTGTTCGCTGGTGGCTTGGTGGGAAGAGACGAAGCAGGCTTAGACTGTTCACTTTGCTGAAGCTGTCCAAAAGGATTAACGGGGGCAGCTTGTTGGGTAGCTTCGCTCGGAGGTTCTTGTTTTGGCTGTTGCACAGGGGTCGAGGATGCGGGTGTTGGAGCTGCGGGGGCGGTGCTGGATCCTGGCGTAGCTGGTGTATTTATGGAAGCCGGGCCTGGGGTGGCTAGTCCAGGCTGTGCAGCTGGCGCTGGTGACGCCGGGGCAGGTTTGGCCGCTGGAGCAGGTTTAGCAACCTTGGCAATCTCCCAGACTTCCGCAACGGGCTTTTGCGGAGTTTCCGATGCAGCCTTTTGGATCACTTCGAGCTTGGCCTGAGCCGACTTGATTCGAGTGTCAGTCATGCTGAGACGAGCGGCATATTTCTTGTCGTTGAGCTCGACAGCAGATTTGACCTTCTCAGCAAGGTCGACTTCGTGAGTCTTCAGCAAGGTGCCACGCTCTTCGTTGAATTTGCTCTCGAGAGCTGCCAAGGCCTCCTCGTTGCCAGCGGTCGTTGACTGACTCTGTTTGAGCTTTTCCACTTGGTTGCGAATATTGTTGCGCACAATTGTGAGAATCGTTTTGTTTTTAGCGACAAGCTCGCGGGCTTGAGCATCAGTGAGCTCAGGAAGACCATCGGCGTTACCCGGTGTTGATGGTGCCTGGCCGGGGGTTGTAGGAGGTTGCTGAGACGTAACAGGAGTGACATCGGAAGCTTGTTGTGGTTGTTGTGGTTGTTGTTGCTGCTGCTGCTGCTGCTGCAGATTCTCCATCTCTTGCCTGTGGTTTGCTCGCACTTCGGCCATTTTGGAATTGAATACCGCCTTGAGCTTCTCGGCACGCTCAGTAATCTTGGTCTCTAATTCGGCATCCTTGGCAGCAATAAGGGCGTCTTTCTCGCCCAGCGCAGCTTCCAAGCGTTCAACCTTCGACTCCAACTCTTTGATTTTCTGCTCGTCTCCAGGGGAAGCAACGGGCGTCGTCGCACTGGGGAACTGAGATGCAGGCGTTGGATTGACTGGTGCTTCCTCCAATGCGGCTGGGGGAGCTTGAACAACAGCGGGTGCTGAGGGTTGCGCACCAAGGCTGGCACTGGCCTTCAGACTCTCCAACTCCGCCTTTGTCTTGGCAAGCTCTTCTTGCAAAACATCCCTTTCTTGCTGGGCAGCCAGCAACTGTTGCGTCAAACCGTTGATGCGCTCTGACATTTGCCTTGACCGCGCCTTGAATTGCTCGCTAAGCCGGGCCTTTAGGTCTGCGAGTCGAGCGTCTCTATCAGCTTCGGCGGTCTTGAGTTGCTCCTGGAGAGCCTCTATCTGGGCAGTAGACTCCCCTCGCCCAGATGCAGCTTCATCTCGTTCCTTCTCAAGGGAAGCAAGTTTTTCCTTGAGGCCTTCCAGTTCGGCAGGATCGACCCGGTCATACTTTTGGAGGATGTTCTGGATCCGCTGCTGGTAACGATCGCGGTCCGCTTGAAGCAACTGCATCTCGCCATCCTTGGATTCCAAATTACTCTCTAACTCGTGGATTTTGGTCTGTAGAGGCTCGATCTGCTGCTGAAGAGCGTCAACCTGTGCAGACTTTTCGGCGAGGGTAGTCTCAGTCTGTTTAACTTGGTTTCGTAGGGTAACACTGCTTTCTCGGAACAAGTTGAGCTCGTTCAGAGTCTCCATCAGCTTGTTATGGTTAAGCGTGTTGTGTTCGCTATCAGCAGCGGCACGGCGCTGTTGCTCGAGCTTGAGCCGTGTTTCATCGAGCTGCGATTGAGTATAGTCAAGCTGCTGGCGGAGTCGTTTGCCTTCTTGCGTAGAAAGGTGGTACTGCACTTCAACAATCTCCTTCTCACGGCGGAGGAACTTAATTACCTCCTGAAGACTCTCCAGATTTGGACCCAAGTTGTCGCCTTCATTCTCATCATCATCTGGAACATTGGCCCGATCACGCTGCAGTGCCGAAATCTGAGTGCTGATATTCTCGAGCTGTGTGTGCAAGAGCGAATTCTGGTGAAGAACCTCTTCTCGGCGCTTCTGCAACTCTGCAAGTTCGCCCTCGTACCGAGCCCTTTGTTCTGCCCAGCTCTCTTCCTTCTGAGACAGGTCTTTCTTGAAGGTTTCCGATTGGGTCCGCAGCTCAACAATATCGATCTTGAGCTGGTTGGCTTCGCTTCTTACGATTTGAAGATTTTTGGCGGCTTCGGCATGCTTGACGAGTTCGCTCTCGTAGTTTTGCTGGGCGTGCTGAGCGATATCGGCTTGTCTTTTCAGGTCTTCCTGGTGGCGTTGAGCCGCGTCAGCCTGCCGCTGATTGTCCTCCTTCAGTCGGTTGATCTCAGACTCCAGGTTTGCTTTCTGCTCCTCGAGGTGACGGGTTGCTTCGCCTTGTTCGTCGCGAATCTTGGAGATTTCAGTGTTCGTCGTAGAAAGCTCTGCCGAAATCTCTTCAATGCGAGTCTCCAAATCCTTGATCTTCTTATCCTTCTCCTCAATGAGACGATCGGTCTCTTCACGATATAACGCCTGCGTCTCGGATTCAGCTATCATTCGCTCCTCTGTAGATTGGCTGATGCTCTTGTATTCTTCCACTTGTTCTTTGGCATGAGTTAATTCGCCCTTAGCGAGATCTAGATCACGCTTAAGCTCGGAAACTTCAATTGCCAGTTCCTGCTCACGCGATAGACCACTACCAGCTTCATCATCCCCTGCCGTGGCGGGCGCTTCAGCTGGAGTGACAGAAACAGTTGGACGAGATTGCACCACCTGCAATCGCTCTTCGGCACTCTTAAGCTCGACAGTAAGCTCGTCAACTCGGGTTTGGAGATGGTCACGAGTGGTCTTGACAGCTACGAGTTCTTCTCTGACTGAGCCAAGGCTGGTGACCAAATCATCGATCCGTTTCTGGCTTTGTTCGTGTTCATACTCTCGTCGCATGGATGCCTTCTTCGATTCTTCAACTTCGTCCGCGAGTTTGCGCTTCGTGATCTGTAACTCGGATTCGAGTGTTTCCACGCTGGACTGAAGTCGACGACGACTGTCAGACTCCGCATGTTCACGCTCATTGAGGATAGTTTGCAGGTTGGCGTTCAAGGAATCAAGTCGGCTGCGTTCATTACGTAGATTCTGAACATCATCATTGAGTCGGGCTTCGATCGTCTTCCACAAGTCTTTCTCGGCCTTGAGATTGGCATTCTCCCTCTGCAGACTCTCTACCAAACCCTTTGTTTCCACTAGATCTTCGGCAGCTTGTTGGGTGCGAAGTTCCAGGCGGTTAGCATTCTCGAAGAGTGTGGTGTACCGCTTATTCAAATCGCTGTTCTCGCTCTTCAACATATCGAAATTGCTTTGAAGGAGTTCTGCTCGTTGGGAGGAAGCTGCCAGTTGACTACTTGATCGGCTGATTCCACTCATCAGCTCACTGTTCTTGCGCGAAAGCTCATTGACCTGCTGACGCAGAGCATTGTGATCTGTGGTCGTTTCTTCCCGATAGGTGTCAAAGTGAGCTTGCACCTTTCGAAGGATATCAGCATAGTCAGTGTTATCCCTGATTTGACTTTCTCCGAACGGGACTGCCCCGGGCGGGACCGATTGCGAGAAGGTAGAAGCATCTCCCACGGTCTGTCGGCGATGGGTCAACATGCTACGGAATGTGTCTCGCTCCTTCACGTAGCTTTTAGATTGAGCGACGAGATTTGAGATTTCGTCCCGGTATGTCTGCACGCGAATCCGGAGTTCTTTCAACTCCTCCGCCTCTTGTTGGCGGGTGGCGTCCTTTGCACGAGCCTCTTCGCCTTCCATTTGGTCACCCAACTCCCGAAGCATGCGTCGCAGTGTCTTGTTCTGCTCCTGAAGCTCGTGCAAGTCCTTGAAGGTGGTGAGGTTCCGACTGATGAAACGACCGGTGGAATTGAGTTCAGCAGAAGAGTCGTCAATCTCGTTGCGAGCGATCTTTTCAAGCTCCTCGCGGTCGTAGTCTTCGCCGTGTTTGAGAATTGCGACTTCAAGAACAAGGACCTTCACTTCAGCGCTAAGGTCGCGTAGTTGCTGACGAAGAATATCGCCTTCACGAGCGAGGCCTTCGACCTGTCCCTGCCACTTGCGCGCTTCCTTCGTGGCTCCTTCACGCTCCTTTCCAGCAACTTCCAGCAAGTGGGACATTTCAACCACTGCATTCTCCAGGCGACTATGGTCGGCGCGTAGCTCATCGATCTCAGGCTTGCTTGACTCAAGCTCCTGAACCATTTCATCAAGTGTATCGCGCAATTCTTGACTGGTGCGCTGCTCGGTCGCAAGCAGGGTACGCATCCTGTCATACTCGGAGTACATTTGAGTGAGGGTGAGCCCGCCTCTCGTTCGAGAAGCACGCGGTGAGAATACACTGCCGGGGGTCCCAGGTCGTACGGGAGTAGCCGGTGCCATTCCGTTAGTCGAGCGAGCAGGGCTCAGGGATCGGTTTCTAGCTCCAGCGGATTCCAATTGGGAGACCGTCGACTCCAGTTCTGTCACACGACGCTCAGCAGCTTCCTTGTCACTACGCTCACTTTCAATCTCAACACGCAAACGGGCGATCTCTTCAGCAGCATCCGCCGTGGCCTTTTCGAGAGAAATTTGGCACTCTTGTACACGCTGCTTCGCGTTTTGAGCAGCAGATCCTTGAAGCTCTGCAAGCCTGTTGGCACTATCCAGTTCATTGCGGAAGGATTCAGTGGTCTGGATCGCCTCTTCTTTCAATTGCTCGATACTAGTCAAGGCTTGTTCATATCGTTGCTCCATTTCGTCGAGACGACTCTTGAGCGAATTTTCGCTGCGCTTGAGGGCATCGATAGTAGAATTTGCTTCCTCGTTCGCACGTTGAAGTTCCGAAACGCGTGCATTCTTCTCTTTACGGAATTTGTTGTGGTCCGCACTCTTGGTCTTCAATTCGTTCTCAAACCATTCATTGTTTTTCTTAGTCAGTTCGAGCTCTTGCTGGAGACTCTGTTCGCGGAACCGGGAGCTTGCCGCAGCAGAATTGGCATTTTGAAGGTTCTGCTCTGTGGTGGACAGGTCGCGACGAAGCTCGATTATTTTCCTGTGTTGGGCAGACAGGTCCTCAGCCAATTTATCATGGGCCGCAGACTTGGACTCCAGTAAACGGACAGTATCACGATTGGATTCTTCGAGGGACGCGATTCGGGCTTTTAGCGAACTGGTTTCAGATTCGGTGGAGGTGGTCGAAGATTTGAGGTTCGCGACCTCGGACTCCAATGCAGCGCGAGTAGTTTCTGAGAAATTGTTAGTGGAGTGTTTAGATAAGAAGCTCGGGAGTTGTTCTTACCGGCTTCGTGAAGCTTCTTTCGGAGCTCTTCAAGATCGGCATGGCCTTTCTCTACAGAGCTTTTCAGAACCTTGACCTTGGACTCATTGCTCCGCACCGCATTCTCAAGCTCAACCTCCAAGCGAAGTTTATCCGACTTGAGCTCGTCGAATTCGCGAGCCTTAGAAGTGAGGGATTGCAAGAGTTCGTTCACCAGGTCGGTTGTTGGGGTTTCGATCAGAGATGACAGCGTCGACTCAGGAAGTGAGAAATGTGTAGCAAGGAAAGGGATGTCCACTGCTGCATCCGCCATGATGAGGGAATCGCAGTAGGATCGACTGCACTCGGGTTGGAATTGATTCACGTCGTGTCGCGTAGCGAAGGCGCGAATGGCTCTCAAACCGGTACCTTGAGGCGGGCAAATGCCCTAGGCATGGCTGAGGAAACAGAAAAGAATGAAAGGTCAAAGCTAGAGGGCGGGTACAAAGACCTGATGCGTGAAGCCCGTGGCTAGCTAGTGACAACGACCGGGGTGGAAGAAAAGACAGTTGAGAAAGCAAAGCGAATGGCGCAGGGAGTTTCCGCGCTTGCTGCTTTGGGCATTCACCTCAAAATCACGTGCCGTCGCCGATCACCCCGGTCCGCGTTTGCAGCCTCATTCACCGGTCTCTTGAATTCCATCTCTTTGTCGCGCTCAGCCTCGACCGAGCAAAGAGTCTGATTTCTGCCTTAGAATTTATTCGGACCACTTGTACAATCCACCGTCATCTAGTCTGCTCACTACTTCGTCTTACCTATGGTTGACACTACCTGCGTGGCCAAATTTGATTAAGCTGCACCGCCGGTGTCGAACAGCAGTTCCTTTGCATTTCCCATTTCCCACCATCTGCTTCTTTTTCGAAGACCACCGCGGACATGTCGTATCTCCAGAATCAGCTGAAAAGCTTCAATGCAAGCGTCATGGAATCGGCAAACCGCCTTCCTCAGCAGAGACGGATGGCGAATAATCAGGCCCCCCTCAGCTAGCACTTCTCAGGCGCCTTCATCCGCACCTACACCATCTGCTGATGTAAAGAAGAAGCGACACGATGCCGACATTGTCTACTCCCAGCCGGCGAACACAGGTACCGGAAAGGATATCATGACTCAAGTCCTCTTTGCGATTGAGCATATGAAAACCAAGGATGTTCCCCTCACATTCGGAGATATTATCTCGTACTTGTCCCTCCAGCACCGTGCACATGACCAGGGTTACGTCCAAGCGCTTCGCCGAATCTTGCAGCGACACGAAAAAGTCGACTTCGACCCCGCTGGGGCTAACGGCGAGGGCACCTTCCGCTTCCAGCCTCCTCACAATATCCGAACCCCAGAACAACTCCTCCAGAAACTCCAGGCTCAAACTACGGCTGCTGGTATGAGCGTCCGAGAGCTCAGGGAGGGCTGGCCGAACGTCGAAGATGCTATCAATAAGCTAGAGAGTGAAGGGAAGCTGCTGGTGACTCGTAACAGGAAGGACGACCATGCTAAGATGGTTTGGGCGAACGACCCGTCACTTATCTTGCACTTCGACGATGAGTTCAAGCAAATCTGGGAGAAGATCAAAGTTCCGGATGCACAGGCTGTAAAGGAAGCCCTCGAAAAGGCCGGCATCACCCTACAAACAAAAACAAGGTTGTCAAACCCCGACCAAAGGTGGAACAGAAGAAGACCAAAAAACCTCGACGTAGCGGAAAGACCACAAACACCCATATGCAAGGTATCTTGCGAGACTACTCTCATCTCAAGCGGTGAAAGAGGCTCCTTTTGGTCTGGGGCTCGACATGGAGACCTGACATGCTGCATCGCACTGGCGTTTGTCCTTTTTTTTTTTTAACTTTCTTTGTTCTTTTTGATTCCATTTTAGTGCACTCTCACGATGTTGCCTTACATCTCAGCGCACCTCAAACACCCAACCCCTTTTTTGAACGAGAGGGTCTGCCACTGTATTTTTTACCAAAACGATAGATACCCAAATATAGAACATTCCAGCCATACTTATCTGCAAGCTACCAAGAATTCGAAATTTTCAATCGAAAGCTTCACAACTTTAATGTCATCATGATCTACCTGCAGCAAAGTTTCCAATAATGTGGAGAATTCCTTGGTGAGATCCACCCTGAAAGCGTGCTTGAAACATAAGCCTCACGTCGACGTATTATTTGTCCTTTCGTCTCTACCTTTGCAAGAGTAATCCTAAAATGGAAGTGCTAAAGGACAGTGCTGTTCTGAAAATATGGCCCTGTTGAGATAACCAAGCATGGTAGCATGTTCGAGCGAGCGCTTCGCTGGAAGGATCCGTGGCTTCGAACCTCCGAGCCGGAGTTGTGGCTACTACGGTAGCTTAATCTGATCATCCTTGACTGGGACTAGAAGTCTATGTGCTTTTCAGTTGATTCATCTATAAAGAATACCCATGGACAAGACGTATAGAGGTGTACAGCAAAGAAAATCCAACATGCGAAGCAAAAGTCGTAGAGTAGAAAGAAAACACTTAATGGTGTCCATTCGTCGCAGATGGGGTAGTTCCCTCAATCTTATGCACGTAATCAACCAAGTCCTCAATGGTGCAGACTTTAATGCCCCATCGTTTGCCAAAAGCGAGACAGCTATCTCGGCGCATCATGTCATTATTTCCTCGAATCTCAGGGATACCCTCCACAACTTCGCCAGGCTCAACTAATTCCGCGATCACGCCCACCGGGGGTTTGCCAGCGAGCCGGCAGAACTCAACTGCAGCTTCGGTGTGACCCTGACGTTCGCGCACCCCACCAGGGCGCGCGCGCAGGGGGATGACATGGCCGGGGCGGCGGAAGGACTCGACTTTAGCATCTGGAGAGGCGAGGGTGCGGCAAGCGAGGGCGCGGTCTTGTGCGGAGATTCCGGTTGTTACAGACTCGTCGGCCGAATCGATTGAGACGGTGTAGGCAGTGCCTTTTGGGTCGGCGTTTTCGGTTACCATCTGGGGGAGGGCAAGGCGAGTAGCTAGATCTGGGGTGATGGGCGCGCATATTAAACCGCTAATAGAGTCGCGACGATTAGCTTTTTTCTATGCTAGCTTGGCGCATCTGCGATGTCGCTCGCGGATGGACTGGCGCGCCTACCTTGAATGGCGCACTAGAAAGGCCATTTGAGCAGCCGTAACTGACTCGGCGGCGATTATGAGGTCGCCTTCGTTCTCGCGGTCATACGAATCAAGGACAATGATGAATTCGCCATTCTCTGTAATGAGTCATGATTAGTTCTAGCACTTGCGACTGTTGCGGTGGCGATGGCAAGCCTGGACATGGCAGTTATCAGGCAGAAATGACTCACTGAATGCAGCAATGGTATCCTCGATCGAGTCAAATTCGTGGACTGGGTTTGCGGGGATGGCATTGTGCGGAGAGAGATGTGGTGGCGGCGAGATCAATGCCCCTCGATGCGCAATTGCAGTATTAAGAACTTTGAGAGGGAGGAATCCTGAGGACTTGAATAAGGGCGCAGGTTGTAGGTATGTTCCAGAAAACCAAGACCAGTAGTGCAGAAAAGATGTTCGTAACGGCTGACAGGTGCATTAGAAATGCTCGTGATAAATGATGCGCGGGGCCGGTGAGCCACCGAGGCATCCGATGTGGCCTTCAAAGCGGGTCCACCTTAGGGTGCATGTCCGGGGAAGAGGCACAACCATGTCTCCTTCCTAGGCAATAATGTCCATGATCATTTCCATGGATCCTGCATGTTCTTGAATGTAGATTCTTTGGAGATCTGAGCAATCTGAGAAGGTCTCTTGGAATGGCAGAACCCCGCACTTAGCTCGGCATCCATGCTCATTTCACTTATTCTCCCCAAGTGTTTCGAGAGGTCCAACGGCAAATGGGCACGGCGATGCTGATCCAGGAGAGGGCTACATACTAGGAAGCTTTCAAACTACACGCTCACTCCGCATCCATCAAGGAATACGTACGCTTGCGCGGGTGCCGCCCATCAAGAGCAATGCCCCGGTGCTTTTAGCAGCGATCATTCTCTCTTGCAAATGCGGCAGATATTATGCTCATCTTCTGTTCAACTATCCCGCAAGGCACCGTCAATCACAGTACAATGTCACATGATGTTGGGGTAGGGTGCCTGAAGTCGCCGTTGATAGTCTTAAGCCGCTTATCACCGAGTTTGGTTGACATCACCGGCATAGGAACGGGCTTAGCTTGGTATCTCCCTCTACGTTCTGATATTCTATTTGTCCTCGAAAATTCTAGTTCTCTGTTCCGGGTACGAAGCAATTGACTATCATGGGTATTAAATCCTGATCAAGCCTATATATATTAAATGTAGTCCAACCCATATGGACCTCGGTTGTAGCTAGATTCATATTCAGGTCATACTAGCAGGAACCTCAGCTTCAAGTATTCTCCTCATGCGACTTATAAGCTCTGTAGAATTCCAGTTGTTGGGCAGATGCTTATTACTCCAACACTTTCTGCATGTACTGTGTGTCATAGCTGTGCGGAGCTAGATAAATATTCCCGAAATTAATCCCGCTCCATATTAGAACGGCGATATGACCGGATTTATTTCGTAATCATGAGTACTCTACACCCTCATTGAGTTTGCTTTGGAAGTCCCCGAATAGCCTCCTAGAGCTCCGATCTGTCAGTATCAATGCGGGTAGATGGTGGGAATGACCTCGGAACCTGGGACAGCAGTTAGTCATCTCTAGAGAGTGGTGTTGTTATAAAAGGACTTAGACCTTGAAAATGTCGACACCAATTCTGAGCTAAATACCTTCGCAAGTGCCTGAAACCTCAAAGATTTAATCATTTGACAATGAGTCGCCCCACCCGAACTCTTGGTGTTAATGGCCCAACTCTGCCAGCTATTGGCCTCGGTCTAATGAGCATTGGGGGGCTTTACGGTGACCCGGGGCCAAAAGAAGAGAGACTCGCTTTCTTGGAGCACGCGCACTCTTCTCGCCAACGATTCTGGGATACTGCAGACGCCTATGGTGACTGTGAAGATGTTGTTGGCGAATGGTTTCACAGATCTGGGAAACGTGAAGATATCTTCCTTGCAACGAAGTTCGGCTTTATTCGCGGGCCTAACGGCGTGAGCGTCGACTCTTCTCCAGAATATGTGAGGGCGGCATGCGAGAAGAGCCTTCAAAGACTAGGAGTGGATAAAATTGATCTCTACTTTTGTCACCGCGTCGATGGTATCACGCCCGTTGAAAAGACCATTGAAGCCATGGTTGCATTGAAGAAGTACGAGAATACCCGAGGCCGAAAACATACCTAACACACTATTAACAACCGTTTGATTCTAAAGTGAAGGCAAGATCCGATATCTGGGTATCTCTGAGGTTTCTGCTGCCACCCTGCGTCGTGCCCACGCAGTCCATCCGATCACGGCCCTACAAATCGAATATAGCCCCTTCGCCACAGACATTGAGTCTCCCAAAGTTGATCTCTTGAACACCTGCCGTGAGCTAGGTATCGGAATCGTGGCATATAGTCCCCATCGGCCGTGGGCTTCTAGCCGGCAAATTCAAATCCGCCGCTGATATCCCGGACAATGACTTCCGCAAAAAACTTCCCAAGTATTCCGCTGGAAACTTTCCCAAAATACTGGAGTTGGTTCGAGGGTTTGAGGATGTAGCAAACGCCCACCAGACAACCCCTGCAAAGGTCTCCCTTGCTTGGGTCCTCGCCCAAGGGCCAGATATCATCCCCATCCCCGGCACTACATCTGTGCAGCGGATGGACGAAAACGCCAGTGCTTCTTCTCTCATTCTGACCGATGATGAAATCCGCACTCTTCGAATTCTAGTGGATAAATCGACTGTCCCCGGCAATCGCTATATGGATGGGTAAGTGCTTTTTCTGGTTCTGTGCCGCATATGATGCTAATATCCCGCACAGTTTCGAAGAATCTACATTGGGTGACACTCCACCTCTTTGAAACGTGAGTTTGAGCGTGAACTAAGCAAGCCTCGAAAAGGCCAAAATGATCTAGTTCATATTCATACTTAGTGTTATCTCAGTGGTATATCTGGATGTGCCAGTGCCCCTCAGAGAGTCACAGGAAGCTGGGAAACCCGCCGTCAGCTTGCGTCCGTGAATGCTTCGAAGGACGCCAGAGAAGGTGTTTAGGGAGGACAATCCTTTTTACCAGTTGCTAGTATTATGTGCTTAGTTTTTTTCTACTTTCTCAATTGATTTAGTGCCAATTCAAGCGATCTGATAACGAAAGATCGAAGTACGTCCGACCCTATAGTAACACTAGTAGCATGGAGGTTCTGTACTTCGTAGGCCAAAGCTTCTTCCCAGTCGTCCTTAGTTGCCCCTGCACTTTCCCACGGTGTCAACCCAAAACTCGAATTCGATTACTCCGCAGGCATCGACCCCGAGTCTAATTTTACTAGCGTTTTTCAAATGCACGACCTGCGTGATAGCAAAGAATGCTTGGTATTACTTGGGATCAAGGTAAACGTGCGCACTGGCAGCAGCGGGTTAACATCGAGTGGAAAGGTTCATATCAGAGATCCTAGCGCATACGACTCAGTCTCAATCTCGTGTGTTCAATGCTTGCTATAGAGAGAACTTTATGATCTATGTGTACATTCCAATACGTTAACAATTTGTTTCCATAAGCCGCGAACTGAAAATACCATTCAGCTCATGCCCTCGGTCGCCATCCAGCGGACCTCATCAGCCTGTCTTTCAAGCGCAAGTCTCATAGTGGCTTCGTATCTACGCTCATTTTCCCATTCATCTCGGTGCTTATTTCGCATAGCCTCCCGGGTCTCTTCATCAACCTCAGCATGCATGAACCATTCATCTTCGTCTTCTACACCCTCTAAGTCAGCCGGGATCGAAAACTTCATACGCCCGATGCGCTCTCCGGTCCACACGAGCAGCTCGTCGCCGGTAAGATTCCCCCCTGTTGGAAGGATCTTCCGCGCAACCTCACTGCCAGTCTGCTCGGAGTCTAAACTTGCCCAGAGGCCGCGAGGCCTTTGCTCTTCTTGGCCAGATTTATCTGAGCTTGATGGCCGACTGCGCCGGTAAAAGGGTATTTGCGGCTGCGAAGTATTGATGTTCCACCGACGTACTTCGGAGCGCCCGTCACGCTCAACCCACTTGATGTTACCCTCGGAATCCGAGTACACGAGACGATTGCCGTGTGATGTAACAGAGAGAAGCTTGGAACTGGCTGCGCTCTGCCGGTTTTTGTAAATGGTTGTCATGCTGGAGGATTGTTCGGACAAATCGGCAGAGGTGGTAGGCGTTGAAGAGTCGAGGCTGTAGAGCTCTAGCGAACCTCTACCATTGTACTCGCCACAGGCAGCGATCGTATGAGTCGCGGGGTACTCAGCGTCCGAGAATACGGGGAATCGAGGCGCCGGGCAGATGTGAGTGCACAAAGTCGACCGCCGGAGTGCACAGTACTTTTCAGACGGCTAACTTGGCGCCTATCATAAAGAAGCAAGCTCGGCCAGCGACCGGCAACAATGATTGTATTTACATGTGGTGCGGGTGGGTGGAGTATCGACAGAGGACCGGGTTGGAAAAGGGGTGCATAATTAGTGTCGTCCCTCGGAACTAGGCTGCGAATCCGTTGTGGTGGCTGGCCATTTGACTGGAAGCGTAGTACGGGCGAGTCTGGATGAAGAAAGATATCCCGGTCAGGAATAAGAGACGCAGAGTTCTTTTCACATTGCTCATTAATTGCCAGCTCTTCTTCCACCGATGATAATCGGGCGTCATATATTTGCAGACTGAGAGTTGTGGCTAAGGTTAACGGTACCGAGTAATCAGTCTCTTGTGAAAGGGCGAAAATTGACCATGGAAATCGCTGTTGTGAAATGACACTCAGAGTCTCCAAGTCGACTTCATTGAGAACGTTCCCAACGGCCAGGTATGCTCTTTTTTGGAATGAATCTACACTCACGCCTTCGCCAAGGTTGACGAACTCTAATGGTGCTTTGGAGGGCTGGCTGCCTCGTCTAGGAGTAGCCATGAGGATTCCTGGATCACTCTTTTTAAGTATTTTTCCTTTTGTAGAGGGCGACTGGGAAGAATGTGAATGATTGAGGTCCCAAACGCAGACGCTTCCATCTTCAAGAGGAGCGATGATTTTGTTTTGTCGGTCAAGGCCCCAGTCCTTTAGCAAGCCCATGCCCTTAATCTCATGCTGTTGGCATAACTGACTACCTTCTTCCGCAAACGTAGGCTGCTGGACCCACGACAAAGACATAGGACCATGGCGGGCAATATATTCCGAGTACCAGTCCACATGTTCTCCCTCGAACGAAGAGTCCCAGTCTGATGCTGCTCTGGCCTTTTCGCTCAGCGATAGCCCATGTGCATCGGATGATCCGGGGTCCAATTCCGGTGCCCGGGGTTGGATAAGGTCTCGAAGGGAATTCTGTCCCAGCGTGCTCAAGGTGGCGGTGGGGTTGAGCAGACTCTCGGTTGTTCTCTCAGCCCCACGGCGGGCTTGGAGGAAAGCCCACGACTCTTCATAACAGTGTATTTTCCACGCATTGTTATCCCTGGCAAGATCAAAGAACCTCTTTGAGACAATCTGGAGTTGTACCTTCTCACGGGGTGTGAGAACTTGTCGAGAAGCCGTCAGCGGTCGTTTTTGTTTGGAATTCGTGAAGATTGGGGATGGGTGCGGGGGAGATTCTCGGGGCGAGGCGGCTCTTACGGTCGAAGATTTTGTTCAGGATTTCTACCGGAAGCTTATCCATGAGGAAAATATTTGTGCTCCGCCCATCTGGGGCAGATATGAAGGTACTAATAAAATCACACGCGGAGTTGGAATTGTCTGCTTTAGCAAGATGAGTTTCCAGAAGCCTCTTTCCCCCGCGATCTACGCTTACAATGTCACGTGGCTTACGGCCGTATAGGGGAGAAACAATTGAGTTCTGGCCCCCAGGAGCCCCCCAGTGTTGTGGATGAATAACTCTCACTGGCCTGAGAAGGAAATGGGAAGAATCGGAAGATGGGCAACCGTGTTACTTGAGTCCGGAACCCGGAGATCAAGCTCGCTTCTATTGATCAAAACAACCCTCAGGTCCCCTTACCTAGAGGCGATGTAGATTAGATTGTTCGTAAGAATAGGTATTTACACAAAGAGAATACGACATAAAACATATATCCCGGTTTAACATGATCTGGGATCCATCATGAAGTAAGCCTTTTGCGGCTAATTCGCTCGACGTCGCGGGTCATAGATGTAACAATTGTAAATCAAAGCCCACTGGCGGCAAGGATCATACGGGCGACAAACAAGCAAAAGTGTGCTCATTCGTCAGGCTTGAAGACAGCATCTTTGCAAAGGATTGTCATCTTCTTGAAAAATCGCCGCCATTCTAATGGATCGCCTTTCACTTTCACAAATTCGACTTCAAAGAGACCCTCAGACACGCACTCGATAAGGACTTTCCCTTGGAGCGGGCACATTCTACCGTCTTTTGCAATGACACGGATCATAGCGGAGGTATCACCGGCGACGACAGTCGGCACATTGGGGACGGGGACTCCAAGGCGATGTAGACCTTCACAGATCAACGGCACTAGAAGCTTAAGTTCCCAGGCAGAGAAGAAGCGAGTCAACGAACGGGACGGGATGATGTCCTGGAACCTCTGGGCATTTTGAGTTCTACTGATAGGAACAGAAGGCTGCTGAGAGAACTGAGACATGGAAGGCTCCTCTTCGAGATGATTGGCCAAGGCAGCATCTTGAGAATTGAATGCCTTGCCTGTTGGCTGCGTCGAGGAAAACTTGGATGCCAGATCTGGAGTGTCCCAGTCCATCACAACATCACCAGCTGGCATCTCTGGCTGCGTGGATGAGAGCCCTCCGCCGTTATCCATATCCACGTCCATGTCCATTGCATCAAAGCTTCGACTGGGCTTCTTTCGCTGTTGGGAAAGTGGGTCTTGACTGAAGTCAATGTGCAGTGACTCAAACATAGAAGTCGCGAGGTTGATCGGGTCTCGTAACTTGCCATCAGGCGAAAGGAACTTGTTCGATCTAGTGTACCATGGATGCCTTCGTACGTCTTCCATGGAGAAACGGTCTTTGGGATCCACCGTCAACATGCCCCGTAGTAGTGAAAGGGTTGATGGTGGTAATTTCTGCCATAATTCATCGGTGGTTCGCGCATTTGTAGCAATGTACTCATGGAATTCATAACTATCGTCAGTTGGACTGTCCCAAGGCGTATTACCCGCCAATAGGACAAAGAGAACAATTCCGCACGACCAGATATCCACCAAGTCCGGGTGATAGCCGGAGCCCTTATTTGAGCCGCGAGAGCTACACGTAATGACTTCGGGGGCAATATATGGCGGACTCCCGCAGAAGGTGGAGGACAGCTTCCGTGTGCCCTTGTATTCAAACAGCGCAGCGAGTCCAAAATCTGCAATTTTGAGATTGCCATCCGCTGTCAAAAGCATGTTCTCAGGCTTGATGTCCCGGTGTCCGACGCCCTTCGAGTGCATGTAGCTCACCGCGCTGACGAGCTGGGAGAAATAAACGTGAGCAATATCCTCACCCACTCCCTCGTCAGCCTCGATTTTGTCGAAGAGGTCACCACCCTCGGCCAACTCCATGGCAATCCACCTCCAGATATGATCCTCGCCAGTTTGATAAAAGCTGATGATGTTATTATGGCCTGTAACGTGCTTGTGGACGGTCACTTCCAGCTGTAATTGACGCGCGCTAATTTTGCCATGCTTGGCAGCGTATTCTTTGTGGATGTATTTGACGGCAAAAACGGGGTTGTCCGAGTCTAGAGGGCAGGCTTTCTTGATACTAAAGAGAAGGCCATGGGTCAAAATCACTATCACGAGGCTGAAATGAAGGTCTGACCAACCAGGCGTATGCACCTTGCCCGATCGTTTTCGAGACAATGCGGAAGGGCACATCGTTCGGAAGCGGGGCTAGTTGTGAGTGTTGCATTATAGGCTCTGATGTGTGTGGCCGGTACTCGAGATGAATGGTAGGTTGAGCTCTCAAAGCATCCCCGGGCAAAGAGAGCAGGTGACTGAGAGCCGCGGGGAGGTTGAAGATGAGATCTGTAAGGGCGACAAGACGCGGTGGTGGGACGCGCGGGCCAAAGTGCCACTTAGAATTCCTGTTCGGGTAATGTGTTTATCGTCTGCCTAATGACGAACCGATAGAAGCATCGGTGGGAAATAGAGCATTGGCGTCTGTGTAAAATGCATGATAATATTCGACATCTACAGAGATCTTGAGGCTTGATCTAGGACTGGATATTGCGTATCCACAAGGTTCTTGCTTGCATGACCCGCAGGATGTCCCAAGTGGCCCACTGGGCTGTTCAATGGGAGAGGGGGGGGGTTCGATCCCATGCCACGATCAGATGTCTTCAAATTGTAGCTTTTTAGAGAGAGTATAAGGGGTTTTTAGATCATTTTGTGCCCTAAAATTTAAAGAGCTCCCCCAACTTTCCACTGTATGGAAGTATATGTGCTTCGTGTATTGCAGCGGGGCGGTGGTTGCTGGGGCCCGCAGTAAACAAAAGGTTTAATTGCCTGAGTTGGCGCCATCCGTTTTCCCTCTTTTTCGTCTCATGCTTCTCCCACTTCACCACTATTGTCTATTGTCTTCTTAGCGGAACATTATTCCCTTTCGTTATCCCTTCCTCGTTTCCCCCTGAATTCTGGGTCGAGGTGGGCCCTGTGATTCCGGATCCGGCGACATTCCAGACAGCAACCCTCGTACTACAGTGACTTGCATACCGGACACGCCCGGGATTCCACACACTTCAAGATCGTCTTTTCGGATCTCAGAATCGACCTTCGCGATGGATTACACCATGGAAGATACCCAGAACTCAGCCCCCGACGCCGTGGGGGAGTCCAAGCTGAACTCCTCGGCGCCTCGCAATGACACGCAGAGCGTCACCAAACGGTACGTGAGCCCGGCGTCTGTACGCTTCACCAGGCCCTTCATATCTCCAACGCATTGCGAAACAACATCAGGCTGATTTGTTTGCTTTCTGGTGATGTAGCTTGCAGGCTGAGTTGATGCAGCTCATGCTTTCCCCTTCACCCGGCATCTCCGCCTTCCCCGACGCCGATGGCAATTTGCTCTCGTGGACCGCGACCATTACTGGCCCGACCGAGACGCCTTACGAGGGTCTTACTATGAAGCTCTCTTTCGCCTTCCCCAACAACTACCCTTACTCTCCTCCAACCGTCCTCTTCAAGACTCCTATTTACCACCCGAACGTCGACTTCTCCGGCCGCATTTGCTTGGATATTCTCAAGGACAAATGGAGTGCTGTATACAACGTACAGAGTGTGCTGCTGAGCCTTCAAAGTCTTTTGGGAGAGCCAAACAAGTAAGTAGCCATTTGATGGCAATGAAAACAAATTAACACAGAGCCTGACCTTCAACACAGTGCGAGCCCTCTGAACGCCCAAGCTGCCGAACTCTGGGATTCCAACCAGGAAGAATTTAAGCGTCACGTCTTGGCACGCCATCGCGACCTTGACGACGAGTAGATGCCTTGATTTGGTGTCTTTGGGTTGCGCATTGCCGTCGGTCAGCCCTCCGGTGGTCCCCTTGTTTTGATGATCGGGGAGGCGGAGAACAAATGTATACAGGACCGGTTCATTACGGTTGGAGTTTATGGTCATCTGTGGTTTCTGCTTTTTACTTGTCTAGTTATCTTTATCCCATGCATCAAGTACAGGCGCGTGTGGCCTCAGGCGTGCCCAGCCTTTGCGTCCATCTTCGTTGGCAAGATTGACTCCCACCTTTTAAGATACTCCGCTCATCTATGCTGCAATGGGCAACATGGTGTAGAAGCTTGATTAAAATGGCTGTAGTATTTAGATATCGCGGACATGCCCTACGGTAAAGTTCTAACTGGATGTACCAAAGTACGCTTTTTCATCCGTGATGAGCATACCGGCGATAGTAGCACTGGTGAAGGTGCTCAGAGCCCCGGTGACCATTGCGCTGAAGGCAACACGAGACACATCACCACTTCGTCCTGGCGAGATCTGCGAAAGCATACCGATTTGGTTTCCCAACGAGCCGAGGTTGGCGAATCCACAAAGCGCGTATGTGACAATCAGCCGCGAACGGTCCGAAAGGTCGGCGTAAGCAGCATCATTTTGAAGGGCACTGAAAGCAGTGAACTCGTTCTAAATAGATCATTAGTATCAAAAGTATCCTAGAGAGAGATGCCGAGACTCACGGAAATGATCTTCAGACCAATCAGCTGGGCGACCTTGAGCAAATCTCCGTCGCGGGAAACACCAAGCAAGAAGGCAAGTGGGTAGCAAATGTATCCAAGGATCAATTCCAAGGTTAATGGAGGGTCGTTGATGTTGAGGTATCGTCCCCACCAAGTGAGGAGACCGTCGGCAAGGCCAATTAATGAAATGATACAGAGCAGAGTGGCAGCAATGGTAGCACCGATCTTAAGACCCAACCAAGCACCGTTGGCAAAGGCGTGCAGGGCATTAGCAGCGCGGTGTTCATCATTCTCGGGAATGACGACTCGACCGGCGGTCAATGTCTCTTCATGTTCAGGCCAGCGCAGCTTCGAGCACGCCAGTGACGCAGGAATACTCATGACACACGAGGATACCAGGGCCTGCGAGTTTACACCCATGGAAATGTAGGCAATCAAAACACTACCAGAGATTGTCGCAAAGCCAGATGTCATGATCTGATGGATTTCAGCCATGGTGAGATGGGGCACAAAAGGGCGGACGAGCATGGCCGACTCTCCCTGTCCAATGAAAGGAGATGCAGCTGCTACAACGGCTTCGGCACCAGAGACACGCAGCGTCCAGAAGAAGAACACCGCAAACTTTCCGAGGAACCATTGCAGGATGTTGAAATGGTACAGCAGCTGGACGAAAGAGACAAAGAAGATAATAGCAGGTATGGTGCTGACAAGGAACCATTTGCCCGGCGTGAGGAGCCTAGTCGCTCCAGTGTTGTCTTTCACAGTGATATCCAAGTCGTAGAAAGCCTCGGCGGTCAAGAACTCGACACCATCCGCTGCGAATCCAAGCAGCTCACGAGCCAGCTTGGCGACGAAGTTAAAGATATCATAACCAGCTCCACTTCGAAGCACGAAAAGAGCAATGATGAATTGGGTCAGCATACCAACGATAACTGTATGCCATCGGATCTTCTTGTGATCCCTCGACGAAGCCCATAGAACGAATAAGATAACCACCAGCCCGAACAGACTAACAGCACGGTCTGCGCGGTTATTAGATGGAGAAGTAGGCGAAGCAAATGCGCCAATAAGAAAGACTGCAATGCAAACACAAGCTGCAAGCGGTGTCCTGAGCTTCTCAGGAATCATGTTGACGATTGGATGCGCCGTGCGTGTCCATACCCATGCCATTGGCTTGGTAATTATAGTATACGGCACGTAGAAGAAGATGATCCGGAGGGTAATAGCCAGGTAGAGGAGGAAAGGAATCAACCACCCCAGATCGTAACGATGCAAGATCAAACCGGCAATCCACCAGCTATGAGCGAATGAGTCTGAGGCAAACTTCAACGTGGTCTCCATCATTATAACTCACCCGGTAAAGAGCAACCAGATCACAGCATGCACAACTGGACGCCAGTGCTTCAGGGCCCGGCGATACCAAGCCCGCACAGCAGGCTGTACCTCTCCAGACTCCCCGTACTTCTCATCCTGGCTATTGCTTTCGTTTGAATGGTCCAATGCCACTGGTTCAGGAATTCCTTTCTCAATCTTGTCCAAAGAACTCTCGTTGGCATAGACCACCTCATCCTCACGGCCTTGCTCTGCGAACTTGGTATGGTGGTGGTGAGCATGGTGGTGCTGATTCTGCGGGTCTAGGACAGGGTCCGCATGGTGTTGTGGCTGGATCTCATTCGATGCCATTGCGTTGGAGGAAACGATCTTTCTTCGCGGGCAGAGTCGGTGATTTTCGAAAATTTCCCCAAGCTTGGTCTGATCCTTGGCCTTCGGTCTATAACGCGACCATACCTCTCGCTGCCACGGTATATCAAAAATGCGCGATCAGAGGAGGATTTCTCACTACCACTTTTAGGTCTTTAAAGGAAAAGAAAAGGAAAGGTTTTTTAAGAAAAAAAAAGGTAAACGGCCGTCGCGAAAAGGTGGAGCCAGGATTTGGTTTCTCGGTTATCGTTATCAAGAGCCAGCAACTCGATGGACCCAGACGCGAAATTTTTTTAGTGGCAAGATTAGAGTGGATTTCGCGGTCTATAATTGGGGGAGCTTTTGTTTTATCGGCAACCGAGCCTTCTTTCTCTGTTCTGTGCGGGGGAGGGCGAATGCAAGATAAAGGCAGACAGGGGCTAAAGCTATGAAAGTTCCCTGGCAAAGGCGATTTGGGCCAATGAAGGATCGTGAAGCCTTGGGCTGGCGGGTTCGCCGGGCGTACCGTCTCAAGCCAGAATGGGTCTCATGTAACCACGCCGCGCCCGGGCGAATGATAGAGCTGTCACAACGCTATCTCGAGGCCTTAGCGCATTGGCGGATTCCATATCTTGCCACTACGGCTCATCGAATCCCTCGTGGAAGGACAGGTTTGGCGATCTTATCCCTCTGAGGTAGGATCTCCGCACTTTAACGGCATGTGGGGAGCGCAGTGGTTTGGTCGTGTGTTGCTATCGCCACCCCTTCCAGGCCTCTTTTTTTGACTTTTCCAGAATATCGAATATCAGACCCAGGTTGTACAGCATATTATGCATGAAGTTCGCTTTTGATATAGGTAACACTCTTTCGGTTTGTCTTCATCCACGTGGATTCAGTTCCATGCTTGCAGGGGTGGCCCGGAGGAATTCCGATAGGGATAACATTAAGACTTGGGGTTGCCACCATTCTTCCAGATAGCCTCTAGGGCATGAAGATTGCCTGCATAATAGATGGGTTTCCACTATCTATCCGCTATTGCGATACCAGCTTACTATCTTCATTAGTAGAAATTTGATCTTTATCTCGTTCTGTTGGTCTCCTGTTCGGCAGTTTGGACCATACATGGACGGGTTCAAGATTGAAATGTCCTGGGGCGAGTGACAAAGCTTACGCTTAAAAGGAGCCTTGGAATTCTGCATCCCTCAAAAGATCTAGCCAGCGCTTGTGACTGCTTTGTTTCTGTTACTTACGTATAGTTGGCTATAGCACGTGATCGTCAATGCCTCTAAGAAGCCAATGCTAGTTTGCCGCAAAGACGAAAACTCGATTTACTCACACCTGTGGAGGGGACTGAATGCCCTGTAGGTTGCCGTTGGAGGCGACCATTCCGGGCCTCGCATAACTTCGCCAGAGGATACTCAAGGAACACAGAAGAAGAATTGGTAACGTTATCCAGGAGTACGACATGGCGGAATATATCTGGAGACCTCCAGGCCCGCAGGCGCTGTGATCGGCCCTCGATGGCTGAAAGCGGTAAAGTGGGGGAGCCCCTCTCCAGCCCACCAAAAGCGTCGGATCTCTTCCATCAACCTGAGTGGCTGACCACTTCACAAATTCAAACATGGCAGACGACAATAAAGATTGGGAGCTGGAGCAGGGTATCCCACAGTTCGAGGACCCCTTCATCCAGCAGTACCTCAAAGGCCGCAACGCTCTTATTGAGGAGGAACACAAAAGACGTCATGGTAAGCTGGGAGGTGGGAGATGGTGAAGCAGGCATTCAATGTATTGACCGAACCTAAGACGCTGCTTTTCGCAAATCGCTCTCCCCTATTGCCGCGCGCGCGTGCAGTATTGTCTCGCAGATTCGCGCTCGCGAGCGGGAGCAAATATGGACCCAAGGTTTGGATGAAGCTACAGCTCATGAGTCCGATGAAATCTTGTACCCGGGGGTCATGTTTCACAATGCTAAAGGACGGATGGAAAAGACAAACTTGTGGAAAATTGTTTCGAAGATGCCCAAGGGATCCTTGCTTCATGCTCACCTCGATGCCATGTATGATCCGGACTTCTTAATTGAGCAAGCCTTCAATACTCCGGGTATGCACATTTCCGCGCCTCAAGCCCTGGTCACCCCAGAAGACTATGGAAGTGCTCCTTTTGCGTTGCAATTCTCATCTCGTTCGCCAAACGAGCCTGTCACAACCTCTCTCTGGGAAGATAATTACGAGCCAGCAGCTCTGATTCCACTCCAGACAGCAGCTTCCTCTTTCCCTAAGGGGGGAGAGCCGGATTCCGGGAATGGGTGAAGAGGCGTTGCATAATTGCGCCAGAGCATTCTTACCAACACCACCATGGCGTCGATGCTATTTGGAAGATCTTCAAAGGCACCTTCCCCGTGATCAACTCTATTCTAATGTATGAACCGATCTTCCGCACATGTTTTCGCCGCTTGCTGGGCGAGCTTGCGGAAGATGGTATCAGCTATGTGGAATTCCGTATCGCGCGGCTTTCTTTCACGCTGGAAGGACAAGATGAACCCGAAGAGACTGGTGAGGGGTTCTGCGCATTATTTGAAGAGGAAGTTGCGCGGTTCCAGCAGACCGAGGCAGGAAAATCTTTCCATGGGGCGCGGATTATCTGGTCTGGGCTCCGGTTCATGGACAACATAGATCTTGTCGATAGCATGAAGCAAGGTATTGAGTTAAAGAAGTCGTTCCCTGAACTGATCTGCGGCTACGACTTAGTTGGCCAAGAGGATACAGGGCGGCCACTGGTTGACCTTGTCCCACTCCTATTTTGGTTTAAAAAGCAATGCGCAGAAGAAGGGGTCGATATGCCGTTCTTTTTCCACGCTGGCGAGTGCTTAGGAGATGGCGACGATACAGACCACAACCTTTTCGACGCAATTCTCCTTGGAACAAGGCGAATTGGCCATGGATTCTCGCTTTTCAAGCATCCTTTGCTTATCGATTTGGTCAAAGAGAAGCAGATTCTCATTGAATGTTGCCCTATCTCGAATGAGATTCTCCGACTTACAAGCACGATCAAGTCCCACCCGCTACCTGCGTTGCTATCCCGCGGGGTTGCTGTATCGCTTTCCAACGATGATCCTGGAATTCTTGGCCACGGTCAAAACGGACTAACGCATGACTTTTGGCAGGCCGTACAGGGGTTGCAGAATGTGGATCTTGCCGGTCTTGCCATGATGGTCCAGAACTCGATCCGCTGGAGCTGCTTTGAAGACCAGTCGACGGCACAATGGAAAAAGGATGTTAAAGACGGGATCTTAGGCGAAGGATTGAAGGCTACGCGACTAAAGGAATGGTGGTCTGAATTTGAGAAGTTCTGTGAATGGGTAGTGATGGAATTTGCCGAGTTTGATGAGGAGAACGATTAGACGAGATTAGCTGGGCATCCCTCTCTGGTGGCTACAGCCTACCCGAATTAATAAGACATTTCTAGATGAAGTCGAGACTAGCTTGAAGCCCATCTCCGTCGGCGTAGAAGTGAGGCGGTGTAAGGCACGGAGTGGAGCCGCCTGACTTGGGCTGATCACTTATCGGTTATCAGGTGCCCACGTCTTGCTCCGCACGTCATTGTCGAACTCCCCTCCTTTCCCACACTCCTGGGAGCGTTTCTCGACTCTCTCCGAACATTATAATGTCGCCTTTTCGCTAGTCGAACTCTGTGAGCAAAGCGGCTCTTCAAGATGGCGTACTTTCTGCCGTCCTTCTTCCAAAGGAGGCTCCTCAAGTATGCCTTGTCCCGCGTGGGATTGGTGGATACAGAGGCTCTGGATCCTGATAACCTGGGAATCCGGTTCGGTCAGAGGAGTACTGTCGAGCTGCGTGATATTGGGCTAAAGCTAGATGTGAGATAACAATAATCCTGCTAGTGGGGGGCCCTTATAGCCCCCTACTTATCGATATGATAAATGCTGACGTTCTATTTTTATGGGATAAGAAACTCGCAACCCTTCTGAACCTTCCTCCATCATACGAAGTACTTAGCGCCCGGATAGCGTTCCTGCGGATCACTGTTCCAGCCGATATCTACAGTAGTAGCATCATCTGTGAAGCCACCGGTATTCATGTTCACATTCAGTGTTTGTCCGAAGAGGCCGGGCAAGGGAAAAGTGGAAAAGGCCGGAGCTCTAGCTCTCCAAAAGCGTCACTCGGCGACGAGCAGATCATCCCCACACCATCAAATCTCGCAGAATCTTTTTTGCAGACTGAGCCGAAGGAGGAAAAGGAAGAGCTACAGGCAGCAATATCATCACAGTCGCACATTCTACAACGGGAGTCATCGTCTTCTGATCAGGAGGAAGATGAAGAAGAATTGGGGCTTGGAAATGAAGCCACGTCGCTGCCCAGTTTCGTGGCTGGCTTTTTGAAAGGCGTGGCAGACCGGCTACAGCTCATAATCAAAGATGTCGCTGTGCGACTCGATATGGGTCTTAAACAGGAGGCCCCATCCAAGAGGCAACCTGAGGAGAAGCCAGATGTTGTTGCAGGCTTGTTCACTATTGGAGAGATCAACGTTTACGGGGTTTCAGGGGTCACTACTGGTCCGGATGGTACCCCGCCTCTCCGCGAAGGGAAGAGGCTGCTTTCCCTTAGTGATATTAACCTAGGCCTCGTAGCGGATCCGATGATTTTTGCAAACTATTCGAGATTCACATCACCACCATCACCAACTACCACGATGCATTCAAAGGAAGGCCACCCGCTGAGCAGGGCGACTTCACCTCCCTTCTTGGACGCGCCAGAGCCAGAGGCAGATCTAGCCATGACAAGGTCAACAATTTTCGAACCATCTCCAGCTTTTTCACAATGCAGCGTGGAGCAGCACGGAATGGAAGCTTCTTCATTCTCCAATGATGGTCGGTTTTCAGATGCCAATTCGTACACCGAAAGTGCTGGTCGCTCGCCATATGAGTCTCAGGTCTTTGAGGATGATCCGTTCCAGGACAATCCGGGCTATCTAGACTCTGTCATCGACTCGCAGTTTGATTATTATGATGAGCAACTACCCCCAACAATGCAATCTTCCGGGGGTCCAATCCAAGCCAGCAGACGCAAGCTAAGCCAAGGCAACTCATCATATCTAAATCACGTTGCTGGCGGCGATGAATATCATGATTTGGAAGACAATCTAAATTCAAAACCCTCACATGGCTCCCACCTTCACGATCACGAAAGCCATAAACAACATGGTCCTCAAGAGGATGTCATGGTTCAGTCTTCTACCCTTCCACTAGGCGAAGAAAATTTTATACGGCATCTGAATTCTTCACAAAATGCACAAGATTTGTTTCCTCCATCCAATCCTGGAAGTGAAAATTCGGCTATGGCAACATCTGATGCCAACCTCACTGAGTCCAAGTATTTTTCTCATGATGAAGCGCAAAGTCTGTACATGAGTGCGGTCAGTCAAGGATCCCATCATATGCCTGGTGCATGGGACTCTTCTGGCCGGCAGGACGATCTCAAAGATTCCAACTCTTTTCAACAGTCCCGTAGCATTGGTCCTAGTCCTGAGGCGGAGGAGAACCAGGAAAACGTGGGGGACTCAACCCCAAAATTGCCCGGACCACCCGGCTCTTACTTTGGGATCAACACGACTCCTATGAATATGTCATCATCTCAATCAGCAGGACCCGATAAATCATCGGACGCTTCCTCGCCAAACGTTGGGAAAATCAGGGAGATCAAGAAACCAATCCTTTCAGTCAATCGACTATATTTCTGGGTTCCATCAGATCCTGACGGAGAGCCAGGAGACAAGCTCTATCCTCCGGCATCATTCGAGAAAGCTGATAGTGATAATAATGATCTTGCATACGGCGTCGAAGAGAGTATGTTCGCCTCAAAGACATATGCTTCAACCAGATTGCCACAAAACCTAGCCGAGCCCTCCATTGCTTCTGAGTCTGGCGCTACTGGTCAACAGCAGCCTGCCGCACGGAGACAGGAGCTAGCTGTTGAGGCTTTCGCGGTAAATCTCCACTTCGACATCGCGACTGGGTGGCTTCTCGTCAAAATATCCCAGAAGTTGTCTCGTTCAATTGATACACCTCAAAATGATCAACGACCAAAATCCCCAAAGACCTCACCGAATGAGTCAACGCCTCAAAATCCCTTAAACGTGACTGTACATAGTATTTCCATCAATTTCGTCGAGCACGTGGCGGGTTATCCTCATACGGCAGAAAGCTCATTCCCCCTCCTTCACCCCCATCTCCATTGGAGGATATCGTCCTTCGAGCGACTGCTTCTGGCTTGAAACTTAACCTCTCATCAAGTGACAAAAAGACCAATGTCCATCTCGGTATCGCCAAGTTTTCATTCGGGGTAGCGTCAGAAGACTTCATCTGTTTCAATGAGTCTCTGAAAATGCGCGAGTCTACAAGAGATATCATGTCAAACTCCCACGATGACATATCCCTATCCCTTGTCAAGACTGCCAATTCCGCGAAGGTTGAAGTTTCGACACTGCCTTTGCATATCAATTTTAACATCCAATATCTGGAAGAGGTTCTTGGGTGGTTAGGTGGACTGAGCACAATACTTGAGCTTGGAAGTTCTATTTCATCTACTTCAACAATGAAAGGTGGTGCCAACCCCGTAACGAAGCGCCCTCGTGGTGTTCATTTTGAAACTCCTGCACCAATCTCCAACAAAGAAAGCTCAAATTCTACTCTACTGAAGGTCAATGCAAGGATTGGAGGCATTGCATTAGACGTCATCGGAGAGAGCCATTTCCTCAAGCTCACTACTACTGCTGTCAAGATCGTGAGCAGGTTTGAAGGCATCGGTGTCCAAATCGACAAAACCCGGCTGTCTGGTCCTCTACCGGTGGAAGATACCGCTGATGCCCCTGCACAAGTGACGTTGAACAACATCCGCCTCGAGTTCTTATTTGCGCCCAAAGAAGTCGACCTCGATCGTCTTTTGACCCTAATCACTCCGTCCAAGGATAAATATGAAGATGAAGATGATATTATGCTCGAGACTCTGCTGCGTCAAAGGAGACAGGGATCAGTTCTTCGTACCACCGTTGGAAGAGTAGAAACGATTATCTCAGAAACTGACAAACTAGCCCCCTTATCCACTCTTGGATTGGAGCTAAGTCGGCTGTCTAATGTCACCAAGTACCTTCCTGAAGACGATCGTCCAGGGCTTCTCACTTTAACTTTGCTCCGGGAATTTGATGGCCGATTTCATCTGAATGGTGAAGTTGGAAGTATAAATACGCATTTCAAAGACGTCGAGGCTGCTTGGATCAGCATGCCTTCTCTTATCGCTATGCAGATTGGCTCGATATTCGTGGATAGGAATGGCGACGAAGAGCTCATTGGCGAAGCTTTGCTACCCGGGCCAGCCCAGTCGCCGATGAAGCAAAAGCCCCCTGTCCTTATGGCAAGATTTATTCCAGACGAGATGGATCCCACTTTCAAGATCAAGCTTCATCATCTTCGCGCAGAGTACAAGATACCTTCGGTAATGGCGTTCCTGGGGCTCAGTCATGATGCCACCAGTGGAGAGCTCACGAGCGAGATGGCAACTTCAATTGCCAACCTTGCTGAACACTCAGCACGAGCAAAAGATCCGTCCGCATTCTCTTCAGGCAAATCAGAATCTTCAAAGGAACCCAGCAAGCCCATGAAACTCGCTGTCATTTTCCGAGATACGGTTCTTGGCCTGAACCCTCGCAATTCATCATCAAAAGCTCTAGCAGTTCTCACCAATGCGAAGTTCAGTGGAACCATGCACAGCAAAGAGTCGTCGGACGCCACCTTCGATATTCGCAAGGCGTCTTTGATGATCATTGATGATGTGAAAAATGCAGGCAAAACGGAGAACCTTCACCAACGCCGATCAGCGGTCATCCAAAATAGTCAGACCCAAGCATATATAGATGCAGGCTATGTCCCTGTCACAAGTATCTCGTCTGCCACTGCAATTGTTAAGCTAATGCGTCTTGCTGAAGATGGAACCCAGTCATTGGATGTTGAATTCAGAGACGATCTGTTGATTCTCGAGACTTGCGCTGATTCGACCCAGACCCTCATAACCATTTTGAACGGGCTCCAGCCTCCGACTCCGCCAAATGTGACAGCCAAATACAGAACTGAGGTGATGCCAATCCAGGACATGCTCGCATCATTTACCGGAGATGCATTTTCTGCAGGTTCTGATGAAGCAGCTGCACCATATGCCGAGCCTGACACCGACCTACTTGATGCCGCTTTGGACAACCGTTTGAGCGAGGAACTTGAATATGTCAGCGATTTCTATCCGGGTAGCGAAGGCTCTGAGCATCCGGAGGCTGGCCAAGAAGATCTGGTCGATAGCTTCCGTTCTGAGTATTACGTCTCATCTAGCATCGGCGAACTTGATTTCCAAGATGATCATTTTGCCAAGCAATCGGCTGTTGGTGGGACAGCCCATCGGTGGGATTCAACCCATAACACATATGGGCTCTCAAACGATCAGAAACTCCAACGCAGCCCTTTGCGAGTCAGAGTGCGGGATATGCACATAATCTGGAATCTTTTCGATGGCTATGATTGGCAGCGGACAAGGGATACAATCTCAAAAGCCGTGAAAGACGTTGAAGTCAAAGCTACTGAGCGGCGAGCCCAGGCATCCCGTATGTCACCTGACGCTGAAGAAGAAGAGGAGTCCGTTATTGGAGATTTCCTGTTCAATTCGATCTACATTGGAATTCCTGCCAACAAAGATCCTCGCGAGCTTCACCGCGAGATCAACCGCGACATCAATGATTTAACCAGCGAGACCGGAGAGTTACGCGACGACAACCACAGTCACCGGTGCAACCAGTCGCCAAGGTCGCTCGGGACCCGAGCGAGAAAAGAAGTTGCGTCTTCACCGTAGCAAGCACCATAAGATGACTTTTGAGCTTAGGGGGTGTCTCTGCTGATTTGGTCGTTTTCCCACCTGGTTCAGAAGAGACCCAAAGCTCTCTGGATGTACGTGTCAAGGACTTGGAGATCTTCGATCATGTCCCTACCTCTACCTGGAAGAAGTTCGCAACATACATGCATGAGGCAGGCGAGCGAGAGACTGGGACCTGCATGCTCCATCTTGAAATACTTACTGTAAAGCCCGTTCCTGAGCTTGCAGCGTCTGAGATTGTCCTCAAGGTAATTTCCTCCACATTCCTAGATCTAATAGAAAGAAGAGAGAAGAGAGAGAGAAAAAAAGAGTAAGCTGACATTTTTCCAAGGCTACAATCTTGCCATTGCGGCTGATTGTTGATCAAGATGCATTGGACTTCATGAGCCGATTTTTCGAATTCCGCGACGACTCCGCCGAGGTATCTAGCACCCCAGGCGACGTTCCATTTTTGCAGCGAGTTGAAATCAATGCTATAAAGGTCAAACTGGACTTCAAGCCCAAGCGGGTGGACTATGCTGGCCTTCGCTCTGGCCGAACGACAGAATTTATGAACTTTTTCGTTCTCGATGGTGCCGACATGGTCCTGCGCCACGTGATCATTTATGGAATTTCTGGATTCGATCGACTGGGCAATACATTGAACGACATATGGATGCCAGATGTCAAACGCAACCAGCTTCCTGGTGTACTCGCAGGGCTCGCACCTATCCGATCCTTGGTCAATGTCGGGGGAGGCGTGAAAGACTTAGTTGTGGTTCCCATGAGGGAGTACAAGAAGGACGGGCGCATAGTGCGCAGTATCCAGAAAGGAGCTGTAGCATTTGCCAAGACCACATCGAATGAGATTGTCAAGCTGGGAGCGAAACTTGCCATCGGCACGCAGACAGTCCTCCAGGGTGCTGAAGATTTATTGACAAGCCCGAATGCCATTGCTGCGTCTGAGGAGAGCGGCGACGATGAAGACGAGGTCAACAAGATCTCTCCTTACGCTGACCAACCGATCGGTGTTGTTCAGGGCCTACGCGGGGCTTTCCGAGGACTGGAACGTGACTTACTCCTTGCCCGAGATGCTATTGTGGCTGTCCCCGGTGAAGTGGTCGAAAGCGGCAACGCTGTTGGCGCAGCCAGAGCTGTCTGGAAGCGAGCCCCTACGGTAATCCTTCGACCGGCCATCGGCGTCTCCAAAGCCGTTGGGCAAACACTCCTCGGTGCCGGCAACACCCTTGATCCGACAAATCGCCGCAGAGCGGAAGATGTGAGTGAAAAAAATCCCCTTACCAATAAACTGCATTTCTAACCCCTGTCACAGAAATATAAACGCCGTTGAGATATACTCATTGTTCGATCCCACTGCGAGAACACCCCGCTACGAACCCTCCCACCCGTTCTTTTCACACTTTTACTAGTCCTGTCGTTTGTTTTTCAGCCAATGCCCGTAGATACATCCTTTTACCCGCCGCGATGATACCATTTGGAACGACCGAGATACGGAACGCATGTAAAATTGCTTCTACGAATGCATAACTCAGGAGTCTCTTCTCTTCAAGTTCTTCAATGTTTTGGCTGAAGCCGCATTTTGCTATTGCTTTGAACTTCTTAAGCAGGCTGCCAGATAGAGATAACATCCAAGCCTTTAATTGATAACAGCTACTCCTAATGGGTTCCTCCTCTCGCATCAGTGATCCCAGTCAATGGTGGAAGTTAGGTCGTATATTAGTGACGTCCGCGAACTCCAAGTGGACCGTTCACGTGCGTGGTTTCCAAGTTGCAATGCATACTTCTTGCCTTAGCAAGTAAGGAAACAGCATGACACATGGGTCGATTGAACGGATTGAAAGAGAGCATTCATAGACGGTGACCGAGTGGTAACCCCGTCCACGCGAAAGGGACCTCTAATATTGTGGTGTCTCTGGACTCTATAATCGAATTCGCACACTACTACTACAAGTATTACCACCTACTATCGATTTGACGATTGCAAGTCGAAGACTTGAAGTAGTGGGTTTATGGCCCTTGCTGCTGTGCTGGGATTGAAAGATATCAATCCCAAAGCGCACTCCTTCAAGTCCGGACCACTATCGCCAGTGTACAGGGATATTTGGGAGCATATCAAGCAATGATCATAAACTCCCAGTACATAAGACTACAGGGTGTGGAGAACAGGGCTTCCCGTCCGCTCAGCCGTACTTAAGCCACGTACAAAACAGTTGATTCTCTGAGAGCCCTAAGTCTTAAAACGGCGTCACAATTTATCTTAGGGTGAGTGTGGGCGACATGGATGATAATTGGGGCGACGATGGGTGAGGAGGTAAGAACCGGGTAAGAGCAGGGTGAGAATATCTACTTTCGTATTTTCCTAATGGTGGTGATAAATAGCTTATAGGATGCCCCTTCCGGTCTGCTATCTCTTTCTCATCGCCACCTAGCAAGAGCATACTACCAGAGGCGGTATAGCAGAAAGGGATCTTGATATATCCTCAAAGGCGCTTTCAACACCAATTCGATGGTGTTTCGCCATCGAATCCCATTGTTCCTTGACACTAGCCTGACCCGGACCCAACCCGGACTTGGATCTTCTTTCTTAGAGGAATATCATGATTAAATGACTTATAATAAACAACCCTGTAATAGCCTTTATGCCTTTCACTATTAGGGAAAGCTCAAATATTCCAAGTGTTTTTCTATCCTTGGTTCTCATATTGGATGTGGGACCTGTTTGCCTTGAGGTGCTTATGGCCCGAACTTGAAGTTAGTCGAAGTGCCCAATTGGAACGATGAAAGGGAGCATATGATTGAAAGTGGCCCCAACAGCTCATTAGGCAAGCTGTCTTTCATGCATTTGCAGGAATTGATTCAGGCCGCCAACTACGTACCAATATGCAAGGCCGCCAAGCTGGGTCGCCAATTGATTTGCAGCCCCAACCCCCGTGTATGAGTAGACCAATGTTCTCGTGCCCTCACCAAGGCCTCAATGCTCGTACTTTTACCATTGTTCTATTTATACGTGTATAGATGAGGGCTTTTTTTCACATTTAATTTTATCCTTGGTTCATAATTCCATCGGCCAGGGCAGTAAAAACATATAAGTTCAGCCAGCGCGCTCGTTCAAATAAGATTCGTCAAGGTCTCGACATTGAACTCAGAGAATATCACTTTCAAAAAAGTGACAAGATCCACCTGGGCAGTCATCAGATTCAATATGTCTTCAATGAACATTCTTGCCTTGGGCAGTATTGCTCTATTCTCCTTTATTCACTCATCTCTTTCTTTACCCTCCGCACCTCCTCAATTCGAAGTATTGGTTCGCAACGAAAGCTACGCCTACAACCCATCCGAAGAACTCCGCAATGAGGTCCTCGCACGACGCGCCGAGCTTCCCTTCGCAAAGCGTGACTATGCAACTGTGCAAATTTGCACTGACGCGTCCTGCACCAACTGCCACACCGTGTGGGATGCGGAATTTACAACCGCCAGTGCTTGTATCTCAGCCGCAAACACTGAATGCATGATTATTTCCAATCTCAATCAAGCAAACATCGAGTATTGGAGCAGTCCCGGCTGCCATGGTCGCAACTCCCATTACGGTGGATGTCCTGGTGGAACCAACGCTGTCGGATCGCCGGACACTCAATCTATCGGTGTTCACCCTGGTTGTTAGGGCGCACTGTGACTGAGGACTACTTGATATTTAAGATTTCCTTCACGCAGGACTTTTGTTTCTGATTCACATTGTTATTGATTCCAGCCAACTCTATATCTCTCGTTCGGTGTCGTGGACAGACCGTGGCATTTATATCATGCAGAACTTTTTCACATTGCTATTTGAAATATATTATGCTTCTTGATATGATAATTCGTGTTTTGATCTCCAAGCTCCTGGCCGTTTTTAAATAATTAGAATCATCGTCGAGATGACATTACAGAACAGCTATGATAAGACATGTTACTACGACTAGTGCACCCTATAAAGCATATGCCCAGGTGTGAATTGCTGGCAGCACCTGTCTGTGGCGGTCCCTCTGCTGCCCCCACATGAATTGCCACAATTTATGGGACCCCATATTTTGCATCGTTCCGCTAGGTGAACGAAAGCAGAGCCAGCTAATTTTCGTTATCGAATTTGAATAGTTTGATTTCGGTTTGAATTGCACTCATAGTGCTCTCAAATTTTAGCATTTTATGTGCAACAGAGAAGCTGCATGAACCTGCTGTTGAATCCTATGAGATATATATATATATATATATATATATATCTATCAGCAGTCTGCGACACAATAGCAATCACGTTGAATAGCAGTTCGGCGTGCTCCTTGTTCCGATTCCATGACAGAAGACAAACACGATTCAGCGATAGAAAAAGCGTCAAATTCCCGCTACAGTATCTCCATGTACTCGTCTCGAGTCATGGAATTTGCGTGCTCAGGACAGAGTGGTTCAACGTCTCAAACAGTCTATCTAAAGCTCATTCTAAAGGGGCACTAATCATACGATGCACTAGTACTCTCCGGTCAGTCTAGGATGTTACAGCACCTATAGGACAGGCTCTATGTCCAAATTATTCCGAATACGCCACATTATATCTCGACAAATGGTACTTTCTCTCCAGGATGAGTCTGTAGCCAACTCTCCCATCATTCGAGTTCCGACAGCAAAGGACTAGTCCAAGAAGACCATTCAAAATACCGTAATGCCATCGTCCTTACAGTGAAACAATATAATATTAATTGTTATGACTGTATATATGGATATATAATCATCGTGTGAAGATAGCCTTGAAAGAGCAGCTTAGAGGCGGACACCGATATGCAGATAAGATTGCTCCCCTTGTATGTATAACAAGAACAGGACACGACGAGCGCGAAGACTAAGTTTAAACTGTTTTTAAGAACACAAGATTTTGAAATAAGTAGCTAGGAAACCGACGAAAATTGTAGAGGACATGAATGCCAGGCTCAATATGATGTTTGAAACCAGAGAGTTCTTTTCCCGTACAATCAAGAATGGGGAACCTTTTGATAGCTTCATCTCAAATGGATCATGGAGATGATCGAGGAAGTATGTCAATTTCTGTGATACTGGTATAGTGAGTTGAGACTTGTTATCAGGCACGTCAGACACTTCGAAGATTTCATGCTTTTGATCTGGAGATGAAATGCGATGAAAAGGAAATTAAAGGAAATTTGAATACACAGGAAGAGCAGATATCCATATTTGTGCAGATTCTGCATACGAAACAAGTTCCAGTGATAGAGTCGCAACAGAAACTGTAGATCGCTTGATAAATATGAGTGGCAAGGGGGTATTTGAGGGAAATGAACCTGAAAGAGATGGCGTGCGTTGTTCGTGTTGTTAAGGAATAGGAAATACCGACCCAATTGCTGCAACACAAGCCATGTAGAGTTTGCGCTAAGCTCAGGAAGAATATTGGTGAGGTGGAAGAGGGATAGTTGAACAATTATCTCTTGATTTTCGTGAGGTGTTAACAAGAGCTGAGGACAACGTCCAGTTATTTCTCGCATCAAAGTTTCGTGCCCGAGTGCCCAGTCCATAGCATGTCTGCCATAGCCGCCTGGAACAGAAGGGTCGGCACCGAGATTTAGAAGCTTGGTCGCGAAATGAATGTGGCCAAAGCAGATCGCCACGCGGAGAGGGGTTTGTAAGAGCCTGTTGTGCTTGTTGATAGCTGAAAGAAGTTGGGGGAATCGAAAGAGAACATGGGTTATATCCCTTGAAGCTGCGATGTGAAGAGGTGTCTGATCGAGTTTATCTGTCAGGGAAATATCTGCACCAGCATGAAGAAGAATTTCAACAGCATCGGGATAGCCTGAATAAACAGCCGCCAAGAGAGGTGATGAGTATTTACCACCCTGGGCGTTGATATTGGCTTGAGCGTCAAGTAGGATCTTGACCATCTCAACACTTCCCTCATATACAGCGGCCTATAGAGCATTGCCAAAATGACCATCTTGGGCGTTGATATCGGCTTGAGCGTCAAGCAGTATCTTGACTATCTCAACACCAGAAAGTGTGAGTCAAATCATCACGACTATCCAAGCATCTTGACACACACCGGATGAAATGTTAATTGTCCCGATTGTCCCATAGTTATTTCCGAGTTCAAGACCCTTCTTCGCACTGCCAAAAGATGTCGAGCCCATGTTGAATATTCAGTGCAGAAAATGGGGCTGCTATAAACCGAAACTTCCACCTGAAAGTCAAGGTTGTCTTACCCCTCAGATGACAGTCGGGCCCTAAACCTTGCTAGGCTGGGAGCTACTACGATAATCCGGTAAGTAACGATACATCGCCAAAACAAATGAGGCTCACAGAGCTTCTTTGAAAGTAGTTTAGCGTACCTCGCCATTTAGCGATCGGGGAACAATGAAAGAGTGTAGGTTGGTGACCCCGATTTCCAGAAATACTGTAATGATTAATGCTGGACTACAAAATTTTCGGAAGTCAGTTTCGCTGCTTCTAGCACCCATATTGTTTCCGAACTTTAATGCCAACCTACACTAGCCTGTATATAGACCTATACACATTTTATGCGATAACGTGGACGGGTTATGGTAAATTGAAGTCACATGAATATGTACGCTGCGCGGAAAGCGGGAATATCGCAATACAATAAGTCTGACTAGAGCTCCTCACGAGCAGTATTATTGTCCTCTAATCCCACGGGATCCAAGACTGGTGATGATGATTTCAATCACCCTGACCCGTCGTCGAAGCTACGTGGATACAATGATTCTCGTAGTTGTCCTGATATCGCTATGCAAGTTGATTGTTTTAAACCTTGTCCACTGCCAAGGGTCGGGCCTAGCACGAGGTTGATTTATTGGTGCCTTGCCAGCACTTTCTTGAAGGGTAAGTCGAAATATCGCGAAAGCTCTAACCATACTGCAGATAACTAAGAAAGCTCTGTTCTCTCTAACCCTTCTTTCAAAAAGACAATGAAGATATCAGAGAGCTGGAAGCGCTATTTGATACGGTATACCTTCCTTGACTGAAAAGGCGATTATAGCAACTCTGCCATTTGCGCATCCAAGGGCGATAGTACTGTCTTTGACTGCCGAGGAGGTAGGCTGATAATCTGGAGGGAGCCATAGCTCTCTTTGGCCCTGAATAGTAACCCACCGACCTGCTAGAGATACCTCTGCCACTTTTTCAGAGGGATTTGAGGAAAGGCTTCCATGGAAGACCCCAATATCGAAAGATCCGAGGTTGGTATTCAGCCACGGCAGTTTCTCAGAAAATTCAACGTGAGTGACAGAACTGTGCGTACTTATGGTATGCCTGAGGGTGCCAGTGGCAGGATCCCAGAGCTTAATAGTTTTATCATAAGAGCCCGACGCCAGCAGCAGGCCATCTCGTGAGAAGGCGACCGACCAAACCATGTCGGAATGGCCCTCTAGAGTATGCTTGAGGGTGCCAGTGACAGGATCCCAGAGCTTAATAGTTCTATCACGAGAGCCCGATGCTAGTATCTGGGTATCTTGTGAGAAGGTGAGTGATAAAACTCCCTTGGAATGGCTCTCTAGAGTATGCTTGAGGGTGCCAGTGATAGGATCCCAAAGCTTAATAGTTTCATCATCAGAGCCTGATGCTAGTATCTGGCCGTCTGGTGAGAAGGCGACCGACCACACATCTTCGGAATGGCCCTCTAGAGTATGCTTAAGGATGCCAGTGACAGGATCCCAGAGCTTGATAGACTTATCACTAGAGCCTGATGCCAGTATCTGGCCATCTTGTGAGAAGGCGACCGACCACACCTCTTTGGAATGGCCCTCTCAGAGTATGCTTAAGGGTGCCAGTGATAGGATCCCAGAGCTTGATAGTTTTATCATAAGAGCTAGATGCTAGTATCTGGCCATCTGGCGAGAAGGCGACCGACCAAACCCCCTCAGAATGGCCCTCTAGAGTATGCTTAAGGATGCCAGTGATAGGATCCCAGAGCTTAATAGTTTCATCAGCAGAGCCTGATGCTAGTATCTGGTCATTTTGTGAGAAGGCAACCGACCAAACCATGTCGGAATGGCCCTCTAGAGTACGCTTGAGGGTACCAGTAGCAGGATCCCAGAGCTTGATGGTTTCATCACTAGAGCCCGATGCAAGTATCTGGCCATCTCGCGAGAAGGCAACCGACCAAACCACGTCGGAATGGCCCTCTAAGGTTTGCAACTCTGGACTCCAATTCTCTTGCACTCTTGGGCCTCTGGATAACCAATCAGGAAGCTCTCTCGCAAAATCCGTCCGGATTAACGATCTCTGCGGTGCAAAAACCAAGCCGGAGCTGTACAGCTGCAGCGGTGCCATGTCAACGATGTTTACAAACTTGTAGGTATACCTGCGAGCGTCCGAGAGGAACAAAAATATAGGAGTTTTCAATGAATCCTATATTCGACTAACGTTACTCGATTCACTGCACATACCTCAGTAAGAGACACTCACCTTTGTCAACTCAAGTAATGTGTCCAGAGCGTTCAAGCATTCGGATATTATCCCTGATATAGCCATTACCTCCAGCCAATGAAGGAAGTGCTCTTCGAGAAACACGAGTATTTGGTCAATGACCTGGGCGGGGAGGGAGCTTTGGGCGAGATGGTAAACCCAATAACGGCAGGTGTACTGCAGGACAGGTGGGAGAAATCTTGCTATGGAGGCAGAGTCTATCTCGCTTCGGCTGGTTCCATAACTGGGCAAGTTACAAATATTCTTCCTAAGCAGACGACGCATAACAGCGAGACACTGTCCAACTATGAACTCGTGCTTCTTCTTCGTGTCTACCCAGAACCGAGACGTGGACTCTTGGGCTTTCGTACGCTTATCCACCAGATAGTCGTGGAAGGACAGATGGAGAGCTCGTATGGGTAGGTTGGGATCGTCAGGTATGGTCAGAACCGAATGAAATGCGTCTAGCCGGGTACTGATGTCATCTTCTGGCATCTCGAGAAGTTCCGTAAGAGCACTCAACGAGAGTGGAGTAGCCAGGAGAACAATCACGCCAATTGTCTTCTGGAATTCCTCCACCAGCTGATCCGTGTCGTTCTCATCCTCGGCAAGCAGCTGATTTAAGATTGGTCGGTATGTTTTGTCCATTTTGGATCCGAGCGAATCTTCAAAGAACTGCTGCAGTCGTCTTTCAGGGTTCCATCTCTTATCAGCCACAAAACGACACACCGTAGCTGCGAAGATGAACAATGGAACAGCCATTGCAGCTAGACCGTCAATTCTTGCCGCACCAGGCCAATCGGGAGGAAGATCACGATGACGCTTTTGTCTGATGCGGCGGAATTCTTCTCTGAGATATAGGGTAATGTCGTGTCTTATCACCTCATTATCCAAGTTCTGTAAGATCGTATTCTGATACTCGCCCTGATCAATTTGATCAAACCCGAAGCGAATGGTTGCCTCTGGCCGGCTCGTCAAGAAGAATCGGAGCTTCAGGCATGTTGCCTTCTCGACCTTTGGTAAAAGTTCGAGGATGACTGCCACGTCTTCCTCCCGCTCGCACTCATCTAGGGCGTCGATGACTACCACTGGCGAAGTACTTGACTGGCTCCGATCCACCGCGAGCAATGGCTGTAGCATAAGTTTATCAAACTGCTCCTGAAGCGATTTTCTCGCAATGGCTGGATCATCATCGATAGCTTTTCGGATGCCGACAATCATTTGAGGAATGTGGACTGCTAATTGCGCCACAATGGTGGGAAATAACTTTTCAGCTGAGCCCCGGTCTCCCTCGCCTCTTTTGAAAAAGAAAGTTGCCCCGAGCATGCCATCTTCTTTAAACGATCGAGCTACCGTCCTCGCAATAGTGGACTTTCCAGTCCCTGCCATTCCACTCAGCCAGAATATGGATTTGTCACTTGACCTTCCCCACTCCTTCACTTGTTGAAGCAATTCTTTTCGCGTCCCAGGAAGACATTCGTCCTCATGTTGGTCCTTAAAGGAGTCAAAAAACGCTCCATCAGCAGAAGGAAGATTCAACATGTCAACTGCTTTGTGCACAGTTTCAATTTTCGACACCAGAGTGTCGATCCGAGTCAGAATGGCCTCTGCCTCGGCTTGCCGGTGGAGATGCTGATCGAGAAGCAGCCAGTGATGTAGATGGGACTCCTCCGCCTCGATCGAGGTCTTGAGCTGTGCGAGTTGCTGGCTCGCTACAGCCGCTATGCTCTCCACAAAGTGTCTCCCCATGCTAAAATGTTGAGCCCTGCACACTTTGGCGGAGTACTGTAGTATTGCCACATAGACCCGGATCATCGATTTTTCTTTTTCGGCTTTTGCTATGGCTGCTTGGATGTCGCGATAGAACTGGTCTTCAATAAAGGCACAACGAGCCAACAGATCCGCCAGGTACCCGGAGGACTCAAGCAGAGCGTCCTGTAGGTCCGTATGGTTCTTGGCCATCTAAATCATTAGCTTATGTTTGTTTTTTATCGGTGAGATGACCTACCGTCAATCCGAGCGAGACTATCGCCCAAGCACTTGAAGCGTACCCGGTCGGATCGAATTTCACCACATTGTCAACAACATCCTGAAAGGAAAGCACACAGTTTAATATTTTATGGGCTGTTGCCCGAGTGCCACTCTTTCTTGAATCCTCCTTGTACTGGGTCTCTGTCGCCTTGACTACTTGGTCAAATATCTCTCTAGTCCGTGCTCGACCAGCATCCTGAGGCGCGGTTGTCACCACGGGGAGAAGAGTTGCCAAAGTGTCCCGGTCGCTCTCACTAAGTGCGTCGTACGCCATCTGCCAGCGATCCCTCGCATTGTACTTTTTAGCTTCAGAATTATCAGCTTCGGCTTTCGCTGGGTCGCTGTTCGCGCCTGGGGAGGTGGCGAGCTCTGGAGTGACTGGATCTGGGGTAGTTGGACGTGTGTCTTTGTCTTTGTTCCGTCCTGGCAAGATATCTTTCAGGCGTCCGAATACGTGACGTTTCTTTTTGTATGCTGAACCGCTAGGAGAATCAGCCATCGCCAAACCAAAGGATCGCCTTGCGATGGGGTCTAGTCAAGAGGTCCGATAAAGAAACCGTGGAGGCGGGTTGGGAATCAAAAGGAGGGGAAGTGCCTTTACTATTTCAGCCATAAGAGTTGGGGGCGTTGCAAGTGACAGGGGTCCAGTTCGTCAGGCAGCCACGCCATGCTGAAAGGCCATGCCCGACGCGCCATACTCTTCCTTTGCTCACGTTGACGTTCGCGGGTTATGGCTGCATTGGACTTGGATAGACAACAAAAGCTATTCGCAAGCGATGGTCAAACGACGAAACCCCTCCGACCCGCGCTACAGCAGCATGTGCGGCTACCCCCGCTAACTTCCTGGTTACGAGTCAAGCGCCTTCCTTACCCCGCGGACAGTCCAAGCTAGCCTGTGTTTGCTTAGATCCGCAGCGGATGAGCCGGCACTCCGAGGCAATCGGTGTGGAAGATACAGCCAGCCTCCTCCCCATAAATATGTATAAGAACCTAAGTCTCATTCCCTGGTCAGCGATCACTTCTCTCAAGAAAAACGCCACGGTCCTGATCCGCAAGATGGGGAATGGAACCCGATCATTATGTTTGTATAAATTGGTGTGGAATTACGCTGCGTATGTATAAAGTCAGCCGTGCATAGCTACGGAGGATCTCCATGGAAGACCATTGCGTTCGGCGAACTATGTCCAACCAACATACGGACCCGGAACTGACATTGTGGGCAGTTGGTGATGGCGGAAGCGCGGAGGCCCAAAGGGTTGATTTCAAGCCAGATTCTTCATAAAAATCTAATTTTTTATTCAATTAACAAACCAGAGCAGCACAAAGAGGAAATCGCCGAGCTCTTATGCCTCGAAAACGGCAAAACCTGCCTCGACGCTCTCCAGGGCAATGCAGCAACCTTGATTCTTATCTTCTGCTAGTACACTCGTATAGTCAACAAACATCCAGGAGAGCACTACGACCAGGGCGCATTATACGTCTCTGTTCACTACGAGCCACACGGCGTCTGCGCAGCCATCGTGCCCTTCCACGGGCCCCAGGTGCACACAGGCTGTAAAGTCGCACCTGCGATCGCAGCCGGAAACACGACCGTGCTGAAGCCCTCAGAGCAAGCCCCGCTGACGCTGATGCGGATCATGGACCTTGTTTCGGAGATTCTGCCAAAGAACGTTGTCTAAGTCGCCCCTGGTCTTGGTCAGTGCCGCAGTCCTTCGTCGAACATCCTAGGTCAAAATGGTTTCTCGTTCACGGGCAGTCTGCCCGTCAGCACCAAGATAGCCGGGGTGGTGGGCAAAAGCACCAAGTCCATTATCCTGAAGCTCGGGGATAAGAATGTATTGGTTATCTTCGACGCCATAGACCTGGACCGGGTCCTCCCGGTCGCGATCGAAGGGGCCTTTTTTGATAACTGCTATGCATGCACTGATACATCATGACTCTTGGTCCAGATGAATCTATATACGCCGTTCTGTGCCCTAATGGCGGATGCAATCTTGAAGCTGAAATTTGGGAACGGGATCCGACGCATGTCGGGCCTTCAGGTGAGAAGGCCCAGCAGGAGCGCGTGCTGGGCTATATCGAGCGGCTTCGGCAAGAGTCCGAACGTCAAGATTGCAGCGCAGGCGGCGTTGCCGAGAGACCCAGGGCTCAAGGGTGGCTTTTTGGTGCCACCGACGCTTTTAACTCGACGTCCCGCGGGCGAGTGTCTGGGCCCCAGATGAAATGTTTGGGCCGGTGGCGACAGTGACGCCATTTAGCACGGACAAGGCGGCGATTTCGATTGTTAATGAGTCGGATACAGGCTGACTGTTTGTGTCTTCAGCAAAAGACCATAAGCTCCGTCTGCGTCTGGGCGCAGGGCTGATGTTGGGATGGTTTGTGAACAATTGCTCTCGCGGCGGGCTGGACACGCTCTTTGAGGCGTGAAGAATTCTGAGATTGGACGAGAGTACTGTAGTGAGGCTCTCAGGGGCTCGGCCCAGCCCAGATTCATCAACGAGCCTTCCTGAATTGGCCTTCATCCAGGCTGGCGTGCTATTCATGATGTGTGTGATCTCAGCGTCCTGCCACCACCGGCGCCATCCTTATAGTAAGGCTACGATTTCAACGTGAGAGAGTGCCGAATAGGACGAAAGATTTATGAGTAGCCTAGGGATACTGGTTATATGCTTCCTTTGTCCTGATCAATAAACAGAACAGGCGCAATCCATTCGTCAAGTCAAATGTGAGCGGGAGTCTAGATCGACCATCATACACGGCTCCAAGACAAAACTTGGAAGTCGATGGTGATCTCCAGCGCAGCATTTGTCCTTGGGTGATTGGTCCTGCCGAATAGTTTGTGAATCAATACGCATTGCTTTTACTCGTCACCCTATGCGACACAAGACGATCCCCCCCACTTATCTCGAATATTGCAAGTCCCGGTTAACTGGGATGCGGGTTCCCCAAATATACAAGGCCTCAACTCGAGACAATGATTTGACGAATCAGAGCGCGGACAAACAAAATGAAAGAAGGGATTCAAAATGGGGTTTCAATAGTAATTTCCGCATAAAATGGGGCAATGGGGCATCGCGGTGACCGATCACACTTTGTCCCGCGGTGGCAAACGGCTCGTGGCCGGCAACAAGGCACATATTGAAAGGCCCCGAGGCAGAAACTTGTGATTGATTTGGATACTGTGACATCAGTTATCATGAGTATCGTCCAGCCGGGGCAACGGTTGCCTGAGGGTGGGATGGAGAAGAGAAGAATCTAAGAATATCCAACGCTGTGGTGAACTACTTGCATGCGCCACTGGGGCTGAGTGAAACCGGTGCCCGGTGGCAGAGTCGATCTCTGTCGATCGCATTTCTGGAGGTTTAGTGTGACGGTAGAGCTGTGCTCAGGGTACCTGTTCGAGGTTCCCCCACAAGCAAATTTCTGTTTCCCTTGGGATGCATAATCATGAATCACGGCGCTGGGCAGGTACGAGATGCGTCTCCACCAGGCCTTTCGACCAGGGAAATCTAGGAAAATTTCCTCTTTTTCACACCTCAGATCCATGGACACGTTGAAAGGAATTGTTCCGAGAGCCTCAGCGTCGAGCCCGAGTTCCTTGATCGAGGAGGTGTGGGGCGTGGACTTACATCACCACTTTGCGACGCATCACCTTCCAATTCGCTTGGAACTCACCTCGGCACTCCACATGTCCTGTACTCTCAGGGTCGCCGTGATGGGCCCTAGGGGTTTGCCAAAGAAGCACATGGGCGACGCTCAGCCAACCAAGTGCGGATGACTATGTCTGCCCAAGGTCATTTCTGCTCAGCCCTGGGGGATTCTTGGTCATCCATGCTCGTTCTGCCCTCCGACTGGCTAGGCCCCTCTCCGGCGGGTGGACCGGGATGATGTTTAACTGGCAGTTCATGGGGCTGATTGGCCGGGGGTGGAACGGACTAGAGATGAACTAAGATGCACGCTAAGATCACCCGATGTCTGCAAAGTCGAGGCTGTGATACGCTGTAAAGCCTCGAGCGAAGACGACCCCAATCCTTATGCAAGTCATTCTGTCGCGCCACCCCCCGGGCTCGTCCCTATTGGAACAGCAAATCATTAAAAAAAGGGGGGGCAATTGGTCATGGTTGGGTCGACTTTGGGTTGTGAAGACTAAGACACTAACGCTATTTCCATCATTCTTATGCATGCGACACCGACTTTTCGCCCTTGAAAGACTATAATTCCTCCCGCGCCCAGTGCCCCAAGCCAGAAGATGGTGTGTGACGTCTACCACTGGTAACTTAAGAAGACCACTATGCCCATCAACTGGTTCGACCCAGCGTTCCTGAGTCCAGTCGGATCGAGACCCATGTGGAGTTCGAGGTGGACCGAGGGGAAAAAGTCCAGGCACCGTCATCCGGTCCCGAATTTGCCGTAGGGGATATAACCGTTTGGCTTTTTCTTGCTTTTCGTGTTTTTTATTTTTATTTTTTTTTTCTTTTCTTGAAGAAAAAGGGCGCAAGCTTGTTTGAACAAGTTTTAAAACTTCATCTCGACTCCTTGTACCTTGCATTGACGGTGAACTGGTAAGCGGATACATCATGTCCCTTGCAGCCTCCCCCGCCCTAACAAATCCGATCTATAGAGTGCGGGCGTTCAGACCTTTGGGTTTTTAATGGATATGTCACAACACTAAACGATCTGGAGTCTCATTTTTGAAAACAAACTCTCGGGATTCTTGACTTTCGCACGCCATTGCTTAGAATTGTAATGGATCACGAACTCTATCGATACACCGACTCTACCGGCGCATGGTCCGATACCGATCTGCCAGATAGCTCGACTTTCTCGGCAGACATGGACGATCCCCATGCGGTCTACACTCCTTCAACCCCCCCTTTCTGCAGATGCAGTATCTCTAGCGCCTCGTTCTGCGGGCCTCACGGGCGCCTTATCACTACACGATTATCGCAGACAGCTTGCGTCGACCGAGTTCCTGGACGACCCTGTCGATCGCCGCGACAAAATCTTGAAACGCAAACCCGCTACTGTAAATCTCAAGCGTTCTCCAACGCCTCCAAGTCTCCCTTTGTACGCTGCTTCAATCGATTCATCGCGGGCTTCCAGTCCGCCGCCATTGTCTCCTTCGTATTCGCAGAGTGTAGTATCGCAGCGGAGTGAGCAAGACGACGCCTTTGATCTACCGTCGGGTAAGCCCTTTTGGAATCAGTAGTTCATGCAGCATCTGCGATAAGAAATTAAACCACTAACTAGATATGCAGCGTCCTTTCCTATTCAGGCACCACGAGTGCATGTCTCGGACCTGAAGCGCCCCAGGCCTAATAGGAAACGACTGGTGAGTTTTCCCCTGAAACAATAATAAATACTGTCTCCCCGCCCCCTCTAACACATTAAACTAGAATACTTTCCGCGAAAAGCTTCGGCAGAGGCAGATCCAGGCACAGGCCCAAACTCTGCCTCCGGTTTCCCAGACATCCGACGCGATGCTGGCTAGCACGCAGGCCGTTGCCACCATCTCCCACGAGGGGACTTCTTTTGACATTCTTAATCCGCGAAAGTCACTGGACCTGGCAAGAATTGTTTCTTTCATTGAAGACGTCGATACTTGCCCGTTTCTCCCCGGAGACCACACACGAGACTCTCGGATGTCTAGCACTTTCACGATCGACGAGACAATGGAACGGGCGTCTCTCTCCCAATTCACGGATGCCTCATTGCCATCCCCTTATTCCTCTCGATCACTGTATACCTCCCTTTCGTCAACGTACAGCATGGCTAAAGATCAAGGCATTCCCTCATCTTCACCGCGAATGCATGATCGAGTCCGCTCTTTATCCGACTACTCCCTCCACGGAGGGAACTGCTGGCCCTATAGTTCCCCTAATCCTGATGATCAAAACTACCATGACCTGGTTGGTGATGTGCCCCGGGGACGAATGGCTTCCATCTCCGAGAGACTAGAAGAACATGACGAAACCCCCCCAAGGGCCAGCTCAGCCTGAGGCTGAAGCCGAGCCATCACGGCCCATCCCACCATCATCCCCAACATTCTCCTTCGAAAGCGAGATTGGGGAGCCAGGCTCTCCCGTCTACGCAAACGGCGAATGGTCCAACGTTGACGAGCGTGACCGCGGCATCTTGCTCGATGAGCGGCCGCCTTCTCCCTACGACACCTATTACGAAAATACCATGTCCCCAACCTATGCCCAACATTACGACCCTGACGACCCGTACTCTCCCATCTTCTTTGATCCCCATGTTCAATCCGTGCTGGCCGCGGCCAACGCTGAGAACATGGGCCTCCGCGGACATCCTGCTAAAGCGCTGGACGATTTGCAGCGGAAGTTTCAGAATTCCGTTTCCCTGGCTGGGGACGGAAAAGACGGGAAGTCGTTATCACAGCGAAGACGATTCCGGAAATTGTTCAGCTGGAAGTCGTGATGTCGGATTTTGGTTGAATTTTTCACGACGCTTATACAAGTGACGAAGGAACGGTGACAAAATGCCTTTTTTTTTTTCTTTTTTCTTTTCTTCTTACACCCTGTATTCTTACCTACTATCCTTTTATTTCTCTTTTCAATGAGTCAGAGACTCCTGTATCCAATATCACCGGCTTTGGTACGAGGATAATTCAAACGAACCCTTTCTCTCGGTCTTTCCATGACTGTTTCCTTCTAGATGCAATATAGAACCCTTTAGCGCTGTCTCCGCGTCTAGACCCCGGTGGGGGTTAGCAAATCCAAAGAAAGATCACTGGCCTTGGCCAACTGTGATTGCAGATCCAAGTGCAAGGTTTTCAGCGAATCACAGGTCCTATATATCGGTGTGGGCCTCAAGCACAACCAGTGCATATTCAAATGCGGCCCAACGCTTCAGCTCCCCGAAACATACGATGATAGGCCGCGTTACTGATACTCAATGCGGGGCTGGGCATTTTCTACCACGGTCCAAAAGAGTGACTAGCCAATACCATGTACCTGGAATTCAGAGCGTGTTTTACAGCCCAACTGTCAGCCATCGGGCACAGTAATCTTGCTGTTGAAACACCGCCAAGCTTGACGCACGCCAGAGCCTCGGTCTCGGGTGTCAGAGGCATAATGGAAGCCAAAGCTGCAAAAACGTGAGGAAATTATGCTTCTCTTTCACCGTCTACAGATCACCTGGAGGAGTGATGAGGCTTTCAAATCCCGTTTGCGTGATTACTCCCGAGGCGAATGGAATTACTGAAAACGGTGCTGCCTGTTGAATTAGAGTAATTCTCAAGTAGAGGAGCGTAATGACGGACCGACCAATGGTAGAGGATTTAGACTGTCGTAGCCCATTTATTGTTTGTCCTTTCTGAGACGATATATGATCCATCAAGTTCAGCAGGGGTAGAGCAATAAATTTCGCAAGGAGCCCAGCGACATGACTTGATGAGTTGGTACAAATATCCAGCTTGCCTTTGCAAGTTACTTACAAGCAATGAAACCTGAACATGGAAGTATATTGAAAACTGAAGTGCGCGGATACTTCCTCGATCCCGGGCCCGGGGTGCACTCATATATCAGTTGGGCCCCAAATTTCATCGGCGCACGATGCCCCTTATAGGCACTATTACAGGCTCGTGCAATCCCTGCAATATGGTAGGTTCCCATCAGTCGTGTTATTCACGACAACGCTCGCGTGCCCTTCATGCGAATATTTATTCAACGGGAGTCTGAAATTTGATATTGATGTAATCTCCCTGAGACCAAGAGGTGGTAAACAGCCATGTCCCCCAAACTAATGAGGCTCATCGCCTCAGAGAAAAGGTCACCACACATCGACGATTGGGGCTAAAGCGGCGTGCCAATTTCACTCCAGATGTTGCAGCCATTAAGGCTGTTCCGCCACGGATAATTTTCTTTTCTAAGTAGAACAGCCTGTTGTTTATAAATTTTAGCCCTGTGGGTCCAACTTAACTCCACAGCACGTTGTGGGGACTCGGAGGTCTCTTCAATCTCGAATACCCAATTCACCCTGTTCGGTTTGCCCAGACATATCTTACTAGAAAGTCGTCTTTGGGATATAGTTGGCTTCCGTGCTTTACTTTCTCTGATTTTTCAACCCTACTGTAGGCTGTGCTAGGGTTGGATAAAAATTCAGAGAGAGCATGTAGATTTCCCTCTTTCCTATACGAAAGAGACACATGTACACTGTTCACCGTACCTACCAAAATGATGCTCTTTAATGTTTCTTTATTGTTCCATCCGGACTTTTCTGCGTCCTTTCCTTGGAAGCATAGAAAACGTGACGCAGAGTCTAAACACCTAGACGAACCTATGGCCAATTACTTACTGCCTAGACCGCAGAACTGCTAGTAGAATTCTGTGCTAGTTTTCATCTCATATTTCTTTCTGAAAGCTTTGTTTCATGCCAGTAGGTATAAATGTTAAACGGGCGATATCCAGTTCTGTCCGTATCGTGGAAGACGCTGGTACAAAACGAGCATCCAGGCGGTGACGCGAGGGCCTCTCGCTTATAAAATACACAGGTGTACGTGTGTAACGCATAGGGTCTTGTTTTCTGGCCCCCTCTCTTTTTTTTCTAACTTTTGCGGGAGGTCTGCATAGGGCGACCAAGGAGAGTCAGTGAGACGCCCGATTACGTCCTCATGCGACCTTCAACTTTTTCTCAAAACACTAAACTCCTCTCAGAGTATTTGGCTAGTTATCGGTTCCCTTAACAGGAAAGTATTCGCCCTAGGACTTAAACAACACCCGAAAGCGGGATGAGAGAAAGTGGCTCATGTGGGTGAAGCCCGGCCGGTTTAGCTTGATGCAGTTAGGGTGGTGCGCCCGAGCGATTTCGCGCGGTTGTCACTTTCTGTCCCACCCTTGTCAATAACCCCTAACTGGGGTGTTGTGTATCTGGGCATACCAAGTATTCTTTCACTGATACACCAGTGGGACCAGACTTAGCTGCAATATTTCCTTCCATGCACGTTTTTTCCTGTAATTATACATAAGGCAAGCGTATTCGACTCGGAATTTGCGCCCCACTGGCAGGGCGCCATCAATCGGATTCACCAGGGTAAAGTGTGATTTCCCCTCTCACCCTGAAGTACCAGTTGACTTTATAAGGTGGGCAATTTGAAATTGGCTTCATTCACCCTGTTAATCTCAAGGCGCAATCGATGGATCTCTCTTTACCTCCTCCACCCCCTAGAGTCTGGTTCAATCAATTCTTCCCTTTCTCGTGATTTAAATCACTATTAGCTCGAGCGCTTTGTACTCTTGAGAATGGTTCAGCCAATCTGACTATTCAAACAAGTCGCTGGAAAGAAATGTCCTTGACATCTCTATCTTTTTATGGGGAGACTTTGACATGCAAATTCGCCAGTCAGACCATTTGAATTCTATTACTTCCACTCCTACTTCTTACCGTGGCAAAGGCTACAGCACTTTGTTCGGATTGTGAATGGGAATTCTATTCTTCTGGTTGATTGCAGAATACTAACTCACTCCAACACAACATATTAAGGAAATAGAACAAGATCGTTTGCGATCCTTCTTGGGCCCAGGTGAAGAGGAGGAAGGTGAGGGCCACAGGAGAGGCTCAAGAACCCCACCCCGGTGACGAACCTTCGAACATCAAGACAGCTAGGGGCATTTGCCCTTATGTTGAGAAATTTTATCTCCCCGACTGGACTTGAATTCGCAGTGATCACAACGCCAGTGATTCATATCTAGATGTTTGTCTTTCACATGACGCGTCAAAGAACCAGCGCGAGCGAATGGGTGGGAGTATTCGCAGCCTCTCCAGCGGCAGATGACACCTGACTTCTCACGATGTCCCTTTACGTGTTTCGTCAGACTGACACTGTCTGCAAAGGAAGCCATACACTTCCCCAAGCACAACTCAACTGGGTGCCGCTGTTGAGGAGGTGATCGTGTTCGATGCAATAGTTGCTGGCGCTAATGCCACGTCAGTCTCAACTGCTGAGCCTCAGAGGGATTTGGATTCTCATCCGCTTACTCTGCCGTGCCATTCTCGGTTGAAGTCTGAGTCGAACCAATACTTTTAGAATCGATGTCTGCGACCGTCTGGCTCTGACCTCCGGCCAAGGGCCTTTCCCTAACTCGTTATCAAATAACCGAGACTCAGAAGCGACGCGAATGATATCGACTTACGCTGTTCTGCCCTCTACCATTGAAGAAGGAGCCAGGACAATCATCGAGGGGTCAATACACCGGACGGGGAAATTCCACCAGGAATCCTCACTAAAGGATCATGTCAGACGATCACAATCTTCGGAAAGAGTCAGGTCAACGTCCACCTACGTTACTCCCATGTCCGCAACTGGATGATGAGCTTGGGCAATGTTCCCAGAGTCAGCATTCTGAGCAATGAGGCCCTGAAAATCCCACGAGGCCCCTTCACTAATGATTCTGTTAGACGATCACAATATCAGAAATGGTTCAGGTCAATATACACTCACGTTCCTCTGGCGTCCGCGACTGGATAAGGAATCTGGGGCATCTCCCCCGGAGTAACCATCCAGAGCAATAGGATCCTGAACTTCGATCCCGGGCCTCCGGCTAAACCTCGTGTCAGGCCAGACTAGGATGGAAACAGACAAAAATGCACTTACAATCCCTCACTATTAGCAAATGAATAGAGTGTCGAACCATTGCTGCAAGGAGCTTTGACTCCAGGTGCGACATCGTTCCTATTTGCCCAGTCGCCGACCTTCATTGTTCCCCCCTTTCCCGCAGGGTCGATTCCAGGACTTTCATGCCTGAGGGGACTCTGCAATGAAGTTGCCGACAAATCCTCGAAATGACTAAAGGATCCCATAAACCCAAGCCAGGGAGGCTGTTCGAAGTTGGCTTGCTGTTCAGCATCAGGGGGGACTTGCGCGTATTGGGAATCCATCGGCCGCGCCGACTCTTCATCTGGTGCAGCCGAGCGAGAAGACATGCCATCCACCGCTCGGTTATTAGAGCCCTGCGAACACATGATAAAGAGGATGACATCGATAGCTAACGCACGCGCTATTGTTGTTTGGTGTGGATGATATCGAGGAGGGGAGGACACCTCAAGAGCCGCCTATTTTCATCATCAAGCGGTCGAGGGAGCAGAGCACCCTCGGGTGTCGCATGTCCTTAGCCACTCATAGCAGGGGTGTCGTCTATCTTGCATTGCCTCACGAGGCTTCTTTGGCTCAAGTTCAAACCCATTTCTAAGTTCGCCGTCCATCACCATGATAATTCATTTTTGATCCTTTTGATGTTGAATCACAGCACGACGTTTTTGACTCTACCCAGCGGAGAGATATTTTTAAGACAAGCCAGTATGGTACAATTTCAACCAGTAGAGAATGGGTCTATGGGGTTAATTCTGTGGAGTCAAATTGCTGAGGGGTTGGGTGCCTTGAATTGCGAACCATTACATCGTTTTTCAAGGAGCTGTTCATCCCAGCTTGATTGCAACACACCTCGGCGGTGCCAAGGTCCCTTGAAATGTAAAGGTTTCTTTTCTTTTCTTTTCTTTTCTTTCTGTTCTTGCCTCTTTTAGTCCTCTATTCTATTCTGGATCTCCAGCTTGCGTGAACCAAGGCCAATGGGCTGCCCGCCGACCTATTAAAGAAATTGACTGTTCATTAGCTATATTCTTCATTGCCTGCTTTCTTCAGTACAGCGCTCGAGCATCCCCACACTATTAGTCCTCTAGATCTGGAACACGGGCCAACCCATGGAATGGAACAAGTTCAAGTCTCATTTCTGTACTTCCATATTGAGCTTCATCAAGGCCAATGATCAAGGCACAATACGTTTTGAGCTTTCCTAGCATTACGTGGAAATGCTCGAATTTCCGATTTATCAGCGACCTTGTGTCTACACCCATTTAGGAATGTCTTGGTAGACTGCTTTGCGATAAAGTCCTTGGATTTAACATTCATACAGTCGGCAGTTGGGGCATCAGTGCTAGCGAGGTTGGAGTACAGTGGGATAAGAGCTTACTACACTCTCACCACCAGTATTCTTACGACCAGCTCGAAAGGGCTACCACGTACGAGTACTACTTATGGACGCCTGAAGTTTTGAAGGCAACCTCAGACTCGGGGCAGTACTAATACAAGTACCATACGAAGTTCCGTGAAAGCTGTCTGGGGTGCCTTTCAAACCGGATGGATGCCCGATGATACTGTGGCTGAAGGGAAAGCACCCTCAAACTCCGTCAACTCGGTTAGTGGACAGCCCCGGGGTAAACTGGTAGAAGTAGGTAATTTGCTGATGGGGCTGCGCCTCGAAATTCGGGACTTTACCCCAGGTCCTCCTTCTCTTCAACCAATTCTTACATTGCCTTACATTGCCTCGTATAGCCTGGGAGCCGTGCGAAATGGTCGCCAAATACCACTTGAAGGTACCCTACATCCTGAAGGGTCAAGAACCATCCGCATGCCACGGTTCTCACACTTACTTAGGTAGTTTCCCCCTATAAGCTGGCAGCCTCACCTCACTTATACCTGCCAATAAAAAGGAAAGGTAGACAAACCTGCCCATTAACTGGAAGTCGTGAACATAGCAAGTATACATTGCTCCATCATGGACTGGTTCATATATGGAAATTAGAAATGCCCCTCATAACGCTTTCCGAGAAGTGTGCCACCAATAAGACGACGCTGAAGCTTTCTTGTGTTGCTGAGATTTCGAAGTTAAGAGTAGAAAAAGAGAGACAGAGAGAGAGAGATAAATGCCACCTTCTGATGTGCCAAAGCGGAACACTCCAAGAAATTCAAGACTATAGCCTCTCCTGCTTCCTGCTCAAAGCATCCTCAGTTGATGTCGGAGTCCGGGCATTGCAAGTGGTATTTCGGAAGTCAGCCGGAGTGAAAACCATGCAGCTTGGCTGATCAATTCCCGGGACCAAGAAATCTACTTGAAGTTGGAAAGGCAGAGCTGATCCTGTCCTTAAGGCTGGTACCAGGTTTGGCCCGTGGGCCTAACCCCCCTTGGTAACATGGCGACCCGAGTTCCTAATAATGACGGGAATTGCAGTTCTAACCAGCGACCCTGGGACTCCGGTGCACTAGCCACGTCTGGCCAGATATTTGTACAGGAAACGGGCCCATAGGCATGAGTAGAAGTGGTGTGCAATCGACAAGTTAGAAAGAATATATTCTCGAGACGTTTATCCCAACTCCGTAGGCTGACGTAGTTGAGCAATAGTTGGCGGTCCTTGTGCTCGTCTATCTTTACTGAAAGCATAAAACGGATTAGTGCTGAGGATCAAAGGAAGAGGGGTAAAAACACATGCGTGGACTCGCAGAGAGTACTGATACATTTGATGGGGCAAAGCAAACGGAATGGCCAATCAGCGCCCAGACTTCCTACGATCCCAGCCGCTTACCCTCCCACCACGTACTAAACAAGCCACACGGCCGCGCAGAAGCGAGCTAATGCTGCACGGCCACCGCCTTTCCTTAACCCTTCTCTTCGCGCCCTTTCGCCCCCAGCCTTTACTCGGTCCCCAAGGGCTCTACGAAATGGGTGAAGTTACCATGGGCTTTCCATACCCCTCTCTTCGGACGATGAAAATGTATGAAGCGCAGGAGATTCACTGTATTGGTCGGTTCGACCCGTCTTTATCCTGCAAGTTTGCTGCCTTTGCATGAGACTAGTGCTCGATACGACCCCCTGGCCTACCCGACTCGCGTATCACGCCCGACTAATGTACGCCCGGACTCACGCTAAGGTAAGCCTGCCACGTTCGCCAGCCTGCGCCCTGTGCCTCCATTGCCTCGCTTGTGACTTATGCTTCAACTCACTGGATTTGCTGTTTGTATACTTGGCCCCCCCTCCCTTCTCGTTGAAGTCACAGTGAGTTTCTGGTTTGAATGCAAGCAAAAATCAGAACTTGGGCGTCATGATATCTCGTCGAATTGAGCTAGGCGATTTTACGCATTACCATGCGTCTATCTAGCACTGATATGGGCCCGATATCTCTGATCATGCGATTCCTATCTTGCCAAGGTAATTGTCCTTGTCGAAGCTTATACCCAGACATACACTAACGTTCACGAAAGGAAGTGACAAAGACTGGCACATCCATAGTACACCATCGCCCTCGAGGCAACGCGCGGAGTAGCGCCAAAAATGATTTGAAGAACTACGAATATTAACAGGCGCTAGCGAGTGTCCAAGGGGATGGCTACTCATGGTTAATACTAGTAGTACATGCTTCTGAAATGAAGCACCGAGGGTCATGATGTGCCTTGTACGCAATCGAAGTGATATCTGGAGTCTGACCATGATATCGACTTGACAGATTGCGTACAAACAGACCGCAGGTAAGACTGGTTGATCGGAACATATTTCCATTCGTATCCCATTACGTGAACAAAGAAACATCAAAGAATTCGTTGACACGACGGTCGATATCCACAGGCCCCCGCACTTTCCTCCATCTTATATGCATCATTACAATTCTTGAATCACAACCCTCCGCCAGCGAAGGTTTCACAAATTGTTCAAGCACACTTTTCCAGCCACCAGCATTGGCTTTTGCATCCCGGTATACAGCAACTCCGAGCCTTACTTTCATACTCGTACTGCCTGTTGCACGCTGATGTACACGACTGGCGGGTATATGAAGAAGTCGGCAGGTAAGTACTTGGCGGGCAGCGAAGGCGATATTTCCCGCTTTACAGAGAGTTTGACACTGTGAGTACAGAGCGAGTCTGTGGCCACACAGGGAAAGCACCGGCAACCAAATATCTTGAGGAAAGAGGACTGGGAGAACCTTAGGTTCGGTTGCCAGTGTGCCGCCCACGGGCACTGCCATTCACGTGCTCCTTGATCTTGTCCTTCCGATGAAAGGTTCGGGAGCAGGAACTACACTTGTACAGTTGCAGGTTCAGGTGCTTCTCAACGTGTCGCTTCAAGCAAAACATGCGACCAAAAGTGCTCTGGGTTTCGCACCCTTTCCAGTAGCAGGTAACAGCACCCGCCCGGCCGGGCAAGCGAGTCCTGCTAAAAGCCACCTCTAGATGCACCTTCATGTGCTCTTCGAAGTCACTCTTGCTCATGGGACGATAACCACATTCGTTCCAGCCACACGTCCGGTCGCCGATGGGAACGTCGTGAACGGTCCAGCGTTGGTCCTCCCTGTATCTGTGTCAGAATCTCAAGCACGGCAACGCTGTTCAAGCAGCTCTCTACTTACGTTGCAGCACTGCTAGTAGCACTTGGAGAAGCGATCGGAGGAACCGCCTGGGCATTGTTCTGGGCATGAGCACCTCCGACCGCTTCAGAAGGGTTCATCCAAGTCCCGACCCCCCTCGATCCCTTCTGTTGGCCAGCGGGCCATGACGCCAAATCGGTCATTACTAGGTCGCATCCATTGATGATACTGGTACCCCTCGAGAGGATCATCCGCAGGCATCATAGGGAACGGCAAATCGAAAGCAGCATACTGGTCTGCGCTCCAGAGAGCGGACCATGGCACTTGAGCAAATGGCACAGGAGACTGCAAATACACTCGCGCGTTAGCCTGCTCCGCATCTAGATGCCATTCAGACGGAGAAGACGGAAAAGGCTGGAGCACACCCCGCTCCATCGCTTCACGGTATGTGGTGGCAGGATCACGGGCTCTCCGTCTCTGGTGGTGAGGGTCACCAACATAACGGTCCATGGCGGGCAAAGTGGTTCGCAACGGCTTCACTTCAGCTTCACTGTGGGAACCACTGAAGTCAGCAGCCAAACCTCGATGGATTTGGAAGAACGCAAGAAGGCCGCTTGACCGCACGATTTTGGATTTTAGAGGGGGGAAACGGCCGTAATCTGCAACTGCCTCCTCGTGCTCTGCTATCCATAGACCCACTCGGGTGCCGTTCTTTTCATGGGGGTTTCCTCTTACGCTACTGTTCTTACACCCTTGCCATTTGTCTTGACGCTTCCATTTTTGTCTACTTATTTCCAATGGTTGTAATGACGGTGAGTTCGAGCGGATTGGACCCCTCAGTGCTGCAAAACTTCCCGATGGACACTGTTTAGAACTCCTGTCAGTTCACATTGCAAAGGGGAAGCCAATTGGCAATGGCCTCTCCCCATTCGTTGAACTTCAAAGGGGCGGGGTAAGGAAGGTAATCCCAGTACCGTATTTTCTGAACATCTGGAGGAGCTACGATAACATGGATACTTGATTCATAAGCGACAGGTTCTCCCCCGGGCCCCATTCTTCGATGCGACACTTCTAACATCAAGAAAGGTCATTAGCTGATTTCAATCAACTCCGTAGCTCTTTTTTAATTTTCCTCAGATTTCCTTTTCCCCGTGTTCTTGTTAGTGACAGATGGACTCCACTCTCTTGACTCCGCAGTACCAGATCTGACGGCGGGAGGCGATCAAACCTTCCCGCGATTGAAAGTTCGCCTCGTGCGGTCCCCATCCGACGAACTTAACTTTCCGGTTCCTGAGTGCTAAGAATGAACAAAGTTTCTTTTCTAAAAAAAAAAAAAAAAAAAAAATCATATAAAAATAAAAATAAACGAGAATCGTACAAAGTAATTCAGACCAAGACATCGGTAGACCATATCTCTCCCCTCTGGTTTGCTGTACCTCGAGTTCCTGTGCCACCGCATCACTGATAAGGGCCCACGAAAAACTTGCCCACACGAATGTACCTTGTCAAGCCCTGTACTGCGTATGATACTACGTACAATACCCGGGTCGGCAGGTCCACAGGTCGACTGCCAATAATTAGTCATGGGCTGAGAAAAGCTGAATCCTGCATGCCACGTGGGACCCCACTTCTTTGTGGTATCGCCTCAAGATTCGAGACACGTAGGTCCAGGTTGACGTGGATTGGTTGCCTCTTCGCACCCGCACCCTGATTCATGCGGTTCGCATGGAGCCTCTTACGAGATTCGTGGGGTGCAGGGTTCATCTCCACTCTCCTGCGTCTTTTCACCCTGAGCATCCACTGAAAGCAAAAGGACTATATCGGGTGATGGGGATACCATCAACAAAATTGACATCATCGGTCACGGAGATAAGATAGCCTTGGGTAGCACTGCCCCAGAGCCTCATCCTCAGACATGAACAGCCCCGGTCGCACCGCTAAACACCATATGTTTAACCTTGAAGGTACCTACCTAGATAAATGGAGATGATGATTGCTCTCGGTCAGAGTGATTGCCTCTCGAAGGACTACCTAGGTACACGTATGTAACTCGGGCTAACATATTATCCGTATGCAAAGAACAGGAACCTCAAACCCATACACCAATGATATTTTAAAATAGATAAATGGGTATCAATCCAATATATATACAATGAAGACAAACGTGTGCATGGGCATGCGTTGGAGGCTCAAGGGCCCTCCACGACAGACGCCAGCGCTGCAGTAACCACGCTCTGTCGTCGCAGCCCCTGCTCATTCCGCTTGGACGCCTCCCGCCCCACGAAATGATGATGATTCTTCTCAATGCGATGAGACAAGACAGCCGCCGAGCTACTCTTGCGCCGTCCGCGCGTCTCAGCTACAGACGAATCGACTGGCCCGAAGCGGCTCCGGTTGTGGGAGATGGCTCTCCGACGGGGAGAGGACCGCTGGGGCAGAGAGCTGGGGTGGCAGTCGTCCTCGCAGGACTCGAAAGGATCATCACAGTATACGCTGCGGCGGATGGCGTCGATGTCGCCGGTATTGCATTGGAGCCGGGAGATCTGCTGGCGTTGTTGCCGGATGCTGAGGTGGTCTAGCTGGTCCGGAAGTTCCGGGGTGCTGTCCAGCAATGGGAAGTCCGGTGGCATAGAGGTCGGACTGGGGTTGGAACAAAGCGAAGGGGAGGAAAGAGAGAAGCCGTCGTCATCCTGGTCTGTGTCCGGCGGCGTAAGCAGATGTCGAACACATGGGCTCGACTTGTATTTGTCCCGCGCTAGCCAGGGGCGGTCGGCCCGTGAGTCACCAGGCGGGGTTTGGAGGGTATGTTCGTGGAGCTTTTGGGTGAGGGTGGAGATGGAAAGACGCTTGGAATCATAAGGGAAAGGAACGGAGGTTGGCGGCGGCTGGTGTGAACGAAAGTAGGCTGATCGGGTGCGTGAAACGGTGCGGAAACGGTGTGATTGCGGAGACGGACAGCGCGACGACATTGGCGAGATCATCGTGCTGTCGCAGTCCGGGGTCAACCGGTCGTCGACATCCACGGCTAGCCGGGGAGGCCGTGAAGATGCCGAGAAAGAAAAGTTCTCGAACATGGTGAATCTTCCCGAGGGAGGGAGAAGATCAGTCGAGGGTTGCCTCGAATCCGCGAGCCGATGCCTTGCAAGTCGCCGGGCACATCGAGACAAATAAAAGGGTTGGGGAAGAAACGAAAAAAAAAATAAGGACGGGACTGGAAAAGTCCGATTCGCCTCCCCAACTACCTTAAAAACTCTTAACACTGTTCAACCCGCGGTCCATGGGAAGGGGCGACGCACGTGACCGGCCCAATGTATCGAATAGCGAGAATCGCTTGAAGCCCCTTTTACGCCCTGATGTCGAGGTTTCAAAGAAAGAATTAATGTATAAAAAAAACCCCCCCCTAAAAAAACAAAGACTCAGTCAATTATACAACGTCCCGCATCATTGTTTGGTTGTGCCGCAAGTTGACTCGAAGATCTTCACGGTGTGCTTCCCACAACCCTCTCCCACGTCTCATTCTTACGAAAAGATTGCCCGACTGCGCTCCCGATCCTTGGCCCATCTTGAATCAGTATGTACCGCGGTCTGGTGTTGCATTTGCCCCCCCTCCCCCGTCTGTCGGCCTCGCTAGCGCCCGTGGGGCGAGTGATGGGAACCGCGCTGCTTAGTAGATGCAGACAAATGGCGCTCGCCACGTCCTTCACGGTATCTTTCCAGGGCGTTAGAAGTACGCTAGTTCCATACCAGCCGTCCGAAAGGGCCCAATGACACGAGTAGTGGCGGTTTTAGTGTTAACGCCATCAGGTCATGATTGAATAAAGAACCGTCGCTGTATTTGCCGCAACCAGTCCAGTCATTGCCAGAGACATCGCCAGAGAAGTCATGGTGATAGTATACGTGGTGCAGTTTAGAAATGTATGGGTGTGTTTGAGAGAGGTCCATGGCGATGCGTGTTTCGCCACCCTTCTAGCACAGACACCGCATGACATGCCGGTCCACAAACCCTTCCCCACCTGGCGTTCTTGTATTGTTGACTGGGGTAGAAGATCTGCTGACAATCGCATACGTGAGTAGTGCAGACTGACATTTTTGTCCAATCCCTCGTCGATTTCTAATAACTGATAATGGTGTCGGCACGAGATACGGTGATCTTTGTGTCGCTGGCTGGCAATACTGCCAGGGCCTATCAGCGTCAGGAGGTCCCGAGACGTAATCAGTAGACCGATTCTACCGTCTTGCGCTTGATTAATTCTACATCTCCTCGACACTTTCGAGCGAGCGGCATTTTATTTCATGAATCGGATTTGGCCATCGGGATTCGTTTGGCCCAGGCTCCTCAATTCTGCGCGGGGCCGAAGCCTTATTTCGTCCAACTAGGTAAACCCGCAGAGAAACGGCTTCTGAACGAACTGACGAGCCGTCGATTTGCCAATTCCGCTTGGCCCTAGGGCCCCAATGGTGGAAAGAAGAGACACATCACGAAGACAGCCACTAAGTTGGGGTGTGACTCTTCCGAGTCGAGTTGTGTCTTCTCATTTCTTTGATGAGTACTATTTCGTTTATGAATTTACGTGTTGACCACGGAAAATCAAGCGCTATTCCTCCCACTGTCATATACACTTGGAGCTTGAGGGGCGTAACTTTGTAGCCGCTGCGGGCCTCGCTGTTTTCCAGACGTTCAATAAGCTGCGCTCATAAGCATACGCCACTAGTGATCGCTATATGCTATTAATCTCCATCCTAATAACACCGGTACGTTGCTTAGACTGCCTTACTCAAGGGCCTTGGCCACAACTCCAGGCTGAACCTTCTCAATCTCCTTAGCGATCGAATTCCAAGCCTTCTCGTTCGCACCGTCGCCAGCCCACTCAGCAAAGTCGTGCCTGCTTCGCGTTAGCTTCACCCAATTGGGGCTCCGACTCCTTTCTGGGCTTACTTGACAACACAATCGCTCATATATGCGCCATGGCTATCATCCCCAGCGACCGCCCCGGCAAGAAGGGTACGGCTGCCGCACTCAGCTGTTCGGCCACATCGAGCCCAGAGCTCCTTTAGCTGCTCCTTGAATCCCTCGGAGGCATTGCGTGAAAGTGTGGTCATGCAGGCACCCGGGTTGACTGCATTGATGATGACACCACCAGACTCCACAGGGAGCAGAGTTGCGAGATGACGAACTCCCAAGGCCTCCAAGAGCTTGGAGGTAGGGTAACTAGATGTCCATGGTTATTGGTTGTCTCTACATCAAAGGCGGAATTAAGAATTACGCACGACTTCATTCCAATATCCGGATCAGCATGCATCTTCGCAATAGGGTCATCGGCGATCAGGGGCCAGTAGTCCTTGATGAACTCAGCAGAATCGCTGCTCACCACAGAGACGCGGGGCTTATACCCGAAGGTCTTCGCATCCGCGCGGAGCTTGGGTAGAAGCAGTAAGAGCAAAAGGAAGGTGTTGACAACATTGACCGTCACCGTGAGCAGCTGGCCCTCGTGGTCCTTGGTGCCAGCCGCAGCGACACCGGCATTTTCAATGACAGCGTCGATACGATCGATGGTTTCGATTGCCTTCGCTGCAAAAGACTGCACGCTGGAGCGCTGGGACAGGTCAAGATGCCAAACCTCAGCAACACCCGTGGTGCCCGTGGATGCATCAATATCTGCTCGGGCAGCCTCGCCGGCCTCGAGGTTGCGGACGGCCAGGATGACTTTCTTTGCGCCCACGCCGACGAGATGACGGGCAGCTTCGAGGCCGAGCCCAACGTTGGTGCCGGTCACGATGAAGTTCCGCCCAGCACAAAGCTCACTCGAGATCACCAATGGGAGCTCGGTCACTTGGGTGTACTCCATTTGTCCTTTTTGCGTTCGGAAAGTATGATATCAGACGAGCATGTTGGAAACTATCGTTGAACAACAGGCATGTTGTACGGGTTTGAGGTCCCTTTTATATTGATTAATTCTACCTGGAGTTCTTCTTTTCATAAAAATCTTCTGTATCAAAACCCGTTAAGTCCAGCCCTTGTCGTGAATACGAGAGCATACTACTGGAGCAAAAGCCGTTAAGTCCGTCCAGTGCTCCTCCGCCTAGGATATGTCCAATCAGACTGGGCCGTCCAAGGATGGCTGATTCAATTTCAAGAATCGACTAATAGGAGATGCAGATGCATAAATGTGTTTTGCACAGGTTGAATCACTACTAGCAAGTAATAGGATAGGGTCCGTGATTTCGCTACTAATATGATCCACCAAATTATGCCTTGCACGAGTGCACAGCTCTGCGACTGAAAGATTATTCGAAAAATATTAGCAGGAAAGCTTGACAAACATTCTTGATCTTCCCATAACTGGCCCCCGACTCCCAGGTTGATTAAATAAAACTCGAACTATATGCATGCAGTGCTTGATCGAACACACTTGACAGAGCATCTCAGAAACTTAAAATTTCATCAGGAGGTCCGAGCCCGGAGAAGAATTTTGACAGTTAGTAGTAATGTCCCGAATGCTAAGCATAACTCCCCTCGATTTCCCCCTGGGCTTTTATTGCTGGGAATTACCCGCAGATCGCATGCGGGGATGATATCAGCGGACAAAGTCCGCCGCATTCCCCGCTCCCTTATCAACATAGTCCCGACTCCGGAGCATTTGAGAGCAGCTTCACTTTATTTAACAACCGTGCAACACGTTTCGATATGACGGGAGCGCACTTGCTACGCACTTCAAGTCTAGCATTACCATTGGCCAAACACTCCCGGCCTAGACCGACCACGATCTCTCATATTTTGAATCGCAATCAACTCCCAAGAATCAGCTATCGAAATATGCTGACTTCTCAGCTATCGGAAAGTGATGTATCGGCTTTAAAGGTGAACAAGGAGCGCCTGGCAAAGGACCTCCATGATTCATGCCAATGGGGTTTCGGTATTCGCTGGGGAGAGTGAGTGCAGCTCCGTCCGGCCTCTGTCTCAGAGGCCTGAAGAAAATATACTTGATCAGAATTGCTCTAACATGAGATGCAACTGAACAGTGGGTCGACTGATACAGGGATGCAGCGTCTCGCGTTATCCGAGGAAGATAAGAGCGTCCGTGACTGGTTCATCCAGACAATGAAGGACCTCAAGTGTGAAATTACCGTCGATGAGATGGGCAATATATTTGCGGTCCGAGCAGGCAAAAGAAAGGATGTTCCGGCAACATTCATCGGCAGTCATCTCGACACCCAGCCCACTGGGGGCCGATACGATGGGATCCTGGGTGTTTTGTCTGGCGTGGAAGCAATGAAGCGAATAGACGAGCTGGGCTTGGAGACCGAAGGCGGCATTGGAGTGGTCAACTGGACAAAGCAAGTAAGCATCCGCAATCTTGAAGGCAAGATGTTAACACACGCAAAGTGAGGAGGGAGCAAGATTCCCCATCAGCATGATCTCGTCTGGGGTATGGGCTGAGTGTATCCCGCTGTCTAAAGCCCATAAACTCAAAGAAGTACCCACGGTTGCTTCACTACCGACGGCAGCGTCGTCTCCAGATGATATGAAGACCGCGCTGGAGAAAATCGGCTATCTCAGGGACGGTGCCATGTTCGTATCAGAGCACACCCATGGCCGCTCATTTCGAGCTCCACATTGAGCAAGGCCCCCATCTCGTGTCCGCTGGGCAACGCATCGGCGTAGTTACGGCTGTGCAAGCGTATAGGTGGTTTCGGTTGAAAGTAATCGGCCGGGATACGCATACCGGCACGACGGCATTCGAGCACCGTGCTGATGCACTCTACGCCTTTGCACAGATGATGGTGTGTGCTCGGGAGGTTGCCGCAGCACGCGGCTGCTTGGCTAGTGTGGGAATCATCGAAGCTAAACCGGGGAGTGTGAACACCGTGCCGGGTGAGGTGAGCTTTAGCTTGGATATTCGAGGGCCAGAGACCGATCTCGTGGCAGAGGTCGAGAAAGAGCTTCGCAAAGATTTTGACGCTATTGCAGCTAAAGAAGGAGCTGGGATTGGAAAGCCATGCCGGGTAGAATGGACGCTTGACTTCGACTCTCCTGCTGTGAAGTTCCACGAGGATTGTATCAAGTGTGTTGAGCAGTCGGCGCATGCCGTAGTTGCAGATGCGCCGGTGGAGGACACCAAGTCACTCGTTCGGTCTATTATGAGCGGTGCTGGCCATGATAGTGTTTTCACCTCCAAACGAGTGCCGACCAGCATGACCTTTGTTCCTTGCAAGGATGGATTAAGCCACCATCCGGAGGAGTTCTGCTCTGCTGATGATTGCGCAACCGGAGCGTCTGTCATCCTACAGGCAGTCATACGCTACGATCGAAGCAGATTTTCATAGTTCAAACATATCACAATATATATGGGTGTTCTACGAGAGAAATCAAGTTTGCACTGAGTCATGAAGTTGCCATTATTCTAGCTAAATCATTAAGCCAGCGACATTCGTTTCAACTTTTTTATTTCCCTGACCCCTTTACTTTCTGAAAAAAACAAGGGGGTTGTAGGAGATGTCCCAACCACTTCGCGAGTTCTAACAAAGCCCCAGTATAGGGATCCTTGACCTGCGACGAGCGTTGGGCACATCTATCCCTAGGAAGACCGAAGCAGCGGATGAAAGGACACTAAAGGCCTCGCCCTTACTGCTGGGGGGCACCGCGGCCACGGCCGAAGCCACCACGGAAGGAGGGGAGCGAACTCGCCGGGAGCACCACCCTCCTTACCCTCTTCGCGGCGGCGGTAGCCACCCTCACGGGGAGCACGGGGACGGCGCTCGCGCTCCTCACCGCCGAGCATGCCGCGAGGGGGAGCGTGAGAGCGCTGCTGCTTGATGTGGGTAGCAGGGACAACCTCAGCGGGGAGGTGGAGCCATTCGCGCAGGTAGTCCAGACCCTCGGGGGTGAGGGTGTAGTAGTAGTACTGCCACGAGAATTGGGTCTTGACGTAGCCACGGGAGTTCAGGGACTGAAGAGCCTTGATGACCTGTGGGGGGTGAATTAGCCATGGGTTCGGTGTCGAGGCCGACGTGGAGGTGATCGTACGTAAAGGTTCTTGGTGTCAATGTCACCGTGCTTGGGAAGGTTGAAGTCCTTCTTGGCCACGAGCACACCCTCTATCCAGGAAGTCAGTCAAGATATTCAAATGCGATGAAGTTGAGCTGCGCTGCGGTAGCGACGGGGTTGTCTGCAGCTATAGCGTCGGCGAGAGCGTCACATACCGCGGAAGAGGTACTCGTGGATCTTCTTGCGGTCGTCCTTAGGGATAAGCCTGGGAAATAGTCAGAACGAATGTCACAAGATGTCATAACGTTGCAATTCATACATTGTCGCGAGTTCCTGGCGCAATTCGTGGAATCGCTTTGACAATCCAGAGAAATGTTGGGTGATTTAAAGAATAGAATCGGAGTGGAGCAACCCTGAGAGAAAAGTGCGATATTCCTCTTTCGGGATCTCGTTAGGGTGAAGCCCTATTCACGTGGGGGTACTGATGCACCAAGTTATACGGATTACCTTAGTCATCGGTATATATCATGTGACCACAACGACCCGCCCCAAGACTCATCTCTCGATTTCGATCTCGCATCCGTCACATCCAAAGGGCAAGCTTTGTTCCTCTGGAACCAGACAGCTCTACAATACGCAACATGGCTTCGAATATCAATATTCTTCTGTCTGCCTTTCCAGGCTTGTCGCTACCATCGACAGTCTCTTTCACTCTCCCCCCATCTTCCAGCGTTACAGACCTGACCGACAAAGTCGCCTCATACCTCCCCTCGTCGCTACCTCTCCACTCGCTCATCTTGACTACCACAAGCAACAAACAAGTCCTTCCGTCTTCCGACTCTTTACAATCATTGGTCACCAGCGATGCCGAATCTACTCTTTCCACCATCCTCCCGTTGCGCCTCTCCGTTCGCATGTGCGGCGGTAAGGGTGGTTTCGGGTCCCAACTTCGTGCTGCCGGTGGTCGCATGTCCAGCAAGCGCAAGAAGAACCAGGGAGACCAACACAGCTCCAGCCGTAACCTTGATGGGCGCCGCTTGCGCACTGTGAACGAGGCTAAAGCGCTCGCCGAGTATCTTGCCGTGAAGCCGGAAATGGACAAGAAGGAGAAAGAGGAACGTCGCCAGCGCTGGCAGGCCGTGGTGGACCTTGCAGAGAAGCGCCAGGATGAGTTGAAGAGCGGCGGTGGCAAACAAAAGATTGATGGTCAATGGATGGATGACAAGGAAGAGATGAATGAAAAGGCTCGGGAGGCCGTCCTCCAGGCTATGAAGGACGGCGCATGGACTGACAATCTTCGCGATGCAATTCTTGGGGGCTCTAGCACCAGTGCCAGTGATGGTAGTGATGAGCCTATGACTTCAAGCTCGGAAGACGAGGCAGAGGAAGGTACCCCTGGTCCCTCTGCGCCTGCACAAAAGCCGGCGCCTCGCCGCTTCATAGGGTTTGATGACGATGACGATGAGTTCATGAGTGACTCCGAGGAGGAGGAAGAGCCCGCGGGCAAGGGCAAGGGCCGGGCCTGAATGGCTTCGACCGTTTCACGGGTCATGATTATTTTCTTACAACAGCTGTTTTTTTGAATGGAGTTGGCAAGCGACATGTATTCCTAATTTTTCTTCAACCCCTTACGGTCAATTCAAAATACATTTGTGTTGTTCTGGTAACCTTCACGAAACTGTTAAGATACAGTAATTCAGAGTCTCATGTTCGTAGGCAGACTTTGTTCTGATTCGTCAAGTGGCAAGACTGCGTGAGATCGCTATCGATAAGCGCAGAAAAAAAGCTCCGTCCGACCTCCGCAGACTTCCCCAACCCTCAACCATGTCGCGTTGTCGCATGGCCGGATCAAGAGCCTTGAGCTTGGATCTATTGTGTTCAAACTCGAGGCTGTATTCTTGTCCAAAACTGCGCACCTTTCCCAGGGGACACTTATTGTCATTAGCAGCAAACCCAGTGGCCTATTCCCCGAAGGTCCCACTACTCCATCATCGAACCTTCGGCACGAGTCGCGCCAAATGCCATGATATTACGACTGCTCCTACAATCGATGTTCTCCCTGTTTTCTGCCCTGGCTGTGGAGCGCTATCGCAAACTGTCGAGCCAGAGGAGCCTGGGTATTATAATAGCACACGGAAGCAGACCCGCAAGCTCCTAAAAGACCAAGCGAAGCAAGCTGCTGCCACTAGCGATGCTGTCGCAAACTCATTACAGGATGCGGAGGCGGATCCAGACTTACCCCCAATGCCTCTCAATGGTAGGTCTCAGCCCACCGAGACTGGGGCTACAACACTAATGCAATCGGTAGATGGGAAATTACCAGATGACCCAACCACGCCGGCCCTTCCCGAAATATCTCAATTACCTCACATTTGCGATCGCTGCCATGACCTGATTCATCATAACAAAGGCGTTTCCACTCCTAAACCGTCGATCGATTCCATTCGAGAATACCTAGACGAATCGCCCTACAAGAACAACCGCATATACCACATACTAGATGCCGCCGATTTCCCAATGTCCCTTGTCCCACGCATACATCACGCGCTTGAGATCCAGGAGCAGCGCTCTCGCAACCGAAGAGCTTCCAACGAGAAATATTCGCGCGGCCAGAAACTACCTACAATCAGCTTCATCATCACCCGTTCCGACCTGCTAGCAGCTACAAAGGAACAAGTCGATTCAAAAATGGAGTATGTTAGGACTGTCCTGCGTGAATCTTTGGGCAAGGCCGGGAAAGACGTTCGGCTGGGAAATGTGCACATGATTAGTGCAAAGCGAGGATGGTGGACAAAGCGTGTCAAGGACGAGATTCGGGAACACGGCGGAGGAATCTGGGTGGTCGGTAAGGCGAATGTGGGGAAGAGCAACTTCATTCAAGCCTGCTTCCCCAAGGACTCGAAGAGTCTGGAGAATATGGAGGAGTGGATCGAGATGCGAAGACAAGATAGTGCGATCGGACGCCAGCCGGAAGCTTTCGATCCGAACAGCCTCTTGCCTCCGGCGCCCCGTGAAGACACTTTCCCCGTCCTGCCAGTAGTTTCTGCTTTACCGGGAACCACCGTCTCTCCTATCCGCATTCCCTTTGGTCGGGATGGGGTGAGGTGATTGACCTGCCCGGTTTGGAACGCAGTGAACTGGAAGAATTCGTCAAAGATGAACACAAGCTAGATCTCATAATGACGAAGCGAATCAAGCCTGAAAACCGCGCTATCAAGCCTGGTCAATCTCTTCTCCTCGGCGGCGGGCTTGTTCGCCTGACCGCAGTGAACCCGGCAGATACAGTCATGGCTGCTTGTTTCGTGCCGATCGAGTCCCATATCACAAACACAGAGAAAGCGATCGAGATCCAATCAGAACAGCGTCCCTACTCTGGCAAAATCCTAATGAAAGAGGGCACTGGAGAAGTGATCTCTTCCGCGGGCAAATTTGATCTCAAGTGGGACGTCACCGAGTCACATTTGCCCAGCAGCGTCGCAAAGGCTGTCAAGGACCACGGGGTACCTATTCCTCGATTGCCATACCGTGTTATGGCAGCTGATATCCTGATCGAGGGCTGTGGCTGGATCGAGGTCAGCGTGCAAACCCGCCGCCGACGCGAGAACGAAGATGGCCCAATTTCGTATCCTCAGGTTGAAGTGTTTACGCCAAATGGTGGATTCATTGGATCTCGACCGCCGATTGAGTGCTGGAGCTTCATCGCCGAGAAGCTCAAAGCTGATAAACGCAAAAGACCTCGGCGGCGCTTTATCTACAAATAGAAGACAGGTCCCAGCTCTATCTATGTATTTTTAGGATTGAACATAATTTTACTCTATACCCCAATTTCGCTGCTTCAAATGAATGGATTCCGACGGAGGCCAATGTCTACCAGATTAGAGCTTAATCTTCATCCTGAGGGGCGGGCCAGTAAACCCGCAAGGTGGGGTGGGGGTAAAACAGTCGCCAGATCAAAAGGGATTGGCTATACAATCCCCAACATGTTTGCTACGTGATTCACCATGGGCCCAATCTTCATTCCGCCTCTAAATAATGTAAAAGTCCTGTTATGCATGTTCTGAGACTGCGTTAGGCTTTGAAAGCTCCCCAGCTCCACTTGAGGGAAATAGAGTCAATTGCACCGGCAGGGTCACCGCTCCTCCAACTTCTCCTTATATGGGACTGGTAACCAGCGCAATCCATTTTCCTCACCAAAAGACCGAACATGCTGTCTTCCCGCGCAGCGAAGAATTTAGAAGAGCTGGAGCGCCCTTGGCGCTTCACTCCTACGCAAACCTACGATGCCGACACCAACCCCCAAGGTCTCATATCATTTGGCACGGCGGAGAATGTAGGTGCATATCGGGTCGCTGCAAGTACACACGCTTACTAGCACATGATTACAGAAACCAATGATGGCAGATATTGTCAGATTTATCAATGAAAATGTTCCGACACGACCGTCCCAATACATCAGGGTCCAGGACTAACTCCAAGCCAGGTCGTCTTCACCAGGGATTCCGTGAGCTACCGATCGAGCGCAACCACCAATACACGGCTGCCTCAGCTTGTCGCCAGACATCTCGATTGGATCCTGCGCCCGCGGGAGCCTATTGACCCAGAGCATATCGTAGTTGCCGATTCTCCCACTTCCTTGGGCAATATACTGGGATATAACCTGGCAGAACCCGGGGAAGCTATCTTGGTCAGCCGACCCATTTACGGTCGCTTCGAACTAGACTATGGAGTCGAAGCGGGTCTTCAAATCTTTTACGCAGATACCTCGATGGATGAAGCTTTCAGCCCGGATGTCGTGGGAAAGTATGAAGAGGCCCTGGTGGCAGCCAGCAGCAAAGGGGTGACCATTCGAGCGGTTCTCATCGTGAATCCGCACAATCCAGTTGGTAAGGTGCATTGCATTTCTGAGAATACCGAATGACTCGTACTGATCAATAGCAAGGGCGTTGCTATCCTGCTGGGACCTTACAGGCGATTGCTGGGTTCTGTAACAAACACAAGCTGCATCTGATTAGCGACGAGGTCTATGCGTCTTCTGTCTTTGATACAGGAGACACGGCGGTTGTAAAATTTACCTCGATCCTCTCATTGGGCCTGACAGAGTTTATCGATCCAAATCTTGTGCATGTTTTATATGGGTTCAGTAAGGTGGGGATTGAGAAAGCAAAGACTGCGTTCCTGCCCTGACATACCACAGGATTTTGCCTCCGGTGGCCTGCACCTGGGCTTTCTGGCGACCTCAAACGAGCAACTTCGAAAGGCATGCAGAATGGTGCTGTAAGTAAAATTGTGTTGCTTTGAAACACTTTTACTTGAGCTTGAACTGATCTCTGGATTTTTTTCAGACGACTTCATAGCCCTTCCCAAGCAGCGGTTACAATCGGGACTGCTATTTTAGAGGACTTTAGTTTTGTCAGGAATTTTACTTACAAGGCGAGACAATCCCTGGCAGTAGGATACAACATAACAACTTCAGCCTTAGAGCACAGAGGCATAAATTATGCCAAACATGGGTCAGTTTCCCTTTTCCCGGCATGGCTCTTACGTTCATCTGACCATTTGTCGATCCAGCAATGCTGGCTTCTTCATCTACGTGGACTTGTCCCCTTCCTACCTCGCGAAGGCTCGTCTATTCAAGCGCGAGAATTTGCTCTAGCGCAGAAGTTCGTTGATGCCGGCGTGTTTCTTCATCCGGGTGAAGAGCATGGCAAGGATCCAGGCTGGTTTCGCTTGGTGTTTTCGCAGGAACCAGGGGGTTCTAAAAGAGGGTCTTAGAAGGTACTCTGACCGTAAGGTCTACACGTCTAGAGCTCTTCCAACAGGACTAATCAATGCACTTGCAGGTTATTTGGTGTTTTAGACTCCTTGAGGTCCAGCCCGTGAAATGTGATCTGGAATGTTTTTCATGTTCGTGAGAGCAGATGCGGCAAAGAGGGGGAAATCTTTCCGACCAGGTAATACTTCAACGCCATGCCAGGATAACGAAAATCAAATGCAACATAGATGCCAGTGAGAGAAAAAAAGAAAAGAAAATTAAAAAAAAAGGAAAAAAAGGAGAAACCCTCGATCGCTCATTAGTTCGTTCCGGTTCATCTTACGACTAGTGGTTGTTTCCAGTCGCAGCACCCCATATATAGGCCGCCCAACTTCCCAGTATCAGGAGGAGAAGCAATCCAAAACAAGAACATGAAATGATTCTCGTGCGACGAGCATGAGTGACCAGACTGTGCTCTTGTGCTTTTTCAATGGAAGTTGGGCCCAGGGTCTGGCGCATTTTCCGAGTCCATTGCAAGGGTGCCATGATCCTGGTCGTATGCGAGCCGATGAGAATCGCTGTTCCAACGACTGTAGCAGCTACCGCTAGGAAGAGGTAGACTTGCACGACACGTCGGTACGAGTTATCATCAGCATCTTGCAGGGCTCCGGTGATAATCCGAATCACGATGTTCATGCTTAGGTCATGTCAGCTTGCGAGTGAACACCGTCACACAGAGATGATAACTTACGCATTGTTCATGGTGACTTTGAGCGAGTATGCAGAGCCGAATACTGATTGATGCCAAATAGTGGTCCGGATACTGTCAATGATCGAAGTCGGGCCCAGTGCAGATGCAATAGCGTAGATGCCGAACGACGCCCCAGTCCCTGCTTGAGTTTTGGCATAGTTGAGCAATACCATGCTCAGAAGCATCCCTAGACCACAGGTAAACACTGTACATCAATTAGTCAGGGACTCTGATCCTTGGACTTCCTTTCCACTTGAAGGCTGATATAATGCAACTTACTGACTGATGCCCGATTTCCCAAAACGTCAATGAAAATCCCAAGACACGGGACTAGAAGACAGCCTGCGTACTGTGACAGGGAGCTATACCACCCTGCTCGGATAGAGTCTACGTTGAATCGCTGCTGTGCCAACTCGGTCGCATTTTGGCTGAAAACCAACGCCGCACTTGTCTGGAACAAAGAAAAGGCCAAGACGGCCCAAAACGACCAAGGAAGCTGCAATACTTTGGTGATTTCGAATTTCTTGTTCTTCTCTGCCAGCTTCTCATTGGTCGCGATATCGCGTCTGCCGTCATAATGGCGATTGCAATACTTGTTAAAGAACCAGAACACCGCAGTCGCCGCATTGGTGAACAGGTTCATGAAGACGGATGTCCAAAACACCCACGCAAAGTTCCCGGTATCCTGGTGTATGATCAGTATGACCAGGTCCCCTCTCGATGGTCATGGTATCACTCACTTTGGCGATGATGTTTGCCGTCGACTTGCCGACAAACCCCCCAACCTTGCCAATTGCCAGCTCGAATCCGAGAGTCGATGCGAATCCATTGTTGGGTGCAAACCACGATGAGAACATTTTGTACTGCGCAACTTGCGTCGCGATGTCCCCAAATGCAAGAACAATCCGGCCTCCAATCATGAAGTTGAAGGAGCGCACGGTTGTAGCCGCAGCCACGAGGATCGAGCCAATGGTGTACACAATGTTGCCATACACGATCATTTCTGCCCGCCGATTGTCATTAACGCTGCTCGACATACATGGATACTCATACGTACCAGCACCACCAATTCGGTCGGTGAAGATGCCACTCGGAATAAGCAGGACAGTTGCCATGAAATCTTCACTGGCTTCTAGGAGCGAGAACCTGGTATTATCGATGTGCATTTCCTGGAGTCTCTTCATTAGGATGATTCGTCCATTGCACACGTTGTGGCCTACCTTTTTGATGGTCTTTTTCATAGCGCCGGTGACGCCAGAGCTCCAATGCGATCCAAAACTGATACATGAGATCAACGCAACGGCGAGCAGTCGTGCGGCAACCGGCGGAGGACGTTTCCCGGTACTGGCATTGGGATCACTGGCAGATACAGATGCTGCATCTGAGCCTGAAGCAACCGGCTCGCCAACCTCTGCCACCGACTTGATAGTCACCTCTTCAGAGACCATGGCGAAAAAGACCCTGTCAGTTTCGAAGCCGCAAGAATATGACCTGAATGCAAGGCGATCTATCAGTTTAAAAACCAGGAAGAGGCCTGAACTCGGAGCCGGGATCCACCATGGGATCAGATAAGATCCGCTGCTCGGCTAGATGCCCTGAATAGGCCTCTTCTGGTGGCTGAAAAGCGTTTAGTGGGAGCATTCGGCGGAACATCGGTCATACAAGGGGCCTTTTGCCAAGAATTCCCAAGACTGCTGCCGTGGAAATTCTTGCCAAGTGGCCAAGCGATCTCGTCTAAATCTGCTCAATGGGCTCCACGTAGGCCCATGATGGGACCATGTTGCATGAGAGAACATCAGGCAGTCTAAGGTTTGTCACATCTCCATGCTTCTTATCGATCAATATGGGGATGACAGCTCTGTTCGTGTCCCGTAACCCTCAATCCCTTTGGATAGACACTGTCAAGAAAGGGTAGGGATCAGCAGGGCAGTTGGGGAAAATCGATTTGCTTGCGATCTCGGATCTCTTCCGAGCCGGATCCCACGGTCTCTCTTCTAATCCACATTTGACAAATTGAACGTGTAGCCTGATCTCCTAGACAGAATTTCCGAAAAGCAGGACTCAATCTGCTCGTTTCCCCGCTGGTAGGATACCTCGGCTCCTTGATCCCAAGGGCCGGCCAAGCGCGTGGCGGCGCACCACGCATGCAGATTTGAAAGACCGCTCTCGCCCAGCATTTCTAACTCAATACAGCGAATTGCCATGGCGTACCTCCACATAAGACTTCTCTTCCACGTGGGCATCTGGGCTAGCTAGAATCGGGACTCTGAGTCGGTGCATCGCCGCAACGGCTTCTCTCGCAATTGAGTAATCTTGAGTAATCATTACGCGATGTAGGGCTGAAAGCTTCCACGGGGTTGGCCGTAGCAGAAATCTCAGGACGGCCTTGAATAAGAAAGGTTTTGAGAGAATCTCCATCCGAGTCAGAGCTGGGACCATCGCATGTACCTCAGATGGTAGATACGGTCGCTTTTCGGTCAGCTGGTATAATGTGGGCGCATGGGCAATGGCGAACTTCTGGTGGCTTGCCCTTAGAGACAATTGCATTCAAGGCCTCCTGGGGTAAGATCACTGAAGTCGGATATGATCTCGATATGATCGGTGCCTTCCTCCACGCACTTAGCCACGGACTTAGGGGGCTACTTAAGGCCCCGCCAAACCTCCTCTAGCAGCGGGGGAAAGCAACTGTGTATGAACCCCTTTGCTGCGACAGAAAGCCCGGCACTCCGGACCTCTGTCAGGCCTCGTCGGTTACGAAGCGGCTGATAAACGCCCCATCGCCGTGGGCCGTTCATCCTCGAACTTATCTTCAGTGTAGAGGGGCAGGGGCAATTGTTGGAGGTCAAACCCAGCGCGCTCTGGTTACGTTTACCCATTGTAATACTAGCAGTAAATGCGAAGTATCTTCCGTCGGACTGCGGTTAGTTGAACTTCATTGGAGTAGCAGATTGACAGATCTGGAAATACTAAAGACTGCAATTAAACTTTGCGGGGGCCTACTGGCAAAAGGAATCTCGAGAATTAGTACAAGCTTGGACCCGTATTGACCCGCCTTTACGTCGGAATCGTGCTGGTTTATTGCGCTATTCCAGTTGGAGTATGAAGATCATGCGGAGACTTTCTGTGCGTGGACGGCGGCCCCGTTGATCCTTGGAGATCTTTCGACCCCATCGTCTGGCTGATAACTGAATACATTCGTTATTTTAGGTATAGTGGATAAGCATAGAGCCGTTCACTTCTACTAGTAGCGTCAGGATACTTGAACGGATTCGAACAGGTCTGTCTTGGAACCTTGAAATGCATTTCTTCTTTTTCAGCCATAAGCTCATAAAACATCAAGCCCACTCAGGCCAATGGGACTTATATTTCCCAACACGTGTACATCTCTAGATGTTGGCGAAAAGGAAGGTGGGCTGTCCAGGCACGGCGTTCTCCGCCGAAAGACCTTCCCTCTTCTCGCCAGTGCCAACAACCTCGCCGGTCTTACCGCCCTCATCGACGGAGATGACTTCAACCTCCTGGTATCCAGAGGTACGCTTCAGACCGCCGATCATCTCAGAAAGAACAGCAAACTCGTCGAATGGCAGCTTGCGGTCGAAGACAGTCTCGGGGGGGCTCGCGACCCTGTACCAGGCGGCGCTTGAGACCCTGGACGAAAGGCATGGCCTTCTTCATCTCTCCCAGCTTGCCGACCTTGGCGTTAAGAGACTTGTCATCGATGGACACGGTCAAAGAGTCGAATGCTTCGCGCACCAGGTCAATATACTTCTCCTGCCAAGCGGGATATTTCTTTGCGGCGAAGATGGTAAGCTTCTTGGGCTTGCGGGGGTCGAAGGACAAATTCTTGCCCTTGGCAAGACGCTTGGCAAACTGGCCCTCGGAGGACAGAATGTTCGAGGCGGTGCTGCGGACATACGCCTGGGCGGCTGATGTCTCTGGAGAGGGCTCTGGGACCTCGGGGAACTTGGCGTTGTGAATGGTCTCGGGCTGTAGGGAGGTTAGATGTCGTGCCGGGCATGGAAGGAGGTTAATAGATTTGCTGACCTTCTTGAGGGCCTCGAGCCACACGTACTCAGCCCAGTGAGGTGCGATCGGCGCCAGCATGAGAGCTTGCAGCTCGATATAACGCAGGATAACATCGCGGTGCATCCCGACGCCAGCAGCGGTAGCAGCCTCACGGTAAGAGTCGCGAGCACTAGTGAAGTCATAAAGACCAGACTTGAGAGCAAGCTTGAAGTTGGTGCTGTCGCATCAAGTCAGTAACCATTCTGACGACCACAGATCTTGGATCAAAACTTACTCCTGGTAGTGCTTCTTGGTTTCCCGAACAAGAGTGTTCAGCTCGTTGTCGAACAGCTTATCGGCGAAGGCATCAGCAGCACCCGTGCGCAGGGACTGATCCTTGGAGACTTCCTCGATCCAGTCTTTGAGGGTGTGCAGACGCAGGATGTTGCTGTTGGCAACAGCCTCCTCAAAGTTGGCATCCTCAATACTGTCACCAGCATCGGCAAAGGCGATACGGGTAGCATCGGCACCAAACTTATCAACAGCATCCTTGAGGGTAAGGAAGTTACCGGTACTCTTGCTCATCTTCTCCCCGTTGAGCATCAGATGTCCGTTGGCACGCACACCGCCGGGCCAGTACTCTGGTGGGAACAGAGCAATATGAATGTACAGGAAGAAGGTAAGGTGGTTCTGAATCAGATCCTTGCCAGAGACACGGACGTCCAAGGGGTACCAGTATTCGAACTCACGGCGCAGTTGCTCGAGGCTCTCCTTGCTGATTCCGCTCTTGGAAATCAGATCATCACTAATATCACGGCGGGTGAAGACATAGTCCCAGACTTCGTCGGTCATCTGATCAGCAGTGATGTTCAGAGAACCCACAGTCTTACCGTAGCGGTCACCGTGCAGCAAGTGAGCAATGGTGTAGTAGGCCATGTAGATGGTACTGTCACTCAGACTCTCAACAAGAAAGTTGGGGTCCCAGGGGAGCTTGGAACCGAGACCGTAAGTTCTGGCACAAGCCCAGCGGTTGAGCCAGTCCAAGTTCTTCTCGAAGCCATTGCGAGTCTCCGCGGCATATGTGTTGAGTTTGTTGACAACGTGGTCCAGAGTGTCTTTCTGCCACTTGGCGTCGTTCTCGCCGTAATTCAAGAACCACTGGCCGAGGTATGCAACGACACAGTCGTCTCCACTACGGCTGACAACTTTACCCATAGGGTCTGCGAAGGGGAATGCATCGCCACTGGCGTAAAGAGACTGGCGAATTTTGTCCTTGACTTCTTGGACGGGCTGCCCCTTGTACTCACCAACAATCATCTTTCCCTTGTAGAATCCCTCCGAGTAGGCGAGCTCCTTGGCCTGAGCGAGCTGGTTCACATCCTTCGGGGAATTGATCTTCAGTTGCTTGACCAACGTAGGAGCAGTCAAGTTACCGTAGGTAGGTGTCTCAATCAGGGGGAAGATCTCCTTATCGGCCCACTCTTTCTTGATACCATAGAAATCTGCCTTCTTCTGCAGATCCATCAGAGTAGCGTAATCGTCAGGGCTGTCGGAGGGAACGGAGGTCACAACACCAGTACCCTTGGCAGCAGAGACACCTTCCATGGGCAGAATATAGACGCCCTCGGTGTGGAAAGACAGAGGAGCGTGGATCAGAGTACCAATGAAGTCAGATCCGGGGGCCTCGAAGACGAGGGGCAGCTCGTCCTGAGACTTGGGGAAACTTTCGCTGCTGAAGAAATGACCCTGGAAAGCCATGTTCCAAGCAGCACGCTTGGTGACCACAATATACTCCTTCTCCTTCAGCTTGAAAAGACCATACTTGATCTTGGGGCCAACGAAGCAGTTGGTTTGGCCATACATGGTCTCTGGGCGCAGAGTGGCGGGAACAAAATAGACCTTAGCATCATCTTCGATCTTTCCCTTAACAATATCAGCGACCTTGGGAGACCACTCCTTGACCTGGAGCTTCAGAGCAGTGTATTCTTGAGGGCCAATACCCTCACCCTCAGTACGGTCGTGATCCATGCAAGGCTGGCCATCTTTGGGCGAGTAAATAGTGTATCGGCTACCGTATTGGATCTTGCCCAGCTCATGAAGGCGGTTCATTTGCCAGCGCACAAAGGCATCGTAGTAAGGATTGGCGTCAGTGGTCACGAACTGACGGCGCCAGTCAATACGGGCCCCGATGCTGTCGAGGTCGCGAATGGCGAGAGGGGGGAAGTGGTGAAGCCAATGGTTGGCGTCAGCAAACTTGTGAATGTCCTCGAGCGGAACACCAATAGCCAGCATGATCTGGAATTGGTACTTCATCTTGACAGTTTTAGCCGCGGCCTTGCTCTTCTTGCCAGAGAACTTCTCGGCCTGTTCCTTGACCTCAGGCTGAGACTCCTGAGTAGGAGCAGCAGGAGCAGGAGCTTCCTCCTCTTCCTTGTAGCCTTCAAAGTGCTCACCAAACAGCTTAACCTCGTCGCGCAGCTTATCAGCACAGGCCTTGATAGGCATACCAGTGCAGTGGAAACCGAGCGGGAACAGAGCACGCTTACCCTCCATACGGGCGAAACCGGTCATGAACTCGACCTTGCTAGCAGTGAAGCTGTGACCAGCGTGCAGAGTGCCGTTCATGTATGGATAGGCCATGGTGCCAAAGAATTTGGGGTGCTTCTCACGCAGCTCCGCAGCGGTCACGGAGCCCTGAGGCACTTCGGCGAACGACGGAGCGTCGACCTCGAAGACTTTGTTTTCCTTCCATTGCGCTTGGTATTTCTTTTCGATTGCGATCAGGGTGTCGCGCTTCTCGGTCTAGTCATGGAAATTGTACATTAGCCTAAAAGACTTCTTTGAAAATAAAGTAAAAAAAAATCAAGCAGCCGATGGAGGGGGAGGGGCAACAACATTTTCCAGCTTCATAGTATTTTTGGCGCTATTGCTCGGATCGAGCGCGGCGGACGCAGCGGCGGCTGCCATGATCGACTCAGCAAGATGATGACCTGTTTTTTGCAAGTCCTGAGAAGAGAATCAAAGATCGCGGGGGAGATGGAAAACCTTCAGCCCATCAGTGGGTGACTCAGGTAATGCGGCTGTAATCAGGGTACCCGCGGAGCCGTAATTTACATATGGAGGTCACGTGGCGTATATCAAATCAACGGTGGACCTGCAACTTTTCGAGGCCGCAAGAGTCTCCGGACAATCCCAACACCACTTGCCAGCGCCTCCACAGGACAATCGGAAAGCCTTAGATCACCATCGGGAAGTCCTGTCTTTTACCAGCCATAATTCTTCCTCCGTGCACTAGGGCCAGACCCTGTGCGGCACGACCAACACCATGGTGAATCTTTTCAAGCGCATGCGAAAGCTGTCAACGGTACGTGACTCAATCAAAGCAACCCATGCTTTTGAACCTCTAGGGTTGTGTTCCTCTTGGAGCCATATGGCTAATTGAGCCTCTTTCCTTACAGAAGGTAAATTTACCCTCCTAGCCCGTGTTAAACGGAACCTCGAACCTCCGCATTGTCCTGCCCCCAATGAGCCCGACAAGACTTGAATCATCCGATCCAAACGCCCCCAACACCAACTAACAACAAAACCAGACTCTCAATGTTCGAACCGGTCTCGGCGCGGCCCTCTTCCCAACCCCCAAAACCGCCACAAAGGAATTTCCAGCCGTAACACGCCTCCACCTTACATACGCCAAACGCATCGAAGACGGCCACCGCGGCGCTCGCCATTTCTGGCGACAATGTCTTCCCCGGCTTAAATATCACAATCCCGGAGTGGGAATTACAGTACGACAAACAGACGACCAAGCCGGCCCTGCAGCCCTGACAATCTACTTCTCCGAGCGCCTAAGCAGCACCGCGGCTGCGATCGCCGGCGCAAACCAGGTCGTCGACAAGCATGCGCCCGCCCCAGTGGAAGGTGAGAAGGCGGCTGTTGTCAATGTGAAGAATCTCGAGTTCAACGAGATCTGGAATCGCGTTCAGGCGTCGACTGGGGCGCAAGAACTTAAGCCTAGCGCTGAAGACGAGGCGGAGCGGAAACGGCTGGAGGCGATTGCGGCCCGGGCTGTTGGGGATAGAGAGCGGATTGCCAGGATTCAGCAGGCGAAGAAGGATCAGGAGCGCATGCTGGCGGAGGCGAGGGGTGAGGTTGAGAAGCTTAAGAGCATGTAAAATATTTCTCGTGTTTTGGCCTTGGGCTCCTGATTCCTTCGCTCGAGGTGGCCTATACTTGTAGCATAGCATCGTTTCTAAATTCTACGCCATGTATTTTTCTTTGGAGAACACTGCAATCTAAATCTTGAATGTTAAGTTGGGCTCATTTTGGTATTGCTGTTGCTATGTTTGTTCACGTTTACATCGCTCGAGGATCGAGGTCTCTGGAGGAATCTTTTTGAAAGCAAACAAAGAGAAGAAACTGCAACGTGGGTACGCTCATCGAAGGTGAAGTGAAAGGTCAAGTCACATGAATTGAGAGAGGAAAGGCAACCTCCGCGGGATATCCGTAGCGAGATTTATAAAGCAATATACATCAGAAGTTAGCAGAACGCAGGTACATTGATCGTGATGAAGTTGGGGTTTGCTCGCAATATGTGTCCAAATGGCTGTTAGTGGAGAGCTAACAGATGGTCGAAACTCCATTTATCGCACATTCAAGCGTTTTCGGGGTTGTATGCGGTTCCTCCGAGCATGGCCTGCTCTGCAGGCGCAGCGGGCGTGGGTGTTGTTGGTCGTGGGCTCGGACTTGACGATGGCTCTCCAAGGCCCGACGGTCCTGCTTGGGCACGACTGCCTGACGCGGCCTGCAGACGCTTATCTAAAGCCTTGAGAGCCAGCGCACGTCGGCGCTCGGCCTCTTCACGTTTGGAGAATCCACCACGACCACCTCCATCTCGGGAACTCAAGAGCGTGGGCAGACCGGCTTCGCCTCTAGCTTGGACCTGTTGGTTGCCCGAGGCAATCTCATCCTCCGAGAAGGGCTTAAGGATCTTCACCGTCACTAGCAAGTGGTAAATCTGGTCAGCCACGAATGCGATCGGAGGTTGCATCACGTCGGGAAATAAACATGCGAATGCGAAAGTCTCGCTTGCATCGCCACGAATACTTTGGCCACTTGTGGATAGCCCGGTGAGATCAGGTTGCTGTTTGTAGAACCGGAGGTAGCTCCAGCTGGTCAAAAGTCCCAGCCAACCTAACCACGCTGCAGTGTCAGTCCCCAGTAGAAATCCGCTCATGGTGTTGAGGAGCAAGAAAAGCGCAGGGAAATGCTTAACGCGCATTTTTACGAGGCCCTTGAATATGGTGACCGTGTGTTCGGGTACGAGTTGCTTGAACGCGACCAGGAAAGAGGCTTGGATAGCAACACCGCCACAGATCTGAGTGAGGCTAAGAAGTTGTTAGTTTCGTGCGCTAGCCTGAGCCGGGTGCAAGAAAATGTCAATAATCCCGTACCTTCGAGACTCTTGGCCCAAGGCCGCACCCCAGATGAGGTAGATGGGAACAATCAGGACATTAGGAAGTAGAATGATCACCCCAATAAACTGACTGAACTCGCGGGAACCCCACGCGCGCTCCAGGTATTTGCCGCCGTAGAAGACGGTCGCGGCATTCAGCAGAACGGTAAAGATGTTCTGCTCGACGATAGTTGCGGTCACAAGGGTCCACGGGTACTTGTAGAACATAGAGGGAACAAGGGTGAGATAGGGAATGATCGGTGGTACTGCGCCGCGGCTGTAGTCGAGACCTCGCCATCTGGCAATGTTGTACAGCAAAGACAAAGTAAGAAGGCTGATGAGCAGAATCCGGGTTGCAGGAGGGATATTGACACGGAGCGGCATTGCGAGGAATTACTCGCGGCGCGCGAGACCGCTCTGTTGGGTGACGCGATCGCGTTGGTTGGAGGTGGGAAATGCTTTGGGGCGGATGGCCTTCCGCTTCAGGGGGCACCAAGGCGGAGGCCAGATCTACCAGTTGACGGGGGATTGGAGGTCGGCGCTGCGAGGAAGAACAGCAACAATCAGACATTATGTTGTGATAGATCTTCGTATAAGAAAGATTATATTGGTTCCTGTTGATCTCCGTACCAGGATCCGGATGCGATTTGAAGATCCGGGGGTACATTGGCACCATTACATATGCGGTCGGCCCTACGCGCCAAAGCAATTACGACTCATCCGCCGATTCTATTGGAGATGGTGAGGGGATAGAACTAACCTGACCGGTTTTTGGAAACACTGGGGTCATTATATCTGAACTGGGTACTCGTGGTCGGAACCGGGTTCATATCTCGGTACTGGTATATCAGTGTCCAACCCCTCCCTGATGTCCATGAATAATTCATTTCCCAGTGCGAGACCAGATATCTTGGTTGACAGTTGGGGTTCGACCAATTTGAATCTCATTCGTTATACCAATGGCTTCGTCAGCTTGCTATGGTTAGTTATCAATGATCCTACCTAGATAGCCATGTAAATCCAGGTAGTGTCATAGCTTGAGATTATATCAAAGGGTACTCCGTACTCGTACTCGTCATTAATTCGGGTGAAAGTCGGGGCTGTCACCAGGGTCAGCCCTGTGGTCTATGGTCTGTGGTCTGTGGTCTATGGTCCGTGGTCCAGCATCGATCGAAGACTCTCATGGGAGGGGCCGGGGCGGAGCAATGGAGTCTACAGTCTTGGGAATCCGGACATGTCAGACATGCCGATGAATGGAACATGAGGAAGATTATAAGATTATGAAGATTATGAGGATGAAGATCCGGGATCTGGAGCCCACGCTACCCGATCCACAAAAATTGCCGCCCTGCAGTCTTGCCGAGTTCGGGTGCGTGCAGCTGGCACGCGAATCATCTCTGGAGCTGACTTTCGGTGGCTTGATCGTTGCTGCGACAGGGTTTGCGTAGAATTATTCGATGATCCGATGATCCAGTTTCGTGTCGCATCTCGTTCCCAGGCCTGAGGCTGAAGGTAAGCGAGTTGCACGAGAAACAGGGTGGAGAGGGCGCCACCAGGATTGGCTGGCATTTTTCTGCATTTCCAACGATAAAGTGGCTAGTGCCCTTTTGAGCTTGTCAGTTCGGGCCCAGTCCCCATCTTCAAATCTCCATCCTTGAAGTTCCCAGAGTTCCAGGTCCCTTTTCTTCCTTGTGCCACACGATCCCTCGAACGACTCCCGCTCCAGCCACTAACGCTTTTCCCTTTCCGCACTTCTCTTCTTCCTCCTCCCTTCCCTCTCCGCAATCTTCAAGTCTTCAGGCTCGTCCAGGCGGGAACTCAGACCGTGCCCTCCGCGCCTATCCTCGCCCCCTTGACCTGACTTTTTGCCTTTACCCGCGTCACCTGGTTCCCCACGCCTGAGCCTCCACTTCTGATTTTCACCTTCCTGCGCGGAAGCACCTCCATCCCCCCCGATCTGGCATGTCCTCCTGGGAGTGGTCGCACATGTAATCATGGCACAACCAGACCTTACTTCCCACCATGTCAACTACCTAATATGGAGGTACGTACTCTCCCTTTCCCCATGCGCTTGGCGTTTGGTCATTAACCTGATCCCCTTAAGGTACCTTCAAGAGTCAGGTTGGTAGCTTCCCCCGTCGCGTCATCTCAGCCGTCGCGCCTGTGCGGCCCCGAATCTCTTAGAAGCTCTGAACTCCCTGAATCTTGATCCTCCTAACAAATTCTTGTCTTACACAGGTCATGGCGAAGCTGCTGTATCACTGCAGCGTGGGTGGTATCATGATCCACAGTCACTACCTTTTGCGCGTCACATTAAAACCCACGCGCTAGTGTCGCTGGTCCAAAAGGGCCTTCTATATCATGAACTCGAGTCCTCTATTGACAAGGTTCGTCTAAACGCGATGACCTGCCATCCGGGGTGGGAAGGCCAAGCGCGCTAGAGGCACTGGCCGACCCCGGAAAGCAAAAAGTGGCTTACGAAAGATCCTAATTCATCTTTACAGGAGGGCAATCCGATTTCATTTACGCCAGAAGCATATTTTTTCGGGCCGGAGCCTTTCGAGGCTTCCGCGCTGAAACGCCGGGAGGAGGTGACCGCCGACCTGCCGCAAGAATCATCGCGCGACCGGTCCAATGGCTACTCGGGCGAGGCTCCGCGCAAGCGCAAAGCCGACGCCAATGGCGACTCCATGGATCTCGATGCAGAGACCGAAAGCAGAGGCTCTCCAGTGCCCGATCCTGTGGACGGAGACGGGGACGTGAGCATGGGGGCCGAAGAGGTGCCTCAGGAACCCACCCTCACTCGGGGCACCAGCGTGGGCGTCCAGATCTCCCCCGCCAAAGCCGCCGATTTGACTCCCGACACCGCCTGCATTGACCTCCCAGATCACGTGGTAAATATCGCTTGGCGCCCACATGACTCGACCGTGTTGGTGGCTGCTGGGGAGTCGGTATGCAGTCTATGGAAACTCTCCTTATCTGCAAACCCGATTCAGAAAACCATCCTCGATGTGAAAAAAATTCCCGATTCCTACATTTCCGCCGTGGCATGGAATGGCGGCGGCTCAAAACTGGCGGTGGCTTCGATGCACCAAATGAACGCAACCATCTCCATGTACAACGAAGAGGGGAACGTGGCGGATATGCTTCCTGATCTTCCGCGTGTGGTGAGTGGACTGTACTGGGCGACAGAAAGCCCACTCCTTGCTATTGTTGCGTCCGACGAACGGACCTCGGAGCTGGCTCTCTGGGACGACCGCCGGAAACCGATCATCTATCCTCCCCCCAGCTCATCGACGGACATGTCTTCGGATTAGCTTGGGCAAGCCCCTATGAGCTCTATGCCTGCGGGCACGGAGCTGTCTATCAATGCCGCGTGGATGACAACATTCACCTCACCAACACATTCAAATCACGCGAAGGCGATGAACCCTGGACTTTTATCCGTTGCACTCAAACAGCACAAGGCCCCGTTGCCGTAGTAGCGAGCTCAGAGAAAACCTCAATTTGGATCCCGACCCATGATATTGTGATCGAGAATGCGCACATAGAACCCATTACGGCGCTTGACATTCGGCCCCAGTCCCTGGCTCAGCGCAAATCTGCCCCCATGACACGAAAGCCTCAAATCACGATTGCTTCGTGCTCCATCGATTGTACGGTCAATGTATGGCAAGTGGAGCTAGACTCATCGAAGGTCCCCGAGCGCATTCATCGCTTCCGCTTAGGGCTTGATGTCCCGGCTTTCGCCGGTGGTTTCTCATCCGACGGCTATGCCCTCGGTGCAGTGGGCAAAGACCGGCTCTTTATTTGGAATGCCGAGCGTGGGGGAGAGCCCATGGCAACCTGGACTGCGCCGAGTTCCGATGAGCCAAATGAATCAGTGACGGAGGGCGAGCACACAAATGGCCAGAATGGCCATTCGCCACCAAATACCGACCGGGCTCTCTCGTGGGACCATGACGGCAAGAAGCTAGCTTTTGGTTTTGGAAAAAAGGTCAGTTGTCTCCAGATCGTATTCCCGCTCTTGCTCCTTGCTAACATTATGCAGATGGCCATTGTTAATCTCCAACGATGACCGAACGACGGAACGTGCGAGAGCCAATGTTTTAATGTCTCCTGACATGCCTTCGAGTGTATTCGTCCTCTGCGATGCCGCCATACTCTCTAATTGATGCTTTTTATTTTTCATGTGGAGGCCTTTTCCTTGTTTCGCTGCCTCTATTCTGTTGGGCTTGCCGTCTCAATTAAAATTGATCAACGCCTGGTCTCGATACCAGGACATGGCCTCCAAGCTTTCACCTATCTTCTCTTCCATGTTTTCTCTGGACATATCTTGTGGATTTAGAAAATGCATTACGGTATGCGTTGTTTTGGGATCGGGCTTAGGAGTGGCGAACGGATTCCTGGCGTGGGTTTTCTTTGATATCTCGGGGCGGGGTCTGAATTTCACTAGTCTCGTTGCGGACCGAAGCAAGCAGTGCAATGCTTTTCAACTTATTTTCAGTTTCTTTTATGCTTCAAGTTTCAGTAGTGCGCCTAGCCGTATATATGACAGGAGAATAGAAATGCCTGCATCTGGGGCAAAGAAGATCGTGGCATCATGAGTCGTGAATACAGTTCTATGGTCTATTCGTGTGACGGGACGGCGGACTAGGTCCTGCCCCTGCGTTTCAGAAGCTCCTGTCGTTGGTCCCGCCGCAACTTCCGCGCTCGTGCCCGAGCCTTGTGTCCGTCCTCCACGTCTCTCCATCCCCGCATCCACGCACCCAGCCCGTCAAGTATTGCTATCGCGTCGCCATCATTCCCCTTGCTATCGGGTTTACGACCTGCCCACCATAACGCTTTCCGACGTTCGGCCGGCTTAGCACGGGCCAGCCTTGCCCTTCGCGCAGCCCTGCGACCCAATCCTCCAGGCCACGGACCGTACCCTGGAGACCCTCCAATTCGATTGAGTCGTCGACCAGATCCGATTGCCTAGGGATGCAGAAGAATTAGCGTGACGGGCGTTGACTCAAACAGTTGTTGACTAACAATTCAGACACCTCATCCTCCAATTCAGCAATTGTTCTTGCTAACCCACGACATTTCATGTCCATAAGCTCACGAATCTCAACAGATTCTGCATGGCGTCGATGTAGTTCCTGGTTTAACTCAGTGACCTCTCCAAGAAGCGTCCGTAAACTGGACGCCAATTCGTGATTCAGGGCCTCATGCTGGCAAGCACCTTCCGAAAGATCAGATGGCATATCCTCAGGACAACCTGGTGGATTTGACAAGCCTTTAGTTCCAAAGCTCGTGCGTCGTGTGCGACACTTGGTCACTTCGTGAACTAGCCCCGGCCGCGGGTCCTGAAGGATGGATTCAATCGCATCCAGATGATGATGCATGAGAGACCCCGTGTCACTCTTATCACTTCCTTGCCCATCCATCCCAGGGGAGGCAGCTGCCAGCCGCGCAAGCTCAGCGATGCGATCTTGCCATGGAGGTCGGACGGATCGTGCGACTGTGGCGCGCTGCTCGGGCAGCCCCTGGACCAGAATGTCGGGAGCTGTGGGACGTGATTTGTTTGGTGTCTCCATTATCGTACCCACTCGTCGTAGAGCTCATAGATCTTGGGGAAGGCCGCATTGCTTTAGAACTCGCACATGAATCTGCGGTGGCTGGGGTCTCCCAGTACCTTCTTCAGTGGCTTATCGATAAACGCGATAACTGATAACCACTCCCCGCGCTAGTCCCTTTCCGTATTTTCCTCGAGAAGTCGAGTCCATGAAGATTTCTTCCAGGCGCATCCTAGCATTTGGAATTGGGTCTGAGAGAGACAAGGGCGCCCGCTGCTCCTGGGGATCTTATCTTCCCCCTTATCCGCCCTTATTGGAGATCGTGTAGTCTTCCCGGAAGCCGGAGTCGGACGCCCCACTGTGAATCATTTTCCCACCGCCAAATCCTTGTCTCTGTGTCACACGTTTGTCTCTCAGAATTGTACGCTAATTCGAGCCCAGAATGGCGCCCCCGGTAAGTCGCGTCTCTTCCTGTCTATCTAACCTCGCTTCTTTCCCCTCAATTCTGACGCCATGCGCCATGACTCAGGCCGTGACAGTCCCGTCGCTTGAGACTGCGCGAGAGGTGATCTCGAAGTCCAGAAATACCCAATTTGCTCCAAACTTGCTCCCCGTGACTGCATCGATTCCTGCAGATCTCCTCACACCTACACTGGCGTACCTGAAGCTGTCTGAGAAGTACGTGTGGCTTTGTGATTGCGACCACCCCCTCCAGCTGCGGGGTACAAGTTCAGACCCTCACTGACAGACATATAGTTCCAAACTATCATTCCTCTTTGAGAGTGCGGCGACAACAGAGACCATTGGAAGATACAGCTTTGTTGGTGCCGGTACGTTCATATGCTGCAGGACGCGGAATTTCATGGATCGGGGCCATTTGCTAACTCAATTCGACTTTGCTAGATCCGAAGAAGGTCATTAAAACCGGTGAAGGCCATGGACCCGCTGCCGACCCCCTTCCCATCCTCGAGAAGGAACTCGACCAGTTCCGCGTCGCATCGGTGCCCGGGCTCGTCCTCCCTCCTCTGACCGGTGGAGCCATTGGATACGTCGGCTATGACTGTGTCCGGTACTTCGAGCCCAAGACGGCGCGCCCCATGAAGGATGTCCTCGGCATTCCGGAATCCTTGTTTATGTTCTTCGATACCATTGTCGCATTTGATCACTTCTTCCAGGTTGCCAAGGTCGTCTCATATATGCCAATTCCCGGGACGGATGCCGAACTCGAGGTCGAATACACCAAGGCCCAGAAAAGTCTCCAGAAGACCATTGATACTTTGCTGCAAGAGCACACTCCCCTCCCACCGCAAGGGCCCATCATCCCCAACCAGGAGTACACATCCAATATCGGCCAAGCGGGCTACGAAGGACACGTGAAGCGACTGAAGGAGCACATTTCCAGGGGGGACATCTTCCAGACCGTCCCCTCACAACGGCTCTCCCGCCCTACCTCCCTCCACCCATACAACCTCTTCCGCCACCTCCGCACCGTCAATCCTTCCCCGTACCTTTTCTACATTGACTGCGAAGACTTCCAGCTCGTCGGTGCTAGCCCTGAACTCCTTGTGAAGGAAGAGGCGGGCCGAATCATCACCCACCCAATCGCCGGAACCGTAAAACGCGGTAAAACACCTGAGGAAGATCTCGCGCTCTCCAAAGAGCTGCGCAGCAGCCTGAAAGACCGTGCCGAGCACGTCATGCTGGTCGATCTGGCCCGTAACGACGTAAACCGCGTCTGCGATCCCACCACGACCCAAGTCGATCGGCTGATGGTCGTCGAGAAGTTCTCGCATGTCCAGCACCTTGTGTCACAGGTTTCTGGAATCCTCCGTCCCGACAAGACCCGTTTCGATGCCTTCCGCTCTATCTTCCCCGCTGGCACTGTTTCCGGTGCACCCAAGGTCCGTGCTATGCAGCTGATTGCCGAGCTGGAGGGTGAGAAGCGCGGTGTTTATGCTGGTGCTGTTGGGTACTTTGGATACAATATTAGTGCTGCGGATGGATCGAGCGAGATCCCCGGCGCTATGGATACATGCATTGCGCTGCGCACGATGTTGGTTAAGGATGGTGTCGCTTATCTGCAAGCTGGCGGTGGTATCGTCTTTGATTCTGATCCATATGATGAGTACATGGAGACGATTAACAAGCTCGGAGCTAATATCGCTTGTATCCGCGGTGCGGAAGCGAAGTATGCGGGCCTGGAGACGGAATGAACAGGTAATACAGAATGTATTACCTGAGATTTAGAGGACCCACGGGTTGTAAGAGGACATTTCTTTATATCACATTTATGGAGGGGTTTTATGGTTATATGGCAATCATGCCAACTATCGTGATACCTATTGGCAAAAATATCATTATCGCTGAGCAATTCACCGTGCAGACACTTTCATCTCTTAAGATGTCAATAGACCTATGGCTACACTAATATCTCCGGAGATCCCCACCGCGAGACCCGCTTCCTCAAGCTCCCAAGGCACACATCCAGACGCCTCCATCCCAACCCGAACCAGCCTAAGACTCTGATCTGCAGAACCTGACACCAAATCCTCATTTGGCCACCGAAGGACTCCCGGTGTATTCAGTCCAACTCCCAACTCCAAAATCACCGGATGAAAGGAACGACCAGAGCCTTGCAACTTGCTCTGACGCTCCAACCCCCTCAAAAACCGGTTATACTCGGCCTCTTGCGCTCGAAACGGCCTCTCATTAAAAAAGCTCCCGCCACGCACACAGAGGAACAACTCGCCCCCACAGAACCGACAACGCGGAATCTTCGTCTCGTCTGTGATCACCTGCAAGACAGGATCAATAACCGGCAACGCCGCATCGACAAAATCATCCGAGTCAAATACCGCATCGGGGCGACACTTCGCATAGCACTGCAGAAACCGGTATCCGCCTGCGGCGTTGCCACGCGCGAGGCATCAAAGCCGTTCTTCACGAAGAAGCCATCCGCATTCGTCGTTCGAACGAAGTAATTCTCACGTGGGAACCGGGAAACGAGCGCGCGGAGCGTCCCGTAGAGCGGTGATGTGGGCCAGTTGCGGACGAGGTTGAGGTGTAGGATATAGTACCCCCATTTATGCGCGGGGCTGGTCCAGTTATCGTACCCGAAGGTGTCGTAGAGCCTGTTCAAGCCTTGTGCTTTGAAGGCGGGGAAGTGTGTTTCGAAGAGTGAGGTGGAGGTGTAGTCTAGTCCTGTGGCTGCGGAGAGACCTGCGCCTGCGGAGATGATGAGATGGGTTGCATCGTCAAGCCAGCTTCGTGCTTTTGCGATGGAGGGGTTGACAATGGGGATGGGGAGGTTCGCTCGTTGGAGGCCTAGCGGCTGAGGTCTGTGTAGGGTCACCTCGGGGCCTTCGAGGTCGGAAAGAATCTGCTGGTAAAGGGTCCAATCTTTTTCAAGGAATGTATCAAAGATAACGTCTGTGATTGTCGTGTCCGGGTGTTCTTTGTACCAGGAGACCACCGTGTCCACGGCGATCGAAGCCGCTATGTCCGAGGGGAAGGCGAACAAGCCAGTCGATATACAGCAGAATACGATGACTTTGCGGCCGTCTGCCAACGGGGGAAGTGACTCGGTCGCACTCATGCAAGACTTGTAACACGAAGCAAGTTGCTGTCTGTGTTTGGTCTGCGGCTTCGTGCCAGGACGCATCTGCGGTCCGACTGTATGGAGAACCCATGGCGCTTGGAGCAGAAAACCTGGCGTCACTTGAGCTGATCCAACCGGCTCTAAGTGCCCTTGAGATGATATGAGATTATTGCACGCATCTCTTAAACGTGGCCCTGCAGCCGAGTGGATGACATTGTCGATGCAGCGGTGGGCCGGACGGAAACATCCTTCGAGTTGCGCGTTCGCCGCGTTGACAATTGCAGTGACGTCCGTTCAGGGCCGTGATGTCTCCCTTCCAGCAGGAAATCTGCAGGGAAGATGGGTTCTCCTCTTGGCACTTTAAGACCACGCTTGGTGAGATGGTCTTCGCGGACGTTAAGAGATTGTGGCTATCGCGATATGTGATCACAGCCTCAATATCTTCCAAGTTTTCGGCAGGGATCTTGGGGAGAGCAGGACGCTGGCATAGTGCTTGTCGGAACGCCTCTAATTGCGACCAAGTTTCCAATTCCAGGATCCATTCGGGGTCGTTATGATGGGTGCAATGGCTGCATGATGGATGCTGTGTATTATTATCTTTCAGGAGGTACCGAAGAGCTTTCTCTAGCCGGGAGGAGGGGAGGTCATTAGTGTTCATGCTGGTTTCAGTGTCTGTTCGATTGCCAAATATCTCAGATGTCACAGCCCGACGCTGGCCTCTCATTATATTCTTAGCCCTAGAATTGACAAACAGCGGGGGGGATTCCGCACGCCCTTCATGATTGGTGCGGTGGATGTTTGGCTGTTTTGCATCTTCGACAAACTTGCCGGATGGGCGAATCAGAGGCATGGATCCTCCCATTTCTATACACGTTTTAATAATCAGCAGACGTTTTAACTAGTTAGTTAGTTCAGTTACACCGCAGTTTACAAAGTCACTGAGAATGGATTCGAGATCGAAGACAGGTGCCTGATATGTTAGTGATTGTCGGGTTCCTGGAAAACAGGTGCAACCTACCGGAATCCATTATAGCAATCTCACACCGAGCAAAATATATTTTTCAGATTGAAGACTCCGGGGGGGCTCTATAGGCACTGGCACCCTGACGCCGCCATATTGCTATTTCAGTGCTAATACAAGTACTAGAAGTTATATGATTTGAAAGAACCATATTCTGACTTATGATACTCTTCGGTCAAGAAAGCCTCCCTAGAAATATACGAGTTGATACTGGCGAGCCCTGGGACAATGTACAACCTTGTAGAAATAGGCATTAATGGCTTTAGCGGAGGCATACTTACGTGTAAAGCTTCAAATGGGCATTGGCAGTTTACAAAATATACACAACAGACCTATGTTCTCTCGAACCAGATCTTTTCACCCCCCATTGCTCTCTCCCAGGAAATCCCCAAAGCCCAGGGACGCCCTTCGACGCTCACCCGAAACTCCGCATCGTACACCTCCGGGCAGAAGGCCCCAAAATCCTCATTATGATTCGAAAGCATCAAGAAGTGCTCTCCCGTCACATGCTGCAACGTGATCTGCTCAGGCCAAGTCATGTCTCTCCGACCGGCTCGTAAAACGCCCTCGCTGCTCAGGTAAACAGTGACACATCTGTAGCCGGGATGATAATACGTGCCAGCATACGCTGCCAGTGGTAACGCAGGAGGGAGGACAACTGGAGGCCGATAGGCCCTCTTGTCCTCCACGCGCTTCTTCTCGGCCTCAACCAGCAACCAGTTTCGTTGGTCCCAGTCAAACCTCTGTGCAACCCCCAGCTTCTCATCGAGAAGATGGAACGCGAGGAACTGGGCCGCAAAATTGGAGGTTTGCGCTGTATTGGCTAGAATGACCACGCCGTACTTCAATTCGGGGACCAAAGGAGCTGTGCGCCGAAGGCATTCATACCTGCCGCTATGCTCGTAGATCTGCACTCCACGGTATACCCCAGTTCTCCAGCCCAGAGCGTACGCACGTGGGCCGGTAAAGGGCTCCTCGGTAGGAATGAGGGTTCTTGGCTGCCACAACTGGTGCACGGTGTTGATGTCTTGAAAGATCTGTTTTTCGACGAATGTCTGCGGGTACAGCCATGCATGTACCCATTTCGCGTAGTCGAGGACATTGGTGATGACGGATCCGGCGCCCGAGACCTCGTCCAGCGACATCCAAGCGTCTTCCTGATACTTCCCATGGCCGACCGAGTCTTTGTAGCCTGAATAATAGTACCCGTGAGCTAGACCATTGGGAGCAGATAATGCATCGTCTAAGGAGAAATAAGTGCCGGTCATTCCGAGTGGCTTCCAGAAGGATTGGGCCAATAAGTCGCCCAGCCACCGCTTAGTCTTGGTTTCTATGATATGCGACGCTGCGACATACATGAGGTTGTTGTACTGGTAGCGGGTGCGGAGCTTCGCGGTGGCTGGAAGATGCACGAGCCGACGGACGTTTTCTTCGACATTGGTACGAGCGCTTGCATGGTCATGGGCTGGGATCCCTGTTCGGTGGGATAGCGCGTCTTCAACGGTGATCTCTTCGAGGTCAAAGTCTCCGGGGATCAATTTACTAATCGGGGTATCCCACCGGACCTTTGTCGTTGGGTCTTCAGTCATTTTGGCGAGCATAGCCGCAGTGAAGGCTTTGGTTGTACTGCCTGCGTAGAAAAGAGTCGACGGGGTGACTGGCGTGGAAGGCAACTCCGCGAATCCAAACCCCTAAGTGGCATGGTATTAGCGACAGCCAGCACTGACTGGTGGAGGGGAAAGCTCTAAGTAGCATGTATACCCATCATGGAGGGGGGGTCGTACTTCTGCCCAGGTGTGGTCGCCGTCTACCACGGCAATAGCCATGCCAGGTACATGCCATTGATCCAGCGTTCGATGGACTAATTTTGTAAACTCTTCTTCCTCCATGGTTACTACGCAGGAAGGGCTTGGTTGAGTTGTGCTTTGTCTGTCTTCTGCAGGCACTGCGGTGTATGCGGGGGAGGGGGTAGGCAAGACCCGAGCTGCCTGTCCAATCGCACACTCTGACACTTAAGACGAATGTACTCAATACTACAAATTTTCCAACCTAACCGAGTGAATTTGGTGTTGGTGGTGTCGAAATCAATGAGAACATTGATAGATTATATTCGTTGAGCGTATCAGTCTAAAACGCTGATTCCAGTCGACGGGCGGATCCACATCACCGGGGCGCAACCTCAGAGTCAAAGTGCCATCTGGTTTTCTCAGTCGACTTGGAAGTTTTTTGTATCACCAACCAACCAGCCTAGGGGCTTCAATACCCATAGAGCGGACGTGTGTTAGGGTCAATCATGGCCGAGCATCTCATAGCCCTCGTTTGCACCCATGATATACCTTCCCCGGTTCGTCCATCTTGTCCCCTCCTCGATTTCCGATCTGCGAGATTCTGACTGAAACAGGCACTGTCATCCATTCTCGCAGCAGGATATCGCAAGGCGCAAGGTTTAAGCAGCCCAGAATCTCTCGTAATTCTTTCAGAGAGTTCGAAAGCGTCACTGCATGCGTTAAGGGACGAGTCAGTCACCCGACCTCCCGTAGAGCTCTCAGCACAATCGCCATTCCTTGGATGGAGCATCGACGCTGTTGCTGACTTTCTACTCGAGAACGCGAAGGGAAGTTGTATTGATCAACTCGTGTTTCTTATTGCTGACGAGAAGACTGCCGAGGATGGGAGCACACTGTTGATGGTGCAGAACACCCTCCATGAGAAGGGACCTGTGCCTCACTCGGTACGGATCAGCGCAGATGCTGCGAATACCGCGCCGGTCGCTGTGTCTGTGGGTTCTATGTCTGTCATGGAGTTGGCATCTCTCGTCGAGGAGGATGGGGTGTATAGGGGTGGACGTGGGCCACCGCCGAAAAAAGGCGGCCCGGCTCCTAGGAAAGCTCTGGGTTCATGAGGAATTGAATGCGCTATTGGGACTGTAAGACTAGGGCTCTTATCAGTGAATGAACATTATCACTTTCAATTTCAGCCAAAAGCTCGACTTAGTACCTACGCATCGTAGTAGCTAGTGAACAGCCTCAACTGGCAATGCAGGTGGGAACAAGAGCTGGTTGGATATATTGGCACCAAACTCTTTTCTTGATTGGCCTATGCCCGTATGCATTGTCATAGGTTTGTTGAGCATACCCTTGTATTTTCAAATCGAAGGCCTCCAAGCGTCCAAGCGTCCAAGCCTCCAAATCAGAGCCGTAACTTCGATCAGTATTACTCTAGCGCTGGCAGGAACGAAGTGTTTTGACTTTGCCCCAAAGCAACCGGAATTCACCGTGCAGACTCGAAAGGGTCTCATAAATGACCCACCTACTACACAGCACTGTCACAAGCTAACCCGAGGAACTAAAGTGGAATAAGACCCGGAACGCCACGGAGTCCTGGAATAAGCGGGGGAATCAAGGCAAGATCGCAACCGAATTGGGACGAATTCCCCGGGAGTTCGGCGAGGCCACTAGCTGCATATGCTGTACAGAGATGTACAAGAGCATAAGGATGTACAAAGGCATAAGGGGCCATGGTCACATTCGGGTTGGACGCATCGATCTTGATATCCCCACGGTTCACTCCGCCGGCCGAGGTCAAGCGATAACAGGATCTTCAGAAGATCCTCCAGGCCAAATGGGGATGAGCTACGGAGTTTCCTGATTTAGAGGGTGGCTCTGTAGAGGCCCAACTGCCGAGGGAGGATCGTACCTCTGGCACGCGCGTTCAGTGCAGATCACCCCACGGTCGTTGGAACCCCATTGAAGCACAATTGAGGACCGCAATCCAAAGGTAGAGAATTACGAAGATGGACAAGTTATGAATAAATCATTAAATGCATTATGTCATATCCAGGATCATTCCTTTCAATCGTTGAATAAATACATGATTAACCATGCTAGGAAATAAACATTAAAACGCTTACAACGAGTTCAGAATGCCCTCAATAAGGGGTAGCAACTCGGAAACGTCGTTAATAATAGTGCTGGTCTCATTGACAAACTTGGGAGTTAATAGGCCTCCAGCGTTTGTAAGCAGAGTGTGCAGCTCCTTGATAGTCGCGGGCTGGAGCAGGCTCTGAAGCTCGGGAGCAGACTTGTCAAGGGCGCTAATGAGACCGCTCAAGCCCTTGACGGTGTCAGGAGTGAGCAGGTCGCCAGCCTCATCGATCAAACTCTGGGTCTGGCCGACGAACTTGGTGTTCAGCAGGGCAGTGCCGTTGCCAAGCAGGTAGGTCAGGTTCTTGACAGTGGGTGGGGTGAGCAGGTCACCAGCCTCATCAATCAGGCTCTGAGTCTGGCCGACGAACTTGGTGTTCAGCAGGGTAGTGCCGTTGCCAAGCAGGTAGGTCAGGTTCTTGAAGACCGTGGCGTTGAGCAGATCCTTCCTAATGTCAGGAACAACGGGGACCAAGCCATCGAGCAGGTCGCCCAGACCGTGCAGCACGTATGGGCTCAACAAGTCGTTGGCTCCAGTGACCAGAGAGTCGGTGCTGTTGACGAAGTCGGGAGTAAGCAGGTCGGAGGCGTTGGTCAGCAGGTTGAGAATCAAGTCGATGTACTTCTTGCTCAGAACCTTCTGGAGCTCGGGAAGGGCTGGAGTCAAAGCGTCCAGGAGACCCTTGAGACCCTTGACCAGATCGGGAGTAAGCAGACCAGAGGCATCCTTGACGAGGCTGCGAGTCTCGCTGACGAAAGGATCGTCGAGGAGGTCGCCAGCATGGCCGAGCAGAGACTGGATTTCCGAGATGGTGTCGTTGGTGAGCAGTCCCTTGATTTCGGGGATGAGAGGAACAACGCCATCCAGAAGGGTCTTGAGCGAGTCGGCGACCTGGGGGGTAAGGAGATCGCCGGCAGCATTGATGAGGCTCTGGGTCTTGGAGACGAAAGACTTGGTGAGCAGCGCATTGCCGTTGGATAGCAAGTTGGACAGCTCGTCGAAAGTCTCCTTGGTAAGGAAGCCCTTGAGCTCTGGCAGGAGAGAGGTAACGGCACTGAGGAGCTGCTTGAGAGCGTCGGAGACCTGGGGAGTAAGCAGGTCGCCCGCAGCGTTGATGAGGCTCTGGGTCTTGGAGACAAAGGACTTGGTGAGCAGAGAGTTGGCATTGCCCAGAAGAGTGTTGATCTCGTTGATAGTGTTCTTGGTGAGCAGCGCCTTGAGCTCGGGAAGCAAAGGAACGACAGCGTCGAGGATTTGCTTGAGAGCGTCGGAGACAGCAGGAGTAAGCAGGTCGCCCGCAGCATTGATAAGGCTCTGGGTCTTGGAGACGAAAGACTTGGTGAGCAGCGCATTGCCGTTGGATAGCAGGTTGGACAGCTCGTCGAAAGTACTCTTGGTAAGGAAGCCCTTGAGCTCTGGCAGGAGAGAGGTAACGGCACTGAGGAGCTGCTTGAGAGCGTCGGAGACCTGGGGAGTAAGCAGGTCGCCCGCAGAGTTGATGAGGTTCTGGGTCTTGGAGACAAAGGACTTGGTGAGCAGCGCATTGCCGTTGGATAGCAAGTTGGACAGCTCGTCGAAAGTATCCTTGGTAAGGAAGGCAGTGAGATTTGGAATCACAGGGTTCAGGGCGTTCAGCAGCTTCTTGAGGTTGCTGGTGGTGTCCTTGTCGAGCAGGTTGTTGGCGTTGCCGATCAAAGTCTCAATCTCTTTGACGTTGTTGTCAGACAGCAGGTCCGCACCGTTGTCGACAAGAGTGTTGACCTTGTCGATGTTGTCGAGCAGCTTCTGGATACCGTTCAGGTTCTTGTCCGACAGCAGGTTGTCAGCCTTGGAAAGAAGATTGGAGAGAGTCTTTGTGTTGCTGGGACTCAGAAGGGTGTTGGCGTTGTTGATCAAGTTGCCCAGGGCCTTGGTGCTGTCGTCCGAGAGAAGCACCCGAATGTTGTTGTCGACTGGGGGTGCAAGAGCGGTACTAAGGTACTTGACCATGCCTTCAACCTCGTTGAGAAAGTCAGGATTAAGCAAGCCCTCAATACCCTTCAGCAGCTTGGCGATATCATCACCGGCGTTTTCAAGACCAGAAAGAATACCACCCAGATTACCCAGGTTACCAAGGCCACCAGTGGAGCTGGAGCCGCTGGAGCCGCTGGAGCCGGAGTCGCTGGGGCTTGGCTGTGACTTCTCGGTAACAGTAGCAGTTGGTTCAGCGTTGTCATCAGTTGCGCTGCCACCAGCAGACGATCCGCCAGCACCAGCACTAGCACCAGCACCAGCACCAGTACCAGCACCGGCACCGGCACCGGCACCGGAGCCAGTATTAGCTGCGGCGGTCGTAGCACCAGCAGGAGGCTGAGTGTTGACCGGCGGGGTAAGGTCCACGGTCACACCCTTCGGCGCAGCGGTGGTTGCGGCATTAGCAGCATTGTTTGAGTCCACGGAAGCAGGCTCATTCTCATTCTCATTGTTGGCGGTCACGGCCGCTGCAGGGCCGTTCTCATTCCGAGCGGCAGCTGTAGTCGCAGCATTGGCCGGGTTTTCCGCAACAGTGTTCTCAGGGGCAGTGTTAGCAGCAGCTGGGGCGACGGACGACGACCCTGCAGGTGACGCGCCGGCCACGTTGGTGACGGCCAGGAGGGCCGTCGCGATGACTGGAATGAAACGCATTGTCGTGTTGGCTCCAATATCTTGTGTGCGTTAAATTCGCAGTCACACAATTGGCGTCGAGGTTTTCTGGGGAAAGAAACCACGAGTCGGAAAGGGCCTGACGAGAGAACCTTGAGGGGCCGGGGTGAGCCAGGCCTTTATTTCGGCGCGCCGGGGATCAGCCATCTGGGGAATAGCTTGGGGCAGCCTCCACCCGAGTTTTTTTTTCCGCGCTAGAGGAGCTTCCTCGGTGGAGAGAAACCGAGATGCTGATCGGCACCCGAGGCTCCTCTTTCCATGTGATGGGCAATGAGAATTGCCGTAGCATCACTAGTGCGGAAATTGCATCTTTTGACATCACGTATTTGCTCCAGTGGCTCTGCCGTATGCTCCACTAAGGGCCGGGCCCCCAAATAGGGGAAATGGGCGAGAATAGGGGTCCTGGACCCCGGGTTTCATGGACGGTAGGGATCGATCACGCGTGGGATTTTGGGAGCGCTCAACCTTCTTCACATGTTCTTAATAATTCGATTAACGTACATTAAATGCAGGACCGCATCGTGAGGGGGTTGATCATGGTCGTATTGGCACGAGAAATTGCATACTAGGCCCATTCGAGGCTAGTGGAAGCCACGATAGCGGGGATTCTGGGGTGTCTCCACGTCGGCTCCGGGGATCCTACGGTAAGAGTTGGCAGAGCCCAGGAAGCTTGCTGTACAGCAGGCTGTGCGAGGACAAGGAATTCCAAGAAAGAATAGAAAGGAAGAAGGGACAGAAGCAACAATGAGGGGTAACTTTCGGAGCTAAGACCAAAAAGGGAAGTCACGCCTTCCCCAGACGGCGGGTGGTGGGCCCAAACATATATAGGGTTGGCATGATTGGTCAAGCAACAGCTAAAGCCAGCAAGAACCCACAGCTCTCCAGACGATCCCTACTGCATAGAGCATCAACGCCCCGGCGGGCCTACTGAATTCAGGGCGGTTGATTGGCTGCCGTCGAAGTTTGGTTCCAGGCCCAACAGTTTTTAGTGGTTCCTTGGGCTCCCCAGAGCTCAGACTCTCAGGGACAGGAACACGGGAACCCTTGCAGTCAATTCCTACAATCTTGCGAGCCATTGCCCACTTCAAGCCCCCGGGAAACGCCTCGTGCTGCGTCATAACTCGGCCACATGAAGCCGTTGACCATTCTTTTCTCCGACGAATCCAATGATCGTCGATTCCCCCCCAAGATTTGCCTCTCCGCGGTCTCGCTAGCGCGATTCATCTAAGACATTGGGTCACGTTGCCCGAGGTCTGTCAGTTCCCCTCATTCTACTCCGTACTCAAGCCACATGCTGAGCGATCCGGGGTTTGCAATTGACTGCCCATGGCGTCATTAGGATAACGATCTTCGGATTCATCTCACTCTTTCCCAATTCCGGATATCGAATGTCCGACCCCCGACTTCGGAAGGGGGAAATGACCAAAGGACGCGAAGGAAGCACGACACAAGTCCGGAGTATAGGTTTAGCGGATTCCCACATCACTAGTAAATGGCTAGAAAATAGAAAAAGGGGAAAAAGGGAAAAAAAAGGGAAGGAAACAAAAAAGAACAATAATTGACGACGCCTAGACCTGTAGCCCCATGTACTCCGTACGCAGCACTGATTCAATTCCTACACGTCCAAGCTCCACACCGGCCACGGTCAACGATCCATGCGACGGAGCTATGCAACGATAGGCACGTTCCTGTTAGTTGTCCCACTCAGCCTTTGCTCGCTACTCAATTCTTGCAGTCGAGGTCGATACGACAGGTCTCATTCAGAATGCCCGGGTCTCGAATCGAAACCTCCTTGGCACTAATTCCTGCGCGTTACCCCTTTAGTACCCACCACAACGCCACTCAAGCGGAGCCGGCTGCATGAGGGTCGCCCACCCCAATATACTGCGTACAATAGCCTCACGAAATCCCAGGTACCGGTCGACTCCTTGATTGGGATGGAGGGACACCCGTGAAGCCTCCTTCAAGATGCCTCTTCGATCCAGATAGACCGGATTGCAACATCTTGCAGCAGGTTAATTAAGGATAGGGCATCTTTAGGAGGTGGTGATCGGAATTCCTTTTTACGCTAAAGGAAATTTCTTGCGCAGACCTGCAGCCCGGGATCTCCACCTCGCTCAGATCCGGGCCCCCTATTAGCGAGCCGGAAGTACCACTTTGCTTAAGCACAGAGTTAGATCCTCGCAGCCACGGGCACGCGCAGCTTGGTCTTGAAATGGTTGCTGATCGTACGATTAGCACATACATATACTTTCAAGGCTAGGCATGTCTATTGAGAATAAAGTCTGGATCTTGAACAGAAGGAGATGGCGGTGTCCCGAGGATGGGCCGTACTCTGGGAGGAGCAGCCAGTCAGCTCTAGGCCTTTGTACTCCGGCACTAGTAGGGCGATGAGACGTACTACCATCGGTATAAAGAGTTCCATAGATGCCTGTACAACTAAAAGTACTGGGCCCTTGAGCTAGCTGCTTCATTTGGATTACCGGTGGGCTCGAAGCGAAATTACAGATGTCATATGGAGCCTTTCAGCCGCGGGCGTTTCAGGCTTGCATAGCTGCAGGAACGGGAGTGAGAACGGCGCCCCTATCACTAGCTAAGTATCTTTCACCAAATATACCTATTTTCTTATCAGTTGAACATGCCATCCCAATATGCAGAATTGATGTATCTTCTCATGAGCTCAAAGATGAAACGAGTAGAGCTATCGTTTATCAGGCTTAACCGATTGTACGTAAAAACTACATGCCGCATGATGCGGGGATCACGAAGGTATTGGTCTACGTATGAATGTCGAGAATAGAGATGGAACGTCTATTTTTCTACAGACAATTCTTCAACACAGATATGAGAACTGCAGAAGATAGAAAGGTATTTGAATCCTATAGTTGACATTGATATCTTTTCCTTCATGGGTAGATTGAAAGACCACATCCAGCTAGAAATCATCGACGGGGGCAGGCCTCCCACTGTGACGCTCACCATTTCGATGACCATATCGATTGTTATCAGCGCCGGGTGGCATAGGGTGCCGGTCGTTATGGTTTTGGCTGCTGCCCCCGCATCCATCATTTTCTGTTGTTCTGCGATCGCAGTGTTCACGGCGTATCTGAGAGCTAAGTCCGAGATTCTATGAACCTATTTCTTCACAAACAAGGCCTGGTACTCTTGAGGTATGTAAGGCTTTAGGTCTGTAGCCTCCCAAATATACTCGATACGACTACGATCCTGTTGTTCTAGGGATGTGATCCTCCGGGCGAGGTGGCTAGACCTCGCCATGGAACTTCCACGGGTAGGGATTTTGGTTCCAGTTCCGTGGGACGGGTAGGCAAGTCCTACCCATTACCCATCCCCGTCTACCCAGTGTAGACCATGGGGGTACCCTGCGGGTTACCCACGAATTACCCAAAAATGCATAATTACCCCTTTTTGGACATGCCAAGCTGTATAAAATCGCTTACTCACCCAAGTAAATTACAGTTTTTAACAGCTGTTCTGGTTAGCCTCTAGTTTATGAAGCGATACAACCACATTGACTACGTAAATTAAGTATTGAAGTTGAAAAGCGTTATTAGTAGCTCTGGTAATAGTGGTTTGTATCTATATTTAATAGATTAAACCTTATGGTAGATGGTTGTAGGTAGTATTGTGGATTATATATTGTCAACTGTTGAAAATATATATTTACACTACAAGGGAGTAAGTGTATCTTCCTGACAACACAATCATACCCCTTTTATATACTCTTATATCAGTGAAACTGATTAGCTGTTCGACAAATCGAATTATATACGTTATTTCCATTTAAATATGAGCTTTGCTTTAACAAAATTGTATATATTAAGTGTACAACAGCCTTGAACAGTGGTATCTATCTTGAAAACAATGGCACTTGAATATGAAAAAAGGGGTTAAAGTGAGATGGGTAGCCCGTGGGTAACCCGTGGGTTACCCGCGGGTTACCCACGGGCTACCCATCTACCCACGAATAACCCATGAGTTCAACCAATTAGAATATATATCATAGATATAGTGGGTCATTTATTCGCAAGTTATCAAAAAAAGGGGGCTAAAGTCTCTAAGTCTATCAGTCGCAAAATTTACTATAGTAAGTACTTACTTCGTTATGTGATTAGGGGTAACTAGCCTGGTCTTGTTTCCCTTGCCATAATGTCTCAATTCTCCCAGTTCTCTGATGTGTATGCATCATCTTTATATAATACTGACAATCCAGATAACCTTCAGGTTATTCAACCCGACGACCTTACCTCTAACCCTTCGTTTAACCAACAAACATCACAATCAATCGCCAATTCGGATTTCATTTATCCATCCCGTGTGGCCCCTATACCTCCCTCCCTTGAACGTATCTGTCCTGACCGAACTTCGGCATACCTTGTTTATTCCAACATGACAAAAGACGATTTTGTGAATTGGTGGCTTCAGACAGACTTTGGACAAAAAAAGCCGATACGGTGGGATGCTCGACAGCAATCTGATGTGTGGAAGCACTTTGACCAGGTAGCAAAAGCGAGCGACGGAATGCCCAAGGTTATGTGTAAACGATGCAAGAAGGTGCTCGATCATCCACAACAACATGGGAATGGGACCACAGCGATGATCAAGCATTTGAAAGGGATTGGGTGTCGTGGCACAAATGGGCATAATATCAAACAATTTTTCCACGAGGTAATTTTATCTTATATTATGATATCTTTTTACTAATATCTTTCTAATATAGGCTACACCAGCTTCAGATAGTCTCAGTTTTACTCAAGAGGCTTGGGAAGCAAGTTTACTTCGTTTCATTACTGATTCCCGGCTACCATTCCAAATCCTCGAACACCCCGACTTTCATCAGTTGATTTACATGGCCTCCCGTGCCCCAATGCGTCCACAAATCCCATCTGCGAAAACAGTTCGACGTCGACTTCAAGGCACGATCACTGAGTACCAGAATACTATCCTCCAAAAGCTACCTAAAGATGGTAAGCTATCAATTGCCCTTGATTGCTGGACATCTCCATTCCAGCAAGCATTTATGGCAGTAACTGGTTATTTTCTTGATGAAGATTGGAACTATCGGGAGATACTGCTTGGCTTTGAACCACTTCATGGAACACACTCGGGTGTCAATCTAAGTGCTGTCCTTCTTGAACTTCTTCAAAAACACCAGATCACAGACAGAGTGCTTGCAATTACTACTGATAATGCATCAAATAATAGCACTATGATGTCGAGTATCCAGGATTCTATCCAGTCTCTTGAGATTAGCGATCATACTACGATCATCAAGGTTCCCTGTCTAGCCCACGTCATTCAACTTAGTCTGAAGCAGCTTCTTGGGCAAATGAAGGCAAATCCAAAGAACAATATAGCTGAAATGCAGTGGTCTGAAACCCAAGATCAATTGATCCGCTCAAGGCAACAAAAACGAGAGATTGTTGACACACTGAATAAGGTAAGTTTATCTCTTCAGATATAAAAACTATCAACTTATTTAATTATATATAGATACGAGGCTTAGCTGTTTTTATCAATGCTAGCCCTCAACGTCTCGAGCTGTTTTCTAAGCTTCAAACAACCTCAATACCTCTTGTGCCAATTCAAGATGTTCGAACACGCTGGAACTCGACCTTTCTTATGCTCCGACGTGCCAAGCGATTACAGTCTGTCTTTGACGAGTTCTGTACTAAATATGGACATTCGCATTTGAAGCTTGATCAAGAGCAATGGCGTCAGATCGACTACCTCCTTTATATCACTCAACCTTTCTTCCAATTCACGAATGCGCTTTCGAAAACAAAGGATGTTACCATACATCTGATCTTTGGTATCTATAATAAGCTTTTTGATCATCTTGAGAAGTCGATCAACCAGCTTAGATACAAAAAGGTACCTTGGAAGAAGATGATGCTAAATGCGCTTTATGTGGCGAAGACAAAGCTTTCCCAATATTATAGCAAGACAGATGGCGTTCCTGGAGACCTCTTTGCTATTGGAACAATGCTTGCACCGCAGAATAAGCTCCAGTTTTTTCTAGGAAAAGATTGGGGCGATGAGTGGCGTGATCGATATCGCCAAAGCTTTGTGGATTACTTTGAGTCTTATAAGCAACGTCTGTTACAGAACCAGACATTACTAGAGTCTCATATATCCACAACACAGACCTCGGAGTTTGATCTTGAACGGATGCTTAGAGAGTCTGAATCTCAGCAAACAAGCTTAACTGAGCGGGATGAGCTTTCAAGATATCTTGAATCTGGTCAGTATTATCTTGGTTTATTGTGTGTTTTATTAATAAATATTAGGTACTATCACTGGAGTAACCATTCGAGCGTTCTGGAAAGACCATCAACATGAATTTCCTGCTCTCGCAAGCCTTGCACGGGATATTCTTACAATTCCTGCTACAGGTGCAGGGGTTGAGCGTCTCTTTAACTCTGCTCGGGACATCTGTCATTACCGTCGAGGCTCTCTAAGATCTGAAACTATCCAGGAGCTCATGATGTATAGGTTCGCAACAAAATTTGAGCTTGAAGATGACAACCTTACTCTTAAGAAGGAGTATCTTACAAGTGGGGAGATTGAGACAGAGAGAGAAGAGAAAAGTCCTCAGTCACTACAGGATATTGATCCTATCAGTGATAATGAAGAGGAGGATATAGAGGTCATACAAGAGCCAGATACTACCCAGGGCCCTTCTCATGAAGCTTTATCTGACGATGAAGCTACAAATCCTCTCCCAGAGACTCAACAACGGATTTCAGGTAGAAGTCGGAAGCGGAGACGGGATGATGATCAGTTTATTGAGTATTAGCTATAGAATCAAATTGACCTTGTTTTAACCTCTTTAATACTGAGAAATCTCTTGAATCTTGACTGGTAGTTGTATATGAAATACTCAAAATTACAGCTCGAATATGCATAAAATATACAAGTCACGGGGTCCCACCTGTTTGTATTGTTTGACTACCCGCGGGTACCCAGAAAATACCCATGGGTATTAACCAGCTTCCCACTACCCGCACGCGGGTAGGCAAACCCTACCCATTACCCGCCAAGAAATGGGTAATGGGTACCCCGTTTGGGTAGACCCGCGGGTCGTGGCGAGGTCTAGAGGTGGCGTCTACGGGAACCGACCTCTCAACGCCTCAGAAAGAGTGTTCAGGTAAGCTGTAACAGCTGGCGGCTGCTGTATAATGAAGTATCGCGCAGGGCCTGTGCACCCGCTGATGATGCTTATGATTTGGGCGTCTTCCATATCTTCACTAGACAAGGACGAAGTAACCCACTTGAAGCGTACCTGGTTCAGAAACACGTCGATGTTCTCGCCAGTCTGACTAGCAAACGTGGGGTCTAGTATCTTGATGATCTTTTAGAGGTCTCTGGGCTGATTTCCTGTTCACGGAATTTTGCCCAAGGTTGGTCGTCTGGGAGGCCCCCAGACTTCGTCACTTCAGGCTCTGTAACAACTTTCTAGCTGGACGTCGATTTACCCAGCTCATTGTCCTGAAACTTTGTCTTATCACTCGGGAGCATCCTCTCCGATGTGGCTAGGTCCGAAATTGTCGGGAGGGTGCCAAGCATTGCTTGGGTTATCTACCCAAGACTCCGTCGTATCGTGGGGACTTCTGGAAGGGACGGTTCAGCTTCTATGGTCTCGATCGTGTTCTAGCGATTTTCCTGCTCCTTTTTTTGTTGCTCTGTATTTGTGAGGCTATCTAGAATTTGTGATCTCGTTGTCTCCGGGCTTATCTATTTGTCAGATGTTGCTGGGGTCGCGCTGGAATATAGGTGGTCGGGGCTAGGAAGTTCTATTATAGATGATGTTTGAGGTGAGGAAAGAGGTGAGGAAGGAGTGAGGTAAATAAGAACTAACGCGGAAGGGACGTCTAGCTTTTCGACGTGTCTAGCTGTCGATCTAGATGTCTCGAGTGAAAGTATAGGAGTAATTAGATAATGTAAGGCTAGAGTAAAGAAGGCCAAGAGATAAATGAATGTAGGAATGGTTAAACTAGCGTGAAAGGAGTAAGTAGATATTAGGGTGTTATTCACTGTTGTTTCTAGAGACCCTGTTTCTGGTTTAGTCCTTTCTGGATTTTCTAGCCCTACACTAGCCTTACTTGCTAATAGAGTGCTAGCCAGGATCTGGTAGCGTTTCCTATCTACTCGTCCTCTTCTGCCTCGAGATTAGGGCCCTGTCTCGGATTGTTTTCTTTATGAACTCTCACTACTCCTGATTCTATCATGCGAACTCCTGCACTTCCCTCTCTGGATGCGCTGTCCGCGAGACGAACTGTTTGAGGAAATCGATATAACATTTTCCAATCACTATCTCTGACGCAAGGTCCTTGAGGATTACGGATCGTTTTCCTGCTGTCATCCTTTCTACCCGGAAAGGGCCTCTCTAGCGGGTTTCTAGCTTCCTCTTATAGCCTTCATCTAGTTGCGTTTTCTGCAAGAAGACCAGATCTCCGGCTCGGAACTGACGTGTATGTTCAGCCTTGACTTCCGCTTCTTTTCCTAGGAAATATTGTCGAATTTTCTCCCGTGTCCATTCAAGTTGGTCCAGATGGACATCTGCCGTATTTCCATGGAACAGTGCAGGTCCACCCGTTCTTTGCACCTTCTTTCATTCCTCTAGTCTCAATAAGCTGTCTAGGGACGCGGGACGTATGCTGTTTTGTGTCAAAGTGCTTTTCTTACAGGGCAAAATAAGTTCAAATTCCAGATAACGACAGGCCTGTCTGAATTGGCCAAGAACGAATCGATGCCTACCTTCAAATTGGAGATTCCGGTTCGATTCGCTCGGACACCATCACCACAACAGCCGGCGAATATGTCTTCACACCCAAGTTGGGCCATGCAATGGATATAGAGCAAAATATCCTCATCTATAACCTCACAATAATACAGCCTAGATTCAAGTGAACAGGGTATCGAGGAGGGCCTGGACATGCAAAGGCAGAGATATGTGAAGGGATTACGATTCAAGTGCCATGATAGCCTTAGGAGCGATGAAAGCATGCACGCGTGAAATGGTAGACTCCGTTTGCTCGAACGAAGTTCAGACGACCGGGGGGTAGCTCACCACTCTAAAACGCGTGTCGATTTCATAGTTCTGCCACTGCACTTCGTTTTCTGTTTCCTCTTTCCCATCTCGCGACATTTCCACCATCCGCCATCCACCCACGCGACAGCCTTATTGCCATCGCGTTTTTGAGCGTCGCTCGATCGTTCCTCTTTTTTGTAGCCTCCAGGCTGTCAGTATCTTTTCTCTTTAGGAAGCGATATTCGATCAGATCTGTGAGAGCTAATCACATCGTTTAGCACTCCATTCCATCAATCTCAAAATGAACAACCCCATGATCGCGACCTACCAGCCCGACCCTAGCCGTGACTGGGGAGCACGCCCTATCCGCGCTCCCATGGCCGACCAGAGCACCCATCTCCCCGAAGTGGGGGTTAAAGTCCACTTCCCGCGTAACCCCTTCCACTTGCGCGTCGCCGAGGACTTTGACGAATGGCATACTGAAGTAAAGGGACTGTTGCACGGCTGGGGCCTAGACGCGCTGATCGACATCAAGATCCCACGCCCCGAAACTACTAACCCCGGGCCGATAACTGGCGCCTGTGGTCGTTGGCTGTCCGTGACTGGCTCGCCTCTAACATGTCCTGGACGCTGTACACTTCCATCCTGAACCGGGGCTTCCGCATTGACCTGGCCGACGAGTTCATCTTGAATGCCCGCCACACTTTCCAGACCATGACGAATATCATGACCCTGTCAGATAATGTTCTGTACATCGACCGCACCCAGTATCAGTCCACGGCTTCCTATGTCCTCCACCTTCGCGACAACTACACCGCTGCGTGGCGGGCTGGCGTGGAGATCCAGCCTCAGCTCGTCCTGGGTCGCCTCTTTAGGCAGATACAGGGGGAGCTGCCTTTTTTTGTTCAAGCATTGACTGAGGACTTGAATTCTCGTGGCAATGTCTGGGCGGGCATTAACTTTGAGTTCGTTATTGCCTTCTGTAACGCTACTGTTGATATGTTGCGGGGCTAGCACTCTAGCTATGGGGGGAGCGACGGCGACCGAACTGCTCACAAGGTTTCCCCGTCCAACGCGTTTAATCCCTCATTTGACTCTGGGTTTCATGTCATTGCAGATCTTTTGACCAATCAAATGAAGTTTGCTTGCTACTTTTAGTGTCTCGTAAATGCGCACTAGTTTCATTTTAGTGAAAGACCTGGTTCGATTAAGGTTATATCTGGGTGAATTAATGACCAAGCGCCGGGCAATGCTTTCAGTGTCAGATGACTACTCATATGAAATAATAAATCGAAATGAAAGCCAGGTAAAACTAAGAAAGGTACCATTTAAATAGGATGCAGACTGATCTGATCTGACGGAGTCTCGACAGACATCTTCCTCGGCATCTTTGCCTTGCCATACAGCTTTTCCATCACAGCCTCCGACTTGGCAGCATACTGGCAGCGCCTCCGGATAGGAGGGCCGTAGTAGAAGAACAAAAATGGCAGGGGAATACATGCCACCGCCAGGAAGCCCGGAACTGAGGCCCCCCCAGTGGATACCAAGGCTTTTGAACATGGGGGTGGTGAAGAGAGGGAACGCAAAACCGAACATGGAGCGCAAAGAAGCGTTGGCGGCCAGCACTGACGCGGAGAAAATTGTGTACGCATCAATCAGGTAGTTCAAGACCGGAAGGAACACCATGACCATGCCGAAGCCCAGTGGCACGCCCGCTGCAATCGAAATCGCCCAGTGATTTGACGGGTCGTTTGTCCATGCGAACCAGAAGATTCCGGCGGGGAGAATGATTGCTCCAAAAAAGGAGGCCGGGAGTCGCATTTCTGGTGCAAGGCGGCCTCCTGCTTGGACGGTCTTCCTTCTGTACCAGAAGAAGTTGGGGAATACGGCTGCGGCGGAGAAGATGATGCCAACCAGGACGCCTACAAATGCTAATCCAGACATTCCCTCGCTCCAGCCCCGTTCTTGAGCATATACAATCGGGAATGCCGCGAAGAGCATATACAGACTGGAACACTTGATTAGTTTCGGTCCATGGAAGTGGAGTCAACATTTCAAATTGAGACTTAACTGACATTCCGTAAACAATCGCAAGGTATATCGACAATAGAAGCACAATTGGTTCGCGGAACAGTAAGATCCAAGGACGCGATAGAGCTTCTTTCAACGCGGCCCCAATCTGAGGCCTTCCTTTACTAATATCGAGTTTACTTCGGTAAACATCCCCAGTCATCTCAGCCAAGCGCTGAGCTCGCTTTCTCAGCAGGACCGGGGCGTAAGTTTCCGGCAAGAAGAGCACACAGAGAGACCCGAGGAATGCAGAGACGATGGCCATGGCACCTTCTACCCAACGCCATCCAGCCGACTCGGACAGGAAGCCACCGATGATAGGCCCGAGAGCCGGACCCAGGAAGGGTGCTGCACAGAACAGACCGCTAGCAAGGCCGCGGCTCACTGTCGGAAAGCAGTCTGCAATTACTCCCCCCGCCACAGCGAACGGAGCAGAGCCGGCAGCTCCCGCGAAGAAGCGAAGGACGATCAAGGTTTGAATATTTTGGGCGCCAGTTGTCGCCGCCGTGAACGCAGTGAGCGTTGCGGCGCTGGCAATCATGATGTATCGGCGACCGTAGACCTCGCTCAGGGGGGCCCAGACCAGCGGGCCCACCGCAAATCCGAGCACGAAGAGTGCAATGCCCAAGAGGCCAATCTCTTGGGTGACATTGAAGTCCTTCGTGACTTCGACGATGCCCCCAGAGTACGCAGATGATGTCAATGCGATCGCGAGCGTGTCGACGCCGACCAGCAAAGTGATTAGCCATTTCGTGGCGAACCCATAGTTCATCGGATCGCGAGCATCGTGCTCCATCCATGTCACTTGCCAGGGATCTTCCTCTGTTCCCGAACCATCGTACTTGTGGTTCACAATATCCTCCGTTACATAGCCCTGGTCGAATATCGTATGCCAGAATGACATCCTGGTGGATGCTCTTGTTTCACCGGCAGCAATTTCAGCCTTTGCAGGGATAGGAAGGTATTCATATAGCAAAGGGCATTCTAATAGCGTGAGCTTGAAGGAACAAAAGAGTTCTGGGAAGCGGAAATAAAGCAGAAGGGTCCCACTGCATTCAAGCCCAACCTCTTGACTCCGTTAAACTGCTAGTTCTGGCCCCAAGGCCTGAACCCAAGTTGCATGTCTCCAAGGTCTTCCTTACTCCTTCGTGAGGCGTGGAGAAAGCGAACACGATCGTCTGATTGGATGGGGCGAAGGGAGAGGACCGACAGTCAGGCCCGCAAAGCGAGCAAAGCGGACATGGGCGACCCACCGACCAGGCTGCGGACTGGATATGATCTACGTGGATTTCCAGTTTTTGATAAGATTGGCGTCGTGGGATACGAAATTCGGTCTGATAGTGGAAGCGTCGATCCACACGCCCGCCTTGGCGTGTGATTGGACCCTCGCGGTGGTCCCTGGGCTGAAGCCAGCCAACGATATTCACGAGTTCGTAAGGATGATCTAGTGGCGCAATTAGTGGCCGCAGCCCCTGTACCTTATACGCTAAACAAAATACGCGTTACGATACCTCGTCAGTGGCCGAGTAAATCGTCAGCCCAGAACATTAGTAACAACCTCGCCGCTAATGCAGCTCGGCTCTTCAGCTTCAAGTGCTGAGTATTATAGAAGGTGCCCCTTCTATTTCGCTTTCGTCGTGTTTAACCTCTCCGCAATCCCGGCATACTGACATGGGCCCTCAACCCAGTACCCAATCCCACGTCGCAGTGGCTGATTTGCGATTTTGAGGCATTGGCCCTTGCAGTTTGGCAAGCGATAGGGTGCTTGGCGATATAACGGATGCCTGGTGGCATATCGACATGTTAGTTTGCACTGCATTAAGTCACCCGACGATTGTCAGTTATTGTAGCAACTCCTCTGATCGTCTTCTTCCTGAATGTTCGCCCAGACTATACCTCGCCGCCAAAATACTTGTAGATCCATGCGCCTATACATGTGGAACTCGCCAGCGTGTCGAATGGACAATCCGACAGGTTTTTCCCTACGAGGGTCCAAACGAACTGACAACAGCAGGCTGGCACGAACGGCTGTACCGGACTCGACAAGCGTGGAAACCCAAGTCCTGACTTCCATACGCTTACTCGCCAGCACAGCCTCGCCTAGTACGAAGGTGAGAGAGCCTAAACTACCCCATAAGGTTAACCGAAAGCGCTAAAATTTTGGGGCGGAATCTGGCCCCTGGTAAGCGAAATGAGTGTGTCATGTATTTCTGCAAAGTACGGTAATGGGATGATTATCGGGGAATGTTCTATAGATTTTCTGTGGGGACAAGTCCTAACCCAGGGGATTCATTGCCTGGAAAACACCTATCGTAGAGTAACTAAGAGATACGCTGGGTATGGCTACCCTAGGTCATTAGATGGGCCGTGCGCATGCGATAGGCTTGCATCTGTGGGATTTCGCGTAATGTCTGTACGGACAACGTGGGCGTTGCTGGTGAATGGGTTGCCCAATCTGCAAGCGCAGCGTCAACCAGGTTGAGAGCATGGGAACCCAGTATGCCGCTGGGTGAGTGGCTTTGGTGGGCCGGGCCTTACTTTTTACTGGGTTTTCGCTGGGTTCGAAGGGCGACCCTTTGTGATGATCCCCCCCACCTTTGAAGCCTTGAGCTGAGCCAATTCTGAGACAGGAACTATTCATCACCAGGTATGCTGGTTGAGTACATGTGTTACAAAGGATGGACTAGTACCTAGAGTATTAAGATTGGTGTAATATACGTATTATATACGGTAACATGTTCCTAATGCGCCAAAATCGAAGCGACGGTTTAGTCCAACGATGACCTTCCGTGTATAATGCGAGACTCAAGCCCCAGGTTGGCTTTGGGTAAAATCTGAAATTACCTGCCTGTCCCACTCAGAATGCATCAGTTATTTCTCGCTAGTTTGGCCGTATATTGACCAGGATTAACCCCGTATCTTCCAAAACAGCACGAGCCAGAGTCGGGGGCCGAAAGGCAAAAATGGCAGAGTGGCAGGCGGATGGTGAACAAAGTGTCTGAGCCATGCGACCAGACTACAGATCCAGGCAGAGATCATCGGGGGCCAGTGGAATTAAGACTGACGGCACGGAGTTATTCTTCCCCTTGGCTAGGACCGGGTCCACAGCCCACGTCATTTTCGGGGCGTTCAATAACCCTCGTCTATTTCCCCTCAAGGACCCCATCGAGGCTTCGAAAAACACAGTTGTTCCCAGTTGCGCTGATTGAGATATGAGTTTGCGGCTCGCGACCTTGCTGGCCATAGTCGTGGTGTTACTCGTAAGTGGAACCAGGACGCAAAAAGACGTGTGAAGCATACTGAGGCAAGGAACAGGGCATTGGCAAGGCTATCTATCGTTTATACTTCCATCCTCTATCGAAATACCCCGGCCCTCGATTGGGCGCGATTACGCGGTGGTACGCAGCGTACTACGCATGGCGAGGAGACTTGCATTTGAAGAATCGCCAATGGCATGAACAATATGGTTGGTGGAGTGCTGAGTGCTTCGCACATGTTGGTAGGCAACGGCCGCATGTTAACATGGCATAGGCGAGGTTGTGCGCTTCGCACCCAATGCGCTCTGTTTCAACACTCACACTGCGATGAACACAATTTATAGCACGCGCGCAAATGTCCAAAAGTCTGAGGGGTATCTCTCGTTCAGCAACAGCCGGAGGACTCCAAATACAATTACTGCGATTGATAAAAACGTACACGCTTTCAAGCGACGCATCCTGACCCAGGTATATTCCGAGAAGGGGATGCGCACGATCGAAGAACGGTATTTGATCAACATTCGCGATTTCATATCACTCATTGGTCCGGAGGATACACCCATCACCAAGAATTGTACAGGAGAATGGGGAGAGACGAAAGATGTGGGAGTGATGTGTAACTGGTTGGCGATGGATATCATTACAGGCCTCAGCTTCGGCGAAGACTTCAATCTGCTGCATTCGCCTACACTACGCTACTTGCCATCTGTGGTGCAGAAAATTGCCCAGATGAACATGATTGTAAGTGGAGAAAGGGTTCGGTAGGGGATGGCCGGGAATCCTGACCTTCCAACAGAGCATCGTCCAGCCCAGCTTCTTCAACCACAAAATCAACCGCATCTTCATGTGGTCGAAACTGCGCGACATCTTGAATGCGGGAACATTCATGAAAAGCCGCTGCATTGCACGCCAGGAACTCGGTAATACGATCGAACAGAAGGATATCTTCTATATCATGGAGAACACGACAGACCCGAAAACCGGCATGTTCTTCTCCCCAAAAGATCTATGGCTGGAGTCGATGCTCCTGCTCGTCGCAGGCTCCGACACAACCTCAGTAGCCATGAGCGCCACGTTCTTCTTCCTAGCCCACCATACCGACGCCCTGGCCCGCGTGATCCGTGAGATACGTGCAAGCTTCGCGAACGAGGAAGAGATCCGCATGGGCCACCGGCTCAACGACTGCACATTCCTAGCAGCCTGTATCAATGAGACAATGCGGCTCGTTCCATCAGTATCCAACATGCCCCCTCGAGACGCCCTGGACGGCGGCCTCGTAGTGGACGGCAACTACATATCGCAGGGAACGACCGTCGGCACCACGATCTACGCGATTCAGCGCAACCCACGCTACTTCCCCCGCCCCGACGAATTTCGCCCCGAGCGCTGGATCCCAGACGCCAAGACAGGCGTGGACGAGGAGAGTGTCAAGATGGCCAAACAAGGCTTCTGCCCCTTTAGCATCGGACCGAGGTCGTGCGTGGGATGGAGGCTCGCTTGGGTAGAGCTGACTGTGACCGTTGCTCGTGCCTTGTACAAATACGACATGCGATTGGCGCCAGAAGCGCCCTGTTGCGGTGGCCAGCGGAAGGATTGTGAATACGAATTTAAGGGGTTTATGACGTCCAGCGTGGATGGACCCTTAGTGCAATTTCGGCTGCGCGGAGTTTCGGACTTGGTATAGATGTTATTACGGTGAGATGGCTTTTTTCGATTCCTAATTTTTGCGATAGAGTTAGAATGCCACTTTGATATCATTTTAGTTCTAGCGCTCAGATTTACGCCAACCACGGTACGTGGATTTCTGGCCCCAGTGGCTTGAACTTTGCATGACTTTGTTTACTTTGGGCTTTCGAGTGGGGCACGCTTGTTTCTCTTCAGGCCCGCCTGGGCGGCCCCGCTAATGACGATCGTTTTCAATAAATACGCGGTGGAGTCTCGCAGGATTTCGTCAGTCTCCAATTCGACGAGAATGGGACAAAAGAATTTCTGGAGGGGAAACCTTCTCTTTGTCCTTCACATGGACTGGCTCTCATTTTCATGAGAAACGCGGTTTGGTATCGGTGTCATTTTTCATACAAAACCAGGCTGGGTATAAAGACGAGTATGGATCTTACGGGACGCAAAGCCCTAGAAATTTGGGGCGAGCCCTGGGGCCCAAAATGTGCAAGTCAGACTGCACAGTACGAACTCATTTCCCCCCCACTAAGCATCATGGGGAAAAGAGTTTGGTAATAAGCTGATCTGACCAACTCGAAGGCCCCAGGTCGAATTTTTCACCAGCATGGAAGGCCCTTCTGTCGATCTCTAGTGTCCTTGCCGCAAAGCGTTGGCTCGACATTCATGGGGCCATGAATCAGCCCTGCTATTTCTGTATTTCGTCTCAATGTCACATCTATCTCTGCAGCCCTTCTCACCATGAGCTCCTTCAATATCGCCGAACATGTCATTGACGGACAATACGTTCGAGAATACCACCATGCGACAACTACCCCAGATGCCCCGCTGAAGCTATGCATCAAGCAGTATTCCCCTAAAAATAACCCAGAACCTCAGCCAGGAGATGCGACGCTCATTGCGGCCCATGGCACCGGATTCCCAAAGGTTTACAAAAAACATCCTGCCATTGTTCAACTTATTGATTAACAGCTCCAGGAACTGTACGAGCCCCTCTGGGAAGAGCTCCTCGCCCGGCTCAACCAAGCCGGCACCCGCGTACGATCCATCTGGATCGCAGACGCCGCCAACCAAAATGCCAGTGGCATCCTCAACGAGAACAACCTAGGCAGTGACCGTAAGCTCCCAATTGGCATCCTTCTTCCCCCTCTGCACCGCCAATGCCAGCCCAGCCGGCTAGCTAACACCCCTCCAGCATCATCCTTCGACCACAGTCGCGACCTGCTCCACATGATCAACCACTTCCGCGAGCAAATGCCTCGCCCACTAATCGGCGTGGGCCACAGTCTCGGCGCCGTCCAAATGATCTTCACCTCACTCATCCACCCACGCCTGTTCACCTCCCTCATCCTCCTGGAGCCGTACATCATCGAGCAACTGCTCTCAGGCGACGGCTCCGCCGTGCTCGCCATGTCCGCCAAACGCCGCGACGTCTTCCGTTCGCGCGCCGAAGCAACAGAGCAATACCGCAAAGTGCTGAAAGCCTGGGACCCACGCGTCTTCGACCTCTGGGCCCGGTACGGCTACCGCGACCTGCCTACCGCCATCCACCCGACAGTCCCGAAAGCCATCGCCCACTCCACGGACCCGGCCGACGTCCCCGTCACCCTGGCCACGACCAAGCACCAGGAAACCCTGATGTACGCACGGCTGAACCTGAACCGGCACGTCGAGCTAGGCGTGCCGGCGGGCCAGACGCATCTGGGTCCGGATGATGGGCCTGCGCCGCCCACGACCCCGTCATGGTCCCGGATATGATGGGCCCGCTGCGGCCAGGGCAGCAGGTCTGTCGGAGCGAGCACCTTCTTTCGTCCAAGCTGGTGCCCTTCTTGCGGCCGACGGTGCTGTATGTCAGTGGGGCTGGGAGCCCGCTGTGTAAGGCGGGGGTGCATGCGCGAGCAGCGAAGAGGACGGGGACGCAGTGGGGTGGGAGTGGCGGGGTGGAGTATGAGCGTGTTGAGCATGTCCTTGTTCCTAAGGCAGGGCATACGCTGCCGCTGGAGAAGGTGGCGGATACAGCTGCGGTGATGGGGCCGTGGATTGCCAAGGAGGTGGAGCGGTTTGGTGCGGATGAGCAGAGGTTGCAGGAGGGCTGGGAGAAGTTGTCTCTTAAAGAAAAGCGACTCTTGGGCCGGTTTGGAGGAAGGTCATTGACAATCTTCCCGGGGTGAAGAAGCCGGCGAAGAAGGCTGCGAAGCTTTAGATTGGCAGTTGGGAATGTGAATAGTGTACATAGTAAATATTGGCTCCGAATGCGTCTGCCGGATCTAACCACGGAGCTGCATCGTTGGACAATCTACTTGACTCGTACATCATTGCTGGCTTTCAGGTCTATTGTAACTGAATCTCGACCAAAAGATCCAGGGTCTATAGCCACTTATTACGGCACCATATATGTAACTATATTCTCTGGCAGATAAAAGGAGAGGCAGTTATAGCACCTGAATAGGTACGTTTCTGATATTCAAGAAGCCTACAACCCAGAAATCCCCAAAAACAAAAGGTGAAACAAACAGATGCCATGTCTTCCAAACGCCGCAAAACCTAGCCATCGCTAAAAAAAAAAAAACATTAATCATCAAAATGCAGCATAATCACAGTACAACGTTGACTCTCACAAAACGCTCAATTGCTGTCTTCCACTGCGCATGCTGAGACCTTGGCCGCTCCACTCCGAAGAAGACGAACCGCCTCGACCACGCCGCCCACTCGTGCTCGTACTGGCGCCAACGCTGATGCCAGCAGTCGTCAGAGAGTCGCCATCGTCGACAATGGGTGGCACAGGAATACCGACCATTGCAGGCCGTACCTTGGCACCTACGAAACCGCGTCGGTCACGGCCTGTCCGGCCTCGACCGAACCAGTTATGTTTCAGTGCCTTGCTGAGTAGCTCAATCTTTTCCTGGCTCGCGTCCTCGGTCTGGACACTTGCGAGCACACTGACACATTGAAGCATTCGGCCGACTGTCTCGGTGATGACATGTGAAGAATCGGCTAAGCCGGGTCGGTGGATGACGGTTGGTCGTTGGGATGCAACGGGAGGGGAAGATAGGGACGAAAACATCATTTGGTCAGGGTTCGACGAGGTGTTGGACTCTGCACGGCTGCGCGACTGGCTGCTTGTGGGTCTATTAGCGAGGCCGCTCGTCGACTCGGATGAGTAACTGTCTGCGACGGTGCTGAGGAGCGTCGAGGACTGCGAGTTGTAGCTGCCGAGCCCGGCATCGAGAGATGCGGCTGTACCTGGTCTGCCGCTGTTGCCAGTGCTCTTGGAGGTCACGCTCAGCGTGGGAAAGGCCGTGTTGATGCTGTCCAAGCTGAGACGGGAGAAGAGGTTCTTGAGAGCATCGTACCGGTTCAGGATCATGTGGTCACGGAATGAGATTAAGACTAGATTGCGCACATCAAGGGACGCACGGCTCAAGCTGCTCCAGAACTCCCGCGCTTCCATGGTGGTCATCAGCGACCCACATCCTTTGAACTCCAGATCAAGGGGCAGGAAAACCGCTTGGATGAAAGGAAGGATCGTGCCGAAGACCAACATCCAAACTTGCACCAGATGCGGCACAACCTTGTCATCCGGAATGCCAACCAACGAACTATGGTTCAAGGTAGCAAAACCTGTTGCTAGTAGCTCTTGTAGGTCGGTAATCATAGATGTCGGCGTGCGCTTCTGAACACAATGTTGTAAGTGTACCAAAACAAGCTTGTTGAGGTCTTCAATGGCAATCCGGACATCCTCTCCATCGAAAATGACCAGCAATTTTGCCTTCAGGAAGTCCCATGCATCCTCGGGAGACATGTTGTTCAACCCGAAGCCCTGGAGTGTTTCTCTGAGAACAGCCTCGCCCAACACGCCCGATGAGCTGTTCAGCGAAGACGGCGCAACGGCACCGGCACTTCCAGCTGTCGCCGAGCTTGATAGCCATTCCATATGCTCCGACTCAGCGAGGGCCTTCTCTTCCTTTTTCTTTTCTCGGAGAGCTCGTCCGCCATGCAGCAAGTCCAGACCAGTCACCGACTTTCCGAAAGTAGCACCTGGCGCTGGGGATGCAGGGCTGGTAAACGAATATAGAGATTTGGGGGCATTGGGGTCCGCCGGACGCGAATTGCTCGATGCCGATGAAAGGGGCAGATTGAAATGCTCGTCTCGATCTTTGAGTTTCAGCTTCTGTCGCGACAGGAAATGGGGCTTGTGTTTTTCCTTTTCTTTGGCTTTCTCTCTCGGAGGATACAGCTGGGGGCCGCTCAGCCGCGGGAACCACAGTGTTGACGGAGGCATTGGACAGGCTATACATGGAGCTGTTGTTGGAGGGGAGATCGGCCAGGCTGGTCGTCGAAGCACTGACCATCCGTGACAGGCCTCCACTGAGCTTGCTAGGGGATGGCAGAGCCCGGTCCCGGCCGGCACCATCCTTCTCGCGGCTAATGCCTATATGCTTTGGCTTGGAGAACAGCTTCTTCTTCTTCTTGCTTTCTGGCTGTTCGGCTGGATGGGGCGCGGCGGCCCCCGCACGTGGGAACACCACATTGGCTGCCGTAGTCGCTGCATTCGGGGACGGCTGGTTCAAACGTAACGGAGGAGGGACGAGTGGAGGAGGGGGAGGCGGAGGGGAGGCACTGCCGCTGCGGAGTGTTTCATCGGCGCGTTTGATCTGCTGCATGGCTGTCTGGGCCGCAATGCGAGAAGCAGATACAGAGGGTACCTGCTCAGAGGATGCAGTCGGCAAGGAAGGCTCAAAGAACCCTTGCGAATGGTGCCGGGACCGATGTCGTGACATTTCAGACGAGGGCCCCGGCCAGATGGCCGGCGGGAGTCTGGCATGGGGCGTCCAGCGCGTTGTGGCGAAGTGGTTGCAGATGCTGACCGCGAATTGGGAGAAAAATAGCCGGCGCTGAACGGCTGGCCCGTGACGGGAGTAATAGGAGCTGCAGAGACCGTAGTCACGTTGGAAGAAGCATCACTGCCGGAAGACCCGGGGCGAGCGAATTCGTCGTCAGAGTCGTCGTCCGAGGGAGGGTTGGGGTGGCGGTGGTTTGGGACGGGCGCTCTGTGGGAACGCCCGGGAGAGATGGAACGGCGAGATGGATTCATGGCGAGCCGTCCATCCTATGAAACCACGCTATTGTCTTACGTGGAAATGGGGAACTCGGTTCCAGGGTTTGAGGTTGTCATTGCAAGCTCCCCTTTGGGTTTAGACCACCACCTTCCGATCTTGCTGATCCTTACTTTGTTCCTCCCCCCGCTCGATTGGCATTTTTTTCCCTCCTACAGTCAGCTGGTACTCAATTGATGCATTGAGCCCTGCTCTCTCTCTGCGCCTCCTACTCTTCTTCCTCTTTCATCACCATGACCTCTCATAATCTACACGTCTCTTACACCGCTCCAGACACCACCAAGTCTTTCCAGCATTCCATCCCCGCCAGCGCCACGAATGACCCTTTGGTCGCCAAACAAGCCCACTTGACGGCTCTGCAAACTCTGGTTCCCAAGCTCCAGGATGAAATCAATGTCTTTTTGACCGCACGCATGGAAGAGGACAGCAAATCCCAGGGCCAAATCTCCGAAAAAGAAGCGAAAGAAGAAGAGAACTACGGGGAGGAAGTGGTGGAGGATGAGTGATCAACAGAGCTCATGATATAATGCTAAGACTGGGTATCAAATAAAAAAGAGAGAGAGCAGGCAAAAAGAATCGGAAAGAACCAAGATCTTAAGCCCATCCAACGCATACCGATGCATGATGCAAGACCCAAAAGAGGATGACTCAACCGGAACGAACACTGGTGACCCGCTTGGCACAGCCCAAGTGGACGACGGAGTTACTAGGACAGGAAGTTAGTAATGCACAGCTCGACCGCTCGATCAACAGAAACTTACTCGGGGAACACATTGATCACACTTCCACCCAACCGTTTGTGACACACCCCACAGACCCGTTCCTCCGTCACCGTAACATGACGCGCCCGGGTTCCACCTCCACGAACGTTCTCACCGAGTGCGAGTTGAACTTCCGCCTGCATGCTTCGGGTCTTGCGCAGATTCGCGACAATACGGGCTTCGTTGAAGACTGAATTGGCTGCACGCATCCGACCCTTAAAATAGAATTCGAGCTCCTGCACGGGCAGGCTCGCCGGGATGAGGCCGAGGGCTGCGTCGGCTGGCAGTCGCGAGCCGTGCTTCGCAAGCACTGCTAACGCAGGGCCGTTCTGGACTGGATGCCCGTGAGGGGGTGACAAGTACAGCGACAGTAGGGTGAGGTAAATCGAGTGGTCGGACTCTTGGTTCTGCTCTTGATGGTGTTGGGAATCGGCGAGATGAACTCGGTTGCAGTACCTGTTTTAATGAGCAATGGAAAATATATATGCGTTGGGTGGGGGGGCTGACTCTTCGGCCTTTTCATGATCCTCGAGTTTGAAAACATAGATTTCAAGGACCTGCCGGTGCTGGCCCATTTTGCTAAACACAATAGCACGGGCCTCGTAGAATTCGGGATCTGTGATGTCGTGAGTAAGGCAAAGAGCTACTCAAAAATGAGTGATAAGGAGCATACCATCACGGCTGAGTCGGTCCAGGAGCTTAGCAGGCGAGTATTGCTCGCTCTCTTTGAGCATGTCCAGAAATTTCTGTTTGGTCTGAGTGTCACCCTTTTCGGCCACGAGACGGTCAAGATAGAGAAGTAGAAGACGTTGATGCAGATCGGGGGACATATCATTCCACTCGTGAATGACATGTTCCAGATACTGGATGGCGAGATTTGCATCAATACCCAGCAGGAAGTCTAGAACCCGAGAACGTGGTAAAGTTTCGGCGTTCTCAGTATCAGTGAGGAAGATTTCCATGCCCAACTCCTGATTGGCCTGGATGGGCCATTTTGCAAACTCCAGTATTAAGTCAATTTGGTCAGGTGGAAGGTTCTGCAAGTACGCAACAGTGCGACTTGGACCAGCCAGCAGCCCTGATTCCTCTTGTCCAAACCGCTGTAACAAGCGCAGTGCCTGCTGATGTAGCTTTTTGCCATAAAGGAAGTCAATGAGATCATTATAGCGGCCCGTCTCTTCGAGTTGCTTCATGACCACATCGGGATCACAGAAGTTGGCAATCCGAAATAGAGACCCCGCTAGTGACGGCGTGGCATACATGTGAGCGCGGAACAACGTCGTATCAACCAAACGAGCCTTGCTGCGAAGCTCGTCCAGAAAGTCTTCAGACGACGGAAAGTCTAGGAGCTTCAGAACCGAAGCACTGGCTTCATCCTTAGCCTCTGTGGGCACAGGTGCTTTGAGAGTCCCATCCTGACCTAGGAATCTTTGGAATCGCCGACGGACGTCTGCTAGATATCCCTGGAGCTCTCGGACGGCGTTCTTGAGATCCTTTTCTTCATCACGTACACTGCCTGAATCGCTGCACTCGTCGGTCCGGCGAAGCAGGGACCTGACAGAGGCGGAGTATAAGGATGGTGCGTTGCCGTTCAGGCCGGCGTGAGGCTCAACAGGCCCGTCCGCCTGCGAACCATCGAGGTTTGGCGAGCCCCGAGAATCAGAACCATTCTGATCGACAGCGGACAACTCACCGGCGATCCTTGGAGGGTAGAGGCGTATGACGCTTTCCGGCGGGGCTGCAACCTCGGTGAACAAATCTAAAGATTCGCGGTATTTGTGCAATGAGAACAAGCTCTGCGCTTTTTCAAGCTGAGCCCGGCGCAGTCGTCCTGGTTTGTCGCTCAAAAGAGCATCTTCTAGCATTCCCAACAGGCTAATAGCCTCGTCCAGATAGCCTTTCTCCACCAAGGAGTCGATCTGAGTGTCATAGCTTAAGGCCTCCATGCGCCAGATGGTTCGATCACTTGACACTAAGAAGCCTTTGCCAGCATGAGCGAGGCTGATGTTCGGCTGTGGAATATGTAAGATGCTCGCCGCGGGTAGCGGTATGGATTGCAATAGTGACAAGGTTTCTGGATTTCGAACTTCGAGGACTCCTTTAGCAATGTCGTGGAGAGCCAATAGAAATGGATACGAGTAGCCTATTTCCACTGGGGCATGAGTCCAGGGGATTTGTCGTCGACCAAGAGGCTGGCCCTCAACATCGATAAAATGCGTGTTGACATCTTTCGCGAGCAATATCTGTCCCTCACCTAGCTTGGCTGCCAAAGGCTTAGGACCAGCTCCGCCTATGCCGATGTAGCTCATGCTGGCCGCGCCGACTCCGGTAAACCGCCCTGGCTCTTCCATGCTTCCAGGGCCCGGCAAGTCAGTGAGTTGACCAGACTGAACATCTACCATGACATAGCCCGATGCCAGCCCAACAACCAACTTGGTGGCAGAAGCCCAAGTAAGCGTCTTGATGCCACTCACAAGGGCGACTTCCGTTGTATCAGGCTCAAGCTCCATATCTCGCCAGACCCACATCAGGATCTTCCTCTTCACCGCAACGGCCAGTCTAGAAACGATCGCAGGGACATTCGTATCGGGGTCATTCACAACATTCGAGGTAATCGCAAAAGCCGAGGCACCCTTCGTCTGCGCCAGCTGTTCCTGCAGCTCGTAGGACTGCGAGTCATGCAGCGAGACAAAGCCGCCGGACAGCGAAACGATAACATGGGCTTCCTTCACCAGGGCTAGCTGCTCGATCTTGTAGCGGGCGAACTTTTCCAGCTCCCGCAGCAGCTCGGTCGTAGTGCCGTCATCCGAGACGCGGTAGATGCGGAGGGTGCCATTGCTGAGTCCCGCAAGCAGTCGATCGCCATAGGCTAGCACTGAGTCGATCTTGGACTTGTCGCGCGGCTTGAGCTCGACCAGTGGCCGCGCGGTGAATGCGGACAACATCGCGCGAGCCGACAGGGTCAATTGCAGTCTCAATGTTTCTCGTGGCCGAGGCAGCTTCAGCGATGTCCGGTGACGTCTCTGATGAGTCAGCTGCACGACCCAAATTGATTCCTAAGGCCAAAAGGGAAGGCTACGGGGTTAATGGGAAGGGTGACATCTCTGATCGAATTGGTAGATGTTCAGCAGTGTCAGAATTGCGTTGGTAAATTGTCAGTAGATGTTGTTGGAGTCATCAGGAGTAGCGATTGCAGGATGGTAAACATGAGGTCTTACGGGTTCGGTCTTCCCGTCATGAAACCCTTACAATCTACTAACTAGCGACTAGCTGCCTGACCGCTTGCTCGTCCCCATTCAGTTGTGAAAATTGTGTAATACTTTTTCATTTAGCTCGTGGCCTATGGATCTGCATCTCTTGAATCACCGCTGAGGCGATTTCGCACCTGGTAATGATATCTTGGTATTTGTTTCCTTTTGAAAGTGACCGTCTCATTCCGACTCCTCCCCAATGCGGAATCTTATTTGCAATGCCGAAAGAAAAGCGCCTTGGGAAAAAAGCTACTCCTACTTCTCCTCCTTGGCCTCGGCCGGAGCCTCAGAGGGGGCCTCCTGCTCAGGGCTCTTTGGATTGGCGGCAGTGTAGTCCTGGTGGCGCGCGGAGCTTCCCTTTCCTCGCCACGTAGACACAGCAGGGATATCCGCCTTGAATCGCTCTTCGTCTGTGCCATAAGCCCGAGGAGTCAGCTTAATCAGAGTGTGCAAAGGCACCTCCATCCACGGACTCTGCTCCTGGGGCACATTCATGAAGTAGGCATAGATACACCGCAGCACAGCCTGGTGGGTAACAATGATAACGTTCTCGCTGCGCTCCAGTTCCATGATGATGGGCTCGAGGCGGATCACCACGTCACGATACGACTCGCCGCCGCGGTATCGGTAGTTGTATTTGTCCTCGTCACGCGCGGCGAAGTCCTCTGGGTATTTCTCCGCGATTTGTTCGTATGTCAGCCCGTCGCAGACGCCCGAGTCCAGCTCGTCCAGCGCCTTCCACTCCAGCTTCTCGAAACCTGTCTCCGCCTTCAAATGGCGTGCGGTCTGGATTGTGCGGCGGAGAGTTGAAGTCCAGATCACGATCTTCGTGTTCGGGGGGATGCCGGACTTGCGCAGCAGCTCGGGTAGGGCACGAGCATACGCCTCGCCGCGCTCGGAGATGTTCGAGTCGCCACCGATCCGGCCGGTCAAATTGTATTCGGATTCACCGTGCTATTGATTATTAACGAGTAGTTCCTTTGGAAGTTAAAATATGAGGGCGATACATACGCGGGATAGCCAGATCGAACGTGGCTTAATGTGCAAGTTCTGGATGTAGTATACCAGACGACTGGACAAATAGTCCTTGATCTGGTTGATAATCACAGTCGAGCCAACATTGATGAGTTTGACATAAGTGTAGTGCTTCTCGCCATCGTCAATTGTTTCGTATACCTTCTCGTAGTTGCGAATCCGGTTGCGAAAATCGAGAGCGGCGAGCTCAGGATCCTGGCCCTTGTAGTCCGGAGAGGTGGTCTTCACCTCCAGGATATTGGTCATGATAAGGTCCTCGTCATCGCAGATAGATTCGACGAACAGGGTTTCGATATTGGCTTCCGAGCATTTCTCGTAGATCCACTGGCGGCGCTTCTTGGTGGAGTTGGTCGCATCAAGGATGGCCACGACTCCCTTGCCAGCGTTAAACCATGAGATCATATCATCCAGTGCAGCCTCAGCAGCAGCCCGTCGCATACGCTCACCCTCCTCATTGTGTGGGTCGAAGAAATTCGCAGCCGGCTGGGGGGTATTGTTACGTCGGTAGCTGCCAACATTGAAGACTCGCGCTGGGACGCCGACCCAGCCGAGATATCGCATTGCTATGCTAGGTTAGTGACTTTCCAGGGTCTGTCTGGACTTGAAGTACGTACCTTTTCCGGAGATCAAGCTTTTGCCTCGGGCCGGGAGGCCAACCATAACGACGCATATCTTGGAATCATCGGACTGCACGTACCGCATGTCAATCAAAGCCATAATTGGATCAAAGAAGGGGAATTCACGCAGGAAGGGAGAATCCAAAGTGCTTAATCCAAAGGAAAAGGAAAGGAACAAAAACAACGGGGTCAAAGGAGGGGGCACACATCCACATGAGCGCACCGTCCGTGAGGTGCGCGCAGCCCGACGATGTCATCGCGATGTATGTACGCCAATGCATGAATGACCAAACACCGCGAAGTCCCGCATCGGCGATGAGTACCATCCCCACACTAGCTTGCACAAGTATATTACAATTTATAGCTGGGCAGGTCACGTATGTACATGCTGGCTGGTTCACACTTTGCCAACTTAAGTTGTAAATGCGGGGAAGATGAGGAGGGACAGCCGCAGGGGTCTCCCCCCGTAATGCCGGGCGAGAAACTAGGCTAAGAAGAGAGATGCTGACTTACGCTAGCCATGAACACCTTATGCTGCTGCTGGCTCCGGCTCACGCTTCCTGTCGCCATTCTGGCTGCAACTGAACGTTCGGGTAGAATAGGGAGGGAGAATCCGACCCGAGGCCGAGAGTAATATAGAGGACGGGATCAATATAACATGTGCAAAAGAAATATAGGGAAGAGAAGACCTCCAGATAGGGAACGACAAAAGGAAAGTTTTCAGGCCAAAAATAAAAAAAAGAGTAATGTTGAAAAAGGAAAAGCAAGGCAAACTGTGAAGGACGGAGGGGCGATGCGGTGAGTCTCGAATCTGCCCGGCTCCACCCAACGTCATGCCGCGGTTTCTTAATCGTGCCATTGCACGTATGGATCGTCCTGGCTAGACTCATTTAGAGTTGAAGATTTACATCATAGCTAGCGTACAGATTTTTGATTAAAGGCCTTTCAGTTAGATGAGAGCGATTGGATCCTAACTTGTCAATGCCGGCATGAAGAATCATTCCTTTGGACCCACTTCGATTCTTCTGCCCGATCTGGTATTCCGGGATCTGCAGAGTATATCGCTGGCAGAAGAATCCAAGTACTTCGAGGCGCACTACTAGTAGTAGCAAGGGTGCAATATGTTTTGGGGGTCCCAGTGCTTAGCATGGTCTATCTATACTCCAATACGGTTCTAATAACTCCGGTCCTCTACTGCCATCCTGCATATGCATCTTTTCATCATACGCTGCGTACACGGCCACTGCGGGAAAGCGGGAAGCTTATGCCTTACTGTTTGAACGGTAGGCTGGTCGCACTTTGAGAACATCACCCCATGGGCCTACTTGATCTCCCAGCTGGCGAGCAGCGTTGTAAGCTTCTTGCTCGGTGCTGAAATCCACAAATAGATAATAGTGTTGCCCAGGCTCGAAGCGCTTGGCCAAATGTGGGGCAAATATCTTGCTCACGTTTTCGCTGTAGAATAAGCATCCATCCACGAACTTGGAAACAAGCCCAAAAACTCACACTTGAAAGGCATGGAAGAGCTCTCGGACTTTACTCTGGACTTCATCAGGGTCAGTCAAGCGGGGTAAACCACCCACATAGACTCGCTTCGTCGAAGGACTATTCTCTTCCGCAAGGGCAGTGGAGGCTTTGGCTTGTTCGCGCCAGCGGCCCATGGATGGGTTCCGGCCCGTGAACGGGTCAATAGCGATGTCAATACGCTCGCTATGAAGTTTATACTCAGCGTGGTCTACTTTCATAGGATTGATGTAGATCCGTACATGGGGAATGCTGCTGCTACAAACACAGCCTCCACATCCTCTAGCTTCGCAGTGTAAGGCATGTTGCCCACATAGAGGCGGCGGCCTTCGGAGATTGCTTGGGGGGGCATGGGTTCCCGGGCGACTAGATGCCATGCGGGAGGTGTTGAAGTTGGAGCTTGTCCGTGGGGTCAGAGATGGCTGGGGAGTTCGCCAATTGAGGGATTTGAAGGCTCGGCCCTCAGTGCGGACACTCTGAGTCGGCGACCTGGGAGCTTCTCACTGTTAGCCAAGCCCTAGTCCAGCTCAGACTTCAGTGATTGTGCGCTGGGAAACTTACTCTGCGCTTCCGCCATGATGATTGGGCCGTCCATCGTCTTATCCGTTAGCAGCGTACATTGCTTCACATACAAGGGTAGGATCGTGCGTACATGCCCAAATTATGCCGGAAAATCGTGAAATAGTCAAATCAGTACCGTAAACCATCCAAGCAGAATCCGCGCTGTCCATAACTTTTTTGCTGGTAAATATGCAAACCACGCAAACATTAAATTAGGTACTCCACTACACCATCTTTACCATCACCAAGCTTAACTAGGTCGGCCATTTTTGCTCCTAAAGGCGTGATAGAATACATGCGACATTTTCCAGTGTAATGTCAGGGGAAAGGAATACACGTTACCCGGTGCATGTCCATGTCCACCTGGGCAGGTTGGATTGCGAGCTGGGCCTCGAGCCCCGAACATATGCACGTGACTAGATCCACTAAATGCAAATCGGACAAACATGAGCTTGACTCCACCAGCGCCTATTAATTTTTTCCTCGCCTCTCTTTTCTCCTTCCCTTTTTCTTCCCAACATAGGGAGGCCATTGAGAAGAGTCTCATCATTGGAGCTCCATCTAATGCGTTGGAAAGCTCCAATGAAGATTTCCTCTGATTGATGGCTTTATACTAAACAACTGCGACCTTCTTCCACAGCGGCTTTTGGTCGCTGTCGGGTCTGCTGGGTAAGTGCACATGTTTTGTTATTTTCTTTTTTTTCCCCTCTACTTCAATGATGAAGCAAGATTTCACACAGACCTGTTCTGAATCTCTTTGAGGACAAAATTTCAGTCCAACTGCTATCTGATGAAGTTTCTCGTTTTTCATGTTGCTGTTTAGCTCAACTTGATTGTGATCATCGCTGATGGTCAATTTAGAGCCCGAAATCCCTTCGATATTACGCCTGGTAGCTACTGCCCATATTATACTACCATGAATTTACCATCTTTTACATCTAATATGCTCTTTTCGAATATCGTACCTCAATTCGCGCAGCATAATGACCCTGTCTTGGCCTGTGGCTTATCTGTAGTACGAGTAGTCCCATTACCTATTGCACATACCAGTGGGAGGACATTGGTAAAACAGCGAGGGAAGCTAGAACCCGAACCCGCCTAAGGGGAAATGAAAGACCTTTTGAAAATGGATATCATGATGATGGCGCTTCAAGTCCTATCACGCGACATGGAACCGATTGCTCCAAGTATCCGAAATGTTGGGCGCAAATATGTTCAATAAGTGTCACCGGCCATGATCATGTCAAATATATAAAATGCAAGCCCCAAAATACCACTTAAACTCCATCCATGCCGACTCGGAGTTCCAAATCAAGCATTGTATCCCAAGTCCTGCACAGGAATCATCTCCTCCTTTTCATACAAAATCTCAGGCTGAACGTTCTTATCCCGCAAGACATACCTCTTCACAACATAGCGAATCTGCCGTAATCCATACTGTGCGTGGAAGCGCGTTGGTACAGAAAACACTTGATCCAGCTCTTCGAGCGTCTTCCCCTTCGTCTCCGGCATAAACAGCAGAATCAACCAAAAGCCCACAATATTCCACCCAGCATACCACGCAAAGCCACCCTGGATGGTGAACGCGGCCGATAACGAAGGCCACGTTACGCCGAGCACGAAGTTGAAGAACCACAGGGTGGCTGTTGCGAGCGCCATACCGTACGATCGGACGTAGAGCGGGTACACCTCGGCGGAATAGGTGAATGGCACTGGGCCCTCGCCTGGCGAGTAGACGATGCCGAACAGATAGAGACCTAGGGCTACACAGCCGATGTGGGCCGCGTGGTGGGCATCGGTGTCGTCGGGGATCCAGAAGCTGAAGCCGGTGAAGAACATGGCGACGGCCATTAAAGGGAATGTCACGAGGAGGAGGTTGCGTCGGCCGAAGGTGTCGATGGTGTAGACTGCTGGGATGGCAAAAACCCAGTTGATAACGCCCCAGCCGAGGGATGCACCCAGCGCTGAGGCTGCGGAGAAGTTGGCTTCCTGTTTCGAATGTTAGACATTTTCTCCGGCAGCGATTTGGGGTGGCCAGGAAGGAGAAGCGTACCAGGAAAATCTCAGAAGAGTAATAAGCGATAACATTCACTCCGCAAAACTGTTGCAGAAACATGACGATTTCGGAAGCCAACATGGCTCGTCGATTACGCGGGACAGTGATCAGCTCCCAAAGCTTGTTTTGGCCAAGCTTCATGCTGTTCTCGGCCTCGAGAAGGGTATACATATAGTACATATCACGAGCAGCTTGGATCTTGTTGTGCCGCACTGCGCAGATCGATCGATAGGCGCGGTAGTACTGCTTCTTGGCCATATACCACCGTGGGGACTCTGGACAGAAGAACACAAAGGCGCACACAACGAGGGCAGGTAGTAGGGCCGAACCTAACATCAATCTCCAATTAAGTCCAACCACACCCTTCGGGTCTGGGACGTGATAGAAGGCCAGATCTGCTGCATAGCCCAGCATGATGCCAAACGCCGTCCACATCTGCCACTGCATGACCAAGGCACCACGAATCGCCGGAGGTGCAGTCTCAGCAGCATAGACGGGGACAGTGGCAGATTTTGGACCAATACCAAGCCCAAGGGCGAATCGCGCGACAAATAACCCCCACCATGTTGAGGTGAAGCTTTGCCAGAGACAGGCAAGCGCACTAAAACAACAGGTCAAGAAGATTGTTCCCCGGCGACCGAAATAGTGGTTGAAAGGAACTGTCAGCCAACACCCAAGGAAGGCACAGCAAAGGTAAGGGGCCGCGTTGACCAAGCCTGAGAGCCACGTCTCCCTTGAGCCTGTCCCTGTCAGTCCAAATTGAGGTTTATACCAGATCTGAGCGCCGTTCACAACCGTTTCGTCTAGATTTGGGAACATTTTGATTAGCGAGTTTTATGGAGCTATGAGTCGGGGTAGTCTTACCCATTCCTGCACAGCAGCAGAAAGAGAACACAGGGCAATAACAGCATACATCGACCATGGCTGAGACCACCGATTGGCAAACTCCTGACGCAGAACTTCTTTTTCTTGGGCGGTTAAGCCGCGGACCTTCTCATATTTCTCTGGCGCCTGAGCCAAAACCGCACCTAATTCGAAAGCGCGAATATCGGATGCGTCGTCCCCGATCTCGTTCGAAATAGCGAAAGTTCGACCTTGTCGCCGCAGCTCGGCATGACTGAATCCGGCCAGCGGATTCGAGAGTTTGGCATTGATATTTCGTCGTGCCCGTTCGGCGGCATTGCCGAATGAACGCTGGGGCCAGAGACGCTGCCGGGGCGTTTGATCCCCGGGGCTATTGTCCTCGAACAAGTAGATGCTGGGTTTGCGAGGCATGCTTGAGCCGGAAAGAAAAGGGGCTCACGGCAGGCCTTCGAAAGTAGAGGATCCTCAGGTCCTCGACGGAAGTTGTGGCGAGAAGGAAAAGGCAATCATCGGGGACTTTGGGGGCTATCTTTTTTTTTTGGAACCCACTCGCAAGTCACATCCTGTCAGATCGAAGCAAACACCATGTGGTAATGGAGTACAATGGCGGGTGGGGGGCCAAACTAAACCATGGAAGGCCTTGGGAGACGCATGAGGAGTTGGACAGTGCAGCAGTGCCCCAGCAAAGGAAAGATCGCCTTGCAGCAGTTCTGTTTTAGGGGGGCTCGACTCGGAGGGATTGACGTCGCGTTTCATACAGACAAGTCTGTGAGCTCGAGCAGGGGCCTCGGCTTGGGACTAGGAATCTGTAAGGCCATCCATCATATGAGTGGCACTGGTAGGAGGCAGAAGAGCCCCCAAATCTACTGCCGTTTTTAGGCCATTGTGACGATGATTATAGCTCGTATTTGCGTCAGCACGCGATCGGGTTTAGTTGGCACGGGGTACTTTCCGTGTTAATCCCCCGGAATCCCCATATCGGCTCCACATGTTCGATTCAATGCTTTGGACCTGCTTGACTTGCGTAGCGATACTATTGGGGTCGGAGAATTTAGGAATGAATAAAAATTCCCAGATTGGAAGATGGAAAGAAGACCCCCAAGTAGGCCTGAAAGCCCAGGTGCGCATTACTAGTTAGTACGGTCGGCCCTCTGTTAGGCTATTAGTCCCTTGTGGTTCAGTGTCACTATGTCTATTTACACGTATCTCTTTCCTGCCTCCAGTGGGCTCACCTCCGTGCTAAAGGTTGCATGCCCAATTCCAGATGTTGCCTCACTGGGAGATGGGACGACTCCCCACTTCAGTTCCTGGAAGGCAAGATCCGGTGGAAGCTCCGCATCCTTCCCATCAAACCCCGTAGGCCGACAAGCTGCAGCCTTACTTGCGCTGCAACACCCTGCTAATGGAATCCCGCCGGGGAACTTCATGAGAAAGCACAGGCCAATTAGCATGAAACATAGAAAGCCATCTGCTGCGAGCGCATAGACCATCATGTTGAGGAACCATTGGATATTGCTCTCATATGAGTATAATGGACGGTTCATTGGGCTCGATCTCGGGGTGAACTGAAGAACGAATTCCAGCTGGTGAGGTGTGACGATCTCGGAGACGAGCCAGTGGGCCACGGCCATGACTGCCATGATTGGCAACCTCCATTTGTATGGGACAGAAAGAAAGTACGATGAGCGCTGTGCCGTATTCGGCGCTGGTTTCGTGACTCTCAGCCCCTTAGAAGGCTTGCTAGAGCCCAAGGAGTACCCACACCACTCTTTCATAGCGAGTATGCTGCTCACTGCGTTGTTCAGGCCGAGGTAGATGTAAGACATGGCAAACTGTGGAAGGTTGGCCGTAATGATCGCGGAGAGTGTCGAAGGTTCCTCAACCAGATCATACTCATCTAGGATACTGAAGCCAAAGTAGTGGTCGGACATTATTTGCCAGAAAACGAGACCCATGGCTACTATCCATAGAGCCAGAAACAGGCACAAGTGGCTTGGTTCAACGGCGGCGATCCAGCGACGACGCTTATTTTTCCATATATCACCAGATTGAGGCTCCATTCCCACCAGCCACCTCTGAGCGCCCCATGCATGAGGCTTGGTGTACATGTCTCATACATATCGGGCTCTTGAATGAATGACTGAATTGCATCACCGATCGTGCAGAGGGGAGGCTCCGTCTGAGTGATCCAAAGAGTTGCCAGGTAAGAGCTAATTTTAATCACATTGCATATGATGACCAGTACCAGAAATGATGGAACAACTTTGACGTGGTATTCATTGAGTCGGGGTTCTTGAAAGCATGAACGAACTGGGGCGTTGCCTTGATCGCCAATGACGGGATTCATAGGCACCCAGCGACTCGCAGTGTGCCCGCATCTGTCTTGGCCATCGCACTTGAAGTGAATTGGTTCGATTAGATATGATAGGTTGTACCAAGCCCGCACAGACGATGAACTGCTGAAGTGGACACGATCCTTGAGGATGGTAGCATCTGTGGGATTGAAGTCCGCTGGATCAACAACGAGAATGACACTAGACATGGATAAGCCTATGACATAGTTTTGATACCATTCTTCGAGACTTAGTTGTGTCAGCTCGCTCTTTTCTGCCTGCTGTTGAATATTTGCCATGCGGTCAAACACGGCGGTCCAGTTGGGATTGTGATTCAAGCGGGGATAGTCGGGTGTCTCGATGGACCATGCTGCTCCCTGAGTAAAGTTTTCAAACACAGCCATTGCCATCCCGCTGCGCTGAATATCGGATTTGAAGATGACAGCATTCCATACCATGTGTAATGGAAACGAACTCAGGGCGAGTGGCTTCCTGGATCAGACTTCAGGCCGGGAAATGTCCTGTACTCCGAGAGCTGACGATGAGATATGGAAAAATGGGGGATATGGGGATACGAGCGCTGAACCCTCAATGGTAGCTTGCGCATGGGCTCAAGTATATATGACAAAGGGCTATAGCACTACTATCCAACCGTGGGTTTCTTTAGAAGAGACAGGTAGAATTCCGCAGGGTAACGGGCCGCAAGGAATGTTCTTCAGCCTCGATACGCTGCCAATAGAAGTAGACTACTTGAAATACAGCAATCAACTCAGGAGCACAGGTTACACAAGACAGCTAGAAGTGACTGTGCTCCTTTGCTCCTGATCATGCCCGTTCACTGTTCTGTTAGACCTTTCTATATATTAGCCGAAGTCAATCCCAGGAAGAGGCAATCCGCCGACGCTCATACAATAGATATTCCTTGGATTGGTGCCTGCCTCAAGTGCTCCCGGTCTGGACTGAAATCTTCCTTGCCAAATTCAGGCAAAGTGCAAATTTTCTAAAAGCAGACGGCTTTTCATATTGCCACTTTTTGGCAGTTTTTGGCGTAAAGAGTCGACACCAGTTCAACTAGTGGGCTAAACGTTACATCGGCCTTGGTGCTGCATTATTTCAGGCCTGGAAACTGACATACCCCATAATTAATAGCGGTAAGGATCCGGGTCAATCAGGCCCCCCCACATGGCATCCAGGGCATAAGAAGGCAGCTGGGCTTATCATTACTTACAAGGTCATCAAAATGAAGGCTGTGTGGAATGCAGGCACGTAGCCCAAACGCATCTCAAACCCAGGCACATGAATGCGCAGCCAGGCGGACTTAGAGCGAATTCTCTGTCTCCAAGATCGAATGCGCAGCAAACCGAACAGGAAGAACGGAATGAGAACGCTATCGGATAATCCAATATTTTCTACTTCGTCCAGAGCCGAACCGAACCGTCTCGTGATGCGCGGCCCGCCACCGTCGGATCCAGCACCGGCTACTTCCGAAAAGCTCGACAGCCCCAAGGTTGAGCATGCGACTCAGCATAGGGACGAATAAGATCTTCCTCTCAGATAACAAGATGCGGGGAAGCACCCGGGGAGGCCACATATAAATGCCGCGCGGCAAGCCTGCTGGGATGCATAGCACTGTACAATCTCGAAAGTGCCAGTAGTATACTATCTACAGTCACCATGTTGGGAAAGATCGCTCTCGAAGAGGCCTTTGCGCTGCCTCGATTCCAGGAGAAGACCAGGTGGTGGGCGGGCCTGTTCGCCACCGATGTTGAAAAGCACGTCGCCGAGATCACAGACGTCGATTCCATTCGATTAAACTTTGCGGAGAAGCATGGCGTCGGCCTCCAAATTCTCTCGTACACTGCACCCGGCGTGCAGGACATCTGGGATCCCAAGGATGCGCAGGCGCTAGCCGTCGAGATCAACGACTATATCGCTGAGCGGGTGAAGCAGCATCCCGATCGGTTCGCCGCATTTGCGTATGTTTGCCAACGAGCACTTTGACGTCCCTATGGACAGAAGCTAAAGAGAGTATCTCCTAGAACACTGTCCATGCACGACCCCCATGAAGCAGCCCAAGAACTCCGTCGTACGGTCACTCAGTACGGCTTCCTTGGAGCCCTAGTGAACGATACCCAACGCGCCGGCCCCGACGGCGACGACAACATCTTCTACGACAACGAAAAATGGGACGTCTTCTGGGAGACTCTGACGGAGCTCGATGTGCCCCTGTACCTGCACCCGCGCAACCCCACAGGCACCGTCTATGACAAGCTGTGGGCAGACCGGAAATGGCTCGTCGGTCCTCCGCTCTCTTTCGCCCATGGTGTCAGTCTGCATACCCTGGGCTTAGTGACCAACGGCGTCTTTGATCGCCACCCGAAGCTCCAGATTATCATCGGCCATCTCGGCGAGCATATTCCCTTTGACATGTGGCGCATTAACCATTGGTTCGAAGACCGGAAGAAGCTCCTCGGCCTGCAAGAAACATGCAAGAAGACTATCCGCGAATACTTTGCGCAAAACATTTGGATCACTACCTCCGGGCATTTCTCGACGACTACGCTCAACTTTTGTATGGCGGAGGTTGGGGCTGATCGTATTCTGTTTTCTATTGACTATCCGTTTGAAACCTTCGCGGATGCTTGTGATTGGTTTGATAATGCGGAGATGTCGAATCCGGATCGGTTGAAGATTGGGAGGGAGAATGCGAAGAGGCTCTTCAAATTGGGAGACTATAAGGATAGTACAGCCTAATTAAATGCTATTATCATGGAGATCCCCTTGCTCAAAAGGGGAAAAAATAATAAGAACAAAAAAAAAACAATAAAAAAGAAGATATAGATCCCAGCTGCGGGAAAGCTGGCTTGCTTAACAATGGCTCTCAAAGTTCGAGTTCTTTCCTTCGCTGGGTTGAACTACTAAGAAGTTGGACACTCTTTCGCGGTTCAAGTTCATTCATTGCCGGGTCCCGATGAACTCAATTATTTAAATGCGACTACAAATTTAAAGAATGAACGATATGGCCGTCAATGAGGCTTTATTGGCACTAAGTGGTTGACTACCGAGACTATGTAGATTACTTGGATATGCCGCCCCTCAATCCAAAATGCGTAACTGGAAAACGACGCTTCTGATGCAATCGAGGAGCGACCATACCTTCCCCTTCATGGCACCTGATTAGCGAAGCAACTCTACGCACGCGGAACAAGACGCTCCGCGTGCTTCGAAATTACCTCTCAAGCAACCAAGAAGAGTTCACGAAGGCAAAGTCGTTCTTCGCACATTGACTGATTGACGTGTCATTGACAGGAGCACGGCAACTCAAAGTAGTGCGATGTCATTATTCGACCTTGGGACGTGGTCCCTCAGCACGCTCTGTAGTTTTAGGAATGTCATCATCGTCCTCGGGTAGGGGTACGTCCATGACTCGTTCGCCGGCTTTTTCCAAGGTACGTCTACACCAAGATCGAACGCCCTTGTAAACAGCCTGTGTATATTAGTAGGTGGCGATAAACATGGAAGCAATCAGCATACCCAGAGAAATGTGCCAATCCCAACCAGGATCACCAGCCAGTTTAATGAGGCCAGCCGATTGCGTCCAGTTGAGCGTCCGTTACTAACAACACCCGACCCGCGAATATTCCAATGCAATGGGGAAAGGGTAAAGATTGCTTTGAAGAATGAGGCAAATCCTAGGGCTGCAAATCCTTTGATGAAATGTTCTATCCACGAAGCATCTTCTTCGAGCTCCAAGTAAATATCGTCCGCGACCGGGCCAAGGCAAAGGTCAATGATGGGGTCAGCAATAAATCCAAGGAGAAAAATGGTTATCAAGAGAATGGCAAGGGTGAGGGCGATTTGGGAGGTAGCACTGCTGATCCACCGAGCCCATGTCAGACGCTCCAGGCGGTACTGAAAGTGGCAGGTTGGGCATTCCCAATAATTGCGCGCACCGTACCTCGGGTCAGCATGTCGCCACGTCTGCAGGCATCCCTCATGGACATATCGAGACGAGCCTTTACATTTGCAGGGCGAAGCAAGCGACCCGAGTCCGGGTCTTCTGATTCATAGACCACGCGGGCTTTTTGCAGGAACTCCGAAGGCTGGAAGGTCGGCAGCACGGTTTCCAAGCAAATTCGACAGACTCGCGGGGATAGCTGTTCTGAGGCTCTGGACCCGGCGAGTCTGGCTCATTGCTTGGATCCATGAAGAGGAGAAGGCGGCATTCTTTTATTAAACCAGCTATCCTCTTAGGAAGAAGGGGAGGAGGAAAAGCAAGCAAAGAGTTCGAAGGTGGAAGAAGAAAATGTGGGAGCCGAACGAGTCTAACCGTATCTGACTCACCGCCTTTAAGCAGCAGCTCAGCCCGAAGCTCAACCGCGTCAAACGTCACCCTCATCTGCCTGTTCTCCTTCCCTTATTATTCTCTTCTCCCCTTCTCTCCGTGGTATTGTTGCGTTGTGCTCTTCATATATCATGGCTGACCGCTACTCTTTCTCCCTGACCACTTTCTCGCCCAGGTATGATGGTAACACCCCAAATTGATGGCTCAGAAGCTAACTCATCACAGCGGAAAGCTGGTGCAGATCGGTAAGGCAGATGTCAAGATCGCAGCCAAACAGCTCAGCTAATCCGCCATCTATCAGAATATGCTCTGAATGCAGTAAACCAGGGTGTCACGGCCCTCGGTATCAAAGGTGGGTCTCTGAAGTCCCAGCTATAGTCGATTCTAGCTAACAATGTTTATAGCCACCAATGGAATTGTGCTCGCAACGGAGAAGAAGTCATCATCGCCTCTCATCGATCCCCCCTCCCTCTCGAAGATTTCTCTCATCACTCCCGATATCGGCATGGTCTACGCTGGCATGGGTCCTGATTACCGCGTGCTGGTGGACAAAGCCCGCAAAGTCTCGCACACCGGCTACAAGCGCATTTACAACGAATACCCCCCGACCCGGATCTTAGTGCAGGATGTCGCCCGAGTAGTGCAGGAGGCTACACAATCTGGTGGTGTCCGGCCATACGGTGTCAGTCTGCTCATCGCTGGATGGGATGAAGGTGTGGAGCCAGTAACGGAAGAGGCTGTGAAGGATAAGGACTCCGAGGAAAAGCCAACTGGAAAGACCGGTGGTATCCTCAAAGGAGGCCCTAGCTTGTACCAGGTTGATCCCAGTGGTAGCTATTACCCCTGGAAGGCCACAGCCATCGGCAAGCATGCAACCAGCGCCAAGACTTTCTTGGAAAAGCGATACACAGAGGGCCTCGAGTTGGAAGATGCGATCCACATCGCACTATTGACACTCAAGGAGACTATTGAGGGTGAAATGAACGGGGACACAATAGAGATCGGTGAGTTACGAATACCCGAGTAGAATTGTTTCTTGAGACTCGCAGGCTGACTTTCGTAGGCATCGTTGGCCCTCCAGCGGACCATTTGCTGGGTTATGAGGGTGTTGAAGGAGCGCAAGGCCCACGATTCCGGAAATTGACCAAAGAACAGATCGAGGACTACCTGACCAACCTATGAGTAATAGACTCGTAAATGACATTTCATTTGTGTGATGCCGTTATGGCTTTGGCCTTGCATATCATAAAAAATCTTCTGATTTGCTAATGGAAGACAACTATGGACGGGAACCAGGCTACAATCAAATACTATAGACGTATTAAAGACAAAACTTGGGGGGTCTGGATTGTAGTTCATGGGGCTGTGTGCGAGTAAACGTTGCTCCATCACCCAAAGCACTTAGGAGGATCATTTCTGAGCTGAGGTGATTTCCTCCCCTCGAGCACAGTCTCTCTTGCATGTAATAACGTTTCTTAAATGCCAGTCAATAATGCTCGTCGGGTTTTCGGTAAAGAGCACTTCTCATTAAGGTAACCAACATCTTCGTTAATGGCCCAAAGGATAACGAAAATACAGAACAAAATGAGTTTTCAACATTTTGTCCTTTGGAATAAATCGCTTGCATAGCTCTCAATGCCAATGGTGCCCCTAGAGAGGTGGATTGTGCGGGGGGGGGGGATCCAACGGTACTATTTGCCCAAAGCGGGATCAATAGTAGGAGTTTTTCGTTTTGGGGATTGACAAGTCCAAACTCGATCCCTTTACACGTTAATTTCCAAGTGCAATCCACCACTGAAATTGCGAGAACCAGAACTCTCGAGTCAATGGGGGTGGCGGCTCAGGATTGGTTGGCGGTTACCGCTCAATATATGTGTGAAGCCATTAAAGCACTCGACCTGATAACATCATGTCATGTCTGCTTCCAGCCTAGTAACAGAACAGCAAGATTACAATCCAGCCACAAATATTAATTTTGCCTCCTTGTGCCGTCAAAAGGGGTTGAAGATGACCCTTACATCCAACACAACCTTGGCCCAAGACTCTCTCTCTGTGAATGGATATCCTGACAGCATGAAGCCAGAAGAGCCATACTCAATAACCTTCGCTTTGATATGGGTTGACATGGACAGATATACCCTAGAGGTGTTTTAAAGATCATTTAAGAAGAAAAAAAAACTTTGAAAGCGGGTGAAATGTGCTGGATTGAAAGGACAACCACTCCTACAGCGGAGCGGATATACGATGCTGTCTGGTGAAAATCTCCCTTGACTACCGGCAGCAACTTGTACTAAAATCGCTGAGAATTATGGCATGATTCCGTTATCGGGCGCTCGGGCTGTGGCATATCCTTTAGGCCTACTAGTATGTAGTACCGGTACCGGGCTCAGATGGCCCAATCTCCACATTGTAATCATGGCGCGCAGAATAGACTTATCTAAATAATGAGTGTTGACTCCATTCGCCTTCGCCGGGATTCTAGGCCAGCCCTCCTGTTCCCGCAGGCCCAAGCCCTTCTTTCCCTGAACTTTGCCGTGGTGGACTACTACTAGTAGTATATTAGGGCTTGTGGGTGCGGTATCTAAAAAGCCTCCTGTGAAAGCACCGCAAGCCATTCAGGCCGGTCTTCAACCTAGACTTTCCACTCTTATGTACTTGTACAACATCCTGTCTCCCCTTCGTGAACGTATGCTTCCTCAACTGGCTAGAGAATGTACATACACCAAACTGGATGAATGGGGCGCTGCCACTTTATTTCTCTACAGCTCGTTGCTGCGCCGGCTTTCGGGCCCATCGCTCAACCTGGCGACATGACGGACCGTCCTCGGGATTTTCTAGATGGCATCTCTGGCGCGCTTGCATCGGAGGACGATATCATCCAGCTGATGCTAGTCACTTTCATCGGGCTTTCCTGTTACAATGTGGCGGAATTGGTGGTTCTCGTCCCATCCACATTCCGGAGGTGGCATGGTCTATACTTTTGGGCCCTTCTCGTTACGGGCTGCATTGGGGTTGTACCATATTCGATTGGATTTATGATGAAGTTTTTTACGCGTGCAGACTCGGTGCTGTCTGTCACAGCCTTGTCAATCGGATGGTGGACCATGGTGACTGGGCAATCGGTGGTGTTATATCTTCGCTTGCACCTGGTGTTGCGAGATGAGGGCGTTCTGCGGCGGGTGTTGTGGCTCATCGTAGCTAATGTCTTCCTGCTACACGTCCCCACCACAATACTGACATACGGAGCGAACATCGTGCATTCTGGAGACAAGGCCTGGGTCTGGGGGTATAACGCCATGGAGAAAATCCAACTGACGGGTTTCACCATCCAAGAGACTCTGATTTCCACGCTGTATGTCGTCCACACCGTCAAATTATTGCGACTCGGCGCCGTTGTCACCACCCGCCCCGACGCTCGTACCATCAAGTACCAACTGATCGGGATCAACTGCGCCTTCATCGCGATGGACCTGATGCTGCTCAGCTTGGAGTATGCGGACTTCTATGCAGTTCAGATTACTCTGAAGGGTTTCGTATACTCGCTCAAGCTGAAGCTGGAGTTTGTCGTGCTAGGTCGGCTGGTGGAAATCATCCAGGGCTCACGAGACCTGATATCAGTCGCCATGGCGGATACCCTACCCCTTTGCTCGGTTACTCGGCAGCCCGCGACGCGTGAATGCAGCGAGGAGTAAGAACAACCTGGGCCAGAACAAAAGAAATATACTTTGATACCCTGGGAGGAAGGGTCTGGACCTCGTTGAGCCAGGCAGATTGTTAGGACGTCCAGATGCATAAGTCATGAGTCATGTACATGATACCAAATAAGGAGCTAATAAAACATCAAGGGTTCTATTTCCCAAGACCTGATTTCATGGGGAATCTTCATGCTTTTTCTTGTCGACAACCGCATCATTCATCCAGGAGTAGTCCTCATCTGAGTCCTCGTCCTGGCTGTCTGCTATCTCATCTTCGGCCTTGCGCTTTCGACTCGGCGTCGGCTGCGTCATGGACAGATTCTGGGCCAACGTTTGTTCTGGATCCGGTTGTATGGTCTTTGATTCGCGGAGACCGCCCTACCAGCTAGTTAGAGTGAACTAAATCCTACCTAGCAGTCAACACTTACCGGCTCAATCCGGAAAGAAACAATCAACTCCGGCAGTCGAACAGGTAATAGTCGGCCTCCTCGTTTTGTGACTTCAAGAATCCTTTCATCGGGAAAGTCGCGATACATGGTAATCCGAGTTTGCGCGGTGCTTTCCCACCCACCACCCGCTAGGACCGGGTGCAAGGTAGCCCGTGGTTGACCCTTGATCTTCGTGTGGGCCTGGTTCAGTGCCAGAACAGCAATATTGCGCCCCGCAAGCCGTCCAAGATGCGTGCCTAGCTCGCTAGTGACGTTCCATCTGCGGTTGAGAAGCCACTGTAGCTCTGCCTTATCTTTGATCTTGCCTTGCGCTAGTCTGTCTTTCAATTCAAAAGCATTTAGAAAGTACGATGGGAATAATGATGACACAGAGTCGACCACCACCAGCGCAGTTTCGGGCGGTGGGAAGTTCGCTGGTGGGCGCACCAGCAGAGCTAATAGATGGGGCAATGTCGAAGCCCGGAAGTAAATGAGATCATCGAAATTTTCCAAATCCGGATTGAGTTCCTGGAGTCGTTTTGTTGGGATCGGTGAACTCGTGTCTGTTCAATCAGTGTTAGGTTCATATGAGCGCTGCTGGGTGCGTACCGATCCATATCACTTTGCCGCCAGCGCGGAGGACGTTCGACGCCGCACTCAATCTGCATTTGGGTTTAGCAGCAGTTTTGATTTGGATACAGTCCACTCACGCTAGTTGTGTCTTGCCTACTCCTGGCGGCCCAAATACCTCAGTTACTTGGCCACGCAGGATCCCGCCCGCCTGGTCCGACGCGGTTTTCAGCGCCTCGTCTAAGCGAGACAGTCCGGTGAGAATGGGGTCCCGGGCCGCATTTGAGGATCCAATGGACTGCGAAGCTGACAAGGAGATCAGAGGGACTAGCTGGGGTTAGTATAGAAAGAGCTCATTGAGGGAGCGCACATACGCGTCGCGGAACTGTCAAGCCCCAGGGGGTTGTTGCTGGTGCTCATGGCGCTGACAAAATCAGATCAAGATTCATGACTTGACCATGGCTTTCAAAGAGAGAATCCCCGCATACTCTCCTGCTCATTGTCCTCGCGTCGATATCTTGATAGCTTGATCGCGTGAAGAGTAATCTGTTTGGGGGTGGATCGCGATCGTGGAACGGGTGGGTCCGCTGCACAAAACCGCCCTCGGGCAGTCATGATGCATTTTTTTGGGGAATACGCTCTCCGATGGCGTTTTTGCTTGATGTTGCCACTAATTGGGTCATCTCGCCATCGGCGCTGATATTACTGATTTGCTATCTGCCGATTCTATTTCTCTGTCGCCAACGACATGCTCACCGACCAAAGGGATGCCGACGCATAGGCGTACCTGCTGGGCAGAGCGAACTGCTCGATGAGTACGACCCCAAGTATAGCGAGGGAGTCCCGGCTTCGCAGAATCATGACGGGAAGCCCGCATGGCGCATCAAAGCCCTCTTCACGTATCCTCTCAAGTCTTGTGCTGGAATTGAGCTCAAGACATCGCGGGTTGTGCCCACAGGCCTCGAATTTGATCGACAGTTCGTCTTTGCTGAAAATGGCCCCGAAGGCTGGGACTGCCGAACTCTCCGAAATGCAGGCTACCAGAAACTAGCATTAATTGTCCCTGAAATATGGGTCCCCAATCCCTCGGCGCCGGACTATGACCCTGCCAGTCCGGAGATTCAGTCGCAGGGCGTCATGGTCATCTCATATCCGAGGGCACCATCCCAAGGGGTCATGGGGATATTGACAAGTATCGGGGTGTTCGCCGGGGTGTTAGATCCAATGCACTCTTTCCAAGTCCCATTGCACCCAGCAGGATTAACGTCATATCCTCTCGTCCCGGTGCGAATCTGGAAAGACAAGCCTCTATCTTACGACTACACCTCTCTCATCCCCGGGTCCCTCCACAGGTACTTGGGATTCACTCCTAGTGCCTCAAGACTAGCTCTGCTCCGCGCGAGCTCCGAGCACAGCCGCGAAATCTTCCGCAATGCCCCTCGCAAAGAAGCAATCGGGTTCCAACCAACGACCGCCTTTGCAGATGCGTACCCAATCCATCTGCTCAATCTCGCCAGTCATCGGGATGTAGCAGCGAGATGTGCCTACGCTATCCCTAAGCTCAGTGTTGTTCGTTTCCGCGCTAATATTGTTGTCCAGGGACCGGAGGCATTTGCTGAGGACCATTGGACGAAGATCCAGATTGCAGGCGTGGAGATATATGCCGCTTGCCGGACGGTTCGGTGTAAATTGCCAAACGTCGATCCTCGTACTGGGATCAGACACCCGGCGGAGCCGGACAAGACGCTCAAGGCTTATCGGAGGATTGATGATGGGGACCGAACCAATGCGTGTCTCGGGATGCAGCTGGTGCCTGCCGCAGAGAACTTTAAGATTACAGTTGGCGATGAGATTAAGGTTCTGGCGGTTGGGGCGCATCGCTATATCAAGATGCTAGCACCCGGAGAAAAAGTCGAGGGAGTTTGATGAAATCCATGGAACGACACTTGTATCCTACTAGAAATAACAACATCGACCAGAGATAGATTATTAGAGATCAAGATGTCTAGTGAGAATAATTTAGTCGCTGCAATTTGCGCTATTCGCTATTTACACATAGATGGCATGAGGCTAAAAGATTCAAATGATCATAAATGATTTTGTGAATGACATGACAGAGAACAAAGAAGTGGGGCGGGAGGGCAAGGAGTAGATTATACAGCAATGGGCTCCTTTCCAGAGCTATGAGGGACCACAGGTTGCTCGACCTGGTAGTCTTCGGATTCCGCCGAACTGAGCAAGGGAATCTCATCTGGCTCGTTGGGGAGGAGCAAATTCAGGATAACTCCCGCAATAGCTGTCACCGCAAACCCATTGGTCATGACCAGGTCGACTGCATTCAAGAGACCTTGGAGGGACCGATTATCGCCATTGTAGGAGAAGAAATATTGCCACCATTCTGGCACGAGAGTGATACCCATGCCAAGGGCAAAGCTCGCAGTGATAACAAACCGGTTACGGCGAGTGAAGTCAACCGATGCAATGATTCGGATACCGGAGACGGCCACTGATGAGAACAGAAAGGCGGTCATGCCGCCCAGCACAGCACTGGGGATGGATACCAGAGCGGCGGCGAATTTGGAGAAAACTCCCATGATAACCAAGAAGAAGCAGCAGCAGTACCCGGCAGTGCGGTTTGCGCATTTGGTAAGAGCAATCACACCGTTGTTCTGCGCAAACACTGACATGGGGCTGATAGTCATCAGACCGGCAATCAGACAAGTGAGGCCGTTTCCGAGAACACCTCCCTGGATACGAGAGTCAAAGGTCTCACCCTCGACTTGCAGTCGGGATACATCACAGGTGGCCGTGATATCACCGATAGACTCCATCATGATGACAATGTATAAAGCAAGCAGCGGCAAGATCAAAGGAGCGTAGATGGATAGAGGGAAGGTGTGCACCCACGCGAATGAAGCAACGGGAGCAGCAGTAATCCCGCTGGACTCGAAATAATTTGTCGCAGCTGCGACAATCGATCCAACGAGAAGTCCAACTACCACGGCACAGCTCTTCAGGATGGGGGGACCGAATCGCTCGCACAGAATAATAGTCACAAAGACCAGGAATCCCAGTCCAATGAACTGCGGGCTTCCCCATGGCAATGCATGCGGGGCACTGGCACTCGGACACATAGCTCGCGGCGAAGGACCGCAGCCAGAGCCACCAGCCCAGTCCTCCATAGCTGTCATGATCAGCGAGGCACCGATCAATAGCACAGTTGGTCCGGTCACAAGCGGAGGGAAGATGCGCGCCAAGACACGGCTGCTCATGAAAGACAAGCCAATTTCGAGCAAGGAGCAAAGACACGAGGTTCCGAGAAGGGCGCCATAGCCCTTGGGGCAAGGCAGTCTCGTTCCGTCCGCTGCGGTGGGGCAGTAGCCGGTTTTATACATCTGTGCAAAAGCTCCTTGGGCGACCGTGATAGTAGCGAAAGATGTGCCTGTGTCGGTTAGAATAGTCATGGTGGCAAAGCCGGAGGCATTTGACTCCGTAGGGACATACCAACTACAGACAAGAGCCCGGTTCCGATATAGTATTTTGTGCCTTTGATATGGAATCGAAACATTTGGACCGCAGAGAGAAGCCCGGACACAATCAACGATGTGCTAACGAGGTATTGATACTCCACCTCTCCAAAGTTGACACCGGCTGTCCCGCCTAGCAGAATCGGTGGCGATATCACTGGCGAGGCAGATTAGGGTTGTTGTCTCTTCCTTGGATTGAACCAGACTCACCACCTGCTAGCATAGCCAGCGCATGTTGCAATCCTAGAATCAGGGCAAGCAGAACCGGCACGCGATCCTCGAGGCCGAAAAATGGAGCCGACTTGCGCTTCTGCTTGGTGAAAGGAAGCCGGGGAGTAAAGAGGTGGGCATAGTCATAGTCGCCGATGAGGCCTTCCCTACGAGGTGTTAATTCACTTTTCAAATCGAGGTCGTTCGCTTTCCTCCACATACCTGGTGGTAAACTTTTTAACAATTGCCCGTACTTGATCGCCAACGGTGCGCTTTGGACGATAGTCCGGTCCGATCTGATCAGGGCCGTCCATGATGTGGGGATTTTGATCTGTGGAGATCTGGTACACCACGGGCGCGACAGCTGCTATATAGCCAACAGGTGCGATGGCGCGATGGCGCTGATATTCAAACGCGGCGATGAAAATAAAGCCAAGAAACCCCGAGATCCCCGCTAACCGTATGGAGCACGAACGTGATAAGATTGGACCTTCTGGGCGCCTTCTTATTAGCAAGAGCATCGAGTAAAGCGCTTTAGAGGCCTTGAATTCGCCTCCCCAAACACGGACTAGCGCGAATTCTTATCATCCGTGGGACGGGGCTGCTTACTCCCCGCCAATCAAAGGGGGTTTCTCGAGGTTGGCGCCGTCGGAAGAGATAAGGATTGAATACTGTTTAGCCAGGGACTGCTTAGCGATGTCTTTGACTGGTCAGCTCATTGCCGATTCATTGCTTTTTCCTCCTACACGTTCTACGGGTCCGGCCTTCCTTGGCAATGGCTCGCAGGTGGTTTCCGATCCCATTTCCCCAGCCGATAGGGCCCGCCCGCCACCCGTGAGCCAACCTTGAAATACCCCAGCTCATTCGACGTCGGCTATCGCTGATTATCTGGGGTTTGCCTGGCAGATGGCGGAGGTGCCCGTAGGTGATGGAGAGCACCGAGGCCTTATCAACTGAAGTGGGTTTGAAGCCCCTTGACATATCTGACTAGACATGATGTATCTTGTCCAAGAGAGATGTGAAGCGCCCCATTAGCCACGACTGGGCTTGGGCACTGCCATACAACAAATGGCCAGAGACCATCGCTGGTGACATTGTGGCTCATTATATCGGCTACTCATATAACCTGCAGCCGCGTATGAGAGGATATTCTCATGTTTTCCCGTAATATTGCCGCGCCTCGGCCGGTCCAAAGGAGTCCATTTGTTAGTAGCAATGCAACTTGAAATTGGGTTGATAGATGGATTAATGATCGCTGAAGGACGGACATTGCGATGCCATTTCTCAAGATTCCCAGTGATGATTATGACGTTGTTTGAATAGCTTCGGCTGCGAACTGCTTGTGATTGAGTATATAGAGTTTGCATTGTTTTCGTCGGATTTGCCACCGGGGAGGTACTTGTCCGGAATAATGATCTGCCGGAGACCAGTTGGGTTGGATGACATAGTCATTCTTTGTGCTACAAGTTATGTGGCCAGAATGAGCTGGAATGACTTGGCTCATCTACCCCTCGAGATCGGATGACATGGAGCGTAAGACCCATCAAGATGACCGGCTTGTACAGTATTTTAGTTACGTTCGCCGGCTCTGAATGCAGGACCAAAACCTTAATATAGAGTCACGTGTCCGCCACTGGATTTCGATGTCAGTATAGCCAGCCCTCGGGAAGTCTGCAAGGCCTGACCTATCATAGAATGGGTGGAAGGAAGAAACGTCGCCCAGCATCAAAGACCAGAGACGACCCGAGAACTTACGGTCCTAGGTCCTCATCGCTCCGGTGGAAAAAAACCGTTTCTGGAGAAGATTGTCGGGATTGTTGCCTCAGGCCACAAAGCGTTGGGGCGACACCCAACATTTATTCATAGAATCCAGTAGGAAGCCGAGAGTCTCGCCACTCACTGTGGATCTCCCATCACAATGGCCTTAAATATCTATACTACGGGAATTCCTCATGCCATTGTCCTAACGGAAGCCGAGGGATCTTGTGACTTAGCTTGGTGTTTCTGGGCCTTTCATTCGCCTTCATCCAGTTTCCCCATATTCGTTGGCGATCAAACCCTTCTTTCCCCCCAACGTTGGTCCAAGTGGGTCTGCCTTATAAAACAAAGGACCATCCCAAGCCTGCCATACTTTTTTCCTTTCTACCTCAATCTTATTCCACCTACACCTTTGCCCGCCATGTCGACCAAGACTGAGGCTTCCCGCCCACGGCCGGCAGACACCAAGCAGAAGGTGCACATCGCCGACACCCCTCTCACCAGCAAGAACTGGCACAAGCACGTCAACTGGCTCAATGTCTTCCTCATCCTCGGCATTCCCTTCTATGGCTGTGTCCAGGCCTTGTGGGTGCCATTGCAGATGAAGACTCTGGTCTGGGCAGTCATTTACTACTTTTTCACCGGTCTTGGTATCACCGCAGGATACCATCGTCTCTGGGCTCACTGCTCCTACTCCGCCACCCTTCCTCTCCGTATCTGGCTCGCCCTTGTCGGTGGCGGCGCCGTCGAAGGCTCCATCCGTTGGTGGGCTCGCGGCCACCGTGCCCACCACCGATACACTGATACTGAGAAGGACCCCTACTCCGTCCGGAAGGGTTTCTGGTACTCCCACCTGGGATGGATGGTCATGAAGCAGAACCCCAAGCGTATCGGCCGTACCGACATTTCCGACCTCAACGAGGACCCCGTCGTGATCTGGCAGCACCGTCACTACCTCAAGGTTGTCTTTGGCATGGGTCTGATTGCTCCCATGGTCGTAGCTGGTCTCGGATGGGGTGACTGGTTCGGCGGCTTCATTTACGCCGGTATCCTGCGTATCTTCTTCGTTCAGCAGGCCACTTTCTGTGTCAACTCTCTGGCTCACTGGCTCGGTGACCAGCCCTTCGATGACCGCAACTCCCCTCGTGATCACGTCATCACTGCCCTCGTCACCCTCGGTGAGGGATACCACAACTTCCATCATGAATTCCCCTCGGACTACCGTAATGCCATCGAGTGGCACCAGTACGACCCCACCAAGTGGACCATCTGGGCATGGAAGCAGCTTGGTCTTGCCTACGATCTTAAGCAGTTCCGTGCCAACGAGATTGAGAAGGGTCGTGTGCAGCAGCTCCAGAAGAAGATCGACCAGAAGCGCGCCAAGTTGGACTGGGGCGTGCCTTTGGAGCAGCTTCCCGTCATGGAGTGGGATGACTATGTTGAGCAGGCTAAGAGCGGCCGCGGCCTGATTGCCATCGCCGGTGTGGTTCACGATGTCACCGACTTCATCAAGGACCACCCCGGTGGTAAGGCCATGATCAACTCTGGCATCGGCAAGGACGCTACTGCCATGTTCAACGGGGGTATCTACTATCATTCCAACGCCGCCCACAACCTTCTGTCCACCATGCGGGTCGGTGTTATCCGCGGTGGATGTGAGGTTGAGATCTGGAAGCGCTCCCACAAGGAGAACGCCGAGTATGTGCGTGACGAGTCTGGCCAACGTGTTATCCGCGCTGGTCAGCAAGTGACCAAGATTCCTGAGCCAGTTCCTACTGCTGATGCTGCTTAAATTTTTGGTTTTTTCTTCCCCGATGACAAATTGCATTCTGTATGATGGGTGGATCGGTGTCCAGGCGTTTTTCTCTCTCTTATGTATTCTGAAAAGCGTCCTCATAGATAATCATGAACTTGAAACGAACAACTATACAATCACTACTGAACTATCTTCCTGCTCCTTCCAAGTACCCTCCCCCTCCCTTTTTTTCCCCTTCTGGTAGATTAGTTAAATGGTAAGGGCGTCATGCATGGGTCAGGCTTTTGGCGTAAGCTACCAAGTGGGTCGTGGGTAAATGCTTCTTCACGCTGCTACCCCTCCGAGCTGTCGTACACATTCCTTTGAAGCCATCGGTGATCCAATCCGCGAGGAACAGCAATGTAATTCATGATCTGGAGCCAGATCCGAGATTGATCCACGCCCGTTTTGTGTTGCACTGGCTGTGAAGGGCCAGTTCCTGCAGCAAGCCAATCGAGAGCTCCTCCGATTCGGCGCTCTTAGGCTAGAGGCGCTAAGGGGGCCACAGCTGATACCTCAGGATCCTGAAAGCCTCCATCCTGCCAGTTTTTCTTCTTCCGATCACAATACCGTATCATCGTACAAAATAGTGCTCCGTAGGCAAGGAAGCAATGCTGATCGACTGGTCGCTCCAGTGTTGGGGCATTTGACTCCGTGATCAACCGCGGGGACATCAGCTGATCCGTAATTCCCCTTTAGGCTATTACGCGACTCACGTTTACACGAGTACGCTATACTTCACATGTAGATGACACTTTATCCACTTGTTACATTCGGGCTGCATCTTCAAACACATCAAATTATTCATTCATCCCTCTACACCGCTCTCAGTGCTTAACCTTCCACCATTTTCACCGCTCGCCAACCCCTCCTCGTCCTCTTCCTCGCTCTCATCGTGGCGCCCTTCCTCCGTCTCCCCGCTCGCCTTTCGTCTGTGCTAGGTCACTTTCGTCCGTATCCCAGATACCTGACTACTTCCAGCATGGCCCCCGCACACTTACGGAGCCCGCCACAGGCCCCGCCGGTCTTCACTGCCACCGCGCAGTCCATTGTGGCAGACGCCGAACGTCTGATCCGCACAGCTCGCGCTGTTCAGGACAAGGTCGTCGCCGAGGTCAAGCCCGATACCGCCTCTTTCTCTTCCGTGCTCCTTCCCTCGCCCAGAATGATAACCAGCTTGCATTGGAATCCCATATCATTGGCTTCTACCAGGCCGTGTCAACAGACCAGAAGCTCCGCGATGCTTCCTCCAAGGCCGAGGAGATCATGGACGAGTTCTTCATCGAATCTGTGATGCGTGATGATGTGTTCTCGCTTGTCGATGCTGTATTGAAGAAGAACGAGACGCTCGACCCCGAGTCTCGCCGTCTGCTGGAGAAGGAACACAAGGACTACGTGCGGAACGGCCTCGGTCTGCCCGCAGGCCCGCAGCGCGCTCGGTTCAAGGAAATCAAGAAGCGTCTCAGTCAGTTGAGCATCGAATTCCAGAAGACCTTGAACGAGGAAAATGGCGGTATATGGTTCACCCCGGAGCAGCTTGATGGTGTACCGGAGGATGTGCTGTCTTCGCTGAAGAAGGGCGAGGGTGAGAACGCTGGCAAGCTGTGGTTGACTTTCAAGTACCCCGATCTCATTCCTACGATGAAATACGCCACCAACCCGGACACTCGTCGCCACGTCATGGTCGCCAATGAGAACAAATGTAACCAGAACGTTCCGCTGTTCCGTGAGACTATCATTCTCCGTGATGAAGCTGCCCGTCTTCTCGGATACCCTAACCACGCTGCTTTCCGCATTGAAGATAAGATGGCCAAGACGCCTGAGACCGTGGACAAGTTCTTGGGCGATCTGCGTACCCGGCTAGCTGATGGTGGCAGGCGGGAGGTTCAGAAGCTCCTTGCCCTGAAGAAGGAAACGGAGCCTAACGCGGATGGTCGTTATTACCTTTGGGACCACCGATTCTACGATCGGTTGATGTTGGAACGCGAATACTCACTTGATCAGCAGGTGATTGCTGAGTATTTCCCACTTCAGACTACTATCGAGGGCATGCTGAAGATCTTTGAAGAGCTGTTTGGTCTGGAGTTTGTGGAAATTGTTGATGAGGATCGTGCTGCTGTTGCCCCCACTGGTAACGGCAAAGATATCGTGTGGCACGAAGATGTCCAGGTCTTCAGTGTCTGGAATGACGAGGGCGAGGGCTCTGGATTTGTTGGATACTTGTACTTGGATCTGTTCCCTCGCGATGGCAAGTATGGCCATGCTGCCAACTTCAATCTGCAGCCTGTAAGACTTCTTCTTCGCCACCAACAGGGGTTATTGCAACAAAGAGCTAACAAAACTACAGGGCTTTATTGATGCTGACGGCAAGCGCCGCTTCCCCGCCACTGCGTTGGTGTGCAATTTCACAAAGCCCACTCCCAAGAAGCCCAGTCTGCTTAAGCACGACGAAGTGACTACTCTTTTCCACGAGCTGGGTCACGGTATTCACGACCTGGTCTCACGAACCACCTACTCCCGCTTCCACGGTACTAGCACCGTCCGGGATTTCGTTGAGGCGCCCAGCCAGATGCTCGAGAACTGGTGCTGGACACCCTCACAACTTCGTTCTCTTAGCCGACACTACTCGACCCTGTCACCTGAGTATCTGGCCGGATGGCAAGAAGCTCAGCAGGCCCGTAGCGGCGGTAAGACCGCCACCGGGCCACCATCTGAGCGCATCCCAGACGACGTTATTGAAAACCTCATTCGTACCAAACACGTCAACGATGCTCTCTTCAACCTCCGTCAACTGCATTTCGGTATCTTCGATATGACTATTCATGAGCCCAAGAGCCATGCCGATATCGAAGCTTTGCCCATCTCTGCTACTTATAACCGTTTGCGCCAGGAGATCACCGAGATGCACGGCATGGAGGCTCTTGGTGGAGGTGATGAGTGGGGTCACGGTGAGGCCACCTTTGGCCACTTGATGGGAGGCTATGATGCTGGATACTACGGCTATCTCAGGTATGATAAATCCATTTCTCGTCTATAGACGCATCATCTAACAGCTCGGCAGCTCCCAAGTATACTCCACCGACATGTTCTATACCATCTTCAAGAATGACCCTATGAACAAGGCTGCTGGTCGCCGCTACCGCTACCAGGTTTTGGAGAAGGGTGGTAGCCAGGACGAGATGCAAACCTTGACCGAGTTCCTCGGCCGTGAGCCTAGTACTGACGCCTTCTATAAGGACTTAGGTCTCGCTTAGATCTGGTATAAGAGAACTGGATAGAAACTCAATACATCAAAATTTCAAAGATGAAACTCTGTTTCTCTTCTTTCTTAGTCTTTCCCCCAGGGCTATTCAAGATGGAGCTTCGCCTTTATTGTGACCAGATATAAACCATAATATGGTGAGTTTGGGAATTAGTTAGGGGACTGCATACATACTAGTAGGCCACAGTATTAAGTTCGGCCCCTAACGCTCCCTAATTTGTCGCAGACAGGCATTCAGCAGTAGCAACGTTAGTTGTGATCGAAACTATTATGCATCTGAACCAATATACACTGAGCATAGAAACTGCATCTGACATATTCCTAGTTGTCTTACAGAAGACAAAATTATAGCCGTTGCATCTTCCCTTGCGGAGGACCTCTTCAAAGGTTCTACCCAACCCGTATCCCATCATCCGCCGCTGCTTTAGATGCTATGGTTGCATCATCCTCTGGTGCCGGGGGAACCGTGACTATCCAATCTAGATGTAAAGGCGGATCTTCTTCACGAGTCGTGTCCAGCAGAGAAGTTTTGATTTCTGTCAGAAACTTCTGCGAATGGTGGAGGCCCGATGCAACGAGCTGGTTTCTCAAAGGAGATGTCGACGGAACCATGTCGAGGGCAGTCTTTTCCCAACGATTGAGCAGATTTCCCTTGTCTGGAAGATTCTTCAAAAAATACGGAAGTGTCGACTCATTGTTCCCTCGCGCAGCCAGATGTAACAAAGTGTTCCCAAAGGCGTCCATGAATTCCATATCCGCCGAGGCTGTGTTGACTTGGAAGAACATGTCGAGTATATTGAATGAGGCAAGCCATGCTGCAAATGCAAATGGGGTTCGACCATGTCGGTCAACTTTGGTCAAGTCTACCTCTTTAAGCGAGACGATATATCTCACAAGCTGGTCACTACCAGACACAACGGCGTGATGAGCCAGGGTCCATCCCATCGAATCTTTCTCGTTAATCGGAGATGATGATGGCAACGCTTGAATCAGAGCCTTCAAAATTCTAAGATGGCCTCCAGCTGCTGCCAAGTGGAGAGCAGTCTCCCCAAATTTTGTCTTGTCCAAAGGGTTAGCACCGCGAGCTAGCAAAAGCTTGACTGCATGAAATTGTCCCTCTGAGGCGGCAAGATGGAGAGGGGTCATGCCTCTTGTGTCGCGGCCAGCCAGAATCGAAGCATCCTTTTCGAGCGCCATTTCAAAGGCATCCATCATCCCCATAAAGATCGTCCAATGGAGGATGTTTTGTCCGTGGACATCTACAAAGTCCCCGAGGTGATTCAAATCCTTCAGAAGCGAAATCACAATGTGCGTCCATCCTTGATGGGCAGCATTGATGAGAGCGCTCTCCCCTTGCATTCTCGCCTTCGAGATATCAATCCCTGGAGTTTGCATCAATATGTGGACCGTCGATTCTTTCCCGCAGTGCATCGCCCAAGTGAGCGGTGTACGTCCAAGCTCATCCTCTGGATTGATATCCACATTTGGACGAGACATAAGCGTTTTCAGCAGTATTGGTGCAAGTTTGCTATCAACCACTGCTGCGGCATGGAGGGGCGTTTGCCCCCAGTTGTCTCCGAGGTTGATATCGATATGACTCCTTCTCAGCCATGCCCTGATTTCTCGGATGGCGTGAATTGCCTGCGCATCACTGGATCCAGAGGTTTCGCCATTGTGGATCAGATGTCCCTCTTCCCCTTCGCTAATGTCAGGCTTCAGTTCCCTTATGAGACGTAGTAAACGGGTCTGTCCTGTGTCATCCTGGCCGTTGATGTTTGCTCCCAATCGGATCAGAGTCTCGAGGTCTCCATCCGTTTCCGGCATATGAATGATGTGACACCCGTCAATAAGCGCGTTGATATCATGTCCATCCAGAACTAGCTTTTCCAATAGAGAAAACAAGCCATGCTGAAAAGCGAGATACATAGGAGGGTGTTCGGTCGCTTGCCGTTCATTATCCCACAAGTAGCAAAGGGCCTGGTAGTTCTTCTTTTTGGTGATAACTCGTTTGAAGAGGCGGTAGAACTGGGGGTCGCCATCTTGCCCATATACATGAGATACCCAGAAATGCGAGGCGTAATCAATGAAAGAATATTTCGATAAGAACTGCACCCTCGGGGGGTAGACGAAGCCTCGCCTTGGATGTTTAGGGCCAAGCCGGGCCAAAGTTTCGATGGTAAAGTCCTTCTGCCAGGGATCCTCTGCCTCTTGGGAAATATCTTCGAATCCCAGATAGACCATGCAGTCGCGGGCGGATTGAAGACTTGCCTTTTCGAAATCGAGATAGAAAGGATTGACCTCGTCTTGCTGACGGACTTGAACTTGCTGAACACGCAACAGGAAATCTTTGAATGACTGATGAGCCACAGTGAGGTAGTCCCTGCTATCAATTCGTATCAGATAAGGACATGTCCTTCGGATAAATCCTCGGAGAGATAAACCACGGGCCATCTCTTTGAGGCTTGAAGGCTTTTCGACCAAGGTCAATGCAATGGACATTTCTTCGAGATTGAGCGGGCGCCGCGCAGCGACAATCCATTGAAGGAGATGCAGTAACTCGGGTTGGATCCTCTTATCAATGAAACTCATTAGTCGGTGGTAGAGGTTTTCCAACCCTGGCGGTAGCATTTGTAACTCTTCGAGCTTTTGTCGAAGGATATCCTTGTCCAGTTCCCTACGCCATCTTTGAAATGGCTCCAGGCGAGATTTGCCCAGAGAAACATCCCGTCAGCGCGCTGTAGCATCTCTGTACAGATCTTTTGGATAATCTCGTCATCAAAGGAATTTTCCACCCCGTAATCGCGGACAATACTGCGAACATACAAGGTAAGGTCATCTTCGCTTCCGGAAGATCCATCCACTGCCAACTGCGTTATGTTCCAAGAGGACAGGATAGCCTCCAGCTCCGGTTCGGCTCTGCCAGTGAGAAGTACTCTGATCCCAGACATCCAGGGCTTGACAGTGTCTCGAAGAGTCTCCAGAAAGGACCTCCATAAAGATCTATCCAATTCGTCGAGAGCATCGACGACGATATATAGACGACGAGAATGGAGCTCCTCCGACTCCAAGACGAGCGCCAAGATCTTCCAAAGATCCCAAATCGAGCCTAGAACCCTATCTGAGATCCTCTCATACTTCGTCTTCACTTTTTGAGCTAGGGCAGGCTCCTCAAAAAACAGCTGATGCAGTATCGATGCGAGAAGGTGCCTCGGAGATGCTGCTCGTTCATCATTATCTGAACAGAAGAAGTAACATATCAAGGGTTTAGCAGATCGACCAGTTCGTGATTGAACAGCACCTTCCGTGTCAGCCCCTTTCAGGCTTTCACATATATGCCTGGCAAGGACTGACTTCCCGACGCCTGGATAGCCATGAAGCCAGAAGTAGTTACTGCCACTACCATCTCTCCACCGCGCGAAGGCCGCGTTATCAGTGAGCCAGGAACAAGTGCCAGGGTGTTTCTTGGCTACGTGGAAAAAGAGGTCTTGGTAGTCCAAAAGATGAAATCGGTCTAATTCAGCATATGGCTCACATGCTATAGAGGACCAAGTGGTATTATGTTAGTCTGCGATGCATTCTAGCTCGTCAAAGTTCAAGGAGACATGGTCAAATTGTCACGCACTTGGCTGTTCGACTTCTTTCTCAACATCCGTGACATAATCTTTTATCACTGCGGAGATAATCCGACAGCCGGGCCTCCGCACCATCTCCATGTGGTTTGCGTCAATTGTTTCGGTTGTTTCTAAGCTATAGCCCAGCTTCGAAGAGAAGTCATCCACAACCTGGAAATGGTAGGTAAGCATACGTATGGTCTCGAGGTATCAAGTGCCTTACTTTCCCATCAAATCCCTTTATTCCGGACAACCCCCGGCTCTCTTGGAAAGAATGAACATTGATATTTCCCACATGTAAGATCCGGAGGAAGTCTTCCTGGATCAGATCTAGGATCTGGGAATCGGTCTGAAGGTCCGTGAGGAGTCGATGGTTAGAACTTTGCAATGCCATCGTCACGATGTTTGCTGCCAATCGACCCCATGCTGCGGCATCGGCTCCTCGATGAGGGGTTCCACAGAATACGACTGCTCGGACTCGCGACAAGAGGCTTTTGTAACGGGGCTGAAGGCTTGCGTTGCATCTATGTATAGCCTTTCGAGAGCATTAGGCTTTAATAGAGCACATGGCCCACGAAAACCACTTACCGTCTTGACCACGATCCCTCCAAGACTATGGGCAACGAAGATTATGGGCAACTGTTAGTCCAGCGGTCAGTAAACATTACCGAACCGGTGTAAGTGCTAGTAAATATAGGATTTTTCGGGCGCAGTGTCGCGTCAAATACTAGAATAATCGAGAAGGAATTTTTTTAACTCACATCATTTCCGATAGAACGCTCCAGTCTGACCATCAGATCATTTCCATGTTGAAAAATACTATTCTTATTGTTCTGCTGGAAGATTCCCTCGATCACATCAGCGTTATAGCCGTAGGTGAAGATGTCCGCTTGAGGCACGGTCTTCGGAAGCTCATCCGCAGGCCAAAACGTGGCTTCGCAACCGAGTTTCCCAGCAGCTGTGTCGTGCGAGGGGGAGTTGGCGTCGTTAGCTTGCTTGGGTCGTGAGGAAGGTTTTAATCGGCGAATCCATGATCGCTTTTCGGACGGAGAAGTCTCTTCGTGAAGCGATGGTCCATTCGTACTTGGGTGGTTGCCCGTGGGATCTGTATACTCCCACGTTCGGCGTGGGTGTCCTCGAAGCCCATGCACAAAAACGATACTTTAGCGATATTAACATCTGCTGAGCATGATAAGAATGTCCTCGCACTAGTACGTACTTCGCTATTGGCCCATCGCTTCTGCCGCTCTTCTCGCAAGAGTACACTTGGTCCAAACCTTGACGGTTGACCTCGGACATGGCTTCTTCAGGACAGCGCCCTGGTTTCCTTCAACTGTCCTGTTTACTGGAAGACCCCTACATTTAATAATTGGTCGATTACCCTCGAAGCTGAAGTTCGAGGGGTACTTAAGTTTATCACGTGCGGATCATGCACGGTCTCTATTGGCACGGGAACTTCAGCCTTTTCTCGCCTGGGCAATGATGTGTGCCTCGTAGGCAAAATTAGGCGACGGAAGGCCAATGAAATTGAAAAGAAAAACCGGGATTCGTCCAGAATTAAACCAATACGAGGTGGAAAATTCTATGTCTTTGCTTTTCATGTCGCTAAACAACGCCCGAAAATAGGGGTGAGTATAGTTCCTTCCCGGTGCATATTCACGCAACACCAAATCCTTGTGCATTTTCAAGTGCCTTATCCAGTTTCTCGGCCAGAGCTTCCTTCGAGGTGTACTCTGACAGAAGGAGGCGGCCAAAACACGTCAAACTGGTGGGAAGACGCTGTTTCGAAGCATGAGTGGAATGAACAATAGACCAATAGTCACCAGGGGAGGGTGAATGCTTACCGAATCTCCCACGCCATTCTTCTGGATCACAAACATAATACTGGAAATGCCATTAACAGGGACGCGGTCACTAGCAGTGACAAACTCAAGAAGTCGTGCCTTCTTTTCCTCTGAATAATGTCGCACTATGCTCCAGAAATCGCGGATGACTCTATGGTCAGGACTGAAGCCGCCTTCATACCTTGCATGATTCTCCAATTCTTTGATGTCGATCGTCTGAATACCTTCGACCACTGCTTTGAGTGCTTCTGGAGTGAACACCGACAACGCAGACCGATCCAGACAAGTGTGAAAGCCCCTGGAAAATGCCTCGAACTGTGGTCGGATTGACTTATCCGTGAGCCAAAAGATGTAGTCCTTGACAAATTGGTCTCGATTCTCGTTAGTCACCAAGGCTGCTTCCTCTGGAAGAGGACTGGGTAGTTGTGGAGATAAAGGTTCAATGCCTGACTTGATTGTTTCACCCGAAACAGAAGGAGAGGGGGCATCAGTTGCCTCTGCCGCCATAGACGATGGCAAGCTCGCAGTCGCCGGGTTGAAGTAATGCGGCACATCCGCCCATGCCGTCGAATCTTCGGGGGTGCTAACCGGTGCGATCTTTGCAGGAAGTGGCCAGGCAGCATCACGGTCGACCTTTTGCATGTCAATGGCTTCAACGCCTCCAAAGTTCTCGAAGCTGAATTCATAGGTACGCATGAAGATGTCGCCAACATCGCCATCAGTCCAAGACAGAAGTGACTCAAGTCCTTGCGTAAGCTCCGGCCAACCGTCTCTGATATGGTCGAGGCGTTTGACCTTCAACCCGAGAAGCTTCCGATAGAACGCCAGGGGGAAGTTGATTGGCAGGGTAAGGCCGTTGTATACCGCGATAGACATCAAGAGGCCAAGAAGTTCGAATTTGTACAGCGGCTCCAAAGCACAAGGACGGAACCAGGAAATTCGGTGTCGGCTGTCCATGGTGAACATGCCATAAACTGGATCAAGAGCCTCGCCCATCAACACTCGGAAGAACTCTTGTTGGACACCGCCGTGATCTAGTCCTTCTTCCCCTTCATCCATTCCCATTTGAACTTTGAGAGGTCGCATCAGCTCCCGCTTTTCCCTTCGCCAGAGCTGATTGAGAGCATCGGTAAGAACGTTGTCTCGCCGGACCACGAGAACCAAGTAGGTTGACATGGATACCTTCAGGCGTGCAAGGAGCGCGGAGTCATCGGTGACGTTGATATGGCTAAAAGCGGTTTGCGTGACATGTCTAGTAGTTGTAGTGGCTGCTTCGTAATACTTAGACATCGCAGAGTAGTTCAACGCTCGGAAGTAAATAACGAGGAAGGATGGTGGGAATAAAAAGGGATAAGATAGAAGATGCAGTGTGCGGTTGTTCGACAAGCCGCCCATCCATGCAACAGGCATCTCGAGAGGGTCCAGCCGCTCAGAGAGAAGGGGGGTCTCAAAGTCTTCAGCAGCCAGACCCAGTCTAGCTCGCTCTTTGTACATCATGGCTAGTATTTGGATTGCGCCGCCTGTAGCACTGCTACGAGCCATTTCAGGATTTCCATCCCACTCCCGAAGAAAAAGGGTTCGAAACCATTCAACAATAAGGGGCGCAGGACCGATGGTTTCAGCATCGGTCTGGAGATTGTTGTGCTCACTCAAATGATCCATAATACGATCGATGACGTTGATCTTTCGTTGTTTAGAGAAATCAAAATTATAAGCTTGACGTGCTTTGATGATCTCGTGGTAGGCAAGGCGGGCAGTGAGTGCCCGGACAAGACGATTGACCAAGCGAAGCGCTAGCTCATGTTCAAATCTATCAGTGGCTTCCACAGCCTGCTGCGCCTGTTCAGATGACAATTTCAGCATCTCAGCGGAGGATGCGACACCCCCAGCGGCTCGCATTTGAAGAATCCGACGCCAGGTTGAAGAGTCGACTCTGGGGATAGAGCCAATCAAGACGAACAATGCCACAGTGGCAATGTAAGCAGCATCAGCGTCCGAGAGGTGCTCGTCGGTGACTGATTCAGAAATTCGTCGCAGTCCCTGTATCTGTGGTCCCTGGCCATTCATAGTTGAGCTGCGTGAGGAGCGACGAGAATGTCTAGCAGAGGAAGGGTAATCATTCGGCGGTAAGAACAATTTATCAATGGCGCCCCAAAAGCTATGCAATGCAATATCCCAAGGACAAATGGCGAAAAGGGTTCTCAATGAGTCTCGAAGACTGTGAATATCAAGAGTATCGCCGAGGGCCCGTTCATGCTTCGTTCGAAAGGAGCGTAAAATATGCCTAGCGCTACTGAAAACAAAAAAGACGCTCTGTGCGATGAACGGAAATAATTGGCGCTGATACGAAGTAGCAAGTGTCCATTCTGGGCTGTCAAATGTCCCCATTGATTGTATCCGATCAAGTTCTTGTTGCCAAGTGTCCCTATCCTCTCGGGATTCAAACATTACTTGGGCAAATGCATCGATTATTTCAGGTGTCAGGTGGGATATAGTTTGTACCGATGGAACTGCTTCAGGAGATTGTTGGCGAGATGCGCGCTTGATTTTGCGGTCCCTCGGTGATGCATTATCTACTTCGCTCGTTGGCGGAGGTAGACCGGCCTCATTGGAGCTTTGATCGAAAGAGGTCTCGTTGAGAAGCTTTTCGCTATCCCATGAGACACGGCGTTGATTTTTTGCCCGCCCTTGTGGGCGAGAGTTTTCAAGTTCACTGATCCGCCCGCGGTGCTTCTGTGATCGGTGTTTCAATGCCGGGGGCGAAGGCATGCTAGTATACTCGCTTGGAGCAAGAACTGAGTTCATTGAGAGCTTCCTGCTGGAGTATTCAGGTCGTTTCTTCTCGTCCAGACTCGATAGCGAGGGCTGTTTGCGGTTGTCTACTTCTGTAACTGAAACACGCTTGACGTGCTGGTTCTGAATTTTGAGTTCTACAGCCGAGGAGGTCGTACCCGATGTTCGTATTGCTGGAATACGTGATGTCGGCTGCCCGGCGCTTGGCGAGTTAGTCTGTGCATGCAGTGGGTTGGACCTCCGTTCAAGTCTGGTCTGGGGCGTTTGATCTTTCAGGGTCTGAGAAGATTCCGCCTGGGGACTGGAGTTTGATCTCTTGAGAGATGGTGGATAAGATTCCGCTGTCCGGCGCAATGGAAGCCATTCCACCATCCTGAGAGATATCGTGTCGAATAGATTTTGTGTAAATGACTTCGGGTCTTTCAGTGGCTGCTCAGCAGCGTAGTCAAGGTCGTGAAAATCACAGGCGGCGGCATTGTTCGGCTGAGGGGAGGAGGAAATAGCTGCAACATTCCTGTCCGGTGCTGAGCCTGTACACAGGCTGTCCTTTCGAGCGTCGTTCCCGTTGTTGGGGTCACTTGGAGAATCACAGAGTGAGCTGTTTTGTCCGCCAGCGGCGACTGCGGCAGCATCTGCTTGGGCTTGAATAGCACGCGCTCGTTGTAATGAGATTCGATGGTAATGCTGAATTGCTGATTCGGAAGGAACTTTGGGAGTATTGCAGCACAACCCACTCTCCGCGTCATCTAAACTCGCGAGGTAGCATGCAAGGGTACGGGCGCTAAGCTCGGTGTAGCGGCGATATGGGCCCTCGCTGATCCTCCGTCGGCGACTTGCACATGTCGGTGTACGGCAACCTGGATCGTCACATCCATACAGAAGCTGGTTCTTGTATCTACACACGCAATGGTGTCAGTACACTTGGCGGAACCCTTTCCGACGAAACACTCACTTTCGCACTAGGACGTTGAAATTCCGCCTGCGTTCATCCCGGTCCCAAGATAGTACTCTTGAAGCGTCCGGTACGTCAATCGTGTTCTGGAGAATGACCTCGGGCGCGTTTGGAGGAACTTTGGACCGACAGTTCGCCCGTTCGGGGCCGCCGGGGTGTGAGATGTTAGGGGAGTCGAAGGAAGCTCCACGGAGCCTAGTCATCGTAAATGAGCAGTGCACATGGAGCCAACTGACGGGATAAGAATCGGGCGCGGATAGTGAGGCGCGACAAGCAGGATGTATGTGCGAATGGACACTACTGTAGAACGGAGCCTCAGCTAACTGATATCATTGCACCGCCCCCGGGCTCAGACTCAGGCCTCAGGCGTTCAGGCGTCAAGCGACCAGGCCACAGTAGAGGATTCGATCACCTGATTATTATTCCTAGAGTAGACTAGTGCAGTGGGGCCCAGAAAAGCGTCATCTTTTTCTGTGCGCGGAATTTCTCGATAAGATGATTGATTCCTAATCAAGCGCCCGGTCCTTCCAACATATTTTTGATTCACTGGGAAAGTTCCTATTCTCTGACGAACTCTTCCTCAGTTCATAAGGCTGCCTGTGACATATCCGGTACTTTTCACGAGGCAGGGACGTCTTGATCAGCCTTGGCGAAACTGCCGAAGAAATATTTCATTATACCCCGCCGATAAATTTCATTCTTTCCAGCTACTTGCTCACTCATCTCGATCCATCCCAAGGCGCCCGTCATGACGACCGAACTTCCCTACACCTGCAACACCTGTCTGGTGGCATTCCATCGCAGCGATGCCCAAAGAGATCACATGCGCAAGGACTGGCAGTATGTAGCCCCGCCCCAAAATGGGTTATTTCAACAAGGCTAACCGTCATGTCATTTTGCTTTCAGTTTGTACAATATGAAACGCCGTATTGCTTCCTTGCCCCCCCGTTGCCCTCGAAACTTTCAATGAGAAAGTTCTGGCCGCAAAAGCTAGTACCAACGAAGCCGCCGCCAAGGCCTCATATGAGAAAACATGTCTTGCCTGTCAAAAAGCCTTCTTCAGCGAGAACTCTTACCAGAACCATGTCAAGAGCTCCAAGCACAAGCAGCGTGAATTAAGATTGAGCAAGGAGGGAGACAATGCATCCGTTATGAGCTCAACATTTTCTCTCGGAGATCCCGTGGATAAATCTCAAGAGAATGACGTTTCCAAGGTTACTGATGGCCTCCAAGCCGCCACTATTGCTGAAGGAGATGAAGACGAGGAAATGACCACCGATAAGGATGAGTATTCCTCTGTGCGCTGTCTCTTCTGCCGAGCAGACTCTTCAGATATTGAGAGCAACGTTGATCACATGTACAAGAGCCATGGCATGTTCATTCCGGAGCGGGATTATCTCGTTAACCTGGAGGGTCTTATCCATTACCTCTATCGCAAGATCACAGAGAACCACGAATGTCTCTACTGCCATGCCATCAGAAATAATGCTGCGGGGGCTCGAACCCACATGCGGGATAAAGGCCACTGCATGATTGCCTTCGATGCGGAGGAGGAGCAGATTGAGATCGGTCAATATTACGACTTCCGCAGTACCTATTCCGATGGAGAAGATGATGAGGATGAGGACGAGTCCATGGAGGAGTCTGGCGGTGTCAAGATTCCGGGATCAGATGGGGGCGAGGACGGTGACGGTTGGGAGACCGAAAACTTCTGCTTCATCTATTGATGACAACGGGCCTAGCTCACACCGCAAAGCCCCTCTTATCTATCAAGATGAATATGAGCTTCATCTTCCATCAGGAAGAGTGTTGGTCATCGCTCGCTCGCCAAGTACTATCGCCAGAACTTGCACAACTACCCTACCGCTGAAGAGAGAGCCGATCATCAGCTTGCTATTGAGAACGGAGAAGTCGAAGAGAAGGACCAGCCTCGCGGTCGCAACCAAAACCGGGCGCTCATCTCTCGTGCTAACGGCGGTACCGGCATGATTGGTGCCACTGAAGTTCAGAAACAAGCGGCATTGACCTCGGAACGTCGCGAGAGAACTCGTGCCCAAAGACACGAGAACAGGTACACTGCGCGCGTCCAGAGAGCAGCAAACAACCAAAAGCATTTCCGGGTGGGTATTTTCTCGTCAAAAACCTCTTGCCCTGATTTACTAATAATCCTTTTAGGATCCCCTTCTGCAATGATCAACTCATTTCCTGTTTTATTTCTATTTGCAACATTTTCATTCCCTGTTGCAAATATTTTTTCTCGCGATACGATAAGGCATGGACAATAGAAAGTCAAGAGCCGACCGCCCAAGTCATTGTCCACCAATGCCATCAGACCGATGTTCTTCCTAGCCGGTGGTTGATTTGGTGTTCTTACTTTCACGAAGTCGACATCAGTATCAGGTCTTGCGATTTCACAAATCCTTGCCGCAGGTGGACATTCGCCCATAGCATGTTCCGTTCGCTCTGTTGCCGCCTCATGATCCTCACGACGCTCTATCTTTCAGCTTTAAAGAGATTATGCTATGCTCTGGTTACGGCGTATTCCCGACTTATATGGGTTTTATGATAGACCAGAATTACCTTGTATGATCACTTGGTCATACATATGAATACCACTCAATCTTCGCACTCCATGATTGTCAATTCTAGTAAAATGTTTGTTCAGCAAGTACGGCCAGCAAGTACGGCTGATGGTAGTAAGAGAGGAGAATAGCAGTCTATGCCTGAGCAGCCAATATGTTCTTGCCAACAGGGTTAGTAAAATTTTTTGTCCAGGTGTCATATCTAGTCGCAAGTCCTATTGTACGTAGCCCTCTCATACAAATTATGGGGGCTGAAATGACCGGAGAGGTTACTGGTTTAGTAAGATTGACAGCAAAACCGCGCCACATTATCTGCGCTACAGCGACCAACCGCAGATGAAGATATGATTTCATTCATGACGGCAATTCTCATTCGAGAACGGCAAGGTACTATCAATGAAATTTGGGCAATGTCAAGATATTTCTGCCCATGTAATAAAACTATCCCGAGACGCTAGAAGAAATATGGGAATCATTAAAAGCTGCAACGAGAATACAGAGAACTCATGGTTGTAACAGAGGCTGTTCTTCTGTGGCTGCCCCGTCGGACATTTTCGGGCCGGGGCGCTTCTTGCGACGGCGTCGCTTTTTGTTGTTCGAGGTGGAATCTGGATGCTCCTGGGTGTGGTCTTTGGAGGAGTCGGCCGCATTGCTGTGGCTAGGAGATGAATATCTGGTGTGATCTGGTGAACTGTAACTGTTGTCCTCTCCATCTGAGGAGCTTGTGCCGTTGGTATGGAGGACGACTTTGCGGATGCCGTTGACATCCACTACCTGCTCCGTAATACTGCCACTGCGCGTCGGCCCACGATGGTGGTACATGACTTCAGACCGGGATTCAGTGGACTTGACGCTAGCAGCCCCACTGTTGCCATGTTGTGAAGCAGAGTGAGGTTGTTCTTCGCGCTCTTCATTGACTGCTTCTGGGATAGAGACTTGAGGAAGCTCCTTGTACTGTTGTGCGTTTGTGCTTTTGGTGACGTGATCAGCCGCGTTGATAGTTCCATAACCGAGTTTCAAGGCATGTGCGCCGTCTTTAGCATCGTTTCCTGGAGTGACGAGGCCTGCGCCAATGCCGCCCTGATAACCAGTCGGGGGTACTTGGCGCTGAGACTCTGATGTGCTGCGCCCAGAGTCGACGTCTGTCTGGGCTGAGAGAGAAGGAGAGCCTCCGCCACGATGCTTGATTTTGACTGCATGATAACGAGTTTGACGCGGTCGGCTTGCCAGGTTGGAAGGACCTAAATGCTTTAGGTGTTCCCGAATCTCGTCTGTCGCGCCTCTTTGTGTAATCCACACGTCAGGCGAGTTCCGGTCATTGGCGCCATTTTGTTTGCGCAAGTGGAAGCGAGGCGGTGGTGCCTCGACAGAACTACGACGACGGCTGAGTTCTGAGGTTCGCGGGAGGGAGGATGATCTGGATTCGCTACCGTCGACGGGGTCGGCGTCGATAAGAGATAATGTGGTTGGCGGATCTTCTACAATCTTTCCTTTGGGGACACGAGATTTCGGCGCCGGTGCCATGCGCCGAATGGCCTTGTGGACGTCGATGAAAACATCAGATTCATCGATAATTTCTCTGTACCATATTTAGCAAACAGGTCCATTGTACACCGCTGCCGGAAATGTACGCCACTTACTCTCCAATCAATTCTTCAATCACGTCTTCCAGGGTGACCACTCCGAGGGCCCCCCCGGTCTTCACTGGGGTACTCTGATACAAGTACCATGTGGGATTTCCCTTCCTGGAAAAAGTTGACAATGTCCAAACAGCTAGTCTCAGGCCGGGTTTCAGGGAGTGTGGCCAGCGCAAATTCACGAACCCGTTTGCAATCTTCAGGGTCATACGTGATGAGCATCTTGACAAGCAACATTCCAACAAAGTTCGTCGGGTTGTCCGGTGCGTGAATCGGGATTCGAGAATATCCCTGAGAGAGGATAAGGTCCATCGTGCGTTCGTCCAACACAGTGTCGGCAGACATGGTAAAGACATCCTCCATTGGGGTCATGATGCTTCCCACGGATTTTTCCTTCAGGTCAAGAACGGCACTGATAATGGTGACTTCGTCCGAGGTGAGTTGTTCTCCGGCGTTTCCCAAAGTCTTGTGCAGAGTCACGAGTGTTTTCAGTCCATCCTTCTTGTAGATGGTGCCGTGATCCTCGCCGAGCAGCTTGTCGAGCAACTTGGCAACAGGCCAGGCAACGGGTGACATGATGTACATGAGTACTAGGACCCCTGGGGCCATCCAGGCTCCGATAGGAAGACCGTAGCGAACACAAATCGACTGTGGAACAATTTCGCCGAAGATAACAATCAAAGCCGTGCTTCCCAGGACTGCCGGCCATCCGCCGCCGAGGGTCCTATCTAGTACGATAGGTAAGGTCTCATTCGTGATCACATTGCTGAGCAAGAGGGTAACAAGAACCCAATGTTTGCCCCGCTTGAGTAGGTTCAGAACACTAGCGGCATTTTTCTGTTCGGTAGGTTCGCCTGAGGTCTGGATCACTTGAAGATAGACTTCATCCTGTCCCATCAACGCAATTGTAAGTCCTGCGAATGCCCCGCCGCTGAGGACAAGGGCTGCTGAAATTCCCAGGTACAGCCATAGACTCGGGTCGGATTCGTGCGGGTCGAGATCACGGTGATCATCAGGCAGTGAGAGTAAAGACGTCACCACGGGCGCCCCCACTGCGAGGGGGGATTGGAAAATGACGAGGCAGAGGAGTTTCGCTGAGACCCAGCACTGTCGACCGGGCAGCAAAGAGACGATTTGTCGGGTAACTCATCACCATTGGCAGGTGAGGAAGGTGAGCGAGAAGCGAAATGAGGATGAGAGGGGCGGACTTAAAGGATCACAGGCAAGACCATTGTCCTATGAGAGTGAGAGGAAAATAAATGGAGACGAAGTCGCAGAAATAAGGAGGAGGACGGAAGAACGAGGGTAGAAACGATGCTGGGAGGGGGGTGAGGTGAGGGTGAGAGGAAGGAAATGACGCCAGCTGAGAAGCAGAGGACGAGGTTTTGCACAAGCTGGGGCCGAGCTGTCCAGAGCGGCAGCTGGGTGGGACTCCAGCGGGCGTATGCGGAAGGCAGAGCAGGAGCAGATCCAGGGCGATCGAGGCAGGCGAATCGCTATGCAGCCTGTCGCGGGCGTTGGACTGTGCGTTGCGGCCTGGTGGAAAGGGCACCAAGGCAACAAGGCACTGGTTGGTCGTGTGGGTCCCGTAGGTTGAGGTGCTCCATGTGCAGCCTCGCTTCTCTTTAACAACCTCTTCTGGGCGGAACCCGCGCCGGCAACGAGCGCTGCGAAAGGCCCAGTACCGCAGAAGGCATGACGGTATAATCATTCCTTATAATTCCCTCATCCTTGAGCCACCTCAGCTCTCTCTCCACCCAGGCAATTCGCTCTGGTCCCTTAAGAGAGTCGTGGCTTTAGACCACACGCTGTCTCTTGTTCATCTCTGGCTCCTTGTCCTCATCACGGCCCCGCTGCTTTCGGTCCAGGGGGTCCGGCTCTTGTTGACGGGGAATTTCTTCCCTGGAAATCCGAGCTTGGAGCCTCCTCACCTGCTGCATGGAGGATTGGGCAGAGGACTGCCACATGGCTTGCCCCACAGAAGCGCGGTTAAGCCAACCCTCCAGGCGTTTCTTGTCTGTCGAGGCCTTGGTAAGGCGGGCCTCTACAACGGTCACGTAGGATTCAGCCGACTGAAGTCGGTCCTGAACCTTCCGGAATCGCTGCATGACTGGAGCGCGCTTCTGTTGGGCAACCAGGTCGCTAAGCTCCTTCTTGACGCAGCCAAGTTCCTCCTTCGACTTGGCGAGGGCCTTTCCGGAGCCGTACCATGCTTTCTGGAACTTCTGGAGCTCCTTCTTCAGCTGGTCTTCCTCCTTCTTGGCTTTTGCCAAGTCCGCAAGGATGCTGATCTCCCGCTCAGCACGGGCACGTAGCTCAGCTTCATGCTTCTTCTCGTCAGATGCACGGGCCTGGCGTTCAGAAGCGAGAGCTTTCGCGAGACGCGCAGCTTTGCGGCGCCAGCGCTTGGCGTCGTGGGCGGCGTCGTGGGCGGCGGCATCGACGGTCTCTTCCGATGCCTCGGTCTGCGTCCCCTTGGACGTCTCCAAATATTCTTCGCCGCTGTCACCTGTCAGTACAAGCTAGTAGGTTTGTGGGGCTTGGGAGAGGGAGCGCTTACCTCGCTTTTGAGTCGGCGTGGGGGGCGGCCCAGACACAAGTGCATATGACCACCAGCAGCATCGCGAGCATCCCCACCTGGATCAGGATCTCGCGGATGGCTGCGCCAACATAGGCGACGACTGAGTCAACAAAAGCAGAGACAGCCATCTTGTCGGTGGTGGAAGTGTTAGTTGTGCTGGTGAAAGCGAAAAGCAAAGGCGAAAAACTTTCTGACGGTGCTACGCGTGAACGTAGCAAAAACGAGTGTGCGAGAAAGTTGGAAAGAGGGAAAAGTTGGGGGAGGTATGGTAGATTTTAAAGCTATAGGGGGAGCTGCTTCATTCACTACAACATCTCTCACTTCACTTCTCGCGTCACATCTCGCGTCACGTCGCGTTACGTCGCGTTTACTTCTCGCTTATACCTCTGTGGTTGGTCGCTTTACCTTCACTCAAATCAAGGTTGTCAACGTCACGGACTTTACTCGTTGAAATTTCTCACTCCCACGGAAGCCAAATGACCAGCGAACTCACTGTATTGTATAACTGTATTGTATTCGTAGCTCCCTTCCTCCCACGCGGCTTCTTTAGCTCCCGGGAATCCTGCTACAAGTGGAAGTCCCTACTAGTATAGCAATGAAGCATGTAGCTGTCTACTGAGGAAGCATGCAGACTTTCATCTCCAATTCTGCTACTCATTATACCACCCCCTCCACCGCAGTATTCTGGACATGTATGCCTGTAGCCCGAAAGCTTGGTCCCGTTACGAGGGTACATTTTTCCTTGGTTAGGCCAGAGGTTACGGACGTTAAGTGCAGGATTTAAGCTTTGTGGTCCGTGCGGATCAGCTGCGGGTTCTTGCCGAGTGGGACGCGTTCTTCCCGCGTGCCCGGAAACTGCCGAGATAACCGCAATAATCGCACCTGTAGGTGTAAATAATCAATCACCCTCCTTATTCCCTGGTCTGCTGTGCCTTCAACTGCCGCCAATTGGTGTCTACCTGAATGACAGTCTTCGTTCCAGCAAAGGTGGTCTTGAAGCATGAATTTTGCCAAAGATGAAAGGCGTGATTCTGCGAGCATTGGTTCTGCAGGTCTTGTTTGCTGTTGCTGTATGTGACTCGTATATGGGAAGCCTCGGTACTCGTGTAGCAGTAAAGTAGTTTAAGACTGGAAGCCCATGTTTTGTATGGTGGTCCTTCCCGTCCGCGTGGTGGGGTCAATTATCTATGGAAGCTCACATCTCAGTAGGTTCGAGTTTGGTTGCTCTCTGAATTCCCATCGTTTCAGTCAACTTATTATAGTAAAACATAGGTATTTCCTAACTGATTAGTATCCATAGATGTATCTAGGTGGTACCTAGATACTCGATGGAGCTGAATGGTAAGTACAGCGTTGTGACGTCCCTGAGGTCTCGATCTGGAAAAACGTGCGAATCCGTCTTGAGAGGTATATATTGGTATTGAAAATATATACCCGATACGTCCATGCATTAGAATCCCTTGTCCCGTTCAAGTCACTCTGGAGGATGTGGAAGGGGAGCATTGTCTTCACGCAATTCCTGGATATTACTGAACAGACTATTCATCGCTGAAATGCTGCATATAATGCTAGTATGTCCTCTAGCTTGCCCAGTCCCTGACGTTCCTATGCTAGCTTGGATATGGACATTTATCTCGGGCTGGGCCGCTAGTTTCTGGATCTGACTCGGAGTCTTATCAGTATGGCGCGGCCATTAGCAAGATACATATGTTAAGCCAACCTGAGATTGCCGCGGCAGATACCGGTTTCAGCGACGACCCACTCCGATGGTATATGATCTGAAACGACTCGAAGGATACTTTTACCTCGATACTATCTATCTGACAGGTTCACACTAGGCTCCACGGCCTATGAGAAGAGCCTTTGAGGGGGAAAAACTCTCTCCTCCTCGGGGCCCCAAGGGCTGACGCAAGGCCGTATCTTTAGAGGCTCCATGGCTATTTTACCCAAATAGGACTAGTCAGCGCTCCTACGACGTGGCTAGGCACTTAAGCAACATATACGGACTTGGACGCGCGAAATGCCGTGCATGATAGATCAAATTCCCACTGGTATCAATTGACCAAGGCCATTATGCTCTTAGGCCACCAGGGAACAAGAGACTCACCGCAATTCCTACACGGCCGCTTATCGGGCTTATCGAGCTTATCGAAAATTCAGGCCGGTGTCGGTGCCAAGAGGCGTGACTTCCCCGGCCCGCACCAAAATCCGTCTTTTTGTGACTCAATCCCTCCGCCTTTTTTTTTTATCTCTCCTGTTCAACCTTCATTCTCCTAACTTCAAGTTCATTTTTGCGGTTAAGACTTTCAGACATTATGGCTCAGGGAAAGGTGAGTCTCCTCAATTGCGGTCGCTTCCATTAATCTCCAATTTTTGCAACCCCCACCTTCCCGCCAATTGCTGGGTACCTTGAGCTGACTCTTTGTTTGGTTAGGTTTGCCTGGCTTACTCTGGTGGCCTCGACACCAGCTGTATCCGTATGAACCGCCTATATTACTCATTGCGCCTTGGCAGCATTGGCTAATCTATAATCCAGTCAAGTACCTTATCGAGGAGGGCTATGAGGTCGTCTGTTTCAGTGAGTTGCGACCCAGTGTACGAAGATGGGACCCCAATCGCCATGCTAATCATTTCAATTACAGTGGCCGACGTTGGCCAAGAAGGTATAGTTGCCGAAGATACAGAACCACTGGGCAACAACTAAATAATTACACAGAGGACTTTGAGGCTGCCCGCGAGAAGGCCCTGAAGATCGGTGCTCTCAAGTGTGAGATCGTCGATGTCCGCCGTGAGTTCATCGAGGAGCTTTGCTTTCCCGCCATTGCCTGCAATGCTGTCTACGAGAACGTCTACTTGCTCGGTACGCGATATCACCATCTTGAAACTAATTGCTCGGTGGGCCTTTGCTAACTTTTTTTCTTCTCCCAGGTACTTCATTGGCCCGCCCCGTAATTGCGCGTGCTCAGATCGACGTCGCCAAGGTACGATAACCATTCAGTGAAATTCGCGTGGTATGAATAGCTGCTGACGGCTGAATCTTATAATAGCGCGAGGGCTGCTTCGCCGTTTCTCACGGTTGCACTGGAAAGGGTAATGACCAAGTTCGCTTCGAACTTGCTTTCTATGCCCTGGAGCCCAAGATTAAGGTCATTGCCCCATGGCGTGACCCTGTCTTCTACGAGCGTTTCGCTGGCCGTAACGATCTCCTTGCCTACGCCGCCGAGAAGGGCATCCCCGTCACCTCCACCAAGTCCAAGCCCTGGAGTATGGACGAGAATCTGGCACACTGCTCTTACGAGGCCGGTATCCTGGAGGACCCTGATATCACCCCCCCTAGCGACATGTGGAAGCTGACTCAGGACCCTCTGTCTGCTCCTGACCAGCCCGAGGACTTCACTCTCCACTTCGAGAAGGGTATTCCAGTCAAGCTTGAGTTCACTGAAAATGGTCAGAAGAAGACCGTTACTGACTCGGTTGATCTCTTCCTCACTGCCAACGCAATTGCTCGCCGCAATGGTGTTGGCCGTATTGACATTGTAAGAAGACCGAACCTCTTCTGGCTGATGCAACATACTGACCCCGAGTCCAGGTCGAGAACCGTTTCATTGGTATTAAGTCCCGTGGCTGCTATGAGACCCCCAGTCTCACCTGCCTGCGTGCTGCCCACATGTAAGTGACTCAGATTACTATAGCACAGTATTACAGGCTAACTGAGCCACAAGTGATCTTGAGGGTCTCGTACTTGACCGTGAAGTCCGCGCTCTGCGTGACCAATTTGTCACCTTCAACTACTCCAAGGTTATTATCCTCCTTTCATTTTAGGATATCGGGTCACCTTTCTAACGTGTCTATAGCTCCTTTACAACGGAATGTACTTCTCTCCCGAGCGTGAGTTCTTGGAGGCCTCCATTGTCGCCTCCCAGAAGAGCGTCAACGGCCTGGTCCGCTGCCGCGCCTACAAGGGAAGCGTCTCTATCCTGGGACGTTCCTCTGAGACCGAGAAGTTGTATGACATGAGCGAGTCCAGCATGGACGAGATTGGTGATTTCTCCCCGCCGAGACCACCGGTTTCATTACTGTGTCCGCCATTCGCCTCAAGAAGTACGGTCAAAGCAAGGCTGCTGCTGGTGAGCGACTGTAGATTATCCCATCGGAGCGCCTAATTTTACTCGCTTGGCTGAGGGACTGAGGAAGCGGATGCTGTGCATCTTTAGCTTCCATCGGCTTGAGCCGCCCAACCCTGCTAGGCGGCAACCCTTGGTGTATATTGTGGTTGGATGTTTCACTTATTTAAATGACTGTATGGAACATGAAAAGGTGTGATAGGGTCGAAAATGAACCCTCTCATTTTCTGTTTCTTTAATGTGGGCTTATATGTACGCTTCATGCATTAGGATCAATCCCTCAATGAACTGGCACTTCAAGACGGCTTCAAGTTGAAGTTCGGAAGGCGACTTTCGACCGCTGCTTCGTAGACCACGGAGTTTGCATACGGTCTCCTGGACAGTTCTCCCTGGATCAGTTCTATGACCGTCGGGAACCACTCATAAGTTGGCACAAAAATCGAGGCGGTCTGCGTTCAATCCCGGATTAGCAAAAGCCAGTCAATGGTAAATACCGGTACATCGTGGACGGCAGCGTACCATTCCAAGCCTCCAGCGCAGCCTTCTCCGCATCCCAGGCCCACAGAAACTCTTGAGTCTCCCGATCAGCCCATTTATCTGGATTCGAGCCAGCCGTAGACGTCTGGAACTGCTTGTCGCGCACACGTTGCTCGGGTCCGTCGGGCAAATGCAGGACAATTCGGTTCTCGGTCCCAGATTGTTGAACGATCTCCGCGCGTGGCTTCCGCAACTTCTCATATATCTGCAACGCACTGCCAACCTCGTGGGGAGAGCGAATCTTCGATAAGAGAATCCCCTAGTGCTGCAGCGTCCTCGACCGCTTGGGCTGCGCCCTGGGCGACGTACGGGCTTGGACCTGTTTAGCAGGCGTTGAAGGTGCATCTCTCGTGCGTTCACTTACAGCATCGGGTGACATGCGTCACCGAGTAATGCCACTGATCCCCGGATCCACGTCTCAAGGGGTCGGTGAAGATATAACTTCCATTCCAGAACCTCCTTTTCGTCCACAAGGTCGATCAGCTTTGTAATGCGCTGGTCCCATCCTTTGTAGTTCTCCACCATGGCCTCCTTCGATCCCTTTGTGGTCCATGACTCCTCGGATCCTCCCCGATCCGGATGTAATAGGACCATGTTGTATAGTTCGTGTTTTCGGACCGGGTAGGCCACGATGTGGCGCTCAGGTCCTAGCCACCGGGTCGCCTGCGGTTCGTCGATGAGCGCTCTGAGCTCTGGGTCCTTTTCCATTGCACTCCGAGGGAGGACTATTCGATATGCGGCATCCCCGGTCGGGATGGCTTTTAGTGTCGAGTCTCCCAGTAGATGTCCTCGTATTGTGGACTTGATGCCGTCGGCTCCGAGGACAATGTCACCACCGATCACAGTTCCATTCGCCAGGGAGACACTCGCGGGAGAGAAACTGACGTCTGTCACTGTTGAGTTGACATGCAAATCCACATTCGGTAAAGCCAGAGCTCTGTCGATTAAAGCGTTATGTAAATCTGCGCGGTGGATGACTACTTGCTGCCCGAAAGTCTTGTTCACGGGCATGGTCCCGAGAAGACTCCCGTCTTGCCATCTACGGATGTGAATATGCTCGAGCGCAACATCTTGTGTGTGTATCAAGTCCGAGACGCCCCATCCTAAGTCATTTGTGAGATCTGTATCGGTGATCGTGGTCTCCTTCGGTACTCACTTTCGAAGAGGCGTAACATGTTCGGCGATACTTGAATCCCAGCTCCCACCTCCAAAAGCTAGGTAATACGGTTTTAGTGAAGAATGCTCTGGAATGATCAAATCCAGGGCGTACCTTTGGAGCAGCTTCAAGGATCGTTACACGATGGCCTCTTAGGCCAAGGGCGAGGGCAGCGGCTATGCCTCCGATTCCTGGGGTTGTTAGCCTCGAATCGGCGGCTTTATCTTGGGACGCCTGATTTCCTACGAGGACATACCGGCTCTGTCTTCTGTCAGCAGAGCACAGGACCATATTCTGGAAGACCAAGGAGGAATTACCCAACAATAATAACGTCCAGAGACGTATGCGCCTGCGTCATGCCCATATCGGCCTATGGGATAAAGAAACAAGTTGTCGTGGTAGGATATGTACAGCAAAGTGCTCGGAGCCAACAGCTTTGCAGATGGCGATGTAAGAGATGGAAACGAAAAATAATATCTCGCAATGCTACGATTTATTATAGAATAATCGAAGGGAGTGGGTAGGGACCGGCTAAAGAAGGCCTGAAAATCGCGTGGAGAGCCCAGTTGGGGGTTAAGTCTTTGTTAGGCCTCACACAATGCATGATTCTATAACCGAAAAGCCTCCCAAGGAACCATCCATCCAGTTACTACTAGGACCACTTGTCCAGGGACCGTTCCCGGCCTGTATTAGCAGATCCACCTCTGATCCCGCGATTTCCGGGGGCCACAGTCGACACCGGATTAACGAGATCGGCTGTTTATTGGAAACATAAAATGCCGTCCTTTTGTCTACTGCGGCCGCGGTCCAAGCAGCAAGAAACCAACTTCTGGCGGGGCTGGTACGCCTTATGGACATTTCACCATTTCACGGGATGGCTTCGGCACTCGAGGCCCAGAATACACGACAATCTCCGGCGCTTAACTCCATAGCCAAAGAAACATGACACTGGTGAAGCCAAGACACAGAGTTTCAGTGGAGTTTTTTCTGGCCTTGAAGGATTCTTCATGCACGCGACGGGGAGGCTCCGCAACTTTAGCGGTTTGACACATTTTCTGGGGAACCGGAGCTCCTCCCCGGCTATTCAACCCTCTTCTATCTGCCGAATGCCCTCTCCTCAGCCACGGTGGGACGCATGATCGCTGCTCGTATTCCTGACATGGGGCTTATCGTCTCCGCTAGCTTTTCTCCTTCCTCCTGATTCCAATCTTGTGACGTGAGAAGCTCAGTCTCGATGGACCCATCGCACGGCAAATAGCCGACTACTCCTTTGCCGACTAAAGCACGGACGAAGGCACGAATTGGGTTGCTTCGAGAATACATTCAATTGAAACGATCGGCGTTACGGGATGTTTGCATGGCTGGTATTACCGTGAATTATGGGGCTTTTGACTACACAGAAATGTTTTGAGTTGGTACCACAGTCTGCAGGGCTCCCCTGAAGGTAGAAACATTAGGTAGGCTGGAGGACGCAGTATTATTTCATGCTTTTCCGGCTTGCATACACTTTTCCAGATCTCCTCAACTCTTGGGGAGCCAAGACGCCTCGCGTCTTGAATCCGGGCTTCGAGACCGCCTGATTCCAATCCAGACCAGAACATCAATGCCAATCCCAGGGTCTTTACGCACATGCTTACGATTGTGTGCGTCCGTGGGATCTGTCGGATTCCATAATGGACCACTTGTAAGCTCTCGGCTTTCTCCAGCTCCCTTGTTTGCCGGATTACTGATGGTCCCTTCCTCTTCAGGTAAATCCACTCCCTGGACACGCCTCGACCTTCATCGTACATCTCTTCCGAGATACCTTATGAGAGCTTCTGATCGTGTAGTACGTGCTCATGCGGTACTTTGTCTCGCTCTGGTATTTTGAAAGATCTCGCAGCGCCTGCCAATCTTCCCTATCGATCGTATCCCGGATCTCTCGGCTGCAAGGCGTCATGCAACACTCGAAAGGATCCAGCCTCGTTTTCAATCCATTCCTAAGCGATGAGTAAGATTCGAGATGATCCAGTCGCGACCGAGGCACTGGGAATTCAGCTTGACTCCACTTCCGTGTAATCGAAAATGTCCACCGAAATTTCATGGACATGCTGATCCAATGCCTGTTCAACCTTAAACCCTCCAAAGACGCGCGACGGTGATGTAGGTGCCTCGGTCCGCTAGCCCCTGGCCACTGTCTACTGGGCAGCCCCATCCGAATGTCGTAGAGCCTCTCTCCGGGGAACGGACGCTCGCCTGAACTGCCTTTAACATACCGGTCTAGGTCAAAATGGTCTGCACTGGGGAATTCTCGTTCATGGTGATGAATAGCCCCCACGTTCCCTTGGGCCCAAGTACCACGAGGTATGAACCACTGCTGTCATGATAACGATGTTCACCCCTCATGAGATCGAAAATGAAACAGTTACCTCCGATCTATTGTATTGTACTTTGGATTCGTCGTCTTTCACCGGTGCAGGAGATTGGCCATCTATAATGGCTACGGACCGCCACCTCGAAACTTCCTTGCCAAAGGCCTTTGTGTAGGGTAGGTGGGGATTCATCTTTGGATGAAAGGCTCTCATAGAAAAAGCCATCTCTTCGCACACCTTCGGTAAGGCCTCGGGAGATGCGCAACAGGCGAGAATAAAAGTGACCAATGTAGAACATGATGTATCGCTGCCCGCTCCGAAGAGATTCCCATCTTTGGTAAGTTGTATCTAGGGGCCTCATCAAGAACTTTCTTGGATAAGAGGGGTTTTAAGTATCCCTGTTCATCGTAGCCTCCATGGCCAGAGCATTAGAAGAATGGCCTGCCGTGTCTCTGGCCCTGGCCCAAGTTGTGCTTTCAACGGCGCCATCCAATGGGGGGGGGGACTTTGCCAAAACTGTAGGAATCGACTTACCCAGTTCCTGGCCTAAGGCGGAGAGCCGTGTTACATGAAATTTACTGGGCAAAGATTCCATCAGCATCGGGAAAGCCTTGCCAGGTACATTCAAGCTCAGCCGCGCGCTGCATGACGGCAATCTCAGTAATGATAGGGTCAGCGACAGTGGTCACGCGCCTCGCAAGCCCACATATCGCAAAGATCATTCCGATTTTGAATTAGAGCCAAATTGGATAAAGCCTTGATACAACGGAGGTCGACAAAGCCTTGCTTTTCGTGGAAATTGCTTTTTGTGGAAAAAGATCGTATAGCCTAAATCGGCATGAACTTCAACCTGCATTCATGACAAGTACCACAGCGACCCCACTTTCATTCTGTCGCTACTAGATGACTGGGGGCTTTGCCATTTGCAGCTCTGTCTTGCACACCAGCACCGTAGCCTCTAGCCCCACATGGATCGATCCTTGGAAGTCGATAATCTGCTGCGTTTTGCTGTGCACAGCACTGTTCCCAAGCAGGGGACGGGAAAATTTCCCGTACTTGCACGGATAGTTTCAAAAAGGGCGGATCTCCTGGTATTCCTGACAGAGAATTTCACTGAATCTTAGGATATCTTAGGATCTGTGTCTCCGTCCATGAATGTGCACGGTGGGGCTGCCCGAGATTCTCCCGTCAACTGGCATACTACCATAATGCGGGGCCGGGAAATTGGCAAGAATTTGGGCTCTGTGACTGCTGGCAGCAGGATCCAATCTGGAAAAATTGAACGGCCTCGGCAGGCTATGCCCTTTCTAGTCTCTTCGACTTGATATACGGATTGAGTATTCTTTGACGTCAAATCCCGTACAGCACGACTACAAACTGAGATTGTCACAGGGAAGGCAGTAAAGAAGAGACAGATCTTTAGCGCCGGGTATGCCATAGTGTATGGAATATATAAGATGTGATGATACTTCATTGGCCCACAGAACCATGATTGATCATATAAGAGGCTACGGATGAGACTGCTGGGAGAGGGGAAATGGAAAAACATTGTATATCCCAGCACCTCGGCAGATAATGCAATGTCTTCGACAACGCTGGGGGGAAATGCCTATTCTTTTGCTGTCTAAGTATCTATGACGAACATGCAGTACGGCTTCGACCTCGCTGCTATTAGCTCTTTGCAAGCCATGCCCGGCTTTCTGGACGTCTTTGGATACGTCGATCCGAGCAATCAGACAGAATATGCAACCGACGTACGCAATTATACAACCCTGCAGGCTTAATGCTAACGGTCAAGGTAGAGCACAGTCTACCAAGTGAAAATGTCCCTCCTAATCCCCGTCGTTTCCTCGCTTGTGACAGGTTTCTTTTCAGTCTACTTTGGCCGCCGAGCCGCTCTATGGCTCGCCTGCATCGTGAATGCAGTTACATGCGCCCTTCAAATTGACACCTTGTCGCACGGAGGACTCTACTTCGGGCGATTGCTACTCGGCTTTGCAAACGGATTCCTAGTGGCTTTTTCGAATTTTTGTACCTTGGAGGCAGCACCTGCCCACGTGCGAGGGGTGAGGGTGGCTTTGCTTTCGTCCTCGGTCAACATCGAGTGCGTGTTGACCTCTGTCGAGGATTGCAATACGCAGACTCGTCTCGATTGTCTATCATGAACACCCTGCTTTGGCTTGGCATCAATGTCGGATATTATGCCATACGCAAGTGTTTTGGCCCTCGTTCATTCTGATGATAGTTGCTACCGCTTTGTGGGTGAACCCAGTTAGCGAGCGCCGGAGCGGCGACAGTAAGCCCGAGCACCCTCCTTATGGGCAAAGCACTAGTCGATCTCACGGTTTTGTTAATGTGCTTCTCTGACGCCTATGTGCACGCTCTGAGTTACCCGGTTGCCACCGAAGTTGCCAGCTCGAGGCTCCGTGCTTGGATCGTCGGGACCGCATCCTCGCTGGGGTACTTGCGTGGTTGACAAACTTCCGCACTCCATATTTTATCAACCTGGAGCACCTGGACTGGGTCAGTCTTCTGACCAATAGCCCTGATCATACCCCGTCTGTCTTTTACGACACAGCTCGCAGAACGCGTAGTATGGCTACATAGGGGCGGGATCAAATTACGTCCGCGTGATCCTCTTCTTTTTCCTCATATCAGAGATGAAAGGTCGGTCATTGGAAGAACTAGATGAGATTCCTTGCGGCTGGGGTCCCCGCTCGCAAGGTCAAGTCCTACCATTGTCTTATTTGTGAGGCAGCAAGAATCGATGCCGTCAATGCTAAAAGGATCTGGAACTTGAAAACAGAACGTGAAACCCAAATTTCTAGCCATGAACACCATATGAAGGTAGAGCATGGCAGCTTGGAGTGTATTATCGGAAATTATATATCTAAAGGCCCAGCCAGTGGACGATGATTGAATGATGCTGAAATTCGATGTTGAAAAGTGGAAAGATATGAACTCCGTAGTATGCTCCCAAATCGACTGAATGATCAATGGCTAAACATGAATGACAAAGCAGGATCATGAGTGGGATGTGTTCGTCGTCTGTCGTATTTTGATGCAGTAAACAGACCTTAATGGCAAAGAGGAATGAGATGGTCTTGGGTGTGTCATGGTAGTGTATGATGGAATCCATATTGGAAAGGAGGCAAGAAGCGAAGGGGGGCCAGAGAAGGAAATCAAGCAGTGAATAGAAGGCGCAATCGACTTGGGCCTTTCCTTTTTTCCTTGGGACGCCTCTCCTCGTATATCACAGAGCCAGCCTTGGAAGATGTCTTGGAAGGGGGTCTGCTTGGGGCATGACTTCGGCTTGGCGCCCTACTAGGCGCTTGGCTGGGAGCCTTCGTAGGGGCTTTGGTGGGAGGCCTAGAAGACTCTCTCCTCGCGGTAGACTTTGGTTCTTTTTTGGACCACGTACTTGCGGGAGGGGCCTGGGTATGCGCGCGAGTGGAACGAGACCGACGAGAGCGGCGCGAAGATGCCATCGAGGCATCGTCACTGAACTTGAACCGGGGGTCCTTTTCCAGGCGGGCGGTGGTCACATCGATACCCGACATAGCCGCGGCAGTGGGTGTGATGAACTCGCCGTCCACAGAGGTTCCGTAGCTGACGGCTTCCACGTCTGCCACACCACGTCGCCACATCTCCACATGGCTGAGTTCCTCGACATTGAGCTCCATGAGGTCATCCATGCCCATGTCACTCGGGACTCGCTCGATCACAGGTTCCTGTTTCTCACCCGTCATTTGTTTGATGATCTTATAACCGCCGAACATAACCACTGTTGCGCTGAGGCCGACACCAGCGGCAATCAGGAACTGAGGGCTGGAAAGGAGCGCAAAAATTGTTGGCGCCGCGGTCTTGAATGCAGCCAAGGCAGACGGCGCCAGATTACTGGCAACCTTGCTGATCTCTGCCAGTGTCAAGGCAACAGCTGCCATGGCATCGGGGTTCTTTTGAAGATGGCTCATTGTTTGTGTAGCACTATGCTGGACACAGTGCGCCTCTTCCAAGAGCCATTTGGCCCGGTCCACCAACCCATCCAATTGTTTCTGATTATCCCCATTATCGGGTTGAGGGCTGTACTTGGCGAGGGCCTTAGGGTGTGCATCTCCATAGGCCAGGTCCATGTCGATATTGGCATCGGATTTAGATCGGCTGGTGAGAGGGCGCTCGGGCTCGCGGGTGGTTAGATCGTGATGGGTATGCCGACGTGTGGGGGCATTTAGTGGTACATCCTGAAAGTCTTGGTATCCGCGGGCAGAGGAAAGCAAGTCTTGTTCGTATCGCGAAGAGGGCCGGCGGCTACGGCCTGAGGGATGTCGGGACCTGGTTGCTCGACTTCGCTGGGATCCGGCCACGGATGGCGAGTCATCTATTTGGTATGTTGCGATGCCCGCAAGGGCTTGTTGCTCTGCTAGCTTCGCGCTACGTTCCAGGTCGAAATGCGCTTTGCGCTCACGATAGGCAGCCTTGGCATGGTTGAAGACTCCGAACAATTGTTTGCTCTGGGAAAGGGGGCATTAGGGCAACCTCGTTTCAGGGGGCAATTTGCATTGAGTCCAGGCTTACCGTGCTCACAACCTTGCCAGACTTGTCGATTACAGCGATTGTCTCACCGAGGGGCGCCATCGGAACGGATAACCGACAGGCGAAGAACCCTCATCAGAGGGTCGACGATCGGCAAATAGAGAGGTGTAGAGCGGTAACGAGTCGAACGGGGCCAACCTGGCAGGCGAAAATGAAATTATAGGGAGAGTTTGGAACAGCAGCGATCCAGTATAAATCAGAACAAAGAAGAGTCAGGCCAAAAGGACGCCGAGTGCCCGAAATAAAGAGTCAGGCGTTGAAACGCCAACTCGAATTACAGGATCCGCGGCTACTGCCGATCGGAGCAGGCAGATACGTAGCGGGCAGATACGTATTTCTTCTCAATATGGCTAAAGCCGCGATGTGATCAATATGATACGGAAAACCAAGAGGCTGGGCGGGAGGGGGCCGATCGCATCACTGTGCAGTAGTCGGGCAGTGCGACGAACGACGCATCGCTTTTATCGTTGGGTTGCGGTGATGCGAGAAACGGGCGCGAATCAACGCTCATCAAAGCACGGGCAGAGCTTGATTGGGAGCTCCATCACGCACGCCCACGACACGGTTGGGCGCAAAAGACCGCGTGGTGGGGGCGAGGCTTTGTTGTTCCATGATTTCTCCACCATTACTAGTAGACTTCCCTTGGACTCAGCAACAGGAACAAGGTCGAGTCATTGATTGGCTCTGGGAGAACCCCCAAAGGTTTCAGCGGTCCTCCAAGATCGGATTTCAAGACAGGAGGGTGTGGGATATGGGTCGTTTGGTAACCGCGATAACCGGAGCACAGCATACACCGTCTATCTTCCCTCATGTACAGAGGACGTGGAATCGGTTTATTCTCGTCTGCGGGCTTCGGCAAAGAAGCGGTGACATGCGCATTCTGATTGGATATGCAATCTCACCGCTATTGAGATTGACCAGTTGGCGGGTGCCGTGAGATATAGTAGCCACAGCCTGTGGCGCTGCTGCCTTGTACATTGTACTTTGGCTCTTATATAACTCGCTCCTGCTTTGGTATACTGTGGGTATACCATGGAAAGGAGGTGCCTTTCGCCCACTCCGAGAAAGACCCTCCAACGATGAAGCAAAGAATGGCGTCATATGAATGCCGTGCGACATCTCCAGAATAGGCCCAACCCTTCTTTGCGTAGGACTGGGAACCTGCAGTAGAGAAAAAGCCTGGGACGGAGAGGGGCGCACTTGGGTCTTTTGTATGCAATATTCACGAGATAAATTTGGGCCCCAGAGCAAATCATCTGGCCTTATCGCCTTTGTCGATCAAGATCGGTGTATCTAATCTCAGCGGCTCTTGACATTGCCATGAAAGAAGCACCGTAGCCTTTCACCCTTCGCATTCCTCCCGGACGATGACCATTCTCCATAACTCGCGGCCACGATCGCCCCTAGCCCGTCTGCAGTGGGACCCGCGGTGAGTTTGTTTCCCCTGACCCTCGGAGCCTCATTGTCCAGTGCATCAGGGGGGGTTCTGCGACCGCATGCAATAGCACGTATTCGGAGTTCCAGAATAGCCCCCGAGCTGGAGAAATACGTAGTTCCCCCCCTAGGCATGCAAAAGGATTGCTGACAGTATGTTGCAGTCCCGCCTGTTGCTGGAATCACAAAAAAGCGAGGGATGGTGAGTCGAATACTTTATCGATGGTGCAATTCTTATGATCTACTTTTATCGCTGCCCCCTTTCCCGGTCACCGCTCGATGATTCATTTTTCCCGCCGCTCCTGGTTTCTCATCCTTCTGTTGTCTGTTCTCTGGTTCCTGGGCTTCTCTTTATCTTATAGATGCCTGATAGAGCGGGAAAGCTCGAAAGCACAATCCACAGAAAGCCTGGTTCGGGGTGGAACCAATCATCCGGCAGCGGGGAGATCTGACCTCCACACAACCTTTTCACTGGAAACCCATTATAGCTGACAGGCCCGCAATGGATGCAGGGGATTCAGGAAACACCTCCGAGGTGGAAGATCAGCTGAAAACATGGGGATCTGGGTCTGATGCCCAGTCTGTGGTGGCCCCGGTCGCCGACGACGCAGGCAGCGCGCATCCACTTAGCGATTGCGGCATTGGCCATCGCGTGCTCGCCAGCCGCTCTGTGCTCGCGTTGGCTGTGGATGAAGAATGTGTATTTGCGGGGCTCCAGGGCGGCGACATCGTGGTATGTACTTTGGTTCCCGCGCCTCTGGTTGTCAAGTCTGCGCCTGTCTTTATTCTGTCTCTGACTGCTCCTCCAGGCCTGGTCTCTAGATACGTATGACCTAGTGTTGTCGGTGCATGCTCACAAGGAAAGCGTACTCAGTCTATATCTCTCAGAAGACCTGAATCTCTTATTCTCTAGCGGAGGCGATTCCATCGTCAACGTGAGTTCGACAATCGCGCATCATCTGATCTCAAAACTGATATCCATGTGTCCAGGTGTGGTCAACTAATACGTTTGAGCGACTGTACTCAATCTACTCGCATCATGACGTGGGCGATATCTTTACTGTGGCATACTCTGTAAGGTATCAAACAATCTATTGCGGGGCTCAAAATACCAGCATTCAGGTAAGCTACTCGAGAGCACGCATTGAATTATACCATGCTCTGACATGTTGTAGTGGTGCGAATTATCGGAAGAAGGGTCAGCTCCGAGTCATGCATCAGCAACACATCTTTCGAAGAGGACACATCGTTTCTTCGACTCCAAAGGACCTGATGGAACGCGCGCTCCCCGTCCATCCGATGCAGCTCATTCTGTGTCAGAAGGTGGCCGCGTGTTAGCATTCAAGAGGGACCACCACAAGTTATTCGCTCATCATGGCTATATCTACTCCATGCTGCTCGTTCCAGGATTAATAGAGTCGGCTCCATCTGAAGAAGCCCTACTGACTGGCGGAGGCGATGGAGCCGTCAAACTATGGCGTTTGGGCGAAGAGCCCGGGTCAGCTCCAACCCAGGTCGCCAAGCTACAGAACAATGACTCGGTTCTGTCTATTGCAGTTGAAGGGTCACTGCTCTACTGTGGTCTTGCAGGGGGTGCCTTGAACATCTGGAATCTTGATTCCCAACAGCTTGTCAAGCGCATTGTTAGACACACTGGCGATCTGTGGGCTGTCCATGTCATCCAGGGGGTCGCTATCTGCGGTGATGCATCTGGAATAGTCAAAAAGTTCAATTCTCGATTCGAGGAAATTGGCGGTTGGATTGCCCACGACGGTACAATGCTCGCCTCGGCTGTGGGCCGAGTGAAGGATCGCCATATCTATGCCACCGGCGGGAATGACAATTCTGTCGGTATCTGGGATTTGACCGAGTTCTTCCTCGCTCAGGAAGAGCTGCCTCCAATCAGCAATGACGAGATGGTCAACACGTTGGCCAAGTTTGTAACATACAAGACGATCTCCGCGAGCCCCAAATTCACCGGTGAATGCAATCAGGGAGCGGCGTTCCTGCGTCGGCATTGTAACTACCTCGGCGCAAAGACAAAGCTGCTTACCACAGGCGAAGATACCAACCCAATTGTGTATGCTCGGTTTGGCGCCACCTCAACTGAGAAGTTTGACAAGACCATTTTGTTCTACGGTCATTACGACGTCGTGGGTGCAGATACGAACCGTCTCAAGTGGAACTCGGATCCTTACCAGCTGACTTCAATCAACGGATTCCTCTATGGACGAGGCGTTTCCGATAATAAGGGGCCGATCCTGGCGTCTTTGTATGCCGCAGCGGACCTAGCGCGGACAAAACAGCTTCGCTGCAACGTCGTCTTCCTCATTGAAGGCGAAGAAGAGTCTGGCTCACAAGGATTCCATCAAGCTGTCCGAGAGCACAAGGCTCTAATCGGACCGGTTGACTGGATTTTGCTTGCCAATAGCTACTGGCTGGATGATTACAACCCTTGCTTGACTTACGGCCTTCGAGGTGTGGTGCATGCCAATCTCGTCGTAACAAGCCATCACCCGGATCTTCATAGTGGTATTGACGGCAGTGCCCTACTGGATGAACCGGTGAAAGATCTTTCTCTCCTGGTGTCCACCATCGTGGGTAGAAAAGGCCAAATCAACTTGCCTGGTTTCCGCGATCCTGTCCGGCCCCTCACAGACGCTGAACAGAAACGATTTGAAGCTATTGCGGATGTTTTGCTGCCTCAACATCCAGGTATCCCTAACCGGGAGGCTCTGGTGAAATCGCTGATGTACCGCTGGCGTGAGCCGTCGTTGACGGTGCACTCGATGGAGGTACCTGGGAGCAAAAACGCAACAACCACGATTTCTCGGAAAGCCAAGACGAGCCTCTCGATCCGTATTGTGCCTGATCAGCAAGCAGATGAAGTTGCGGCAAACCTCACAGCTTTCGCCCAGGAACAATTCGACCTGCTAGAGTCTCAAAACGAACTCACCGTCGAGATTACGGGCAAGTCAGATCCCTGGTTGGGCGATCCCGACAGCGAGATCTATGCCACTCTGTCCGAGGCTATCACCGCCGCATGGGCCCCTCATCAACGTACATCGAAACATGATTACCCCTCTATCGCGCAAGGGATCAATGGGCATTCGGCGGCTACCAACAAACCCATCACTCCATCACTTCTCCGGAATGACTCTTCCGACAGCCTCGCATCCCACGTGGACCGCGTCATTACTTCAACCACTACCTCATCCTCCGCCAAAAATGCACACAAGCGGCCTTTCACATCCGCTTCGACGGTTCCTACCTCGTCCACGCTCACACAGGCCCCCCCAGGCCCCCCAGGCCGAGACAGCTCTGCCGATTCAGGCAAAGTCTGCGACTCAATCCGAAGACTCTCTAAGACCTAGCCCAGTATCTCCAGATGCGTCTAGCGGGGTCGTGAAGCCAATCTTCATCCGAGAGGGTGGTTCGATTCCAACAATCCGGTTCCTTGAAAAGGAATTCTCAGCGCCGGCTGCTAACTTGCCATGCGGCCAAGCTAGTGACAATGCACACTTGGACAATGAGCGCATGCGTGTGGAGAACCTCTACAAGAGCCGAGATATCTTCCGATACGTATTTGCTCATTTGGTTGATAAGAAATAGCATGGCGCGGGAGTTTTCATTTATCGGGGAGAGGGATCATCTTGTAAAATAAAAACCCACAATAAAGTTGACTCATCTGCACAAGCCTCTCATCTCCTTCTACGCAAGTTCGAGCTTGTAATTCGCTCTGGAGTGGTCAGGAATAAAATTCGCATCAGAACTAAAAACTTCGTGGTACATTTCCAATGACTCCTAGTAAATATTGACGCCATAACTTCAAATAAGCCCTGTACAAGTATAGAAAAGAACACCGCTCAACGGCGTTGAGCATGTCAATGGGGAAAAAAAACCATTCCAAATCCGAAACCCCCCTAAATCATATGCAAGAATCATTCACGATGGATCCCTCACTCATACTGCAGTTGTCGTGTCACTAGCGGCGCCATGCACATGGATAATCTCTTCATCAGGTCCCTTCATCCCCTCCAGCTCTGTTGTCTTCTTTTCACCTGTCACTTGCGGAGGTGCCACCGCATCTACTGGCTTACTTTCTTCTTTGACCTCCGGCACCTCGACCACCACAACCTCAGGCTCTTGCTTCACCTCCTTATCAGCCTCTCCACCCTTGGTATTCTTCCAAGAACCCGCATAGTGATGCGTCACCAGGTACGGCCCGCGATCCTTCGGGTAACCGGCCTGAGTCGCAGAGAACGCTGCGTTAGGAAGAATAAGAACATCGCCAATGAGGCGAGGCTCAGATAGGCTCGAGATATTCGGCCGGCCAACCGGGGTCTTGAGCTCTGCTTCCAAATTCCCCAGAATGGCCCTCGTCATAGCCTGCGGCCCCGTCACATCGACCACGTCGCTAATAGTCTGCATCGTGAGCCCGGCGATCGTGGTGTTGTAGTCGTCGGCCGACGCCTCCAGCTCGTTCACCACATACCGGATCACGGCAGCAATGTGGCTGGTGCGCGGCTTGGCCATGACGGTCCAGCTCGCGAACTGCAAGCCGTCGAATTCTCAGCCCCACTACCACGTTGGTGCGGTTACGGTATTCTTCCGGAATCCAGGTGTCGACCGGCAGCTCGCATGTGACGTCGAGGTCGCTCCAGATGCCTCCCTCGGCGTACAAGATCAGGTGGCGGAGCAGGTCGGCTTTGAGAATGGGCACATTTAGCGAGAGGTAGAGGTTCAGAAGGTCGGGGTAGGCGGCGTAATTATCGCGCACGTAGTGGTCGCCGGCGCCATCGGTCAGGATTTCTTGGCGCAGGTCGGGATTGACTTTTTGCCAGGATTTGAGGTCGGGGATGCGCGCGTCGTCGACGCCGTGAGATCCGGCTTTTTGCCATACTTTGGCGGGGAAAGGGACGATGTCCAGCTGGTCGCGAGGGAGCGGCTCTGGGAGCGGAAAGAGCGACAGGTCTTGGGTAGCAGGGGCGGGCGTCGGCTCGGATGATGAGGATACAAGAGTTGAAGGAGTAGCGTTGGGACTAGCCTCGAAGGTTTTATCGGGAGATGCGTCTGGTCCGCACGAGCAGTGATTGTTTCGCACATTGGTCCATGATGGAATGGAGTCTTGTAAGTCCCAAGAGAACCAGATGAGGGAGCCGATAAACGCCAATAGCAGCGTCAGTAGCAGATGGTAAGAACGAGTGAAAGCCATGGTGGGCGAGTATATGCCCCGAAGGCTGGAGTTGAGGAAAAACCAAACGAGGATTTTCCCTTAACTTTTAGGTTCATTGATTTCCGGCCCCGGATGCGGTCGAGGGTCCATTTAGCCTCGTGGATTGTCCTTATCAATCCACTTCGGGGTCTTTTTTCTTGGAGGGTCTAGAGTTCCCCCCCACTTTGCCGCCCCTCGCATCCCCTATTCGAATCTCTATGGGCGATAAACATGCCATCTAGCTCACGAAAATCGTATTCCAGCCAGTATTTGAGACTTGAATAAAGAGGCGTACTAGTGGCAACCAATTAGACCGAGCAATAGGGGCACGTACTGAACTTGCAGTTCGTTGAGGTGGGTCACGCTGCTCGTAAAAAGTGGCTCTGGGCCCCGACGCGGCGGCAGAGACAGCCCCTGAGTTCTGCAGAGACGGCTACAGTACAAACTCGGATCATCCTGGCTAAGGGCTTAACTTGTTCAAACCTGTCACTTGTTCCACTGATGCATCAGTGTGTTGAATCGCACAAGCTATTTCCGGCGCACGCGACTGTGGGGAAATTTGGCTGCATTCGGAAGGCTCGGAAGGAATACATTATTCGATCAGGCACCGTCCATGGATGTGCGCATATTGAGGGCGACTATTGAGACACAATGCCTTTCTGTACAGAGTCCTCCGAACAGTTTGAGTATTTTATAAGAACAGAGGTGTACTATGTAGTAAGCGCCAGTTCTGCCGGGATGTCTCCTATACACGTGCTGCGAGTTTACAGGTACCCTTGATGTACAATTTTGGTAACCTCTCAAGGGTCAGCCCGGCTACAAATTTGGTAGCAGTTGCTGAAGTGTCTCATGAGCGTTAAAGCAGCAAGCCGTCAAGTGCTCGAATAAAAACAAGTCGAAGCTACTTACTCAATGCAGACAGGATTGCGTGCTCGATGATGTAATCAGCGATTGCACCGATAACCTTGGGTTCATTGAGTCATTTTCCATGCGGGGATCGTTGACTCGTCCTACAAACCTTTCACAATGGCTTTTGTTGCTTCTCCAATGGCCTTCCGTGCCCTTCGTGCTACTCCGCGGGTTGCTCGTGCTGCGCCGTGGGCAAATGTTTCCGCGCTGCCCCGCGCTCAGCCTGCATTCCGTCGTTTCTTTGCAGCACCCGCCCAGGAACAGCCCCGTCTGCGCCTGGGATCAACTGGTCAGTCTTGGATAAAAGTGTCTCCATCATAGTGTTAACAGTAGCAGCTCCCAATTTTAAGGCTCTGACTACCAAGGGCGAGATCGACTTCCACGAATTCATTGGCGACAGCTGGACCATTCTCTTTTCCCATCCTGCTGACTTCACTCCTGTCTGTACAACCGAGCTAGGTGCGTTTGCCAGGCTCAAGAATGAATTCGACAAGCGCGGTGTGAAGATGATTGGTTTGGTAGGTTTGGGCAACTCCCTGGCATTGTATCTTTGTGCTAATTGTCAATTACATAGAGCGCCAACGACCTCGGCTCTCACGACGAATGGATCAAGGACATCAATGAAGTCGGTTCGACTGATGTGCAATTCCCCATCATTGCAGATGCCGACCGGAAGGTTGCTTTCCTTTACGACATGATCGACCAGCAAGACTTGGACAACATTGACCAGAAGGGCATTGCTTTCACCATCCGCTCTGTCTTCATCATTGACCCCAGCAAGAAGATTCGCCTGACCATGATGTACCCCGCCTCCACCGGTCGCAACTCCGCCGAGGTCCTGCGCGTCATCGACTCGCTACAGACGGGTGACAAGAAGGGTGTCACCACCCCGATTGACTGGCAGGCCGGCGACGACGTGATCGTGCCTCCCTCGGTCAGCACCGCCGATGCGAAGAGCAAGTTTGGCGAGGTCCGCGAGGTCAAGCCTTACCTGCGCTACACCAAGATCTAAAAGCCCTTGAGGGTTATCACATGTACCATATCTGGCCCACTCCCGGCCCAAATGATCAACCCTTCTAGAAAGAGACTTAAACTTTTGGATTTGATCGATCGCAAATTTCACAATCTTCCCTTTGGCAAATCTCCCCACCGGAGGATAATCGGATAAACATCGGTTGAAATGGTCAAGATAAATCTTCACATCCAAAACCGTTAATCCGCCCGTGATGGTACCTATACCCCTGACGGACCGCAGTCTCTTTTGGGAAACGATAGTCGCTGTGCCCGCGTCGGCATGAACCCTGTGGATAAAAACAGGCTAAGTGCGGTTGCTGACGGGGCATCAAAATCCATATGACCTATCGACAGGGATCATTTTGCAGATCCCCTCTTCGGTTGTGCAAGCGAACCCCCCCAAGTAGTATCCCCCAAGCGACGATCTATTGCTCCGGCCCAAGATCGGCGGTCCACAACATTGATCTGGGAATAACGGCACGTGGAATGCCCGCCCTTTTCTTTTCCTGTCTTTGGTGTCTGTCAAGTAATTCTTAAGATCTAGGATGCTATATTATTATTAGAACTGATCCTGCATCTCGTCGCTCTCTCTCATTATATCCTTGCCACCGCAACGTCCAAGCACCCGGCGACACCGATAGCTGCTTGGGTCCAACCACGCCCCTGCGGTGAACCATGACTCGATGGATGCATTGGGCTATTCTGCCTCTTCTGACACAGGCTCTAGCCGCATCCCCAGAACAGTCAGCTCCTGAGTCGAAGCAACTGAATGCGCGTGCCGCCGATGGCTATGCTTCTCCACCTTTCTATCCGACTCCCCATGGTGGGTGGGCATCAGAATGGGCCGAGGCCTATGAAAAGGCATACCAGGTGGTCAGCAACATGACTCTAGCAGAGAAAGTCAACCTGACCACCGGAACCGGGTTCTTCATGGGACCATGTGTGGGACAGACCGGCAGCGCGCCACGATTTGGCATCCCAAACCTCTGTCTGCAGGACTCGCCTCTGGGAATCCGGAATTCTGATCACAATACTGCTTTCCCGCCAGGTATTTCAACAGGTGCAACATTCAATAAGGAATTGATGTACGCCCGTGGTGTTGCGATTGGGCAAGAGGCTCGCGGGAAGGGTGTCAATGTTCAGTTAGGGCCCAGCGTTGGACCCCTGGGGCGCAAGCCGCGTGGAGGTCGGAACTGGGAGGGATTCGGTGCTGATCCTACCCTGCAGGCTATTGGAGGTGCGCAAACTATCAAGGGCATGCAGAGCACCGGCGTAATTGCCACACTCAAGCATCTGATTGGGTATGAGCAGGAGATGTACCGGATGAGTAGTGTGATTACACAGGGGTACTCGTCTAACATCGATGATCGGACACTGCATGAACTGTATCTGTGGCCGTTCGCTGAAGGAGTGAGAGCGGGCGTCGGGTCAATCATGACCGCCTATAATAGCGTGAGTTTAGCAAAATCCGACTGGGCGATCTTCCTTGCTAACTTACCCTCCAGGTCAATAGCTCGGCTTGTAGTCAAAATAGTAAATTGTTGAACGATATCCTCAAGAACGAGCTGGGATTTCAAGGCTTCGTGATGACTGATTGGTTGGGTCATTATGGTGGTGTATCCTCTGCTCTTGCCGGCCTCGATATGGCTATGCCTGGTGATGGTGCAGTGCCGCTGTTTGGTGATAGCTATTGGGCCTCGGAGCTCTCCACCTCTATTCTCAACGGAAGTGTACCGGTAAACAGGCTGAATGACATGGTATGCCTCCATCGAGATCGTTTTGCTTGACAAAGACTAAACCTGTGTCAAGGTGTCCCGGATTGTGGCGACATGGTACAAGCTTGGTCAGAATAAAGATTATCCACTTCCCAATTTCTCGACAAACACTCAATCTGCGGAAGGGGAAATCTACCCCGGTGCTCTCCTTTCCCCCATTGGCGTCGTCAACCAATTCGTCAACGTGCAAGGCGATCACAACATCACAGCACGAGCAGTGGCCCGCGAGGCAATCACGCTGCTCAAGAACGATGGTCATGTTCTCCCGCTCCACCCAAGTGACTCACTGAAGGTATTTGGGACCGATGCAGGCGCGAACTCCGGCGGTCTGAATTCATGCACCGATCAAGGTTGCGATAACGGCGTGTTGGCCATGGGATGGGGCAGTGGAACTGCTCGATTCCCCTATCTCATCACTCCGCAAGAGGCGATCGCAAACATCACCGAGAATGTCAAGTTCTATATCACCGACTCATTTCCATCAGATGTGGCCGCAAATGCCAGTGATATTGCAGTAGTCTTCATCAACGCGGACTCCGGCGAGAACTACATCACGGTTGAAAATAACCCTGGAGACCGTACTGCAGCTGGTCTCTACGCTTGGCATAAGGGAGATGATCTGGTCAAGGCCGCTGCGGAGAAATTTTCAACGGTCGTTGTGGTTGTTCATACCGTTGGACCCATCCTGATGGAGAATTGGATTGAACTGGACTCGGTCAAGGCAGTGCTTGTTGCCCATCTCCCTGGTCAAGAAGCCGGCGATTCTTTGACGGATGTTCTGTTTGGCGACTATAGCCCTAGCGGCCACATGCCGTACACGATCCCCCGCAACGAGTCCGATTACCCAGCAAGTGTCGGAATAATTGATAACCATCCTTTTGGTCAGATCCAAGATACCTTCACAGAAGGACTCTACGTCGATTATCGGCACTTTCTGAACGCCAACATTACGCCTCGCTATCCTTTTGGCCACGGGCTCTCGTATACTACCTTCAACCTCTCCAAGCCTTCGCTCTCAATTGTGACGCCCCTCGACAGTGCTTACCCACCGGCGGCATCGCCTGTGGGCTCAACACCGAAGTACAACGACTCTATTCCAAACCCTTCCGAGGTGGCCTGGTCCTCGACTACATTCACTCGCATCTGGCGCTACCTCTACCCGTACCTGGACAATCCCCAGTCCATCACTGCTTCGGACAAGTATCCCTACCCGGACGGCTATAGCACAACGCCACTTCCTCAGGCGCGCGCTGGTGGAGGCCCGGGCGGCAATCCCGCTCTATTTGCCACGGCATTTTCACTTCAAGTGCAAGTCACAAACACGGGTAAACGTCCTGGCAAGGCTGTTGCGCAGCTGTATGTTGAGTTGCCCTCTAGCTTAGGACTTGACACCCCGTCGCTCCAGCTGCGTCAGTTCGACAAGACCAAGGAGCTTGCACCAGGTCAGAGCCAAACCCTGACTCTTGAAGTCACGCGCAAAGACGTCAGTGTCTGGGACGTGGTTCTACAGGACTGGAAGGCTCCTCTTAACGGCGACGGTATCAAGTTCTGGGTTGGACAGAGTGTTGCTGACCTGCCTGTTGAATGTACACTTGACGATGGGTGTTCTATTTCGTAAAGCTTCATTCTTTGTATTTTTTTTTCTTTTGCCACGTGTTCATCTGTCTGTATAGTCAGGTCTAATCAGCCGCTCTCTCTTCCTCTGTTGTTCTGTATATACAATGACCCAGGGGGATAATCGCATTATGCATCGCATCCACAATTTTGTTTACGCCCGACACCTTCACTAAACAGAAGTGACGGCCTCGGTAGGCGGTCTTTTTTCCTCCCTCAACCCGGTCACCGTCTCAACATGCTCCTTGTTCAAGCGGGCCTTCAAGATAAAAGCAGAGAAAAACACCCCAACCGCCGACATGCACGTATACAAAATCCACATATTCCTCATACTCCAAGCGAATGCCTCTTTGACAGCAAGCAACTGAGCCGGATCATGAATATCTTTGATATACTCGATATTAGCGGCCGCTGAACCGCCCGTCATCTGACTCGCCAAACGATCAGACATCCCAACAGCCAAGAGGCTTGACTTCATTTCCCCCATGCTATTCTGGAAAACAACGCCACCGATGACAATCGAGCATGCGGTCGCCATATTCCGGACAAACCCTAGGGTTGCGGTAGCGGTGGCGGTGTCTTCTTGAGAGACTGCAGCTTGGATAGCAATGATTGGCGTCTGGAATAGGAAGCCGGCGCCTATGCCACTGAGGAACTGATATCCCACAATCTCTCCCAGAGACGAGAAGGCATCGAGGTGGATATAGAGTCCGTTCCCAATGGTCATAAGGATGAGGCCCAACCAGACCAGCTCGCGGTATCGTCCTGTGCGGTGGATGACAGCACCGGTGATCATTCCTGAAAAGGCCTCTGCGAGGACAAGAGGGAGGATCAGGACTCCAGATCGCATTGGCGATGCTTCTTTGGCTGATTGGAGATAGAGGGGTAGATAGTATTCCCCGGCGATGAACACCTAAAGCAGGTTAGATGGGGCTCTCTTCAAATAGGAGGTAAAATACTCACAAAGCCATGTGCAAAGGCCACTGCAAGCGTGGCAATGTTAGACAGACGCGCAAAGATCCCCAACGGCATGAGCGGGTATTTTGCGAGTCGCTTTTCGCTATAGATGAAGAGCAACGAGCACAGGGCACCGAATATAATCAGGCAAATGACCTGCGGCGAGCTCCATGCGAACGTTTCGCCGCCAAAGTCCAGACCGAGGAGCAGCATGAGCGTGAGGCCCAGAACGGACAGACTACCGAACCAATCGATCGCCTTGACGCCAGCCATCATGCCAGTCTTGGGATTATGGACATCCAGGAAGAAGATCAGTAAAACAAATGCAATTCCCGAGACAGGGAGGTTAATCCAGAAGTTCCATCTCCAGGTGACGTATTCTGAAAACGCTCCTCCGAGCAGCGGCCCTATGCCTCCCGCGACGGCCCACATGAACTCCATCACGCCAAGATAGAGACTTCGGTGTCTGGACAATATTAGCTGAGAATAGCTTAGACGGGATCAAGTACCATACCGCACACTAAACAGATCCGAAATCACGATCGTTACAAGCTGCAAAAGTCCTCCACCAGCTACGCCTTGCAGCGCACGGCCGGCGATCAGCATCTGCATATTGACAGCAACGGCACAGATAATGGAGCTCAGAAAGAACCAGGCGACGGCAATGAGTAGAATGAGCTTCCGGCCCCAGATATCAGAGAGCTTAGCCCAGATACAGGCTCCTGCTGCATTGGCAAGAAGGTAGGCTCCTCCGATCCAAGTATAACCAGCCGCCGAGTGTAGATTGGCCGCAATGGTTGGAATCGCAGTGGCCATGATGGTCTGGTCAAGAGCAGCAACAAACATCGAGAGCTGCATTGATCCCGGGTTAGCATTGGACTCATTTTGGTTTGGGGTGGTTCATATTACCGCGAGGGCTATCATGATCGCAAAGATCCGAAGCCTGCCCCGCTGCTGGGACGGAGCCTCGAGAATTTCCATTTCTGAGGCCATTCTCGCTCGGTACCTGGCTGATGTATAGTGACCAGGCAAAGGAAGAGGAATAGACGCTTGAAAATCTTTTTTGTCCTCGGCTCCCCCGCTAAGCGTCAGATAGCGGTGGGGCCCGCCATCGCCCGATCTCTCGGATGGACTAGCCAACAGTATACGGCAACTGGGGGGTGAGTCACACCTGAAGGAGGAGTGATTGGTTATTTCTGTCAGTGACGAGTGAAAACGCCATCCTCCGGGCGAACTTTCTATCAGTCGTGCCTCAATAGTCGGTGAGGTTTCTCGGCTATGAATATTCCTGTGATGATATAGGGAAGGGCTTTTTTGAGTTCTAGTCCACTCTGGTGGAATACGTGCTAGCCTTATTCTTGAGGGTCCGCCCTTGTGGAATACTTGAGGCTGCTTTTACTACTAGTATAAGCCCCGTTCTTCAATCTTCCTAATCTCTATTTACAAAGCACCAGGACTAAACTTTTGGCACTTTCCTTCTAGACCGTGCAGTGCGGAGAGTATGTATGCTATGTGGTCCTCCCTGTCAGTAGACGTCATTATCATACGTCTTTCGCACCGGTTCAACCTGGGTGTTCCTTTCTCTACCTCTGGGACTGGCAGGCTAAATATCCAATGGCTGCACATCCTTGCAATGACTGAGGGCTAGGTGGTGCAAGTCGAAGATGGGCAGGATCAGCTCGTCAAATATCTAGCAATCCAAATCCAGCCTCAAACCTAGGGTGCATAATCGAAAAGAACACCCTCGAGTCAAGACTTTGCAGATCTGCCCGGGGCAGCGGTCGCCTGGAAATGGCGGCTACTTGCTGAGACTCTTCATTCGTGTCACTTCACTTATCGTGAGGCTTTATAGCAAAGTGTTGAACGCTCAGGATATCAAAACTAGGTGATACCATATGCCGACCAGATCATTGAAGCAGCAGAGGTTCGGAGTTACGAGAAAGGCGATTCCTGGTACCAAAGTGTTGCGTACGTCCTTTTCATCACAAGGTATGTGGAAGTGACAATCGTTTACGCAGAAAAGCCATTAGGGCTCGACTCGAATGACCTCGACACCCCACACCAAGAAATTGCTATTTCTTTATTCAATAAAAGGCCAGCCTATTGCCATTGAGTCATCTTTGCAGCTGGATAATATGCACGGAAAGTTCCCCATGACGTTTGATCGTCAGGAAATTTTGATCGTGTCCAGATCTAAGCTCATGACGATCGATCGATCGAAGCGGGTAACCAGCTCAACCAACCATCGCCGGTTCTATCCAGATCAACCAAATGCGTTCTTGACGTCATGCATTCCTCGAGTTCAACGGACTCGAGCAGCCATAAGCCCAGAATATCTAAAATATCTAAGCTTCGAATGTACCCTTCCCCCCAGACCCTCTGATGCTAATCCAGTCGAACCCCCCAATTCCCCACCATGAAGCCCAATAAAGATCCCATCGTCCTCTACTGGCATCGTACAGACCTCCGCCTGCACGACTCCCCAGCCCTGCACGCGGCCCTCGCCCTAAACCCAGCAGCATTCATCCCCATCTGGACCTGGGACCCGCATTACGTCTACCGATCGCGCGTGGGCCCAAATCGATGGCGCTTCCTCCTCGAATGCCAGCGCGACCTCTCCGATTCCTACACACAGCTCAACAGCAAGCAGAAGCTGTGGGTCGTGCGGGAGGCGCCGCAGACGGTCCTCCCGAAGCTCTGGGCGCGGTGGGGCGTCACGCACCTTGTCTTTGAGAAAGACACGGACGCCTACGCGCGCGAGCGTGACGAGGCTATCATCCAATTAGCCGAGAAGGCCGGCGTGGAAGTGATCGTCCGGCAGGGCCGGAATCTGTTTGATCCGGATGAACTGGTCCGTCAGAACCGGGGCAAGGCGACGATGAGCATAGCGCAGGTGGAGAAGGCGGCGCAGAAGATCGGGGATGGGAATCCTGACCGGCCGCTCGATACGCCGGGCAGTGTGCCTGATCCGCTGGGGGAGGCAGAGATGAAGCTCGACGGAGTGGAACAGGGGACCGTAGCCGCGAGGCCGGATTTCAACGCGGAGTACCGGTCGTCGAAGGATGAACAGTATTCGCAGATCATGGGGCCGAAGAATGATTTTGGGGTTCCGACGCTGAAGGAGATTGGGATTGCGGAGGAAAAGATTACTTCGCCACATCGAGGGGGCGAGAGGCAGGCGTTAGAGCAGCTGCGTCGGTGTATTGAGGACGACGAGTATGTGGGACGCTTTCAGAAGCCGAATACTTCGCCTGCGGACTTTGAGCCGCAGTCGACGACGCTGCTGTCGCCGCATCTGCATTTTGGGTCGCTTTCTGTGCGCAAATTCTGGTGGGATGTGCAGGATGTATTGGCGAAACGCAGGAAGGAGAAGAAAGAGACTTCTTCCATCCCGACGAATTTGCCCGGTCAACTGCTATTTCGAGATATGTACTTTGGGGCGCAGGCAGCGGTTGGCCATGCTTTTGCGAGAACATACGGGGAATCCTATTGTTCGGTTCGTTGATTGGCATCTGCAGACGAAGAAGCCGGAGCAGGTTGATCAGATCACCAGCGGCGAGAAGAACAAAGCAGACGATGGTAAGCTATACGAGGTTGACTCGCCCCAGGCGGAGGAGTGGTTCATCCGCTGGAGAGAAGGCCAGACTGGATTTCCGTGGATCGACGCCCTCATGCGTCAGCTGAAGCAAGAGGGTTGGATCCATCATCTGGGGCGACATAGCGTTGCATGTTTTCTCACACGGGGTGGGTGTTATGTGAGCTGGGAACGTGGTGCTGAAGTATTCGAAGAGCTGTTGATTGATCGTGAGTGCCCACTGCATCTGCTGGGAGGATCCAGCTTATTCTCCCACTTCACCAGCCCCCAGTCATGTGCTGACACTCCTAGATGAAACTGCATGCAATATCGGAAACTGGATGTGGCTGTCGTGCACGGCGTTCTTTGCCCAGTTCTACCGTTGTTACTCGCCTGTTGCGTTTGGCAAGAAGTGGGATCCAGAGGGAGATTTCGTGCGCCGGTATTGCCCGGAGCTGAGCAAGTTTGACAAGAAGTACATCTACGAGCCCTGGAAGGCGCCGATCCAAGACCAGAAGAAATGGGGCTGCAGGGTCACGGGCGACGGGAGCGAAGCCAAGTCCGAAGCAGGTCAAGTATATCCGAAACCAATGTTTGATTTTGATGAACGGAGACAGATTTGCATCGATGGGATCAAAGCCGCATACGATGCCAAACTATACGGTAATACGGAGAGTGTGCTTGACGGAACATGGGAGGAGGCGTTCAGAGAGGGTGCCGAAAACCCTAAAAAGAAGCAAAAGACTTGAGCAAGACGGTTGATGACTGCTACCTATCTACATCCTAGTACAGCTTACAATAGAAGGAGAAACCCAACCCCGATTTAAATGAACGGGACGTCTGATTTGCTGATTTGAAAGAAATAACAGTAGGTATATATATCAATGTCAAGACTCATAGATCGGTTACTGCATATGAACAGACCCTGTGAAAACTCGTAATCATAACTCCAGATGCATATGTGTACATTACAAGGATAGCCGGTAAAGAGGTCGGCTAGAAGAAGAAAGAGTAGACGAAGACCAGTACGGTGACCACCGTGGCCAAGGTGTACTCCAGCTCGAACCAAGCGGCTTGACCACCAAAAGCGATCTTCTTGCTCTTGTTCGTCGGGTGAGCAACGCCGGTCTTGGGGTCCCGAGTGAGCAGATCCTCGCGTGGGGGCATTGACGGCGGGTCGATAGCGTAGGAGACAGGGGTCCACAGTGAGGTAACGATGAAAAGGAAAGTGACCGGAGGCCAAAATGCATGGGTGATCAAACAGATGATGGTGTCCTTGAAACCGCTAGAAATGGCGAAGCAACGGTAGCTGGAGATGACCACCGCGATTAATGTGACATAAACGAAGGCAAAATGGAACAGACCCATGTAGTTAAACAGGATGACACGGAGACGAACAAACAGGTTCCTCCGGGTTTGGGGATCACGCTCGTTCAAGGCGGAGCCTAGAGAACCCGTGGGCTTGAATGCTTGGGTTTGACCACCCAGCCACTTGGGAAGGATAAAAGATCGGACGATACAGAGGGCAATATACGGCGACATCCAGAGCTGGTATCGGGAGCCACGCTGGCCGGTGTGATATCCAGCAGGAATGAAGAGGGCAAATTCGCAGAGGCGGTTCATCAGGGTGGTCGCAAAACACGCCCAGATGAGCCAGTGAAGCTGGTCATCGTTGGCATACGCAACTAGTTGCTTTTGCCACAGAAGAATGATGGGGATAGCAAACAGAGAAGCAGTGAGCAGAAGGGTATATAGACTCAGCGTCGCATAGAGGAAACCAGAGAAACGCTGGGCAAAGCTCATGAGTCGCACGCTATCACCCCAGAGACAGAACTTGAGCTTGAACGCAGTATCAACCGTTCCAATAGCCCAGCGAGTCCGCTGCTTCAAATGACCACCATAGTCCTCGGGCACCGTACCAAATTGGAGCGGCTCGTGGACATAGGCAGTCTTCCAACCCTTACCAAGCATCAAAGTCGACGTTGCAACATCTTCTGCCAAGGAACCCAAGGGAAAGTTGCCAATTTCTTCGAGAGCTTCGCGTCGAACCACGTAGCCGGAACCGGTACACCAAGCCACGCCAAGAGCATCCTTGATTGGCTCAATGACATGTACGAAGAAGTCAAGACTCTGGGCGAGAGGATCAGACGCAGGGGCATTGTAGAAGAGCTGCGGGGGACACGCAAGGGCCATTTTGGGGTCCACCAACAAGTGGGGAAGCACAGCGCGCAGCCAATCTTGCTCGGGAATCTGGTAGAGGGGGGAGGGTTAGATTCAAAGACCCCCGCGGATTTCAGTCTTGGCGAACTTGAACTCACCATGTCGGCATCTAAAGCGGCCATGAATTGGCCAGCTCCCGCAGGAAGCAGAGTGACTTGTTCCAGACCATAGTTGAGGTTACCCGCCTTGAAGTGGTGAGGCTTGCCGGGAATTTTCTCTCGGGCCATGTAGTACAGGTTGGGCGCATTGACTGTCATCTGGTTGACGGCCGCTTCCAAGGAAGACGACTTTCCATCGTCGAGAACGATGACTCGGAACCGGTCGGTTGGATAATCCTGATCCAGCGCCCCTCGGACGGTGTCGAGGACAACTTCGTCTTCCTCTCCGCAGCACGTCACGAAGACGTCCACGGTCGGACAATCGTTTCCGGTCAAGCGCAGCCTGGGGCGGCCTCGCTTCTTCAACGCCATCATTGTCCAGCAGTTGTGCATCAAAGACGGGATCATCACCGCGATTTCGATGGCGACAAAGACCCAGGCCCCCGCGAAATTAGTATGGGCCTTGTTCTGAGCGCTAATAATACAATAGATACGTAGAGCCAAGTACAAGAGGTAAATCGCCGTGTTTCCGAACGTCAGGAATGGCGTGAAGAAGAAAATCCAACGCTTCCAGCCTTTCCAGATCTCCGCATCGTCGCGATCGTTGAGACGGGCAATGGAGCCAGACTGAACCCAGTCCTTGGCGAACCCCGGCGAAGCGGATTCCTTGACGAGCGGTGCGAGACTCTGGTGGCTTTGTTGGACGTCCTGGGAGTACTGCAGAGATGCCTGTTAGTGAAGCTCTCGAGAGTGCCAGCCTTCCAGCAAACATACCATTGTTGGCGACGCGGCACGGGAGTCATATGGCGAGTCAGAAAAGGAATCAGGACCACGAGAAGAGCGCGGAGTCTGTGTTGTAAGCCAGCCTGACCCAGTGCTGTAGTCCGGTGGACTGTAGCGCTTTTGTTGTAAACCGGGGCGATATGGGGCCACAGGCTTCGGGGAGGCGGGCGCAGGACTAGCTGGACCGTCTTGAAACGAAAAGTCGAAGGAATTATTCACATTCCGGGGGCTTCTGTACCCATTCAAGTCGACCATCTCCTCCTGTTCGCCATGTGCGAAATAAGCATTCAGGGCTTGTCGAGAGCCATTTTGTTGGCCATTCCCAAGGTATCCGGCCATGATGAATAGGCCCCAAGCTTATTGGCGTGCCCGCGAAGATAAGATTCCAAGATATATAGCTGGAATGTGTTCGAGGGAGGGGGGGGAAGGGGAGAAACTCGAGGGATGGCCCGAGGTAAATCTTCGATCCGAAAGGGTTCAAACGAATGGCAGCCACGAGAGCCGGGTGTGCGATGAAAACGGCGAGAGGGGAAGGATGAAGATGCTCATGCGGGAAACGGATGTTGAGGGGGGGGAAATGACCCATAACACGACCCAAACAACCAATTTTAGACTTACCGGCTACGCGTACGGAGTAGTTCTGTTCTTATCAAAATTGGCACTGATCGGGGTCCAGCATCGAGCCCCAAATGGACCGAAACTGGGAAATTGAGTATGCAAACCGCCAATCGCTGAATGGGTCTGGTCGCGTGTGATACGACGAGCATCTTTGCATGGTCCACCGGGTGGCCGCTAGTGTCTCTGATCCCCCCAGCGCTCCCAATACCACCTGCGAATCACACGCGCTGTTTTCGTCCAGATAGGGCCAACAGCTCCGGGCTTTACGTGCTTTAGTCTGTTCACAGCTGCTTTTTGCCTTGTTTTGAAATAACCGAGCTGAAAACACTAGTTCAGGGACTTCGAGAACGGTCCAAATATGGTGGGCGATCAGTATGTGACGCCGAAAGTATACAGCCGGGGGCTTCCGAGACAAATCGTCGCGCTTCGCGAGCCTGTTTTCGATCTGTCTGATTCTTGAACTTTCTTCGATACCCAGTTTTTCAATTTTTTTTGGGTTTTGTTTTCGAAATCGAGGCCCGTGGCGAAAACGGTCTAAAAGGAACTTGTCTCAGTCTCTCTCCACCGCCATCCCCGACAAGCCGAAGTAGACCCATGGTCATCCCCCCGCCTAATTATAGACTCATGATACATTAAGCTTGTCCATGAAGGCGAACTGAGGATCCCGCGTCTCACTCTGTGGGCATTATGGACCACGATCGGCCGTATTCCGAATTTCTGGCGGGAACAACTAGGGCTGGGAGTATACACAGCCACCAAGCAATTTGGATCGAGTCATGGGGGTGGGGCCTCTTGGCGAAGTGACGCCAGGGGGCGCAAATAACACCGGGACAGATGCAACAGGGTTGCCTATCAGTGCGTGGCGCCAGGAACCAAAGCAGATTGAAGAGTTGAACTACGGAAACAGGACTTGGGGACCCGCTATTGGCTTGATTGCAAACAAACAGTGGACCGAAAGTGGAAATTCCCGCTTTAGTACCTGCCGCTAAACCCTATCCGGAAATGGGCTTTTATTTGCTGGAGAAAAGTATGTGGGTGGGTCCTGCTCTGGGACCTGATTCATCTGGTCCAATCAACCCTGTTTTGCTCCGATAAGACTGCCCACGATTGGTTCTGGTCCTTTTTTTATCCTCTGGGGAGGGTTGCTTGTCTTAGTCGGGGGGGGTTGTCGTCCATTTTGATCGCTCGCTGCACGCCCTTTGTCCTTCATCAACCACCATGGCTTTCCGTTTACTCGTGAACACGAGTCTCCTGGCCATCCCCATTGGGGGCGCCATCGGCACATTGCTGGGAATCGATGCCTCGAGATCTGCCGCTGGCAAGCCTCCTCTGTTCACCGGCGACTCCAATTCGAACGTTGGGAGCGGAGGGAGCGGAGGGGGCAGCTCGGGCGGCGGTGACAGCACCGGCGGCGGCTCAGGAGGCCATGGTACCACCACCAATGACGGTGTCACCAATACCGAATACTGCTATAAGGCCTATGGCATCTCGCCGCCCTCTGATGGCAATCACTACACTCGTAAGTCTTCAGAGATCTCGAGAGGCCCATAGATCTTCCGAGGTCCCCATGCGATATGACTTCGCGATCGGCACGCTTGGGGAGATCTCCCGATCGCTGAAACATCCCACTAACATATCGCAGTGAACCCCAATCAATGGGGCGTGACTGGCGACACTACTCCGACTTCCTTCCTTTGCATGAATGTGAGTTTCAGTTACAAAAGCCCGCGATCGCAAATCGTGTCGCGGTAACCCTTCGAAAGTCTCGACAGGGTTTCACTAACTTGTGTCTCGTTCGCCAGGTCACAACCTTCAACAATGAAACATACGCGACAAAACAAACCGCGCCCGCCTTTTCTGCGACTTGGCAATATCCTCAGGGCCCTGAAACCCAGCCTGTGCATGCTTATCCGAATATCAATCTCGACGATGTCGTGCCGGTATCTCTGGACAGCGTGCAGGAAATCAACCTCGATTTCACCTGGACATACAACGTCGGGAACACGCCTGCGCTAACCTCGCCCCCTGGTCTGCTCGAAAATGACAACCCGCAAGACTTGGTTACCAATGTTGCCTTCGATATGTTCTTCGATGCCGACAAGCAGACGGCAACCAACAGTTCCACGGCCAAGCACGAAGTCATGGTCTGGTTTGCTATGATTGGTCTGGGTGCCCAGCCCATTGCATACAACAATAACCACCCAACGCATACAATGGAGGTGGACGGCGTTGAATTGTAAGTGTCCACAAAAATCCTCCTACTCCAACCTCCCATTAATCATAAACCGCACAGTGACCTATTCGCTGGAACCAACGGCGAAGGCCAGAACGTCTTCACATGGAAGACCAGCACTAACAGGGAAAACTTTACTGGCGACATTTATCCATTGATCGAATATCTGTACGAACAGGACGGTGACAAATATCCTTCCAAGACGGACTACATGGGCGTCTTCCAGTTCGGCTCTGAGGCCTATTCTGCCTCCGATAATGTTACATTCTCAGTGCCAAAGCTGACCATTGACATCAAGACTTGATAGAGCAAATCCCTGTACATAATTTTCTTTTTTACGAGAGCGGGTCCTTAATGAACATATGCACTTATTCCGCATCACTATTACCGAGAGTGGACTATCCAATTGGCCAGACCTACCAGGTGGCAAGCACACTCTTCGCCCGCCGGCCACGGAGTCTTCTGTATAACGGTATTAATTCCAAAAAAGAACTGAAATATATAGAGTTTCCGAACCATTTCCCATCTACCCGAGATCATCCTCCTGCATCCTGCGGAGGCCGCCTCATCGTCATCACCATCACACAAGTTGCCACGGAAACCATGATGTCCGTGTACACCGCCTAACAGTCATCCCAGCTTCGCCCTCCAAAACCAGAGGTCGCGGCAATCCAACGGCTATCTTCCTAGGCGCTGACTCGCTCAGCAGGGCAGACATGCAGGCCCTGGTGGCCCAATCCGCCTACTAATGCGGCTGCGTCCTGCAGGACGAGAAGCCGACACACATCACGATGCGCTACGGAGCACGGGATGGAGATGTGCGGGCCGTCATCTGCGCGGTCTAGAAGATGCATCAGCTGGGGTTGTTGCCTTGGTGACGCAGAGAGGCTGCTTATCTTGACCAAGTCAAGTCAGGAAATGTCGTGGCGTGGGTTGTTGTGAGCGAGGACGGGGAGCCATCTATGAGGGTCTCGCCGCCAGAGGGAGAGGTGGAGGGGCTACGGCAGGGCCCGGTCGAAGATAATTAATTAGGTCTCTACGGGGCTTTATAATCAAAAATGCGGTATGATAGACGTAAGCGCCCACGGTGCCACTTGGGAAGCCAGCGCCTCAGGCAGGCGCGATGCAGAAGGAAGGCTAACGTATCAACTTGGATCAAGCCATCCAGCGAATATCAAGGGCGCTTCACGTTAAGTTTGGACTTCATGATAATGACAGACATGAGAAAACCTGTCATAAGTAACGATTTTCTCAATTTCCAGTTCCGCGAGCTCTGTTAGATCAGCTTATTGCGGAGAATTACGTTGTTCCCCTGCAAATACCATCATTATGGACAAATCTATCATGTTCGAATGCCAGTGTGCTTCGGTTTCAGGCATGACAAGTCCGTCAATCGGAATGGGTGAGGTGCTAAAGCTGGGGCCAGGTTGGGGAGGATCTTCGTTGCATCGATGTAAGGCCGGGCATAAAGGACCCGGAGAAGGTCGTAGTACGTAGCACCTAAAACTCCGAGTCGAGATTATGGATTCCGGACTTAGCGCAGTGTATACGCCCACGGTCATAGAGGAGAACCTCACTTTATAGGGGTTGGGCTCATTCCCCAAATTGGCTGTGGTGTGAAGGCCATATATCTTCGCAAAAAGTGGACTTAATACTAGTCTTATTTGAAAGACCAAAGGTTCAGATTGTTGTGAAAGCGCACAGTCCGGAAGCCCAAGCACTTCTAGTTGGCATTAAGAAGATCAATTCCAGTTGATTATGGGCAGAATATTATATCATGCTTCAAAGGTCCCTTGCTGCAGATCGGGGGCTAAAATTGATACTTTTTACCTGGATCCCCAAACTTGGGGGCTTCTTAGTCTACTGAGAAGCGGGGGTTGAAGGCCTCTGATTACGAGTAGATCTTACGACCTCCCATGACCGTGAAAGGCCCTTCAGTTATAGATGCAAGGCCACCCAGATCATAATTCAACTAGTTGATTAATATTCGTCAAGAATGAAGTGGATTACGAAGTCTTTCATTGGTGCATAGACGGATGACATTCCGTGCGAATCTACCGAGTAGTTCCAGATACAGAAATCCATTGTTTAGCTCCTATAAGCTCTGTAAAGTAATCAACGTGACGTTATTGGCTGGTCAATTATTCCGAAGGTTCGTTCCACATCTCTGCCCAAGAGTCCCTGCAGAAGTTTGATCGGCTTCTTTCCTGCGCCGAACCCGCACGAGTATTTATGGGAAAACTTGATCACTGGTCATTGGGTCACTAGTTTTGCAGTGACCTTATGAGACTACAGATCCTATATCATACCCTTTGATGGCCCTGAAGCACCCTGCGAAATTCTCTCGAACATGGGCGCCGAAACGCTAACCACTCCCGTCTTAGCATGCTGATCCTGAAGAGTTGACGCCCGGGCCTATACGAAGCTTCATGGCTATAGGCAGCTCAATTCAAAGCGACGCTGACGAGTACTGATTACGACTGCGCCTATAAGGAGAATGAAAAGCCGGCCCTGCCTCTCTCCCCAGTCTTGAATCTCATCGATATTCACTATGAAACTCTCCGCAGTGATTGCTACCCTGCTTGCTTTTGTGGCTTTTACAGTGGCAACAAAAGGAAAGCAACCATCCTGGAAATGGACTTGCAGTCGAGGTAAGAAAATTTCCAAGCTCGCTACTGGGAACTCGCTCATATAAGTTGGACTTAGAATATGGCACCTGCATGGAACAGTCAGACTGCTGCACAAATTTGATATGTCTACCTGATGTCTATTCAACAGGCCATGGGATGTGTGTCCTGCCAGTATAGCAAAAGACGCCAGAACATACACGACAGATACGACAAGAAGCACTAAATTGATTAAGAAGAAGGCGTTTCATTTGCACATCTCATTTGAGATCTTATGGGCACCAGGCGTTCACGTTTGCCAACATCAGAGCAGCATTTACATTTGATTCGAGACTCAGCCACCATGTCAACGCAACCGGGTATACGTGAAAAGGTATGCAGGTTATTGTGAAGATGGCCCCAGGCGATGACAAATAACCTTCGTACGTGATACTCATTCTAGCAGGTCAATGCAATCCAAGTGGGGCGCTGTACGCGTTGGAGGTCGCTCTGCCGCAACGCCAAGAACTCAGCCTTGAAGGACTCGTAATGCCCTTGTGCAGCGTCGCTATGTGTCCAGCAATGGGCAGTCACAGTCTGCTGCGATCGGTGATGGAGGATCATGGAACAGCCTGTAATCGACTACGGATCAACCCTTATGAAGGAAAAAATCTACACTCTTGAATGTTCTTACCCAGAAGAATCGGTCAAAACTTAGCCCAGGACTTCGATACCGACGAATATTGATCCATTAATAGTCGTAGATCGGTCATGACATTTTTAGTTGGGTCAGAAGCTTAAAAAATATCCCGGTCGTTCTCTTGGGGTACTGCCGCTCTGAATTCGACTTTGCAGGCCCCATCCACTCATGAATATTCATAATATTCCCAGTCCCGTTTAAACATGAATATGTAGCATTGAAGATACTTGAGCTCTAGATGAGCTATTAATAGATGGCGTCAATCGAAAGATTGCCATAATGCGACCTCCTTGTTACTAGTCTGAGGACCACTATATATCTGCTTCAGCTCAAGTTGTACTAGTCCAGCGGGCCTTGGGAAAACTTCTACCGGCAGGACGTGTAATTCTTTGACCAGTAGCCTAAGCTCATCTCAAGATGGGAATTAATTTGTGACGAGTGTTCCTGTAATTTCCGTTGTTCCCAGAATCATTGCGCAGGAATGGTACTGACCATTGCCGCAAGGCTGCGGCTATCGCTGCCGCCAATAGAGGCTAGAGAGATCAACTAATAGCGCAAGATGGTTTTGCAAACATGATCAGACGATCATGCCGCTTTCGTTGTATGTAAATTTCCTCTTCAATAGACCTCTACGCCAAAAATGCAATGGAGCAACCCTGCCTTTCTATGTCAAACTTAAACTGAACCAACCAAAAGGTCGATCTTGACTCAGCGTGCTTATTTACACCGCCAGGCCCCTCCGTACTGCCCTGATTGGATCAATGCTGAAGAAGGTAATATTGGTCGGCTGATCTGACATACATCAGACCCACAAGCTGTGGGACAGACACAGAAGGAGGAGGCCTGAGAAGTCCAAAGCTTACGCGAAAAAAAATTAGTGGGGAGTGAAGTAAACGGCCCGCTATCAACCTTCATCCCAAACGTCACCCATTCCACCCCAGAGACGCACCACGGCCGCCATCAAGATGGCGAACATGTCCGCACAAGAAGTTATCGCGACTTTGGGCCTTACGCCCCACCCCGAGAAGGGTTATTATGTCGAGACGTTTCGAGACACCGTCGCACCAGGCTCCCGCGCACACAGCACATGCATCTACTATCTTCTCGAAGGAGAGGCGGGCTTGTCGCACTGGCACCGAGTGATGGATGCGGTAGAAACATGGCATTACTATGCCGGAGCTCCGATGCAGCTCTCGCTGTCTTGGGATGATGGGACGCCGACTCGAGACTTCATTCTCGGCATCGACCTCGCTAAGGTAAGTACGACCGATTATACATCACCACCTCTTGACCTTATTCTGTACCCTGACTTCACCAAATAGGGGCAGCGGCCCCAGGCTACGGTTGCACGCAAAGAATGGCAGCATGCTAAGAGCTTGGGAGACTGGACGCTGGTAGGTTGTACAGTGGCGCCTGCTTTCCAGTTCGATTCCTTTGAGATGGCTAAGCCTGGCTGGGAACCTCGAGTATCCGAATCGAAATAAGCTCCCAAGTACTTACATGGATTCTGAGGTTTATTGATGTTCCTGTGTCTTACCATGATGGGAACAGCTAGCGTTGTGCACCAAGGAAGAGAATCATGATAGGATCTCATCGCTGAAAGAACAATTGATTTATCCTTCGCTTATTCCTTCCACTTCTCATAGTACGGTGCTGCTTCTATGCTACACCTTCTATCATCTTGCTTTAACAAGCGGGCTCGGACCGCCACGGATATGACCATCTCAAAGCCGCTAGCTACTTTATATCTTCTCCTGGCACCCTTGTCGGACGAAAAGGTTCAATTCCATTGACAGATGAAGGAAATTTACAAACACTGGCTACGAGTTTGTTCATGGATCGGGGGTCTCAAAAAGGATCAGATGCTCACTATACACAGGGTTTATGAAGGTCGAAGGGAAAAGAGAGAGACAAGCGCAACAGGCAGACATAATAGAACAACGCCATGGGAGAAAACATGGGGAAATTGGTACACCTCCGTAAGTATTTAGGGGTCCAAGAATGATCACATAGAATCTTGCCTATATGATGCTTAACCCCCGGCTCAAAGCCGTCTAGAAAAGTGGGGATCATCGAAAGTCTTCTTCCTTTCTTTTTTGAAGGATTTGTGGATCGTTGCGTTGCAGGGGGGTTTTACCGGTCAACCTCACCGAACACCAAATCCATAGTACCTAGAAAAGTCCAACATTAGCAACTTTGATGTATCAATTGGGACGCAGCATTACTTACCGATGATAGCGACGGCATCAGCCAGAAGGTGACCACGAGAAACTTGGTCGAAACCACCCAAGTGGGCGAACCCAGGAGCACGGATCTTGCAACGGTAAGGGCGCTCACTGCCATCACTGACAAGGTAGACACCCATTTCACCCTTAGGAGCCTCGATAGCGGAGTAAGTGTCGCCGGGGGGCACTGAGTAACCCTTGGTGAAGAGGAGGAAGTGGTGAATAAGAGCCTCCATGTTCTCCTTCATGGCGGCACGGGGAGGGGGTGAGATCTTGTAGTCCTCAACGCGAACGGGGCCAGCCGGCATCTTGTTCAAGCACTGGTGAATGATACGGAGAGACTGACGGAACTCCTCCATACGGCAAAGGTAACGATCGTAGCAGTCACCGTTGATACCGACGGGAACATCGAACTCGACCTGGTCGTAGGCATCATATGGCTGCGACTTGCGGATATCCCATGGCACACCGGATCCACGGAGCATGACACCGGTGAAACTCATGTTCAGCGCATCAGCAGCGTTGACAACACCGACACCCTGGGTACGGGCCTTCCAGATACGGTTGTCCGTGAGCAACTCCTCGGTTTCGTCGATGCGGTCACCGAACTGAGTAGCCCACTGGTAGATGTCATCCAGGAGACCAAGGGGCAGATCCTGCGAGACACCGCCGGGGCGAACGTAGGCGGCATGGAGACGGGCTCCGGAAACTCGTTCGTAGAATTCCTGTAACATAGCAAGAGCACTCGGTCAGCTAACCAACGGGTTTCCTAAAGAAATTGCATCCAAATACGCACCATGAGCTTCTCACGCTCTTCGAATCCCCACAAGAATGGAGTCAGCGCACCAACATCCATGGCGTGGGAGAGCACGGACATGAGATGGTTCAAAATACGGGTCATCTCGCCGAACATCGTCCGAATCCATTTGGCACGGTCAGGAATCTCCACATTCAAGAGCTTCTCGACAGCCAGAGCAAAACATTGCTCGTTGGTCATCATGGAGACATAGTCCAATCGATCGAAGTAAGGCAGAGCTTGCATGTAGGTCTTGTACTCGATCAACTTCTCGGTACCACGGTGCAGAAGACCGACATGGGGATCCGCGCGGACAATCTCTTCGCCATTAAGCTCCAGAATCAGACGAAGCACACCGTGAGCAGCGGGATGTTGAGGACCGAAGTTGACGGTGTAGTGGCGGATCTTACGGTCGATACCTTCGGCTTCGGATTCCAGACCAGGAGCATCGGGGTCTTCGGGCAGGCCCTTGTTGGCAAAGGAGGTGAAGGTCGGGTCGGTCGGAATCAGCCGTGTGGCCTGGTAGCTGGTCGCTTCGGCCTGCCTACGAGGCACAGTAGTAGCAATTGAGCGGGAGCGAGGCACAGATGTGTTCAGGAAGTGGGAGGGGCGGAGACAGAGCCTTTTGGGACCATTGCCCGCCAGGCGGGCGAAGGATGCGGCCATGGGGGGAGAAAGAGAGGAGAGAGGTCCAAGGGAGTGAGAGAGCAAGATGGGCCTCAATCCAGGCACATCCAATGGCTTCAAGGTGGAGAATAGGCTCGCTGCGAGAAAAGGACGCACTGGAGTCCAGGAAGATGAGGTCGCGATCCATTTCGGCAAGGTCACGTGTGGAGCTGCCGGGTCATCAGCTGCATGCTGGTTGGCTGGAATGGCCATCTATAATGCACCAACGAAACTGTGGTCTAGACCAAATTAGGCTTAGTGGACAGTCTCTGTCACCAAAACTTCCTACTAGTGCTACGCAGAATAGATGCCCTACTTTTCTGCCTCAGGCTTCGAGAAAAAAGACCCCAAGAAATTATTCTTATCGCTGGTCATTCTAAATTTCACCTCCCATCGATCTCCTCCACCCACCCACCATGGCGCCTCTTGTTCCGTCGCAGGAGGAGCTGCAGCGTCGCCGTGTTAGTCCCATGACAGCCACCTAGTGAAATTGCTCCAGCCGCTAATATACCACAGATCATCGGCATCAACGCAGAAACTGTCACCAACATCCCCTCCACGGACTTTCCCGGTCACTGGCCTGGAGAATCGCATAGCTGGGCACTCGACAAATTTAAGAACGTATGTCCCCGAAAGATCTATCCCAGCAAATATTTGAAAGCTATATATGGACAAATTTCTCACAAAGATTTATAGGGCTTCAATGTCGAATTTCACCGCAATGACCCATATGAAGCCTCGTTCTCCCTCATCGGACTGGACGCTGCTGTCGCTAATGCCTTCCGCCGAATCCTTATGGCCGAGATCCCTACCCTGGCTATTGAATATGTTTTCGTGCACAACAACACCTCCGTCATCCAAGATGAGGTCCTCGCTCAGCGTCTAGGTCTAATCCCACTGAAGGGCTCCGTAGAGGGAATCAATTGGATGCAGTGGTTCCGCAAAGAAAGCGAAGAAGATGATGGGACTCCAGCCGATACCCCTAGTGATTTCAATACGGTCGTGATGCACCTTGACGTGGAGTGCACCATCAATGCCGATGCCGAGCCGGGCGAGCAAGACCCACGCAAACTTTACCACAACGCTCACGTTTATGCAAAGGACCTTACCTTCCACGCCGTTGGTCGTCAAGAAGAATATTTCGCTGGAGATGGAGCTATCCAACCCGTCAACCCCGACATCCTTATTGCAAAGCTCCGTCCCGGACAGGTCATTCAACTGGAAATGCACTGTATCAAGGGTATCGGAGCCGATCATGCCAAGTTCTCCCCTGTTGCTACTGCCAGCTACCGTCTTCTTCCAGATATTAAGATTGAGCGCCCGATTATCGGCGAAGATGCGAAAAAGTTTGCCAAGTGCTTCCCCAAGGGCGTGATTACTCTTGAACCTGTCACTTCTGCTGAGGCTTCGCGCCCTGGGAGTGGATACGAGGGACACGCTGGTGAGCTGAAAGCTGTGGTACGGGATGCATTCAATGACACCGTTAGCCGAGAGTGTCTGCGTCACGAGGAGTTCCAGGGCAAGGTTAAGCTTGGCCGTGTGCGGGACCACTTCATTTTCAATGTGGAGAGCACAGGCCAGTTTGAGAGTGATGTTCTCTTCTTGGAAGCTGTCAAGGTTCTGAAGTTGAAGTGTGCGCGGTGGAAGCGTGGCCTGAGCGATCTCATGGCCTAAAGGTCTTGATTGTCTCATGCGACCCCATATATAATGCATTTATAGGCGTTGGCATGTTATCTTCTTACGTTGTTTGCGTTGTACAGTTATGAAAAAAGTTTGGTCCTAAAAGTTGGCTTCGAGGCCGGAGTCTGGATATTGTTCGTTTCTAGAACGGGGGCCTGGTAGCTATGTTAGGGGAATTCCAGAGTTGGTGGAACCTTCACCATCAGTATCCATTCTATATGGTAAAGAGTCCAGCAAATTTCATAGTTATTTATTTAAAATTCAGTCGGTAACGGAAATCGATAGTGTATGCCGGATCAGTGACTGCGATTTCTTGGCCGTCCTCCAGAAGTTCATGAAGCTTCAGTTGCAGGTTTGGTCGTGTATGCTCCTCCAACTGGGGCGGAAAGCGTTGGTAAAGAGTCTTTTCCTCCGTTCGCATACTGGGTTTTTTCAGCTGCGCCTCCGCTTTCTCGCCAAGACTTTCGATGAACTCGCCCAGTGTGATATTCGGATCCACGTCCATTTTGCGAGCAAGGTTGCCGCAGACAGGGCAATCCGGCTTCTTCTCCGCCTCGAATGTGTAGGTGTAGACGCCCTCTTCACCTGCATACATCATGTAATTTTCAAGGTAAGGGTTGCAGCCAGTTACGATTTTCAGCACCTCTGACGTCGTGGCTGCTGCGATCACGGCATTAGTGGATGCAATTGCTGGAATGATGTTCTTCACCACTCCCTGTGTCATCTGAAAAGTCACACCGTGGATGTGGAATTGCTGTGCTCGTTCCACGGCGGCATTGTACACCCACGAGATATGCTCCATGTCATCGCTATCAAAGGTGTCGTCCTTACGCTTCTCTTGCCATGCGATTTGGTGAGCCCACTCAATGCAGTGCTGAGGCTGTCGAGGGATGGTAGCAATCGTGCACAGTGGTACAGCAGGCCGAGGAGCATGCATATCGAGCTGGCACTCAATACACGAAGTGAGTGTAGGTAAAATGACCCTAGCTTGACCCTTAAAGCCTGTTTGAAGAGTCAGCCTGGATTTCGATTGGAACCGGACAAATCCGTTTGTATGATTGCAAACCTTCAGTCCCGCCATCAACCAGAGGCTTCAGGCTTTCCGGATCCTCCATGTCAACCATGGCTATCAGAGTGGAGTTGATCCATCGTCGAGCCTCAATGCTATCTAAGCCACAGACGACTATCTTGAATTGCATGTAATAATCTTCATCCTTGTCTTGGATCTTCCCCACATAAGGAGTGATTTTGACGCCCTTGACTCGCTTTTCAACGAATGCGGCAGCTACTTCAGCTTTGGGCTTACCGATGTCGGATTGACGGAAAAGGAACTGTCTGTTGAGATTCGAGATGTCGATGGTGTCTAAAGACATGTCAGCCGTTGTTTCGGTATCAATAAACGGAGGTGAAACTTCTCACCCATGTCAATAACATGAATGTTTTTGAAACCTGACAGTGCCAGGTTCTTCAAAATTTCACAGCCTAAGCCACCGGCGCCGCTGCGGATAGATTAATCGACGGTGTTTCATTTGCGGTGGCTCATCGTGAACTCACATCACCCTAGAGTAGTCGTTAGTGACAGTTCTTTTCATTTCAGTACATAGGTTTTCTCACAGTATTTTCTCTTCCAATTCCTTAATTGGCATCGCGCCAGGCTCCCAGTCCGGGTCAGTGAAAGGGCCAGGCCTGGACAGGACATTGTGAATGGCTGCCCTGGTTCATGTTAACATTTGAGTTTCCGCAACTGCTGATCATCGTGTTACCATCTATGCTGCTGCTGGCTGTCAGGGCGTGTGTCCATCTTTTTATAGTATGAAAAGCTCGATAGAGTATCAAAATTGATAGATGGGCCCGCGGGTTGACTGGATTAGACTTCCTTCCGGATATTCTCTCAAACGAGGTTCCGGGGGGCAGGTTGGGTGATTTGAAAACTGCAGCTACAGCCCAAAAGTGAGATCGATGTTCTGTATCCCGGAATAATCACGGTCAAGGTTTGAAGTGGAGGAGGAGGGGTGTGCAAGTGGCATCGCGAGTGGTGAGGCCGATATGTCACGTGACTGCCCGCATACAACAATCCACTCAATCCACCAGCTTCCTCTTGTCTTCACCAGCTATCGCCATGGATGATCTGTTGACGGCTGTGAAGACCGTCAAACAGAGCAATGAGCCTTCCTCGGCCACAATTCAGCCAAACAATCGGAATGACGCTGCCATCAAAATCTCCTTCGATTTGGCCGGTGACCTCGCACCTACTCAAATTATAGATTTGCTAAAATCTAGACCTTCTCAGGAGGAGCTGTCTTCTGTGCTCGCAACACTAGATCCATACAATAAATCCAGAAAGCTCAATCTGGATCTCCGAATCCCAGGCCCTGCCACAACTCAGATTCTCCAGGTGTTAGTCAGCACCACTATCCCAGACCACTGGGCACCCCTCAGCGATGGGAAGCATTCGAAAGATGTCAAGTCGAAATCTGCCTTACTCCGCTGCTTGAGCAGCGTGCCTGGGATTGCAGCTCTATTATCGCAGCTCCGTCTCCTCATATCAGCAAGAAACTCGCCTCAGAAAGCCGAGGCGTCAAGTGGTCATGCTACCATTCAAGATTTGCTCTCGGTCACCGCGGCCTTGCTAGAGCCCCAGGATTTTTTGTTTCGCTTGCGCAAAGACATCGAGACACTATATCAAAACCCAACAAGGCAAAAGATTGCGTGGAACGAACTCTTAGCGCTTGTGGCCTCGGGTAAGATCATTTCTGTCGCAGCAGAGGCACTTACCTGCCTCAATGGAGCTCCACCACCTGCTTCTATTATATGGATAAGTGAAGGCCGGTCTTATGCTCCCTGGATTGGGCGTAATATATCTCTTTTCATCTCGCGGCTTGAACCTACTGATGAACCTGGGTTGAACTCAGTAGCATCCTTGACGGAGCGCTCCTTGAGCCTGGGTTATTCATGTGAGTGCTTTGGCCCATTGGTAATGTGTCTGTGCTAATATTCTTAGCTCTTTTGATACCTTCAATCTACTCGCATATCCTGGATGATCCGTCATTTGCACAAGGATTCCGCTTGTTCCTCAGCCATCTCCGGCACTCGGCCCAAGTCACGGTCCTTCAACTTATTCTTGTGAATCTCCCCGTCAAGCATCCTGCTATCCGTGCTTGTGACTATCCTGCAGATCAAAGCGAGTGTAATGATGTTATTTCTGGCATAGCAGCTTTATTGTCCCGCATAATCGGTGATCGTGCCGAGATCAAGCATCAAATAGCAGACTGGCTCACAAAGGGTCAAATCACCGCGACCTTCTCAACCGGAGTATATCGCGGTGTACTGACAATATTCAATACTGGTAAGATCGACATATTCTCTACATATTTCACAACTGACCAGAATTGATAGATGCTCTTCAAAATTTGCTGATGCGTAGCCTTGAGAATTTTGGGGACAAGTTTGCAATTAACCATAACAGCGATCGCGACCATGATGGTGGGTCAGATCATATTTTATATTGCATGATCCAGAACTAACCTCCTACAGCCAATGCTCAGGTCATTCTACTAGCTGCAGGTCGTCTATGCCGCCTTGATTCCTCTCGAGTCAAAGAGGCTGGCCGTTCCAGCGCTTACCTTAACGCCATATCAAACCGAATTGGATCCTCATCAAACCGCGCGCGTTTTATGGGCATGGTCGTTGGAACGGCCATTTCTTCTCTTATTGACGAACCGGGGAATTCCATGAAGTTTGATCTTGATGAAATGAAGAGTGATGAGGCTAAGTGGTACTTAAGCTTGACCAAAATTTTTGATGAAGTCGGGTCGTTCGATTCGATGAAGGCGCTGTCTAATTCGCTACCTTCAAAACCTGCGCCAAAAAAGCCCTCTCAAAAAATTGAGACTCCTTCTAGAGGCTCGCGAATAGTCGAGGTCCCCAGCGAAGATGAGGATGAGGATGAGGAAGAGGAAGACGACGACCTTATCCCGTATGAGAAACCAGATGATGATTTCGAGGATGAGGAAGATGATCCGACTCTTGTTCAGCGAAACAAGCCAACGGCGCCTGTGTAGGTTCCCATTTCGTTCTTTTTCCGTACGTTTTCAACGTCTGACATGTCACTAGATACATCCGTGATTTAATCACATACCTTCGGGATAACGAGAATGTCGAACGTTATCATCTCGCGCTCTCGACTGCACCATCTTTGATACGTCGCAAAACAGGCTTCGGCAGCGAATTAGCAGAACAGGTTGAAGAATTGGCATTGACAATCGTTGGTCTTCAGAATGAAAGCGACTATCCTCAATTCCACGAAGCTCGGCTTCAGAGTATGATCGGTTTGATTGTCTCACAGCCTCAGAAAATGGGACGTTGGTTCACAGCCATCTTTTTCGAAGGAGACCTTTCTCAAGTACAACGATCTGCGGTACTCACAGCCCTCGGCATCAGTGCTCGAGAAATTGCCGGCAATGGAGAAGACGATGCGAAAGCACTGGGTCTCCCTGCCTTGAAGGACACCTCGTTCCCATCCAAACGACTTACCCCCGCACTTGAGGCTATGTTTCAAGATCCCAAAGAATCTCCTGTGGCCGCACTTACTAGAGAAATATCGCGCACGTCGCTTCAGCCACTGGCAGCTGACGCCGCAGATGCTGTCTCTGGTCCGAATGCTCTCAAGGTCCGCACATTCTCATCTCGTATGGACGTTGAGAGGAGGCGTCAAGAGCGTGATGCTCAGCGTCAACGTTCAACAGCCAAGGAATTGCACAAGGTTCTTGCTGAAGGATTTTTCTACCCTCTGGTAAATCGTTTCAATGTAGTCATGCTGCAATTCTCCTCGTAAGCTTCCAGTATTCCCCATCCGTTCAAGCAGGAGTACTTACGTCTCAACCAACAGGTCATCATTCTCATCCTATAACCCATTTACAGTCCCTCATATTCTGACTCTCTTCCTCCAAACCCTATCGCTCATACTTTCCACGTCGGGCCCATACACCACTTTTCTTCCAGGTCTCACCCAGGAAACTCTTTCACTCCTGCTATCTTTACACACCAGTCCTTTCTCCAGTGAGCCAACTGTTTCGGTTGCCCTTCTTACGCTCTTTTTGGCTTTACTTGACTTGAACATCGCCTCTGGCTCCAATGGAGAGGAGCGTTTGGTCACCGAACTTGCTTCGCAGGTCATCGAGCTTCGCGAATGGGCTTCTCAGGTCTTTGATAATACGCCACCAACCTCGAAAGCACCTTTGGCTCCAGGAGGACCTCCTGATCCGCGAGAACAAGTCCGTACTTTAGCTGCTGGGGTCATGGTCCGATTAGGCGAGATCACAGAGCGGTATCAGGGGCGACTGATGGGTGTCAACTCGGGATTCAAATACTAAACTACTATTAGCTGTACATTCTCACTAGTACTCGAAAAAGTGATCAATATGCGATTCAAAAGTCGATAAGCATATAGTTAAAAAGACCATCTGCAACTGCAATGGATTGGTATCATTAAGCTATTGGAAAATAAAAAGAACAACACGCTAAGCTCCGGGGAAGGCGTGGTGATTACTCAGGGCTAGCAAAGCTGCCGTGCGCCAGGGCAGCGTTCATCATGCGGTCGCCGCTGATGATACCAGTAGTACAGATAATCAGTTTGCGACGCGGTGCTTCCTGGGCCGCAATGAACCGCAACGCGGCTATCTCCGTGAATGTGATCCCTCCTAGAAAGAACACATAGACGGTTTTGGTCCCGGCATTGCCACTAAGGGTCTGACGGGCGCGGACGGCCTTATCGTCTCCCTTCTGAACAATGTTGAAGGTTGATCCACGAGCACTCTTCACCACATCCTCAAAGCCGAGCCAACCGGGAGACGCCGCGCTAGCGTTATTGGATGTCGCGGTTGGTGAGTTTCCCTTGATCAAAGAGAGAATATAAGGTTTCTGTATGACACACTGGACCAGGCGAACACTAAGAGGCGCGAATCCGCTGTAGACGTATGATATGTCGTTAGGATCTTTCTCGCTGACTTCCTCTATCACGAGGCGTAAGTTCTTCCGCAGATATCCATAGTTGGTCTTCGTGCCCGCTTGTGTGCCAGATGTTGGGAGCAGCATGGTTGTCGCTGAGGATCGAGGCTGAAGGAGTTCCATCTTCTCCAAGGCCCAAAACGTTAGCAGGTGCTGGTGACCATAGGCTTGTACGACCTGGCGCTTAAAATTCTCTAGGTCTCGGGGGCGAAGGCCACCAGCCATACACGACTCCAAGCATAGAAGCCGGAGGACACTCTTGATAGGGACATCGCGAGCAATGAGCTCCTCGATGGTTTCATGCTGATAGGTAGTATCGGCACCGGCCGCATTACTCTGCTGCACTTCTAGGATCTTGCGGAAGGTCTCTGACCGGGTAAGTCGCATAATTTCTTCGGCTAGGTTCGTATGGACCCGAAGACTTTGGTGCTCCAGCTGATAGCTGGGCAGCTTGTTGACAAAGTCACGCAATTCGTTAGTGGTCTTTGCCGAGTGCCGAGTTTCATACTCGTTTTCCAGTCGACGGGCCACTTTGTTCAGGATATCACCCACGATCGCAAAGTTGGCATCCCGCAGTTGATTGAACAATTGATCGGAGGCGTCCAGCTGAATTTTTCGCTTCATGCCCGGCTTGGCCTGCTGGGGCGACTTGGAAGATTCCTGTGCGTGGGGCATGGGTGCTTGGCCCACGACGCTGGTATCGACATCGGCTTGGTTGTTCTTGATGCCGACATATTCATCAATCAGGCCTTCGTAGGTAAGCTGCGTCAGAAGAGGAGTACCAAAATCCACCTCCCGGTCGATGATGATCAGGTTCTCGATGTCCGCACTGGGAAGCAAGCCCCGGGTGGAGGGGTCTGCTAGGCCGGAGCTCTCTTCAGCATCAAGCTCTTTGCGCATTCGAAGCAAAAGGTCTGCAAGACGCCGTGCGTGGTCTCCTTTGCCAACAATCCGGGGGAAGTAGCCATGCCTCTGCTGAATTCCCATCAACGCTTTCGCGGCATGGAAGATACAACCAGGATCCTTGTGCTGTGTTGCCCGGCTGTTAGCTGCTTGTTGGCCAATTCCGATCGACAATTCGTACGCACCAAGTAGAGATCTTCAAAGGCATCATCGAGTTCTAAAGACAGGATATCTTGCTCTAGGGGCAGGAAGAGAAGAGGAAATTCGAAGATATTGACGTCGCCAATGATACCAGCTTCTTCCAGCACGGTATTGCTCACTAGGGTGCGTCGGGGTGCAAAGATGATTGAGAATTCATGTTCCACGTTTCCATTGTTCTGCAGACGTTTTATTTGCTCTAAGATAATGTTAGCCCAGGTTGATGGCGATCAATCGACATTTGATTGGAAGGAAAGCCAGATAAATGAGCTGCTTTTAATCTAGGGATGCTACGACTGATTACACAGAGTAGGAACGATCTGTGTAATCTACTGATGTCCCAATTCCAAGCCACAGCATGGACTAAAAGATGTGGAAAAAAAAAAAGAAAGAAAGACGCAATGTGCAAAGGGCAGGGGGACAAGGATGCACGTTTACACCTTACCTGCCACGGTGCGCACCTGGCGAGCTTTTTCGCCTCGAACCAGGAAGACGACATTGCGTTGGGAAGAGTCGATGTTTGCATTTTCCAGCAGAAAAACTCGGTCTACACCGTACTCCTGCAGCACGGAGAACTTGACGAACAGGCCAACTGGACCGGCCAGCTCCTGACTGAGGACGAGATTCTTCTTGCCCCGAGTCTGCACGCCATTAGAACAGGCACGGGTCAGGCGACAGAAATACTCACGCCCTCGAGTAAGGCCAGCAGCTCCCTGCGGGCCTTGTCTCTACAGTGGTCAGCATCTCCCACGGGCGCCATTGCGGGAGAGGAAAGAAAAGAGACTGTGTGCGCAGGCAGCAGAAAACACCAAAAATAACGAGGGAGGCGAAGCTGCTTCATTTGGTTTAGCGTTGCTGACTCACCATTACATGGTTCCCTAAGATAGCTCACCTGTAAAATCGCTGTAAATTACTCTTACAATACCACATCGCCATACTAATTTGCGGTAAATTCTCCGTTTTGCCATCACCGCCACGTTCGGCGTTACTCGTCTCGACCTGCAGCTCCCCTGAGCCACTTTGGGCTGCGGAGCAATACAGTGGTCTCCTTTCCTTTTTGCCTTTCTCTCTAGTTTTCTATTCTCGAAGCCTGTCCGATCTTTTCTCTTTCGTTTCGTAATCACAAAGACCTATTTGCCTCATACAAATCCATTTCTAATCTTCTCAGTCCTACTTCGAAACGTGTTGCCCGCCATGGGTCTGTTCAAGAAATCCGACAAGTCGGACGGCGACGACGACTCCAACCGCCGCGCTCTCTTCGGCCGGTCAAAAACCAAGAGCCCTCAGGAAAATACAAACCCATATGCCCAGCCTATTCCAACCGATTCCTACACCAGGGCCAAGCAAAGTATCGGCATGGCTCCCCCACCACCAGGCGGTTTTAACAACGGACCTTCGCCCTCCCCCGGCTCAGGCCCTCATAGCATTCCCTCAGACAGCAAGTACTCTGGCTATGCTCCCAACACCTACGGCAACCAGGGAGGATATGGCGGCGACCGGTTCGGGAGCGGGAGCGGAAGCACTGGGGCCGGAACTCCATCCCGGTATGGAGCAGGTGGCTACGGTGGGCTGGGTAATGCTGATCCCAATGAGCCTTCTGATGCCGCCCGGAATGAACTTTTTGGGGGTGCGCGAAACCGCCAGCAGTCAGGGAACAATCATCCGGGCAGCGCGCCGCCGCCCTACAGCCCGGGGCAGGAGGGCCAGGAGGGCCAACCGACCTACGGTGGCGGCAGCAATGAGTACAGCATGGCTACATTTGAAGACCGCCAGCTCACGGCCGAGGAACTAGAGGAGGAGAGTATCCAGGCCACCAAGCAGGAAATGCGCCACATTAAGCAGGGTGACATTTCATCAACCCGGAATGCTCTGCGGGTGGCAGCGCAAGCTGAAGAGACGGGTCGCCAGACACTCGCTCGTCTGGGCGCTCAGGGTGAAATGATCCACGATGCGGAGGGCAGCCTGGACGCAGCCAAGTTGCAGGGTCATCTGGCCGAGGACAAGGCCCGGGAACTTAAGAGACTGAACCAGAGTATGTTCAGGCCGCACATGAGCAACCCGTTTACCAAGCGAGCGCGTGAAGAGGAAGCCATGCGCAAGGTTGTTCAGGACCGCCAGGAAGAGCGTGAGATGCGGGGGGGGCACTCGCGCTGAAAGATATGCGTCTGATGCCCGCATGCAGAGTACTTTCCGTGACATTGAGCGTGAAGCTGGACGGGCCGGCAAGCCTAAGAAGGCTAGCGTAACGGAGCGTGCGAAGTATCAGTTTGAGGCTGATAGCGAGGATGAGGCTATGGAAGATGAGATTGAACAGAACCTGGATCTTCTGAGTGGCGCTGCGGGCCGACTGAATGGCCTAGCGAAAGCCACTGGGCGCGAACTTGATGAACAAAATAGACATCTTGAGCGCATTACTGGCAAGGTTAGTATTAACCATCTTCTACTTGAGTTTTTTTTTTTTCATTCTTTTTCTCTATATGCTAACTCTATGTCACAGAGCGATTACGTCGACGACCAAATTGCCATGAACCGTGCCAAGTTGGACCGGATTCGTTAGGTTTGATCCCAACGCAGCTATGGTATATTTTATACCATGCAGCTCAATCATAGGGAATTTACTTCCGTAATCAATAGCCTTGATGCGTTATCATTGACCCTCGGCGTTTGGATTGGCCTTTTCACTGTCTCTTTGCACTCTGATCTGAACCGGCAGGCTCAACATTGAAAATAATTTGATTTAAAGTGGCTATTGGATTTTATCATTCAGAACCTGCTTCATAAACTCATGAGCCAACAAATGTTAATCGTACGTAGAGCACCGTTTCATAGCTCCACTGGTTGAACTCGTCGCGTGGCCAGATTATGGCCTCCGAATGACTCCCTACTAGCCCTTAGATGGCCGCTAGCGATTATCCATCATCATCCGTCCATGTCTCTCTAGAGCATCTTACGTGACACAACCAAAAATCCTCATCTTACCAGCGGGGGCCGATCCCCCGCAAGCGGGGAATTGTGGGGACAACGGAGAACTTTAAAAAACTATATCAAACATCGCAATGTAAACAGCTGAGCTCCCGAGGTCTTTTCAACCCATCCAATCCAGCCCAAACCCAAACACCTCAACAAAACATCAATCCACTATACACACCTCCAACACTAGCATTTTCTACCACCCCCCTAAAACTGCATCCTCATCATGAGCACCGGCAACGCAGGCTTCAGCGCCGCCCTTAATTAAGAGCTGTGGAGTATAGGCTGGAGATGACGAAGCATCTCACGGAGAACTAGCTGGGGAAAGTTGGCAGATTTCTGTGCTGAGGTCGGCTTGGTCAACTGAGGGGCACTTTGGGGGGACGTTGGCGGAGTAGACACACGAGCCGTGAGGCCTGGGTATTGGGATCCCGCCGTGAAGGACGGCTTGGGGACTACCGGGCTGACGCTTCCGAAGTCAAATTGGTGGTGTCGATTGATAAAGGGCCTTTCTTGGCTGTTCGAATTACTTCTGGGATGAATTTTGGCCTTCGGTGGTCTGTCAATTCGGAGGCTGCTGGGATGATACTATGATACTACTGGGACAGAAATCCTCGGCTTATTTCGTGCGGGGGAGATGCTTGGAGGCATCTGCCATGGTGATTATCCCGGGGGTAGTGGCCTCACGTCTGGTACTATGTTTGGGCGATACAGCAAATCTCATCGGCTGGCTCTCAGCCAGTATCATATGAAGAGAAGATTATCACCTACGCCTGGAGAGAGATGTTTGATATGGAAAGTTGAAAGGGTAGCTGTAGAGGATACTAACTAGCAACCTCCGGGAAGACTATTAGGGGCTTCGATGCCGCAGAGCATACGGTGAATAAATCTAGTTGATCGGCGATGGCCCCGAGGGGGCTGGCCTGGCAGTAGTTACTTGCATAATTTTCGAGTCTAAAGTACCTGTATCAAAATGCTTAATTGCGAACTCAGGGTATTTGGAATAAACGAGATTTAGGGTCCTCTGGCGCCTCTAGCGCGCAAAGTCCAGACGTGAAAGTAGACACTCAACCAGAACCACGGGTATCAATCCAACACCATCCTCACACAGCGCGAACAAACCGAGTAGAATCAGAGTGGAAAACAAGACACATAAAGAACGGAGGGAAAATTGGAAGCCAAGTAAATGGGAAAGGTCTAAACCATGCATTTTGGATTGATGCAAAGAGTAGAATAAGAAATTAAGTAATTGTAAAAGGGGCCAGCGGATGGCGAAAACATAACAAATCCCATAGTAGATGTAACCAAACACGCATCGAATCATAAGCCCATTGGTATCGAAAAAAGCACAGGTGACTCCCAGGTCTAGCGAAAGAATTGAAAAGAAGAAACCCAACCAGGAACGCAAACCCAGCCGGAACCTCTATGGTCGTGAGAAATAAAACATCAAGAAAAAAAAAAAATCAGGACAAAAAAAAAAAAGCCAAAGCTCCCCCTTTCCGCGGCCTCGTGGGCCGTATCAGATGAAACCATGATCACAGACCGTCCATAGGGTATAATAAGGAATTCTCGACGCCCGATCGAGAGATGAAGAGATATGAAGATAGGAGAGAAGAACCCAATGTGTTGTACAGAACCGGAGCCGGGACCAGCGCATGGCTGCAATTCGACTTTGTTGGGACGGTGTCTGAGGCACAGTCGGGGGTAAAAGGGTCTGGTGTTTGTGGTTTTTTTTTTCTTCACGCAGATAAGAATCGAAGAGGGCAGCCCGAATGAAAGGAGTTCGTCACAAAGTTTCGAGTTCTTTACTCATCGTCGTCAGGGGAGCCAGTGTCCTTCTCGCCTTTGTGAACCTTCTTGTGTCGGCGCAAGTTGGACACGACGGAGAAGTGCCGCCCACAACCTTCAACATCGCAAGAGTATGCTGGATTCATTGTCAGTCACCTTTCATCTCCTAAGGAAATTGAGTAAAGGGGGAGGGGAAAACTCACGCTTCTCGCCAGTGTGGCTGTACATGTGCGTTTGCAATGATGAGGGACGGGTGAATCGCTTGTCGCAGACCTTGCACTTGTGCTTCTTCTGGGTATTAGAGGGCATTTTCGAGCTGAACTGGCTCATCATGGACTGGGGTCCTGGAGGAGCGCTCCCTGCCAGGAGGCTGGCGGGACGCGGGAGAGTGCGCGACTCATACGACTCGGAAGTAGTGGAGCTGTAGTCGGTCACAGAGGAATCAACCGAGCCGACTGAGGCGCTGTAATAGGGGTAATTCCCACCCGAGGAGATCGAGGAGGCGGAAGAGTGAGTTGAGGGGAATCCGTAGGAGTCGGCAGAACCGCGGGCGCCACGAGGGCCGTAGATGTTTCGGGGGGTCAAATCCTGGCTGAGTGCCACCATTCCTCGGCTTGCATCCAGCGCGTCACCGAAGGTGGGAGTGGGTGCTGGTGGTTGGGATGATCCCACACGGGCAGCATCTCTGTTTGCGCGTCAGCCACGCGGTTCGAAATTGCTAGGCGGAGGGAATTTGGCTTTGGACTTACGAGTGAGAAATGCGACGAGCGTCTTGTGACTGTGAAGGGTGGATTGGCGCATAGCTGACTGGCGCATAGCTGGGAGGAGGGAAACTGCTCATAGGGGGAGCAGTGGTGTATGTTGGGGCGTGCTCGAACCCGGTGCGCGGCACCTCGTGCTGAATCGCCATGACTTCTGGCCCATAACCGGCGGTTGTGTAGTTGCTGCCCGGGACCATTGACGGAGCGGACACGGGGATGCTGGGGTAGGGCATGGACATGGGCGCAGTGCGGCCAACTTCCTCCTTGACGGGGTTGATGGGGAGGTTGCCGCCGTTGCCCATCGAAGTCGCGTAAACAGGAGGGGTTGAGTGGGAGGAGGTGTGTGCAGCGGCCCAAGGGTCTGTGAATTGCGGCGCATTATGGTAGACATTATCGAAGCTCATGCCGCCATATGGGCGGTTCTGGTTTTCAATGACCATCGTCATGGAGGATGGATTCACACGTTGTCGCGATCCGGTATAGAGGTGTGGAAGGGAAGGGAGCAGATCGAGGTCGATCAATGTTTTACAAAAATTCGACAATCCGGGTAAAGGAGAGAAAGGAGAAAAAAGCAGTCTGGGGAAGGGGATCGGCGAAGCTTAAGAAGGGGACAAACACTATATAATGTGAGGCACGATTCCCTTTTCCCTGAGCCACTGACGTGCCTCGGGGACGGTTGCAGATCTCCTGAAAGAATTGTGAATTTCTTTTTTTTTCTGAGGGGAGAATGGTTTTATCGAATTTTTGAATTAAATGGGGATATGGATTATTGGGGAGGGGGGGATTTTTTCCCTAATTTCTTCTTTTTTTCTTTTTTTTTTTGAAGGGTTCCATATTGCCAAATAATTCGATTTCTTATTTTCTTATTTGGGGTTGCAGGATGGGACGCATTGCTTTTAGTGCCAAAAGTGGCTCTCGACAACGGGAACCAGTTCCTCGGACCCCTCCTGTTTATCTGCGTATTTCTCCCAATTAGGAATTTATTTTGTCTTTGGAGTCATTTGGGGTCTCCTAACCAACTATACAGAGTCGGGCAGCTACGCTGGGCTACTGGGGCTGAGGCTTGTTCGTTAGTGCCGCGACTCCCCCTGCTTTGATTGAGCCCCCGTGTCTCAATTAACCTTATGTCTCTTTCTGTCTACGTGCCGGATAGGCTGAAGAATGGAAGATCGAATCTTAAAAAAGTATTAACCGCGCAAGAATGTACCGGGGGCCCGCGATCGGGCCAGGGTCTACCACTTGGGAGACCAGATACGAGTCAAGGGGAAATCATGGGACCCCAAAAAGCAGACAGTAACCTTAGAGCTCAACGTGGATAAGGAGCCCAGAATAGGGGGGGGAGAGAATGTCCCGCACAGACTATAGTTGTGAGGGCTGTCCGTGAGTGGCCCACCTGTGCCGTGTCGGAGGTACACTAGGCAACTTTGGGCGAAAAGGGAGAAAAAGAAATGGGAGAGGGAAAAAGTCGAAAAAAAAGGGCCAGCCAAGAAATAAACTCACGATGCAGCGACCAAGGTTCGCCCTGACGGCGTTTCAAGGTAGCGGGGAAGCCAGCAGATCCCAGCCATACGTCAAAGGGTATACCCGCTCTAGGGAGACAAATTGGACGCAGGCTGGCTGATTGGGATTTTTTTTTTTATTGCTATGATCATTTACTTTTTATTGACATGCGAGAGGTTTAGATTGACTCGGGAAGCCCACCTGCGTACGGGAGCAGCAAGGCAGATGGGGGGATGCATTGAAGCTTGAACACGCATAGGGTCGGGAGGCAAGAAAAAACCCAAATGTAGGGTCCACGGGGTCAAGGTCGGGTGGCGATTCCCATTGGTGGCAGGATGATTAGTAGTAGATATGGGAGGGGGGGAGGGATTTAGGGAAGGGGATTGGAGGAGAGAAACAGGGCCCTGGGGCAAAATCAAAAGGGGAATAAAAAAAAAAGAAAAGAAAAGAAAAGAAAGAAAAGAAAAGGTGCATAAGCAGAGACAGACAGCTACACCCTCGCAACCCTCCAAAAAGGTAATAAGGGGAGAAAAGAGGAGGCGATGACGACTCATGCGCGGGCTTGTCAGCCATGTTATGTGGGAGAGAAACTGGGGGCTTGGGACACGGGCCACGTTAGGTTTAGCGTGGGAACAGCTGCCTCACTTTCTGTATGGAGCCTCGAGATCGATTTACAGATATCGGCAGTCTCCTATGGCCTAAACTCCCTTCCAAGGCGGTCCCATCAATAGCCTGCACACATTATTGACGTCCGCATTCTGCTGACAGCTGGCATTTGCAGCCCGTCCGAAATGCCAATGGATGTGACTTGGATTGCCATCCTATCATACGAGTCTTCCGGTTTCCCATCATGCTTGTATTGAAGACATTATACTTGGCGTTCCATGTACCATAGTACCATGGCCCCATCAAGGTTTAGTCCGAGTTTGCGCCGGCTTGGGTAAGCAAAGCATCCCCCAAGGAGGAGACGCTAAATCAGCACCCTATGCAATTGCTGGTACTCCGTAGTCCGTAGAGGTTGTACGAAATGTAGGAGTCGTGACGGAATGCTGAATTTGGCTCCTGCAGGGATTCGGGAGCAACACGTTGATTTGCCGGGGTTGGGAGAGGGGGCCGACGACCTGTATCATTCAAGTCTTCCAAAGAATCAACCGTGCGACGGGGAAGGAGGGGAAGGAAGCCGTCCCCTCTCGTATTACTCCGTAGACCATTATCACGTATTGCATATTGGCGCGGCTCCTGCAGCGCGGCAGATGTGATCAGGTAGGAGAACCCCCAATCCCAGAATCCCTTTTAGACATATCACCTTCGTATGGCTTTGGGAGAACTCAAACCCCACTGGAGTGGAGGGTCTCCTCATGGGATGAAATGTACCCGTGGGAAGAAGCTCCCCAGCCAATCAGAACCGTTGTTTCATCGCGACCTCCTAAAAGGCCAAGTCCCCCCCCGAGCGCAAATCCCGAGAACGCTAAGCTCTGATCACAAGGATCTGAGCAGCAGCCGAGGGAGGCTGAAGAACCTCACAGCATTTGACTTTGAACCATTCCAGTTGCACTTCTGTGGCCGCTTACCGTATATCCCATAGGCTGGTCATCCTACATAACCACGCAGCCACTCGGTGGAGGACAACCAACCAGCACAGGATATGGGAAATCACTTGCAAGGCTCGAACCATGGTCTCTAGACACCATCCGCTGGGTCGCTTTTCCGGCGCGATCCAGTTCGAGTTCTCCGCATTTCCCTGCTTCGTGCTACCCAGGGGAGTAAACCGAACATGTCCGTGGTCGTAGTTTTCCAGAAAAAAGAAGAACCCACCCAGAAACAGAAACAGGAACATGGGCAGGAAGAACCTCATGAGGGGCTCAACACCACACACGCCCAAATGCGGTAAGACCCTTTTCCATGGTTCCAGTTCGATGTTCCTCGACCGTGGATCTTCCGTCCCGAACACTGCCAATTTGGAGGTATCGGGAGTCTGCATCTACTTTTCACGTCTCGCTCGAGTCAAGGGTCGCAATCAGGATCCAAGATCTGGTGCGCTGTTCTTCTACGTCATGACGCTACTAAGGGACAGCCTAAGGGCCACGCTACCGCGAGATCTCGCAGACGGGTTGAGGTGCGCCTGAGCTGCTGCTCTCAGTCCTTCGGGGGTCCTGGGTCTGCTTAGGGCCCAGGACAAATCAAAAATCCAGACGGGATGGAGCGCGCTAAGACTTCCTTAACCCAAGTATGAACAGTAGCATCACCTATGGCTGTCAAGATATCAAAATTTTCCTTTTTCTTTTGTCATTTTCGAGTCAAAGCACACACCGAAAAGAAAAGAAAAAAAAAGAAAAAAGAAAAAAGAAAAAGCACTGATGGGGAGTTCTCCATCCTGAACGCCTCTTTTCAGCCATCGCCCGCCATATCAAGCCATCCCGTGTCTGGCCCACCAGCCATTTCGATATTTCACCGGTAGGGTCTTCTTGATGGATGAAAGGGGACTAAGCCTTTTCGAATCATACGGTAGAATCAGATCATTAAATTTCAGAACAGGAAAAATAAAACCAATACACCACATAAACGACGAGAAGAAGTCTGTGACATCTAGCGAAGACAACACCCCTGTAATGTATCTCAAACATGACATATACAAGTCCGTGGGACCGTCTGCAGGAGTGTAAGCTGACCGACGGCGACCGTTGGGGCGCCCAAGCACGACAACACGGAGGGAGCCGGATGGACAGGGTTGAGGGCGATCGAGCGCCAATCGTAGAAAGTGTATCTGGAGGGTACCTTTACAGGTTTGTGGAGTCACCTTGATCCCACCTGACCGCTTTTCTCCTCTCCTGCGCTTGGCCCGGACAGGAACAGTGTCTGCCCGTAAGACGGCTCACTTTCTCCTTGACATGACGCGTCGCGCACAGCAGGCTAAACGCTTCCCTCCCTGCCCATGTGCCGGGGATGCCCGGGCTGTAGATTTGTTGATTTTCCGAGAGACGCGCTCGAAATTGTGCTTCAAAGGGCGGTGAAGCCCTTTCCCTAAAGTACTCTCTACACAAGTCATGCAATTCATGGGGTACAGGTCTAATTCTCCGACCGGGGGGGGGGGGGGTTAAACCCCAAGCCTGCGCGTATTGAACATAAGATACTGGTAGGTCAATAGTTTCTGGTGCTGGGGACCATTCCGGCCCCGAGGTTCATGGGGCAGATGACAAAGTACGTCGCAGCACTGTTTAAGAAAGGAAAAGTAATAGAAAAACGAAAATTCCACAAGAGATAATTCCCATACTGTCGTGGAATGGTCCGCTACATCTCCGTACTTCGTACTCTTTCGTCACCTCAGGTCGAAAATAGAAAAAGAGCTATAGTGGCGATCATCTCGACGTCACTTCCCAGGCACGTATTTAGGATGCGATCCCTACGGAGCTGAGCTAGTACCTAAAAAGAGAGAACCCACCCAGGACTGTCACTCTGCACGGGGCACCGATCTTGGCGGTGTCCACACGGCAGATCGTCATAGGGATTATCCTCTAAACACTAAGGTTGGCTTTGATCGCATGTGCGGCGCACATCACCGTTCGAGGACACGAGGTTGTATCTGGTGAAAAGACCACATTGGGAAATGAGTACTCTTGCTCCTGGGATTCTGACAATGGCATCCTCCTGTTATCCTGAAACACGGAACGCACAAGTTACCATTTTGCCATTCCAACCGGAAGGGTCATAGGCGCACGTTCCGCCCGGGTAAAATGGATAAATGGCAATTCGAGGAGTCCCCGAACCTCCCACACCCAGGATACCTTTCTCCAATGGAGAGCAAGCATGGGTCCTGCCAGACCCGATACCGGACCATATTGACGGGATATTGAGAACTGGGGCTAACCGGGCTCCACTGTTTTGTGCAGAGTCCTGGAACCGTACAAAAAGGGAGCACCACATTAGGAAAGGCGCACCCCATTGCAGACGGCAGATAGTCGATAGCCGATCTTGGCATAGCGGGATCGTCCAATCCTATTCTCGACTTGACGGCTGCCCCACCACGAGCTGACGCGTGCTTGCCCGTCCCTGCAACTGGAACGACCCAAGCCGGCATCTTTGCGTGTTTCCCGGGAATGGGGGAGAGAGTCCCCCTGACGCGGTTCACTATCTCGAAGATATCGATCACGGTTCTTCGTGAGGACGGGAAAAGGGGTCAGCAGCTGGTTAGAAGGTAAATCAGAGTATTCTCGTGGGATTGCTGCACCACTTCAGCCTGTGACGTACTGGGCGGTCTGGGCGGTCTGGGCGGTCTGGGCGTCGAATGTATTCTCGCCTTTACCCTGATCCCCGCAAAGCCCGTTGGTCCCCTCTGGAGATCCCTGCGTGCGATCCTTGGGGCCCCACATAGTACGCTAACCAACACTGCCACCTTCAGGGTCAACACTAATCAGACTCTGAAACGTTCGACCCATCGTGAAAAGCGGGTGGGTCGAGCGACCGGCGACTTTCTCCCCAAATTGGGCAACGGCCCAGTTCTCTTCAACCCTGATTGGCCCCTCCTTAGGCTCGCCTCCCCCTCCTCCACCTCCAATGCTGTTCGAGATCGGAATGGGTCTACCATTTTCTTTCGTTGGCGAACATCTAATCAAACATCCTTTGGGGAGTTCTTCCGCTTCAGGGGGGAACCTCAATGGCTATCCTCCATCTGGAAAGAACTAAGCTTTGAAGAGGGGCCGATAATTTTTCCATCTCTTCCCATTACGTTTACTGGCGAAGACCGCCCTTTTCATCGCCGGGGATCCTCGGGCGATACTTGACAAGGGTACTCCGTACCGCGTTTCCAAAAGGAGGTGCACCGAGAGAAGTAAAGTGGCAACCCATCATCCCCGTTCACACGTGAAGTGTCAACTAGGATCAGTCGTCTCGCGTGGGTTTCTGGAAAAGGCCCAAGTCCCCGCTTTCATGGGTCTCGGGTCTCCAGCTATATCACTGGCTCTGATGAAGGTTCCGATCGGATGAGATCTACGGAGCAAAAAACGAACACAGAAATGACTTGCACTGATGTGCTGTGCATAATGTGATCGACTGTAAGAGCCTCCTGTCCTACTGGAACTTCCAATATATCGATATTCCTAGTCCAGCTCTCCACCTCCCACGATGGAGTACGCAAGGTCCAGGATCTGGATCAAGCTTCCCGGCACGGACGCACTTGCAGAAAGCGGATCATACATCTCCGCTTGGCAGATGTCATGACCTGAACTTGGGGGCTAGTCATCCTCCCGAATATACCCTGTCAGTATCCAGGGAGGGCAATGGCTAGACAGATGACATTCTCCGAGACCCCCCCCCCCCCCGAAAAAAAGGAAAAAGCAAAAAAGAGGGGAAAAGGATAGAAGAAAAAGAAAAAAGAAAAAAAGAGAATCGCGAAATGCGGGCGCAGTAAAGGCAAACTACTGATCCAAATGCAGACGCCCCTCGCAGTGAGGTTGACAGTCATGTTTTCCGTGATACTGGAATTGTCTCTTCCCCTCCCTTGCTAAGCCGCGATAATAGTCAACCAGACTTTCCTTCCCAACCCCCCCCCCCCTTCTCCTTAACCCGTTGCCCCGTCACAGCGTTACTATTGCCCGCTACTCGAACACGAGACCGAAGTCTGTAGCAGCCAGCGTTCCACAAAGCATTACTGGCTCCCAATCAATGCGCAACCCTTCTCCTTGGGCGCCCCCCCCCCATTGCGCCATACTGGGCCACATCGCCCGGTGATTGGCCCGTGGCACCTTTGATACGTTTTCCGGAGGGCACCATCCTCAGCCCGCGGTATCTCGCATGCTTGAATGCTTGACAGATATCCTATCGCACGTAGCACCGGTCATATCTGCAGGATTGCAGGCATGCATCGAAACCAAAAAAAGGATGGCTTGCTCCCAGCCAACTCGACTTCCAAGTTAACCAAGTCTATGGAAAGTGGGGGCTCGAACTCGGCGTTCCTTCCCTGCGTGTGCCGCCAAAAGCGCCTCTGCGATCTTAGGGATCCATACAAAGCTCGGCTTAACTGCAACTTCTAGTGGTCCTTGCAGAGGTATCGTCGCCACCGCGGCTACCCTGTCCCTATTCGTGCAGTCCGACGAAATGAGGCCATCCTAATCCGAATGCGAATCCGCCCCAGTCGGACTCTAGACGTGTAGGGCGAAAAATAAAATAGAAACTAAATCTTAGATTAACCCAAACTCTAAACCTTGATACCCTGTACAAGACACTTTAGGACCCTGAATATCCACTATCATATTAAACCCCCCCCCCCCCCGGAAAAAAAAAAAAGAAAAGAAAAGAAAAGAAAAAAGAAGAAAAAAATAAATTAATTCGGGAGCAAAAGGGGGGGAGCATGGGGCACATCCTTAATCCCATTTAACCCTATAGGGAATCTGACTTAGGTCTGTTGTAACTAGTTCGAAATATCGACAAGGCTATTCCCAAGCTAAGAAGCAGTTATCGTTCCTGGTACCAGAGATGGGAGATGCCCCGGTACGGGAAGGGCGCCAGGAAGGGGATAGGGGGCAACTTTGAATCCAGGGGGAGGCAGTGTTTCTCTAATTTCCCTCGTGTTGGCGTAGCAGAAAAGGAGATTGTCGCTGACGGGACGGGCCAAAAGGTTAAGTTTGATGACGAGTTCCGTGGGAACTGCATTTTCAGGATGCTGGGAGGTTTTCCCAGTTCGGGCGAGGTTGTATAGACAGTATCATGCAGGGCAGGAATGTGCACCCCGCAGAATCGGTTTGAGGGATTCAGTAGCGGTGGGATAATCAAAAATTAAGCATGGAGTATCGGGGGCCCTGATTCCAGGGTCTCAACCTCCATTGGCTGGGGGGCGTTTGGGTGTTGGTGCCCCCCACCGCAAGGGCCAGGGCGCGCCTGACGTCCTGCGGGTTGAAGAGCTGACGCGGCCATCCTGTGCCAAGCCCGGGCTCCACAAGCTTAGGCACTTGGCGCCGCTTGGCAAAGATGTACATGGAGTTGAATCTTCTGCTTTTCTGTTTGCCCTTGGGTCTAAATACTTCTTTCGGGATACTGCAGTTACGAGTTACGAGTGCTTTCGGCCCCTCGATTGCGCGTTTTTTTTTTTTATTCTTTCTTCCCTGGAGACAGCCTCGGTGGCAAATGTCGGGGAGATGGAGGACTAGGAGAGGGGGAAACTGCTACCCACCCCCCTTTTCTTAGGAGGCTTACGTAGAGCATGAAATAATCAGCTGAGCGGCTCAGCAACTGGGGGTAAACGGGATACCCCTGCCCAAAATTCAATCGTATTCACGAACAAGATATACAGTCGATCCAGGCCCAAGCTGGTTTCTGCAGATGTCAACCCCGGACTCTGTTGCCCAGGGCTGGAAGATGATAGTCAGGATTGACAGTGATTAACGCAGTTCGGAGCGATCATTACCCAATTGTTCCCTGTCACTTATGCTTGGCCGACGATTGTTCCAGGGTCCGGGGGGAGTCGGGAACTCTGCGATCGTCTCTAAGACCCGACAATCCGGAGTACATGATATTATTATAGAAGTAGGACAAGCGATATGCACGAGCTTAAGGGAGATCGTCTCTACTTTGAACTGAGTACCGAATGAGATCGTTGGATAGCCTTTAAGGTTGGAAATTCCCCGGCTGCTCCATCTGTGGTCCTGCTCGTAGGTGCGATTCGAACCGATCCTCCGAGTTCATCTTTTGATTCGGGGTTGACCGGTACAGTACAAGTAGGTACTGTCAGCCTAGGAACGACTGGGAGCTTACAGTGAATCATGTTGATCCGCAATACATTGGAATACGCTACAACATTGGAATGCACCGAATATCATGGTCGGGGGTATTGAACTACTAAAATTCCTTCCAGCTTTTAAATCGTGATGTACATCCAGAGAAAAGAAACCGCGCCGAACGTCCATCGTCCCTGCTGAAAGAGATAAAAACACAGACCCTGGTGGCATAATCCTGAAACGGGAAAATACCCCGGTGAAAAGAAAGCACGAACCTCTGTGGACTAACCATCATCTGAAGATAGAGATAGACCCAGGTAGAAAAACGACACACGAACTTCTGGGAGCATCACTCTGAAACGGAGAATACTCAGAAGAGAAAACGCAAGAACCCCTTGGAACACCATCCTGAAACGGAAGAGAACCCGGAACAAAGATATGCAAATGAAGCGAATCAAAACCCCCGACACCTAGATGATAGCCCAGATAAAAGACCTAGAGGTGGATGAACAACTCTTTACGGCGGGGCATGATATCTTCGGTGAAGTCGATGTAGTACGGGACCATCGCATCTGCAGACTGAACGTACATGTCGTTGTACACGCGCCAGTAAGGCTCGCGGACCTTACGAGCAGGGTGGAACAGACCGGCAAAGGTGTAGTTCATGATGACAGGGGTACCGACTGCATTGCGGATGGCCTCGATGGCTTCGATGACCCGGTCGATGACGTGAGGACTGGTCTCGTAAATGTTCGGGATGATGAGGTTCAGCAGATGGATCATCGCGTCCTCGCAGCCGAGACCCGCGACACCCAGAGCCATGTGCTTGACGACACTGCAAGCGGTCTGACGATGGACCTGGTCGCGGTCGATGAGGGCATCTTCGAGCAGCGGAACAACGGCGTAGACATAGTCCTTGCCCATCTCACCAATGTACTCGAATAAGAACGACAGGGCCTTCAGGACACCGTTCTGCACGTTGAGTTCAGGCACGCGGTATTCGTTCATCAAGGCGGGGATCACAGTGAAAGGGCCACAAGTTTCGGCGACAATAGCGATGGCGACGGCCGTACAGACACGCGACTGACGCTCCTGCACGCGAAGGTTGTTGAGAAGAGTGGTCAGGACATCCTGGGGGCCGATGGCCTTGGCGATGAAACCGAATGTGTTGTTGGCGGCGCGGCGAATACCCTTCTTGTGGGCCTTGAGCATATCCAGCAGCTCGAAGCAGATACGCATCCACTCACGCGCATTGACAGACTCGGCGCCCCGGTCGGCAATACGACCAACCAGGTCAATCGTGTTTTCCTGCACCTTCTCGTGACGGTTTCGCAGGATGGGAGTGAGACGAGGCAGAAGATCGTGGATAGGAGGCTGCATCTGGTGGATGCCCATCACAGTCACAATAGATCGCAAGGCACCCAAGATAGAACCCAGAACATCAGGGTATTCTTCACCCAGGTATTCGTAAAGCACATTACTGATCTTGTTCAGCATCACGTCCTCGTCACACTGCATCACAACCGGCGCAATTCGCGCGATCAGATCAGCTGCCTGTTGGCGGACACTAGGGGACTTGTTGTTCAGGCGCCAAAGGACCGTACTGGCAATTTGACCCAGATACGGCTTGACACGAGTATTAAGAGCATTAACCACGGTGCCGAAGCCATTCAGGATGATGACGTCTTCAATGGTCTGCTCCTGGAAAGCAGTAAGCATGCCGTCCATGAGTTGCATTTCCAGACGCTCATCGACATCTGCCACACCAAGGGAAGCGACGAGCTTCTCAATGGTCTCGACAGTCATCTTGCGATAAGGCTCGCTCTCGTCCTTCAGATTGTTGACGAGGCGTTCCACGATCTCAGATACACCGACCTTCTGGCCGAGGTCAACGGTCGTGTCGACGACCTGGCGGTAGTTTCGTCGGTCGAGGGCCATACGACGCACCCAGAAACCCTTGAAGAAATCGTTCAAGACATGTTCCTTCAGGTAAGCGGCGGTAACACCCTCCGTGGAAGAGCATTGCGACACAACCTTCAAGACTACCTTCTTCATATCCTCATCAGGGGAAGAGAATTCCCGAGTGAGAATCTCCATGATCTGGGTGGTGTAGTAGTCGGCATACTCGCGATCCATAAGCGGAATGATGTATCCCACAGCCTTGAGGAAATTGGCTAAGCCTTTTCCGCGCTGCTTGCGTGCACCTGTCCAGAGAGGATTCAGGATCTCATCGAAACTCTCGATACCGTAAGGATTGGCAGCTTCAGCAAGTGCGGCAACAGCAAGAGCGGTCACTGAACGGACCTTGGCCGACTCATCGCTCAGGCAGTCAGAGATGCACGCGACGAGGCCCTTCAGGTGAGGCAGAATGGCGCAACCGATCAGAATAGGAATCTGCTGGATGATTTTGACGCCAGTGTGTCGAGCCTGCCACGATTTCTTGCTGTGGCAAACGGCACGAAGGAACGGCAAGAGAGATGGGACACCCAGGGCAGATGCCACGACGGCAAAGGCTCGCGCCGTAGTGTTGCGCACATACTCATCGCTGTGATCGATATCAGGTCGCATGACACTAATCATAGTCGCAAGGCCTGCCGCCTTGCTAAGATTGGAGACGATTCCACGACCCTCGACACGAGCAAAGTAGTCTTGGTCAATGAGCAAAGGCTCGATGACGACGAGGATTTTGTGAACGTAGGGGCGAACCATATCACCAAGCTTGTACAGGACTCGATCGATGACCTTCACCAGCAAGTGGCGTTCTTGATCTTGGAGAGACCTCTCCATGAGCAACGGGAGGAGCTGGTCGAATAGAGCGGCGGCTCCGAATTTGCGGCAATTGTCTGTGAGCTGTCGCAAAGCAGTCTTCCGCATAGCAGCTGTGCCGTTCTTGATTTTGAGGAGGAGTCGCATGATCTTCCGCTCGGTCAGGGCCTCAACGCTCAAGGTACTTTCATCAACTGTTTCCATGAGCTTTCCGAAATACGCCATGTCCTCGGCCTTGAAGAACTGCAAATCACCAACACCAGGGATTTCGGTGGGAAGTTCGGTGCCCATTGAACGAATACTCGCGGGCTGCTGGTTCATGAAACCTCCAATCGCGGCCGGGGTAGCAGCTGGGAGGGCCATTCGGTTGCGCGCAGCTACTTGAAGAGGCTCGTATCCCGGAGGGGGTGTCAAAACTTTGTAACCTTCAGTTGGTAGCAGCATATCAAGATCCTCGTCGGACCAAGGTGCGAATCGACTCGAGGCCTCAGTACCGAAGGTGGGGGGGGCCATGGTTGCAGCTTGAGAAGGGTGAGGGGGAGTAGCGAGTCCCTGGTGACCAACAGGAGTCGCGGCGGTGACAGGAGGTGCCTGGTCCCATCGAGAACGACCGGGTTTCTTTACAGCAGCATCCGCGGCAACAGCGGCGGGGGCGGGTGCCTCATCCCACCGAGACCTTTTGGCCCTGGGCTTGGGTTCCTCACGCTTCGACTCATTCTCTTCAGTCACTTCAGTCGCTCCAGGAGAGACATCCCAGCGCTTCTTCCGCTTCCTGGTATTCGCATCTACAGTCGAGCCGGCCTCGGTATTTTCCTTATCGCCATTTTCGATCTTCAAGGTAGCATCGAACCCAGTCACGTCTTCGCCCTTCTCACGCTTCTCATCGATGAGCTTCTTGACACGCTCTTCTTCTTTCTCGAGCTCTCTAAGGGCCATGATCTCGCGGTAGGTTTGACCATTACCCTCCATGGTTGCGTTTGCGTGCGTGTTGGCAGCAAAAGGGTCTGCGCGTGTCGGGGTGAGGGGTCCACGGTTGAATCGACGCTTTTGGTAGTCTGTCTCGCGATCGGTGATGCGCGCTGACTTCTCACGGCCTACTAGGATGTCTTCTTCCTCGACTCCATGACCATGCGCCATCTCATCGATCTGGCTTCGAGTCGCGGTGTATTGTCCCACAAGATTGTGGCCTTCATTGGCATCTTCCATTTCTTCATCTTCGTTTACTGCAATGGAGGTATCATAGCCGGCATATTTGTTGGCCCCATCGCGGTCATACAAGGTTGTATCAAAGGATTCGGTGAGGGAAGCCTTAGTCGACTCAGTGCGTTGGTCAGCTGCATCGAAAGTCTTCGAACCCTTCTTCCGAGCAGCAACGGCGTTACGCTCGGCTTGAAGCCGGCGCACGGCATCGATATCGGCTGACCGGTCAGCAAAAAAAAAGTCATCAGGGAGCGTTGCAGAAACCTTACCGTCAGACATGATGAACTGAGAAACAAACCAAGGTATGATTCTAAACGCGCAGAACAAGGTAACTTGATCGCAGCAGCTGCATCTGACAACCCCTAGAATGTTGGCATGAGGGGTTGGGATGGAGGAGTCGCGATGATCTGCGGGTGGGCGAGGCTTACGAAAAGGCAAAGGCGAAAGCCCGGTTGAAGGTCAAGTCGCGGGTGAAAGCCCCCTTCACCGCCTTGGCAAGCTGGTTCTCACGGGTCCGCATTATAATTAATCCGGTCCGGCAGTTCATGGAGCAAGCCGGCCTCCGTCTGAAATGGCGATTCCACGAGAGCTATGGATGGAGACAATCCGTATAGCTTAGCCAAATTGTGGCTATGCTTTAGCCTTTCTTGCACTGCATGAGGCTGCGTAAATTGCTATCTCAATTGCTCTATACCCAAAGACATTTTCCCCAAACCTTGATCGTATAGCTGTGACTCCAATGAGATTGAATTACAAATTGGCCATTGTCCCTTTTATGTGTGACTGGGTGGGTGCCAACCGGTCAGGATTGAAAATAGCATTTGCCCTGTTCTTGGATCTGGGAGTCAGATCCATGTGGCTGTTAGGCTTTGACTCGCGTACCCACCTGTGAACCTGACACGGCGCTTACAAGCCATTTGCGTCCCACATGGGTTGTATCAGTGTGCGGAGATTTCCTATTTTCAGATCATGGGTGCATATGTCTAACTTAATCTGGATTTTGAATGTGACCATTTAGGGTGGTGTAGGGCATCCTAGGAAACGGATTATTTTCTATGTAGGGCTTGAGGGACAAATTTACAAGCATTGTCTGGGAAAAGAAAAGAAAAAAAAGCCCTAATATTCCGCCGCTTTGACAAAGGCTGGTTTACAATTCAGGTACTATTGTAGAATAACCATCATTTGACAGGTATTCTGCTCTCAGCTTAGTGCAGTAAACATAGAAGGCAAAGTTCTTACGGTCAGTCTTCAGGTTCACAGTTCACTACCGGGAAGATATTAAGGCAGACGGCCTGCAAGTGGAGAATGTCACTTGTAGCAGACTAAAATTCAGGGTGTAGGGTAGCACCAACACGGAGCTTTTGATGGATCGCATATAAATTTAGGTCATTTGGACGGTTCACCCCTCCGCCCGCTTTAAGCTTTAATTTGCTGCAGGGGTGGTCGAAAGACAAAGACCTCGATTTCAGCCCCAGCCATTTCTCGGTTCCACGGGGCCCATTCCCACTGACAGCGCTTAAAGCAAACCGTAAGCCTCCACTGTGAGAGACTGATTTATGCCTTGCAAGGCAAACCCAACAGCCAACACTTGCAATCCATCTGCAAACTGGTTGATGAACTATCTCGGGAAGTCTTGTGCGGCTTATTCCAGCATAGCCTCTTCAAAGTGAGTCCTTTGTTTTGATACCTGGGTATGTGTATACTGACTGTTGAACATATTTAACTAGGGGTTCTTTCCTACCTTTCACTTGTTCATCTACCAATCCTGTTCCATTTACCTTCTTCTTCCTTTGTTCATTGTGCCTTTCGATACCCCATCAAACCTCTTCGATCAATACAGCATAAGATATACGCAACGATGGTTTCCTTCAGAGTTCTCATACTCTTGTTGTCAATAGGATTATCCGGCCCAGTCTTTGCTCTCCCAGGCCCCTTGAGAGTAGCAACTATGTTCGCTCATCTCTACGAGGAAGTTGGCCATATCAGCATGGGCAACTGTTCCATTTCCAATACAGTACTTCCATTGAATGACACCAAAGAGCAGCTCCCGAACCCTTCCGCAGGGCTAACCCTCAAACATATCGCAATTGGCCGTGGTACTCAAAACTACTCATGCCCAGATGCCTCCGGGCCACGGAGTACTACGCAGCCAACGGCTGTTGGTGCTGCAGCCACACTCTTTGACGCATCTTGCGTTGCAGCACAGTCCTTGACATTATTGCATGAGTTACCTCCTTTGGTGGGCACTGCTTCTGTCGGATCTCTCGGCTTTCTTGCAGAAGCCTTGAGCCTCGCTACGAACTCGACCGATCTTATACTTGGAGAGCATTATTTTAATGCTGACGGGGACCCAGTGTTTGACTTGCGGCTGGGAGGGTCTGGTGACTGGGCTGTCACATCAAAGAAAGCTTCTGTTGATGCTCCTCAACCTCAGGATATTCATAAGGGCAAGTCCTGTGCGGCCAGCAAGGCCAAGATCGAGAATGTTGCTTGGCTAAAGCTCGACAGAAAGAGCGGAACCGGCATCCAGGTATGACTTCCGGACAATACACAAATTCGTGGATGTCAATCTAACTTAAACCATCTGTAGGAGGTGTATAGGGTCGTCACGTTTGAAGGCTCCCCACCTTCATCATGCGCTGGACAGAATAGCACGGTCTTGGTGCAGTATGCAGCAGAATATTGGTTCTATGGGTGATTAATATGCTTAAATGACTAGCATAGGTTGACGGGTCTGTTACAGTGACACATACATGGTTAGGACTGGTCTTTGATTTCAGTCACCTTTTGACCTTCATGTAATTATTTTATCTTATTTTTCGCATATATATATTTGCTTCATTTCCTAGTAGACGAGATCTGCTGCTCATATGAAACCTGATGAGAAACTCTCGTCGATATTCAATTTCCATTCACCTTGAGATTATCTCAAGTTGTCAACTTGAATTACTTATGTAACTCGAATAGCAGACTTTGGGTAGTTAGCTTGGTCTTTATTTGCATCTTTGGCCGGGTATGTTCTTGGCAGCCAATCCTCCGATAACGCCGATCTTATCTACTAATAGAAATACACGCCTCAGGTATTAAACAGTGGCGCAGAAGCTTTAGTGTGGCGCAGTGCGTGCAGCAGGGCCCAACATCCACCATGAACTGGGTACCACAAGAGAAAACCAGTGTCGGAACTCGGAAGATAACTCTGAAGGCAGAATATGACTCATACCGCATGCAAGATGCAGATTTTTCTCATCCCGAAGGACTAAGCTTCAGCTGGGGAGCCCTGTCTGGGCGCATAGATCGACAGCGCGGAGAATTGGCCAGCTGTCAGTGGCGTCGAGGGGCTAGCTTTGACTTTCTGAATACTCTTCGGATTTTGTTAGAGCAAGGACTCATGGTTTCTATCCCAGCAGAATCTTAACATTTGTGAACGGCGGTGCTCCTCGACAGAGACGCCGAGATACTCCTATCGGTCATACACTTCACAACTCTGAGCATAGGAGAACACTCACATAGGATGATACATAGTGTCTGGAACCGAAAATTCATGTCCGCGTATGAATTTTCTGGGAAACCAGGCAGTACTTGTCAATATGGTGTAGTTAATATGGTTCCGCAGCCAAGGAATCGGGGTCCGTGCATGTAATTACACGTGATCTGATCTCACCAGACGCGTTTCGATGGCCGCGTCTTCATTCACTACTGTATCGATTGACTTATCAACAACCGAGCTGTCGCATCATGATTGCAAGTCTCCATTAAGACTCAGCATCCCAGTTCAATCGCTCTTTACCTGCAAACCCGTCTTCTAAACCAATCGTGCCACTGTGCCCTCACATCTATCTCCTCCAATCCTTCGCAATGGCGGACTACAGCAAGAAGACCAACGCCGATCTGGTCGAGATTCTCAAGTCTCGATCCCTCCCTCACACCGGCAAGAAGGCCGACCTCGTTGCCCGCCTCCAGCAGGACGACGAGCAGAAGGCCTCTGGCCCAGCCGCAGCCACCTCGACCGTCGCTGAGGATGTCATCGACTGGGACGATGAGCCCACCGAGCCACCCATTCAGCCCGCCACCGAGGCTGGCGCAAACGCCATTGCTGCGGGCGGCAAGGGCGAGGTCGCCAACCCCGTCGCCGTGCCCAATCAGAAGCTCGACACCGATCCCGCAACCACAGATGATCTGAAGGTCGAATCGACCGAGGCAGCCGGGGCCGCGGCCGCGGCTGCGGCAGCAACAGAAGCAGCGGCCGCAACAGCGACCGAGACTAAGGCCCCCGTGGATTTCACCTCTGGTCTGCCCGCCTCGGAGCTGGAGGCCGAGTTAGCCAAGCGCAAGAAGCGTGCTGAGAAGTTTGGCATTCAGGAGGACGCAGAGACGGCTTTGAAAGAGGCTGAGAAGAGCCTGCAGCGCGCAAAGCGTTTTGGCAACGAGCAAGCTGGCGCGGCCACCGGTGCTGGTGCCCTGAAGGGTCTCGATGAGCCTCTGCCGAGCGAGCCTACCCGCAAACGGGGTCGCAACGAGCAGGGTGGCCGTGGAGGGAAGCGTCGCGATATGGGCCGAAACCGCCATGGTCGGGGACATGGAAAACAGAACCGCAACGGCGGTGGGAACGGCGTGTCTAAGCCGCAGTCCAATGGTTTAACTGCACAGCAGAAGAATTGGAGCGAGAAGGACGTGGCGGCTTTGGAGGCACGCAAGAAGCGATTTGCTGTGGCTTAAATGAGCTGATCTTTCGAATCTTTGTCTTCGCAATCCCGATTTTTCTTGTTGAAATCATGATACGATCTGTTCCTTGCGGCGAACACATATCTTTTTTTTTTCCATTTGCTGATTATGGTCTGGTTCTTTACGGGGCGTTTGTATCTTGAAGCTATCGAAGCGATGGTCCAATCGAATTGTATTTCTATGTATGTTGTGTCTTGCAGAATAGTACGCGGCAAGTAAAAGGTATTTCGGTGCGTAGAGCGCCTTCAATGGATAATATGTGACGCAACATGCTCTTTGGAACGATGTCACGTTATCGACGGAATGTTGAGTCATGTGCACAGCCAGGCGAGCAGAGGCTCCCCGCGAGCACACCAGCTGAAAAGTGCATTAGCCTCTGGTTCCTGCAGTCGTAGGTGGCCACTACCGTGCTAGGCCGCCCCATACTGGCCCCTCCAGATCGGCGCTGGGCGATCGACAAGCTCAAGGGCTCCAAGGCCCCTCAAGACCTTATCTTAGGTCCTTGCGCGAAATCCCAGCAAAAACGCCGCGGAGAAGTCCCCTGTAAACAGTATTATTACGAGATTCCCAATCTTGGAACTCGAGGCAGCGTGGAGGGCAGCGTTTAGCGCCGGTCTCCACTTGGCGGCGAGTTTGCTCTGGCGAATGCGAGTGCTTACCTTGCCTTTTTTTAGAGCACCGGCTTACTGGGGCTAACAGATAGGGCGTTTAAAACCATCAATCAGCGTGCGCAAGGCATTTACTGTTGGTCCGTGGTGGAGCACCACAGCCCGCCGGTCCAACTCCCGCTGTGGTTCTGGATGCGACAGGGGATGCGATGCTCGTCGGGCGACATCACTGGTTGATGCAGATCTTACCAGCAGGGATGAGGTCTCAAGAGGATTCTATGGATAAGAGACATCCCCACTGCGCTTTCTTCCCAGGGTCAGACCTGAGTGGTTCCGGTTCAATCGACAGGGTGGTTCGTTCGGGACGGCCCTCTGAACCAGAACCAGACTCTGGATAAAGCCTTTAATCTTGTATAGTAGGGTTTCAGGAATGATTCACAAGGCCTACAGCATATAGGGATCTATGGAAACTCGAAGAGTCTTCCCCAACCTTTCTAGTCCAAGCCCTGGAGTTCCAGGCGAGGATTACGAGCCGATGCAAATCCTGCACCCTGCGCCGTTACTGGCGGGCAGGGATCCAGTTAGCGCCACGCGAAAATTCTCCGACCTCTGAGGGAGAAGCGTAACCTTGGGGTGTATTTCTTGATTTGGTTCTCTAGTTTTACAGGACAACTTATCAGCCAATACGCGCCCCGCGAAATACTCCCCAAAAAGCAAACATGATTTTGGTAATGGATCGACGGTGCAGTAAGATCGGGGTCGCCGACCCCGATCGATGAGTTGTCATTGAGGCGACACAGACGCGGGCACAGCTTGGGTTCCTGACAGCTCATTGCTATTCAGCCTGGGGTAATCATCAGCTTGAGTCTTATCGCTGCGGATGAGTTGTCGAGCCTTGCATCAGAGAGCAGAGGAAAAGCATGGTGAGCCCACATCGTGACGCCACCTCGGGGCAGTCATGTATAGTTACAGTAATCGGTACAGTTGGTCCTAATCCAGTAGTCACATTCCAAGAGGCTTCTACTCCTCAGTAGGAAGCCCGTCAATGCCCGGAGTGGAGTGTGCGGGCTCCCGCGTAATCCTATGGGAAACGTGACAGGATGCCACGGGTTGGGGCCGGTGCTTCAGACTTGCGCTCACGATGAGTTCTTCGCATTTCACAGGCCCTTCAAAGGTTCCAGCCCGTAGCGTAGTCTCGACTCATCACAGAGTCACCATCTCGCAACCAATAAGAGGCCCCGAGATCGGCTCCTCACAGTGCCGGGGCCGCCGTCAAGTCACTAAACCCTATGATGCCGCTCTATCTGGCTGTAGGCAGAGGCGTTGGTGCCCCCACCACATTGAAGGGGGAACCCTCGAGTCAGAAATAAAAGTCTGCGATGTACTCTCGTACTCGGAAATCCTCTTCTACGCGGGCTTTTCGCCGTTCGCTCCTTTCTTTCTTTCCCCCCCTTGTTCGAAAACCCAATCATTTTTGCAGGAAAAAATTGCGATTATTACTGTTCTAAAATCCAGCATCCAGGTTTCATGAAACCGTTTCTACTTTGGGACCGCCTATGGATCTCCCACTGACGTGGCCGAGGCTAGTGGAAAATCCTGAGATTCGACGCCACAGCTCCAGACTGTGGCGAAGCAGCTGCAGCTCCGTGCCGATCAGCCTGGCAAAGTCGGTGAATTCCAGTCTCTTAATCTTTTAACTACCCAGAGCCAGGGTCTTTCGGAAGGCCTATACCTTTAATTCTCCGCGTTCTGTGCTTACGTTGGTGCTTTTTTCATAGTTTTGCGTTCTTGCGTTGAAGATAACGTTTATCGCCTGCCCCACCCTTCTATTAATACGCCACAACCCTCAGGATCTAATATCAAGTAATGAACTGTATGTGAGACGCCTTCCTTTTTCATTATATTCATCACGATGCCGCAGGGTTTGATGATAGAGACTAACCTAGGTTTCCCCCATGCAGTATATGCTGTTGATTCGTGATGATTACTTGGACGCACATGCACCCATTCGATCACTGGTCTCATAAGTTGGAAGAAGAGACTTCAGTCACAGTCGCACTATGTCGTACCATCCACGCGGCTCTCGTATGCCACACAGTAGCACCTCATCCCCTGGATCTGCGGGGGCTACCGATTCCGGCACAAACAGCTCTCGATTGCCTCGGTCTCTCTTGGCAAGGCCAGTCAACTTCCAGAGAACCGGCCGAGCATTATCTTTGTCGAGCGCTGAAGATTCAGGAACCATTCCAGCGCCAATATCCACACACGAGCCAGCTCCTCGAGCAAAGCGGCAGTCATGGCTGCCGCGCCCTAATCCCGGTTTAGCCTCGACTTCTCCCTCCACTTCTCCCGCCCCAACAACCTTTTCGCAAATTCTGAATGAGCCCATTCAATTACCATCTGGAAAGTCGACTGGCTCCCAAGGGTCGCCTCCAAAGAAGTCACGCAATGTTCTGCGCAGGAAAGCCCCAACAATTGCGGACCATGTACAACAATCGCAGAAACTCAGCCTGGTGATCCCTCAAACAGAGGAGCCCGCTGAAATTCAGGATTCACGGAAGTATTCTACCCCAGATGCATATTCAGCCGGCCCTTCGGCATCCAATTCTTCTTCATATTCCTCGATCGACAGACCCATCCGAAGTGCGATGGAAACACTGAAAACGCAAGAGCCGGTGGAGCTTGCAAGCCTTCGAACCAATATAGAGACCCAGAATCTACCGCCTCCTACCAACCTATTTCCATCCGCCAGCAGTCCTTCCACTCGATATTCGGGGTCTCCCGGCATGTGGAGTCGTGGCTCAACCCCGACTTCGCTGTCGTCCCTACTCGCCGGGCATTGTGCATTCCAGCAAGATTGGACGAATGAGGCAACCCAGCCCGTCCCAAATTAGACGTCCAGTCTTCTCCCCTCCCACCGCACACCCTAGTCCGCAAAGTGCTCAGATCGAACACACTGAGTCAAAGCCTTCTCGAATTGCGGTTCCCCAGCGATCGTTGGGTCAGGGCCCCGTTACTGGTCTTGGCCTGCCTGCTAAAATGAGCGACAAACCTTCTGCCTCCATCCTCCGTGGTCCTGCCCATAGCCCACCACCCAGAAAGTCCTCTGTGAATTTCAGTCCGCCCAAAAAAGCAGAGATAAATACAGCAAAAGCAGCAAGAGAAGTGGAGGGAGCAGAGAGAGAGATCTTCGGATCGCCTGACTTACCTAGGACTTCCACTGAGTCAAGTGCAATTTCTCCCCCGCGGCCAAGCCGAGAAGGTACCCATCGTCTGGACTTGGAGTCATATCCTATTGTCAAGGGGGGATTTGCCTCACCTCAAATCGACAGTTCATCAGCGACAAGATTCCGCGGGGAGATCAGGCAGTATCAGCTGTCATAACCCAACTCCCAACCAGTCGGCCACGACGTCTATGGATTCTGTGCGATCAAAAGACATCTCCGGGATTTCATCTCGACAAACTGGCTCACCAGTGATGAGTCGCAAGTCGCCCAAGACTTTGACCAAGCCCGCTAGAGAGCCATCATCGGACAGAGATGACCCTAAGAAGACTGCTACCTCAAGGAGATTCGGTTTATTCTCCAAGAAATCAAAGCCCGAATTGGACACTAGATCTACCGAGAACAACCGGACCACTCGCAAAGGCCCAGCGGCAGGCACCGGCCACGAAGGATACGGCAAATATGCACAGAGAGGAAGAAAGGCAAGCGTTGGAAGCAACACTGGCGTGAGGACGCGGTCGACAAGCACAACACGAAGTGGGGGTCAATCAGTGACTAGCAGCAAAGGCAGCATGTCTAGTCGGCCTGAACTCGGCCTTGATGACTTTCTGTCAAGCAGACTCGAGCCAGTTGTGATCAGTGGCGGGGGCGTTGATGGTGCATCTCTTTCGCGTACTCAGAGCGAGCAGAGCATGAGCAACATCAGCGTTACGTCGTCCATTCTCCCTCGGCAAACCCCACCCACAGCTTCATCGGCCCAGTCGACGGACTCACTGGTCTCATATTCCAGCGACCTCAAGTCTCCAAGCGCCTCTAGCACTGCTTTGGGGTCTACACGGAGCCCGAGTCCTGAGAAGAAGCCATCGACGAGTCGCCAACAGCCGAAGTCGCGGATGCCAGTTCCGAAGGGTAAGAAGCAAGCCAATTATGAGAATGCTGGTGCCTCTGAGAGCCAGACATCGATATCAAGCACTCCGTCAAACCTTTCGTCCGCAAAGGTCCCAAAAGCCGGTTCTTTGACGCAGCAACCAGAGGAGAATGATAAGGACCTCAAGCAAGTCAGGAAAGCAAAGAGCTCCCGGTGGAATCTGTTCCAGAGAAGCCGGATTGAAGAACCAAAACACGACCCTCCCCCTGTCACGACTTCTCATGCTCAGCTTCATGCTGCAATTGCGCCCATAGCTAAAAGCCGGCCGATTGCACATTATGCGCTTGTGGATACCGACTCAGATGAGCTTGATACCATCATTCATCAGATAGAGGATTCGCCGCCCACGGAAGAAGAGCCTGTAGAGCCTCCCGTGGAGGTTCCGGCTCGGCTGAATATCCGAAAGAGAGGAGAGTCTATCCTTCTGCCCTCTCCCCCAAAGATGCACGGCGAGTTCCAGAAAGATGGCCACCAGTCTCCGAGAACAGCTATGTTCAATCGTAACCTCATGGAACCTGAGTCTCACATCAGTCTTGAGCCAGAGCGCCCAAGACGACTGGCCTCCGTGGGGCGCATTCCAAAAGTCGTCTCCAGGCACGATAGACAGCACCGGCCAGCCAATGGTTCTTTCTCCCGGCCTTTCAGTGTTTCCGAGTCACCGTCAGTTCCAGCTCCTGTACCGCCTGGACCTAGTACACAGCCCAATTTCAAGGACGTGCAATGGGCTCCAAAGCTCGATGCTACTTCAAGTCAGCCACGACCCTGGGCCTACGGTTCAAAAGACCACTTCTACACTCCAGCACGGACGGCCCTCGAGCTTCTAACAGGACCGTACTCAAATGGCGAGTTCATTCACTTCTCTCCACACAAGGACTCTGTGTCCTCAAGTAGCTCTGGTGCATTGGCAGCTGTCACTGCGGTGGTTCCTGAGCCCGGTATGGCCCCGATGGAAGATGAGATTTGGGGTGAGTATGATGATTTGATCGATCATGTTTACTCACCGGAGGAGCCGAAACAGAAGCAGAGGGCTGCAGATCAACGACAGTCGCGGGAAGATGATCCTTTTGAGCTTGCGACAGTGGCAAGTAAAGCTTTGCAAGTCGAGTTGAATGCCCCCAATGCACAGTCATCGTCTTTGATGCCTGGTGATGGCTCGGTTCGGTCTAGCCTGGAGTCTACTCGCCTTCGTCGGTCTAGGATCGTGTCGGCACTGCATTCCTCCCTCTCGCCTTCGACTCAGCCATCATACAGCAATCTCATTGCCAGTTATGGAGGGATGAAAGAAGAAGAAGAAAAAGAAGAAGAAGGGAAGAGCCCCGCGAACCCTCCACCAGTCCCGACAGTGAGGATCCAGGAGCCCCACTCAACTTTCCTGCAGTCTTTGGCCAAAACCCCAGCTTCGAAGCCCAAGGGGAGCGCAAGACTGTGCCGCCATCTTCTGAAAGAGATTGGGATGCTGTCACTCACACGAATATGAGATCTGCTTCTCTGATGACCAGCCGTTGGTTATCCTTCGGACGCGTCCTCTTTAGTCCAGCGCACAACCATGTCAAGACCGGAACCCATGGCCGCATTTTGGTCATTGATGGTCTCGGCAATGATGACTGGTCATTCTATTGCTCTTTGACGTACCCTGATGCCGAGGTCTACAGTCTGAGTGGTCGACCAGTATCCACTGCAGCGCCTCATCCTGCTGCATGGCAGCCACCGACCAATCATCATACTGTCTACCATGCAGGGCTGCATAACCCGCTGCCTTTCCCCAAGGACTACTTCACGGCTACCGTTTTGCGGTTCCCAGTTGCTAGCCCTGAATCTGTCCAGAACAACATGATCCAGGAGTGCAAGCGAGTTCTCCGCTCTGGCGGTTACATTGAGATGAGCCTCTTAGACCGTGATATGATCAACATGGGTGTTCGCACGCGCAGGGCTGTTCGTCGGTTGAAGGAAATGACCTATCTTGCCGATTCCTCTATCAGCCTGAAGCCAAGCAGCGACAACGTTCAGCGTCTTCTTGGAACCCAAGGGTTCGATAACCTTCGCCGCTGTATGGTGCGCATCCCTGTAGCTGGCATGGTCGTTCGATCCTCCGATTCGACCACCTCTTCATCCAGTCGGTCTCTCCCAACTGCTACGACGTCCTCTCCTGGTTTCGACTTGCCAGCCATCTCCATCACTCCCGCAGGCAGCCAGAGTACTCATACTGCTTCCAAGTCGTCGCCCTCGGACGACACCAACAAGTCCCTTGGAGATCTTCTCTCCGACCCATATCCCTCCGCCGCGAACGACGAGTCTATTGCCAAGATTGTGGCTCGTGTCGGTCGCTGGTGGTACACGAAGTGCTACGAGGACCCCGTCCTCCCCGACACTGGCGATTCCGACCCGAGTATGTGGAACGACCCGAAGGTCCTTCGCGAATGTCAGAAGCGCGGCACTGGCTTCCGCATGCTCATTGCGCATGCGCAGAAGCCCAGCGAAGTCAAGCGCCGGACCGCCAGTGTCTAACGAATTAATCTTTTGCTATTCTTACGAGACGATTTGATTTCATGATGCATCTGAATTTGGATACCTAATGCCCCTGATTTTACGAATACCCTGGTCGTTTCCTTTTATTTTTTTCCCCTTTCCTCTTTCGCTCTTTTCCTTTCGGTGTTTTCAGATTGATTTCAGCGTTTCCTGAGCGGCAAGCGTTGCTATATACTAGTATACTTACAAGACTTGCATTGACCTCGCGGTCTACGTGCGCAGCGTGCATGATGATATGATTTTGATGATTGTTTTTACAGCCTTTTTTTTTTGGTTCTTCTTGGCTGGCCATTTGATTTTCATTTCTTTCGTTACATCTAGAAGCCGGACTTTAATTGGATGAATTTTTTTTGATGACCGGATTCCTTTACATTCCCTCGCCCCATCCTTATGACGTAGTTTCCCCCGCGTATCGTATAACTAATTAGGACATGATTAGTAGCCAACATAGGTTAAATACCCCGTTGGATTGGGCAAAATCGCGATGCCTGTCTATTCCTGTTTGCCTATTTCTGTTTTTAACTGAAGCGAGACTTGAGGATTTTCTTGCGTCAGATATCCACTGGGATCCACAAGGCTGTACACCTTGAACCCCCCCCCCCAAGTAATACTGCGCCACAAGTCTAACCGATCTGGCAAACTCGAACCGTGGAACTCGAGCTGAACCCAACAGTCTTATTTATATCTGGTTTACCTCGCGTTCAGGTTGACTTGAGAAACAAAACTTCACTTACTCTAAACCGTCATGTCTTACTACCCTCCTCCGAACCGTGAGTCAGCTTTCTCAACCCCACCTACGTCAACGCTTCAAACTAATGCATGAGATATTAGAGCCGCCTTACAGTGGTGGATATGCCCATCCTCCACCAGGAGCTCCTCCACCTCAAGGCCATCAGCAACCGCCATACCCTCAGCAACCGCCATATGGTGCACCTCCAGGTGCTCCACCGGGTCACTACCCCCCGCAGGCCAGTACGGTCAACCTCCCCCGCAGCAGGGCCACTACGGCGGGCCTCCCCTCCTCAACAGGGCCACTACGGCGGCCACTCTCCTCAGCCTCCATATGGCGGCCACTCTCCTCAACCCTCTTACGGCCACCCACCTCCCGGTCAACCTCCCTACGGTGCTCCCCCACAAAATGCCTACGGTGCCCCTCCCCAGCACCACGGCGCGCCTGGCTACCCACCACCCCCAGGCCCCGGCTATGGCGCTCCTCCCCCGGGCCCCGGAAACTACCACGCGCCAGGCCCCGCGCCAGGCCCCGCGCCACCATCCCCGGGATACGTTCCTCACCAACTCGCCCCCGGCGACTTCCGCATGCAATGCGACACGCTCCGCAAAGCCATGAAGGGGTTCGGCACGGACGAAAAAGCCCTGATCCACACCCTTGCCCCGCTGGACCCGTACCAGATGGCCGCCGTCCGCTCGACCTACTCGCAGCACCTGGGCCGGGACCTGTACAAGGACGTCCAGTCCGAGACGAGGGGGTACTTCCAGCAAGGACTGCTCGCCGTGATCGAGGGCCCGCTCGGCCACGACATCGCGTGGGCGCGGGAGTCGATCGAAGGCGCCGGCACGAAAGAGTGGCTCATGAACGACATCCTGCTCGGCCGGTCGAACGCGGACCTCAATGCGATTCGCATGGGCTACGACCAGAAGTACCACAAGTCGCTGATCCGGGACGTGGAGGGCGACTTGTCATTCAAGACGGCGACGCTATTCAAGGCCGTGCTGCAGGGGTCGCGGCATGAGGATGGCCTGCCGCCCAACCCGCAGGCGATTGATGCCGAGGTGCGCGCCCTACATGACGCGACCACGGGCCGCATGACGAATAATGTCGGCGAGGTGGTAGGGATCTTTGCGCGGGCGTCGAATGACGAGCTGAGGGCTATCGATCGGGCCTTTGAAGCGCGGTACCACAAGAAGCTGGAGAAGCATATCGAGAAGGAGTTCTCCGGGCATATGGAGGATGCGTTCTTGCATATGCTGCGCTCGGCGACTGACCCCGCCAGGCGCGATGCTATCCTGCTGGAGCAGTGCATGGCGGGTCTGGGCACGAAGGATGAGCGGTTGGTGGTTCGTGTTGTGCGCGTGCACTGGAATAGAGAGCATAAGGAGCGGGTCAAGGCTGCTTATCGGCATGAGTATAAGAAGGATCTGATCGAGCGGGTGCGTGGGGAGACGTCAGGTGATTATCGTGATTTGATGGTCGCGTTGCTTCAGTAGGAGTGTCCTTGGGAGAAACTCGGTCCTATGAAGCATAATTGCCATTCATTGATTTGGGCGGTTTGTTTCTGGATTTTTTTTTTGTTTTTATTTGCCTCTTTCATGTACCTTAACTTGATATCCGCGCTGGAAATGTCTTTACGTTATCGATGACATGAAATGGAAGATATTTGAATAGTATTATGCCCCACAGAATAACATGCGGCTTGCAAGGTTAGCACTACCCAATAGTGTCGAGAGTCATCGGTTACGAGTGCGACATACAAAGTAGAGAATCCGATGCATGTAATAGTCAAGTTCGTCATCATTATCATGTTATGCAAAAAGGGAAAAAAAAAAGGGAAAGCAAAGCAAAAGCACCAGGCTGTGGTCGAAAAGAAAGAACCGATCGGAAGAGCAGATATCCGACAGACTCCACCATTACTCAATATTTCGAATTATCTCGACATATTTCCCGTAGAATAGTCCTGTACGAGCAGCATAACAGCCCCAGAACCATTCGTCATTAATAATGTCAACTTCCGTAATATCAGCGCCCCGTGGAAACGGCAGCTCGTCCTGTACCTCATCTTCAGGGAAGAATGACCACTTGGCACGAACGATTAGCCCAACACCGCCGTCTGGTGGGAACCGCCTCAGCGCAGGCGGTGTCGGGGCAACCGGTGAATTTGGGCTCGAATGGTCTGGTAGATGTGGGCTGCTTCCATTTGACAGGCCAAGAGGGCCCCGCAGACGGGAGGCCTTCTTGCGACGCTCTTGGCCTTGGCCTTCTTTCCAGCTCCAGTGGGCAACCGCCGTATCTGGGGACGTAATAGGCCCGCCGACTGCAGGGGATGACGCAGGGGATCTGTTGACATGCTCATCCTTCAGAGCGTGGCCGCCAACGAGGTTCCGCACGATTACCCTCCTTTGGCCTTCCACGTGGTCCTCAAAGCCAACGATGATCATTCGGTGGCCGGCTATACACCGGCGCCAGCCACTGTGGCCATTTTCTTTGCTGATTTTTGAGTTGGCCACGAGCTTCAGGTAGCAATTGGTGCAGACATCATAATCGCCGTCGTTGCATTGGAGGCAATGAAACCTGGTGACCGAGGCTGGAATTGGATAGGTGCAAATGTCACAGTTTGTGGAGAATGAAAGGATTTTGTAACTGTCCTTCTCGGGTGCGGACAGTATGGCAGTGGCTGCGCCAGAGGGAGATGATGGGGGAGCGCCCGCTATGCGTCGGACCGGCAGCAACGGATGAGTGCAGCATCGGCCTTGGTTGACGCATCGATTGCAAAAGCCCCAGTCACCTTCATTGCACTGGTTGCATTTCCAGTAACATTCGTTGGTCGAGGACTGGCAGATGTCGCAGAATAGCCCGGACTCTAGACGCCGGGATGGATTACTATTGGTTCTTCTTTCCCCGCTGGCGATCACATGGGCGTTCTCGGGAGGCCTTTGGTATTTGAAGGAGCTTAGAAGATGCCCAGGGTCGGTGATATGAGCGGGGCGACCGTTTGAGGAAGCAATGATCAATTCGAACATTGTCTCCGCGGACGGCCCAAAGCCAGACCATTGCAAACAGCCTCTGCCTGCACGATAGCACCGGAGACACAAATGGAAGTTGCCATCTTTGCACTTGAAACACCGTTTATGTAGATCGTATTGAATGTTATGCTTTCCACATACGTCGCAGGATATCGACGGCTCCGTGTAATGAGTACTGGGTCTTGCGGATGGTCTTGGGCGTCGTTCAGACCGAGCGGGAACAAGAGGGGATGAGGGCGATCCAAGCGGGGGCTCTCCCGGAATGGAACCGGCAGGGTTACTGGCAGCGTTTCGAGAAGAGCTACGGTCTCGTCCCCCCCCGCCATCCATATATTTGAGATGTTCTGATCTGACTCTGTAGCCCGTCGTGGTCGATGAGCAGAGTCGGCTCGTGATCGCTCTGGCTGGGAGCTGCGTGGGCGCTCTGCGGTCATATCGCTGGCAGATCTCACGGCAGGCCGCAGCGTGTCATCCGAATTAGATGCTGGATTCACGCCAACGGGTGACGTGCGCCGGCCATTTGTCTGTTCGGAGTTTCGCCGTTGGTGGCCCCTGGTCGGGCGAGGAGAAGGCCCAGAGCCAAGTAGATGAGGTCGTGATACTGGAGGTCTTCTGTCGTTACCCTCGCGACTTTCTCGAGCAGTGGAATTCACTTCGTCAGACCTGCGGGCGGATTGCGACCGAGGATGAGGATTAGGGGTGCCGCCGGGGGACCGTCGGCGGCGTTGCTCTGGGCGGGCATGCGTCTGTTGCATATGCCTCCGGCGATAAGCGTCAGCAATACGTTCGCTAAGCTCCTCCTCCTGTCTAGGCCCGAGGTTCTCCAGGTCGACATCGTCCAACAACCCCTCCTCCATAATTTGTCGCAATATTTCCTCTTCCATAGTCTCCGTTTCGGAGGATAGGCTGAGTAGTGATCGTAGGCTAGATTGGTGCTCAATACGTCTGCTGTGTTCGCTGTCATTATGCCGGGCCGGTCGCTGCTGCCGCTCTGATCCTTCACTCCTGCGCTGAGAATCGTCTGCATGTCGACTAGGATTCCGGCGGCCATCTCTCCGCGCCTGTCCACGACTCTCGCGGAGGCTCAGATCCCTCACTTCATTCATCAACCGCGTATCGGCCTCGTCTTCCGAGGTCTCCTCATGTGCCGGAAGTGGAGGAAACACCGGGTCCCCAGGTTTGTATCGCTCAGCGATCTCCTTCTTCTCAGCATCACTTCTGGCGCGGTCTGGCTGGGCTGCCAGCACCATGTCCAGTAGAGTTGTCACCGTGGCATTTGGACGAGTGTCGCGCACTTCCGCGCGGCATGATGGGCAAGTGAATCGCGGGGCAGAGCTCGAATGGCGGCGGGAACCCTGTGCATAGAACCATTCCTTCACACATGATCCGCAGAATGTATGGAGACAGTCGAGGAGAGTGAGGGGCTGGTAGAGGAGCTCGGTGCAGATCTAGGGCAATAGCCAAAAAAGCAATCAGCAAGGGCCCTGATGTAAGGAGCCGAAGAATGGAAGGGTTCCAGAACTTGACGTACCGAGCATCCCAGCTCTTTCTCCAGACCGGCCAGCCCAGGCTGAAGAGACATGGGGACCCTGTTCGTTTTACAAAGTCATCCACGGAACCTCCAGAACCAAAGAGGAGGGAACCGGGGAAAGCAGCGGTGGGAAAAGAAAGGAAACCTGGAATAGGCGGGTGATCTCCACCCAATCTTATCGCGATCTGAGATCGAGGTTCTGCCGTTTCTTCACCATCATCTGGAGCTTACTTGTATTCCAAGGTCCAGCACTTTCAGGTCTGCCGGCCCTAGGTTTTGAGTCTTGTTCTGGTCGGATGCTTGAGTACATGAGAGGAGGTTGGGAGTATGGGGGGAAACAGCACCAAACACCGCTGCTTACTTGCGGTTGACACTATTGCGGCCCCTACGGAAATTCCAATGTTTCACTTTTCAGAGTTGAAACCGCCGAATTATCTATTCTTTCCTTCTACACCTCGCGCTCTGTCGTCTCGGGGTACCACAGCATTGGGAAATAGTCTCACATTGATTCCTGAAGCCCTCAACAGAGACCCTCAACGGAGACCCTTTGAACTGCCCCAGTCACTAGACTACCCACCAAATAGCGACAGTTGCACAGGTCTTCAATGCTGCGCTGAGGCTATCTTCACTCCGCTTCTTTCCGGGCGGTGGACTGTGGCAGCGATGGCTCTTCGCGTTGTTACTATAGCCTGAAACAGGAACGAACTCGAAGTCTTTTGAATCAGCCAAGGCGCATCGGTCGTTTCATCTTAGATGAAAACCTACGTCAAATGAAAGCCTTGCCGCTCTTCTTCACTATTAGCGGTAGACCAAATCAATTCGCTGGAACAGCAAGAGAGACTTGGAATGTTCAGCCGATAGGTCGAATGCCAGGAAACAAAATTTGTCTGGAAATCCCAAAAAATGCTTGCGAACATGAACAAGATTGATTTATAGTGTCTTCTAGGATGGTCGGAAACCTACTAGTGCCACTCGCAGTAATGGCTATGCAGACCAGTTCTGTCAGGTACTGAGCTACATGCATTGCCTACGTCTACTGCGTCCACCAGGTTCAATGCGCATCCACCAGGTTTTGACTGCGCGGCCACCAGGTTCACTGCGCGGCCACCAGGTTTTGACTGCGCGGCCACCAGGTTCAATGCGCATCCACCAGGTTTTGACTGCGCGACCACTAGGTTTTGACTGCGCGGCCACTAGGTTCAATGCGCATCTACCAAATTCCGATTGCACATCCAAGAGGTTATGAGCGCATTTGCCAAGTTAACGTCAGGCTTTTTAAGACTGATATGAAGCCTACCAGACTATAGATTGACCCAATAAGCCAGCTGGCGGAATAAGCGCACATCCACCAAGCTACAAGTGCGTCTACTAGGCTATAAGTGCACCTACTAGGTTATGACCACTTGTCTACGAGGCTACAGGTGTATCTATCAAGTTAAGGTAGACTCTTTACGGCTGAAATTAAGCTTACCAAGCTATATATGGACCTAATAGGCCAGGCGGTAGGATAAGCGTGTATCTACTAGGTTATAAGCACCAGAAATCATAGATTACTGATATCTCATAGTTAGTTACCCAGGATATGATATCCTCTTATTCATAGGAGTAATTCACTTTCGACTTATTTAGTTACTAACAGTTCTTCTCTTACATTCTAGCTAGCTCTTACATATAAGGGGCTTATTGAAAGTCATCTTCTTGGACTCAGGACACATGAAACGCCAGGCTAGGTTGAAATACTTTCGACGTTTATATCTGAAATACTATAGCACCTTTCAAAATAGCCTAGAGAGATGTAATTCGGGAAAAGCTTCCAATATTTATGATCTATATTCATACCTCTTATTGGAATATTCCGTGATTTCGTATGCCTCGTAATATAATAGCCCGGCATTCATTTCTGCACCTGTATCACCGCGTGACAGCTCAAAAGATATTACTGATTTTCCACCCAACTTTAAGGCCCTTGGCAATATAGGCGAATGCGCTAGAGCAGACATATAGACCGCCGCAGAGACAGATCAGGCCCGAATAATTCGTTTGCGGCCCCGAGGGGTTTTGATCGTTCAAAATAACCCCTGCAACTGGGACAATAATCAAAAGCAGGATCCCAATCAGAAGTGTGACTGTGCCATATCGCTTGCCATAGTCTTTTGTCTGACAGACTTGAGCCACGCACACAGGAGAGAGACTGATTGCCGGCCCCGACCAAAACCCGCAGAGAGCGACAAAGCTCAGTATCGCAGCACGGTTGTTATGAGCCGTCAACCATAATGCAAAGCTGAAGATGCCGCAGGTGGCACTGGTTACGGTCATGACATTGAAGCGCCCCACTCGATCTGCGAGAATTCCGGGGATGATACGCCCAACGATCGATGTTGCGTTGAAAATGTTCATGAGTTGATAAGAAAGTCCGCTGTCGATGCCATGGGCCAGTGCATACGAGGGAAGATAAATGACGGGAATAATCAAACCGGCTTCAGCTAGCACGACAGACAGTGTAGTTGCGAGAAACACCGGCTCGGTCAGAGCCTTAATATCGAGGTATGCGGCTTTATGCCGGGAGAGGGGGATTCGAGTGCGTAGCAGGGCATTGCTCACGGTGCATAGAAAGAGACAAATAAAGCCTAGAATTCGAATCGTCCATGGGTAGCCAATGCGGTTGCTCAGAGCGCCAAATATGACAGTGAAAATAATTCCTCCGATGCCTCCAGAGGTGCATGCAACACCGATGGCGAGGCCACGATTCTTATTGAACCAGTGAGCGACACAGCCGAGACTGGGCGTAATGAGGGTCGAGAATGATAGCCCCCCTAGGACGCTGAAACCGAGGATGAACTGGTAGTACTCTATTTATCTTGTCAAAACCTGCACCTGTGGCACCGCAGTCAAGCCATCACGTACCTGTGCAAACGCTGAGAAACATAATAGAGAGCACCGCTCCAACAGATCCTGGTAAAGCAGTATATCTCACTCCGTATTTATCAAACATGGGCCCTGGAATGTTCAAATTAGCTATGTGAGCAATCTTAGCTGAGTTCATATGCGTACCGACGAAGATGCCTCCAATGTAGAGCAGGCAGCACCACAAGCTAAAGATCCAGGATATGGTGGATTTTGAATACTGCTTCAATTCATGGTCTGCGAGCCATGCCTCTAGGACACCTCCAATATTCATCACAGCAAATGTGGGTGTCAGACCGCACCAAGCGCCCAGCACGACCGTCCATGCTCGCAATCCTCCATCTGGGAACTCCTGGACTTCATCCTCTTGGGGCAGTTCTTCGGGCTTGAGTTTTTCGCTCGACATGGTGGTAGATTACTGAGAGTTGGGGAGACCATGCGAGTCGCTTCTGTTTTTTTTTCTTCTTCTTTTTTTCAGTCAGGAAGGCTCTGTGATCGACCCAGATCGGCGGAATCCTTCATGAAGGGATCGACAATCCCTGATCGACATGGATATGTAATGTCGATCATTTCTGCCATGATTGAGGTAATGAAAACTCCCTTAATTCCCGATTGACCTGTGCAGGAATGACACGGAGCGATTACGTCCCAATGACTCTCAGCTCCGCCATTTCACTCCTGATCTTCAAGTTTGTACGCCGGATCAATGGGCGAGTCCCTTACAAGGGAGGATCTCGATACTGCGACTGCTCTTCGAACTACATAACACATTGAAACGAGTCTGCTTGCCGGAATACTGCATTCGAATGCTCCTAAACAAAATGAGAGCAAAGCAGGGACAAAGCAGGAGTTCCTCCTTGTCGGGCTCAGGGGGTGGTCCACAGAGCCACTATTTACCCACAACACGGGAGAGTCGCATCGCATTTCGTCATGACGATGCGATCATCTCCACAGATCTCGAATAGCGCGCTTTGGCCATCCAAAAAAGCGGTTCTCCGCCACTTATATTCCACTATTCACCCCACATGTTCTTCGTCTCAAGCAGTCCAGCCCTGGCGCAGCCGGAGAAGCCAGCCGTCCTGGTTTTTGAGAGCCGAAAGAGCCCCACAGTGCTGACCATCACACACGTCTTCTTTTTGACTGTTTGAGTGCCAATCGCTCCGACGAGTGCATATAATGGCCTGCAAATGATGCACAAATGATGCGATATCGCTTCAAATTGAAGTCGACTTGTGGAGCCCATAACCTTTCAGCTACTTTACAGCTCGTGTGCCCTTGAAACGAAACCCCGTCTCGTCTCCCAAAAAACAAAAGGCCACTTCTCTTAAAGACTAACAAGCCAGTCAAACTTCACCCTCTCTTCTGTTTCTTCCTCGGTTCCCTTGGTACACGGTGTCGGTTCTACATCGTCGTCCCTCTAACGGATAATGCTGTTATTTCTTCATTCTTGGTCTTCGGCACAAAGAAGCAGGCACATATCGCTCCTACAACAACACATGAGCCAGAGAATATTAATTCCATAGCCGTGATCATATAAAACTATCGCTTCGGTGACCCCGAAGTTTATGAGCCACTGTATTGTCCTCCTCAATTAGAGCCAATCACTCTTATATTGAGTGGAACGGCTTCCCTCAAAAATAATGAACGTGATGCTGGCGAAAGATGAGGTATATCCGATCACGTATAAGCAGACCAAAGCGCACGCTGCAATCCCAATGGTACTGATACTGGCCGAAAGGTTGCGAGGGCCTCCACTTGGGGTAAAATATCTCCTATGAGATTGTCTCGGAGGTCTCTCTGTAAAGCTGCAAGCATGAGGGAACATTTGGCACCTCTAGTCAAGATTTATACGGCAGACTTAAAACAATATGACAATCTCACTTTATTCTATTGCAAGATATTTCAAAGTGGAGCCTCTCACAACCTTTCATACTATTCTCAAGAATGCAAGGACGAGTCTCTTTATAATCGTCAACTCTGTTCCTAGAGCCCAATTGGTAGCAAAGAAGCTCAGAACAATATATTTCATACCTATTTGAAGAGTGCGTTCCTTGTCTCAAGTCCCTTTAGCAGCCATTATTTATAGCCCAAGCTGAACTTATGCATCTGTAGGAAAACCCTTGCCGACAGTAGGTATCTATGTTCTCATTGAAAGGCCAATCTGCTCAGAAATTAAACGTTGTAGAGAGCTAATGGCCCATCTGGTAAGAGAATATCCTTACTAGAACTTCACTGATTGGCCTATTAGGTCCATATATAGCTTGGTAAGCTTAATTTCAGCCGTAAAGAGTCTACCTTAACTTGATAGATACACCTGTAGCCTCGTAGACAAGTGGTCATAACCTAGTAGGTGCACTTATAGCCTAGTAGACGCACTTGTAGCTTGGTGGATGTGCGCTTATTCCGCCAGCTGGCTTATTGGGTCAATCTATAGTCTGGTAGGCTTCATATCAGTCTTAAAAAGCCTGACGTTAACTTGGCAAATGCGCTCATAACCTCTTGGATGTGCAATCGGAATTTGGTAGATGCGCATTGAACCTAGTGGCCGCGCAGTCAAAACCTAGTGGTCGCGCAGTCAAAACCTGGTGGATGCGCAATGAACCTGGGGGATGCGCAATGAACCTGGTGGATGCGCGCTCATTCTACCGCTTGGTCTATTAGGTCCATCTGTAGCCTGGTAAGCTTAATATTAGCCTCAAAGAGCCTGGCCTTAACTTGATAGATACACTTATGACCTGGTGACTTCAGCCCATCCAGATGGGCTGAGAAACATCTGATACTGTGCCTATGCACTCAAATACTCTGGGAGTGCCCATAATTTATCGGCATACTCAAATGCGCAGGAACGCATCAAACAGCGCAAAAAAAAAGCTGATCATGCAATCTAGCTATAGATTCCATCCGATGTTTGGCTTAGTGCTGGTGTTGAATTGATGCCATGGTCCTTGTTATAGTGAGAGAGCTCGCGTCCAAGGTTTATGGGTTCCTGGTTATCGATGATATTGAGCTTGTGATGCATGCGCAATGTAGGATGGGTGACATGATAACCGGGCGGTAAGAGTAGTTATAGGACACTATTACTCACCAGCAGGCTAGCATGCTATCTTGACTCGGAGTAGGCTGCGACAGCCTATGAGAAAACCTTTGTTCCATATAGAGAGAAGTGTTCCAGAAGGATGAAATACGAATGACAGTATGTGGCAGTCCAATGGACTGCTCTGACGTGCACATTTGAGACACACTTCATTCTATACCAGACCAATGGCCCTACCAGTGTATAGCGAATCTTCAACGCTGGGGTACGGGTGTAGTCTATCTGCAGACATACTAAGTGGCAACATCTTCTTGTGGCCAGACAGATGGCAAACAGAACCGAGCGAAGTGCCAACTGTAGCAATACCAACTAATGCCCATCCCGCGATGAAATCTTTAGTCTGGCCCCAGCTATTGCAGATCCGTGGTGGCGGCCATGCAAGACACGTCCACCAGGCTGTCAGAAGCTATTTGGGCCAATCACGTCAGTCCGCAAGGGGGTACTTCCCTTTGACCGGCGAGATACTTCTCGGTTTGATCCCAAAGTATATTGAGTGCCAGGCGTCTCATTCGCTTGCCACTTAAGAGGGGCAAGGACAAATTTTTAAGCATCGCCTCTCGACACGGTAGGGGTGGCTGATCAGCCCATACTCTGGACCAGAGACCCAAGCCATGGCGGTGAGTCTATGAGAGGCACAGGCGAGTTTGAACATAAAGAATTGACTTTCTGTGTGGGAGAAGGCTGTGCGTGGTCCAGGCGATGCTGAAGCCGGAACGCCGGAACTAATGTAGCTCGGCGCTTTGGGGCATCATGTGAGGGGTTTCGGCCTCCGTGTCCTTCCTGTGCACATGAGGTTCTACTGATAGCTATACACAAGGTCATACTGTAAAAGGTCCGACACGGAGCACAATGGTGATACGTTGGTGGTTTGAGCGAGGAGACCTTGGGGAAGGAAGGGGAGATGATTGAGGGGAGGAGGACTTACGGCGGTCAGATGTTCTCGGGGCATCTGTGAGACTCGGTTGTGGCTGGCATTAGTGCCAGTACCGAAACGTGAGGGGAGCACAGGAATAGAGCTCTAAATGAGGGGGCCGAAGAGCGAGTAATAGCGCGATACCAGTCCTCATCCTCTCCACAAAGTTCCAGACTCTCCCCGCGAGGGCCGTGAACTGAGCATGCGTAAGTGTGGACCTGAGGGCTTTCAGTGGTATGTGTATAGTATAGAATTTGGCAAAACTTCGCGCGAATTAAAGAAATGTCCGACGCACCCCGCAATTTACCAGCGGCGTACCACGGATATGTGAATCCGCTGATCTCCGCATACTTTGAGATGGACTAAGCTCGAAGAGCATTTGGGTTGGTAAGTCCTCGGAGTAGCTGTCTGGGGTCGGCCCTCATGCACGCTCAGTCGCGCATTAGGCACCTGTGCTCGGGCGTTGTAAACCCACCCAATGGCCGAAGTTGGCGCTTCGCAGACCCCTAGCTCATGAATGCTTCAAGGGTCGACGGGGATATGATCCACCTTGTCCGTGGTCTACTTTGTGGCTCGTGTGGGGTGCAGGAGACGGAGGGGGATGGGCTTTCCTATTCGCATCTACAACCGTAATTCCACTAGTAGCGAGCTTTACGCGGCCCAGAGCTATGAAGAAACAGCTCGTATGTAGCGACATGAAAATCCAAAGGCAAGACAAATTATGTTTAGTCCAATGCATAAGTACGACATTAGTAAACTTATTATTCACAGCCCTGGAGATTGATGTGTCATTCTAGCAAAAGAGGCTTCTGTCTTGTTACGCTATCACGGTAATTCCAAGCCCAGGAAGCTGATTCGCCCAAGCTCAGTTATCAAAAGTGTTGGGGTTGTGGCGCATCCCAGAGAAGCCCTTTAAATCAAAGAAACCCACTTGGACCAGAAGGGCCCGATAGTAGCGTAGCACGGCCGGCGCCTCTTCCGCCACACAGATGAGGCTTTCATAACAATCGTGTGATATTTTCGGACTTTGCCGCCCCATCACGCAATTCGCTCGCCTAGCAAGCTTGCAAAGCCAAATATGCAGCACCATCATGAGGTCACGACTTAAGTGGTATGATCGGCGCTTCTCCCGGCATACCTACTCCAGTCCCAAAAGGTATTCCGAACATCGGACAATCGCAATGCACGATCGACCCAGCCGGCAACGGGAGCTACTTTGGACCCGTAGGGGTCCGAGAGTAGTATAGGGAAAGGTGTAACTCTAGGCGCTGGTGAGACAAGTTTATTAGGAATTTTTTTTAGTCGCTTTCAAGGTCCTGTTCAACGGCGAAGCGAGAGTGGTCCCACTTTTGATTGTAGAGTCAGCATGACAACTTGATTCGAGGGGCAGATTTTTAAC